ACAGGTGAACCTCGAAATAACTCCCATGCGCCCGGCGGATCATGACGAACTCACAGACTACCGGCGGATACCCCGCACGCTCTCCATGTGTACTACGACCCGCTCACGCCCGAGAACGAAGCCGAAGTCGAGAAGATCTTCAAGGCACTCACCTCCGACCCGTCCGACCCCGTGCAGCACAACCGCAAGCTCACGACGTGGGGCCGCACTATCACCGTGCCGGAGAGCTCGAGCACGGTGGCGAAGTTTCGCTTCGACGAGCTGTGCGGGATGCCGTTGAGCGCGGCGGACTATCTGGAGATCGTGAAGAACTTCAAGACGATATTCATTCTGGACGTGCCAAAGATGGGTATGAGCCAGAAGGACAAGGCGAGGAGGTTCATCACCTTCATTGATGGTATGCGGTCCCCTGCCCCTGCCCGTCAAGTGACAGCGTTGATGAAGGGTACATTGTAGCTTGTTACGAGAGCAAGGCCAAGATTTTCGTTACTTCCGAGGTACCAATCGCTCAAATATTCACGGAAGACGCGAACGATGCTAGCGGAGCTGTGTCGGACCAGATGCGGCAGATGATGGATGATCTCGTGAGTGCATAGCTAGGAAACGTCCAGCGGAGCCTCGGGCTGAACACGCACTATCGCAGGGTTTGCCAGGCGACATGGTCATCTCAAGCTCGATCTTCAGCGGAGACGAGGAGCTGTTTGCCTTCGCGCGGTGTTGCTCTCGGCTTGTGCAGATGGGCAGCAAGGAGTGGGCGGAGACGGCGGGTGCATCATAGCGAGACGCGGCTCGCATGCCTATATACTGAGTCGCAGGCCATCTTGTTTTGTGTTTATACTTGCTGTATCTTAGAACTCTAGCTATGTATAGCTACATCGCATCTCATATAATCGACACTGACAGAGGAGCATCTGTGCACACTGCTCCGTACTTGACTGCGCATATTTTCAATATCTCAGTCCTTATCTCCCGTCTGCCATGTCCGCGACTGCCTTTCGTCCTGCGCTCCTCATCGTGGACGTCCAAGAGGACTTTTGCCCACGCGTACAAACATTTTCTGTGACTCCAGCAGCCTGACGTACTGACGCCGAGTCTGCGCTCAGAACGGTGCTCTCGCTGTTCCCGACGGGCGGGCGGTCGTCCCCGTTATCAACGACCTCCTCGCCCTCCCTTCGTCCTCAAAATCGCTACGAAGGACCACCACCCGCCGAACCACGTCAGCTTCGCGTCGAACCACGGGCCCGACGCGGAGCCGTACACGTCCGTCACCACGATCACGAACCCCGCGAACGCGCGCGAGACGTACGAGACGCAGCTGTGGCCGGACCACTGTGTCGCGGGCACGCCGGGGAACGCGCTCGTGCGCGAGCTCGCCGCGGACAGGCTCGACCGCGTCGTGCTGAAGGGCACGGATCCGCGCGTGGAGATGTACTCTGCGTTCCGGAGCCCGCTGCGCGACCCGCCGCTCGCGTCGGCGGTGAGCGAGCTGGCGGATCTGCTGAGGGGGCATGAGGTGACGGAGGTGTTTGTCACGGGGCTGGCGGGGGACTACTGCGTGTTCCATAGTGCGATGGACTGTGCGGAGGAGGGGTGGAAGACGTATGTGGTTGAGGAGGCGACGAGGAGCGTTGGCGGGCAGGAGGGCTGGGAGAAGGCTGCTGCGCAGTTGAAGGAGAAGGGGGTGGGCATCGTGCGGGCGGATGGAGAGGAGGTTGGTCGCGTGCGTGAGCTGTCGGGCAACGCGTGAGGCTTGCTGTGAAGGTACGTCGTCATATTTGTGAAAGTACCAAGAGACTCAGGTACTTGAAGCTCTCAGGTTAGCTCGCGCGTGAAGGTCGCTGTGGGAGCACCGAGGCATGTACTGTATGTGTACTATAGGGCATGAGGCCCATATAAGAGACAAACTCTGGCTCTATTGTGCGTCGTGTGGGGGACATGGTGTGGAGAACAATACTCTCCTCGCTCGGTGGCTGCCGCGATCGAACTAGGCGATGGGTGCATACCGTGATAAGCGTCTTCTTCTGCGCGTGCAGGCATGCATATATAGGCAGCCGCGGCGTGCAGGGCTTGACCGCCATCGACCTCGCCCATCGACTTGACACCGCACTCTCGCAATGGCGCTGGCTATGCACCTGATGCACCTGGTGCAAATGGGCCTCGTTCCCGAGGACTATGGTATCGACTCGCAGTCGGTAAACTTCGAAGACATGATCAACCTCGCCGCCGACCTAGGCGCCACCCCGGAGACCATCGGCGACGTTCTGGCTGAAATGAGCACCAAATTCAACCCGCCCACTGATGGCACGACCGACGAAGAGGACAGCAAGTACGTGGAAGGCAACGGCGGGCTGCTCCGGCTGAAGATGTCGATGTCGCCGGAGGAACAAGCGGTGGCGGCCGTCGAATACAAGGCGTGGTTTGAAGGCGGTGGCGGCGGTCCACAGTACATAATACCTAAGGCGTCGCCGCGAACCTATCTTATAGCGACTCAGGTTGCTGCGCGCAGGGACCAAGTGAAACAGTTCGCTACGCAGCTGGAGAAGGGCCAATCTCGTTCCATTGTGAAGGTGACTGGCTTTTCGAAGCACTCGAGTAAAGCACCATGGGATCAGCTGGAACCAAGTGCGCACGCTACCGATGTTGCTCCTAGAATGCTCTGACCTCGCTCCAGTACTGCTGTCGGATATGTTTCTGCGTCGGCCCGCCACTGTACGCAAACATCGATCGGTCCACGTAATCCTCGTTTGACATATTCTGTATAGGGCCGTTCTCTGCGATGCCGTATCATCGCGCCCTGCAGTGTGTAATCCTTCTGTTTAGATCCTGCACTCCGCTGACTCTGGTGTAGCATCGTTCTACGCTATGCAGACAGTCGTGGAAGACGAGGAAGGACAGACCTTCGATTTTTCCTTCTACAACTACCCGACCACCTTCGATGCCTCCCCGCAAGACATCGACATTCTATTCCCCAAAGGTACCGTGCTCCTCGTCCGAGAACCGGTCATAATGCCATCACAACAGAGCGACAAGCCGCTCGTCCGCGTAGAATCGCCCACTGATATCGTGCCACTCGCACCGTACAGGCAGATGCTTCCCGGTACGCGTTTCGAGACAACAACGTATACGAGTCTCCCGGAACCTCTAGAGACACTGCAAACCGACGACTACTGGCGACTGCAGGGGAACGAGCACTTCAAGGCCTCTCGCTGGTTCCCTGCTGCTCTGGCTTACTCTCGGGGCTCAAGATCAACCCGGGCTCTCTGGTACTCCGGCTGAACCGCGCAGAAGCGTATATGCGCCTCGACTTCTTCTCTGGTGCCCTATATGATGCTCGCTCTGTCCTGGTCGCGTCTGAACTGCCCCCTGCGCTCCGGAACAAAGCTCTCCTCCGCGCGGCGCGTGCGGAGTACGGTAGGCGCAACTATGCAATCGCTAGGCAGCTCTTCCAGCAACATCGGGGGTCTAGTACCAACAACGCTGAAGACGCGAGTTGGATCCGCCGGTGCGAAGATCGGTTACGTGAGAGCTCGACGGGGAAGTACGACTGGGCGAAACTGTTTGAGGAGTCCCAGCGAAATAGCAGATTGGATGCTGCAGACTATACTGGACCCGTGGAAGTCAAGGACGTGCCCGGCCACGGGCGAGGTATTGTGGCAACGAAGGATATCGCTGCTGGGGAGCTCTTGGTACGTGTCACCCTAACTCAGGGAGTCTTCTACGGAAGCAGCTCAATCAATGCTACAAGATGGTCTCCAAGGCAATCTCAATGGTGGCAGAGCGGGACCTCCGCGCTGACATGTGGCGGTCCGCCCTAAACTGCAAGACCTCCAGCTTCATGACGCGCTCCCAATGTGCCAACATCGCCAAGGCGGCGCAGACGATCTACGGGAACCCGGACGTCTACGCGCAGGTCTTGCACCTCTACGCAGGCCCGGACTATCCGCTGCCTCCAGTGACCTCTCCCCCTTCGCGTCTCGATCTGCGACCCGTGGAACCCCTCGAGCCAACCATCAACCTCGACGTCGGCCGTCTCGAGGCGATCTGCTTGTACAATTCCTTTGATCAGTGCTCCCTCCATCTGGCCGGCTACGAGTATGCCGAGGACGGCGACATGTGGCACTCGCCCAACGCGCTGCACCTGCTGCCGTCGCTCCTGAACCACTCCTGCGCGGGGAACGCGCGGGTGGTGGTGTTCGGGGACATCCTCGCCGTGCGCGCCGTCGCGCCGATCCGGGCGGGCGAGGAGGTGACGGTGCCGTACGTCTCCCCAGACAAGGGGTACCACGAGCGCGCGAAGGCGCTGCAGCGGTACTTCCCGGCGGGCTGGGAATGTGAGTGCACGCTCTGTGTGCTGGACAGGGCGGACGGCGCGGACGCGCTGAAGCGGCGGGAGGCGGTGGTCCGTGGGTTGACGGCGGGCCCGCTGTTCCAGGAGCCGATGGACCGCCTGCGCGGGTTCGAGGCGGCGCTACGGGCGACGTACGCGGAGGCGAGGGGGACGCACCGCCCGGCGCTCGCGCGGGTGGTCCACTCGATCGGGGAGAAGCTCCGCGCGGACGTCGCGACGCAGACGGAGGCCTTGGAGACGACCGTCCGGGCGCTCGTGTCCCAGGGGTTCGTCATGACGGACGCGACGCGGCGCGACACCACGGCGGCGGCCCTGAAGCGGAGGCAGAAGGACACGCTGCCGGTGGACGTGACTGACCTCTCGAGGTGTATGGATGTGGAGAGGGGCGTGCTCGCGATGCTAAGGATAGCGGTGTGGTATAGGGCGGAGGTGAAAAACGTGGTGCAGGCGAAGAGGTGGCTGAAGGCGGCGCAGAGCGGTGAGTGGACTGGTTGTGTCTTGACTCACGACGGGATGTGGTGCTGATGCGCGCGGTAGTGGTCAACGTCGAGTATGGCGGAGGCAGGGAGCTGTTCCTGTCGCACGGAGCAAAGGTGCTGGAAAGTTTTGGCCTGACGCAATATGCTGAGACCGTCCTTTGAGATGATCGCTTGTCGGGCTGGAGGGTGTCGCACAGCTGTGTTACACCGCTGTTTCTGGTTTGTTTTTCTTGTAATTGTACAATAGATCCGCACATGTAGAGTGTACAGTAAATTACACGCGTCACGTCCGCACGTGACCGTGTTCTGCCTGGCCGCTGGCAGATGAACACGTTACTGGTAAGCGGAACGCCCACAGACCGCCTGTGGTCGATTTGTTGCACCTGCTGATGCATAATTCACATGGGAAGACGTGCATGAGTGAATTGACAGCAGCCCTAGAGCTACAATGGCGTCTTAATGACTCGGACGCTCCCCTCTTACGTTTCGGCGCGTCCGTGCTCCATGTCCCAGCCATGTTATATATCGCGCTTGGCTAATATGGAACACGCCACAAAGCGGAAGGCACGCTGCCACGTAGATTACATTGTCGAGCCTGGATCTTTCGCGTTCTGACATGGCCAGAGCGTTGGGTCCGAGTCTGCAGTGGTCTCGAGCCTGCGGGATCTCGCCTGATCTCGCTGTGGCTCATCGCGCCGCTGTCGGCCCGTGCACGCGACCGCTGACATCACCGCCCCCCAAAACGGGAGCAAGGATTGCGGGCGGTGAAACACATGAGTGACGTCACCGCGTCACTCGACCTTCATATACGGGCGCGCGACCGCCATCGATCCAACTCTCTACGCGCATTCTTCTCTTCACGACCACTTCCACTTTCTTACGACCACCTGCATCATCTACAACATGGTTCGCCCCTGACGAAGGTTGTCTACCAGCCCGAGCGCGAGGCTACCAACGAATATGTCATCCTGGTCAACCCCGACGAGGTACGTTGCTCTGCAGTCGACTTCGAGGCGCATATAGTGATGAGCGGCGCGTACTTTCACAGTACCGCAAGTGGAAAGAAGGAGGTACGCATTTTTCGGTTCGCCTCTTTGAATGGTGCGCTGACATTAGCGTTCCAGACACGTAAATGCATCCTTCCCTCAGATCCTTTTGGCCCCGCTGACACGGGCTCATTTCCGCAGCACGATTCCTCTGGTCGATGTGGTAGACTGTACGTCGCATTAGCTCAGAGTCTGGCCCGTCCATGGCCGCTGACGCGGCTCGTCGACAGCCTTCCAGGTGCTGTGGTCCAACCAAGGAAACCAGGGCAAGCTCTCCACGCCGTCACGACAGCAGCTCGAGAACGACTTTGGCACGCACGTAGACACGGACGTCGTGCAGCAGATTCTGGAGAAGGGCAGGGAGCAGACTGGGAAGGCCGTCTCGTCCGGCACGGCGACGACGAACCAGTCGAAGGGCTCGTTCGCGATCGACACGCGGGGCAAGAGTGGCATCCAGGCGGGTAGCGGTAGCGGGCGGTGATGGGTGAAGGAAGGACATGGCTGGGCATCGTGTAAAGTTACGCAGGCATTCAATTGTACGTTATCGCGGTCTGTGTTGGGAGCGGTCTATAGTCGCAGCGATCGAACGGCGTCGAGACTCGCCGCACAGGGCGAGAGACGTGTGACCGACCGCCCAGATGGCGTTACGTCAGACCTTTCTCTTTTCGGAGGATAAATAGTTTATCTCGTCCCTCATCATGTCGCCGATTCGCGCACCACCCCTGTCTGCCAGCCCGTCCTCCTCCATCTCCGCACACCGCTCGCACAGGACACCTCAACACTGCGCAACGTCCGGGCAGCCCGACCGCCGACGCCAGCTACCATGCCCGACACCGTCGTCCTCGGCGGCGGCATCATCGGCCTTTCCACAGCCTACTATCTTGCTCAGCTCTCGCGTGAGAGCGGTACGGAACACACTATCCACATTGTAGAAACTGTCCACAGCTTTTCTCTTCTGCGTCGGGCAAGGCAGGCGGCTTCATCGCGAAGGACTGGTTCAACCCGCCATGGCGCCGCTCGGCGATCTCTCGTTCCGGCTGCACGCAGAACTCGCGGAGAAGAACAACGGCCGCGCGAGATGGGGCTACTCACCAAGTATCTCGTACTCCCTTGACCGCGACTCGAGCGTGAGAGGAGACTCTGACACGGAGTCTGACCAGGACCCGACTTCGAGTCACCCGTGTCCCCCAGGTCTGAACAGCGCTCTCTTGAAGGCGACCAGGAGGTGCGTGACGGCGCCGCAGGTAACGGCTACACCGCAGGGCAGGCGAGTGCGGCCGAGGTTCCCCCGCGACATAGTAGGAACAAGAGCGCTGGAGGCGACGACTGGATGGAGACCGGCGAGAGTCGCTTGGTCGCCGTCGAGCAGCGAATCGCCGAGGCTACTGCCGCATCGACGGCTCTGGAGGCAGCAGAAGAACAGCGGCCCGTCGGTGCTGGTGCAGAGGAGCAGGCAGCCGCCGACCTCGCACAGGCAAACGCGGACGCGGAAGTGACGGCGCTCGCGAAGGACAACCCCGCTGCTGTCGACCTAGCCAAGCTCGACGAACCGTTCTGGCTGAGAACGCAGCCACATGCTGTGCAGGCCATCTCCGACAAGACTACGACCGCCCAATGGTGAGTGTGCTGGTCTCGTGTGATCGCGGCCGCAATCGTCGCGGGCCGAACTGGGACATGCTGGCGCGCCGTCTTCGTCTCTTCTGCATCGCCCGCGCTCACCGGGACTGACTCTGGGCGTTTCGGAATAGCAACCCGCACCAGCTCTGCGAATTCCTGCTCGACTCCTGCCTCGCCATGGGCGTCCGCCTCCACCACCCCGCCCAAGCGACCCGCCTCTTCCACGCCGACGCCAAAGACCCGTCCTCGCAGACCATGCTCGAGATCACCTGCATCTCCAAGACGAGCGTCGGGCGCACGATCCGCACGGGCTGCTACGACGTCCCGTGCGACAGCCTCGTCGTCGCCGCGGGCTGCTGGACGCCCGCCGCGTTCTCCACGCTCTTCCCCGACGCGCCGCGCCCGCCGCCGATCGACCGCCACGCGGGGTTCAGCCTGCGCGTGCGCTCGCGCCACTGGCAGCCCGCGCCGCCGTACGCGGGGCCGTGCCACGCGATCTTCACGTCGGACCCGAGCGGGTTCAGCCCGGAGCTCTTCACGCGCGTCGGGCGCGAGCTCTGGATCGGCGGGCTGAACGACGCGGAGCTCGCGCTGCCCGCGGACCCGATGGACGCGCAGCCGGAGCCGGACGCGATCGAGCGCATGCTCGCGGTCGGGCGCGAGCTCTGCGGGGAGGACATCGAGGTGATCGACTCGGGCGTGTGTTTCCGGCCGGTGACGCCGAGCAGGAAGCCGATCATTGCGAGGGTGGACGGGGAGAAGCTGGGGAGCGGCGTCGTGCCGCGCGCGAAGGCGGGCGCGGGCGTGCCCGGCGGGGTGTACGTCGCGGCGGGGCATGGGCCGTGGGGGATCAGCATGTCGCTGGGGACGGGGATGGTGGTGGCGGAGCTGGTTCTGGGGCGGGAGACGAGCGCGGATGTGAAGCTTCTTGGGAAGTGGTAAGGCGGGGCGTGCCGACATCATTACTCTGGGAAGGGAGACGATCGACGACACAGGCTACTCATGCGCGCACTGTTACGACGGAGGATCCTGTCTCTAGAGCACACTGCTCGGATGTGCCGGACTATGTACACGACACTTTCTTAGCCAATGTAGAACTTCGCGATCTGTGTGTATGATTACTTATGGTGTCCATTATACATCGCTTTATTTGTAGCGCTTACTTCCAGCGCGGTCTTTCATTGGTCTCTTCGTGTGCTCCCCAGCAGTCCCTAATCAACCCTGAGGGTGTGTCGGGGGACTCAGTCTGACCCGCGGTCATGTACAAGCATGTCCTGCTATACGCTCTGACCACGCACATTTGTGCCCTAGCATCTGGCCATGGTCGCAGCCGCCATTGATCATGCAGAGTCTGAAGACTTGTTCCACTGACGATGAAAAAGGATCGGCGTCGAGACCTTCGTATGTCTTATACACCGCTCCGTTCGGAGCTATTGCACATACGCCGCCCAGTCTATGACCCTTGCACGTACGCTCCCTTGTACATTTCGGCCAGCTCCATCCTGGCTAGAACCGATCTCAGTCAGAGGCACAAGAGACGGCCTGAACGACGAAATGAGTGAGCGCATGCAAAGTTATGAGAAAAGGAACCCTCGCCTTCCATGCGCACACTGGAACGGAAGTGCGGTCTGTGCCAGTTGATGGACAAGGCGAGTGCACTGTGCGTGGGTCAAGGTGTCGTTGAACATGCTAGCTCCTGAGTGAGATATACAGTCAATTCTGGGTGCCACGAGGGTCGATCAGCTTTGGTTCATACCTCGACAAGCTTTGGAGTTGACCAGCTCGTGCAGCTCGTGGGGACACCACCGCATCGCCTTCTGCCACCACATGTTGTCGTTGGCTCCTCGTCCTCACGGTCCATCGCGCGGAACGCAGGTGTCGACGTCGGCGCCCCTTCCGTGTCTAGCTTGGCTATGTAGCCCTTGACGAGATCCCGAAGTTCATCACCAGCGAGAAGCTATATTGAGGCCGTCAAAAGACCGTGTGCGAAAATCAAGGGTTGCAAACTTTACCTTGTCCCCGAGCAGTTCCGGTACAGTGTCCACGTTAATTTGCGAGTACCCACTCCCGCTACCATCTCATCCTCAAGATAGGAATTGCGGCGTCTTGTCCCGCACCTCCGGCACCAGGATCGTCGTTGGCCGAGAAGGTGATACCCCAACGTCGGAACGCTTCTCGGACCTCTTCGTTACGTATCCGTCCACCTCACGTCGAGTGAGGAGGACCGGGGTAGGAGGCTGAAGTACCCGAGTGCGCACGCCTACTGCCTGTGGCGTCGACTTATCAGGATAGTCAGCGTCTGGGGAGGCGCATGCTGCAGGTACCCGAGACACAGCTCCTGTAGAAAATGTTCTACACGGACTCGCTCATCCGCCGCATGTTGGTCAATGAGAACAAGCACTTTTCCTCTGGATGGCCCCGACGTTGGGCTCACTTCTTCGTCAACGGCGGTATCAACATCTGTATGAAGAACGCAGGCGATGAACTTCTTGTCGACCTGACCAAGTACCTCGGCATTTGACAGATCGTCTCTGCTGAATCTACCGGGCGACTCTGCGATGCATGCGGATGACCCGCGTGGGACAGACCGTCATAGATACGCCGCTTGCCTCCGCGCCACAGAGGGTGTCTGGGCTGCGATAATGACTGCCAGTTCTGCACATCTTCGACGAAGGCAGTCGACAGTGAGACAGCGGGTATCTGCGGTTCCAATCGAGCGTAGGAATCATTCGTCTACGAGCGCATCAGATAGAATATACATCGTATATGTAGAGGAATACCTACCTCGAGAGCGCTTCTGATCCATTCCGGCATTTCTTTGCGTCAACCCCCGGCGGCCAGTCGTCCGGACTATTCTTCTTCCCTGTGATCCTTCGCCGCTCTCTTCCGCCGTGCGTGAATGCAAGGGATACGAGTTGCCAGTGCGCGTGTCAACGATGAACGTTTCGCCATTTGCGGGGTCTGTCCACATGGTCTCCGGAACATCGACAGCATCACCGGTGTCAGCAGTGGGCACCAAGACAAGCGGTGAGGCTCTTCGAGGGTGATTGTTACTGCGGACTTTAACGTCCTTCGAAGACCCGGCTACCTCTGGCATATCGATATGCTTGTCGTAGGACCGCAACACTCTTCTCTTCTTAGGCGTAGGACTGTTGGTGTACTCTCGGGCCTGACGTGGCTTAGGTATCGTCGGGTGGAGGAAACCATGTCGGACTAGAAAGACTTCGACAACAGAGGACAAAAAGGCAGAGACCGCTTCGCTGCTCTGCTGGGGTCAAGTCAAGTATTTAGGAATGGGGAGAGATACACATACCTGTAGATGCACTGCCGCCTTGGCTGGCTCGAGGCAGTTGTCTACTTGTCGTGGCGGAATCGTCAAGTTCAACACATAGACGGGTTTCTTCTCAGACTTGCGTGGCGAACGTCGTGTACCTAATCATCTCTTCATGTTCCGACTCGCTATGACTGCAACAACAGATACACTTACCAGATCGGGGCTGGCTCATTTCTCCTTCCTCGTCAAATGCCTGGAAGATTGCTGTGAAATAGAGTTACTATATACACCACAGTCATGCTTACATGCTTCGAGAAAGTGCTTCTGGAGAACTTGCTCTCAATGACGCGATGCAAGTCACAAGGCGACATGAGGTGTCTGTTTATGTCTAAGCGAGTTGACGAAGATTTGCGTCATTTGCGATGAGGGTGCATGCGTATGGACACCTACATAAGTACTGATATGTCTGATGATCCGACTTGTCAGCGCTGTATCTTGCGTTGCAGTGTGCTGCGCCCACCTTTGAGGGTGACCCGTCCAGGCTGAGGAAACCTTCCAACCTCATGTCTTCCATTTGTTCATGAAGCTCTTCTACATGCTACACGACACAGCTCAACGGGAGCTCGAATGGGGGATGGGCGTAAGCACTTGCCTCTGCCAAGGCGCGGCCGTACAGATGACGAAAAGTCGCTACTGTCGAACCTGTCTGATGACTTTCAATTTAACCTCCTCGATGTCAACAAGACACAGGGTACCTTAGGCACGATCATTACTTTACCCGATCCACTCGTGCCATGCCTGGTTTTATGGACGTTCTCCACGGAGAAGTGTACGTCCGGGAACATTAAAGCGAATGTCTCGATATCTCGCCGTATGAATCCAGTGTCCTGGCAGTTGACGGGTGGGAACGTCTACGGACTGGAAGCTGAAATGAACGCATACAATCCAAGGCTGAGCACCGACTCGAGGTAAGTCAGTGTCGGGACCAACGACGTACATTATAAAATGCGTCGCGCACGGAGACAACCGTGCCCGGAGACTCTCTTCGCCATCTCAGCGATGGGCCGTGATATAGTGTCGCACCTTCCTTTACGCAAGAATTCAGTGTTGCGTCGATGAGAGACCCTAAAAGTCTCCGATATATACCTTCAGAATAACGGACCAACTTTCCCTAGACCGTGCTGTTCTAGATGATATCTCCAAGCACGATACGTCGGCAGCAGACGCGAGCGCTGTTTGCATCAGCTATGAAATCACGCTCTTGTAGGATAGCGTAAAGAAACTCGTACCTTCGCCTCTGAAGCCGAATGTGGAAACCTCATCTAACGACGCGGGTGAGTACGCTTTCGACGTACCTACGTTCTCTCAGTAGTCTATCAATGCAATGGGGCTGGCTTCACATACTATACCGGACGGCTTGACCACCACTTGCTAGCGCATCGAAGTCGTCTCTCCCAATGCCGCTTCCGTCATCACGGACCCAACATGCCCAGTCTTCGCAGTCTACGCCAACGTCAATATGCGACGAACCAGCATCAAGTGAGTTTTGGACAAGCTCAGATATGATTTGAGGCAGGGATGTGAGGATCTGAGTTGACCGGATCTTTGACTGAGTAGACAAGGGTAATTGCTGCAACTGGCTCGGAGAGCCCTGGAATGTCGACGCCATTGCGTTTAGGGTGACCTTATAGTGAGCTGCTTCTTCCACAGTACAGTAAAAATATCAAGGCATCCCCAAGCGAGAATATAAAGACGAATTGTTGGCTGCAGCAAGGACCGATGGTGAAAGTTGTCTATACGAGCCGCCATTACGTCTTACATACTCCAGATTCGCGCTCCGATCCAGATTGGATCGCGCCCCGCCACAGACGCGTCCGTGAATGCACGTGCCCGCGTGTTGCCTACATACCATGGCTCGCAAGACGGTCATTCGGGACGCGATGGGTACCAATAATGGATACATGAGATAGTATACAATACATCCCAATAGCGACAAATTCAGATGACATCCAACAGCCCAAAAAGCAACTGAAACACCCGTGCTGCCTAGCCTCTTGCGAGGTGACGGATCTGAGTAGACTAAGAGAGCAGACTCGGAGGAGGGAGGATCACAAGCAAATGGAACCAAACCAGAGATTAGCCGACTTGCGGCACACAGAGAGGGTGAAAGACGTAAACCAGTATCCTGTCACTAAGCTTGCACGTTGAACCTAATGGGTGAAGGATTAGCATCTGAGGCAACAGCATTGGTACTGAGTACTTACTGCGCCTGCCCAATGACGTTACCAGTCGGCGCGTACACACAGACATGATACGTCGCCGGCTCGTCGAATATACTATCGCACACAGCCGCGGCGCACCCCAGCTCCGTCGTGTTCTTCCACACGACCTGCGTGAAGTGCGAGAACGTCGGATTCCCCGGATCGTACGTGGACGCATCGCTCATGAACAGCGTCACAGCCGCCGTCGGGTCAAACATTCCCGTGCCCGCCGCAAGGTTCGTGCCCACAGCACCCAGCGCGCCAGCGGGGTTCGCGAACTGGCAGCTGTCGGCATAGCCCTGCGCGGCCGCCTGCAGTTCGGTAGACCACGTGAGGGCGGCGGCGTCGTACTCGGCACGGTAGGAATTGTGCGCATCCAGGTAGGCTGCAATCTCCGACGGGCCGGTTGTTGCAGTCGGAGATGACGCGGACGAGGAGGTCGTGGGTGTTCCTGTCGTAGATAGAACGGTGCGAGAAGCAGTCGCGTTGCCCGTCGAAATGGATGAGGAAGTAGCAACGACAGAAGTCACAGATGATGTTGCAATAGAACTGGAAGCCGTGGCGTTGCCTCCCGACGAGGACGTGAATGACGAAGAAGCCGAGGATGCAGGAACCGAGGACGATGGTGCAGTCGAATTGCCTACCGAAGACGTCTGCGTAATTGACGAAGATACAGCTGTTACTGTGTCCGACGTCGACGCCGACGCAGAAGCCGACAACGAGGCGATGGTTCCAGAGGAAGTCAGCACGGCTGATGAAGAAGCAAGTGACGTAGAGGCTGAACTGGACGCGGAGACGGAGGATGTTGCTGACACAGACGAGGATACAGCCGAGACAGATTGAGAGAGTGAGGTAGAGACAACGGTAGATGATACAGACAGCGATGGTGCGGATGAGGATGCAGTGCTCGACACTGAAGACGACGTCGCGGACGACGCAGATGATGATACCAGAGAGGATGCACCGGAAGCAGTAACAGAAGGAGAAGACGAGGACGAGCCGGAGGGAATGGAGGTGTCGGACGATGACGGCGACGGAACGGAACTCGCGGCTTGCGACGACGAACTCGACGGCGCGGGAGCAAATGTAGATAGCACCGACGAAGTAGCTGTGACGGACGAAATTGACGGATCAGCTGAGCTTGACGCTACTGCACTAGTCCCGACCGATTGGTTCGAGACCGCAGAGGCCGACGATTCTGCCGCGCTGCTACCGGACGACACTGAGGCCAAAGAGGACGACTGTGTAGGCGCGAAAGACGTCACCGATGACGGAGGGACTGTGATAATTGATAGTTTCAGTGAATGCGAGAACGCACAACTTTTCGACAAACTCACCCGAGCTGGAGGGTGCCTTGGAGGCAGCGGACGCGGGAGGCGTCGTAGAGTCGCTCACAAAAGTGTCCGACCGAACCGCGCTTGTCGCGCCGGCGCTCTGAGTCTGCGATGATATTGCGGCAGTGCTGAAATGGGCGGACGTCGCATTCTCTTCGGACTTCGGTGAGCTTCCTGTCGGAAACACTGGTGTAGTCTCTGAAACGGCCGCGAAGGGGTCGTCTCCGGAGGAAAATTGGCCATCCTTCGAGGGATTCGCCAGGTTGCCGAAAGGTTTTACACCCGCACCGTAAACCGCGAAGGGAGAGGTCGATTCAGCCTCGGGCTGAAGCAGATTGGTAATGCCAACTGCGCGTAAGTCAGCTTTGCCATCCACATCCACATACGCTGCTTTTCACGTACATTCCGCCGGAGTCGGAGCCGCCGCCACAAAGACTGCGAGCAGCAGGACGAGCCACAAGCACTTCTCAATTGCGAAGATCATTGTTGAGAGCGAGTGTCATGAAAAACGAGTGACTGCAAGCCTGTCGGAACCGAAAGACAGGAAGTGCAAGTAGAATTAGCCCTTGGGGCAGAAGTGAAGAACGGGAACCGGTGCAAGTGGTGAGAAAGATGGCGGGCTGGGGTGCGCGCGTTGCTACAGACGCGATCGAGTGCCCACGTGGGTCCGGTTCCGTCCCTTGCGGATTTGATGCGCCTGCGCTGCCATATCGAAGACCGTAGCGGTTTCGGAAGCACATTCGTGTTGAATCACTTCGACGACCGCTTTGACATCGTCTCATGAGGAGCTACTTAGCATACTGTACAGGGCTTCCTTCAGTCCTATGTAAGACGGGCACACTCATGAGGTGGTTTGATCAACTTGAACTTAGTGTGCACAATGCACATGAATCGTAGCCGTATGAGACATTGACATGGGTAGTCCGAATCATCGTCTCGACGAAGCTATAATTCACAACGACGGATCGCATGAGTGATACAGAAGCAACATGGTCATACACGCTATTAAGACTTCCCGCGTATTCGCAGCTACATAAAGTAAATGAGGGCCATCCGAAGTTCATCGGCCTACGAGGGCACCTACCTGCGCTGAAAGAAATGGAGAGCACATCGGGTCTCCTTTCATCAGAGCGATCATGCCGCAGATGCAGGCCGGATGTTGTACTCGCGCTTGAAGGATTCAAATTCATCCTCTCTGGTTTTGTACTGTTCAGCAAGAGTGGAGACCACTTTCAGAATCTAGTGCACATTAGTTTCGTATCATACCGAGAGCATTTGTTCACATACCCCTTCCTTGTTTGTTTGTAGCGCAGGCACGACATCCTTGACGGTCCTTTCCACCAGTACGCCGCCTACAAGCCGGAAGCATTTGCGATCCGGCTCCTCCGCGAGTGCTTCATCTAAGGTCGACAGCACGAGTCTATGACAGGAAAAATTAGTGTGCGTTGACACTGAACTGGAGCAACGCACCCATGCTCCTCTGCTTCCTGCTCTAACTCGCCGATCTTGCTAGCCAGTGTTTGGAGATCATTCTGCAATCGGTTGTAATTTTGTTGGATCTCTAGCCAGCATCAGCACGAGGTAAGTGGACAGAGCTCGAGCTACGCGTACCCTGAGTAGTGGGGGGAGCAGACTTGGACTTGGACTTGACTTTGTTGCAGACATGGTGGACGGAGAGTCGGCCGTAAAATGAGAGATCCTGGCGCGGTGATTGGACGGCGTCATATCCCGGCAGAACCCGGCTGCCGAGCGAGGGCGTCTAACTCCAGCCTGGCGTCGACTTGCCCCGTCGCCGCCGAACACATCGCTGACCGACCCTCGTCGCTGCCCTCGCAGTCGACCACCACCATCTTTGCCCATGCCCATGCCTGTTCTTCGCGCTCTCGCGGCCGCCGGTCCCTCCGCGCGCATAGTCGCGACCCGCGTTGCTACCCCGCGCACCTCTGCGCTGCTGGCCCGTCGTCTTATTTCTACTTCACCCTGCCGCCATGCTGTGGACCCGAACCTGAAGCGAACGGAGCCTGGCGACTACCTGCCCGACCCAGTTGCGCCTCGCTCACCGGGCACCAAGACCGCAATGCTGTCTGCTGCTGACGAGCCGGGGAAGGACTTCGACCCATACAAGGACGGCCCGAGTGCAATTGACAAAGCCGTCCACCTCTTCTTCTTCACCGAGATTATTAGAGGTGCGTCATATATGAGCTCATGGTCTCTTGGTCTGCGCTGAACCCTCTGCCCAGGCATGTGGATCGTTTTGGAGCAGTTCTTCAGGCCACCATACACGATTATGTACCCATTCGAGAAGGGGCCCCTGTCTCCTCGCTTCCGTGGAGAGCATGCTCTGAGAAGGTACCCGAGCGGTGAAGAGCGGTGTATTGGTCAGTTTGGCTCCGCTGCCCGCTTCGTATCCCGACTCACATCCACGTCTGGGGACCAGCCTGCAAGCTCTGCGAGGCCATCTGCCCGGCGCAGGCTATCACCATCGAGAGTGAGGCACGATTGGACGGCTCGAGGAGGACTACTCGATATGGTGCGTAATGAGCATTTATAACCGCAAAGTTACTCGCGGCAGTTGAAATTAATCGCGTTCGCAGATATTGATATGACGAAGTGCATCTACTGCGGCTTCTGTCAGGAGGCTTGTCCCGTGGACGCGATCGTTGAGAGTGCGCCTAGCTTCCTGTCACCTATCGTACCCTGTCGCTAATGCACTGTCCCCCCCTTCATCATTCCCCTCCATCGTCTCGCCGGACACCTGCCCGATGCGCTCTGGACTTTTAAGCTCAAAACCAGGAGTACTCGACCGAGACTCGCGAAGAGCTGATGTACAACAAAGAAAAGCTCCTTGCGAACGGCGATGCGGCGGAAGCAGAGATTGCGGCTAACCTGCAAGGTGCGCTCATTCCCATCGTGTCCATCATGTGAGAAAGCGCGGGCTGATGACCCGCCTGTCGCAGCGGACCACGTTTATCGGTGAGGAGGCACCTGAAGCCGGTGTGGGTAAGCGCAGGAAGCGTGGGACGGAGGCCGCCACAAGGAGGGTCTCGAACTCGAAGTCCGCTTCGCCTCTTGGTGTACATATCCTGTCAACGGAAAGTTCGCGTGTCCTCACATGTTCGGGAATAGATTGACCTTGTGACTGGGCTCAACCGCCGGCAGGGGGGTCGGTGTGTGTCCAGCCTCTTGATTATCGTGTCCTCCCGATGGCTCGACTAGGAACGGGACGGGGGCTGAGCTGCCTCTGGCGCCCTGCGGGAGGTTCTACATGGCAGAGGCGCCCGGCCGAGGACGGAATAGTGGGTGCACGGCCGGCACGGTATTTGTCTGCGGCGTGGCCTTCGCGGACATCGTTTTCAGTGGACGATGTCCATATCAAGCTAGCTCCCCTCTCCTGCTAGCCAGACCCAGCTTGGCGCCCGATTGCTCGCCTCAGCGATTCCAGCGAAGATTGATATCCCAGAACGCGAACTCTATTCGACCTGATCAAGAATGACGCAGCGGATCGGCGGAAAGTCTGCGAGGCGTGGCCACGGTGAGGCTACCAACCTCCCCACACCCGCGCCCTCTCGAGTGAGCGCTCCGAGGGCGTCTCCGTGGTTGGCAGAGACGACCGCCCTGCGGCCTGCTACTGTCGCGCGTCGAGCATACACGAGGCTACCATGGCTAGCGCACCTGATCGATCGTGCGGGCGGGGCGCGGGGGGTCTGGTGCGCAGCGGGTTTGCTTCCGGGCGCGATGCGGGACCCGACCGTGGCCGCGATTCGTGCCGATTGTTTTCACCCGCGCGTGCGTCCGTATTTGTTCAGCTGGTTTTCCTCTTTGATCCTGCTCTTATCGAGTTCCCCCGAGGGCTGTTTGGCAGTTGTTCGGAGTCGGACCGCAGACGGGGGCAGATTTGAGTTACGTCCTAGCCCCTATCCCCTTGCCGATTGCACTCCTGACTAACCCCAAGCCCACCGCTGTTCTCGCTTAGCTTCCTGGACACAGTTTCGAACGGCCAATTGAGTACCCGCGTGCTAAGTCCAGGGTCGAGGGACACAGTGTGGAACAGTTCATCGGATGGTGCGGGAGTCAGAACTTTGATTCCGAGGCGAGTAGTTGTCGTACTCATCGGACCGTCTAACTCCCCATGATCCGTCAACCGCAGGCGTCCGGAACGCTGCTACGGGTGCTTCAGTCCAAATCGAAACAGCTATTCAAAGCGATCGGTCAGCTTCACAGCATGGCGTCTTGCTTCTCGCATGAATCTCAAACCTGCCATGGATCCCGAACCTGGAAGCGCCTACGCTAGCAGCGCTGCGTCTAGCCCCAGGTAAGCATGCGTAGTTCGCGGTCTGCTGCACGCCGTTAGGCTGACGGGGCTAAGGGCACTTGGGCGAGCCTCCCCGAGCGGAGCGCTGGCAAACCGCGCCCCGAGCGGGCACTCCTGCAAGGAGTGCAGGCGTCCTGCACCGGGCAGAGGCGCAGGCAAGGGGAGATCGACAAACCCCGCCAACGATCTCGCCGGCCCGTCGATCCAATGCTCCGTCCGCCCAAACATGCTTCACCCCACCATCGACGTGTTGCGGGGAGTCGCACACAGGCGCAGTCGAGAGGCAACCGTGCTACGGCTACGCTAGTGCTATCTAGGCCTGCGCCACTTCCGTCACCGGCGAGGGTGCTGTTGCGGAAGGCACAGAAAGTCGTCGAGGCGGACGCGGCGCTGTCCGGGAAGCGCCCGACCATAATGGACGTGATACTCAACGCGAAAGCCCCGGTATCCGCATACAGCGAAGACATTGTCATGGAAGCCGTGGAGCGCAGCGAAGCAGCATTCCGAGCGAGGCATGACTATGCCTTCGGGGACAGTGATGGAGTGGAGCAGTATGGGCCGACCAGGCCATGCCGTGGCGAGGGCGGGACGAAGACAACCGGAAGCGCAACCTCCGGATTGGAACAGATATCAAGAGTCAGCAGAGCGGTCCACGGCATCGTGGCCGTCGGATGCGGAAGACGACGTTTCGTCGCAGTCCGATGCGCAGTCGTCGTACTATGCGTATGGACCACCCACATCGCCCGGTGGTCCTGTTACGCTCAGCACACCACGTCTGGGCGGCCATGCGGCTGACGTGTCTCCACTGGCTTTGCGGCCATCCGACCCATGCCCCACCCAGGTTTCGTCAGTATAGACTGCGGATCCTGATTATGGGTGACTCATTGATTGACGGTTCGGGAGCGTCGACCTGCTTCGTGGACTTGCTCATCACCTGCATCATCATGTAATGTAACATGCTCATTGGTAGACAGCGAATTGGGTCATTCATCTTAGTGGACAGCGTACAGCTCAGTAATCACCCCATGACACACTGTAAATAGATCTCAAGCCAGATCCCGGAGAATGGAGGGTGTTTAGACTCAAATTGCAAACTTAAGAGGTGTGGCACATACAACCTTCACGGCACTGTGTCAAGGCGCATGAAATTGCCACCGCCGCAGATATTTCAGGTTCCCGGTCAAATGCGTCCTGTATACGTGATCGCATCTGTATATACATAAACTGCGCGACAAGATCCAAGAAAGTAATACAATATACAGACGGGCCTATTATGCCCGAGAACAATGGAAAACGCACTACGGAAGAAGCAGACGTGACACAGCTTCATACAATAGGCGTAGAAGTCACCAACATCGGAGAATGGGCGAAGAGGCTGTGATCATACGTCCTCATCCATCCGGTCGTTCGCAGGTTCGCTGCCGTTAGCATTGCCCTCATCACCAGAGGATCTTCTCTTGCCTGCACCGCCGTCAGACCACGGATTATCGTGAGCCGAAGATGCCCGCCCACCTTCACCTGGAGAACGGATCTCGCCGCCATATTCCTCATTCGCCTCCATCTCGCCGCGTATCGCCTCCTGGCGTCCGCAGACTGAGCGGGCATCTCCCCTACGTTGCCCCGCGCTGCCGAGCCAGAAGCGCGCTCGTCATACGCAGGGTCGCGCTCCATCCCGAGTAAGTTCGACACGCGCGGCCGCGCTCTCTCCGCATCGTACTGCATCGACTGGCCAGAGTCCGGCCGCGAAGGGGCCCTGCTTCCTCCATTTCCGGGGCCAGAATTCGGGCTGCCAGAACGCGAGTCGCCATGCGGCACCGGCGGCGCCACTCGTCCGTTCTCGCGCATGTACGCGATGCTGGCTTCCTCTTGCTCCTCTAACTCGAGGCGCTGGCGGTACACGAGCTCCCTCTCGCGCTCGCGCTCGCGTTCGCGTTCGAGCTCCCTTTCGTACTCACGCTGCTCCCATTCGCGCTGTGATAGTTCGCGGTCACGGTGGATGTTGGCGCCCGGCCCGACGCGCTGGTGGTTGTGGATGCGTCCGGTGCTGCGGTCAGAATCACGCGTGCTTGCGGGCGAGTGCGAGTGCGGTGACGTGGGCATGTTTTGCATAGGTATCTGGACATGAGGGTGCGGCAGCTGGTGGGCATGCGCGTGAGTCAGTTCGTGGAGGTCGTGTCTCCTTGACCTGTCATTGTGGGTTTCTGCGCCTGCCATAGGAGGGCTGCGACCATGCAGGGAAGGTCCCGGAGGCACCACATCGATCCTGGTACCCATCGAATCTAGATCTGCGCGAGCCGAGTTGGAACGCGAGTGGTGGGAAGAGACGCCGTGTGAGAGGGATTGTGGGTGGACATGTCCATGGGTCTGGGCCGGTGGATATGCACCGCTGTGATGTTCGCTGATAGGGGGTGCGAGATCTCTAGCTCCCTCCGCCGAGGCTGGAACGACAGGGATCATAGGTGGTAGGGGCGGCAGCTGGCGCTCGGGGTCGTAGCCAGGTCCGGAGTCGTGTCTGAAGCCATAGACAAGAGGTATCCCATGCGGTGGCTGCACTGGTCTTGCTTCCTGTCCCGGCGGTGGGTGTGGAAGGATGTCTTCAATTGCGACGACTCTGCCATCCGGACCGAGGACCATCCGGGCATCCGGGCGAGTCCTCATGTATTCCGCGATGGCGGGGTCGTTGGGATCTATGAAGCGGGCATGCTCCGGAGGAAGCGGTGGCTGTTGATGGAAGACGGGATCCTGTTCTGGAGGTAGGTCTTGCGTGTGCCGCCCGGGAGTCGGCGGCACCGCAGCCAATCGCTCATAGAGAATGCTGAGGAATGCAAGAGACGCGATCACGATACAGTGGGCTGATACACGCGCCGCAGTGACTCACGCTCGTTCAAGGTTCATACGACGTATGTTTTTCTTCGCGAGAAGTAGTTTGAAGTACAGCCTGTCATTGTCCTGGAAAGGCAGCTGATGAATGCAGACAACGGACGGAGCGCATGCGACTCACCGCCTCAATCTCCTTCACCGTCTTCTTCAGATCCTTGTACTTCGCATGGTACTTCGCGTCCTCGACGCTGGCGGTGATGCCACCTGGGTAGTTCTTGGTCCGCATCTTCGCCTGGAAACCAGGATTCGCGAGGACGGCCGGTGGGTGGTAGAGCGAAGAGAGATCCATCTGCTGGGCATGCTGGGCGGGGAGGCCATGCGCGTAGGACGGGCCGGGGGATGGGTGGCGGGACATGGTGGTGGCGGGAACAGCCCCGTGCGCGGCGGGACGCCTCTCTTTCGAGCACAGCTGTCATGTTTGTCCGGCGTTGAATCCGGTTCCAGTAAACTTCCCTCGTTAGACGCTCGTCCGGCTGTCCCCGGGTGGCATGCCTCGCCGAGCTTCATCACTCGCGTCCACTGTCGCAGTCAGAACATGATGCTTTCGTGAAGACCATTCGATGCTGTGCATAGGTTCACACCGAGTCAAGTCGGGGAGATATGACTCGCCCAGGGAATACTTGGCTAATGACTGGAGTGCAATGTACGTCGGGCTGCCTACATGGGTCCGCAAAGATGTGGACAGTACGCAGTTTGATAGCAACATTCATCTAGACACCGGTGCATTCTCATGGATGCCACCATGCTCTGATAGATGACTCCGTTATTTGCACCCCGGTGGAAAGACGTGCAGATTTACGCCACGGGCGTACGGCCCTCACTGACTTCCCCTCCCAGAATGGAAGGTAGCAGCTTTGCCACGTGGGTGACATCAGGCTCGGACATGCTCAGGCTTGTTGACTTGCACCCGACCATCCTCATCCACCACACGCTCGTCACCGACATCACCGCCGCAGCCCGCTGAGCCACGCTCAGTGTCGGACGTCTGACTCGTTTCCGGACAGCTTCTGCAGCAGTGAGTACATTCTCTGCGTTCATGGCAAATGGAAGATCTCACATTCGCATGCAGTGTCGGCACCATACAGACAGTACGTCTATTGTCCGCTCGTTTTGCATGGTCGTTGACGCACGTATCTGTGTTCCACGTATGCAGGGACATGCCCCCGGCGGGGGGATTCGACGCAATCAAGTACAAACGCAATCTGCCGTTGCGCGGGCCCAGTGGTATCGTCATCCTCGGCGGTGTGACGGCGCTGTGCGCGTACGGTTTCTACCGTGTCGGAAAGGGCAACCTGGAGAAGAGGTGCGTGGAAAACAAACCGTATTCAGTCGGGGTATGAGGGGGTCAGGCGGACGAAAAACGTGTGCAATATGGGCTTGCTCATCGCGGAACGTGGCCCCGTTTGGATCCGACCGCACGATCCCCTTATCAATGCGCCCGCCGTATTTGGCTACATGAGTGCGCGGGATGGGCTCGGTGCTGATGTGTTGCACAGAGAGTTACAGAGGGAGAAGGTGTGGTCCCGCATCCACCTGGTGCCGCTGCTGCTGGCCGAGGGGGACCGTGATGCGTACCGCCGTCAGCAGGCCGCATTGGAGCGCGAGAAGGACATTATGAAGGACGTGGCGGGCTGGGAGGTGAGTGGATCACTTGATGCGGTGGCGACGAGGAAGGTATGGCTGATTGTTACGCCCTCGGTACGCTCGCAACCCTGTTCGCGTCGGGTGGACGACAGGCTGGCAAAAGTGTCTACAACAACCCAAAATACCGGTCTGGGGAGTGGGTTGTGGTTCTATGATGGTAGTTCTCTCGCTGTACTTGCTTCTGCAGCAATGGTATCAGGCGGTAATAAGCTTCCATTCAGCAGTACATGATCAGTTGTCTGGCCTGTGGCAGCGCGAGAATGCGCAAGGTGACCGGAGGACGAGCGGGCTGGGTCCGCCGGGCTGCGATTGGCTGGCGGCGCGGGGGACAATGGGAGCCTGGAGACCGTGCGCCGGGACGCAGCTGCCCAATCGGGCGGTTCGCACGGTGCCCGACGGCCCGATGAGGTGTCCCGTTTAGGGCAAGTCCCCGGAGCGCGGCACGGCGGGCGTCGTATCTGCGTGGCAGAGTGTCCGCGCGTAGCCGCCATCCTCTGGCACGCTCACGCCGCTGCGTAGGTTCCTGCCGTAGTCCGTTTCGCTGGCAGTCGCCCGCTACAGTCGCCCGTCGAGTCGTCACAGTCGCCCGTCTAGCCCCGCGCTCACCCGCGACACATCTGATAGCCCTGCCAGTGGCTGCCAGTGCGCCCCGCTTCCATCTCGCGCGCAGACATCCCTCCAGCCGTCACGGGGGCACCGTATCGCCCGGCGATCCACCCTTCTCTCGGCCCCCTCTCGTGCCTATTCCTGGACGCCACCGGCCGAAAGAGGCAGCCGCCACCGCACTGTGACTGTCCGAGGTTCCGCTCTGCTTCGACACTGGCCGCTGATTCCACCGAGTCAGTTGAGGTACCGCGATCGCATATGGCAGCACCCATTCGAAGGCCGCTCGCGCTTCTCTGCCGAGACCCTCTGATCCACCCATTTAAATTCGCCCCCCGCGCTGCCCTTCCCGCCTCGACGTCCGCTCGCCTCTGCCACACTCGCCCTTCCCCGGCCGCCCCGCCCTATATAAGGGCGCGTCACTTCTCCTCCCCGCACGCTTCCCCCCTCCCGTCCACCGAGTCCATGCCCGCCATCCGCGCGCGCGACCACGACAAGGACACCGTGTCCATTGCCATCGCTGCAGCGGACCTCTCCATCCGCGACCGCTCGCCCATGTTCTCCTTCGACGACCCCGCCCACTTCGACTCCGACAACATGATCTTTGACTTTGACGACATGCACGCCTACGAGCCAAAGTCGCCCTTTGTCTGGGACCCGTCCAACGACTTCACCATGTCGTCCTCCGCGCCGTTCCCTGGCTCTCCTGACTCCACGTCAAGTCAGCTCGATCCTCTAGCGCCTTATTTGCCTCCGAGCGATCGTCGATTTAGTCCCGAGGCGCTCGGTGGTCAGACGGACGCGACGGGCTCGACGCCTGACTTCAACGAGAGCGCGCTCTACGCCAACTGGCTCGCCGACCCCGACCCGCAACCGTTCCACTCGTCCGCGGTCCCCATCCCCATCCCGAGCCACCATGCGCTCCCGTCGTCGCCCATGCAGTCACCATACGCGTACAGCGACAGCTCCTCAGTCTTCCCAGACGTGTCCATGTTCTCACCCCAGACCGCGTATGCCGCTCTACAGCCACTCCCGCGGTCATACACGCCCGACGACGCCATCATGACAGATGCACTCCGGAGCGACGCGCAGGTCCCGATGACCCCGCCAGATGCGCTGAAGCCCGCGTGGGCGATGCAGCTGTGGGATTCGCCCGGCGCGCAGCCCGCTGCGCTCGTGCCGTTCCCTTCTCTGTCTGACGATGCTTACGCAACACAGCGACAACGCGTCAACTCCCGCCGTGGGATCACTCCCGTCACGCAGCTGTTCCAATCGTCGTCCGCCCCCTCCGTCTCCCACGCCCGCCCGCCGCCTCTTTCCCGCGGGTACAGCCGCCGCGCGGAATCCATCAGCGAACACGACGACGCCACCATCCGGAAGAAGAAGCGTGCTGGCTCTGAGGAAGAGATCCTCCCGGTGGAGAAACGAGCGGAGACACGTAAGCTTTCGCTGCTTCCACGCCGCAGATATTCAGTCACTGACTGCGGCGCGTTATTCTAGCACCGCTCAAGTCGACTCTTCGCCCCCCTAAGCTCGCGCCCTCCGCTTGGCAGCTGTATTTCACCGATTGGATTGCGCGACACCAGGCGTCCAGTTCGAAGAAGCTGAACGTCGCACAAGCTGCCAAGGAGGCTGGGCAGGAATACGCCAAGCTGAGCGACGCTGAGAAAGAGGTACGGTATAGTGCCTGTCGTGACCTATGACGCGTTTCACTGACAGATTACATTCGACACTGCAGCCGTACAAGCACCGCTCTCAGGAGGCGAAGGATACGCGCGAGCGCGAGCTTGCTGCGTACATGAAGACGCTCACGCCCGAGGACATCAAGCGCGAGAATGCGTTCCGAACCGCGCAACGTCGGGCGGGCAAGTCACGTAAGGGAAACATCAAGGACCCGAACGCACCGAAGAAGCCGCTGAGCGCGTATTTCATGTTCTTGCAGCGTATTCGGTCGGATCCCGAATTGGTTAAGGAGGTCTTTGGTGATGAAACCGAGACGACCAAGCAGAGCGTCCTGGCCGCAGGCAAGTGGCGCTCAATGACCGATGAGGAACGAAAGGTGGGTGTCAGCAATAATGCTGTGTCAATCAGCGGATTTATCATGTCACTTTGTCATGCAGCCGTTCCTCGCTCAGGCCGAGCAGGAGAAGCTGGAATACGAATCCGCAAGAAAGCTTTACGAGGAAGGCACTACCGGGTACGGAACAAGTATCAACTTCAGCATCCTGCCCAGTAGCTCTATCAACTCGATGCCGTTCCCGAGGAGCGCATTGCGACAGCCGAAGCAAGAACCTTTCAGCTCCGAGAGCGAAAGTGACGGCTTTACTACGGACGATGGCGCCGATCTGCCGACGCGTCGCTCATGAACGGCACTCCGGACGGCGATGACTTAGTTTTCTTGCGTGACATTGACTGTTGGTTCTTTTTCTTCCGGGCGGAGGGTTCGCATCCATGCCGGTGTCCGTCTTCTATACCTTCTTGCTGATAGGGACGCCAATAGAGTGTGCTCTCTGTCCATTATGCCTTTGCTTGCACTACTTTATGACCTTCAACCAATTCCGGACTTCACGTGTACATTCCTGTAGCAACATACCCCACACCTCTATGTTGTATTGCTAGTTCTCCCCTCCGTCTAGCTCTGTGCATACCTCACGACACCTTACGACGCCAAATACACGCATGGCACCTCAATCTGATAATGGCAAGCGAGCGACCATCAGTTGATGAGGAGCACCCTCTTCATCGAATTCTTCGCCCTAAGAGGTGGGCGAGAAAGATAGAAATGAGATGGACCGGCGGAGAAACAGAGGGACGTAGATGGCAAGCAGGGACACATACTTCGGGCGAGTAACCAAATCTTTGTGGCGCATGTCAAATAGTTAGCGGACTATTTCAACACGGCATGCGAGTACGGCATGCGGGCTCACTTTGTGTAGAAGCCCTTCACAGGGATCTGGGAATGGCATTTTATTGTGACTGGATCGTGTTGACCGGAACGCTTCGCGTCGCGTTTCACATGGTCATGCAGGGCCAAGACGAGCGCACGCCCGAAGCGGTACTGACGGTAGTCCTTGAGCACGGCTAGTCGGCTCAGCTTGTAGTAGCCTGCGTGCTTCGTGCAGCGTATGGTGCCGACTGACTTGAGTGACGGCACGAGACGCAGAAGTATGTGAGTTGCGGTGGGATCGAGGCTAGGATGACCGAGAACGTGAGTGGGACGGGATGACCACGCGTCTGATGTGTATTGGGAAACGGACTCATCGATTTCGGTGTCGAGCGGAAACTTCTGCTCGTGGTGGAAGACGTCGATGCGGACATCGTAGCACTCTTGACGGAGCTCGTCACGGCCGGCTCACCCACGCTACGCACAACGATTATCTCGTGCTGAGGAGGGTCCATTTTCTTCCCAATGTTCCGACACGACGAGCCAGCCCGAACGACGAGGAGAGCGGGGCGGACGCGCCCGAGCGATGTATGGCCGGAGTGGACAGGAGAGGGCCGGACGCGCCTCGGCGCGGTCACGTCGCGTAAGCGCGCGTCAAGTACACTCGGGCACGTGCGCTTGCGTCCTACGCTTCACGAATTTCTCCAGCACTTACATGTCGAGCTGCGCAACATCCTGGCTTACGTCTTCCAGGTGCCCCAGTGAGAGGTGAGCAGGCGGCGGCAAGAAACTGGCTTGTGTGCTGAGCATTGTCCGATCAGGTATTCCAAAAGACCTCGTTTAGGCGGGTTCTGTAATGCTGGAGCCGTTGGCCACCTCCGTCATCAACACCCTCCTTTCTGGACGACCTCTCACTGGACACTCTTCCGCTTCCAACTCTTTCAGAATGGCAGTGAAGGCAGCTGGCTCGGCCCTTCCTCCGAATTTCTTCACGCCTCATCCGAGGCGCACAAAGGGCAAGGAGAGAGCTGCCCCCGGAGGTGACTTCCCGACGTGTGTGGACGTGAGTGCATTGAATGCTACGAGTGTACCACCGCCCTGTGCAGGTGAGCTATCCTGCCATGTCCTTATCTTCTTCTCTCCTGATGGCCGGCGTATAGGGGTCAAGCGAACATCTTCCATTCGCAGCAATGTCAGTCGAATGCGGGCGCGCCGACTATCTACCAGGAAGACCATGCATGCTCCGACGCGCGACCCCCTGCCTTCAATGAAGCCCTTCACGAGGTCTGTCGACGTGGCGCAGCGGCGCCATGCTTCGAGCCTCCCGGAACCCCTCGGAGCTTCCGGGTCGTCCGCGCCAGCGTGGCAAAAGGATCGATGGCACAAGTCAATACGGGACTATTCCCTAGGGCGCACATCTGACCTGGAGGAAGCCTGGAGTGCTTTCGAAGATCTCTGCCGAAGCGACGGCTGTGAATCTCTGGAGGTGCATGACATGCTTGACTTCGCGTCCCGGATAGTCGCCGCGGCCGGGGACCGCCACCTCGATAGCATTTCCCCACAGTCGTTGCACCAGACAGCGACAAGGCTGACTGCGATCCTTCAGCCGTTGTCTTCCAGAGTGACAAACGAGTCGTCGGTCGTAGATAGGCTACGCCAGCGCTGCCTGGTGATCGCCAGCGCCGCCATGGAAGAGTCGTTTGAAGTCGCGAACGAAAGGCTGCGCGAACTGCTCACGGTATCAGTCGACGCCAGACATCATCAGTATGTTGCCCGGATGCTCGCTGCCTATGTCACTTCCGTCTACGTTCACCACTCCGCTCTGTCTGTCCTTGAAGTCCTACTGCAACATTGGGCCGGTATCAGCACGTATCTTGTGCGGTGGATTCCCGCTGGACATGTTGCAACAGCGGTACGGAAACTTCGAATACGGGTTGCCGACGTCGTAACTCGCGTGGACAAGCCTTCGCTAGTCCTTGCCGAGTGGAAACTCCGTATGGACCAAGGCCAGCAGCGGCAAGTCGGGGAGTATCTCATAATCATGTTCTGTCGGAGGGCCGTGGGTGATATAGCCTTGGATATCCTGGAAGCCATGAAGGTGGAGAAGCTAGGTGTCAAGGTGGAGTTGCAGCTTGACATCGTCAAGGCACTTGTCAAGAACGACTTGTTCGAGCAGGCCAACATACTCTTCGCGTCTCTGGCGGAGTTCATGGGCACGGGCAAGTCCTTTGACGTGTATCAGGAGGTCGGCTTATACCTCTTTGCCCACCAGGGCGACGTTCTACGCGCACAAGAGTACTACGGCCGCCTCGCACAACGGGACCGAGTCACCACGGGTCACAGAGCATTGGTGCTGCATGCGCACGCTGTTAGCGGCGACGCCAACCGCGTCACGGAGCTCTTCTACCACTTCTTCCCTCCGGTAACCTCATCAGCCTCAGCAGAGCCACCAAACATCTTTCATTACACCGCCGTCATACTCGCCTACGCAAAGAAGGGAGACCTCGTCGGCATGAACACCTGGCTTACGAGCATGAGCAAGGCAGGGATCTCACCAGACGCCCACGTATACAACATCATCCTCAAGAGCTTGGCGCAGCGGGGAGACATCCACCACGTAGCCGAAATCATGAGCCAGATGCGTGCAGCGGGCGTTCGTCCCGAGCGGCACGCCTATACGACTGTCATTGCTGTCCTCGCTGAACGGAAGGACGTCCTGGCCGCCGAGGATATCTACAAACGAGCCATCGACGACGGGATCATCCCCGACAGAAAGATGATCTCGACACTGATGCACGTCTACGTGCAGGCCGGTGATTGGCAAGGCGTCATCCGTACCTTCGACTACCTGAAGCTCTCCGGCCGCCGTGGCATACGCCTGAGCATCGAGGTCTACAACACCCTTCTCAAGGCCTATGTCCTGATCGGCGCACCCTTCCGCATTGTCGCGAATCTCTTCCAGAGGATGGAGCAGACAGGCATGCGGCCGGACGCGCACACTTTCGCCCTGCTCATCCAGTCTGCGTGTGACTCTGGCCTTATGTGGATTGCGAAAGACCTTCTAGACGAGATGATCAGGCTCTCTAAGGACTGGCAGACGCATATGCACACCAACATCTACGTGCTCACCATCATGATGGCTGGCTGGCTCCGAGCGGGGAACAGGGATCGGGCAAGGCGGACATACGCGACCATGCGGAAGCGCGGCATTCAGCCGAGCGCGAAGACCTACGCTGCCATCGTGAAGGAGTACGCGAAAGACAAGAGCGGCGCCGGCTTGCAGATCGCTCAGGAGTTCATCCGCAACCTCACGACGGCGGATCCGGAGCTCCAGCTGTGGACGGAAAGTAGCCCCAGTAGGGAGGACGCACTCAACACGCTTTTCGTACCACTATTGTCTGCGTACGCTCATCGCGAACGACCAGAAGTCGTGGAAGACCTTGTCGCTCAGATGGGCCAGGTGGGCGGCTCGCAGCCTCTGGGGACCCTCACCCACTTGCTAGATGCGTACCGGCGCGTTGGAGATGGCAAGGCCGTCCGAGACCTGTGGCCCCGCATCTATGAGGAGGCTTTGAGGCACGCTGGAGCCAATGCCTTACTCAAAGACACCGAGGAGGATAGTCGACCCGACTTCCGTGGGCTTGGATTCGCTCTATGTGTCCCACTATCCATCTACGTTGACGCTATGTCGGCTGCAGGTTTTCATGCTGAGGTCGCGCAGACCTGGGCGCAGCTGCAGAAGACCAAGCTTGCGTTCGACTCGCACAACTGGAACCATCTTGCGGTGGCTCTCGTCCGCGCTGGCGAACCCGAGCGAGCGTTCCAGATAGTCGAGAAAGTGATCATGCCCACCCGGCGACGCTTGATTGCCTCCTTTACCGTAAATCGCGATCGCAACCCAGCCTCTCCTATCCGCGAAACACCAGTCGATGAGGGTTTGGAAGAGGATGAACAGGAGTTTGTCGATGGCGCAGACTCCGCGGGCGAGCTCACGGATCCGGAGACACTTACCATACCGCCCGAAAAGCCGCTCAACTTGGATCGCAGGGCGCTCGCGGTGAGGAGAGCCACGCAAAAGGCCGGTGAAGACTTAGAGAGCCGCCAAGAGGATTTCGTGCATGGCCTGCATATCCTCCATCAGCTGTCACCGATGTGGAACAACTGGCGGCCCCACACAATTGTCCTGGCCATGCTAACCAATGTTTTGCATCACCTGTCGCGCGGCAGACTAGTCCAGCCTGTGCGCCCCGCGAACTCAGAGCCCGACCCTTTCCCCACGATGCAGGAAATCGGGCGACGAAGAGCTCTCGCCTCGCAGATTCTCCAGCGTATCCATGAAACATGCCCAGAGACGGTCCGTTTACTGGAGAGCAACACGACTCGGCGCAAGACACCGAGGATGAGGGCGATGGAGAATCAGATCCGGCGTAATAGCGCGATGAATTACTAGTCGTGACAATGCACTTCTGGCTACAGACACCGACAGCGGCGAGACTGATACAGGATATTGTCCGTACTCTGACTAGCGGGGTATCGTTCCTAGCACAACAGTCATGCATCGTCGGATTCCTCACCACCCGACCCATCGGATCCGCTGCGCGGTCGCTTACGACTCTGCTTCGTGGAGGTATTCCGATTGCGCTGCACGTATCGTTCTGTCAGCGTGCTGCACAGTTCATCGTGCGTGGTGGTAGGATTGACTCACAAGAGGCAATTTCTGGCCTTGGTTGCCGAGGGCTATCGAGAGGGCGGTAGTTTCTGTGGATCACAAGCTCTACGACGGGCCTTTACGATGTCATGTAGCGATAGGCATACTCACCTGGCACGCCAGGGAATCGTTTCGCCGAGTAGACGACGAATGGATCGGTGAATGTTTGAGCGAGAATCTTGGAGAATCCAATGTTAATGAAACGCGATCCAGGCTCAGGTGCGGGCGGTCTGTCAGCGGATGTGATGGAGGCGCGTCAGCGGTGAAGCTCGGGTCATCAGATTGAGGCCAAACTCTGCTTACGAGCCGACGTTCATAAGGCGTAGTCGAAGACGGAAGGTCCCTACATAACAGGTATAGTGAGCAGGCGATGCGCGATAAGCGGAGCCTATAGGTTTCAATGGGATTTGCACGACGCTACGGACCTTCTGTACGGATAGACAGGTCTTGAAATAGAAAGAAGATGCCTGGCGTGCGGTGTTCGTCCAATAGGCGGCAGGCGTTCGCGCATAAGGGTCCAACGAGCGTTCTCGTGTACGTATGTCGAGGCAAAGGGGGCATAGCGGAGGGCGGTGTAGGATCTTGGGCGTACGGAGCTTCCTGGTATTGGGATGGCGGCTGATGCGCCTGTGATGGTGGCGGCGGCGGTTGATGCTGCTGAGAAGGGTATGGTGCTGACGCGTAGGCCGAGCCTTCGAGCGACTGAGCCGTCCCGGGCTGTCCGATCGGATTGTATGGTTCCTGTGGGTATCTACAACGGAAGTGAGTTTCGGCGTAGGGCGTGGGTGCAAGCGGCACGCACGAGTTCTCGCGCACGTCCGAAGTGGACGCTGAGGCATGCGAGGCCCGAAGGGACGGTTCGATCGCCCCCGACGGACGGGTGACCCCATTGTTGTCAATCGGAGGATACGAAGCGTCCGGAGGCCATGTGCGGTATCCCATCCCACCTGCATCCTCCCTTCCCTGGTTCTCGAGGTGCCATCCTTCTCCCGCTCCGGCTCCTGATGCAGTGGCGGAGTTGTAACCTACTGTTGCCGCAGAACCGTTACTGGACGAGCCATTTCTCCCCAGAGAGTGGATCGAAGGCAGGACAGGGGCCGGCGGGTACTGCGAAGCGCGTTCCATCGAAGTCGGAGGAGGATATGCCCATGTCTGAGAGGCGTCGGACGGCGCTCCGTAGGTACCTATCGACTGATAGCTTGAGGATTCCGAAACCGGCGGCTGTTGGGCGGCGTAGGGATATACCTGAGGGGGATACCCTTGGGAAGGTCCAATGTATGGGGTGATTCCAGAAGCGGGCTGCTGCGACACACGTGGTTACTGACCACTCGCACCGTCCACATGCGATTGAGATACCTGTATGTATTGCTGACTGCCTTGAGTAGGAGCGGGCGCCGGAGGAACGGGTGCGGGCGAAGTGGGGCTTTTTCTACCGCTATTCGACCGCTGCGCCGTCGAGTTGGTCCCCCGCCGCTTCGGTTTGGGGGTGTTTGCGGGTACGTACCGGTCAGCAGACGTAGGGTGCAAGACAAGGTTCATTTCTTGCTTCCCGTCCGCCGACCAGAGGTCTACAGTCACCAGAAAGAAGGATGTATCTATGTCACTGGCGCTAAATGAGCGAATGGAGTAGAGAAAGGGATTGATATGGCTGGAGACGTACTCCACATCAAGAGCACTTCCATCTTCTCTCCGGACGATCATCTTGGCCACCGCTGCAGGAGCCAGAGGTCGACGGTCCTGTCAACGCGACCTCTTGTTAGTCAGACTTCGCTGGTGCATATTGAATGAGATTTAAGTATTGTTTGGCACAGGTAGCTAGGGTCGAGTATGGATGCACAGGATAAGCGGTGACACTTGTGCGAGATGGTGATCAGTTCACCACTTTCGCATTGTCCGACCCCTTTCCTAAGAATCGCGAAGGCTCCGCCCAAAAGCACTTTCCCATACGTGAATCCGCGGAGACACTGCATACACGAGGGCACATTCGCGAAGGCGAGCAGCTGGCAATGTTTGCAACGCATTGACGACGAGAGATGCTAGTTGTTGGGCGTCTTGCCTGGGCATGCACACCAGCATAACTACGCTTGTAACCCGTACGCCGTGTAGGCACGGAGCAGCCCGGTAAGCCGCGAAATGCGTGAACGCGGCCGCCTCCACTGCGCCTTTCCAACCCAGAGGACCTGCTAGATGGAAATTCTGGCACCTCCTAGTCGTTCACTGGCAGTGTGTCGGATCCGCACGTCACCCATAGGTGAATACACCCTTGATGGGTGTTATGTAAGTGATGCGATATACACCATCTCACGGGTTAGGGAAGAGATGTCCGAGGCATCTTCGCTTGAGTTCATTACGAGAATGAGCTGGCGGTATGGTTTGTGTGCGAGCGGGCGGATGAACGCGTCGCATGCATGAAGCCAGACGCGCTCCCGTACGCGCCGGCGCTTCTAGTTGCATGAAACACCGACGTGTGCATGCAAGGCCCGAATGCAAGACATACGCGAGAGGAAAGAGTTCTTACCTTGTCACCAAATCCACACATACGGGCCCGGAGAGGATTCTGCGCAACGTCCAGCGAATAATACCTGGGACGACACCGTTGGATGCGAACGCACGACAACGGAATCTGACACGTACTTGACTCCGACCCATGATCCCCACGAGCTGGGAGGCTCTTGCGGCGGGTCCTCCTGACGGCTAGGTTGCGCGTTGCTCGTGCTGGCTCGCGCGTTGTTCTTCTGGCTCATGCCAGGATAGCTGGGTAGCGAGGGTGGCTGGGGCTAGTCGCAAACGGCTGGCGCTGGCCAGAGAAGCTTGGACGCAGTGGGATGCGGTCGCCAGAGATTGTCTCGAAGTTCTGACAGAGAAGTACGAGAGAGATGTGCGGCGTGGATGGCAGCAGATGGGGGAGACGATGGTCGTCGTCCGCAAGTGGGAAGCGTACGCGCTCGGTGACCAAGCGCGTCCGACCCTGCAGGATCACGCCTTCATTTGGGTCGTTCCGCTGCTGATTCAACTTGGAGGATTCTCTCTCTCGGGCGTAGGTGGTCGTTGCGAGCACGCAGGGAGTACGGCACGCTGAGATCTCGAGGGAGACCCGAGTGGACGGTACGCCTTGGACCGTCCTTGCCACTGCCGAGCTCAGCGAGCGTGCGGAAATCTCGTCTATGATCGTGGGAACGTTCCCATTCCGCTCTCTCGGGTCTCAGCAACGCCAGCCCGCAACATTGCCTCCTCACAGCATCGTCCACGTCTCCTCCAGTCCAGTCCACAGCCCGCCCTGCCCACCATGGACCAGGTTGTCGCGAGACGCACGCTCCAGGAGCTCATAAAGCGCGAGGAGCTAGACAACAAGAAGTGTATCGACTGCTCGAACCCAAATCCACAATGGGCTTCTCTCAGGTCAGGCTCTGTGTGCCTCAGATCCCGGAGCTGGTCATCGAATTCGCTGCATTAGCTTCGCCGTCTTCTTGTGCCTCCAGTGCGCAGGCGTCCACAGAGGCTTCGGCGTTCATGTCAGGTGCGTGTGCCTGCGCGTCCTCGCTCGATCCTGCAGATCTGACACCTGTTGCCCGCAGCTTCGTCCGGTCGGTCTCGATGGACACATGGCATGAGGAGCAGATAAAGCGAATGCAGGTATGTCGAATTTACGGGACTCGCGAAGACTGTCACGATGTGACTCTCGCGCGCCCATGCCCACGCTCGTCATGAATCATCGCCCTCCAACTCGGATTGGATAGCTCCATGCATCTACGAAGCCTATGCGTACGCTTGCCTGAACGGCTGTCTGCGGGATGGCGCTCACATAGACAAGTCGTTTGGCCACCTCGTAGTCAACACTCACTGTAGCTGCAGTCCGTGGGCGACTCACGTTTACTCAAAGTTCGCCTGGGTGCATGTGTCCGACACGAATAACGTGGCTAGCCACGATTCCGCGCTGCTCATCGGCTGTTCATTGGAAAGCCGAGAACCTTGCGTACTGAATGCTATATCTTCAGCTCGGTGGGAATGCTCCCTTCAGGAGTTCATGAAGACGTATCCAACGAGCACAGGCGGATACACGCAGGACATGAACTCATACGACACCTATCACTCCTGGGCTGCTTCTCAATACCGAGAGAAGGTACGAATGACTCTTCCGCTTTCCGGGGACGATCTTCACACACCTCTGCCTAGCTGGACGCCGAGCTCGCCGGCAAACCGTGGGCACCGACATCACCTCCAGAGGGTTTTGGATCTCCTAACAATACCACGAGCCCGCCGGGCCGTCCGTCGTCGGCACAGGGCCTCCGAAAATCTCGCGCGTCTGCCCGTAATAGCATAGGTCGCTCAGCCTCCCCAGCATCGTTCGGTAGTCGAAACTCGCCAGCTCCAAGTAGCCCGATGACACCATCCGCCTTTGAGGACCAGAAGGTTAGGAATGAGTCCTATTTCGCAAGTCTCGGCAATGCGAACGCTTCTCGTCCGGAGGACCTGCCACCCTCTCAAGGGGGTCGTTACCAGGGCTTCGGCAGCACACCTGCACCTTCGTCGGAATCTCAACATCCCGCGTACGGCCTTTCCTCGCGCGCAGCACCTTCGCTCTCCGAGTTGCAGGAGAATCCCGTGGCTGCCTTGAGCAAAGGATGGTCACTGTTCTCTGCCGCTGTCGCAGGTGCGACCAAAGCCGTTTCGGAGAACGTCATCCAGCCAGGCATGGAGAGAGTCAGGGATCCAGACTTCCAGCAGGGCGTCAAGGGCTACGTATCTGAAGCGAGCAAGCGCGCGGCTGAGGCGGGACGTAGTGCGAACATGTGGGGAAAGAGTACACTCGGAGTTGACGTCGCGGAGCAGGTTGGAGGCGTCGTAGGTACTGTGAAGGACAAGGTGGGGGTGGTCCTGCGCGGAGAGGGTACAGCTCAGTTGGCCCCGGAGGCTATGGTGATGGCGAGTCGTCCGCACTGTACCAGGATCACGATGACGAGGACTTTTCAACAACTACAACGCCGACCTGAATCGTGGTCATGGCAGCCTCGCGTCGCAGGTTTCGCCCATATCTCCTGCGGTGAACTCCCAGCACCGCAAAAGCAGCGAAGAAGAATGACGAATGGGACGAGGAGTGGAAGGATTTCTAATGTGTTAGCGATATACCGGATCTTATTTAATGTCTCGGGGAAGGATGTGGGTATATACGGGTAGCACCGCAATGCTGTACATTGCGATCGATATGGACGGCGATAGAGCGACATGGAAGTATGCTGTGCTTGACTTGCAGCGAGGTGTAATTTCTGGTCCTGTACCGAGTTCGAAGGCGGAGAACCACCGAGGCGGTGCAGCAGTGCTGCTGACCCTACCTGCTGGCAGCGTCAATTCGGGGATTATAAGACGTGGTGTCCAATACATGTCGTCCGCGTCCTCGCCACCAGCTCCACCTGCTGAACCTCTCGATAGACTCTCGCTAGCGAAAGCAGCGGCGCTTGCGGCCAATCACTACACCTTCCTATTCCGGAGTCGCTCTCGGATCGAGATCGCAGCGACGCATCCGGCGGCACAGCGGATTGCTGGTTACGGCCACGCAGCTAACCTCCAAGGCCGCACATGGCGCGGATTAACTTCAACGTACTCGAGTCGCTCCCTGTCGAATTGATAGCGGACGTCCTGGGCGAGCTCGACCTGTCGTCGCTCGTCACCACCACCTACGTCTCGAACCGCCTGCGGGCGATTTCCTCTGAGCCCTCGCTGAACCCGTGGCGCCGCCCCATCTACGCACGCTCCACCACCCGGACCAGGAGTACGACCCTGCGCTCCGCCACCTGAGTGTGCGCTCGACGGTTCCGAGGAATAACTTTGTGGAGATCCTGAGCATTGCGCGGGCGAATTACCTGCTGTTTGAAGCGTCCCTGCCCCATCTGAAGGACAGTGAGTGGGAGGAATGCTTCAGGAGGAGGTTCTTGCCCTCGTGGGCGAAAATCAAGAAGAAGGCGCGACGTGGAAGGAGGCGTTCATGAAGTCAGTCGGCATGTATTGTGTGTCATGAATATTGGTGGCTTACCGTGGCGGACAGAGTTCTCTATCGCGTATGGCACCGCACAAGCTCGACGTGCACACATGATGAGGCTTGGACAGAGTGCGTGTCTCTATCCTTGTACGAAGTGGTCTCTGACACAGCACATAGCTACATTGTTCTCAATCGGAACGGGACAACTAACCAACTCAACGGTACATCGCGTGGTTTCGATCCACTGACCATCTTCGAACAAATGAGGTGAATACCATCAGAACTGACCGCCCCGAGAACGGTTACCGGTTATTGAACGTGTGGTATTGTGCCGTTGTTTTCGACAACCTGACAATGCGGTCTAGTGCGACTGAACTTCTGCGCATGTGCGTTGTGGGCATTATGGGCAGGCTGGAAATCACAGATAGCAGCCGGGTTAGACGTTGTCGGGCCCGCAGACGGGCGGAATCGTTGAGCCGCCATCATCAGAGCCTCCGCCCGCTTTGCATGCGCGCCCTTGCCGTGCTCAGTCTCGGACCATGTTGAGCTTTCTGAGTGCATGTCCGAGCCTGAGGATGGCCGTGCAGGTTACCGGTTAAAGTACACCCGATGCCAACATATGCTGATGCTCAGCTAGGATACAGAATGACTTGATGCAATTCAGCCCCGAATAAGGGTGAGTTACACGCTACACAATGCCCTTGTACCTCAAAGATATAGTACGCTCACAGGTCGTCGTTGAGTTGCCGATGTCGCATCTTGGCGATCGGCGTCCTGAGCAAGCCGCGGACATCATTCGGTGTCAACCACCTCGCAAAGGCGCTCTTGCACCCCCCTGGAATTGACGGCGACGCTGCGACGAAGTTGACAATCTCGACATATCTTCTAATTCTTCAGACGAGTCGGACGGTGAACAAGACCATGTCATTATTTACCTCTGCGGACAGGGGCTTACAGCGGAGGTGCCCTTTATTGTCACGCGCACAATTACGGCATTTACGGGCAGTGCTCCTAGCTCGGGCAAGCGAAACATACCGCCGCCTCAGCCACCCGTTACCCGCCCCCTCTTACGAGAATTATCCGTTCTTCACGCCGAGCGGCGAAGATTTGCGCTGGTACATAGATGGGGACATTGAAGAAGGCGGTATGCAGTGGATGTGGAGCATGATGTGAGTGGATGGATCTGCGTCGCCCCGGTGATATATCTCTTATAACCATTTAGGCTCATAGCTCAGCTGATTGGTCAGAACACGAAGCCGCCTTTCGGTGACCCATCGCTTCTAGATCTGGAACTAGTGGACGGGATGAGCAGAAGTCACTACGCGTCCCTGACCTTTGAAGACTTGAAAACCATCGCGCCCTGGATTGAGCCCATGAAGTGGATAGAAGGGATCGGGCTCGGACATGAGGAGTAGAAAGCCGGTCTGGGGGATGAGCAGGCAACTACCTTATACTTGGGTATCGACTTGTAAGCGTATCTTGTACTTCTACGTCTCGGCTGCTGTATCTTCGACCGGAAAAGTCTCTTCCACGTGTATTGATGCATGTATCAGTTCTAGCCACGGCTATTGCGGTCGCCACTCACGCGGGAGCAGAGTCGGCGGTGATAGCCCCTTCGCGGTCTTGTAATGTCAAAGTGCATCAGTCCGGTGGGGCGCGCCCCTCACGGATCTCACGATTTCCATGCCGTGTGGCAGTTCGCGGCCGCGAGGCTACGTGCCCTCACTGCTGGTTGCCTGTGATGAAAGTTACCGTATTGGGGAAAGCCGCTACCCGTTGGGATCTCGATGTTCACCTTGTCTGCTAGGGTCACCCGAAAGACATTGGCGCGAGAGACAATTGTTCTAACATCGCCCTTATCCCCCAGTTCTATGGGCCACCCGCCCGCCGTTAGCAAAGACAATAATGGGCGCGCCTTGTTTCCGTCTCACCACCGATTCTACTCGACATCATGGGGCTTCGAGGCCACTTAAAAAGTGGGCCACTGTTCCTCGTAAAGGTGCCCCTTCTACTCACGCTCGTTACACGCCATTTACGCCGCTCGCTTGAGGCCGGAGGTCTCCGCGTTTTGACGACGCTTTGACGACCCCTCATTTGTCATTTCCATTTACAGGCCTGTGGCCTCGTTGCTAGCGTTGATTCGCTTTGTCTGCCGTTTTAGGCTGTTGAACCACCACCCTGCCACTCTTAACGACGCCGCACGCTTGTTGTTCTCCTTCACACCACTCAACCACGACCCGTGCATAAAGCGGACCTTCTTTAATCTTCCCCTTCCCTATCACATCCTCCAGCACACTCTCTATCCGGCTAGAAGATGGGGAGAGCACCTAAAGCAAACGTCGTGCGCATGTTCTCATTCATATCATGCGTGTCCCAATAGACTGACCCCAACGAGCAGCCTCTGCAGGGGGCATACGAATGCTCCGAGCCACGTTGTGGCAAGATGTTCCGGAACCGAAGTGAACTTAATCGCCATGAAAACATACATTCCAGAAACAAGTGAGCATACAACGTAGAGCGTTTACGTTTCTATCTGACAGACATGTAGGCCGTACGAGTGCAAGGATTGTGGCATGAAGTTTGCGCAAAAGGGGCAGCTCAAAAATCACACCAACACCCAGTAAGTGGGCTCACAGCCGTCGACGCTCTCTCCTGTGTGGTCAATGCTGACCAAACCTAAACAGCACCGGAGAACGGCCCTTCGATTGTAGTTTCTGCGGCGAGGACTTCAATGACACGGCATGCAAGAGTCGTCACGAGCGCGAGCAACATTCGAACTTCGGCGGCTTCAGATGCCCAGTACCGGACTGTGGCAATGTGTGAGTCCTTGTCTGTGGCCTGCAGGTGTGTTCTCCGAACTGACATTCTCTCGGCGATAGCAACAAGCGCAAGGATGGTTTCGCGAATCACCTCAAGAAATTTCATGGCGTGAGCGACTCCTCGGTGGACCCGTGGCAGAACGCTGTCACGATCGACGGAAGGTTGCTGGATCCGACGAAGGGTCTTCACGAGCAGCTGGAATGGGACGAGCCCAAGCTCTTCGAGGACGACGCCTCCGATGCTGACGTGCCCAAGTCCAAGAAGGGGAAGGGGAAGAGAGCAGCGGCCCCAAGGAAGAAGCGTAGTACCGTCAAGCAAGCTGCGTCCGTCGAGGCTAGTGCCGCGGCCCCCAAGACGCGCTCGTCGAAGAGGCGACGGGCTGATGACGAGGATGAGGAAGGGGACGGGGACGAAGAAGAGTACAAGCCGACCACGCGTGCCAGGCCTGTCAAGCGGTTGCGGAAGAGTGCGCCAGTCGCTGGGCCGTCTTCCGCACCGGCCACCTCCGCACCCGTCGACGACGCCTTCGCTGGTCTCTACACCATCTCTCCTCACAAAGAACAGCGCAACGGCGTAGAAGACTGGGGGGCTATGCCCTCGACCTCGGCTCTGCAGGCGGGCGAGGCCCAGTTCTCGTTCGACATGTCCACGCACGGATATGACCCAGCTTCTGGCACGGATATCGCGACGTCTTACTTCCCCCAGAACGCGCTCGGCCTGTCTATTCCGGCCGAATCTTCGACTTACCTCGGCTACTCGTCGACGCTTCCGGGGTTGTCTGTCAACCCTCCCCCGTGCCCGAAGTGGTTGACGAATTCGGTCTTCTCATCGGCGACGGTGCAGGTCTTGACCTCGCCAACTTTGACGCCTTCGCTCTTGGATCATCGTTCGATGGTAAGTTTCCCCATGGCTCACGCCTTAAACGCATTCGCTAATATCGACGGTGCAGGATCCGCAAATTTTGGAGGTGACTATGGGTCCTGGACATCCTATGTGGACCATGCCACCAATCCCTCCGCCACGGCCTTCTACGACGGACAGTATCATCATGACACGGCGTATGCGATGGGCAGCGACCTCTTGTCAGCCTCCGGTCGTCGCCGCTCACGTCGAGCTCCCAGGGATCGAGCCGGTCTCCTTCTCCCCTTGGGCTCGTTCCGGCACGCAACGATTTCAGCGTCCGTCCATCAGCAGCCTGGCGCGCGGACGAGCCAACGCGCAGCTATGCCACGAGCACGCCAGAACGTCTCATTCCCCAATGACTATACCAGTTCGATGTAGATTAGTGTATACCCACGTCTAATGTCTTACCTTCTCGGGTAGGTGTGTAGCGCATAGTTTCCCAGATCCCCTTGCTGTATCCCTTAGCATACACTGACTCATGTTTACTGTGGGCCCTCGTCGGACGTTGCATTCCCTGTATATTCTTTACGTTTTCGCTGTTCATGATAATACCATTGCGCTGGCTTGGCGCGGCGATGCTGCTGAACAGCGCGTCGCCCAACCTGCCCGGATTTTCCACCTGGTCCCCTTGTCTGTTGCTGTGTGGCAATGGACTTGCCTCGGAGAGCGGATTGAACTCCCCGGGCGCCGCGCGCCTAAAGGACAGTCGCGTTCGACGCGTTTGTGGCGTCAGAAGACCGTGGTGCTGTTTAACGTCACGTGAGGAAAAGTTACATCGCCACCCAGACTGAGAAGAGACCGCCCCTCCGAGCCGTCCCCCATCTCCCGCCCCGCTCACACTGTGTCCCCACCACCTCCGTCGCGCGCTCCAGCCTCCTCTCCGTGCCCTCGGACACAGAGCAGCGTCGAACGCGGTCTCGAAAATGCTAGCAACTGCTATTAGGCCCGCGTCGGGTTTCTCAGAAGAGACCACGCAGTACCGCCCGGCGAAAGACCTCGAGGCTTTCAAGAGCCTACTGCCCCCGCCCATCGAATTTGTTGAGGGCTCCTCTAAGGGGGCTCTTCTCATGGACGAGAACAAATACCAGCCCATCAACGCGACTCCGAACCCGTCAGAAGCGGAGGTGCGCTCCATTCGTCCTCAATCGCAGTGCCCTTGTCTCACTGTAGCATGTAGCCCCAGGAGGCGAAGAAGACTACCTCATCTAACCCTTCAAAGTCCCTCAAGTCTCCTAAAACTGCTCAGGCGACCCCTACCTCAGGGAAAGCTCTCTATAATGGCCCCCTCAATACGTCGTGGCCAGAAGGCGCTAGGATTGGGACAGGACTCAACAATACTGGGAACACATGCTTCCTCAATAGCGCTCTTCAATGTCTACTCCACACGACACCATTGCTACACGCCTTGATCAGACATAGCACTGCAGACCCTTGTAAGTTCGCCTTTGTTTGTCTCTTCTCCAGGCGCTCAGTGCATACACATTGATAGGCCGGGTGCCCAAAGGCGCATTCTGCATGGCGTGTAATATGCGGACAGTCATGTTTGAATCTCACCAGAAACAGCGGCCCTTTGCTCCCTACCCCATTACGACCAAGCTACAAGGTTTGTCAACACCGCCGCCCGCTTGACAGACGCTCATGTGCTCCTCAGTCATCGCGAAGCACATGCGGCGTGGACGGCAGGAAGACTCGCATGAGTTCTTGCGTTATGCTATCGATGCTCTGCAGAAGTCTTGCCTTGCTGGCCATCCACCGTGAGTTTACGTCGGTACTGCCAGGCGTTTAGCGATATTGAAAATTTACCCTGCAGCAAAATGGATCCCAAGCTTGCTGAGACATCATGGATCCATCAGATATTCGGCGGTCGATTGCGATCGAGGGTTACATGTCTAGCGTGTGGCTACAACAGCGACACTTACGACAGTGTCCTGGATCTGAGCATCGACATCTATGGCGTACAGAACTTGAGAGATGCTCTGCGAAAATTCGTCGCAGTCGATCACTTGAAAGGCGCCGACAAGTATAAATGCGAAAAGTATGCGTTGTCAATTCCTCGTGTATACAATTGTTCGCTCATCTTCCGACTCCAGGTGCAAGAAACCGGTCACCGCAGACAAGCAATTCACGGTCCACGAGGCACCACTCGCATTGACTATCCACCTGAAGCGCTTCTCTCCGATGGGAAGGAAGATTGGGCACTGCATCAAGTACGAGGAGCGTCTGTCATTGCAGCCTGTGATGAGCGAGGGGCAACATGGACCGACATACTCCCTGTACGGCGTCATATCGCACGCAGGTGGTGGGCCCAATTCTGGCCACTATTACGCGCACGTCAAAGGTGGAGACGGCCAGTGGTACGAGATGAACGACGAGTCCGTCACCCGCGTCGCGCCCCCTACGAGCAGGCAGAACGCCTATATCCTCTTCTATATTCGCGACAAGGGTCAGGCGCTCGAGGCCGCCGTCAGCACCCCGGCTCGTGTCTCCCAGCCCGCCAAGACTGGTCTTGTAGCGAACATGAAGAAGCGCAAGACACCGGACAGTGAGAGCGAAGATTCGGCTCGGCCTGCAAAGTCGAAGGATCGCGCGTCCTTTATTGGCCCCGACTTCCCTCGTCGCCTGCTGCGCCTTCGACACCGAGCAAGCCCGATCCTCAGGCGCAGATGCTGCAGAAGAAGATCGAGAAGCAGGCGACGAAGAACGGCTTGGCCGATCTCGCGCAGTACAGCGATGGTAGCGATGACATCGGGGAGAAGGTTGAGGAGAAGGAGGAAGAGGAGAAGGCAGTGCTTGCGGACGATAGTGCTGAACAGAAGCCGGAGGTCCCACACTGGCATTGCTCCCATCACCGACCATCTCCACACCCGCATCCAAGGCAACCTCTTCATCGTCGGTCCTGACGTCTATCCCTGCCAGCAGCTTCTACGGTAACCCAACCAGAAGGCGAAGGTCAAGGACGAGGGCAGTGCGAAGAAGCGGAAGTCGCCCGGCAGTGACGACGAGGATAGCGACGCTGCGCAGTCGCTGAAAGAGTGGGCCGTACGCCTATCCCGCCTTCGACGAAAGGGAACACACCGAAGTCGAAGCGTCATGATCGCTTTAGCGCCATAGGAAACTGGAATCCGTACAGTCGGCTGAAGGGCAGCGACACTCTAGGACAGCGCCGCGGTTCGGCACCAGTAGTACATCGGTACGGAAAGAAGAAAAGAATGATCATGTAACATACCCCCTGCAGAACATATCATCATTCGCATCGCACTACACACGTATGCACTCTCATCTTCCCTTGTCACATCTCCGCATTCCATTCTCGTGCTCCTGTTATTACATCGTTCATGTATATACAGACTGTACAGTACAAGACACTCCGAGCATTGACAATCATCACAGTTTCGCTCGAACCTGTTCCGGGGTGGCGTTGGGACCGTCCTCCCACCAAACCACAGTGACCGTAATGTCGTCCCGATAGCTGCGGGACAGCGGGGCGGGGATGCTGAGCAGCTTCCTCAGCTTGCTCTCGTCCGCCCCGCCCAGCGCGTTCCTGATTAAGTGCGTGCAGACGTTGTCGTCCACGAACGCCCATTTGCCCTCTGTCGAGCGCCGCGGCTCGAACGACTTCCCGTTCACGGTCGGCGAGCCGGACGTCGTCCGTACCATCTCCGGCAGCTGCGCCTTGGGCACGCTGCCTTTGAGGCCCGCGAGGTGCCCGCCCACGAGCGCGACGACCTCTTCTGAGGAGAGCTCGTCCCAGAGCCGTCCGTGGCGAGCACGAGGAAGCGCATCATGGACTTGGGCTTGGTAGAGGGGTTGGCGTAGGGCGGCAGGGAGAGCTTGCGGTGGGTGACCTCGGGGCGGGCGGTCACGTATGGGGGCGTCTTGAGCATCGATGGGACGGCGCGCAGGGTCTTGGCGTTACCTTCCATGAATGCTTTGTGCAAGCTTGGACGGAGTCAGCGGGGAGGTTGTGGCGCGGACGAGGGAGGGTGCTTACGCCTCTTGGACGTCGCGGGGCCACTTGTAGCGTGCATCGCCGAACGCTCGCGTCGGCTCGAGGCCCCCGAGGACGCGTCCGCGCATGATCACCGTGTTGGCCTCATCCGCCGGGTGCTCTGACTGCATCCTGTGCGACATCAATCTCAGATGTGCGTAACAGTCGATTCTGTAACGCGTGGAACGCACCGTTTCAGTTCACTGGGGTTCCTGCCTGTCTGGTCTTCGCTAAGGACCTCAACTCGCCACGAGCCGTTGCCGTCTTCAGTCTCCTCGTATACGCCGGCGACGGCCCGGCTGTCACCTGTGCAGGCGACATAGAGGTTCTGGTGCGCGGTGTCGAACAGTGCCATAATTGCGCAGCTCCCTGGGGCTGTGGTCAGTATCATGATTGTCGGGGGGGGGGGCGAAGCCAGGCTTACCGGATATTGCGGGCTGCATTGTGGCTAACGCCATCGGGTGCTGGCTTAGGTCGGGTACTTGCTGGTTCGCTAGAGCCAGTTTGTCGATGTTCTCTGCCAGAATGCGCAGAGGCGCGTTGATGATCTCCCAGTCGAGGTTCACGAATGCGGACTGGATGGCTAGAGCCACCTTCTGAGGGTCCGAGTCGGCTGGGACGGTGGGATCGGGTGTAGAGTATACCATAGCCTTGAGACTCTCCAGAGTGCTTGATTTCTGACTGAAGGATTCGGACCTGTGGTCAATTGTTGGAGTTGGAGGCCTATCGCAGGCAAGAGGACTTTGGAGAGCAGTTGGGACGTGTGGTAGCTGCGGTGGCCGTCCATGATAGCAAACAGCAAGAGGTCTCCCGGGCCAGCTGGGTCCGTGGGATCTCGCTGTACGAAGGCACTAGAGTATGCGTCCTCGATCGGACTGTTTGAGGAGAGTTGGGCTGTGGCTTGCTTCCACACAACGCCCGGTCTGACGGTTACCTTCGACGTCGCGTTCTCCGCGAGGCGTTTATTGACTTGGTCCATGGGAGTCATTGAGAATGTCTGCTTCTCCAATGCGGGCTTCCCGTCGGCCCCGCGCACTCTGACGTTGAGGTCGAAGGATTCAGAGCGAGGCTGCGAATAGTATCGATAGTAGAGGTAGGATGGGCCGCCAACTAGTACGTCGTACCAATGATGGGTTCCATGCGCGCCGAAGCATTATATCGTGTGAGCGCACGAGAGTCGTCGCAGCCTGCGAGCGCAATACGTTGACGCCACTCAATATGCCTCACGAGGACTGTTGAATATGTGGTGAGCAAAGTGCGAGGCATGCACGTATTATACATACAGCAAGCTGTGATAGTGGCTGGGCGATATTCAGAGCACCAACGGTTAGGACAGTTGTGCACGCGACGTGAATGAACTCTGGGGCCGCCGGAAGAAGTTCAGGCACATCACCTGGAGCAGTAAGATAGTTAGGCTCAGTTACTGTTCGACAGAGCTGTGCACTCAACTATGGTGTGCTCAGAAGGATTGTTGGATGTAAGTAGAGCAATACAGCCCTGCTTGGTTCTCCTTGGACGTTTGCGCGTTCGAGCGTCGCAGCCAAACCTGGGTGCGTGACGCGTATGGCCGGCAATCACCGAATACGCCACTGTTGTATGGGCGCCCAATGGGCGCGGGATCCCAACGCGGTCGTTCCTGTCTTCCGCTCATTCGCCAGTGTGCGGCCTTGCCAGCCCTCCCCCCATAGTAGACAGTAGCCTCGACACGTTTCATTATCAGGAAATAGTGCGTACATTGCTGCAGATATATTTTTGGATCAGCAAACAACGCCATGTCCCTTTCGTGCGGTCCCTTCTACGCGTTGCTGGAACTGAGTTGTCAAGGCCCATCGGGATCCTCTGATGTGAAACGTACAGCTTGGGTCTGTCGTGAGGCCTCTGAGATAGCGCCGAGATAGTTCCGTAAGCTGTGCTGTTACCGATTTCACTCAGGAGCAGGCCTTGGGCAGAGTACGCTGACTCCTGATACTAATCGTTCACTGACAGCCCCGGACCTTTCTTCGCCTGCTCACCTCCCATTCTCAGCAACGATAATGGCTCAAAATAACAGCGTAGTCGCGGTGTATCCGTCTAACGATTCGTTGGACCTCGTTGGACCCGCCTGGACAAGGTTTACGGACTCTGGCTCGGGTGCCACTTTAGCCATCGCACAGGGGGCCGGGTCGAGTTCGCTGAAGTTCAAAGGTGCGTCTCTCGAAATTTACGGCGGGTACGACATCTGACCAGTGTCATAGGGACTCAGATAGAAGTTTATGGGGTACTCGAACCAGGGCCGCCGGTTACGTCTACCTACTCGATAGACGGCTCGTCCGCAGAGTCATATACGGGCCCGTCAGATTTGACGAGCTCACAATCTGAAGTCCCATTCTTTCTCTCGCCGACGCTCAGCTCTGGCGAACACGAGCTCACGATCAACGTCATAAACGCTACCGCTAACGCGTCATACGTCCTCGAGTTCATCCTCTACATCCCGACCTCAACAGGCGCGTCGAACGCGACATACTCATCGACCTCCCTACGGATCAACGGCAACAATCGTAGTTGCCAATGCCAGCACCAGCAGCGCAGCGCCTGTCGGAGCGATCGTAGGCGGCGTAGTAGGCGGCGTAGCGGGGCTGATGATCCTAGGCCTGGCCATCTACTTCTTCATGAGGCGGAAGCTAGCGAGCCCAGGGAGACCATACTTCTACCAAGAGGTCGGGGCCGGGGAGATGCTTCAGGATGGTACGTGTGCTCTGTATATGCGTTGTTTGACCACGTCCCGCTGACATCATGGTGTGCAGATCTGAAGCCAACTGATCTACCTATGACAAAGGTCACACCGTACCCGGTGAACGCAACAGCCCCTTCAGCGCCTTCACTATACTCTGAACCTCCCGCGCCCAGCGTCTCCGGATCCTCCTCCACGCAACCTGCAGCTCAACCTGCATTCCCGCCTGGACTTGCTGCATCAGCAGGCGGCAGCGTGCACTCCCAAAACAACGCGCCACGCCCGACTTCCCCGCATCAGAGCAACTACTCATCCTCTGCGTCGGCTTCGAGTTCGCAGCGGCCTACGCTCACTCTTGTCGATGGCCCCGAGGATGCATACGCCTCGCCGATCCAACCCACAGTAAGGCGGCGGAGGCGGGCTTGCTCTCCGTGGCGAAAGAGAGCACGTACCACCAGGACTCCGGACTGCGATTCAACGCGCTGGGAGAGGGCCCGTCCGGGGCGGCTGGTCCGTCCACTGCAGACGACATACCCACTGACGTCCCTCCGTCTTACTCAGAAGTTTGAATGCACGGACACACATTTTGTTGCTTTCGACATAGCTATCGCTCGTCAGGGACTTTGTTACGTGCACCATCTGTTTTACGGTTCTGTTTGCTGTGCTATTAGGGATTGGGTCGCACGCTATGTATGGACTCGCGTTTTGCACGACCTCGCAGTACTTCGCCTTGCGCAAGCGGGAGGCTGAAGGCTCAGCGCTCGGCTTTCATGTTGGATGATAGTATTCAAGAGGTGCGTGCAATATGCATCCTGTATGCTTGCTGATTGGTTCACGATCTTCGCGCGACAGCGCTACGTCGCCCCGTAAATCAGGGGCGTACATACCATATGCAAGAAGTCAGTAGGCGAGTACGGACTCGAGGCACGCCGCCCGTCGATCACCGGTAAGTAAATAAGCATTCATTGAAGGACGCTCGGGCTCACGTTGGGCTCACGGCTCGCTGATGTTGATTTCTGGGGTGCTTCGCTCATCATGGGCAACGTAACGTTCCAAGGTTGTATGCACGCTGTAATGTGCGTACTAATAGTGAGCTTGGAGTTTGCTGGTTCAACTGGAGTGCTCCTATCAATGGCAAATTGAGTGCAGAGGGCGATATCATCAGGTGGGCCTGTGTATGGAGGTGAAACTGTGCCTCCCTTCCCGTCCTGCGTCTTTGATTCGGACTACATCAGCGCCCGCGCACCAATCATGCCGTACTGGGAACCAGCGGGCGAGTCAGCGACTCATGCGTTCGGCAAGCTACCATTGCGGGTCGGGTGGAGATAAACCGAGACATTCTGCGACGAGCCGTATTCCTTTCCCTCCTCGTTCCTTCGTGTCCCGGGCCTTCTGTGCCCCCTACGCTCTTACGCTCACATTCACGTCCCCCCTCTTTGTTATTCCACGTCGCTCATTATGTCGTCGACAGAGAACGTCGTCGCAGTATATCCTACGAGTTCCGTCTTGATCTGCAGGGGAATGGACAGACCTCACGGTCGCGGGAACTCTGGCTCGTCGGCGACCGTCGCAGTCGGTGTGGCGGGCGCATCTGGGTCCTTGAAGTTCACCGGTGAGCAGGGCAGCAGTACTTTGCGCGCGCGAGCCCTCTGACATCCTATCCTGGTAGGTACCAGATCGGCGTCTACGGCTTGCTCGAAGCGGGAAAGCCCATCCAGTCGACGTACTCCATCGACGGCGCGTCGACGGACACGTACGTCGGGCCGTCGAACGTGACGCAGACGCAGACGGAGGTCGAGTTCTTCATCTCGCCGACGCTCAGCGCGGGCGAGCACCAGCTCGTGTTCAACGTGACGAACGCGACCGCGGACAACCAATTTGTCCTCCAGTTCATCCTCTATCAGGCGACCGGGACCAAGGCGTCGGGCGTCGCCGGTGAGTCGGCGACGGCGACGGCGCTCGCGACGGACGCAGGTGCGGCGAGCACGGCGGCTGCGGCTGCGGCCTCGGGCGGGTCGAGCACGAATGTGGGCGCGATCGTTGGTGGTGTGGTGGGCGGCGTGGCGGGCCTTGCGATCATTGGCATCCTCATTTCTTTTGGATGAGGGGACGGAACCGCCGGCCGTACTTCTACGCTGAAGCAGGAGAGCTGCTGCAAAACGGTGAGCATCGACATTGCATTGCGATGCACGTGAGGACGGGGTGCTGATAATCCGCCACCCCGCAGAAGTGAAGGCGACGCCCTTCACCAAGGCGCCACATACGAGCCCGACGTGCCGTACGGAGGGACCCGCAGATGTCCACTATGGCGGATCGGCCCCTCACAATACACCGCGGTGAACGCACAAAACCAGCCTGCACAGCCCAGCGAGGCAGGCGGCAGCAGCGCGTACTCGTCTGCAGGAGGCTCCAGCAGACCGACGCTCGCGGTCGTCGGCGGCCCGTATTAGGTCCTCTCCCAACCAGGCGCACAGCAAGGCAGCGGAGGCTGGGCTGCTTTCCGTGGCAGGGCAGCCGACGTTCCATGCGGATTCCGGGGTACGGTTCAATGCCTCCGGACAGCCTTCCGGGTCGGGCGGTGGACATGACGAACACACGCCTGTGGACGTCCCTCCGTCGTATTCGGAAAGTTGAAGGGGCGGCTCGATATTTGCATTATCTATGTTTGCTTTATCCGGCATCATTGCATTCTTGAACGGTCTCTGTGCCGTGTCCTCGCTTGATACCTTATTGCGCCTGTACTTCGAGTCAGGCGTGGGTTCGAGCGAGTGCGAAAGTACAGCGACCTCGTTTCGGATCCATTCAGGTACCTTATCACTTGTAGTCTATTCTCAATCGAGCTGCTCAAGACGTACTGGGGCGCATCGTCAGACAGTTGAACTGAGTCGTCATCCCCGCGACTGCTGCCTCACCCGAGTGTACTGCATTCTTCAACTGGCGCTCTACCGCCGGGCGTATCCCACGCGATACAAAGTCGAACCATTGCCGATACTCCCGCCCGAATAGCCCTATATGGGACTGCGTATGAATGTCGGGCGCACAGCCGAAGTGACGGCGCCCGCTGCAGTTCGGGCCTCCATATAGGGTGCTCGGAGGGAGTGCCTCCGGGGCGGTGGGAGGAGTGAGGGGAGATGACGTGTCATCGGGCGGAAATGAAGGGGATCTATTGTTCGCGGTCTGTTAACGCTGGATTGTGTACAGCACCTTTCAGGCGCGGCGGCGCCTCGTCGGCGGTCGCGCCCACGGTGAGTCAAGCTGAGCGAAAGGACCGTTGTGTGGCGTCTGCAGCAGCGAGAAATTCGAGGAGCTTCGTGCTCGAGACAGAGTTCGATGGCTTCAAGATCAAAGGCTGTTCGGGATGAAGGGCGATCGAGGAATTTACGTAGCCGAGGAGGGAGGAGTGCGAGGGGTGAGTCGGTGGTTGCCTTTCTGGGAGGAGGGCGCTGATTGGCGCGGAGGCGCGGCAATTGTTGGCCTGATTTGGAGCGTGGGTCGGGCGTGCCTCCCAGCCACCGTACACCGGTCAAGTTGCGGCGCTCGCGTATAAAGCACGTCCCTCCCCCTTCTTCCCCCCACGGATGTTCAACCGCAACCACCACTAGCGCAACAGCTGAACACGTCCCGTCTCACGCGCAACTCGTACAGCGCACTTAGCACATTCAACGCATCGATGCAACGTCTCGCACGTTGGGTCGCGTCAGGTTTGAGTCCCTCCCCCCTGCCACAACCATCGGAGGGGATCGAGGGAGAGCGGTCAGTGGATGTGTCGACAAGAGTTGAGGAGGCTGGAACGTCTAACGTGAGTGAAACGCCACATCCCTTGTCAAGAGTCGTGCGTCCTCAAGGTCGTTCAAAGTCAACAAGTGCCGCAGAGCGGCCACATAGCCCCCCAGCGGAAAAGAAAGACAAATCCGCTGCGAATGACGAACAAGTGCAGCGTAATGCTGCCCTTCTTGCTGAACTCGGTATTAAGACGCGAGATTTCGCGTACGAGAGCAAGCTGCCCCCTATCCGGTCCGTTCCCTACGTACCCGTCCAAACGGTGCGCCTCGCGTAGCAAGCCCGCTCAAACGCAAGCGACGCGACGAAGATGAGGGGCCTGTAGAAGAGTACGAGGGCCAAACCTTCTCCTTCACTGCGGAGAAGGGGGGCAAGACACGGCGGAAGAAACAGAAGCTGGTACCGGTGGAGCGAACGCCCACCGAGCCAGTGGACTTTGAGGATCCCCCCGCGCATCCTCACGGCCAGTGCGCACCTACGGTGTCGCGACTTCTCGCACATGCTCGCCGTCCTCGAGCACCCTTCCCAAACTTCGTACCCGCGCACGCCTCCCCGCCACTCTTCACCACCAACGCCCCTCACACGCCGGCCCTCGCAGCCAGCGGGTGATGCGTCCCCCTCCCAGTTGCGTCCCAGGGCACGTCCCAGGACACAGAGGGATGGGTAGTACCCCGTGGTGACGCCCAAGGCTCACTGCATGCACCCGTCGAGGTCACCAGTGCCGTCCCCGCGTCCAGCTCGACACGCCCTCCCGCCTCCCCCCGCCCGAAGATGTGACCTACTCACAGCTCGGGTTCACCCCTGACCGGTCGCCCTCAAGCGAGCCGGCCCACCGCGAGGCGTCACCGCCGCCAATACGTCCTCTGACGTTCACCCCGACCTCGGGGACACCCAGCGGCTCGTCACAGCCGCCCCCATCGCTGCCTGCCACTCGGCGACGCCGCGGGACCGCCGCCGCCACTGCTCGCGGTTCGACCCGGAGGACCCGGCAACACGACGTCGTCGAGCCGCCCGCGCCCGCGCGCTCATCGCGGTACAACCTCCGCGAGAGGACCGCTCCCGTGCGGGGAGTACCCGCCGTGAAGTCCCGTGCTGTGCGCGCGAATGCGTCGCGCCAGGAGGGAACGGGGAAGGGCGCCGCGTCGCCCCCGAAGAAGGGCAAGGGCAAAACTGCCCAGGCGTCTGCGCCCAAACGAGGGCCCAAGTCTTCCCCGCCAAAACGGACGACGAGGAAGACTGCGAAGCAGGCACTGTTAACATAGGCCGGTCACCCTTTGGACGGCCGAGAACGACGACGGAACGAATGAACGAGCATGAAGAAGCGAAACAAAAGGTGTAAAATAATAAACGGCAATGGTGTCAAGGACGGCTCGACACGAGCGGCCAAAGAGAATTCACGATTAACTTGTGGGTGGTTTTCTATTCTCTCTATTGGCGTCGGCGTGTTCTCAAGTGTTGCCCGCATTGGCGTTTGCAGTATCCCTCATACCTATTGCGGTCGAAACATTTGCCCACATTCCGCCTATCTCTATTCCCATTCCCATTCCCATTCCCAGTCCAATCAATTCCATTCCTATCGGTCTCCATCAGCACTCCCATCCTCATACTCATTTCCATTCTCACAAACAAGGACACAGAAGATGATGACGCATTCAAGATCGTGTATTGAGCATCGCATTGCTATTTTGTTGTACCCGTGTCCCGCTCTCGGATCGCTGTCAGTCTAGCATACCAGTTACCCAGTTGTAGCTCTAATGGGGGTGAACGCAATTATTTCTCTTATCTGACATCACTCCTCGACGGAAATGAGAGCAACTGATCGTGTGCCGGTTCCAATGGTCTGACTGAACATATTGGAAGAGACGCAGACACGTCTGCATTATGGTTGAGTCGGACGGCCCTTAAGTAACACGCAGTATTGAGCGGGTCTTGTACACAATCGACGAGTCACATTGTAGTTCCTGAACTACAGCTATGCAAGAAACAGCACCAGTCCGTAGAGCCTAATGATACAGCTGGCGTCGTAATAACTTAGATCCTCCAACGCTACAACCGAATATCCGCTAGATGAGGTATCGCACTTAGGTTCGACGTCCTATCGCCCGTCACTCTGCATATACCCATCCCCTCGCGATGGCCAACTGAAGGACATCGCCGGCGCACGCAGGGCCAGTAGGGTCTACCACCGTCTTCGGCACCTTCGCTGGCGCCTGCGTCTTCCGCCTCGACTTGCGGCTGACGGGCTGGGGCTTGCAGGCCGCGACGCAGCGGCCGAGCAGCTCCTCTATCTCGACGAGGCAGCTGTAGCACTCGCGTTCTGTGAAGGCGAGCTCGCTCATCCGGGTGGTGGTCTTCCTCGCGGTGGACGGGGGACGGAGGCGCTTCGAGTGGAGGAGCTTCTGTGCGAGGTAGTGCAGCCACTGCAGCGAGAACCGAGTCAGGCTGTCGGTCACGGCATGGATGCGGTCGTCAACTCACCATGACGTTCGTGAGTGGACGGTACGCTTTCCAGGAATCACCGTTGTGCACCCGCATCATCCGGTACACGTCGAACTGGTAGTCTCCTGACGCTTCGCGTGAGCAGAGATTCCTGCGGGAGAATTCGAGCGACGTACCCTCGCCTTCGAAAATCTCTTCTTCGAACGGCGTCCAATGCGTCTCGGTCCCGCCACTGTCCGAGGTCTCCATGCGAGCGAGGCCAAGATCGATGACGGTCGCTTCTATGCCATGCGACTCGTCGTCCATGGGCGTCTTGCTCAAACCTCGGTGCGACGTGGATGTAGTAGGTCCCGTCTTCACCAGAATCTGGCCCCAGTGCAGGTCGCGATGCTGCAGGTAGATGTCAGCAAGAGAGTACGGCATGAACATTCTGAGCTACAACGAACCTCAAAGCGGACGAGGTCTTCTGCCTCTGCTAACGTACGTGTGACCTGCCAGAACAAGCTGCATGCCTGCTTCCAGCCCGTCTTGGCCGCGGTCTTGAAGGTGAACGTCTCAAGATCGGGCCCACCGTTGGGCAGGACGATGATTGCGTATAGCTGCGACACGTTGAAGGTATCTAGGGCATCGCATTATAAGTTGTTGTAGTCAGAGAGCAGCAGCGCAATCGTGCGCTTACCTGGTCGTACGCTCTCGCTGCCCTTCTTCGTGTTATAGTTATCCCAGAGGTCGAGCAGCATCGAAGGATACCTGCCGCGTACCACGTACGTCCTCAGGAGCTTCACAAAGCCATGGCACACTTCTCCCATTGCACGAGTGACGATGATCTCCTTCAGCACGTCCCTTGCATCACTCGGCGCTGGAGACTCCAGTCCATCATCATCCGTAGAGACATCCGGGCGCTCTTCGTCGCGTAGCGGGATGACCTTCAAGACGACATCGCCGATGCCAAACACCTCTGAGTACGACGCCTCGCCAATCTTCTGGAACGTGGCTGGTGCCTTGGCACCGCCAACACTAGTTTTGGCATCGAGGTAATCGCTGTATACGATTGGGTCCATAGGGAAGAGGTCAATGAAGGCGGAGAACTCGTGGGGGGTCTGTTGCGCGCATTCTTCCAGAGCGGCAGGAGGTGCGCTGGCTGCGGAGGCACATGTACATCCTCCACCGATTTGCGTGTCGTCGGAGATAGCGCAAGGTTGGAGAAGTCGAAGGAGAGGTCAGGTCAGTGGGTGTCGTCGGAGAAGGCGGGGAAGGGGGAGCAGGGAAGATGGAGGCTCGGCCGCGCTGGGCACGGTATGGCGTGCCTTTGCGTTTCTTGGCAGAACGCAGAAATGGCGGCTGGCCCGGAACGAGGAATGGTCGATTATGCAGCTCGGGGATGGCTCTTCGGGGCTTGATGACTGGGGACGGGGATGGGGAGGCGCGGGCATACGAAGGTACGATGGGTTTGGGCGTCCATGGAACGAATACAGGTGCTGGTGGTGGAAGAGCAGATGTCGCGTAGGCAGCCTTTGGGGCAGCTGTTTGTTTGAGTATGGACTTCCGTTGCAAGCGGATAAGCGGTGAGGAGGAGGATGAACCTTGACTGTGCTTTTGCGGAGCCTGACGAGGCGATTTCGCAGAGAAGTCTGGTTTGGGAAGTCTGGCCAACGGAGCATTGTCTTCCCCTTCTGTGTCAGAGTCGTCGGATATAACGATGGGCCGTGCCTTGGTTCCTCGCTTCATCTTCGCCGGCTTGGGAGCAACGTTCTCATTCGCATCGGACGAAATGTCAGAATAGCGCGGCCGACCTGATGGCCTTCTTGTCTTCTGAGTGCCCGTTGTTACTCCGTCTGCACGGTTGACCTGTACGTCTGTTCTGGATACACGTCGCTCCTGGCTTACTCGGCGACCTGCGTGGTCGAGGACCATGATGTCAACGGTAACAACCGGAGACAAAGACACAAGTGGTGACGCCTTGGAGGAGTTAACTCTGCGTTTCTTGACAATTGAAGGTACAGCAGGCGAGCCGGGGGCATTGGGAGAGAAGACCGCCAACGGGTGACGGACAGGTACGGATACCTCAGCTTTGCCTACTTTCGCAGTCTTCGGTGATTTCTTCGGCTTCATAACAGTCTTTCTCGTTGGCTTGATGGATGGTTCGGGGTCTCGCTGGGGCTTCCGCTTCGCGGTAGGCTTTAGCTCTGGGGATAAATCCCACTGGGCCGAGTACCTGTTCTTCGAAGTGGGCTCCAGGCGCGTATTCGCATCATACGACTTTGCTTCAAGATTTTCTGAGCGCCGGTAGTCGTCCGAAGCATCGACTATGCGCCGCCCACGCCGTCCGTAGGCGACAACCTGTTTCGTTCTTCCGCTAAGCATTGCGATAATTCTGAGAAGGCCATGTCAGTACTGCTATGAGCCGAGGGTGCCTGCTACCCACAGAGCCCAGATACACGTACACCAGTCTCTGAGCAGAGCCAGAAGCATATACGGCGAACGGGCGGGCGAGATGGTGATGATCGAGTTCAACCTGTTCAGCCACCCAAGTTCAAGTTCAACTCGTTCGCGACGCGTTTGACCACGTGCCACGCGTACCGCGTTCGCCAGCGCCTACGCGCTCTTTCCACAGCAGGGACGCGCATTATACGCGACTTGACGCGACGTGCCACCATACTTGCCTGGCCAAGCACCTTCTTTCCATCGGGCTCCGTACTGAGATATCTATCTTCTCCTTGAATCGTCTGAATGGCACTGCCGCCACCTCTACGAGCATCTGTTACGCCTGCTGAGCTGGAGCTGATCGCCTGTGAGCAGCTTGTCGAGATCGTCCCTCTCGTCGCGATGGAACGAACTGCATTATATCTGTACGAATTAGTCTTTTACGGACTTTTCCGTTGACGACGCGTATCAGGGAGCTACGGACCCCTGCGACCTCCAGCGAAGTGCAAGGTACCAATATGGATGGCCACCAACCTAAGCTGAAGAAGAAGTGCCACATCGTCCCGCCAGACTGGCTTAATGTAGGTATGGTGATCCACATCCTGTACGCGAAGAGCATTGCTAAGCGTGCGTGCCAGATTTCTTGCAGGATAGGCTAACACGCGAAACCACGCAACCTGAGTTCAGTGAACTGCCATTTCGTTTCGCGGAGGTCGCCAAGGTCCTGTTAGACGTGTGCGTACAACCTCAGAGCACGGGGGCCATACATGTTGACTCTAGGCTCAGCGCATCAGACGATATATCAAATCCAGACAAAGTTCGTTCACTACTCCAAGACATCCGCGAGGCACGACAAGCCAAGAGTCGAGACGGTGTGTCGAAAATCGATCACAGTGAACTTAGTGTAAGCACTTGAACATTGTGGTAGCCACATATCCCACTGACGGCGATTGTACAGCTCCCAAATCTCTGCGCCATGGAAATCAATGAAATCCGACCGTTCTTCGTGCGTTCGATGGGCGTCTTGACCCAGCTCGTACGGCAACAGGATCCAGGACAAATGGACCAAATGGAATGACAGGGTACCAGTTTTCAGCACCATAGCATGTCACCTATTCGTGTATATCATCTGTACAACATGTATTTTCTCCACCACTGTATACCAGAATTGTATTGATGACCCAGTCCGCAAAGCCGTCACCGCTTCGCCAGCAACAGTTCCTTCAGCTCTCTCATCTGCTCCCTCATCATCTCGATCTCGTTCAACATCAAAGCTTCGTTCGACTGCACAGGCGCAACACACATCATCATCCGCTCATTAACCACATACATGAGGGGACTTACCCGCGTCGTATCCGGGAACGCCTTCACAAGCTCCTCAAATGGCACTCTACTAATCTCGAGGCCTTTTGCGCGGTCACCCGGGTGCACGCCCGGGTCCTCGAACTCGGGCGTGTCCTCGCCGCCTTCGTCTGGATGTGTGAAGAAGTCGCGGATCCACCGGTTCTTGGATGGGTCCAGCTCGGCCTCGTACAGAGCGATGGCGCAGAGCGGGATGAAGAACAGGACCATCATGACGCAGCGGTTGACCTTATGCGGAATATACGATTAGTATGATAGTCTCCTGGGGACGGGCAGAGCTTACTCTGTCGTATGTTCGCTTGCTCACGAAGAATCTAGATGAAGAAGTCTGATGAAGGCAAATCCATTTCCTGATGATGGAGCACTTACTCGAGAGGCGCGACGAGAAGGATTTCGACGATATTGAACGGAGCGGGATAGACATACTCGTCAGGTGCACGAATCATACCGCCAACTTTACCAGCAAAGTACGTGAGGTACTCCGCAGCAGCGTCCTCAACAACCTTCAACGGTATAATCAGGGAGAGGAAACAGTAAGAGAGAACAGTTGACTGACATCGTCATACGCCGATGAGAACAGCGAGATGAGAACGTTGATGAGGATGACAGCGGTCGCAATGTTCCAGCTAGACGAAGGCATCCGTTCTCACACATGCACCAGTTGAGAAGGAAGAGTGCGCACCCGTAGTACAGCCATTGTCCCGCAGTGCTATCACACGCAAGTTGAGACCCGTCAGTCATCTGAATCGCGACGAATACTCCCACCTGTTAGCGAACATGTCGTAATTCGGTGACCTATTGCATATCCAACATGAGATCATAAGCAGCAAAACCACGACAGCAAAAAGAACACGGACTGTAGCAACGCCTGGATCAAGACATGCACAACCTATCCTCGCCAACAAACAAACCAGCAGCCTTGAGTTCCTCTTGTATCAATGAAAGACCCGAGAATAAACGCACCTCATACGCATGGTCGTTCTGCCCGTCTGCAGCGTCTATGCATACAGTCCCTGCAAGAACCCGATGCCGAGCAGACCTAACAGCTACAAGCCATGTTTGAGCGCCAACCCAAGGAGTATCCCGAAGGATGGACCCACCCCGAAGAATATACCCGACTCCTTCAGCATGCGCGCGACGCAAATCTGCATCGTCCCCACGGGCCTGAGGGCCGGTTAGCCCAACCTGCACTGCATCGCTAAACTGTCCACGTACTGGAACCCATCGAATATCGGTATGACCTCTGCATCACGCCATTGGTGAGCATAGGGTACTTACCCGCACCTACCCGCAGTATATCTCACTCACTCATCCTACCCCAAACGACGCGATCAGTTTCCACATCAACCCATCTCGACAGTTCCTTACCAAATCAAAGGCGCGACGAAGCTCAGACACTGGAACGCGCGCAGACGGAACGTCACACTCTGCGGCTCCACGGAGAAGATCCCCGCGACGCGCAGCACGAAGGCGACGGTGAGGAGCGAGTCGGTCGTCACGCTAATGATGTCCCAGAATCCGAGCGTGCGCCATGAGACGAACAGGAGGAGCTTGAAGAGCTAGTACGCGCGATCAGGGGAAGGGGCGGGAGTATGTAGAGTTCGGCAGACTGACCTTGTGCAAATCTACGGCAATGTTTCGAGCGCGTTGAGAACATGGCGCGTACATATTCTGGCTCAGACACTCACCGTCGAAGGAGAACGCGAGGCCGAGGACGTACATGACGACTTCCCAGAAGTCCAATTCGGAATGCTCGGGGTTTAGCTTGTCTAACGGTTCACGCACTAGTACAAACACCATAAGCTAATTTGCTGTCCAAGCCTCTTGAAACAACTCACCTGCTTGAGAGTACGCAAACAAGAATAATATCCAAACTACGATACGGAAGATGTTTTGGTATCTGTAGTTCTCAATATTGTGAGCGGGAGGCAACAATCAAAGCTAAGTTATTGACAATACCTTGGTACCGAGAGGCGTCCAGGGCTCAAATGAGCCCAGAAGCCGTCATAGCCATATTGCCTGTACGGCACGACTGCGTGGAATCAATGTCAATGTTAGAAGCGATGCCTGGTGAAAAACGGAGCGCACAATCAATTTCATGATCGTCTTCATGCTTCTGCACAAGCTGTCCTCGCCATAGGAAGTTGATAACTAGTTACAGAAAACTTCAACCTGCGAACAGCTTCGAACATCGTGGTCCTTACTGTCCTGTGCTTCCGTCGAAGACAAAAATATTGTACTATGTCGATGCAACATCAGTGGGCCTGCAAGGTCTGCAGAGAGCAATGCGAGGCAGACCAGTGAGAATCGATAGCCAGCTCAAGAGCACTCGCTTTCTCGCTGTCATCCTCATCGACCTCTTTGAATCTGAATCGGGTGGACAGCATGACGACAGTCTTGTCGGGCGGAGCTAGATGAATGACGCGACGGGCGAGGACTTCGCATGCGATAGCTGCATAGGTCGGAAGTCAAACAACTTTCAAAGAGTACAGACATAGAGCGCACATACCCCTTCCCAGGTTCTCTCCATAGTCCGCAGGATTCGTATTGGCATCCCACATGAACTCTTTCCGAGCCCTTAGCAAGGCATATGGCAACTACCAATTCGTGAGCCAGATGCAATGGGGTGTCAAAATCCTACTTACTGCTTGCACGAAGTCTCCTGCAGCTCGGGTGTATGCATCGATGACCTGCGGGGTAATGACCCTGCTCGTTGGATCCTCAATGCTCTCTGGCGACACTTCCACTGGCAATAGCTTGAGTGTGAGCGCGCGTACGCGCTTGATCAAGTCTGTGCGATAGCTTCAGTTTCCAGCCCTCGTTGTATGCCCGGTAACGCGTACTGGTCACGGTCTCTGGCTCTGGGCGGTTGCGGGAATAGTAGGCAGCGGGGAGAAGGCCTGCACGGTCATCCTCTGCGTCGCCATTTATTCGTTCAGACATTCGGAATCCTACAGCGGTCGTATGTCGAAGAACCAAGAAGCTGAAGAACACACGGAGGCAGCGCGCAGCAGTGTGTTCGCGGTGCGCAGAGGCCGCGAGAGGTCGGGGCGGGCGTGCCTGAATGACGCACAGAGCGCGTTCCGGTCACATGGCCGTAACTGACCGCCCCTCGGCATCGCCCGTCCAACAGCTCGCTGTGGCGATCGCTTGACTGCGAGTACTGCACCCTGCCAGACGCGTGCACGCAACCATGCCAGTAAGCCCGCCCATTCACTGCCTTACCGGTTTTGACGTGTTTGTTAGGCATACCATTCGTCGTTCAATGAGGAGCCAGACATCCGCCAGGTCGGCAACATGGCCGTCCTGCCCATCAAGACCAAGTTTCGTGGTCCAGCACCACCAGGTGCGCAGCGCCCACTCGATCTCCCATGAATCTTGAAAGCAAACATCGTACACGTTTAGCGGACTACTCACAAGCCGACGTCATCGACGAGACCATCGACCTCTTCCGTGCCAACTCCCTCTTCCGCAACTTCGAGATCAAGGGCCCCGCCGACCGCCTCCTCATCGTCCTCATCCTCTTCGTATCCGACTGCCTCGCAAAGATCGGCTCTGCGCGGACGGTTCCAAGCCAGCTAGAGGCCAACAAGATGCTGAACACGCTATCCGTGGACAACTTCCCTATTCCCGGCGATGCCACCTTCGTTCTGAACGCGCATTACGCGCCTCCCGCCAGCAGGGCTGATGCCGGTATGATGTGTCTGTTCGTCTGCGTCGTCTGTTTTCTCAGCTATTATGACATCCAGATTACCTGCGACAATATTTGGTCCAGGTGCGGCAAGAGCTCGCTGCGCGTCTCGTGGAGAAGCTGTATGCAGACGGCACGGGAAAGCCCAGCAAGTGGTGGATGTCGTTCCAGAAGAGGCGCTTCATGAGCAGGAGCACTTGAGCCAAAGCAATGGATCGTGTACGCATATCCAAAGATGTACTCTTTATTTTATTAATCCTCTGGAAACCTACAACTGGCTAACCCTACGAAGAACTGCGTCGATCGTACATGCTAACTCCCAACCACGTCTCCTCAGCCCAGCTTATTTCTTCCTTCTCCTCTCATTAGGGTTCTTCTTCCCGTACCCAATGACCGGCATATCCCCATCAAAGCCCCTACTCCTCATACTCCTCCCCTTCCCGCCCGCGCTCGCGCTCATAATCTCCGGCACCCAATCCGGGTCCATCCAGCTGCCCAGAGCTGCTCCGCCCTCGCCTATCCCCCACGACTCGCCACGCTCAAGAGCCTTTTCTCTTCCCTGTCGCGCTTCCCGTCCGCGCGCTTTTTCGCGCGCTGCCACGCGAGCTGGTCCTCGCGCAGGACGAGGCCATCGCCCGGCCCGCCCTTCGCGGTGCCAGGCTTGGGCGCGGGGATGGAGTAGATCGTGCCCCGGGTTTTGAACTGGAAGTTCCTCTTGAGGTGCACTTGGAGTGCGGGTGTGTTTGGCCCGGCGGTGGGTGAGGAGATCGTGACGGAGGCCCGCAGGAGGGAGGGGTTCCCGCAGGAGGGGCAGAACTTGCGTGAGTTGTCCTTGCAGATTCTGAGAGTGAAAGTGTGAGCGCTCCCGTCTCCGATGGATGACTGGGGAAGAAAGACGCACTTAAAGCAAGCATGGCATCGCAACACCCAGCTCTTCACCCGCTCGATCCGCTTCCCTTCCACGCTCACCAGCCCCAGACCCATCTGCAATAGCACGTTCTGCATCGCAAAATCCGCAGTCATACACCCTACGGGGATATGCTCCCGCTTGCCCTTGCCCTTCTTGCCCGTCTTGTCGGATGGCAGCAGGTTCAGCGCGCGCGATTTGTGCAGAGCGACGTTAGATGGGGTGATCCACTCGCCCTCGCCCTCGTCGTCGTCATCGTCCGAAGGGTCGTCGTAAAGCGGTTCAGGCCGTGAGTCCGTGTGGGCTGCGTTCGGTGGTGCACTAGATGGGATAGTAGATGAGGCAGGCTGTGAAGGTGTTTCTTTCGGCTGCTCCTCCTGATCTCGTATTGGCTGCAATTCCACGTCCAGAGGTTGCCTCTCTTGTTCGTCATCTTCTGCTTCATAATCGATACCGGCCTTGGTCTCCTCTACCTCCTCATCCTCGTCCAGATCTGACGATGATGGTATGTCCGTGTTGTTGTCCGCGTCGAATGGCTCTTCTGCACCGTTTCTTCACCAGCCAGTTCATCCGCTTCCTCATGCTTGGGATCTTGAGCTCTTTTGGCTGTGATTTCAGGTGTCCCCTGAACATCGCTCGGGGTACTCGCATCGTTAATCTTCGCAGGCAGATCAGTCATGCTTTCGCGAAGGATCCTCCCCAACGCACCTTCTCTGCCTCTCCGGAAGTCTTGGTTTGCTCCCTCTCCTTCACGTCCAACGCATATGTCAAAGCCAACACACACAGATCCGCATGCGAGAGCACCGAGTAATCACCCGTCTTCTTCGCAGACTGTATCACTATCCCTCTCTTAGCTCTCCCTACCACACACCTACCAATAGATCGCACTCACCATGTGCCAGCGACGCGGCGTCAGGGCCCCGCACGTCGATCCTCACGCCCGCCGACAGTCCGAGCCTCTCAAAGTGTTCCCTGGCGCGCTTGTCCTTCAGCTCCTCGAGCACCTGCGGCACGGTGTAGTACGTCTCTGCGAGCCCGCGCAGGGGCGAGAGCGAGAGCAGCGGGCCCGCGTCTAGGACGAGGTGTTTGCAGGTGGGTTTTGTGTTGGTGGATGAGGAGGCCATGTCTGCAACGGCTAGCGGTAGTGGTGGCTGCAGGTGCTAGAAGTCAAAAATTCTGTGGAGGACGGATCGCGATCTCGATCGAAGACGCTGTCGTCAAATTCGGACATGCGAATTTGACCGCCACCTGCCACTGTTCGCCGGGGCAACTTGGCCCACTGGCCGATGTCTTCCTCTCCTGTATGTTCAATTTCTGCGACGCTCTTGCTTTCGACGGTCGTTGACCTCACCATTGTGATATATGTCATTCTGGATCTAGAAGTGACCACAAGCCTGATTATCCCAGACGTACGTTCAAGGTCACATCGTCCGGGTATGTACGAAGACCGCCGACCGGCTCGGTCTGGCGACCCTCGCCTTGTGGACTGTAGTGGACCGGATCCTGGCTACATCGGAGCGTCGAATTCTCCGTTGTGTTGGACCTGTTGTGCGTTTCAGAGTTAAAATTCCTTGCTATTATTAATCGGATTCTTCGGACGCAACGTAGTGCAGGACGAGATGTCGCTCTATCATCATGGCGGCGCGTACGGTCATTGCATATAGCCTGACTGCGTACTGCAACACGGTTTCTCTCACCTATTTCTCTGTCGTCCACTGAAACCTTTACTACCAATATGACTCCTCAGCAGATGGCCGCGCGCGTCCAGCAGCTGAGCAGTCAGATTCACTCCCTCGAGCAGAACATCGACCACCGATGTATCCTGCGCGATCAAGCCCTGGACCGCGCCAACTCGTTGGAGAACTGGCTTTTAACTCAAGCAACGAATCATCCTCGTTCGTCCGCTCAATTCACTCTGATCATTAACTTCTTCGAGGTCCACTGACTTTTGGGCACATCGGCAGACGCCGCCGCGGCGCGCGTCAGCCTCATCCAGGCGCAGAACGTCGTCCGCGAGTCCGACGTTCATATTCGAAACGGCCAGAACCAGATGGCCTCTCTCACGCAGCAGCGCTACCAGCTCCAGGCCAACCTACAACGCGTGCAATGGAACGCGTATAATGCCAGAGTTGTGCAGTTGAACCACAACGCACGCGCTGTGGCCCGCCGCTGAGGTTGAGGCAGCGTAGTTTGTATATCAAACGCCGCCAGTACTAGTTGTGCGTGAGAGCCTCAAGTGACACACGCCTGATTCACACTGACCTGACTCCTGAGCCCTCAGGTTGTTCTCCAGCACCGCAATGACAATAAATTCGGTTTCCAAGCTAGCATCAGTTTGTGCCCTGTCGACATGGTAGAGTCGTATCAAGGTGTTGAATGGTTTGATGATTGTTCATCTTGACAATGTGGGTTCTACCAGTATGCTCTCAGCCTCAACCATCAACGGCTTCGACCATCGGTCAAGCAAGCTACAGTGGTCTCCACTCGATTGAGATGGAAGTACTAAACATACAACTGGTGTTGCTACACGAGGGAGACCTGGGGCTACGCACTCAGTACGCTTTCATTGCTGCAACACCGTCACGCCAGTGATGCCTTCAGGACCTCGACAATCTTGTCACCGATCTCCGTCGTCTTCACGCTCCCGCCAAGATCCGCCGTTCTCAGCTCGAAGCCGCCGACATCCTGGTTGTCAAGTACCTTCCGTACGGCGCCTTCGATGGCCTGCGCGTACTTGTCGAGACCCAGCGAGTACCGGAGGAGCATCGCCGCGCTGAGGATAGTGCCGATCGGGTTCGCAATGCCCTTTCCGGCAATGTCGGGTGCGGAGCCGTGGATGGGCTCGTAGAGACCGTACGTCGGCTTGAAGTCCGGTGAGAGGGCATCCGTGACGGAGGGCGCGCCCGCAAGGGATGCTGACGGGAGCAAACCGAGCGATCCAGGAATGACACTGGCCTCGTCCGAGAGACTGGATTTCTCACGTCAGTATAGCGAGAACGACAGTGCGATATTACTCACATGTCTCCGAAGAGGTTCTCCGTGACGAGGACGCCGTTCAGCTTTTTGGGGCTGGCGACCATGACCATGGACGCCGAGTCGACCAGGGTGTGGTCTAGCTGGAGCTGGGGGTACTCATTCTGCAACGTCTCGACAACGACCTTCCTCCACAGCCTCGAGCTTGCAAGCACGTTCGCCTTGTCGACTGAGTGGATCGCCAACGGCGGGTTCGCATTCAGCGCGATCTGCGCTGCCACGCGCGTGATCCGCTGCACCTCAGGGATGCTGTAGATCATCGTGTCGTAGGCGACGTCGGGCTCCGATGCCTGACCAAGCTCTTTACGTTCGCCGAAGTACGCGCCTCCAATTAGCTCGCGGATGATGATGATGTCCGTGCCTTGGGCAATCGAGGCCTTCAGCGGGGAGTATGCGAGGAGCGAGTCGGAGGCGAAGTTGCATGGCCGGATGTTGGCGTAGAGGCCGAGGGCTTTACGGAGCCCCAGAAGACCTTGCTCAGGGCGCACTTTGCTGTTGACGTCCCACTTGGGCCCGCCGACCGAGCCTATGGTTAGGTCTCAGAATGTACCAAACCATGAGAGGGCAAATGACATACCCATGAGGATGGCGTCGGCTTCCTTGCAAGCCTTGAGGGTCGACTCCGGCAATGGGTGGCCGGTAGCATCGATGGCACACCCACCGAAGAGGTGCTCCTCGAGCTTGAGCTCGATGTCCGGGGATGTAGCGGAGACGACTTCAAGCACCCGGACGGCCTGAGCAACCACGTCGGGGCCTGGGATGATGTTAGAGATAAATTAATCTGGGACTGATACGCGCTACATACCAATGCCATCCCCGGGGAGGACGACCACGCGGAATCTACATGATCGTGAAGAACTCAGCACGTATTCTCCCGAAAGAATTGGATGTGCTCACGACTTCTTGGGCATGATCGAGGAAGAGAGAAAGCGTTGTACGGATTACACCAAGCTGTCTCTCCGAGATATATGGTTTGCGGAGAGGGTTGTTCACGGAGGGCCGTTCAGAAGACAACGCGAGTCATAGGACATGGAGAGCCTTCTTCCGATGGATAATTGCGGTCACGTGATCGAGTATCGCGTCAGTATGTCCGCATCCGTGAAATCCTGGACGAGGAAACAGTACACGGTGAGTAGCTCGAACAACCAGAGGCGATTAGATGGGCTGCATGACCAGTACGTGCTGTTTATGCGGGTGCATTGGTATATAGGTGCCGACGCCCAACGATAAGTGATACTGCAGACCGGGGCCGACTACCGCTGCACCGTGACTTCTGGGTCGAACCCAAAACGACACGCCTGAGAACAGCAAAAGATTCCATTTATATCCGGAAGCACAACAGAGTCGGGGTGAAAGCAATAATAAATCGCGGTATCCCGTTAGAACATATTCGCAAGCTTGCTCGCTGCCTCCCTCGCGTCGAGCCTCGGCCTCTGCGGCGTCACCCTTACAGACTGAGACATAGTGATCGGCCTCCCCGTGAGCGGATCCACTGCCAGCGGCGATGGTTGCGGCGACGCAGCGCCGCTGGACGCAGGAACACCATTCGACGACCGCGAGAGCGAACCTCCTAGAGGGCCCATCGAGTTCGCCAATGGGTGCGGGGATGGCTGAGGCTGAGAAGCGGCAGCGGCGCTGATATATGTGGAACCGTGCAGAGGCGATTCCGGCATAGTCTTCCCCGTGGTGAGTGGCGAACTCGCGCGTGGAGCGTTGAACGTCGACGCGAGAGGTGATGACGGCGGCTTGACAAACATCGACTTCGTCCCATCGACGAAGCGCCCACCGAGAGGCGGACCATCCGCAAGGGGAGGGGCGAACGACGTCTGCTGGGGTCCCGGGGAAGACGGGCCGGCGCCGGGTGACTGCGGGGGCAGGGACCTGATGCTCGCTGAAGTCGAGGTAGCGGGCGACGCTGGCAAGGGCGGTTGAGGCGATGCGTTGGCAGCCCTGGAAGGCCCGGGTTGAGACGGTGACGCCGCTAGTGTCGGTGGTACCCTGAACGAGCCCGTGGGCGCCGCTGAAGCTGGGCGAGGAGCGGGTTTGGTGAAATCTTCGAGGGGTGGGACGTACGACGGGCGGGGTGCGCCGTTGGTCTTCGCCGGCGGGATGAACTTCTTGTTGGCATTGCTGATGTCGGGCTTGAGAGCCTCGAGTTCGCGCAGCATCTGGCGCTCGTACAGAATAGAGGAGCGGACGTGTTCTACGAGAGCCGTCGCCACATCTTCGGTGACAAGCTTTTTGTGCCTGTCGAGGGCTCGGTGCAAATTCTGCGAAATGCCTTCCGCACGCTTCGCCAGAATCATCTCGTATTTGTTTGCCTTCATTCATAGTGAGCTGGAGCGAAGCAGCTACCTATCAGAAATTGTAAAACGTACCTCCTCCATGTCTTCGAGTGCCTCATCGACCTTTTCTGCCCTGATATTACTACTTGCCTTCAGTCGTTCCAGAGTCCGACGCTTAGAGATTGACGCCTTGACGGCAGCTTGATAGTCCTCCAGCACCGCTGTTCGCTGCTGCAGAGTCTCTCTGGCAGACCGAGCGTTCAAACCCTGATAGCCCAGCGAGTCGCCGACAATCACGCATTCGCTGATACCCTGCGCCTGGTCGAGGTCTGCCACACTATGCCACGCCCTGCCAAGCTTCTGGAACGCATTCCCCAGCGGCGGGTGCGCCTCCGTCGTAGCCACGTTCACGAGTTTGTTGCCCATCTCCGCGCGCACAGCACCGAGTGCTACAATCCCCCATGATGGCGTGTCAGCTGTCAACGCAGAGATCGACAGACCGCAGGATGCACGCACTCTTTCGGGCCCGCGAGAGCTTGTCGATCGCCTTAGCTGCCTCGAAGTACTGTCCCTCCAGCTTCGTCAGCTCGAACCGCGCGCGCTGCAGCTCCTCGTCCTCGTCGGGCACGCGCGGCTTGATCAGGCTGAACCCGCCCGACGCCTTCCGGCGTGCGTTCGGCGTCGGCTGGTACCCAAAGTCGCTCTCGATGAAGGACCGCAGCTCTTCTTCTTGGAGCAGGATGGGGTCCTCGCAGATCCGCGTCAACCACCGCTGCAGCATAATTTTGACGAGGCGGTCGTCTTCCTCGTCCGTCGGCGCGGAGGTACGGGGCAGGGGTAGGGCGGGTATAATAGTCTGAGGAGTCGTGTGCACGACAGTCTCGTAGAATTGTTGAAACTCGACGTAGGAGCGCGATACGTTGCGATACGTCGTGCCCGTGAAGTTTGCTAAATTCGTCTTACGTGCGCAGTAGGGCAAGCGTGAGCAATGCGTGCACACCTTACTACAAAAGACTCAAAACATACCTGCGCGTCGAATTTCACCAGAATGTCCCGCCGATTCCTGTCCAAGCCTGTAATCCGCACTCTGAGATACGGCTCCGGCCGCTCATACTTCGCGCCATTGGAGCCGGTCGTGACAAGCGGCGAGATGAGACCCGGCTCAGGCTGCCCATATATCTGCGGCTCCTTCCCATACAGGCCCCCCGCGGAGCGCAGAGAGTCCGTGTGCAAAGGCGCAGGACGGGGCAGGTTGGGTATCGGCGTGTTTGGGACGTGCGGCGTCGTGGGCCATGGCGGCTCTTCGGAGGCGAAGCCGTTGCTCAACGGGTCGAATGTGCTCATCGCGTCTGGGCGCTGTCAAGGGGAGTAGCGAGGGCGGGCACGGAATGGGAGCGCAGTGAGAAGGGGATGGCAAGGAGTCGCAGCCACGAGCGCGGTGGCGCGCGCCGGTCTTGGATGGACTTTGCCGCACGCGTCGGCCGCAGCTTGTCATGGGCTCCTACAAGCTCCTACCGATCCATCCTCCACTCGACCGTCTGACCACAATCTGCTCTCAAACTTCATGTTCACCATGTCCTGGTCGCTGGGACGAAACATAGAAAATATAGAAATAAACAGTTATACCCAATAGATCAGTACGCTACAGAATTGTCTTCGATTTGTCCTAGTTACTATGTTTGCATTAGGGTTACACTGGGGGCTATGGTTGCGACTGGTCCATGATGCCTAGGGGCAGCATATGTCCCATTTTCAGTACCTTCGTGCGCAGGTACTTGTCTAGATCTTCTCCATGCACCTCACCCCCACCAATCATGGTCACCCCACTCGCGTCCTCCTCCTTCATAGGCGCATCCTGGCCGTGCTCATGCTGGTGCTGCCGGCGCTGCCACGAGCGGGGAACCATCGGTACGCGCTCAACAATCCGGATACCCTCCTTCTCCAGCGCCTGCACCTTGTCTGGGTTGTTCGTCAGCAACCGCACGCCCTCGCCGACCTCCGTGCCCAAGCCGAGGTCACGCAGGATCGCAGCAGCGACCTCGTACCCGCGCTCGTCCGCGCCATGCCCGAGCATCAGGTTCGCCGTGACGGTGTCGTGGCCGAGGTCCTGGAGGTTGTACGCGCGGATCTTCGACAACAAGCCGATGCCACGGCCTTCCTGGCGGAGATAGACGACGGCACCCCGCCCAGGTATAGTCGTCGGCGTTCCCTCCGCGGTGGACGCGGCGGGTGGGAGCGTGATGGGCTGCGAGATCTGCCGGATGGCTTCGTCGAGCTGCTCGCCGCAATCGCAGCGCATGCTCCCAATCGTCTCGCCAGTGAAGCACTCCGAGTGGATGCGGATGAGCGGTGAGGGTATGTTGTCCGTGGTGACGTTGGCGTGTGCCTCCGGCGCGGAGGGCCGCTGGGAAGTGGGGGAGAGGCGGCCGACGTAGGCTCCCCGAGTTATACGGTCCGCCTCCGTCTCGGAGTCGGACCACACCGCGTCTAGAGAGCGGCTGCGGATCGGAGGGGCGCGCTGGGGTGTCTCTTCGTCGAACTGCGCAGGGTCGACGACAATGGCGAGGTGCTCCTTGTTATCGCGGTTGTTGTGGTATAGGTGGAGGAAGACTGGTCCGTGGGGCGTAGGCACCCGTGTCCGAGCCATGCATTTCACCCCGACCTCCGCGGAAGGTTTCGTAACCTTGGCCGCAGGAGCATGAGAGGTCGAGGAGGCTGGCTCCGGATGCAATAGGTTGGAAGGTGGTGAGGAAGAAGCCGGGACTGTGCGCGGTGCAGGGGAAGGTAGGTTGTCGGTCCTGCGCAGTGGATCCCCCGCTTCCCTCGTACGTCCGTTCTCCTTCTCCTCGTCCACTACAATGCCCTGCTCCTTTACCCTTTGACTCCGAGGCGCCTGCCTGCTGACATACTTCAGACGTGGTTTGCGGGCCTGGGTGGTCTCCCCTGGAATCTCGTCCAGTCGTATGCCCCCTCGGCACGGGGGTCGCCCACTGCAGGGAAGAAGTCATGGGCGTAATGGTTGCGAGTGACATGCGGGCCGTAGGCAGCCGCTGCTGCCAATAGAAGGGGGTCGAGATCGGAGTCTCTCCTTCGAATTCCATGTTTGGTGGGACGCGGATCCGGAGCAGTAAGCATGTCGAGAAGGTCGAGGTCGGAGACCCCCTTGGTGATGCCTTCGAGCAGGTCCATGGCGAGCAACAAGCGCGGGGAGGGTATATGGTCAGGGAAAGAGGGGGGCGGGGGGCTCTAGGCTGTGGTTAGCGGAGGAGAGTCTTATACATTTCTGCAGGAGCATGGGGAACCCGGGGCAGATTCATCCTGGTAGGCCGACCATCTAGGCGCCCATGCGATGGAGTCACGTAAGCGAGATCGAGTCCACCGAATCTTCCCGTCTTTGTCCGTGCTTTCCTACGCCGGGCGCCTCTACTTACTCATACCGCGTCCAAACCGCGTCAACGACCTTACGCACGGCTGCGTAAAATCGCGCTCAACTGCAGCATCGCGTCAAAATACAACACGTCGGAACGCAGCATTGTCGACAGTTGCATTTCGTGGGACGGGCAGGATATGATTAGGAGCCTGTCTCAGGCTTGTGTGACCAATCTCATGACCTGGAGGGTGCCTACTGACAGACCTTAGACTTGCCCTGGTGAGCGAAAAATGCAGATTGTCGGCTTCTCGGACGGCTAACCAAGTATAGGATATCGATGCGGTGACCTTGAGATGTTGATTGACAAGTTGAGACATGACGCACGCAATGTCAGAGAAGCACAGTGGTGAGCGGCTGAAGAGGTTCCATGGCGCTCACTGGTTTATGTGGCTAGCGACTTTTTTTGGAGAAATCTACGGTAAGACGTGAGTGCAAAAAATACTAGACGGAGGCAGAGTGCCGCAGACGTTAGCGCATGCATAGAGACAGGAGGTCGAGTTTGGAGCGCGTTGGGCTCAAGTGACCGTCCGTCGGGAAGCAACGGTGAATGCATCAGCAGCTGAACATGCGAAGGCCCGCACAGCTCCGGGGTCGCCTTGGAATGCGGCGTTAGCGGAATGGACTGGTGTCTCGAGTGTATAGTTGTATGCAGGTTGGCGTTGGCGGGCAAACGCGGCGGAGACTCCATGGTTAGTAGTACGGCGCCGCTCGACTAGTATGAGCCTGGACAGACGTTATGTCTAACATGTTTCCACAACCCAGAGACAACCGCGAGAGTCGCGTAAATTTGGATCCTGTTCGCCGGGGTGGAAGTAGTATTCACTGCGGACAAACCGCGTTGTGCGAAGCGCTCACATGGTACTTACATTGAAAGGGCGTGTATATTTTTACGGCTCTAAGTCGGAGCTCCTAACATAGGGAATGGGATTCCTTTGTTCGGCCTAACATTTTGAATGTTCCTAGAATCGGGAATGTAAGTGTTATGTTCTTCCTATGTTCCGAAATCGTGCCATGTTCTAGGAATGTACTTCCCATGTTAGGGAAGTTCGCTTGATGGCTTACTAATATACACGCCCTTGCAATGTTAGGCCTATGTAAGCGCCTCGCACAATCCGGGTTGTCCGCAGTGATTGTAGATGAATTTGATTGGGACGCGTTTACAGCACCCTATCGCGCCCACGTGATCGTACCGCGAATGTCCTCGTGTAGCCATGTGTTGAACGAACGACGACCTTGCTTTCTTCCTGGCCACTCTACTGGGTGCCGTCGAGCATATACAGAGCTCTATAGTCTTTTTCTCTCTGTATTGCTCTGCGGTTACCTTCTATCGTAAGGCACCTGGCTCTCGAGACCGCAGGTTACCTTCTCGCTCCAACTTGAATTTCCCCAATTCGTTCAGGCAGCGTAACAGCCGTCGTACGCTACCGAGGCAGAGCTTGTCAGCAAGAGGAGCGCGAGATCCATTCCTCCTTTGTAAAGGTGAACATAGCTTGCCATGAGTGCTGGTCAAAACATGGCGAGCGGTCCTGCGACTCCCACAGGCAATTTGACTGCGTCGTCCTCAACGTGAGTACTCCAGCGCATCCCAGAACGCCACCAATCAACCGACTCTGACATATCAGCCCATCCACCTCGTAGCGAAGTCGACCCGGAGCTCCGCACAACAGTTGTGGGGATGCTGGCCAACGTCCTCAATGGCGGCTTCGCAGAGCTGGGCTACCACCCTGATCACCTCGAGCAAGTGCACAAGATATACGAATGGAACGCCCGTCTCCGCGACGAGAACGCCCGCCTCTTTGCAGACAACCGGAGGCTCGCCCAGCTGATCGGCATGCAAAACCAGCGGCTCACATCGCCCGTTCAGAACGGGGGCGCCAACACGATCATCCACGAGCTGCAAACCCGGAACCAGGAGATAGAGCTGAGTAGACAAGAGATACTTCGGCAACACGAACAAGCGTGAGTCCTGCCGTATTGTCACTACGCTGACTGAGATGGCGACGTCGCATGACATAGGACACGCGAGGTGATGATACTGCGAGCGGAGGTCAACCGCTTGAGCCAAATCCTACATTCAAAAGGTATCCCGTATGAGATAGACAGAGCCTCCCAGAATGCACCAAGCTCGAGGCCGATGACGCAGCCCATGGTACAGAGTGAATCATCGCCCTGACTGTAGCCTCTTCCGCGCCGTCGCTCAACCAATTCCTTTCGTAGATCATCATCTCGCGCAGGTGGCGAGAATCCGCCACTCGCAACTTCCTCCAATAAACACTGCATTCGCCGCGCAATCGGCTCAATCTGCGCCCGTTCACCAGGGTCGCCGACAGTCCGCAACAGCCCATCCCAATACTGCCATGTACCCACCTTACGCCCAGCCCTCGATCTCAGGCCGCCGAGGTGCTAGCGGGCCGACAACTCCCTCCATGGTGCACGATCAGCGCGAGCTGCAGCGTCTGCAAAACGAATATGCCTATCCATCAAGTTCTTCACGTCCCAACACTGCGCCGACGGTGGACATGCAGAAGAGAGTACCTGTCGTTGACCTCACGGGCGAACCGGATGAGGATGAGGATCCACGGGTAGCGAAAAAGCCACGACTTGCTTCGGAACCTGTTTCGAGCGCGGCCGAGGCTATGAGGGTCGCGGGTCCGTCCACCCCGCAACCGCAGAGGATGACCACGAACGCTCAGTCGTTCAATGGACAAGTGCCACTGGCGGCGAATGGAAGAGGGTACCCATCCTCTGTGCCTCCTACATGGGCGATGCCGCATGGAAACATGCCTACGTCAGCAAATGAGGACGTCCAGATGCGCTCCTCCGTGCAACAGATTTCACAACAAGTACTCACGGAGGTTGTCCAATCTGCACCACCGACGAATGTTCAGCCTACCGAGGCGGCGCAGACGCTTGGACAATCCGAACCAGTGCCGTCAATCTCAGTCGCTATGGCAAGCATGAGTGTGGACGTAGAGCATTCAGCACAGGCGACCCTTAACCCGAGTGCGGAGGTTGTCCAGCAGTGCATCGATGAAAACTTCGTGGAAGAGGAGAACGAGGACGAAGGGGAGGGTGGACAAGAGCGTAAGGAGGGCAGCGGGAAGCGTTGGTGTCGGATGTGCCAGTATGTCCTTGATACTATCTCTTGTGGAGGTACTCACGGCCGGACTCCCCGCAGGCTGCGCTATAATAAGGGCCTTTCTGACAAAGCCCCGGAGGCATTCCTCGTGGACGCTACCATGGAAGACCTCGCACGGCATTGCCAGGAGGAGCACCCGAAGGGATGGGTGTTCCTCCTGCAGAGATGTATGGAAGATCAAGAGTCTGATGAGGACGAATGAGTCTTGCCTTGCACGTTTCTATCAAGGACTATTGGTTGCATCGTTTTTCAGGAGGTGGAGTGAATTCTTGTCTTATGTGAATCCTTGGATCTTAATTTTCATTCTCTCGACGAGTACGTACACATACAATCATATCTCACATTGGCGTCTGGTTCGCAATGTCGTCTGGTTCCTAACTAGGCTGACGCTGGACTATGTGGCTATGCTGATTCGCCTCGCTTTAGTCGCATTTTTATCGGTACCGTCAGTTGGAATCCAAAGTAAGCAGGCCGAAAGACGTTTCCCTTTCACGTCGTGAGTACACGCTTCTACTCTCTCGACACCGCCATGAGTGCGAGCAGCACTGACGTTGGACCGCCGGATACCGGTACATCGGGGCCGATTCTCTTCCAAACACTGCTCCAATATCTCTTGCAAGGTGCGTGAATCGGGAATCGACGTTCGGGCTACCATTGATGATGTGTGCGGGAGAAGGGGTCATCTTGTCGCAGGAAAGTCCGACAACCCAGTCAAAAATTATGGCATAGATCGCTGAGCGACTGACCTTTCCATTATACAGGGCGCGAAATTCTGCAGCACGCAGGCGGGCCAGAACGATAGTGTTGCGTTGCGAATTTACGTTGTCGCTTTGGAGTTGCTATCAATGTAAGTTCGAGCACGGTCGTCTTGGATGTGTTCAGTTGAACAAAACATTGTCTTCCCATCACAGACTTCAAACAACTCTTGAAACATACAAAGTCTGGCATGAAGTCATTGACCACCGGCATTGGGTGCGCGGCGTTCGTAGGCCAGCTGCACCGAGACCTCTCTGAATTGTGTAACAGTACATGAGTCCCTTGCACTGGTCCGAGTTCCTTCTGAACGGGTTGATATGCACCTGCTGCGAGGCGTTCCTCCTCCGGAGGTGCTGGAAGGTGCGTCCGGCGTATTGCGAACATTGCTCAAAGTCTCATTTGCGGCCACCACAGATCACCGGCCAGAACAGCTTGATTCTACTTCCGCTGGCAGCACTGTCATTCGTCATGCTCGTTGCAAACGTATACCTGGTACGTGCATTGAGGATTGCCCCGGCCCTCGTTAACAGTGTACCAGGCTGTTCGGATCGCCAAGGTTATCGACATTGCAACAGGGTACGCCGACGTGAGCATTGGCATTTCGACTCTGATAATCAACCCCCTGACAAAACCGTGTAGCCGCTAAAAGCCGGACACTGGGCATTCCCACTCTGGGTGTTCAGCTCTCTTGTGCTCTCGCTCGGCCTGACTTGCATATGTGAGTTCCTGCTGCGTCACTCGCCACTTGAGCAAGGCTGGCTCAACCATACCGTCTAGTATCTTGGTACCTCTACCGGAGCAAAACTGGCATCCGCCAGACAGACCAACTCGTCCAGACCATCATCAACGCCACCTGGGAAACTGCGTTGCTGCCCACAATCTGCATGGTCATCGCTGCCGCCTTCTATTGCAGCAAAGAGGTAAGCCTCTGTCGCTTCCGCGATTGGGACACTAACTGACAGCGAGCGATGGCACAGCTGACGAGAGTCAGACACCTTGATCTGTTCTTCATCCTCCTGACGGCGAAACTCTACACCCTGGGCATTCTCCGAACCCTGAACCTGCGTATCAGGTTTCGTGAGCGCCTCGCCTCGCACGACCTAGGCGGCCGTCAGTCCCTGAGTGAATACCAGTGGGGGTCCGGAGAGTCGACACGGACGAAACGTACTGATCAGGTACGTCGCTATGTCATGTCAACCTGAAGCATCGTGTTCCAGTCGCTGATGTCCTCCAGACGTGCATCGGACCACACGATCCCGTCGATCCAAAGGCGGCTACGTTGATTCGGACCGCCTCGTCGAGGGTTGCCGGTAGGTGTGAGGCCTAGTTGTGCGACGATGGAATAAAGGCTAGCTTCGCTGATAACTTGACACGAGCTTCTCGCGACCGGTCTGCGAGCGTCTGCCTCTGCCTCTGTATGCGTGTTAAGCCCCAATTGGGACTAGTTATACCTCGACAGCAGTACGTAGTACAACAAAATCCATTCCGAATGTCACCCAAGGGCTACTTTTACACGGCGATAGTTTGCGACAAGCCATCAAGGAGGTCCGAGACCCTCTTCGCCTCGATCTCAGCCAACGTACCATTGTTCTCAATCGTCAACGCCTCCGTCACAGCCGGCAGCGTCGTCGCCCCGTATCCTGCACCACCCAATCAGCCGACGCCCGCGACACCAGGGCGCGAAGAAAGACATACCAAGGAACTTCCCAGGGGCCACGACCAAATGCCTGTACCACTCCCTCTCCGCAAGGCCCTGCTCCGAGATGAAGCCCTGCTCGAACAGGCGCAGCTTCGCGTTCCCGCTCTGCACGCGCTTCGCCGCGCGCACGAAGCGCTCGAATGCCTCCTTCTCCTTGTTCCCGGGCTTGTGCTTCCAGTGCTTGCGGATCTTGCGCAGGATCTTGCGGAGCCACTTGGGGAGGTGCCCGTGCTGGTGGGCGTGCTTGCAGTGCGCTTTCTGGCTGGGGGCGGGCAGGTCCGCGAGCGCGTCCTTGAACTCTTTCTCTGCGGCGACGAGCTCGTCTGCGAGCGCGAGCGCAGCGGACTGGAGAATCTCTATCGAGCTGCGCAGCCCGGAGAAGTTGGGAGAGGTGTCGAGGTGGAGCGAAGCGGCGATGCTCTCAACGCTGCAACGGACAGGTCAGTAACTCCATCAGTGCATCATAGCGCGGATGCGTACCCGTCAAGGTAGACACCCAGCTCGAACGCGTACTGCGTCGTGTTCAGCGGGAGGATGACCGAGTCAATCAGCCGAATCGCAGTCAAGCCCAGATGCTTAGCAACCGCGACATGGCGATGGAACCCCGGATCGCCATACAGCTCCATCCACCTTTCCGAGTCGTAGATCGAATGGTAATGGTACGGCGCGTCGCCGAGCGTTTCCCCAAAGCCCTGGTCCATGCTTGCGATCCCGAGCCGCTGCAGGAAGGGCGTGAAGTCGCTCCCGGAGCCGAGCGCGCCGACGCCGGTGTCGCTGGGCCCGCGTCGTGCGGTCTTTGCGGCCTCGTAGATGGAGAGCGTCTCGGGGTCGACGAGGCTCGCGTTGAGGAAGGGACCTTCGTCGTCCTGCGCGTCCCAGAGAGACTTGCCGGCGACGGTGGGGTGCGGGACGTCCTGCGCAACTGCGCGGATGAGGTGCGCGAGCGAGGGAGAACCGCTCGCGTGCCAGGCGGAGCCGCTGACGGAGACATCTGTGGCTGAGCAGTGAGATGTGCGACCTCAAAGCGCGTGGGTGCGCACGCACCGACGTTGAGATATGCAACGACGCTGCTCTGGATCCAATCCGGGAAGTCCTCTGCCCACTCGGTGCTGCCAATCAGGCCGTACTACGAACTGCGTTAGTGAATGCGTAGCGTAAACATTTCGGCTATGTACCTCTTCGGCATCCCAGCTCGCAATGACGACGTTGCGGAGAGGCTTCCAGCCGCTCTTTAGCAGCGTGCCGAATCCGCGGATGATCTCGTGCAAGGAGACGGTGCCAGACACCGGGTCAACTGCGCCCATGACCCAGGCGTCGCGGTGGCACCCGAGGACGACGGTCTCGTTGCGGATATGCCCTGGGATGGCAGCCATCGTGTTCCAGATAGGGATAACTCTGTCGTCAACTGCGCCACCTCTGTGAGCATCGCACCCTTCCAGCGCGTATGCAAGGCATACGTACCATGGTTGACCAACTTGACCTTGCGCACGCTCGACCTCCCATCTACCGTCCTCGCCTCAGCCAGACTGTCCCCAAGTTCTTTCAGTAGCTTCTGCGCATTCAACCACGAGATCGGTAAGCTAGGGATCTTGGGGACGTTCGCGCCTTCCGTGCGTTCCGCGTCGGGGTACGCGGGCTTCCCAGGCGTGGTCGGGTCGCCTGGGTAGGCGGAGATGAACTGCACGCTGCCACGTTGGACGGATGTCGGGTTGCGCGCGGGCCCGGCGGGGTAGCTTGCAAAGCCGTTCTCGGTGGTGATGGCGCCGTCGTCGCGCGTGTCAGAGTAGATGAGGACGCCAGCGGCGCCGTACTCCTGGGCGAGTTGGATCTTCACGCGCGTTAGACCGGCACTCCAACAACCGTAGCCAGCAGGGCAGTGCGACGCACCTTGAGACCGCGGAAGATCGCACCGTACCTCGCGAGGACGATCTTGCCGGTGAGGTCTCCCCCCGCAGCGACGATCGCGTCGTAGTCCTCCTTCCTGCCGTAGTTCGCATAGACAAGCTCGCCCTCGACCTCGCCATCCTTGCTCAGCCCGTGCCATGCCAACACCGATGTCTTATACTTCGACGCTTCCGGATCAGCAGGGTCCCCGTCCTCTTCCAAGTCTGCCTCCCACACGGCCTCTCCGTCCTCACCGAGCACCGATAGGCTGTGGTTCACAGGCGTGTTCATCACGGGGTAGTACTCGTCGATCCATGCTGCCGGTGCGGGCAGCTTGTTGATGCCCAGGGTCGCAGCGCGCGAGAGCGGCGAGCCAGCGGGGAAGACGGGTGGGACAGGCGACTTGGGGATGTTGAAGTGCTCTTGGAAGAGGGAGAGGATGTCCTTTGCGTCCTCGAGGTCTTCGGAGGAGCCGGCGAGGTGGGGGTGGGTCGCCCATTTGCGCGAGGAGGCGAAGGCGCTCTCGGTGCTGGGGACAGAGCTGGGACGAGCTGATGGGCCATCCGTCCTTCAATGTATGAGGGTTAAAGGACTTACAGGAACAACTCTTCCGCGTCGATCTCCGCGCTGTGGTCCTTGGACTTGCTGTGAGGCCCGAATGCCTTCAACGCCCACATACCCGCTTTCTCCTCTCGCGGCGCGGCCTCATCATGCTTGAGGAATGTCCGCCTCGCTAGAACATAGAGCGTGACGAAACCATAGAACACCAGTACACGCTTGAAGAGCCATCGCCGGAAGAGGTTCCGGGAACTGCGTTTCTTCGACGTGTCGACAGCGCGGATCTCCTCGTCGAGGGTTGTAGGGAGCAGAGCGACTTTCTCGACGTCGCCCTTCATGGTTGCCTCCGCTGCTGTTGCGCAACTGAGCGGCTCGAAGAGGGGTAGGGTGGGAAGAGCGAAGATAGCAACGCGGGTCGCGGTATATAAAGGGCGCCGACTACATCGGGGAGTCGGCACTGCGGCGGGGTATGATATCGCCATATCTGCGTCTTTCCTCGTGCTCCTCGGTCGTGTCCTCTCTCTCCTCTGCGCAGACGCAGGCCGACCTCAGCCACGCTGTCTTGTCGTGCAGTAGTGGCCCTGCGCGGCTTGGGTATTACAGGATGGCGTGTGTCAGTGAGTCTGACGTCATTGTTGTTTGTGTCGGCTAAGATGTTCTCCGTGTACTCGCAAGATCCAGATCTGTATGAAGTCGCAAGCTCGCCTTGAGTCGCCATACAGCCATGGGTCTATGCAGCAACCAGCACTCTGTTCATCGCAGCACACCCTGTTCTTACCGCACGACATTCCACCTGGCTTCGGAACAGCGCACCTGTCACATTCCTGCAACATGACTGCTGGTTCCGTGAACCTCACGGTGACCTTCCTCAGCCCGATAGAGGTACCTGACTCTGTCGCATCGCAGTGTTCTACCCCGCTCAAGGAAAGTTCTGAAGCCGAGCAGCCTGATCAATCAATCAGTCCCGTTCTCGTACATGTCCGTCCAAGCGCGCCCCAACGACGGGAAGTCACACTCCGTTCAGATTTACTCGGACATAAGCGCGGAGTGGGTCTCGGGAGACGACAGTGCGCTCGTGAATTGGACGACTGCGACCCAAGGGGATGCGGTTATACACAAGCTGCAGCTGCAGCACCAAGTCTTGTTCGACGACTTGAACGATCGGCTACAGCGTGAGATTCATTTTCGCTGAACATCGGTAATGATCAATGAGACGTGACAGGGTGTTCTACAGAGGGAGCAGCGTACTACGCCACAGTCGACGTGAGCCCCTAACCCGTGTACAACACTGCTCAAACAAAGACCCAGTCCGCCAACACGACCTTCCAAACCGGCCAAGACACCGTCGTCCGCGGGCAGTTCCTCAACCACAGCACGCTCCTGAATACCAACGACACAAACTACCGCGCGGTCTCTGACGATTGGCCTGTCTTCGCGTTCGCTCACGATCTCCGCACGATATCGGCGTCCAGCGGGAGTGACCCCGTCGTGTTCTCTGTGGGCCATGCAAGAGACCCAGTGATCAACTGTACGCTGGGGCTCGGGAAGTCGCAGCAGACTCGGCATCCGTACTTCTTGAGTCACTATGGGACCGTAGAGGACGCTGTGAGTATGTTTATATTGCGGTACAGTGATCAGACTCAGACTCAGACTACGGTGGCATAGATCGAGACGTTTGTGGGCGACTACGCCAACGCCCTAGCTCGAGCGGACATTTTCGACGCACAACTCCACGAGGATGCATCTGCGATATCGACGAACTACTCGGCTATCGCCGCGTTGATTATGAGGCAGACGTTCGGTGCCATTGAGTTTACAATTTCGCAAGACAGTGAAGGGCAGTACAACGACTCGGATGTGACTGTCTTCCTGAAAGGTGACGTTCTCTATCTGATGTGTATCTTGAGGTGCATACTGAACGACCGCATACGAACAGAGATATCTGGCGATGGGGTGAGCAGTCCATCCCTAAGCCCCTCATGCAGTGACCAGACTACGTTGCCTGCGTAGGACACCAACACGACGGACGTCATCTTTCCGACATGGCCGGCGTTCCTCTACACCAACCCACTCATCGGAAAACAGCTCTTATTGCCGTTGTTTAAGTACCAGGCCACTGGAGAGTATCCGAACAAGACGGCAGCTCATGATCTAGGTTCGTGGGTGATCAATCAACCTTATATCCTTGCTCACGCGTTGGTTTACAGGTCACTACCCGCAAGCACCTGGATACCCTCATGGTACGGGATAACATGACCAGGGATGGCTGGCACTCAACTCATGCCACAGGAAACGACGAGTCGATGGTTGGTAGGAATGCCTGCTCTTCCGTTCACGCTAACATTCCTGGGTGCTCAGAATGCGGCAACATGCTCAACATAACGCTGAGCTACACGCAGCGGACGAACGACACTTCGCTCGTAACTTCCTATGTACGTTTTGCACGTTTGCATCCCCTGCCCCGAGTGCTGACTCTCACCACGCGTCCACGTAGTACCACCTACCAGATCAATGGGCCCAGTACCTCGAGCGAACACTCTCATACCTGGCGACCAGCTGAGCACGAACGACATCGCTGGCCCGCTCGCCAACCAGCCCAACCTCGCGATCAAGGGCATCATCGGTGTCAAGGCTATGGCGGAGATGGTAGAGCTGGCTGGAAACGCCTCGGCGGCAGCAGATTACAGCGTCCGTCGTTTGCTTCCCCCGATTGGATAAGGCTACTCAAATACCGGCGATGCTGCAGGCTACCGCTAGCTCCTACGTCTCTCAATGGCAGGAATTGTCGGCTGCGTCGAATGGAGAACATTTGACGCTGGCGGTATGGGATGTACTTGTGTGTGTGGACGTCTAGCTAACGAACGAGTATGGAACCAGTACGGCAACGATTCTAGGTCAGTGCTCTCACCCTGGCGGGCTGATTTAATCAATAAGCTCGGACATCACGTACAATATGTACGCCGACAAACTGCTGGGCACCAACCTGATCCCTCAGTCGGTATTCGACATGCGTGAGTGCCACTTCGCAATGATCTCGCGTTCGCTGATGACGACGATGCGTAGAGTCAACTTGGTACGAGAATAATCACAGTAAGCCTTACTCCTGGTCGACGCTTCCGGTCGCTGATACTCAACATCAGATGGGTATGGTGTACCTCTCGACACGCGGTGAGTCGTTCGAGCGTCCGTGAATCGGCGGTCACCCAAATAGCTACCAGTCACATCTACGTCATGTCCGCCTGGGAGATGCTCACGGCTGCCATGGTGTCTCCCGCCGCGCGCAACATGCTCATCGATGCGATCTATGCCTTCTCGTCCTCGGGAATCAATCACTACGCCTGCTCTGATTGGTTTGCTACGACGACGGGCGTCGTCGAAGGTAATTGCGGTGGGGCTGCTACACTCTGCTTCAGGGCGAGGCCGATTGCAGGGGCACATCTGGCACTGGCCAATCCATTGTTCTCATGCTCTAAGCTAGACTGACATTCCGCACTGTCGCCAGCTGGCACTATCAAAGGATTGAAAGTGAACAGGTACGAACAGGTGTGACCCTTTGACTCCGGCCATTGGACACATGCAGAAGTTTTGAGTGACGGTGTACCGGTGGTTGGATCTAGTACACACTATGTTATCCTGTAGATAGCTCTCGGATGACATTCATGTCAGTACTAGATCTGCACAAAAATGTAAAACTGTGCTCCGCAGCATCGCAGAACGAAACTGCGGGATTAATTAGACAGACTGCATTAAGGGGGAATCGAACCCCCGGCGGGTCGATGGCAACGACCCAGGTTACCACTACCCCATTAATGCTTAGGACATACCCTTGTATAGATCTAACAGTACATTTAGACAACAATTTGAGGAAGTCACTCAAAGTCCGTTGCTCCCGAGTCTTTGGCCGCGATTGACCATGATAGTCATTCTTCCACATTGTTGAGTTCGGATTGGTGTACGCCTCCATATTTGATGTACTTCGCCGACTGCCAACACTTGATTGAGCTATTTGTGATGCACATGTTCTAAGATCTGCGACTTCTTGGGAACACACCGGACGACGGGGCCAACAGTGAGCTGCAAGTCGTTAGTTGGATGTCTGTCCAATGACAATTCGGCCATAGCAAAGGACCACGAACAACCATCTTCGAGAGCTGATCGAACACTCAGGCTTCTGGGCCCCGCGAAGGTATAAAAGCACTACCAGTTTCGCTTACACTCCTAGTCCTCGACTACACATTACACTCGCATATACACGATGTCTGTGAGTGCCGTCTCCCATTCATCGCTGGAACGAGCTGACCCGACAACGACTCGGACAGGACAAAGCTACCTGCGCAAACGTCCAGGCCAACGGCGGCAGCTGCGCCTACCCCGCATGCGGCTGCACCGAGCGTCCGAAGAGCAAGTAAACCTTGCCCTCGAGCCGATACGCGCTATAGGTACGTTCCCCTGTTCCGTGATTGTCATACTGAGACTGACCAGAAACGGGTGGACAGCGCAACTTGAACACTGCAGTGGAGGGGGGTCGCAAGGGTCCCAGAGGCTTTCGGTCGTGTTTTAGACGCATAGCACCTCGAATAAGAATACATTGATAACGAATTTGGTCGTGTTGTGGAATGCACTTGTTCGTTATTTGAATGGCGAGAAAACCAGTAACGATCGTGTGAGAGGTGGCTTGGAAAGATCGACTGACGGATTCGCGGATGGCGCCCGGTGATATCGGAGGACACAGCGAGTCGCTCAGTGCACCAGCTGGGTTGATAGGGAACTGCCGCATCTGATTGTGTACGTTAGGATTTGCGTTCAAGCTGGCCCGAGACGGACTTGAGCGACACATACCAACGCCCAAATTCGCTGCTCCGCACTCAGTTTATCGTCATGAGCTCGAGAGTATCATCGCGGCGACGAGCCCCATGGCGCGGAGATGCTCTCCTTCACCGCGAGAGCCTTGGACTGTGGATGCCCTCGTGCACCTCGAATGGACACGACTCACCAGATCCGTCCCAATTACGGGACGAAGAAGACACCCACGAAGGAACACTGCCTTCGGCGTACTTGGCTCTGCTGCGCAGATAAGTACCGAACCAACCCTAAAGGGCGGACATGTCACGGATACGTACCCGTGTACCCCAGACGGTGTTCCTTCCGAACTGACCAAACCTCCCGTTCTCATTGGGTGTACGGTACGCCAGTAGCGTTGCGACCATAACGACCTCCACTACTCCACGATTACGTCGCGGTACATCTCTGAAGGTAACAGCACCTCTCGTGGTGTATATAAGATCTGAGGACTCGTAGGTCAGCCCTCAGTCCTCGACTACACAACCACTTACCCCTCGTCCACCCACAACCCCTCGCAATTCACAATGTCTGTGAGTACCTGCGGCGGATGTCTCTGCGACGAGACAGTACTGAAAGAGAGCACAGGACAAGGCTACCTGCGCGAACGTCCAGGCCAACGGCGGCTCCTGCACCTACCCGGCATGCGGCTGCGCTGAGCCTCCCAAGAGCAAGTGAGGCGACACATGCCACAATCCTGGCTCTGCGCGTGCTCTATAGGTATGTGACTCACCATACGAGGTGTGGACGATGTTGATCTCGCAAGTAGCACGAAGCCGTCTGATGGTCACGGTGGAAGGGCAGCGTCGGCGAGATGAGGCGGGGTCGAGTTGTCGCAGCTGTGGCAGTCGTCGTGTTGTAGACCTGTCGCGAATGCACATTATTCGACAGGATTTGACACTGAACTCACTTCCTGTGACGAGATGTGAGAATCCCAGTGGCCACTGAGGTATAGGCCTTCCCGGTGAGGTCTCGCAAGTATCCGACTCCCTCGAACAAGCTACCAAGCACTGTTTCGCTGGTTCGGAGACCAATCCAGATATTGTGCGGGGGTTCCGTAGATGATATTGATGTTGCTGTCCTGGCTATGCGGGGAGTGCATACATCAACGAAGGAGCATTTGCAACCACTTCTATCATTGACTAGAGGACCAGCTACTGAATGCTGGATCCGTTAACTTGCTGCATTCAATGGCTGGAAAGACAAATTCAATCAAAGTCGAGGTGAAAATATAAGCTGAAAGCATACTTGCCTTAGACTTCGCTACGCAGTTAGTAACTTCCATGATGGATCGATGAGACTGACAGGTGACTTCCACCAGCCTTGAAGCAATTGTACTAATCCATGCCGAACATATTGACATGTCTGTTTTCCACAATGGCCTTTGCAGTCCGTTCGTTCTAAAGCACGGATATTCGCTTCAGCAATAGCTGTTCGTCGCCGGAGAGTGCCTGCAGAATGTTCAAAAGGATGTCCATCGCCCGAGGAGTCTTCGTATTCTAGTACTTGTTCTAGTAGGTAGCGTATTCTGTGAACCCGCCGGTATTCAGTACCGGGTTCAAGTTTAGACACGCGCACATCTGTGTTCAGTATGGCCACGCGCAGCCCGCCCGCGGTGATCCCGGAGAGCTGGGTGCCCATTAGACGGTCGAAGTCGGATGGTTTGAAGCTGGTTTTAAGCTCTCGGCATGTGCAGGACCGTAGGCATATCTGCCAAGGGCGTTGGCGACCATGGCGGCCACGGCTGTCGGATGCGCCGGCGTAGCACCCGAGAAGTCGGTGTGGGATAGCTGGGATAGGCCGAGGAAGATAAGTTCGTGCGTATGCGGATACTCGCCGCAGAAGGCCTTGGTACTTAGTTGGTACTCAGTAGCAAGTCGGCTAGCTTTGGTCCGCGCTAGCTGTAGAATTCGCCGTGTCGCGCGTCATAGTAGATGCGCAAGTCGAAGTGACGGATAGCGTCCTTCAGCTGCTGTCGAAGGTCACCTGGCTGTGCGAGCACATGCGTAGTGATGCCTAGATACACCTGGTTAGAGGCCCAGGGCGCAGCGTCCGAGTCGCCGAGAGGTGTGGCACAACCATGCTTGAGCTTCCAAAAGGACGCGATACCGCCCCCCCAGTCCTTCTGAGAGAACTCGTCAGTCAGGCCAAACGCCTGGCTATCATGGGTCGCGGGTAGCATGATGCTATCTAGCGTCTTGGCCTGCACCCGACATCCATGCGCTGTAGGCCCAAATTCAGGGCTGAGGACACCGGGAAAGGAGTAGCGAATCCACAGGACGATAGGACATCCTTGATAGCGTCGTTGAGAGCGTTCAGAATGTCAGAAGGTAGGATGTACGCGAGGATGCCGCTCAATCCTTGTTTCGTTCGATCGGAGGCTCCACTCCATCATGGACACCTGCAGCGCGTCAAACATTAGTAAGGCAAGTCGTTCGTGAAGACAACATAAGCATCGGTAGGCACGGTCCACCACGTTCGAACACTCCCATGCAAGCAACGAGACGACCAACTCTACGATGAGGGCCCGTCGCACCGGCGTTCAAGTTCGCAGGCTTGGAAAGGCGTAGTAGGCGATCCCTGCACTTTGTGGTGTATCCAGTATGAACTAGCAATCAGCCGATGCGAACTGTCAAGGCTGTTGGTTTGATAGCTTACCGTGTCATGATCCCCAAGTTGTAGGCGTAGAGGCCGCATGTTGCATTGACGTCCTGCTTGTTTAAGAGCCTTCCTATTTAGTACGCCGCCATTCGAGCGCGGCTCGCCCCAGGGGCCTTGGCCTACTAGTAGCGTGTCCGACGTAACCTAGGTCCCAACCCTGAGGGCAGCGAGGCACCACGCAAATTAGGTTCCGCACTGTCGACGCCTCAGTCTCCGTATGCGGCACCACACGTACTGAACCTCCGTCGCCGAGGCCTGAGGCGGCGTTAGCCTGAGTAAGTCCCTCGCACGACAATGCCTCCGCGACATCCCTTCCATCCGTACCTAGTCCCTGAAGAAAAAGTGCCTGTCCTGTACCTGTCCCTGGACAGTTCAACAGACTCAGAGCCCTTTGAGCCATGAGCCAGGCCCGAGTGCCTGCGTATGCTTCTAGACCCCGCGCAAGTGCCTGTCGGAAGATCAGCCAGACACGAGGCCACATACCACTGGCAGCGTCAGACCATCTCGCATCCGTAACGCCGTCCACCCGCCACCCGCCACCCGCCACCCGCCACCCGTTAGTCGAACAAACCAACTCGCCACAATCACCAAGCCACGGCTCAAGCTCAAGACAGGCCGACCAGCCTCAGCCAGGGGGGCTCCTCGTTACTTACACTCGATTTCGACTCGACTGCTACATCTACGCTACGTAGCGTACGCCGACTCCATGACGAGACTCATGCGGAAAGGGTTCAAATCTGGGATCCGGACATGGAAGGATTAAGTCCGACGAAGCTACAAAGTCCGCGCGCTGCATGTATGCTAAGGCTCCGTGCTGGTGATAATAATGTTACCTATGGTGTCGACAACGATGATGGTGGTGCTAGGGGTGGTATTCAAACGAGGCGGTCCGGTGCGCGAGGGACAGGAGGTGCACATGCGGGTGGACGAGTGAGGAGACGCTGAGTTGGGAGTTCCGGGATCGGAAGGTTGGCCACGATGACAGGGATGGCGCACCGCCGAGCTTCCAATTCCAACGGTTTCGTACCACGCACCACGCACGCGATCCTGCCAAGGGGGTGACCAACGCAGGGTGAGATAACTCCAAAAAGAAAGCGGAAGGCATAGCAGATGTTCTGATTCACGACCGCACGGCATACCCAACCACTGGCAGCCCGCGCGCAGCGCTCAACACTGGCCCAGGAACGAGTTCTTCGGGAACGGGTGCCCGTAGTCGTCCTGCCACGTCGTCAGGTTCGGGTTGTTGTACGCCTCCGGGTATTCGCTGATGTACTTCGCCGTCGGGAAGTCCTCCGGGTCGCACCCGATGTTCGTCGAGTCGCTCGGCTGGTACACCCGGATGTAGTCCACCCGCAGGTGCACCGGGAACGGTATCGCCGCGAGGTCCACGTCGCCGAAGTTGTGCGACATCCCGAGGTTCATGATCACGTACTGCGAGACCACGCAGCGGGTGAGGCGCGTTCGGAGGTGAGGGACGGAGCGGATACGTACCATGGGCTCCTGCGAAACGGGCCGCGCCGAAATTTCCACCCTCGAGTCCGCCGCGAGACCAGCGACGTTGAGCGTCCAAGCATGCTTGTTGTCCGATATCCACGTCACGTACTACACACCTCCCATCAGCCCCTTCCTCAACCCTTCACTCGAAGGCGACCACTCACCGCATTGTCGAACCCAGGCTTGTACTCCACTCCGTAGACTGAGAAACACCCCGTCTCGCCCTCATAACAGTTCTGGTCGGTCTCCGTCACCACACTCGTCGCCTGCTGGAGGACGCCGCCCGTGTACGTGTTCTGGTACGAGAGCGACGTGTCGTAGATGACCTCGTTCGTGCTCGTGTTGAACCACTCGTACGCCTCATTAAACGGCTGCACCCGCCAAACACCGCGTAATCAGACCCACGCGACAGCAACAATATAGATCGAGACTCACAGCCCACTGTGCGCTCTGACTGACTTGCCCTACGGGTGGCGTGCCCCCGACCTGCGCCTCCAGCATATCGATCTCAGGCGCTGCCCGCCCCACGAATGTCCCGTCGCTATGCTTCGGGCCCGGGTGGCTCTCACCGGGGCACGTACATCTCGATAGGCGCTGCCCAGGCAAGTACGACAACGCGCCGCCGTAAGCCGCGTCGCCGTTCTCCGTCGCCGCGATGGGCTTGCCGTTGACAGTTTGGTTCGCGACCGTGCCGACGTCGCAGGCGTCGTACGAATACGGCCACTGCGCGGGGGGTCAGATAGAAGCCGCAGGGCGCGAACATGAGCACGACGTACCAAGCCCTCGAGACTCGCGCCGTACCCCGCCCTGCCGAGGTTGCCCATCGTCCAGATCGCAGGCCAGAGCCCGACGACGTTGCTCAGGCCCGGCAGGCTCACGTTCGCCTCCACGTACCCGCCCGTGAAGCAGAACTTGTTCCACGTGCTCATCATCCCGCCCTGGTAGTTCAGGTTGTTGATCTGCTTCTCCGAAAGCGTGATGACCAGGCTCCCGTCCGCGGTCTCGATCGCGTTCGGGTGGTACCACTCGAGGTTGTTTGTCTCCCAGTAGTGCAGGTTCACCGCTTCCCAGAACGGGTCGTCGCCCGGCCAGAACGTGCGCCCGGGCATGTTGAACTCGTCCGAGAACACGAGCGACATGCTCGTCGTGCCGTCGTACCGCGACGTCGTGTGGTACGCGCTCTTGGGCGTGTCCTCGTCGATGAGCCCGTGGTTGCCGGGGATCATGGGCACCTGTCCAGATGCGTTCGTTCCGCCGAGATTGAACCCGCCGAGGGTGCCCATGTGGTTTTCGCGGTAGTAGGTAATGATCGGGTATCCAGCGCTAGATAGACATGCGTGAGCGGAGATGATACATGGCGGGGCGCGCGAGGATGCTTCGCGGACGGATATAGCGACTCTGTACTCACAAGAGGGTCAGCAAGGCACCGACAACCAGGACGAGGAAGCCGACGTTCACGAAGCCGCGCCATGTGAAGATGGGGCCATCGCGATTTATTCGGCGGGGCCTGTCATCGGGGTCTGGTTGGTGAAAGTCGTCGTCGGCTTCCTTGGTATCTGCTGAGACGTTTGCGCCCCATTGTTCCGGATCTGCAGAGAGAGGGAACTGTGCAGGCAGTGAGCAAGATGGTCCGTGCTGCGGAAATGCACTGTGAAGACTGTTGGGTGCGTGGAAAGGATCCCAGAATAGATGTGGCGAATGACCAGCGCGCCTAATGGTGCGGGAGGAGGCGCGACATGGCGAACGGAGAAATGGTGTGCAAGGCAAGGCTGCGATGTGTCCGCCTGCCTGCTGTTCTCGAGATCCCCCAAGCACAGGGCACGACTGACAGACACCATCGAGGCTCGTGTATAGCATGTGCTGGTTATGAGCGTGCGGAGGCACAGACACAGCATGATACGGACGCGAAATATGAACAGGACCGTGGCGCGCGACGCTCACGCTTTCTATGCGCGTTGACGCAACTTCAGGTAGGATTGGTAGGTGGGACTTGGACTTACATCGCGAGCGAGGGACGCAAGGGACAGTGGGCGGCTGTGACTGAGATAGGGAGACTCGGGCTGGACGGGTCGTGAGCGGGTGGTCGAAGCATGTAGAAGTAGGTGCTCACTCCTGAGGATGACGGGGAGCTGGTGACGCTGACGAAGCTCTGTAGCCTGCTGGCGGCGACGCTGGGGAGGGAGGCGATGGGGCGATAGCGGTCGCCTGTGCCGCGGAGGTCTTGGAGAGACATGGCGGGGCGGGGATGGCAGGAGGGGGAGGTCGCAGGAGGGACGCAGGCCTGGAGGACGAGCCGTGGCGGGAGAGGGAGAGGGAGGCGTGGGCGGGAAGAAGAGGATGTGGCTGGGAGGGTCCTCTGGCAAAATCGAAGGAGGCGAGTTGTCGGTGCGGGCGATAGGCACAGCTCCCGGCGGCGTGCAAAAGAACCTGACGTCAGGTCAGTTCACCCGTCCACCCATTCGATGTCGCGCGATCCCCCGACACCTCCCCGTCCTCCGGTCCGTGCGCCCCTCGCTACGAGCGTACCGTCGCGTAAACTCAGCCGCATTGCGACGGAGCGGCCGCGTGCAGCGGGAGACGCACCGATGGGAGCCGAGCGGGCCCAGCGACCTTCGCAGGTGGAGCAGAACCAGCATCCCAACTTCGATGTCACGTGCGCTTCCAAACCTGCTCTCTTTCCGGAACGAAGATCTGCTGCGCAGATCGGGTACAGGCGCCCGCGATCCTCCGCCTCCCACAGTCTAGACCGCTCGTCCGCCCTGTGTCTCGGCCCTTGCAGCCATCCCCCGAACGGCAGCCCGCACACACCTTCCAGCCTGCACAAGCACAACACAAACACGAAACTGTCAGATGCACTCGCAGCCGTCGATGTACGCTGGCATCAATTTGCGCTACAACTATCCGTCGTATTCACCCTGAATAATAGCGAAACAGAATCTGGTGCCCATCCCAGGAACTGGTGGGCCTTCGAGACCCCAGCGGGGAACGTCCTGGTCTCGGCCTCAGGCTTTACTTAGGCAGTGAGTTCAGTTTCAAATGTTTCCATTCGCGACAGGTCTACAATGCGACAACTGCCACAGCTGCGACAACTCGACCCTGCATCATCTCGACGCCGCCCTTCGTACCGTGACCATCGGACGGCTTCGTGCTACTTGCGAGATCAACATCGTTCATCTCTCGTATGGTGAGTCCCATACCTATAGAGCACGCGCGCAGCGAGGATTGCGCCAAGTTCGCTTTACTTGCTCTTGGGAGGCTCAGCGCAGCCGCACGCCGGGTAGGTGCAGGAGCCGCCGTTGGCCTGGACGTTCGCGCAGGTAGCCTTGTCCTGTGGTCCCTTTCAGTGCCTGTTTTTTACACGAACATTCGACGCGTGGAATCACTCACAGACATTGCGATTTGCGAGAGGTTGTGGGTTGGCGAGGGGTAAGTGGCTTGTGTAGTCGAGGACTGAGTACTGAGGGCTGACCTACGAGTCCTCAGATCTTATATACACCACGAGAGTCGATGCTACGTTCAGAGATGTACCACGGCATCCTTGTGGAGGTCGTTATGGTCGCAATGCTACTGGCGCACCGTACACCCAATGAGAACGTGGGGCTTGGTCAATCCGGAAGGAACTCCGTCTGGGGTACACGGGTACGTATCCGTGACATGTACGCCTCCTAGGGTTGGTTCGGAACTTGTCTGCGCAGCAGAGCCAAGTATGCCGAAGGTGGTATCCCTTCCCGGCTGGTCTTCCTCGTAGTTGGGACGGATCTGGTGAGTCGTTCGAGGTGCACGAGGGCATACCCAGTTCAAGGCTCGGGGGGCAAGTCAGAGCATATCCGCGCCAGGGTGTCTGACCGCCGCGATGATACCCTCGAATGCATGACGAGAAACTGAGTACGGAGCCACGACTTGGTCCGCTGAGGTGTGTTCAGGTTCATCTCCGGCTGGCTTGGACCCACATGCTCACGTACACCATGATCATCAGGCACGGCGGCTCCCTACCAACTCAGTTGGCGCACTGAACGGTTCAGATTGTGTCCCACCAGGCACCATCCACGAACGCGAATCCGGCAGTCGATCTGTTCGAAGGCATCCACTGCAGGCTTCTCAGCATCTACTCACACGATCGTTTGCCGGTCTCTCGCCGTTCAAACTACGAACAACAACACGGCCAAATTCGTTTCGAAGGATTTCCATTCGAGATGCTATGCGTCTACAACACGACCTAAAGCCTCCCGGACCCTTGCGGCCCTCCCTCCACCGCAAAGTTGCGCTGTCCACCCGCCTCCGGTTAGTCTCAGTAGGACAAACACGGAATGCAGGAGAACATACCCATAGTGCGCATCGACTCGGGCGCAAGGTCTACTTGCTCTTCGGAGGCTCGGCGCAGCCGCATGCGGGGTAGGTGCAGCTGCCGCCGTTGGCCTGGACGTTCGCGCAGGTAGCTTTGTCCTGTCGTCGTTCCGTCAGCTCTCTATTCCGAGTCGTCTCGATACGAACCAGACGCGGTACTCACAGACATTGTGTGTGTGAGTGGAGGAGAGTAGGCGAGTACTGGGGATGTAAAGACACTGGGACGTCTTTTATACCTTCGCGAGGCGGAGAAGGACGTCGGCTCTGGAAGGTTGTACGCCTGGGTGTTTTGCTATGTTCAAGCCGTCATTGGACAAGCATCTAACCAATGACTTGATGCTCATTGGCCGCATCGTCCGCTGTTCCCGAGAAGTCGCGGGTCTTAGGAACATGGTCACCGTAGCATGAGCAACAGTTTGCTTCAGCACGCGCGCACGTCGCGGACTCAGTAGCTTTGTCGGACTCATTTTTTCCGATTGGACTCTTGCTGTTCGTCTTCATCGGTGTCCATAGAACGATCTACGTATTAGACAGTGGTGCGGAGTCTAAACTTGACTGTGCATGGCGCAGTCGGTGGCATGCGACCAACCGGGAGTCTCCCTGACCTCCAACAAACCTCCAACGCGCACATCGTCTCTGTAGAGATCTTCAGTTCTTCATACTTGGAGTGCCCCTATAGCTTGAAGCTTTGAAGCTTGACACCAGTAGCACGCTGCGTCTGCGCTGTGTCGCCGAGTCGGACATTTGACTCGGAAGTCACTGTCACATTGGCAGTTGCTGCTGTACGTCGCACCTCTGAATCTGTCGGATGTAACGGAACATCCTTACATATGAATACTACTCTCCAGTGTATGCGATGGATAGTGATAACGCCACTTTGGACCTCGACAGTGACTCGCTGTACATCTGCCTGACACAGTTGTTCGGTCCGCCAGGGCGTTTCCACTGGTCGATCTACATCACGGACGCTCAGGGACTAGCCACTCAGTACCAATGGGCTGAGGACCTCGCCAGGTGCGACCGCAGTGCTCCAGTCGAAAAGTACAGCTGCAGCATCGTCCAGCCCGTGAAACAGCGCAGCGAGACGCTACAGTGGAACCTCGCGTTCATCAAGATGTCGCATTTCGTTCGAACCATGGACTCGGACAGCTACGACGAACTATTCGCCAACATATTCACTACCAGCTGGGCCAGCTGGAAGGACAATCGTCAGCACGGCCTCAGCTGCAGGACATGGGCCATCGCGGCCTTGCAGAAGTTGCGGGAGAAGGGGGGCATGCGGCGCCTCAGCGCAGAGCAGATCGCTGGTCTCGAGGCCAAGATCATTGCCATAGGATGCGCGGTGGAGCAACGCGTTGCTATAGGCGATAATACTGTCGAGATGGCGGAGCTGTGACGAGCATCATCAATCGGCTGGCCCCGGACTGGGGTAGACTCGTACTGATGCCCAAATCAATGTATATCAAGATGGCAACGCAATATTCACGATTGCGGGAGAAAAGTCCATACGACCAGTCAAAGCACGAAGAACAGGTTTTCACTTTGGACATGTACGTAACGGTACTACGGGTGCAGGTTTCTCTTCAGTGTTCACAGTATAAACACGCGGAGAACATGAAATCATCACACAGACCATCGCCGTAGTGTGGCTATGATACACACTAAACGCAGTCACCCGCAGCTACAAACCACATACTAGCTCTGTTTTTCATGAACAGCAATCAGGTCCGCAACTGCTTGCGCCGCGAACGTGTCGGCCGCGCTTTCCCCTAGGAGTTGCGCACACCACGCCTGGATCGAATGCATCCAATACGGGCAATACTGTCTCCATCCACAACCCATCCTCGCCACGACGGCCTCCGCATAGCGTTCCGATGTCGGCGTGGCCAACGACGACGGGATGCGCATGGTACTGGACTGCACCTGCCCCGTGTTCAGGTATGCGAAACGCACACTCGTCTGTGTGTCCCACACACGCTCGTCGGTGTCGAGTCCGCGAGCGAGTGCCTTCAGGAATGCTTTCGACCCCGCATAGACGGCCAATCGGGCCGGTGACAGCTCCCCTGCTTGGGATCCTATGAATTGGACCAGCACAGGACCTGTCCTCGAGGCGAGATGAAGTTGGGTAAGAAGAGTGTGGGTGACCATGAGGGGAAAGATCGCGTTGCGATTGATGATGTCCATGAGGTCTGTTTTGCTCAACCCGTTGATTCTGACGTGTAAAGTTGGAATTCAGATGTCCAAGCAAACACCAGAAGGAACGGGACGCACTTTTCCCTTGTCAGCGGCGAGCTGCCTACATTGTGGACAATGACGGTGATGTTCAAATCCTTGAACGGCGCGAGTATGCGTTCGAAGTCATGATCCGCATCAGAGGCGTCTGCGAAGAAGTATTTCACATCGCGTGCCCGAGCAGAGCCACGAATCTGGTCCACGACGTTGAGTAACTTCGCTTCGTTACGGCCGTGTAGAATCAGGTTGAAGCCTTGATTGTATAATTCTGCTGCAATGGCCTTTCCAATGCCATCAGATGCACCCGTAACGAGAGCGTACGCCGGTGGTCCGTGGAGGTACCGATGCACCGTGCTCGGTCGGAGGAAGTACAGCCAAATGAAGCTCAAAAGGCGATACAGTTGCAGGACGAGGGAAACGATGCCCACAACAGCTAGGATTTGGACAACACTGAGCATCGACGGAATGGGTGATTGTGTGAGACAAAGTGATGCATGCGAAGCTCAACAACATATACATACGTCTATATATATAGCATCCGACGCGGACGCCCTACACATGAGCGGCCATTTTAGCCGTGATTACGACTGATGCGTATTGCTGCATACTTAAGCATTGCGGTAATTCCAGCTGCAGTACTGTATCAGTGTATGCTCTTGTGAGTGATAGCAGCGCAACATTTCATAGTGTTGTAGACAGGTAGCTGACAGCGAACCTGAATGTCAACCCTTCTCATTACCTGTAACACGCAGCGGAGCGTCCCACGCAGCCTACATCCAACATGCTCAGCTAGGCCCTGCGACCCTCGCCATCTTCTTATCATGCCCCCTCTTCCGGTTATGGTTCGCCCGACTCGCTTTGTTCTTGTCCTTCCACGCCCTGCCCCTTGCTGAGTCGCCCTGTCCGCCACCTCCACCTCCACCTTCACCACCGCCTCGGCCACCGCCACCGCCGCGTCCCCTCCCACCGCGCCCGCGTCCCCGCCCGCGCGAGCCTCCTCGGTGCGCCTCGTGCGAGGAGGATGAGGGGAGGGGGCGGTTGCCCGTGAACTCGTGTTTAGCGAGGGTCTTGTCTTTGTTGGGCTGTTCCGGCGGGAGATGCATGAGAGAGGTGGGTGCGCAGTGAGCGTGAAGAGACATACATTTCGTTCCAGCATGATCTTCCATCCCTCGATCTGCTCGTCCGTCCATCCTGTGTACATACGTTAGACTTATGAGCGAGCGATGGATAACAGTAGCTCGATACCTGTCTGTTCCCTCAGCTCCGCCCGCGCCTTGCTCCTCCTCGTCTGCCCATCCCTCTCAAACAGCTTCTGGTCCCGGAGGTACGCCAACTCCAGTACCGTCTCAGGCCTTGCCTTGCCTCCCTCCACCTCTCCCTCACCCTCATCGCCATCCTCTCCATCCGACGCCGTCCCCTCTGGCCCGCTCTCGTCGCCATCCCGCACCTTCACCCCGCCGCCCTCGACGTCGTCCAGCTCCTCCTCGAACGCGACGACCTTACCCTTGCCCTTAGCGTTGTTACCTGCGGAGTACCCATAGAGGTCCGCGTCGTCTTCCTCATCCTCCTCGTAGTTGGCCTCCTCCGCACGCCGCATGATGTCCGCCTTCATCTCCGCGACGAAGGAGCGATCTTGAAGGACGGTCTCTGCCTCGTCCCTGCGCGTGTCGTGCCAAGCAAAGTCAGCGCAGTCAAGGAACCTATTCAGCAGAATGACGCACCGCTTCTTCCCCACGCGCACGCTCTCCATATCTATCTTCTCCTCGTCGAAGACGTTCCGGCGCTCGCGCGTATACGTGAACTCGCCTGGAGCCCTCTCCACCACGGGCATGCTCGGCGCAGCGCCGGCCGCCTCTGCTGCACGCATAGCGCCGCCCACTTCCTCCTGGCCCGGCGCCGTCCCTTCAAGCAACGCACCCAAGAGCCGTTCCGCGTCCCCTCGGTACGGATAGCTCTCGCTCGACACCAAGAACCGCAGGTACGGCGCGGGCAGGTCGGGCAAGATCTCGAGTACCTGTGCGACGGCGGCCTCCAGCACGGGGTCTGCGCGCGGCTCCGCTGCGACCGCCTTTCCCTTTCCCTTTCCCTTGCCTTTGCCTGCGCTAGCAGCAGAGGGCCCGCGTCCGCGCGCGTCGATAGCGGGCGGCGCCCCGGATGAGCGCAAGAGAAGCTTCAGCGCCCCCGGTCCCGACGAGCCCTCTCCCTGCGATGCATCAAGCGTGCGCAGAGAGGACTCGAGGAGCTCGCTGCGAGGGTCATCCAGGCTCTTCAGCGCTTCCTTGAGCGTACGCGAGAGGTCGTATGCGTGCTGGTAGTCCGAGACGAGCGGGCGGTCGAGGAAGGCTGTGGTCCCGGCCGGACGGAAAGGCGGGACATCGAGCAGACCGAAGATGACCTCGAAGGCGGGGTCAGCGGCTTGTCCTGGCTGGGCAGCGACATCGGTGAGGAGGGCACGGATGAGGAGATGGAAGCTGTCTATGAGCGCGACTTTGGTTTCGAGGAATAGCCGTTCCCAGTCGTCCAATGGGGCGTCATGCGAAGAGCGTATATTGAGCCCGCCGTAGGAGTGTGCGATCGTCCCGAGGCCATTATCATACGCTCGCGCGAGTGCGATCATGAAGTGCTTGTCTTGCGCGAAGAGGCGAGTGAGGTCTGACGGCGCGGAGCGCAGGAGGGACAAGATGATGTGTGCAGCTTTGCGCAAGCCATATAACCCTTGCGCATTGCCGTCTGCAATAAGAGAAGTGAACGCAGGGATTGCTTCGTCCTTTACCTGAGACACGAGCGATGAAGTGCCATGAGCGAACGCCGTGGAGAAGAGGCCCCGGAAACGGGTCAGATTGGTTGAACCATAAGCCACGCTCAGATCCAGAAGCGTTTGCAGGTTAAGAGAACCCGAGGCAGCCATTCGCTCCGAAAGTAAGAAAACGCGTTGTCGTATCGTCTTCTCGACCGGAGACAAGTTCGAGAATACGTTTTGACCTTGGCTCTGGGATTGTTCCCAGATCAGCGAGTTGAGCACCAGCTGTGCAGCGTCCTTTGCGTAGGTGGCTAGGAATGTCTGAATGGAGGATTTGTGAGATTGCGCGGCCGGTAAAGCAAGGGTTTGCGCAAGACGAGAAGAGATAGTTTGATAGAGCGTCGCAGCCTGCGAGGGTGAGAGGGCAGCCCTCGCCTTGCTGGATGGGTAGGGTGGGAGGGCCTCCACGGAGAGTGCCATGGTCGTACAGGTGGGGGTTGAGTGAGGCGCAGCTGGTAGCTCGCCCGAAGTTGTGCGGCAGGAGGTCCGCAAGAGGCTGGTACTGTGGCAGACTGTAAGTTACAGAACTCGGAAAGCTGCAGCCACCGATATTCCCGGCCCGATCCGATCGTCGATCACGTCGCGTCGGGATCGGGGACTAGCGTCCGGCGCTCCGTCCACCATGTCTGCTTTGAAGCCTTGATGGAAGTACTGTATTATACAGTAGAAGTACAGTGCTAAAGTCACCAGTGTCACACTAGTCGCCGTCTGGCTCAGTGGCTGACTTGACCTATATAGATATGTGTTATAATGATAATGCTGCAGTAACATAGGTATAGTCACGAACAAATCCGGGTATCAACAAGTCAAGGAGAACGAGACTACTACAAGTTCTATGACAATGGTACAGATCCTCATATCTACTCATGGCGAACACGGACGCAACCTTCACATCCCTATCGTTCCGCGACAAACTAAACCTTCATATCCTCCTCGAGGCTCAGCGACCGCCTGGACCGCCATGCCTCCTGCGTCCTCTCACGCTCCCGTCCCCTCAAGCCATCGACAGCCGCCCCCTCCGGTGGCTGTTCTTCGTCCTCGTCCACAACCCTCTTTCTCCACATCCCCGAGCCTCTCCTCCACAGACGTGGACCTGCCCTCGCTTCGCCCGGGCTGCCGTCACGGTCTCGCTCTCGGTCTGCACCTTCATCACGCACGCCACCCTCCTCGCGGGCGAAGTACATGCTCCTCCTCCTCAGCACAGCAAACCTCTCGCCGGCCTGCGCCGGGTTGGCCGACCCCGCATTTTGGAAGTACGGTTTGTACGCCTCTGGCTGCTCCCGGCCCACTCTCCTGCGCGGGAGCGGAGGACCAGTTGGCCGTAGTACCTGCGGCTGAGAGGACGGAGACTCGGACTCGGACTGACCATCGCCCTTCTTCACGCGCAACTTGCCCTCGACGTCGATAGTCCAGTGTGCAGGTTGCTCGGGCGTCCCGGCGTGGATGCTGGGCACGACTGACGTGGGTCGTGGCGGCGTGTTCTTCTCTCCCAGATGCAACTGCGCGACGAGCTTCGTGAGGGAAACCTGCCCGCCTGATGTGGGCGGTCGGATAGGGGTGCCGGTAGGATCTTGTAGATCCATTTCGGCGCATGGAATAGTCGGGAGATCAGCCGTACCAACAAGAGCATCAATGTCGTCTGAGGCATACCCAATAGCTTTCCGCAAAGGAGATCCCTGCACTGACTGTATCTCCTGTGTGTGATTCTTCAGAACAACAGAGGGCGAAGTAAGAGCAGGGTAGACGGTATCTGGCTCAAGGAGCGCAAATCTCACCGCAGGGCCGGCGGGAGACGACGCGTCGACTTGCGGAAGCGCGGAGGCCGAAGAGTCGATAGCTTGCTTCGCAGCAGGCGATGCAGCGACAAGAGGCGTATCCAGAGACTCCGAGGTAACAGTACGTTCGCGCTTGACACGCTCGCCGTCCAGCACTTGAGTCGTCACAATCTGCGCAGAAGGTAGCACATCCGCAGAGCTGCCGACCGAAGCCTGTATACACTTAGACGCGCCACCAACCGGAGAAGTGGATTCCTGAGACACAGCCTGGGGCAACTCGGGCACGTCGTATCCTGGTAGAGCTCCGCCCACGGTGTGGTTCCTGGAGTCGCCAATCACGCCGGGACCGTGACCACCTCGGTTCGCATTCGCCTTAGCCACAGGCCTTGTCGCAGGTGTCCAAGCGTACGCGGGCGACGACTCCCTTGATACTGGCACGGGGCGCTGAGGTGTCGCGTAGATCACCTCCCTAGGTACGGTTGATGCGTACGACGGCGCTGAAAGAGTAGGACTCGCAGGCGGTTCATAGGACGTCTGTCCACTTGCTGCATGGCTTGGACCCGTTGTTGGCAATACGGTGGGACTGCTTGTCTGCGTGGCAGGTGGGACAAACGGCGGAGCCGCAGCCACAGCCGCGAGATTGGCCACAGAAGGACGCTTTGAGACTCCACCGAACACGGGCGTAGGCGCATGGATTGGCGGGGTCGGAACGAACGACGCTGGCGTTACTTCAGGCGACTGAACCGTCTGCGCGATTATCGGCGACCGCCTCGAAAGCGGGGAAGGCACGACTCGGTGCGGAGAGATCCCATGCAGGCTAGCCATGGATGCATGCTTCGACAGGCCGGGATGGAACGGCGCAGGGGATTGAGAAGAGAGTGGGCCGAACGCTGACGAGAGACTTGCTGTAGAGCCACGCCTGCTGTGTGCACGCTCCGGGACTGGACTCTGGGCAACATGGTGAGCGAACAGGGGTGCAACAGGCCTGAGCGCGGCAACAGGAGAGGTGAATGGCGATTGAGTTGTAGCTGGGCCATAAACGGCAGGCTGTGGCACCATCGAAGGCGGAACAGCTGCAGTAACATTGGCGACAGGCGGAGAGAACAAGGGCGGTGCGGCAGAAGTTGCGTTCGCCACCGACGGCCCGATTGCAGGCATGTTCCAGTTGGCTGCTCCCGCAAGGTCCGCCTCCGACACACGCTTTGCCAACGCAGCAGCAGACGAATGTGCATGGTTCGCGATGTTGACAATCGCCGCGGCCGCAGGATTCGCAGTGAAAGCGAACGGCGAAGCCCCCGCATTGAAGCCAGAGCGGTGCGTAGGACTTGAGTGTACATCGGGATAGCCAACGTTGGGCGCGTTCGAAAAGGTCCGCGCTCGACCAGGTACGAATTCCGGAGCGAACGGTGAGAAACTGGTCTTTCTCGGGGGCGGTAGGTTGACGTTAGGGTTAGCGGCGGGTTGATGCGCGGCCGAAGGGACGAACGGCTGAGAACATGCGGAAAAGCCACCCGCGTTCGGTGCTGAAGTAGGCAGCGGCGCATCAGGTTTACTGGCCGGGATCTCGATAGCGGCCCTCTGCTGTGTCTCTTGCGCCTCAGTAATAGATACTTGCTCCGATTGTTGGTCTAGCTTGCGTGGTGTGACCAATTCCTGCGTCTGTGATTAGGGTATAAGCACAATCAAGTCAAACATTTCCAACATGTTTTGTTACCTCTGTAGCACCCCGCGCCCTTCCGGTATCCTGACCTTCCTTCTGTGCCCGTTCTGCCTCGAGACCAGTCGCCTTCGATGCTGCTTGTCGCGCAGACATCCGATCGTCCTGCTCGCTCGCCCGGGAGACTTCACCAGCCTTTGGCGTCGCATGCAATTGCGTACTCCCAGACATACCGATTGCTTCCTTCGCCTTCCTGGCTTCCATCAAATGCGAAACGGCTTCAACCCTCTCGTCATAGCCCTTCTCATCCAGACGTCCACCATCCTCTCCATCCAGCACACTCGCCTCAGAGTCAAACGCAAGCGGCAAGCTCGCCGCACGTCCATACTGACTCGCCGTCCCCTTCATTGCCCTCAACAATGTCTCCACCATCACCTGTGCCGGTGAGATCTCAATCTCACTCACACTCGCATCCGCATTGAGTCGTTCCAAGCTCGTCGCAGCGCCAGACTTGCGCCCACGAGCTCGGCGATTGCGCTGCTTGCCACGCGTACTGAACTCCTGGGGCAGCTGACGGTCCCGTCCGCGTCCGCGCTGTCTGCTCCTCTCCCTGCTCTCTCTGAGCTCCTCAGGAGCAAGAGCCCAGTTCGGGTGGTCAGGGGAGTGCTCTCGGCGCCTAGGCGGGCTTCGGATCTGCGATCGCTCGTCGTCTGCGTCGTCTGCATCGGACGTCGGTGCGGGGCTAGGTGTCGGGACGGGCCGACTGTCTGGGGAGGGTACGCGAGAGGGCGGATGCGAAGGGCCAAGAGGACGTTTGAGGAGTTCCTCAGCGATCTCAGGATACACATTCGCAAGCTAGACGAGACGCAACAATTTCGATGAGAAGCCGTGATACGCATCATACGAGACAAACTCACGCTTCTGGCTTCAGCATATGTCGTAGGGAGAGGTACCCCGATCGGCTCAATAGCATGCTCGCCGACCCACACAACCGGCTTCGTCTGGTCGCCTGCAGGAGGGGTTTCGAGCGGCGTGATAGGCAGAGATGTGTTGCCTGTATCCGAAGAGTACCCAGTGCTAGTACGACTCAAGACGGAAGGGCTTGAGTCGGAGGCACTCTCAGACGCGGTTCGAAGGGGAGCGGAGAGCCTAGACGGCGACGGAGGCTTGGCGAAGGCATCCGACATCGACGTCGACAACACGAGCCCCCGTTCCGAGGACGGTGAGAGCAGTACCACTGCAGGAGGCGACTCCCGGGTGGGAAGCTCAGAGTCCATCGTCGGGGTCGCAGGAGGAGTCGCAAACACCACAAAGGGTTCATCCTCCGACGACAACGACATGTCTGCAGAGCTGTCAGGGTCCATCTTCTCGACGGACGGAGGATAGGGAGACCCGAAGGACTGGAACGATATCCCAGTCTTCATGTTACTTGCACGAGCGGCAGTTAGGAATGTGACAGTACGCGAAGACGGGGAGTCACGGGCTATGTGCGCCTGGGGTTTCTCGATGGTGGTCGGCGAGGGGAAAATGTTGGATGAATTCTGACGGCTCGGCGCTGGGAAGGTCGAGTCTGTCTTCTGCGGTGGGGAGACATTTGGAGTGACGCTGGGCGTAGGCTGTTCGATGATAGGTTCGAGCTTCGTGCGGGTCTTGTTCAATTCGCTTTTGACGCTGTTCTCACTTCCCAACGAGTCAAATGATGCGAACTACAAAGATGCCTTGGTCAAGCTGAGTGCCAAGAGGATATTGTCCGCACTTACACTGGCGGGGTGTATTGTTGGCGGCTCCTTGACGCTCTGAATACGCATATATAAGCACCACACAGCGAGGACGACGTCGAGATACGAACCTCGGCACCGACAGACGTTGTCTGGTTCTCCAGCGTAGCCACACGGGGGCTGGACTGCAGCACCGCCGGCTCTGAAGGGCCGGCCTGCGGCTCAGACAGAGACGGGCTGGCATTGTCGGCGACTGCGCCCTTGCGCGGGGTCTTGTTTCCTCTGCGAAAGAACGGCGACCTGAGGACGTTGGTGACGATCTCCGGGACGAAGCCCGCGACAGGAGCCATTGCGAGGCCAGTGGGGCGCGCGACGCGGGGTGGAGACGGTGGGGGGAGGGAGAGAGGAGGGGGGCAGAGGACGGAGGGCGCAGAGGTTCAAGTTCAACTCGGGCAGCTGTGGAGAAACATATATTTGGACTGCGACGCGATGCCCCGCGCGTGGGGCGGTGCCGAGGGGCCGTCGATCGACACCGTCCAGCAGCGAAGGTTGGGTGTTGAACGCCGCGTCGCTCGCATTGACAGCTGTGGCGCAAGTCTGGATAGAGTCAGCCACCATCCGAGGAGGCCGTTCAGCAGAATAACTCTGCAGTAGGCATGCTGAAGCTGTGAGATTATCGTGCAAGTCCCGTCGCTAGTACATTAGCTACGTACGCAAGGACTCACCTCGACTGATCTTTGTCTTTGGACCACGGCACCAAGGTCAGTACATCGAACCACGCACACCCCGCGCGATATCACAGAAGCCCTCGGGATGTGTCACACGTCCAAGAACCCAGGTCAACCTTCCAAACACCGTCATGGCGGCGAGCTTCGCGGGGCTTCCGCTCGCAATACCACTGCGTACAGTATCTTGATTGAGGACCGTGTAGGCGGCCTTATGAAGAGGTCTCAGCTTGTCCGCGCTGGACAGTGAGCCTCGTTCTGCGTTCACAAAACAAAGGCGTGTTAGCTAGCAGACTTGCTAAAGGCTTCGAGGATCGTTCAACGCACGTCATTTAACATCGTGGCACAGAATGCGTGCCGCTGTGTCGGTGCTCAAGCGCTCACTCATAGACGCCACCGTGGTGCAACAGAAACAGAAACGCACCGCCGTGTATTAACCAACAGATTCCTGGAAGCAGTCACTAGTTCACTCATTGCACTGCAGCGCCATGACCGACAAGCCGATAAATCACGCAAGATATACACAGAGAGCACTGCAATACTTCGCCACTGGATTTCAAGACTTCTCTGACGTGCCTGGGACCGGGCCCTCTTCAGGACGGCGGCCAGACACTTTGACAAAGTCGTCCATGGCGTAGTCACACCCAGAGAGCTGCAACGACGCCCAACTCAGTTCCACGCACATTCAGGACGAACATAAACGGCACTGACCCATTGCCCAAAGTCCCGCACATAGCTCGGGCACAGCGGCAAGAACGGCACGAAGTTCGCGTAGAACGGCATGTAGAGCGTCTGCGAATGCTGCTCGTCGAGCGCGGCGATCACGGCCTTCGCGATCGTGACCGGCGGGAGGCTCGGCACGAAGAACTTGTACCACGGCGCCTGGGGCAGGCGCACGCGCGAGAACATCGGCGTCTGGACGTGCCCTGGGAGCACGAGCGTCGTCCGGATCGCGGGCGTATTGTACTTGTGGTCGAGCTCGTAGCGGAGGGACTCGTGCAGCGAGATGAGTGCCGCCTTGGAAGCGTTGTAGTCGGCTGTGGATGCGGGGGGTCAGGGAGAGAATATGGGTGCGATGAGGGAGTGCTTACCCATACGAGCCATCCCCACCATCCCTGCGACAGAGGACATGGTAATCTAGTGACAAGTTCTGTAAGCACAGTTCAGTTAGCCAGGGCTTAAATCACTCACAATATGTCCCTTCTTCTGCTCGATCATCCCAGGCAGGAACGCCTTCAGCGTCCAGAAGTGAGCCATCGTGTTTACAGAGAAGGTCCTACCGCCTCATCGTCAGCGCGCTGCTCGGCGTACCACAACGAGTTATGACCCACTGTTGTACATCCTCAGGCGTCAGGTCGACGAGGAGCTTGCCTTGTACGACACCGGCGTTGTTGATGAGGACAGTCGGGTGGCCAATCTGCCGGATTGTCAACCATCGCACCGCGCGGCCTACTGTGCAGTAAACCTACCTCTTCGATGATCTTCTTCGACACGGCTTCGACCTCCTCCCACTTGGAAACATCGCACTTGTAGTAGTTGATGTTGTCTGGATAAGGCGCGAGTTGCATGATCTCTGTTGCATGCACACAGGCGATAGAGACGTACAGTTTTCGGTGACGATGGGGTTCACATCCAGTACGATAACTGTGACGTTGCGCACGGCACAGGTGTTCGCGATCAGCTCACCAATGCCAGAGGAGCCTATGATGCGATGAATCCATGTTAACTCTCTCGGTGGAACGACGCATAACAGCGAGTTGCGACTTGACCGGACCCACGAGCATAATGAACAGCGTCTCAATGGTCACTAGGCGGGAAACGCCATGTTCGCGTTGTTCAACAATGCGCAGAAAGCCCGGTCAAGTCGCAACGACTCGTTCGCACAGCATGACAGATGAGTAAAAGCCACGTACCACCAGTGATGACGACAATCTGCTCGCCCCAGTCGAACGGGCCGGGCCCATAGATGAGACTGCCCTGGTTACGGTAAAGGCGGGAGTACCACTTCAAGGCCCCTACAAATTACGGTTCATGAGCGAAGGTACGAAGGATCGTTGCAGAGTGGACGCACAGAAGGTGGCTACCCCGACGACATACGCGCTCGTGCCGAAGAAGACAGGGTCGGTGTACGGCACGCCTTGGAACCAGAAGAACACGGGCAGCCAAAACATGAAGAACGGGCCTGCGGACGGATGGAGCGCATCATGTGAAACGGTCAGTTGAAAGTATAAATAATGGCGCGGGGGGCGACTGACTGAGCATGGTGTGCGCGAGCACCTTGACGAGGATGTCGACGTCGAAGTTGTCGAACATGAGCGACACGTCGAACGGCTGCTCTTGGGGCTGCATCTCGACCTCCATCGTGCTTCAGTGTCTGTGAGTGAGTTCAAAGGGCCGAGTAACAGGGGGTATGTGGAACGAGTGAAGAATACAGGCTCAACCTGTACCGAGAGAGGGAGGAGAAAGAGGTACTGATCCAAGCCCTCGGGGAACGAAAGGATATGAGCTGGCCGCTGAGCACCGCCTGCTGGTGACTTTGACTTGCAGCAGATGCCAGGTGGTGGAAGGAAAGATGGGCAGACGGCGGGAGATCACAGACTGACAGACGCGTTGCTGCGGCGGTACTCGCCCACTCCGTATCTCCTCTCGGCCAAGGCCAGACTCGCTCACAGGCACCCCTTTCTCGCAAACAATTTCCTGAATACGATGGCCTCACCCGACGATGGACTCTCGCCGCTGTCGACTTGAACGTGTCGGCGGCAAGCGAGAGACGAGAAGGGGACATAGGAGATGGCTCTCCGCCTGGCTGTTCCGATGACGAGCGAGCGCCTTCACTAGTCCGAAGCGCAACGTCCGGAGCGCAGCCGGTACAGTACGACTCTATAAAGCACATCCATTGCGGTTGCGCCTGACCCCCCACTCGTCGATATCCTCTCCGTCCTCGTCCAAACGTGAGCAGGAGGAGCAACCGCAGTGATATAGCGGAGGCTATACTCAAAGGCGAGTCACCCCACGCTGCTGCCTCGGACGCACTGACTGCGTCATAGTAGGTCCTTATCCCGCATTCACTGCCATTCAAAGAACTCCATATCTTGGAATTTGATCACGATAGATCGCAGTTGCGGTACTCTCTTCGCTCTTCGGAGCATAGCGACACCCTTCCGTGCATACCACCATCTACGCTAGGTTCAATGGAGCCCCACCCACATATTACCCATGAAGACGTGTTCTTCGCTTCGCTCCCCCTCTCAGACTACCCAGCATTGCCCTCGAACATCGGCAACAGAGGGTACACATCTATCCACCCTCGCACCACTTCCATGGAGACATTCAGCATACCCAACAACCCGTACTTCTCCCCATCCTCATCCAACCTTCCCCTAGAGCCCCTCCTCCCGCTCGAGATCCTCATGCAGATCCTCGAGTACACCGCGTCCCTCTCGCGCACCTCCGCCGCCTCCGTCTCGCTCGTCTCCACCTGGGCGCGCAAGCTCGCGCTCCCCCACCTCTTCCGCGCGCTCGTCCACCGCAAAGCGCCCCTCACAAACGTGATCGTGCTCTCCGCGACGCGCAGCGCCTCCCTCCCCGCGACACGCAGCACCCTCCCCGCCCACCTCGGGCAGCACGTCCGCGCGCTCTGGACGGAGAGCATCGGCATGTCGTCGCCCACGAGCGAGATGGACGTCTTCCGCGCGTGCCCCGCGGTCGAACACCTCGCGCTTCCCGCCCCCGCGCTCCGCACGCTCTACATGGTCTGCCAGATGCTCGACAAGCAGGACCGCGCGCACGGCGGCCGTGCACACGCGCTGCCGTTCCTCTCCGCGCTGAAGGAAGTGACGCTCCTCAGCCACACGCTGCGGTACGAGTGGCATTTCCTGGTGGGCCTCCGCATCCCGGATGGCCGCGCGCTCCTGCAGAACATCACGCGCCTCCGGATGCTCGACATGCAGATCAGCGCGTACGTCCCGCACGCGCACCTCCCGAACCTGACGCACCTCGCCCTGCCCTACCTAGACTTGGGCGCGAACATCAGCCATGACCTCCTCCGCCTCCCTGAGGGCATCCTCGAGCACCCGAAGCTGCAGATGGTCGTGCTGACGGTGGATGAGAGGAAGTATCTGCATAACCCGTGGTATCATATCGTCCGTTACTCGGCCGCTGGCACGGGGAACGTGCGGTACTCTTCGCCGCGCGAGAGCTTCCGTGCGCTCGTCAAGCAGGCGTACATGAAGGACGACCGGGTCAATGTCATCCTATCGCCGCGAATAGGCCAGTCTGCTATCGAAGAGTGGGACGCGGCTGTGCGCGGAGGCGAGAGCATCTGGGACATCGCCGCGAAGGTGAGGGGTGACGAGCAGTATGGTATGGAACTGCCTTCTACTTACGCCCCGGGCATTCATCGGTGAGGCGTTCGCATCATGATCCTTGCGCCACCGTCAGACGGGATCATCTCCTTGACTTGTACGATGCCATCTATTGCCAGCTCATATCTAGACAACTTGACGAGATCTTGTTTTACCTATAGACCACAAATCCACTGTAGCGTATGAAGACGTTTGTTGACCATGATGCCAGAGTAGTCGCTGTCATAGCTGGTGTGGGCACCTTAAGCCTGGATTTGAGGATATCTTGCAAGACCGTCTTCCTGTGATTTGACGAAACCCGCAATCACGAAACGACGAAGAGTCTTGCATCGGGATATTGATAGACATGCGATACAATGCCGAGGGACATATGTCGAACAAAAGTCACTGGTGACCTATCCCCCTGAGAAAGGGCCATCACACAGATAGCACTCGAGAAAGTACACACAGTGAGGCAAATGAGCCAGTGTCCAGATTCCCGTGTAGACAGCAAGCAGCAAGTAGCATGATAGTGGTCGGACTAGCGGTCCAAGCGGCGACGGTGGTTAGACAGACACATGGGTGTAGCCAAAACAGCTGAGAGCGGAACCATATATACGTAATGAGAACGAACATCTCGCTGCGTGTTGCGGTAGACACCTGGTAGACACTTTGACCGCAGCCAACAGACGGAGTTGATCGCATGCATGCGCTCTTGTAGTACCGCTTTGAGAATACTTTGCGCCGGAAGAGACCAGAATTGTTGCGGAAGACCGCAAGGCGGTGTTCTTGTAGGCCTTGAACAACAACAGGACGCCAGTGGCGAGAACCGCCCCTATGACAACCACAATCCCATTGTTAACGTCAAACATATATATCGGCGGATGCCCACAGACACTTTCAAATTTTCTGCACTACATATCTTGTTAATCGCGAGCTGGCTCCGTACACCCCATTCATTCCCTTGGTCATGATCGCAGTCTTTCCGATAATCTTGCTGCCTAGAATACAACACCTAGCCCGCGGCAAGGCAAAAGCACGCCCAGACGAGCCTCCACGCAAGATCGGTGGCAGAAGACGATGGTGCACCATGCAGCGAGGTAGTCATAAGACACGGCAAGTACGGGATGAGGACCGGGGTAGCGAGCGGGGGCAAGGAGCTGGACGGTTCGACGCGCTGAAACGGCTGGTGCATGGGGTAGGTGTAGGTGGTCACGTGGGAGAGACGCGTCGGTGGCTGAGGGGCTCGGCGCGTCTGAGCCGGGGAGGCGAGTCGAGTGCGGCGAGACAGCGACAGCCCCCGCATCCCCTCCTTCCACGCCCTTCCCCGCACCAGCCTTGCATGCGTCCCCGCTCTTAAGTCTCCGCACGCTCTTCCTGCCAGGGCAGTCACGAGTATGTCCTGCACTCCCCGCATCCGCGCCCTCCTCGTCCTCGACCTCATACGCTCCCCGCCACAGCTCGGCTTCGCTGGCCTTGACGCCCACTCTGCCTCCGTCCTGGCGCCATATGTGGAAACGACAGCGAAGAGCAAGGACAGACGCTGCTTGTCTTCGATGCAGCAGAAATTGCAGCCGCAGATCCCTCTGCGGCGTGGCAACCTCGACAGCGACTGCAAGCGGCCTGCTCATGCGCCACGACACGCCTCGCGAAGACCGGCTGACAGGCATTCGTTTCCACCACGCACAAAGGATGCGGCGCGCAGCTTGAGTTTGACTACACTGTACGAGGTATATGAGGCAGACGAGGACCAGAGCGCCACCGTACGTCTCTATCCTTCCTATCACTACCTCTATTCTAAATACCAGACCATGGCCAGGATGGCCTCTCCGACATGGACCACACTCTGGTATGTTTTCACTCCCATGCATACCACGTCGACTCAATGCGCGAGCAGATTACGAAAGAGCATCTCGCAAAGATTGAAGACGACTGGTCAAGATGGCGGGCTTCTCGGGAGAAGAATGTGCGACCATCCCCATCCTCTCCTGAGTCGCAGTCTAACAAAGCTCACCCTCTAGGACCATCTCCGGGAGCTGCAGCTCGACCGCCGCAATATAGTCCTCGACTCCGCCCGTCCGGACGTCACACCACACATAGTCATCACACCTCCCGACTCCGTGGATGCATGGAATAATTACTGGGCAATCTGTGTGAACAGGACGGGACCGCAGGACTCCGCATGTCTAGAACTACCTCAGCGACATGACGGCCTCGACCCGCTCGCGTGCTCACCGGCCCCCGTTGACGGGGTAAGGCGTGTGCACCGTGCGGCCGCAAGCGCACCGCAGTGCGGCAATATGGAGGCAGAGGCGCGTACGCTGTTCTCCCCAGAACCTCGGAGAGTGTTCAGTCGGTCTTGGTTCCATTCAAGGGTATGTTCGTTCAAAACTCTATGAACGGAGTTGGATTTACAACGTTAGGTGGCGCTTGCTGCGCAGGAACGTGAATTGCCGTTTCTCGATAATATATCTGCAGCGCTGCATCGTCGGCAGCTCAGACTTGCAGTGAGTGCATCTTTCTCGACATCCGCGGATGGTTGGTTAATTGAACCTTGTAGGCGCTGGACGCAGCTTCCATTGCACCGTCATTCCGGGCACGATGGGAGGTGCTTGAGTTCGCCCACCGGCTCGAAAGAACGTTCAAGTGGACAGACGAGGCGGAGGTGCGTGCATCTCTCTCACCTCTTGTGTCGTATGAGGTACTCACCCGTCCGCACGTAGCCTCTGCTCTCATATTTCAACCATTGCCTGGATACAACCGTCATCGACTCCCCAACACCCTGCACAGTACCACACATCGTCATCCAAGAACCTGCTTCCAGCGAACCACCATTCGCCGCATCGTACCACAACCCCACGCCATCCCAGCAAGACTGCTACTACCTCACCGTCCCCGCATCCTTCGTCCACTTCGTCAACGACGAATCTTACATCTGGGGCTCCTCCGGACGTACGGGGGAAGAGGAAGAGGACTGCGCACCGCTCTTGGTCGGGGCAGTAGAAATGGAGGCGGAGGCGGACTCGACGTCGGCATCGGCGGGCTCCTGGGGCGAAGGCCCAGACACACCGTGCGGGTCGCACTACGAGCTGGGCGAGGCCATTATCGAGGAGTTCGAGGACTACGTCGAGCAGGACGAGGACGGCCTCCGGCCTTCGCCGCCTCTAGCGGAATCATGCTGCGCGGCGGTGGAGGAGCCCGCGGGGATGGTGTCTGTGGACGTGTTTGAGTGCGAGGAGGAGGATGAGTTGCCCCCGTTTGATGATTGGTATCAGAGCATCGCGAGTAGGGCGGCCCCGACTGCATAAATTCTTTGGGATGGCGATACCCAGCCGCGGTAGAGTAACGTCGTATAATGTGTACTATAGCTGTGTAGCATACTATACTGTACATCATACTAAGTCGCCTTTGCGTTATTGCATTCGAGGTCCACCCTTATGGAACCTACGCGACCGGTCCTCGGTCCGTGATCATACGGTATCCCCTTGCAAATTGGTACTTGGAGGTACGGCGATGACTGAGCGTATTGAGGACTGATGTGCTACCAGTAGGCTACTACCCGCACCCGAAGTCGTCAAAGACCTGTCTGACTATTAGTCCCCCTTGGGCTGTGGAATTCGTACCGTTGCTTGCAATCGCTTGAGCAACAAGGCTATATCAAACTGGGATACGAGCCATGTATCTAGTCTCCCCAGGCAGACGTAGACAATTCCTTCAACCTTCGTGCCTCAGGATATCCTTGTCCATGTATCAGGAAACTTTGCGGAAGAACCTGTCCATTCTATCAAAAGTGCGCATGCAGAGGAGGGATATCAATCAATGTAGGTCGTCGGTGTATTGTTTAACACTTGCGCCGGGTGGTATTTGCCGTCATCCGGGTGGAGACTATCGGCATAGTACCCGATACCTCGCAAAGCGGGTATAGTAACCCATGATGAATGAATGAAGCCAGAAGGAGTATTGTCTCGGAATGGAGTGATCATTGAACTCGAAGACCTGGGGAAAACCTATCGTCATGGTCCTATCAGGGCCGCAAGACTTTTTGTTATACTTGCACCGTGACCCACTGGAAGCGCAGCACCATCCCAGAAAGACCCAGCGATAGGCCGTAGCCGACGAATGGTAGATCACACTCACTATGTCCCGTTCAATCGGTGGTCCCAGGTCGACGTCAATTTACTGACCTGCAAAACAGTGCATCCCTGACGTGCAACGTGGCTACGGTTACATCAGCGCTGCGTGCGCGCGCCGCAACAGTCAGGCCATAACATGCGAATCACTGCATATATTACATACCAGCGAGGGTGCGTACGCGTTCAAGGAGCTGCCAGCGGCAGATAATAGGTGTTGTCAAGCCAGGCGCGGTGGCAGCCTGAGCACTAAATGCGGCGCGTTTTTCGACACAGCGGATGCCGAGACTGCAGTATGTCTACGTACGCAGCTCACCTAACCGCATCAGTTGTGCAGTGAATCCATATCTTCTCACAACTGTCGTAGCTACTCACCCGGCTTCTCCATGTGGCATTGATAAGTTTCTTCTCTTCCGTGCGAAACAGCCCACCGGCGTCATCTTGTCAGCGAATGAGAGATCGACTACAAGTACAGGGTTGCAGATGCCTTGCGCCGGGTAGGAGCCACGTCGTTGTGCGGAGAATCATCTTGCGGATGGTTGCGTGCCTCCTGCACCAACTCCCAGATGTCCTTGCCGTCGCCACACGACGAGTCGCGTCGGCCGTGCCATCTGCATAAGCCAGCTATGCTTGCGGCTAGAGAACCACGGCGGCCGTGCGGTAAGCAAACGATCTATCACGAAGTGTGAAGACGGCCTTCATTGCGCGGGGTCTCCCCATCCTGCAGAGAGAAGCAGCCAACTCACCGGCCTGAACTTGCTCACCCATCGATGCCCACCATTCAAATATTCACCCATCGCAGCCAGCTCTTATGAAAGGGGCGAGTGCGAGACCTGCTCGCCTTCACTAAAGCCTACGCTGGGCCACATGGGGGATATTCTACTAATACTGCAATGGCGTGACCATTCTGTCAGATTCTGGATATCACACTGTCAACAGGTTACTTCGCGCACAAGTCCAAGAAGGGAGGAAGGAGTGCATAAACGGCTGCACGCACTCTGAGCTCCCCTACTGCCCGGAGCATCTGGCATGTTCTCTTCACGGTCAAATGCAGTAGCAGGCTAGACCGAGGTTGGACTCGTTGAAATCAGTCACCGAGTGAGCACAGCTGAAGCGAGGAACAATCGCACCTTTTGCGGGCATTTGCATCCTGTACTGCCCCCTGATCAGAGTGGCCAGCGCTATATGCCACGTCGTACATCAAACAAAGATTCAAGCAGCGAAACCGTATGGTACCACACGGGACCGATCGGTCGTTCCTTATCTTCTGTCAATCCTGGCGACTGTCAGCAGCTGACGGGAAGCTGTACGCCGGCTGACCGTTGATGTGCAAATGACGATTGTATACGTTGCCGCGAGAGGGAACCGTCGTGCTCGACGAGATGTCGATTGCGCCAGGGTGATGATGATGTCGAGCCCGAGTTGTCCGGAGATGGTGCGGTTGCGAAAACCAAAGTCAGACGAGACAGAGGTCCGACATCTGGACGTGTGGTTAGCGAGGGGAACGGGAATCGGCTAGTCGACTGGTGAGTAGTAAGTATACTACTTACCGCGAGGACAGCGGTGGCTGTAGCCACCAACACAGAGCACCAGACTGCCGGTTTGCCGCATATAGTCCTACGAGAAGACGGGTCCGGCCTGTCGATGCGCGCGCGAAGACTTCTGTGAACGGTTCGTACTGCAGGCCAGTACCGATCCCTTCACAGAGGTCTCGCGCAGCCAAGAAGCCTAGCATGCATCCCGGGCCAAAGACAGCACGCGTTATCGCCCAGTCGACTGTCGAGCGCGCTGACGATATCACGCATCCACACCGGTACTCACATGTCCACCCACCGCAGCCAAAGCCTTGATCAACGCTACGCGCGCCGTACTAGTACCACTAGGACCAAGCCCGCGTTAGCATCTTCGACGCACGTCGACGTCGCGGCTGCCGCCGGGTCGACGGCTCTTCGACGCTAGCACGGTTTCCGCCACACCCTTTCCTTGGACTCGCGACTGCGAGTCGGAAGCAAGTCGGAAGTATGCGGAATGGCCTAGCGTCCTACTATTTTGAATTGGCAAGTACTTGGACACTACACAGCCGGTTTGGGGTGGCGACGATCGTTTCGTTAGCTGGTAGACGTTTCCCCGCACGCACGAGTAGCGTGCACGATGCCGCGATGGTAGGAGATGGTCTGGACTCTGCGCCTGATGGTAGACATGTTTGCTAAATCAAGCTGACATGATGAAGCGAGTTGGACAGGGAGGGAGCACCTGTGCCGTTTGGAGAAGCCATTAACACAGACCGTAAGTAACGTCGACTAATGCCGACACATGATTTCGGCGGAACCGCCAGTTGTAACCCGGAGGGAGAGAGAAAGAGGGTTTCTGGGCTAACATGTTTGTGAAGGTTGCTTCGTTTGCGCCGGTCTGCCTGCTGACCTTATGTCAGCCCGAGGCAACATGTTTCGTCCGAAGGGAAGCTAAATGCAAAAGCCTCCGCCGAGTTGGCACCCCCACACCTGCAGGCAGGAGGCAGCGACGGTTATAACTTACGTGCACACGCGGACAACGCGACGGCCACGCCTGCGAGGCCACAAAGCGCAGATTGGACGCGGGGGGTCCCGGGTATGATAGAAGGGAGACGGAGTGAATGGCGGAGGACGGCGTACGAGTGACGCCGGTTCGGCATGATGAGAGAGTGCGCAAGGGGATGCCGTTACCCGAGCCCTTCCAGAATGTCAGTAGCCTTTGTGGCGGGCTGCCCAGTTCGCCCGCGTGAACCTCGAGACAGGGACGCCACCATCAGCTTAGCCCAGGACGCGCAGCAGAATGCGGGGAGTGCTGTACCCTCAGCGATTGATCACACTAGAGAGCGATGGATTGACGAGAATTAACTGCGCAAGCGTGGATACACCTCAGGAATGGAGGAGCGTACGTACCTGTACGTTATGTGGAAAAGTACTGGACCTGTGGAGGCACGGCCTCATAGGTCTGGCTCTGTGCACGAAAGGAAAGGGCCACCGGTTCATCAAGAATGACGGCAGGCCGCCGTCCGGCAGCATGCTTACGCTACATAGAATGAATGTGCTGACTGGCCTGAAGGACGCTCGTGCGCGTGAGATGTGGATGCATCTGACGATGGGCCCAAGGTCTGGTAGCATCTGGGGGAAACAGAAAGTACGATGAGAAGATGGCAGAGGCGCTAAGGTGAGTATTGCCGCGAGGGTACCCCGCGCTCGAGACGCTGGGAGGCTTCGAGCGAACTACAAACGTGCGACGGCGAGTGCGTCACCTAGTGCATACGCAGCGAGCAAGACGAGGGGGAAAACCCGGGAGGATAAAAGGCGTCCAAGGCACGGGCAGAGCCGCAGTCCGCGTCGATAGGCCCAGCGCAGGCCGGTTGCGGGCAAATTGAGGACGGCAGATACGGCGAGGGGGCTTCCGGCCTGGGGAGACGGATAACGCGGGCGGGCTGCAATGAATCAGAAGAACGCGCTATAGGCACTCGCTCTATGCCTCCGCAGCCGTACGGAATAGGCAGGAGGACCACCAAGATGGGCGCCGGCGAGGGCGGTGGCACGCCGATTAAAGCGGCGGGAGGCCGCAGAAGATTGCCATACTGGGAGAACGGCGGGCCGATAGCCGGAGAATGCGAGCAATGGACCATGGGCGGCTATCAAAAATGATTTTGGAGCCAAGTATAGGTGCAGATCGAAATCACTGCACTCCTCGCACTCTCGCAGGCGTCCCCTTTGCGCGAGAACTCCCTTCTCGCCCGTCACCCGCTCGGCCTATAACCCCGGCCGCTTCCTACCTCCCCTCTTTCCCTCCTTCTTCCACGACCCCTCCCCCCGGGCCTCCCATGAGCGACAGCGTCACCATCTCTCTCCTCCCTGTCTCGCTCGCCCTCGTCCACGTCCCCGTTCACGACTAGATACCCTCACCCAGCACATCCTCCGCCAGATCCTCAGACCCAAGACCAGCTTCCTAAATATCACCTGCAACGAGATTGAGCTCAGCCTCTTCGCCGAGGGTCACGCGCTCAAGGAGTTTGAGAACATCGCACGCAAGGACGTACGAAAGCTGCGCAGGAGAAGGGAGACGCAGAGCGCCAGCAGGCCATGTCAGAGGGCACAGAGCAGGCGGCGCAGGCCCGACTGGGAGCCTATAGAGGTGTCGTCCGACAGATGGAGTGTCCTCCAGATTGACTCGCATTCTGACTCACTCGGTGCGTCCAAATTCGTTGTGTGCTCCAGGCCCGTACTAAACGCTCGTCCTCGAAGGCGACAATTCTGGCGCGCGAGTGCGCGAATTGTCGGCGCCTCTCGCCGCCGCGGGCATCTCCATCCTCTACCAGTCCTCGTACATGAGCGACTTCATCTTCGTGAGTAAGCCTGAAGTTTTCTGCCGACCCCCCTCACAATATTGCACGTAACCCGGCTGTACCTATCCCAGACCTATCCAGTCCCTTCATCCTTATCGCCGTCGGTTCCTTAACCCTCCTTCCGTTCGATCCGGTCTGATGTATGCCGGCATTCATTTACCGGTTCTACACATCCTCTGCGTCTATCAACTATGACGATTCGCTTGCTCAACGCCTTCTATTAGGTAAAATCCGCTCGCCTATCCCAGGTGATGTCTCTGCTTGCGACGGCAGGATTTGACCTATACTCGGACAACCCCGCCAACCTCACCGCGCAGCTATCGACGTTCGCCTCGCCGCTGCTCTCGCCTACACAGGACGATATCTCGGTCTCCCTACTGGACCTCAACTCGCTGGGTCCAACATCGGGCAGCACGCGGGTAGACCCAGGCGGAGGCGCGGTATTCACTCGCTCACGCAGCAGCACCGACGCGACCAACAGTTCCTCGGGCAGCCGCGCACCTTCTATCTTACAGATGTCAAGCCCGCACGACTTCTCCCCCGGCCCGACCTCGCCCATCTCGCCTCTCGCCTTCGACATGCCCGTGCCGCCATCAAGCGAGGGTGATGCGGACGCAGATGCAGATGCAGACACTGAAGGCGACGACGTGCTGATGAAGACGCCCGCACCAGGCCCTGCGCCAAGGCCGGCGATGAGCCGCTCGCAGTCGCACTCCCCCTCGGGGTGCGACGTGAGCGTGCTCGTGCCGGACTTGACGTACGTCGGCCTGTCGGACGAGCATGCGGAGATGTGGGGGCTGAAGATCGTCAAGCTCGTCGCGTACCCGGACCTCATCGCTGGTGCAGGCACGGGGCACTCGAGCTCGTCCAGCGAGTCGGCGGGGTCGTGCTCGCCGGTGTCGCCGCTTGAGCCTGCGGCGGCAGCAGTGGACGCCTCGGTGATAATTGCGGGTGCCATGAGTAGGATGGAGAGTGGGAATGGGAGCGGGAGCGATACGACAACCCGTGTCGGCGCAGGCTCGGACAAGGAAGAAATCACGTTGTACGAGCATGCTGAACAAAGTATGCCCTGGGAGGAGGACCTCAGCGGCGACGCCGAGTCGAGTGACGAAGACGGCTACTTCTCATCGAGCCCGCGGTTAGGCGATGACCTCCTGTCAGGCGCAAGACCGCCGCTCATGCACCACGACACTGCACACCCTGCGCGGCCCCCTCTCACGACACGCTCGCGCTCCGAGTCTAGCTCATCGACGACGTCATCTTCAGCGGGTCCCTCAACGACCCCACTCGTACCTTTCTTCTCCTTTACGCGCACGAGCGAAGGCTCGTCGCTCACTGCGCCGGTCTCCCTGCTGGCGGCGCTCTTCCCGCCGAACGAGCGGGACATGGTGATATGCAGCGATGAACTGTTCAACCTCGACTCAAGGCAGGCATCCCCAGAGGGGGATGTTGACGAGGATGACGAGGACGACGAGAGGACACCTCAGGGTCCGCTTAGGTGTCTGCAGATTGACTTGCGAAAGTTCGGACTAGGTACGTCAATAGCGCATCCGCATCAAGCTTCGCTGACCACCTTTCCCTCTAGACAAGCACGGTCTAGTGAACCGCTTCTCGCGCACGCTCGAGGAGAACGGGATCAACCACATGTACAATTCGACCTACAAGACCGCGAACCTCCTCGTCGACAAGGCGCACGCGAGCCGTGCGCAGGCGCTGCTGCGATCATGCTGAACTTCGACGTTCGCTGCTACGCTTTGCGCAGTTTCTTCTTCGCCTTCAAGCCCCCGCTCTACCTCCGCCGCCGACCCCCACGTTACGACAACGACAAAATGCCCTGCACGAGCATCACGCACTGTGTAAATAAAACGTGCCATGTGTCCTTCCATATACCTTCTGGTTTCTGGTTTCCCGTTCCCGTCTCCAGTTGCATCGCATGCTATCCCACCCACCGCTTCGCCCTCGCACGCACGTCCCATCCCATCTGACCATGCTCCCCAGTTCATTTCCCACATTTTTATTACCTTGCTTCGAACGTCCCACCCCTCGCGGCTTGGCCCCTCTCGCGTTGCTTACGTCCGCGTCTCCGTCTCCCTTCGGGTTTCCTCGGTCTGCCGTCCCCTGGTTCGAATCACGATCAACAGCGAACACCCCTCACGCCCACGCTCATCTACCGCCGGCTCCCACCCCCCATAGCGCACGTTCGTTCTGTATTCCCCGCCTCCACACCCCACGAGCCGTCCCTGCTCCCCGTCCGCAATCGCACACGGCCCTTGTAACATTTGGATATCCGGACCCTGTACGTCCCCCACCCAGCCTACCCCTGACGTTGCGAGGATCGCCGCCGATCGTCACATCCGCATTCCCACTCATCGGTCCCTTGTCATCGTCATGCCATATCATTCCGAGTCGGTTTTACAATTTAAACAGATGCTGCACTGTACAGTCTGGTCGTTGAATGCTGTTGTATTCATAGCACGAGATAGGCTTTGTAACCTGTGTATCTGATGGGATATTGCTGCTGCTGAACCTACTGCGAAGATCCGCAGCTCATCCCATGATATTGTTAGACCTCCTCCCGAAACCGTGTGCACAGGCGGAGGGCGGGTATGTTGCAAAATCTGGGATGTACGGATTGCAGAATCACGTGAACAGTGTGTGCCTCTGGTAGTATATCGGTTAGTACACGCGCCTGTCATCTCTACTATCTATCTCCGCGATGCTCGACTCCCCGCCAGAGAGTTGGGTTATCCCAGAATGTTTTGTCTCGTCCGAGTAAGCTAGCTGCATCGTTCAGACGTTCACATACAACCCTTGGACGTGGCGCACGAATATGCACAGATGTGCTCGCGCAAATGTGAGATTATACATTCGTCCAGTACAGTTGGCAACAAACGTCAATACATTTTCGTGCGTAACGCACGCACGCTTTCAAGCCTGCTTTGCTCTAGCGGCAGTCTGCTGCATAGCCTCCGCGACCGTCTTATCGAGCATGTGCTCAGGAAGAAGCCCCGTCACCCAGTTGAGTATAGCATGTGGCATCCACGGTGTGTACTGTCTCCTTCCACACCCAATCTTCGCCACCACCGCCTTCGCAAAGCGGTCCGCGGTGGGGCACACGAGCGACGCCTTGGCTTTGTGGCTGTTCGACTGGACCTCGCCGACGGTGATGCACGCGAAGCGCACGCCGGACGGGGCGCCCCAGAGCTGCTCGTCGTTGTCGAGCCCCCGCGCGAGCGCACGGACGAAGGCCTTGGAGGCGGCGTATGCGACGAGGCGCGGGGGCGTGATGTCGGCGGTGACGGAGCCGACGAAGTGGACAATGACGGGGCCGCGCTTGGCGGAGGTGCGTAGGGATGGGAGGAGGGCCCGTGTGAGGAGGAGATGGAACATGGCATTTTGGTGGACAATGCCGGCCAGATGCGTGTCGGTGAAACTGTCGATGCTGTTGTGTGCAGGAGGGTCAGCGATGCGACACGCCAGGTAAGGAAGGGGGACGCACCCGTCTTGGGCGATACCTGAGCCTCCAACATTGTGTATCACGACCGTAACGTTGAGGTCGGAAAACGGCTGTACGAGCTTCGCAAAGTCATGGCTTGGATCCGAGGCATCCGCGATGAAGTAGCGAACGTCGCGGTTGCCTCGCGCGCGGATCTCGTCCGCGACCTTGCGGAGCTTCTCCTCGTTGCGTCCATGCAGGATGAGGTTGAAGCCGCTATCGTATAGCTCACGCGCGACGGCGTTCCCAATGCCGTCGGACGCGCCGGTCACGAGTGCGTATGCTGGAGGACCGTGGATGTAGCGGTGCACGCTGGACGGGCGGAGCCAGTAGAACCACGCGAAGTCGAGCAGTCTCCTGGTCTGGTATGCCGCGTACGCTCCGCACAGCAGAGTGAGCAGCGGAGGCGGTACAGGGAGCGAGTCGAATACACCCTGGAATACGGCGGCCATGGGCGTGGAGGATGCAGACGAGGATTGGCCGGTCTCAGTTGGGATGCAACATCGAGCTCGTGACGGGTCGCATCACCGTGACAGCGACTCAGCCAAAGGGAAGGGAACACTGAGAATCATAGGTGGGCCAAGCGTGTGCACAGTGTCCGCAGCCATCGTCGTCGAGGACCACTAGGACTTCAAGCCATCCATTCACTCAAATGTCAGCCAAACGCCAGTGTATATGTACTTACGTCCCGGCATAGATATTATGTAATGGTGTGTTCAAGGCTGGTCAGTGCATCGCGCTGATATGTACACCATTCGTCAAACTGCAATATTGGCCTGCTGAGATGGTCTCAGCAGTAGCTCTAGAGTTCTCGCCTCTTGAAAACCCACTGGGACTGTTTGACACAGATGTCGGCGATGTGGTGGTACTGGCGCTACACCGGGCTAACCAATGCGAAATTGACATTGTATGATCCAGAGAGTCGTGTGGTACTGTACTTGCACGCTGTCAAGTCACCAGTGATCAAGCTCAAGCTGGATAGGTCGCTGGACGCTGCCATGACCACTGCTACCGGGTACAGTTCTGAGTTCATATCGCCGGCGTCGCAACACTGGTTCACCAACAATGACATTATGCCTTCTTCTGCCGCTCCTCGTGCTGCTTCCTCATCATCTGTGCAACAAACCCATCGACCACCCCCTCAGGCAGCAGTCCAACCGCCCAGACCATGATCGCATGCGCCATCCACGGTGTGTAGTACCTCTTTCCACACCCAGCCTTGTTCACCAACGCCCTCCCGAATTGCTCCGCGCTGGGAGCAGACATCGTCACGTTCTGCGGGTTGCCGGCCGTAGCGACCGACGCGACTGCGAGGTACTCAAACTCCACGCCGGACGGGGTGCCCCAGCGGCGCTCGTCGTTGTCGAGGCCGCGCGTGAGCACGGCGAGGAATCCCTTGGTGGCCGCATAAACAGAGAGGGTTGGCGGCGCTGCGGTCGCAGCGTGCGATCCGACAAACTGCACGAGGACAGGTCCGTGCTGGGCGGTGGTCCGCAATTTAGGGAGGAGCGCACGGGTGAGGAGTAAGGGGAAGAAATCATTCCAGGCGACGAGCTCGACCAGTGCTGTGTCACTGGAATCATCAATCCTGCGAGAAGGTAGGTTTCAAGTTAGCAGAGAGATGCTGTTCATGGCTGCAATGCGCTCACCTTTCCTTGGCCATGTATGCCCCGCCGACATTCTGGACCACGAGCGTGACGTTCAAGTCGGCAAACGGCTTGATCAGCTGGGTGAAGTCGTGTCCGCCCTTCGCAGCGTCTGCGATGAAGTAGCGTACGTCGCCGCTGCGTCGAGTCTTGAGCTCATCGACAACCTTGCGGACTTTGTCCTCGTTACGCCCGTGAATGATCAAGTTGAAGCCCTTGGCAAACAGCTCGTGTGCGACCGCCTTGCCAATGCCATCAGACGCGCCGGTAACGATGGCGTAGGGTGCAGGCCCATGAAGGTACTTCTGCACCGACGAGGGTTTGAGGAGGTAGAACCAGAGAAACTCTAGGAAGCGGAAAACTTGACTGGCAATGACTAAAGCACCGACGAGGAATACCAAAGAGGACAACATCTCAAAGTTAGCCCAAGCAGTCAGAGGGACGAATCCAAGGAGTCTGTCAAGAGGAAGAATGCAACCGAGGCCATATATAGGGATCATCTTGAGCTTATGAATGAGTCGAAAGAGCGATGGCATCGGCCAAGCCTGAGCATACTCTAAGCACGATATCGGCACTTTGTGAACGTAGTCCTTCGGCGGCTCTGCCTAAAGCTTATTAGTCATATACAGTACACCATCGGCATTTCGTGAACGTAGTCCCTCGGCTCTGCGCAAAGTTTAGTCTTATACTGTACACCACTGGCACCATCACGACGATCGCTGTCACGCCAACGCGTCAACGCGTCGTCCTCTGGGCATTGTATCATCTGTACAGAATGCCCTATATATGGACTCAAGCCTGCAAAGGGCTGTCCCGGTATTTTACAAATGGACAGTACATCGTGGCACTCAACCATGAACAGCGAGCGAGTAACGACTCACGGGTTCACGGACGCTGGGCTGAAAAGAGGACCATGCGTGTACGACGGTGCTCTCGGGACAGTCGGCATAAACGCGCGTCTGGACGCCAAGTCCTCATCAGGCCCCAGCGAATGCACATACTTGACTGACACACGCACCGGTTCAGCACAAGCCCTTTGAGCGCACGTATCTCTCGCTTCACTTCCTCCTCGATTCCCGGGGGCGTATTTGGCTCGAAGCCCAGCCTCAGGGTATCGTAGGTACGCGTGGCGATGTAACCGGTGAGGTCTGTCAATGTGTTCAGCGTATGTTGGAAGCGACTGGGTTCGTGAGCGGCGCGGGCGGGCAAGGCCGCTTTGAGTGTGTATAGCGACTGCATGAGCGGCGGTGCGGGGGGAGGGAGCGGGTGTGTATATGACCATAATGACGTGTCCTTGGTGGTGTCTTCGTGGAACAGCGGGCTGCTTGTCAGTGTCTGCCAGAGTTGCTCCTAGCGAAAGTGCTCAACAATCAATCCGGAAAATTGGCGAAGTTCGTGACGTACATGTCGCACAGATCCCTCGTCGTCTTTCATCCATGTAATCTTTCCTTCCAACACGAGGAACATAGCCTCAGGCGTCGCTGGCTTCTTCTCTGCAGCGAGATCCGCGAGTGCACAGCGCAGAAGTGTGACGTCAGGTACATCTTGACTGCTTTCACTTGCCTTGACGACTTCGTCTAGGGTCTGACATTGTCCATAATGAACGTCCTCCGCGGGCGCGGGGCGGGGCAGCACAGCGACAGTCTCTCCTTGTGTAGCTTTGAGTGATTCCAACGATGCTGCTAGCCGACCAAGTAGGTCCTTTTGGTGTGTTTGCAAGGCGTGTCGCGCCTGATACGTTTGGGCAATCCTAGGGTATAGGAAACGCTAATACCGGGTTACATGAGTGTGAGGACGCTGAAGACAGGGACGCACGAAGTAGATGACTAGAAGGGCAGCAGAGCCACCTGCTATCCAACTGAATATTCTGCCAATGCCGAGAAATAGGGCAGGTAGGTTGGATGGAGGGGGCTGTGGGTATGTTCGTGGAGGGACAATCGGGGCCTGAGGAGGCTAAGTCCGCACAAGGTTCAGCCAAACACTCTATGGGTGTAATACGATGATATTGACCGTCTCCTGCAGCAGAATGGATATCTCCGCATTGTCGAGTCCCTTTTCCGCCAAGAATCTGCGTTTCGCAGTATAGTCATCGTGTCGGACCTGGGGTGAGCTGAGGAACGCGCGAGCCTTGTCGAGTAGGTCGGTTCTGTCGTTGTTGGGAGCTACAAAAGCGTCCTCCTGAGGCTTGGGATCACTTTGTGCGACAGGTTGAGACGCCTCTGTCGGAGTGCTAGTAGAGGATTCTGGTGTGTCTGCAGGCTGGTCGACCATGGCTGTAGTGCGCAGCCTCACGCCACTACAATCGGGCATGCTTCGGTCATCCCCACACGAGGACACGAGGATCCGGAGGCACGTGAAAAGCATGTTCGCGATTATGGGCGCTTGGGCGGTGGTGTCCTCACTTCACCCCTACGGTCATCTCAGTCGATCCTCTACATTCAGCGCTCAGCACTCAGTGGCTTGACTCTCCTTCGTACATCAAAGGGTACCAGCTACATCTGTGCTATATATACTTTCCACAACGATTTCTGGCACGAGTTCATGATCCGCACATGATGTTTCCGAACTTGCTCCCTAATGCTCTGCAATATCTCCTGGCATCGTTCCTGTGGTCGAAGGATAGCTCGCCCCGTGAACCACCGCTGCGCTTCGAGCTTCGTCACATACATGCACTTGCGAACTCGTCAAGGGTTGTTTTCGCCGACGTACATCCTGCGTCGTCGAGCTTCGCCGCTGAGGACTACGGAGTCGGCACCAAACCCATGACCGTGCACCGACCAACCTCACACGCTCTTTTCTCGAGTGCTCGCTTCAGGGGGCTCACGAATGTGCCATGGGACGAGATCGAACTAGAGGGACCGGATATACAGGACCGAGAGACCCTGTTGACGTTGGCGAAGATGACGAACAATGCATATTCTGAGCCGACGGACAGCGATTGGTATGACTTGGGTCCGGACTGGGATAACAGGGTACGTGCCCTTGATAATAGTTCAACGCTCACTGTGCTCAAGTCCCGGGTAGACCTACCCATTCGGTTGGGAACCAGATGCGGATGGGTTCCGCGGGCATGTCTTCGCCACGCCGGACAACTCGACCGTCGTTATCTCTGTCAAGGGCACCTCCGCAGGCTGGCTCGTGGGCGGCGGTGGGTCGACGACGAAGAAGGACAAGCTGAACGATAACCTACTGTTTTCGTGCTGCTGTGCGCGTGTGGGGCCCACGTGGTCGCCGGTCTGCGGATGCTACGAGGGCGGCTACAAGTGTGACCAAGGATGCTTAGAGAAATCACTTGCGGAAGATAGTATGTTCTACTCGGTTGGGACGGTACGTGCCAGCTTGCACTCCATGTGGTCCCTGTATTTATTACGCGCGCAGAACTTGTATTATAATGTGACTTATATGTACCCAACGTCGAACATTTGGCTAGTCGGTGAGTCACATCATCATGCTGTTGCTCGTAGTCGCTGACAGGTTTGGATTTCTAGGTCATTCCCTCGGCGGCTCATTGGCGTCGCTCCTTGGCGTAACCTTTGGTGCACCGGTTGTGGCGTTCGAAGCTCCAGGAGAGAAGCTGGCAGCCAAGCGGCTACACCTACCATCGCCAGTAAGTATGGAGGTGCTTTGGCTCACCATTCCTGCTCACAATCAACGCAGCCTTCCGTTCAGCATATCACACACGTATACCACACGGCGGACCCGATAGCCATGGGCGCCTGCAACGGGGTTGCCTCGTCGTGTGCCATAGCAGGATATGCCATGGAGACCAAGTACGTTCAATTGAATTCAACTTTTCGGCAGCTCACCCCTTGTCTCGCCTTCAGGTGCCACCTCGGCAAGGTTGTCCGTTATGACACCGTGTCAGAGCTCGGCTGGGCTGTGGACATCCGCACTCACGGCATCAGGGTGATCGTCGAGAAATTGCTTGCATCTGACTGGGGTGGTGGAGGAGACGGCGACGATAAGAATGGCACACACAAGGCTGTTCCAGACTTGATTGACGAAGAAGACTGTATTGTATGTGTTCTGAGTCACTCATATAGTCAGTGCGTCGTACTAACTTGGTGACGTCCACAGGATTGTTTCAACTGGGAGTTTGGCGACTATCGGAATGTTTCGTCGATGTCCTGCGGATCTAATGGGCTATAATTTCTTGCGTACTTAAGCTTCTAATACAGCCTTCTAATACAGTTGGTATGATTGCACCTCTCCACCACGGAATATAGCAAATATACTAGGTGCTGCGGTCAGACAAGTCCAGGTAAGCCATCTGATGTCTTGAATACTATTGAACAGCAGTCTGCGTTCACAGAAGATCTATGCACTGCCGACGGCCTACTGCAAAGACATATCTCCTTAAGTACATGCCTCGTCTCACTTGAGCTCGTACGCTGCTTCCCGTGACCGTGTCCAGGCGCTGATACATCATTCCGGTAGGCGCCGGAGCCGAATATGCCTTGTCCGAAGTTGAAGCGCTGACTCTTGGGCACACGATCATAACGATTTCTTCACACAGGCTGCGTTCTCTCCACGCTCCTTCTCTTTGACGACGATGCTCTCTGTTCTACACGCCCTAGCAGCCGTAGGCATTGTTCTCCTCATTCCACTACTTTGTCGCCTGGGGAATTTCATCTGGCTTTACTTCCTCAGACCGAGTACCGCACACGCGTACCTTCACGCTGGGCCGGCGTACGCCCTCATCACTGGCGCGACAGACGGTATTGGCAAGGCTCTTGCGAAGGAGCTATACGACCAGGGCTTCAACCTGATCCTTCATGGCCGCAGTGAGCAGAAGATGCGCAAGGTCGTGGATGAGGTCCGCGGGACTGGGGCGCGCGACGTGCTGTACTTCCTCGCCGACGCCTCAGACGTGGACCATGACTTCGAGCGCATGATAGCGCCGTATGCAAACCTAAACATCACGGTTGTCGTGCATAATGTAGGGAACCAGGGCTTCACCAAAGAGAGGTACGTGTTCCGTACTTTACGCGACCGCGAGAAATCTCACGTCGAGGCCCTCACGCTAGAATCGATGATGGATTCAGCAAGGGAGACGTAGCGGGGATCGTCAACCGCAACGCGATCTTCTCCCTCTACCTCACCCACACCCTCCTGCCCCGACTCCGTTTGTCCGCCAAGACAGGACCCGTCCTTGTCCAATTCATGGGTTCTCTGGCAAGCGAGATCTGCCCGCCGCGGTTCGCCATCTACGGCGCGACCAAGTCCTTCCTGAAGGCGCTCGCGCGCGGCCTCGACAACGACGAACGCGTGTGGGGCACGCCGACGGGCGTGCGCTTCGAATACCTCGTCACGGGCCAGGTGCAGTCCAACAGCATGCGCTTGAAGGCGACGCTGGACACGCCGACGTCTGAGACGTATGCGAAGGCTGTGGTCGGGAGGATGGGCTGTGGTCGGAGAAAGTATTGCCCGTATTGGGTGCATGCGATGCAGCAGTGGTTCTCCGAGGTCATGGGGGAGACGACACAGGACAGCTACTCGGCGGCGGCGATCGCGGATCTCATAGCTACTCATGAGAAGAAAGTTTGATTCGGTGAGCTTTGAAAGGTCTCTGTATGAGTACCTGTACTTGCTTCCGGTACAGAGGAACTGTAACACTGAAAGATGTGCAGCAGGTTGGGGCATGGTTCGGACAAGCCGCCGTCGTTCGATGCCTTGTACGTAAATACAAAAAGAATGGACATACTTATTATGCGTTGTCATGCAGGCAGCAGAGCACACGACCCGAAGGTGGTCAGTGCTTCTGGGTAACATTCAACTACAATGATGCAACGAACGATCTCACAGTGGCTAGTCCATGAATAGATACATAAAATACAACAGGGAGAGTAATACAACAGTTCCACCCATGCGTACACACATACACGGTCTTTTACACTGCAGGGCTCATGGATATCCGACTGACAAGTAGACTATCCTGGCGCGGCGACTTGAACTGACGAATCTCAGAGAAATCGGCACCTCGTTTGCGTTTCTGCGCAGGAGACGACCAGGATTGTATAGTAGAGGGAGCAGAGGGATCGATGGGTGCAGCGCGAACAGGGGTCGTCGCATCATCGACAGCGTCAACATGCTCAGCCGCCTCGCTAATGGGATGCCACCGCTGAGTTAGCCGGGGAGGCATTGGCGCAGAAGTGCAAGGACGTACCCGTCTCCCTTCCAGCCACTGGCGGCGTCGTAGACCACCGCGGGCTTTGAGGACGCAGGCACCTGCCTTGCTGGCTCCGCGCTTGGCCGGCGTGGCGGTTCGGGGCTAAGCACAACTCGAGAGGATTTGTTCAGTCTCTTTAATAACCGACGTCCCGGCCCAGAGTGGGAAGATCTCTGTAGGGGCGTCTTGGGCGGCGTCGCCAGGGGCGTGCTCGAGGAAGAACTCGACGATTGGACGGGCCTGTGCGAGGCAGGACGACACGAGCATATGAGCGCACATCGAGGCTGCGTGGTGGGATGGGTGCATACATCACGTCCGCCTCCACCTCCTCTTCCTCACCAGAGTGTTCGTCAACCTCCGCGTGCGGCGACGACTGACGCGCATCTTCTCGGTCTGCTTCCCTGGCGAGTGGTTCGATCGCCATCCACTCGTCCACGACCGCCTGGAGCTGGGTCCAGCTGCGCTCCCGCAGTTCATCGCGGTACAGGCGCAGGACATCGTAGGGCTGGTATGGATGATGACAGATGATACAGTGCTTTTCTTTGGCGGAGCGTGCGTTCCAAGACTGCCAGCAGTTCGTGCACAGGCCGTGGCCGCATGGTAGTCTGCAGATTAGCATAGCAGTCAGATTCGAGTGAGGCAGGAGATGTCGAGGAAGACTTGCCTCCACCGGGCCTTCTTTGTGGGACACCTGTCGCACTTCATGGCCTCGTACTTAGTAGTGTCTGTCATGATGTTGCAGAAGCGGATGAACAGCTACAGACACGATGAGCGTGTTGGTCCCGGCGGAAACTGGGCACTTAAGCAACGGAGGCTCTCACCGTCTTCACACTACGCTCCTTGTCTGGCATATTCCGAGATGCACTGCTAGTACCCTGGAGGACTTCGATCTCAGGGCTGATACCCCGTTTAGCGTTCTGCTTCGTATGCATGAACAAGTAGCCTCCAGTGCGGTTACTTGCAGGTCGCGCTTACGTGCTTAGCATCCGCGGTAACATCTTCAGAGTTTAGTAGGGTTTCCGATTCGCGTTCTGCTTCGCTTGCAGGCCCGAAGAGGAGTCCGACCCAGAAACTAACGACGATAGTCCTTGATTCTGTCGACCGGCCTGGCAGCCCTCGGGTAAGCGCGCGATGTCTAGGACACGGGGCGCCGGGGGATGTACGACTGACCTGCTTGAGCAATTTGCGATTCTCCATCCTTAGCTCAGCGTTATCGCCCAGCAACGTGTACACCCTCTCTTTCAGCACATCCACGGTCAACTCGTCTGATCGCCGTTTCATCGCGCTGATTCCCTCAAGCTCGCGGGCCTTCAGTTGCTTCCGAAGCTCTGCGTTCTCCGACCTGGAACGTTCCAAAGGGTTTGAATCTTTTGGAGAGTCGTCGAGAACCGCTCCTGGACACCATCTCTTAAACGGAACATTCAGCATGCTGCGACATGTCAAGCACTCGCCTCTGGATCCTTTCCACCCGCACTCGAAGCACTCCTGCGCCGCGCTCGTCGCTCGATGCGGATAGAGCCCTCGCTGATGTGGTTGGACCCTGCGTCTCCTCATCGTTGTCATCTGTGCTTTCAGCACTCTCCTCGCTTTCCGATGGTAAGTATGTCTCCGAGTCCACGGCGTAGTCAGGTCGCAGGCGACCAGAGGCCCGGGGTTGGGGCTTGAGTTGGCGCTGGGAGCGGGTGAGCATGATCGATGTTGATGGTACCGGAGAGGAACCACGCGCGCCAGATCGGTGCAGCCGGTCACCGGTCAACCATCGCGGGAGCATTCCCGTTACATTTCTTTCTGCGCTGAACGTTGAACGTTGAACATCGGCTGAACATGGATCATCTCGTAGTTGCTCAAGGCAAGTGCTGTTATATTACTTCATCCTCAGAGTTTCACTGTAGGATAACGCGTCAAATATTCAAGCTGGCATCGTTGAGCATCATCTACTACTCTCCGAAGTGACTTCGCCGCAGAACAGGACGCCGGGTTGTTGAATGACAGGAAAGGGCTTTGACTGACATTGATTCGACTTTATTCTCCCTCCTCACCGCTGGTATACAAAAGTAATCGGAGCACTGGTACGCCCGCGTCCAGAGTGACCCGAGTGGCCGCCGTGAGTCCTTGCAATCAATGGTATGTCACACGCCCATAGCCTATTCTTTGCATCCACTGCCGATAGTGCGAGAAAGCTGCCAGCATCGTCTGACTTCCTGATGGTAATGGGCTCATAGCAGAAGCCGTTCTGCTTAGATGTTGGAGGTGGCACCAAAAGAAGCCATACATGCCCTCGGGCATCATGCATCATGCATAGGGAACGTATATAACGCTTGTACTAGAGACCCCGCTGCTTTCGCGATGTCTACCGTCTCAGAACATCGGCTCTGCCGGCAGCCTCCATACGGATTCCAGCACCCCGCCGATGACACCTTTAACAGCCTCCAAGAGCCGGTCGCCGTCCACCTTCAACCCCAATGAACCTATTTTCCGCACGAAGAGCTCGTGTACACACATACCTGGCCGTCGGGAAGGACACATTGCGCGAGAATTTACTTGCTCTTCGGGGGCTCAGCGCAACCACATGCGGGGTAGGTGCAGGAGCCGCCGTTGGCCTGGACGTTAGCGCAGGTAGCCTTGTCCTGTCCTCGCGTTCAGCTGCCATTATCTGTCCATATACCCGAGGTGTGTACTCACAGACATGGTTGTTCGGGAGGTTAGAGGTGGGTGAGTGTGGTGAATGTGGTGTGTAGTCGAGGACTGTGGGCTAACAGCGAGCTCTGGGTGTCTTTTATAGCAGAAAGCCCGGGTTGGGCGCCCAGACAGCTTTCGCTGCGCGCTGTTATTCGAAGACCGCCATTGAAGAAGAGTGTGCCCAATGGTGGTACGGATGTTGGTCAGGCGCGGCTGGAACTAACGTACAACGTCAAGAAATTCTGAGTGCTCTTTTGTGACATGTCGGCACGTTAGGGTTGGCTCGGCCCTAATCTGTGTGTATGTAACCTTCCCGATCTCCGTAACTCATCGTACAATTCGGATTGATCTATGAAACACTTCTCAGTGATAGAACTCGCATAGTATCAAGATGAAGACGAGAAGGGGGGTCATGCTGGCTTGCCATGAACTAGGATTGGATCAGGAATCCGCCTTCGTTGTTGATTAACATTACATTGAGAGGACTAAATGTTGTTAGACACGTACACATACTAACTCGGATCTCCCATAACACAGTCAAGGACCATCTTCAGCCGATATCGTTGAGCGTACTAGGTGGTTGTACAGCTGCCAAGGTCTTGGTGTCCCATTCGTCAGCTCTTTTTTTTTGATTCCCTGCTTTGTCCGCGAGCATTCGTCAGTTGGCCGTGTATAATGTGAGGTCGTACTAGGTAGATGAACGATGGGCAGACAAGTGGAGATATGTAGTGTGAGAACAAGCGAAACGGCGTTCGACGAGCGCGAGTGTCCCGGGCGCGGACGATGCCCGAAGCCTGTGGCCATGTGTGTCTGCATTCCTGTCTCCTAAGAAGCACAAGATCCGTAATCCAGAATTGTCCCATCCTCAGCGTGAACCCGAGCAAAGTCCCTACATCATTGATGCTACAACCGTCGCTTTTGTTTCCGTGCAGCAGCCAACTCTTCCATGCGTTTGCGTTTATCTCCTGCTGGAGAAGTCGCGTAGGTCGGCTTGTCTTGCAAATTCTTCGGCGTGGTCTCCAATTGTTCTGTGGCCGACGAAGGTCCAGCGACAGGTTCATCCTGACCGGGCACAGGAAGCGTACTGTTCCTTCGATAAGCCACTGAGAATTGAACAAAATACACTACTTACGATGCTTTAGGCGGCTCGATATTGGAGATTGTAGACGGCCCCGGATCTTCCGGCTCCGCGCTGTTTCTACATAATCATTACTGAGAAGCGAGGTATTGGGCAGTTCAACCTACGGCTGCGATAGAGGGGATGACTCTGGAGAGAATGCTATCCGTCGCTTCTTGTTACCCGGCGTTGTGGGCGGTTCGACGACAGTTGGTTGCGGAGTGCCAGGTCGGGGCTCAGCGTCGACCGGCTCCTCCGGTTCGGGCGACGTAGCGAGAGGATTTTCCGATGCAGAACGAGCTGAGCTACACGACATTTGATGGGTATTTCATCCAGTTTATCAGAGAACAGTCGCACCTTGCTTCGTCATCTGGCCGCTCGTCCTCGATAAATTTCTCCTCTACTTCCTCGTCGCTGGTATCCGGTTGCCTGTGCAAGTCCATTTTTGCCCAAGCCTTTGCCACATCGAGGAGGTCATCCCATTGTTGAGATGCGGTGTACTGGACGATCTCGATCTCGTCTCGGGGGCAGAGGCCACGACACTGTGGACATGTAACGTCTTCTTCGCCCAGCGATACCCTAGAGATGCAGGTCTTGCAAAATGTGTGTTCGCAAGGTAGACTGCATGCGATCGGTGTGATTGAGACATTAGCACGACGGCTGAGTGCAAAAGCATACCTCACGCATTCGTTGACCCCCAGAGTGTCCATGCAAATAGGGCATTCTTCGTTCTCTTCAATTGAACTAGACAGAACAATATCATGGAAGCGGCGGAGCAGCTATGTAGGTGTTATTCGGCTTGCAGTACTGAAATTTGAGATAGACTTACTTTTCTCATGCGATACGGCGAGTCAACGACCAGAATCTCGGCATCGTCCTGAAGCTCAGCGACGTCTTCCTTGACTTCACGAGCCCGAAGCTAATCACCAGGATTGGGTGCCAAAGTCATATGCATGCCAACATATTCATAGCATACCTTGGCGATTGTCTTCCGGTCCTTACGCCTTGCCTAGTTGATCAAGACGGGCCAGTCGGCGATGAGCGAAACGATGAGCACAGCCATCAGCCGTCTAACGAGCAGCAGACGCCAACATCTGCGCACCTGCTCCAGGACACCAATCTGACCATTCAGTCGTCTCACTTCGCCTTGAAGCTTGGCCACAGTCGGGCCTCCGCGTTTACCTCGCTTCGGCTGGATCGACGTGTCCTCCGCTTGTTCGAGAGTCTCCAGCCGTCGCTCAAGTTCGCCATTCCGCCTCCGCATCTCTGCGAGCTCCTGCTGCATGGTTCGGACACCACTCAATGCTTTCGATATATGCACCTGAAGAAGGGTCGCAATGCAATTTCAATCATTTTTATGTCTGCCAGCTTCACATGGACTCAGAACTGGAGGCTCGCCAATGCGTATACACACCTCTACACTACTGCGCTCTTTAGGGAGGCCGACTGGTGGCTCGGCGACCCCCACGGCCGCATCCTCACTGTGCTCCGGATGTGCACCATTGGCACGAGATCTGGTTCGCATGAAAGTGAGTTTGAAGGCACAACGTGTTGAAGCTGGGGCTGGGATGCACGGTGCCGGGTGCACTGGCGACAGGTGAGTACTAGACTCGGGTTGAACTGCCTCGGTTTCCCTTTTGTGCTATGAACGTCGTGGGCAGGACTATAGTATATTGTAACGGTTCTTTTACAACGTTCCCATCGATTAGTGGTCAGATCATCACGTTGTGGCTACACCAAAAACCGTGGAGACGGGGGCTCGACTCCCCCTGGGAACATGTTTTTCTCTTTTTGCGTCGCGTGTCAACCCACGATCTGACCATGGCGACCCTCGTACTTACTTACGACGTAAGTTAGCTGATCAGGCCTTCATATAGTCTTTTTTTAAATATCGAAACGAGATTGAGTCTAGAGTCTGATCTGGCAGCTTGTAGACGTTGTAAGCTTGTAAATAAATGCACTACTGTTCTTATGAAGTAGCAGATCTACAAGACGTCTACGACGCTGCGCCTTGGAGAGGCAACGGCGACGGGCTTGCTGGCAAGATCAAACACGTTTCCTCTTTCATACGCCACCAAATCGCCTCCGTCTTCATCGACCCAACCCTCGACGTCCAAGAGTTTCTCGAGATTGGTAGACACCAGTGCCTGAGCCTTCTGTCTGGTGACACGTCCGTTGGTCTCCAGAGCAGCCTGTACCCGCAGGTTAGTATATTCGAGGTGTTAATGTATGTCCCGACGTACCCAAGCAGCGTCAAATCGAGTATTAACAGGTTGCCATGCATCGCGGCATCCAATTGCTACGGTTATACCAGCGTCCATGAGTCTTACCAAGGATGTGTCATTCGTAAGGGGCGGACCAGCCAAGCTGAATACCATAATGAGTCATAGAATCTCATAGGGCATAAGTCCAACTTACATCCTGCGGTCGTCCCACACTTGAGGGAAGGGTCTGGCGGGCTCCAAGATGATGCCGACTTTGGCTCTAGCTGACCACAACTCAGTCAGCTTTGTACGTACACGCGATTCTATGGGCTCACCGATCTCATCGGCAATGAGGTGAGCTTCCGTGGCCCTGAAGAACACCATCTTCATGAACGAGCCTCGAGCCTGCTCAACCTCAATCTTGAGCCTCAACAGTACGGCCATGATGTCCGCGCTCGCAACATCGATGACTAGTGGAACGGCACCCTTGGTGTTCCAATCAGTTTCCAAGCCACTTCCTTTGAGGAGGCCCGTCTCACCTGAGCAGCTCGCTTAAACCAGTGACCTGTCTCTGTATCCTCGGGCTCGCCGTTGAGAAGCAAGCGCCGTAGGATCGCGATCTGCGTGCTGACACTGGCTTGTGCCACAGTGGAATACGGAGACGTGCGGCTCAGGACAACGTGCAACGCAGTGACTTGCTTGATCACCGCGCCTGGTTCGAGAGCATGTGCAGATCCAGTGCGGAATGTGACGGACAGGCCCGCGACGAACGCCGGAGAAGTGAAGTAGGTGGTCTTTTCGAGGGAGGATGTCGCATACGTGACACCTGCACGATGCGCCAATCTACCATTCCTTGTGGTTATTTTTTCTGAATCAGGCCGATGGAAGGACTCACAGTGCATTCCTTGTCCCAAACTTGAGCGCATCTGCCGTACGTACCAGACCGCCCTTATCGCCGAGAATTGCGGGTGGGTCTCCGTGTAGTGGGTCAAACAGCACGCCATCTCCGGTTGACGATTCCAGCATTATCTCTTCGACACCTAAAGGCGAACCGAAGGTCATAAGACTCGGAGCGATGGACCCTCCATATAGATCAATCTCGACTTCTGCGTTGATTCCACCCAGGCAATGCTTGCCGATGCAGGTGATCCTGCCTCCGTCGACCACAACATCTGTCAGCTCTCCGGGAGCCAGCAAAGTCTTAAGTCCGTCTTCAGCATCGGGATCCCTCACGGACACTTCCCCGACATTCCTCAAAACACGCGCCCTCTGTATTGGGCAGGCGCGAGTGGAGGCAGCCCTTCCCATTTGATCGCCTCTTTGCGCTCCTTGTCCCAGTTCGGTACCTTTGGCACTTCCTGGAACTGGCGACCATCCTTGCCTTTCCCGATGATGATCCCCTCCTCGTCCGCGCCGACCTGCAGAATACCGTCGATCCAGACCTTTCTTGGCGTCGCACCGATTTGAAGAGGATGCGAGTCCCAGATGACGACGTCGGCATCAGCGCCTTCTTGCAGCACACCGATACGGTGCGACATGCCAGCTGCGGTCGCAGGGATAGCTGTGACAGACAACAGGGAAAGGTGAGGTGGAAGTCCTGATATCATGCATATTGAGCATAGTGTCCAGCGACGGGGAAACATCTCGGTTTACCCCAGTAATGAGCCTGCTGTGCCTCAAACATCAGGTAGCGGCTGTTCAGTATGGGGTGGTCAGACTGTCAGAAACCTATCAGTGGTGCGCGACGATGGTTGTCCCGGCACTCCTACCTTCATAACAACCGGTATACCGTTGTCAACGAGTACCCGAGGAGCAAAGCCGGAACCACGGTAGGATTCACGCTTGTAGCGGTGAACGGCGGCGAAGACGCCGACGGTCGGTGTTCCACCCCAACTACGTGCGTTCGTGAGTACGTACAGCCACGAGAGACAAGTGACTCACGTTCGCTTGAGTAAGTTGGGCACAAGCCAGGCCTCAGACGCATGGTGGAAAGATGCTATGGGGAACTCGAACTCGTTGGTAAGCTGAATGTTGCACTTTAGACTTGACGCATCGAAGATACTGACAGAAGACGCACCCTGACCATGCTATCTAAGTCAACTTCCTCGTAGCAATGAGTGGAGACCTGCGTCATATAAGTTATCAGTCATTTGCATACTAAGTGCACCCTACCTTGACTCGACCTCTTAGCACGTCGACAAGAGCCTCCCACTGCAGATTGTCCGGGTAGTCTTGTCCTTTCAGCTCGTCCCATAACCCTGCCTCCGCTTTAGCGCAGTACACATCCTGAGTGTCCCTGATCTTCCGCGCTTCGTTGTATGCCCAACGGTAAGACCACATGGAGTCCATGCGATTGCCGTATGCAATAAGACTTTCTCCGCATGCCTGTCTGCAACGTAGACCCAGTCAGCGTATCGACAGACGAATAGGCATATCAAGCATTACTTCATATGCCGCCAACGCATGGGATGTTCAGAGCTAGCAGAGCTGCCGTTGAGACTGTGCGGAGGTTCAAGAACCATGGAAGAAGGCGTTCGATCGGACGTCTTGCGTAGCTTGAACATGAAAGCCTGACCGGCTGGTATGAGACGAATGTAAGAGCCAAACCGAACGTCGAAGCACCATACCTCTACGTACCAATGGCGTTTCCGCTGCCAGGGAGAACCTGGACAGACGTTACGCCGCCAGCAATTGCGAGCTGGAATGCATCATCATGAGTGTTGAATGCGTCAATACTCCGCAGCCATGGCAAGATTGGGCCGTGTTCAGAGTTTACGTCCAAGGCCCCATGTAATTCGGGCACACTCGAGACCCCAACGTGGGAGTGAAGGTCCACTAAAACAGCGACGTCCTCTCCGTCAGTCGTGATTTTTTAACACATTCACACAACATACCAAGACCAGGTGTAACCCAGCCTCCCTTCGCGTCGAAGATTACCACCTCCCGTTCGCCGGCATACTGAGTCTCGGGAATGTAGCCAATGCCTTTCACGATTCCCTTGTCCAGGTAGACGTCACCATATACAATCCCAGTGCCATTCCGAGCACCCGTCCATATCCTAGCATTCTTGATGAGAGTTGACTTCGTCCCCGGTTCGAACCTGTCCGACACCTCCCTTACGAGAAAGTCTGTTGGAGGACCGGGTTTCTCGTGTAGCGAAGCACATTGAGTGAGGATCGTCTCAGCGTTGAGCGGGAGGTGCTGAACGCGCTGGTGGGAAGAAGCGTCAAAGGATGTGTTCCACGTGAAGACCGTCGCAGTCGCCACAGCGGTACAGAGCACCAGGAGTATTGTCCTCGGCAGCGAAGAACGACGGCGGGCATCGTGTACACTCGAGGCACCTGGCAGCCCCTGGTACCCCATCTTGCTGTCCATGGTGGACGTTGGTGGTAGTGGAGAACGAGTCGACCGAGCCCTTGAGTGCAAGCGGGCACGCCGGCGGTAGCTGAACGCAAGGACGGACGTACCGACTGCACGAGGTTCCTCATATATCGGCGTTCCTGCCCGCATGTTTCCACGCCGGCATAGGGGTGACGTTCTTCACCTCGAAATGGGGTCACATTGGATATGCGTGACTCGGATATCTATGTACTTCATTTTGACTGCTGCCAGTGGGCCCGGTGGGGCTACGCGAATACGTACGGCAGACGGATGGGCTGCTGTACCTTCAAACCACTCCCACTCCCAGCAGGGCAGCACCGCTCTTTATCGCTCTGCCACGGGCAGCACACAAGCTGATGGCGACGCAGCTGAGCAGGAATCCAGTAAATCTGCGACACAACCACCAAGTCCTGCTCGTCAGCAGCGCGTTCGAAACGCAGCTCAAAGACGCGTACCTAAAGAATGCCACGCGAGAGAGAGAACGCTCCTCCAGAGTGGTCCGTGAGGATGAAAAGATTGAACGGAGAACCGCGGCGTGACTGGGATGCGACTGGGCTGCTTCCCAGGAGGGGGTGGCTGCTGGCCGGGGTAGTCGCTGAGGTTAACGTTCGAGGGCGTCGCAGTCACAGAGGAAGAAGACGACAGATTGCTCATGACTCCAGACAGTCAGGGCAGAGTCCGACCTGCAGTACTCAAACTGTGCGACGATGGTCGTTGCGGCGAGAGCTCGAAAGCGCCGCGGCAGTCCGCGTCTCAGTCTCACACAGAGGTTGCCCGAGCTCCCTCGAATTCACAGGTCTACTGTACACTGCCTATGCTACGACACGAACGTAATGGGTATGATGATTGATATGCATGGCAGTCTAAGAAAGCATGATTGCAAATGATACATGGAATCTGAAGTCACTCTGGATACGATACACAATGATCATGAACAGTGCGTACGGAGAGTGCGTAGCCTTGTCCGTGCCGACTGGATGCGAAGCGAGATGATGATATGTCATGCGAATAAGAACGTATAATTACGGGCACAGCAACTGGCATTAAAGAGAGGAAGACGTATATGATGCATGCAAGGAATCGTGGGTCATGAATCAGGCTCTTTCCCGTCCATAGGCGTGAAGGAGTTGGACCGTTGGAAGAACCATACATTGCGCAGGGATCTGCGGGGTATCGCGCTCGACCCGTCCGGCGAAGGCTGCGGGGGCTGTGATAAAGGATACTCGCGCTGGCGACTTGAAGGCGCAAATAATGACCGCCGTCGAGTCGGAGCGGAGTCGTTAAGGTTTACTCTCCGGGAGCTGCTTGGAGTGCCTGCAGCTGGAGAGGGAGGAGACGAAACAGAAGGCTGTAACATTGACTCTTCAGGAGTTTGCATAAGGAAGGTGCCACGGCCATCCGCAGATGCACGGCTCAGCAGGGGTGGAGGGCCCGGGGACTCCTCGCCGGGTACATCGGGAGAGCTCTGCACTCGACGACGAAGAGAACCTTTCCTCCACCACTGTGTGAGGCTTGACGGTGGTGGTGGCGTTTGGGGCTCCACCTCAAGTTGCTTCGGCGGTAGCGGAGGTGGGGTTGCGGATTGGTGACTAGAAGTGGAACAGGGCGAAGCAGGCCGTGACTGGAAGAAGTACTTGACGTTGTCGACCATAGAGCGCGTTCTTTTTGGCCGCCAATCTTCAGCAGACGCTGTGAGGACGTCTGACGGACGGAGGGTCGCATCTTGTGCTAAATCGCCGAGGATGGGACCGACCACGTCGACAGGGCTGGGCAAGTTGGAGGAGGTTGTAGACGAGCACTGCGAAGGCGGGAACGGCGAATCCAGAAGACCAACAGGACTTTGTGTCGTCTGACCCTCGCTTTCCGCCTCTGAATCAACTTTTGCCAGGGTGGAAGGTACCGTGGGCACAAGCGACGGAAGAGGCTTTTTGAGCCTTTTCTGTGGTGACGCTGGCGACTTCGCCCCCCCAGGAAGAGTGCTGAGTCGCTTGCTCCCGATATCCAGGTCATGCTCTTTGCCGCCGTCTAGGGAACCCCTCTTGCCTGACACCATGTCGTACCTCCGCTTGGCAGCCAGACCCATGGCGCCGGAGATACTCAAACCCGAGTTCGAGCGCGACATCGTGGCGAGTGGTCTCTTGAACAGATCCTCGTGCTTCATGGTCGCGTGAGACCGTGCAGCCAGACATTGCTCTGAATAAACGTCATGCAGTCCGTGGTCGACTTGCTGGCGGACCTGTGCAGAGGGCCGAGGGATACGTGTCGAAGGATCGAGCGTCATGGGCGAGAAGAATGCCTTGACAGATGCAGTGGATGAGCGCCGACTCAACGCGGCAAAGGACGCCATCTGAGCTTGCTGCTCGTATCGGAAAGAGAGGCTGTCAATTCGCGCCGGCGACCTAGACTTCACCTCCGGCCTACCCCTGCCATGCGCCGCCTGGTCAGGTGGTTGATCCCTCGCTTGCCCTTCCAGCTCTGAGTCGGACTGAATGGTCGGTAAAGGCGCAGTAGACCATTCCGACGGCACATCATCGATGGGGGGAGCGCTGAGCACCTTGTCCTCCAGCAGCAGACTCGACGGGGGCTCCCCTGTCCAAGGCGCGTCGTGACTGAGGGCATCCTGGATGGCATTGATCCATATGGCCTTCTCGGGCTGACAAGCTGCGGCTAGTTGCAAATGATGACCATGTCCGCAGAGGTGGAACGAGAACGGCAGCGATGCTATAGGTGACATGGTCAGTAAACCCACACTATCGAGAGACGGTGGCACTCACATTCGTCTCCCTCGAAGTCAAACAGATCAAAGCCAACAAGCGAGAACCAATACCTCGGCTCATACACCTTCCCGTTCCTCGGAATCTTGACAAGAATAAGGTACCCGCCCGCATAGAGGAAAGCCCCAAAGTACTTCGCGCGCATTGAACCAGTGCTCACCATATGCAGCGCCGAGGGATGGTGAACCACGTCAAGCGCACCCGCGAGCCGGACAGCGCCAAAGGAAGCCAGTAGCTCTGGAGAGAGGTCCTGCGTCCGGACCGTCGGTGAAGATGCGTGACCATCCTTCGACGAACCCACCGTAGGTTGTGTGAAGACCATCCGAGAAGTGATCAGCGACGATCGCACCAGCCGGGCCTGCGTCTCGCTCGCACGGTTCACAAGGCTTACCACCAGCCTCATCGCCTCCCCTGCCCGTTCCACAACATCCCCTCCATCTTGGATGAGAGCCCGGAAGTTCCTTATCGACGGCGCACGAGACGGACGTGTACTCGGATCGACAGCACTCTGGGTCCTCGCACGCTTGGTCCTCAGCTGGTCGATGAGCAACGGATACTTGCAGACGCGCTGTACGGGTTTGATCAGGTAATCGAGGAGCCGGAGCCGTGTCGCCTGCTGGGACTGCTGTCGCGAGAACACATTGCTGTACTCCTGCCCCGACTTCGAGCGCGAGTGTTCGCCACCGACAGGCTCGGGGCCGTTAGCGGTCACTTTTGGCAGGTCAGCGTGCGACGTGGAGAAAGGTGTAGTCAAGGAAGAGGTCGAGTGCCGCCTTTTGGTCCGCGTCCCTTCGACAACTGGTGGGTTCAATGGAGAGACCGTAGCAGAGGTCGGCATACCAAGAGGGCCGTCTACACCGTGGCCATCCGAATGGGAGTCTGTCGGGGCGTTCACAAGGTTGAACTGGTGAGCCACAAGCAATGAACACCGCTGCTCATACGCGTCCCATTCGACCGGGTAGTTCTCCTGGACATTCCTGATCAAGTTGACAGCTTCGTTGTGACCAGGACAGAAACCCTCGTAGACGCTGAACGACGGCGACTACAAAAACAATTCTCAGCACGGCGCATATAGTCAGCTGGAGGTGAAGCAACTCACTTCTGTCACGAACGCTTCCGCGACGATCGCGACAGCCTGGTCAATCGTGGGCAGAGCAGCGGCCTCCGATCCGTCCGGCTTCAGAGCGACCTCCTCCTTGCGTTCGCCCATCTCGAATGCCCGGGAGAGTCCAAAGCCGACCATGGCGTCTCGAAGCTCGCACACAAACCGGTCGTGGAAGGCTAGCAGTTCCTGCGCGTTCCGGCAGATCGCCGATACATCCTTGTCCGCGAGGATAGGACGTCGAGCCGGGGCCTGGGCGTGCTTACGGGAGTGATGCACCTGTGAGCGAGGACCGGCGCATCGTGTCCAGTGGCTGAGTCTCCTTCTCCCCCTCCTTCTCGCCATCGGGGATCGACCCGTCGACTTGCTTCTCCTTCCCTTTATGCCGGTGCTTACCACCATCTCTTCCCTTGGTGTTCTCCTTCTCGCTGCTCTTGGCCTTGTGCTTCTCCTTGTGCCTTTCCTTGTCCTTGAGCCGCTCTCTGCTCTTGTCGCGCTTCTTCTCCTTCTCAGCTGTCCCGTGGCCTATGTCATCTGTCACGCTGAGATGCGAACTAGCAGAAGTTGATGGAGATGGGTGCGGAAGGAGGAACGACGAGCGGGACGAGGGTATACTGCGCGAGAGACCCAGCGAAGGGATGGAAAGCGTTGGCGAAGTCGACGACCCGGGGACGCTGTGGACAGAGTCGGCAACTGCTCCAGGTAGACCTGCACACGACAACGCAATCAGCACATCCACATTGACCCATCACGAACACCCGCGAGAGTGCCTCTGCGGAGATGAAGCCCACAAGGCCTGGGCGACACCCATGACAAGCGCACGACTCGCGGTCAACTGACCGCTCATGCCGGAGACGCGGGGGACCGCCGCGCCTCCACACCGAACCGGGGCCGGGTACGCGCACAGAAGAAACAGAAGTGGAAGTCGGGTGGAAGTAGAGAAATAACACGCACTGTGACCAGCGCACGCAGATCCATGAGATACCCCGCCTCTGTCGCGAGCAGCTCCATCAGCGCATGATACTTCCTCGTCGCCGCCCTCAGCCTCTCGACCTCCGCCTCGCTCATAACCTTCGCCCTCTCCTTCTCCTTCCGCCCTTCGCTTTCCATCGTCTTCAGGCTCGTCTGCGGGCTTGGCGGGGGCGCCAGCGGCAGCGACGCCGCGAGCGCGACCGACTCTCTTGAGATATCCAACGCCATCCTGGGCTCTCGCACCGACCCATCGCTCATCATCATCTCGTGGCTGCTCCTACTACTCCTGCTGCTTCTTCTCGACAACCTCCGGATCAGCCTCACCGGTACGCTCCCCTCCTCCATCTCCTCGCCCTCCCCGTCGCTCCCCTCCGTCTCGCCGAGGTGGAACAGCTTCTTGCTCCCTTGCCGACTCACGCCCATCCCAGATCGTACTGCCCTGAGCGGGCTGGCAGCAACCCGTCCTGCATGACGCGCAGGCGAACTCGCCGCAGTGCCTCTGACCGATCCGCCCGGATCGAACTGCGATAGATTCGGTGGTAAGGACATTCGTCTCTTTTCTCTGTCACGATCAGCCCAGAGAGCCGTCGGGACTGGATGGCGTCCGCGTATGGTGGAAGTGGATGCGGTGATCGTGGCCGCGGACGCGAGGGACGAGGATGATGGAATGGGCCTTGCCCGGGATGGTGAGCTCGAGCTGCGCGTACCAGACAGGCCGGCGAGGGTGGCTGCACGCGCACGACTATGACTCCTGCTCTCGCTCCTGGCCTGCGGGCTCCGGCTTGCGTTCCTCGAGGCGGACATCTCGAGGGACTGCTTTGGCGGCGGGGTCGGTGGAGTGGAGGTCCAGGTAGGAGGCGGGGCAAGGTGCGCACCCGCAGCCAAGGACACTGACGACCTAGCGAGTGGTACAGGGACAGGTACCACTAGCGTAGGCGCCATCCCGCCGCCACAAGTCAAGTAGTCGTTGACTTGTGCATGAGAGTCTCCAGACGTGGTTTGGCTTTCCGCGCTATCATCCTCAGAAGCAGACATACCTTCCTCATAAGCCAGACTGCTCCTCGGTCTCTCCCCCGCGATTGGCGTGACGCCCGGTGTCAACCTAGGCGACGCCATGATCGGCGTGAGTGGTACGAACGGCAGCGCCGCGCTCGGCGTCTTCCTCGGCGCGCGCAGCGTGCCCGTCGCAGTGGCGGTGGAGGTGCTCACGATCGGGCTCGCATGCTGGCCAGGGGAGGGCGGGAGCTCGCCCAGTGAGTGTGGCTGGCTCTGTGACCCATAGAGCAGGCTCAGTGCGGAGGACGCACGGCTGAGGGGCGGTGTGGCTGATGTGTTGGGTGAAGAGAAATTGAAGAGGGAGTTGAGGAGGTCGGGCTTGCTCGAGCGACGCGCGAGGAGTGATGGGCGGTGCGAGGACGCGCTGTGGCCGCGAGGGCGGTTGTATGAGCTCCTTGGGGCGAGCCGGGGGACTTGGGTGAGGATGGGGGCGAGCAAGAGATGGGGGAGACCACCTCCATGGATGGGGGCGGTCAGGGGAGTTTGTGGGCAGAACACGTTGTGGTGGGAATGGCGGATATGGAGATATGAAGAGTCGTGGCCGGCGGGGGAAAGAACGACTCGCTTCTGGCGGGAGGGGGAAGGTGGGGAAAAGGAAACTAAAAATGCGAAGGGAAAGAAAGACACCTGAGGTGGGAGTGGAGATGAAGGGGCAATGAGGAAGCGTGCGCGGGGATGGCAGGAATGCGGGGCTGTTTGGCGAGGTTGATGGAGGTCAGTTTCTGAGAGAACGGGGCGGCAGCAATGGAAGCGGGCGTACCGGCACAGACCCGAGGAGAGAAATGAGAAAAGACGAGAAAGGCAGCGAGGGGATCTGTCAGCCCGTGTGTTCGGGCGGAGGCTGGCGGTGTGATTGGGGCCGTGGCAGATAGCTGGCAGGTGCGCAAGAAGATAGACAACAGAGATAGAGGCCCCAGCAGATCTCGCCTTCCTGCTTCTCGTCGCGCGCAATCAGACGGGGGACCACCACGCAGGTCGGGAGGAGAACTGGACACGGGGCGCGAGCGGCGGGGGCGGGGAGTCTATACTCTTCTACTCGTCGGGGCGGCTTGCACGGCTTGGAGCGATGGGGTGCCCCTCTATGGCTCTAAATATACGAGGCAGTCTAAAACGACACACGCTGATTGCGACACAGGAGCTGCGAGGACTGCCGTCGGAGGGCGGGGCGCGAGCAGCGACGAAAGGAGCGGGCAGGAGGGGCAGTTAGAGGAGCATAAAGTAGTCCGCCCGGGCGACGCGGTGGCTGAGTCGACCAGCAGTCGAGTGTTGTCCGCGAGCGGCGACACGCAACACGTTCGTGCAGAGGCGCGGTTGCCAGCATGTCCGGGCCTAACCGCATCCAGGGCCGCGCTGTCGGGAGCCAATCAGACGCGTCCCTTCCTCCTCCATATGCCGCCATCACCCAGCTTGTTCGCGAGCGATCCTGGCCGCAGCGGTCCTCGCTGCCCCGTCTCGCGTGCTGGTCATACAGTAGACACTGCTCGTCGTCTCGCTCGGCCCCGCACCGCTGCCGCTCGGGCCCCAGTGGCTCTGCGAAGGCGGGCTGACCGAGCCAGGAACAGGCACTGGGTGACGGGAGCACGCTGACGCCATGGGCCGCCACAGTTGACGCGCTCCGAGTCGAAAGGCGATCGCTCTTCACGCCGGTCCGAACAGGCGCCCATATCCTGCCAAGGTGCGTCCATATCCGGATGCCGAAGAAGCTGTCGGCCTCTTCACGCCACAGCCGTCTAGCCGTATCTGGACATTCCTCCTCCCGCCACCACATGCCAACTGGTGGCGTCGAAAAGTCGCGTTCACCGCCGGCTCCCACTGCGGACAACCCGGATTGTGCGAGGCGCTTACATAGGCCTAACATTGCAAGGGCGTGTATATTAGTAAGCCATCAAGTGAACTTCCCTAACATGGGAAGTACATTCCTAGAACATGGCACGATTTCGGAACATAGGAAGAACATAACACTTACATTCCGATTCTAGGAACATTCAAAATGTTAGGCCGAACAAAGGAATCCATTCCCTATGTTAGGAGCTCCGACTTAGAGCCGTAAAAATATACACGCCCTTTCAATGTAAGTACCATGTGAGCGCTTCGCACAACGCGGTTTGTCCGCAGTGTCCCATCCTGTCTGATCCTCTTTCTTCCTACAATCAACGCTTGCCTGCGCGTCGAGATAACGCTATGACCCCGGATGCCGTACCCCCTCGCGATGGTTACGTCTAGGTATAAAAGCACGCTTCCAGCATGACTGCCTTCTTCCCGGCCCTCTGCCAATGCACACGCACTGTCTCGACCACTATGACTTCACCCTCGCACAAGCGACGCACCGGACGTCTTCCATGCGCCCCATTTCATTGTATCCACAAGCTATCTCGCATCGCGCACAGGCCCACCACCTCGAGGCCCGCCACTAGCCACTAAGCAGGCCTTCAATCATCCGCCTGCCAGGATAAGAATGGTAAGCACCGATAAAAACCTTGATACTTCTTGATAGTACACCCTTCAGAATCGTTCTATCACACTCACCACATGATGCTTCAGCTATAAGCCCCGCATGATGCCACGCAGCTCGATTCTTCAACGCAGAACAATCTCGCAAGGCGCATCCCGGATTCGGTCTCATCTACTATGTCCGGCAACGCAGCCCCACGGGGATTCATCATCCAGGAAGCTCAGGCTGCCTTATCTGGTGCATCCGCAGACCGGCGGGTCGTGATGATCCCATTGCAAAATCGCGCCAGCGTAGGTCCACAGGAACGTTCGACCTATCGTCGCGCCAACGTGCCCCGTCTGCACCCACCTTGTGTCTATACTGAACGCTCTTCGCGACGCTTCGCATCAGAGTCACACACGCGCTCCTGCATTCTCAATTGGTTTTGCTCCGCTCTTCTGCTTCGTCGTCTGGGCATTGTGCGAACTCCGACCTGGATGCCTCAGCCTCGTGTTGTTGGTCTGTCTATCTGTATGCCCGACCCGCCGTCTTGTCTGATTGGGACATCCACCCCACAATGTCATGTCATCTGCTGTCCCTAGAGCCGTGGTTCTAGTCTGACAATCGTAATATAACCCACGCAACTACCTTCACGCAATTCTTCGTCAACTTGAATGCCTGACTTACCCTTCGGACCTACCTATCCTCGTCACCCTCCATTCACCGTTTCACAGTCACGATGCTGGATGCTGGACCGTTCTTGAGCTCGGAACAGATCCCATCCTGTGTCGTTCCACCACGCCTAGGCTATCTATCATTCCCTGCGCCCACAACTGACGGTTCCCAATCGATGCTCCGGATAAAACGATCCCGGGTCCTTAGTCGCTGTGGCTAGTTTCGTCCGGCGCGACGCTCACGCCAAATACAAGTACCTTAGCCCGCCGACTACTGTCGGACTATCTCGTGGCGTTCAACCACTGACACAACCCTAGGAGGCATCCCAAACTCACGACTTCGGCCCCGCATTCCGAACGCATTACCACACTCATGGCAGCTGTATTTCGGACCACCCAGGATCACTGTCTATTCTTGTCGTCAAGAACCGAAGCTCCGTCACCTCGCCGGTCCCATATGTAGGGCCTTCCCTGTTTGCAGTGCGCTATTTGTCTCGGTGCTCGCTTCGCCGTTCTGCCTGTCCTGCGGTCACTGCGGCGAAGGCCTGCAGCGTGGCCCATCGAGTGGCTCAGCGCTCTCCGCCTCACTGAAAGGTAATGCAGATCTGTCAAATACTTCAGGCTGGAGGCTCACCTTACCCCTCTTGAACGTTCAGCCTCGGACGCGGACGCGCTCGGTATGTTCGTGTCGGATCGGCGGACATACGTCGTCAAGTCAAGGCGGCCGCGAAGCTGCCTGCGCAGTTCGCAGCGCGCACAAATAGCTTGTCGGTCGTCCTACTGCCCGCGCGACGTAGGAATCTTTTCAAGCTTCACACCACGCTGGGCGCTGGGCTGAGGGACCGAGGAAAGAACGAATCACCCGGTAAGGAATGCAAACAGGCTTCGTTGGAGGCCGCGAATGACGTGAGTCGTTTGTTGGCCGGGGGTATCGTGGTTGCGTTCCCATTAACATTCCCACCTCGACGAGGGACGAGGACAATACGCTGTGATATCTGGCGGCCGATCCAGATATCTTGAGAACGTGGAACGAGTTGGCCTCGCACGCTCCCGTCGATTGGTTACGTTCACTCTTCCGCTGCGTTTTCGAGCATGTTCCTCGTACTCGTCAGTGGGGCTTGGTCTGGCACCGCGCAGCCTCTGAGCCTGAAGTGCATCGCCTCAACTGTTGACTCGGTGAGTGTCGCGGTCTGTGTGTTACGTAGCGCAAACGCATACTCACAACAACCGAAAGCTGATCCTCCCTCCAAATGCCCACGCATTCTCTCGAGCACTGTATGCTTTCACTCGACACTGGCGTCATCGCTATTACTGCCACCTACCGAGTAACCGTCCCGCGAAGCCTCAGCGCCAGCGAGTCAGCTCGGATGCTGCGCCGTACTTACCAATAATGCTTTGTCAAAGAACATTTTCAACAGGTGGATGGCATTAGTACGCAACACGCAATACGTGCCTCGCGACATTCATAGCATCACGAACAAGGTTAGTTGCCACCCCCATCCATCGATCCCCAGCTGGCTGACGACAAACCCAGGAACCATCCAACGCGTGGCCATGGAGGGAGTACTTAACCGGCCTCGGCAGGGCGCTGGTGGCGGCCGCCACGCGCGCGATGCGCTCTTTCCCAGGTCCCTGGGTGCCGCAACGGACCCACGGCCACGGTGGGGACGTCGCCTCGAAGCTGGAGGCGTGGAAACTTCCTCTCCAGGCTCGAGGCGACGATGACGCATCCGGGGTTGGGCGCTCGAGCGGTGGGTGATGCATGATGTGGTGTGCCGGCGGCGATCCGTCCGTGGGCAGTTACTGTCGCACGTGGGGGAGGGGCCCTGGGAGGCCCTGAATCATCTCACAGCATCCGAATGTCGGGGCAGGACTCGAAGACTTCCAGTCTGGCACTGGTCAGGATTGCGAGGCTAGTATAGACTCGCGGCGCGTCGGTGGGGCTGAGATTTCTGCAGAGCAGAAGCGAGTCGTATCAGAAGAGATGCGCTAGAGTCGAAGTCAGTAAGTATCCAGAATTTAAAGATGCACAGTTATTCTTCCAGACAATGTGTTGGGTCGCTCAGGGTGGAAGAGAGACTCTTTCGAACCCGCGAGAGGGAAGGGCGTATACGGATATGTAGCCATGGAGGGAAGAGTGAAGCGGGGAAGCATTCAAGGAGTTGCGGTCAGACGGCGCTGGGGAAGGCGCGAGGCGCGACGTTCCTGGGCCGAGATATGGGAGACGCGCAATTAGGCTTGCTCGAAGCCACTGCCGTTGAGGTGACCGTCTGACACGAACGTTCTATCACGCGAAGGGAAGCGAGGTGATCCTGATAGCAATTCAGATGCATGTACCATGAATGGTAGCGGCAATGCCAATCCGTACAAGCGTCGGAACGTCGGAGAAGGTGGGGAAATGTACGACGCACTGGAACAACTGACACTGCGTAAGTAAGAGCTGTGGAGCACCCGGGAGGTAAACTGCATTCGATCCCATTACTTGCCAGAGGATGGGCCGCACAGGAACCGCACTTACGTCGGCATTGCATAGCTCGTGTGAGCAATGAAATGACTGTGGAAAGCAATGTGCGCATATGGCTAGGCGATGCCCCAAGTAAAACGCTGCCCTACGTATAGATTTCACCGTGCATGAAGCTCTCCACACAGATCTTGACGTGGATAGGGCACTATCGTTACCAGCGGAATCAGTAATGGACTAAGTTAGCATTGAACGGACCCTTGGCAACTTGAACTCTGTTGGACGGACAGTGAGAAAGGTCGTCATGAAATGACGAAGCAGGAGCTCGGGTCTAGATAGTACGAAGTCACGCGTTCCTGAGTTTCTGCGTCGAGTATCGAATGTCTGGACTCTTGACACGCAAACAGTCATGCAGCATCGTCTCTGCTACTAGATCTGCAAGCACAATGAGCAAGAGGAAGCGTCTAAAATAGACGAAACAAACCCCATTGTGAATTGTGTGGCAAGTGGCCGTGTGCATGGTACGCCTCGGTGACGGTCTTCTACCTAGTCGGCACGACTGGACGAGAGGCGGCACCTCAAAAGATGTTGTGATCCAGCGAATAGCATCATGGAACGACAAAGCTTAGTATAATGCCTCACTATCATCAGCTCTGGGTACAAATATGATGTTCTCTTGCTCAGCCCGTCGACGCCGTGCCTGTTCCTTGTCGAGAAACCTGCGTAGGGCTGCAATGTTCGCGCCTGTGAAGACGCGGTGGACGCCCTGCTTCTGTGAGTCATAATCCTTTTGTGCAGCGTAATATCGAAGTCAGTATACAGTCCGTCAAAGATGCACAGCAGTAGCCGCTGATGGAGTTAATCACTCACCCTGGAGGGTTTGTCAGAGAACCGCTCTACACCCGCTCGCCTGAGGGCGGGGACACCGGAAGCACTAAAGTGTTCGAGCTTGTTGAGCTTGCGCAAGAGAACGTGGACTGCGTCGAGCGTGATGCGCCTGCACTGGGAGAAGTGCAGGCGTTGTAGGGATTCAGCATGCTCCGCGAGGAAGAGAAGAGCGTTGTCCGTCAGCCGAGGAAGTCCAGATGCAGACAGTCGTTGCAGTTGAGGTAGAGTAGCTAGCTCAAGAATGGCCAGGTCTGTGAGACAGGCCGAGTCTAGACGCAGTGTCAGATAAACAAAAGGTAACCTCAGGAACTGAGATTCTTACAGCTGACATCCACGGATCTGAGCTTCGCGCAACTGCGCACGATGCTGACGACCCCGTTGTCGGTGAGTCCTTCTACATACGAGATCGCGAGTACATGCAAGTGTTGGAGGGTGGACACGGCTTCGGCCGAGATGTCGGTGAGTCGTGCGCACGCCGACAGACTCAGATGCTGGATCCTGGGGGCATACGTGACAATCCCGATGATCGCTGCGTCGGTGAGCCGCTGACAGTTGCTTATGTCGAGCAGACGCAGATGTGCAAGTTTGTGTCCAGACGAGAAGGTGAGAGGAGGCAAGGCTTCGAGCCACGTCGGTGGTCTGGAACCGTTGGTCCATGGGGGCTCCTCCAGCGGGAAGGAGGCAAGTGATGCGAGACTGGAGGGGCGAGCAGGCAGCACGTCTGGGACGTATGGGAACGCCTTGTCGGTGAGATGCACGCAGTTAGCGAGCTTGAGGCGCTGTAGCTTCATCGAGAATGTCCAAACGTCTCGAATGGACAGCGGTGTGAGGAGGTGCAGGTCGCACAGCTCGAGCTCTCGGAGGTTGGTGAGGGATCGTGCCAGCGCCGATACGGAGGGGTCGGTGAGGGTAGAAAGCCCGTTCAGCCGCACCACCTCAAGCTCCGTCGCTACGTTGGCGAGCTCCAGGATCGCGACGTCGGTGACCAGCGTACATCCGGAGATGTCTAGCTCTCGGAGATACAGGGCGCTGCGAGCGAGCAGCACGACGGTGCGATCACTGACGTCGGGTACACTGGTGAGACAGACCGACTCGAGGTTTGGGCACCAGGGTAGGATGTGGGCCAGATCATCGTCGATGATGTTGTCGTCGTCATTCTGGGTCAGGACAAGGTGTACCACGTCGTAACACGACTTCTGGGTAAGCGGAAGTCGGTCGATGAAGCTCATCGCATTGAGCGAGCTGAGTTTCTCTCGCACTACATCGAACGTCAGCCCCCTCTACTGCAGATCCATGAAATGAGACTGAATGTAGACGAAAGACGCACCGAACGACCTTTACAGGATGGGCTGCTGCCTTGATCGTCTTTTGACAACGTCTGAGAGTAGCACGTCACTCGGTCGATGGAGCACCTTTAGTGGAGGTCAACTCTCGAAGCGAATGATGCATCATTGCCATTCTTGAGCTTGAAAGCTTGACATTGACTCTTCTATGGCGCGGGTCCGCATTAGGCACTGGCATGTCCGGACTCCGAGGACGACAAAGTCGGTCCCGGTGGAAGATGTTCGCACCTCAACTTCGTGTGTTTCGGTATGTTCCACCCGTCTGGGACGAAATGGAGCACTACAACAACACTGGATTTTTCAAGACGAAGATGAGGAAGCAAGACTCATGGATGCAGTTTCGGTGTACCACTGGGCCACGCTGCCTGTACAGCATCTGGAAAAGGGTCCGGAGGAAAATTGACGTAGGAATATTAATGCGAACAAAAGGCCTGCAGCTGTGACTGAGAGAAGGCCAACGGTGCGGTTGGTAGCAGGGAGGTGGGGTTCCGAGTCCTCGCGATCGGGATCCGGGGTCCCAATGACCGAAAGCATACCCATACGACGCTCTATCGTTGTTACGCCTATAGCTACATGTATCTACGGTGCCGGTACTGGTTTTCATTAAACTCGGAGAACAGTGGAAAAGAGACGAAAAATACAGAAAACCCCACAGGATAGTATGTGGACATACACTGAAGGGGAGTCGAACCCCTACCGCTTGCTGAATCACGTGACGTTCATGGAAGGCAAGCATGATAACCGTTTCACCATCAGTGTTTTACAATGTAAAGGTCTACAATTTTTATGACACGTCTTTAGCGATTACCAGCAAGCATCCCGATCGCTACATTATGCCACACGGCGCCTACCATTGCTTCGTCCGACGACGTCCACAACCATTGTTTCATTCGGGCCACGACCAGATAGTGACTATGTCCGTCCTCCTAGAAACCTCATTGGGCGACTTGGTTGTTGATCTGGAAGTCGACTCATGTCCAAAGACATGTCAGAACTTTTTAAAGTTGTGCAAACTCTACTACTACAACCTTAACGCTTTCTTCAATGGTGCGTTGTCTAGACTCACGAGCAGGGACCGAGTCTCACATGAGCATAGTCTCGAAGGACTTCTTGGCGCAGGCTGGGGACCCGACAGCGACGGGGACAGGAGGCGAGTCTATCTGGTCATTGATTGCCTCACAGCAAGGGAAACAAGAACCTCGCTACTTCAGCCCGGAATACGTGCCACGCCTGAAGCACAAGGCGAAAGGTACTTTGTCTATGGCGGTCGCACCGTCCATCGAGGGTCAAGGCAAGGGCGGCTGTGGCAGCCAGTTTTTCGTGACGCTCGCGGATGAGATAGACTACCTGGACGGGAAGCATGCAGTCTTTGGGCACGTTGTCGAGGGGCTAGACACGCTGGACAAGCTGAATGATGTCTTCGTTGACCAGGAGGGGCGGCCTCTCAAGGACGTGCGGATACGGCATGTAGAGATTCTCGGTGCGCATTGTTCTACTTTTATGGGCGCTGCTCTCGACTCACGGTGGTTCTGCCAGATGATCCGTTTGAGGATCCTCCAGGCCTCGTGGTGCCCGAGTCAATACCTACGCGCCCTCCAGACAATTCCACGCGTATAGCGGAAGATGAAGATCCTCTGGCCACTCTGCCTGAAGAGGAGGCGGAGGCAGAAAGACGAAAACAGGCAGCTCGCGCGTCCGCGCTGACGCTCGAGATGGTTGGAGACCTGCCCTTCGCGAACGTGCGGCCTCCGGAGAATGTGCTCTTCGTCTGCAAGCTGAACCCAGCTACCCGAGATGAGGACCTGGAGCTCATCTTCTCCCGGTTTGGTGCGATTATGAGCTGTCAAGTGATCCGAGACAAGAAGACAGGGGACTCTCTCCAGTATGCTTTCATTGAGTTTGACAAGCGAGAGGATGCCGAACAGGTATGTTGTGTGCTTGCGCTTGTGTGCGTTGCTGACAGCATCTAGGCGTATTTCAAGATGCAAAACGTGTTGATTGACGAGCGGCGTATCTGGGTCGACTTGTGAGTGTTGTTCATAATGCCACCGCATGACGTGTTTCAGCTAATTCTCGACCCACACAGCTCCCAATCGGTGGCCCGGCTGAACGGGGGATGGTCTAACGACCCTCAGTTGGGGCCACGTCCCGTACGTGGTGGGAGGGGGCGTGGTGGCGGTGGCTTCGGAGGGATCACCCATTTGGAGGCGACTCGGCGATACAGGGAGAGCTCTGCGGAAGACGGCGACCGCTACGGCTTGGTCTTCGATGTCCCCGATGACCGGCACAGCAGGCGCCGAAGCTCGAGCAAAGAACGGGTACCTCGCAGTGATCATTCCAGAGAACGCAGAAGGCGGTCACGGTCCCCCGGGCAAGAGACCGCAGTGGGGAGCGCGATAGGGAGCACCGCAGAAGCCGCAGCAGGGACAGGCAGTCGAGGGGGCGGTACGAGCGCGCCCGGCGACGATGAGGTGTGGAGAAGCACGGCTTCCTGCCTAAGGCCTCACTGGTGCCGCGTCGCTCCTGTCATTTCCGCACCTCCGATCGTCTCCCGCCCTGTGAGCACTGTTACATGTGTTGTGGTTGCCACGGTGTTTGTGCACACGCCATCGCTGTATTCGATCAGTAACATCGAGCTTTCTTGCTGTCATCATCGCAACAGATACGCACAGAACCCGGACGCTTCTCCGTTGCGCAGGCCCACATATAAGTAGCTGATTGCGCCAGTTCTGGCTCATCTCTCCCCAGCTACTCTCAGTTGTCATCTGCGATGACCTGCCAGTTCTCGCCGCTCACTTATGTGCCACCCTCGTCCCCCGCCCCCACCATGACTTCCCACTACTTCAGCTTCGCCGACGCCGACGTCGTGCTCCGCTCTGCTGCGCCCCACGCAACCGAGTTCCGCGTCCACAAATCCCTCCTCTCCGCCGCGTCCCCGTTCTTCAAACACATGTTCGCTCTGCCGCAAAAGCCACTCTCCACCGCGTGCCCCGAAGTGCCTGTCATCGACGTGTACGAGCCCAAGTCTACTCTCGAGGCACTGCTGCGTTTCGTTTACCCAACGTCGAGACCATCCATCGACACCCTGGATGAGCTCACGCCTATCCTTGAAGCTGCCATGAAGTATGACATGGTCAGCGTCATCGACATCCTCCGGGCACGGCTTGTTGCCCCCGACTTTGCAAGGGTAGCGCCTACGCGCGTGTATGCCATCGCATGTCGGTTCGACCTGGAGGAGGAGGCGAAGGTGGCGTCCCGCCACACGCTCAACGTCAACGTTTTAGACTGCCCTCTTCATGACGACCTCAAGCACATCACTGCCTACGCTTATCACCGTCTTCTTGATCTCCACCGCAAGCGTGCGAAGGCGGCCCAGGAGCTGCTTCAACTATCGGAGGACGTAAAGTGCATGCAGTGCAACGGAGCGCGGTATCACGCGTTCTTGCCGCCCAAGTGGTGGTCGGACTTCCACGAGAGAGCGAAACAGGAGCTGGCTGTCCGGCCAACGACAGACGTCGTCTTCTCCATGCCATTCCTGGCGCATTCGGCGCAAGCGGGTTGCGAGCGATGCGCCGGGAGCATCCTAGACGCGCATTGGTTCCTGGACCAGCTGAAGCGGAAGATTGACGACCTACCATCCACGATATGAATATTACGACCTCTTATGATGTCTTCATCACGAATACCCTCCGGACCTTGGACTGGTAGCACAACGGACCATCTTAGATACTCCCTCCCCGTCACTTGATCATTGGATACCTCCAGCGACACATAACTGTATTCGCGGGCTTGCAGTGGAATCTCGATATAGCCGTGTAATCAGTTGGTGTAGCGTGCCTGTGTAGGCCTGTGTGCCATTTGTACTGTACCTTGATCCGTTAAAACTTGTGCGCAACGTTCAACAACGTTGATCCAGTTCCTCGCCGTATGGTGCCACGATAAGAGCCCGAAGGTCGAGTCAGGTGCATGGCCATCTACCATGGGTCGCCTAAAGGAGAATGCAGCCTACTGCACCGTAACGGAGCATCCCTGTACACCTCCAGACCCACCATCATGGCCACACCGCAGCTTGCCGCCTTCAAGGTCCCTGCAATCGAGAATGAGCCTATGGCGAGTGACATCTATCGCGCCTATGTTCACGGGGCAGCCGCCCACTGATCGCAACGTCCATCTAGAGGAGCTATGCTCCCGGCTCGAAGGAACGTAAGGATCTTGAAGATGCCTTGAAACAGATGGAGAAGGAGCTGCCATTCGAGGTGCCGTGTGTGGTGAACGGGCAACCCGTGAGTGTTGCAGAGCCTTGAAGGTGGTTAACCGACTTGATCGATGCATGTGTAGGTCAAGACCGGCAAGATCGCTCAACAACCCATCCCGCACAGCTACGCGAAGCATCTGTGCTCCTATCATGAAGCAGACCAGGCCACGGTCGCCGCGGCCATTGATGGTGCAGTGGCAGCCAAGGCTGAATGGGAGGCCATGCCGTGGAATGACCGTGCTGCCATCTTCCTGAAGGCAGCTGATCTCGTCAGCGGCAAGTATCGCTACCAGCTAATTGCGGCGAGTATGCTGGGACAGGGCAAGAATGCCTGGCAAGCTGAGATTGACGCTGCTGCGGAGGTATGCTCGTACTGGTTTCGCATGTCATGGTTGACGGCATGCTCAGTGATGCGTTAGCTCTCGGACTTCCTGCGTTTCGGTGTGAAGTATGTGGAGGAGCTCTACGCTCAGCAACCCCCGAAGAACTCTGCGGGCAGTTGGAAGTGAGTCTCCATCTCATGCCATCCCCCGCGGGGCCCCTCACACAGCCCCTTGCCTAGCCGGGTCGAGTACCGCGCTCTCGAAGGGTTCGTGCTCGCGGTATCACCGTTCAACTTTACCGCCATTGGCGGCAATCTCTCAGGAGGTGCGAACAACGCTGATCCTGATCCCAACACTTAATGAATGCGTGCCCTCCGTGTAGCACCGGCACTGGTGGGAAACACCGTTGTGTGGAAACCATCACCTATGGCGGTATATGCGAACTATCTGACCCACAAGATATTCCTGGAGGCCGGTGTGCCAGCGGGTGTCATCCAGTTCGTCCCTGGGCCCGCCGAGGAGGTCGTCGGGCAAGCCATTGCAAACCCAAACTTCGCCGCGTTACACTTCACTGGCAGCACGTTCATCTTCAAGAAGCTCTGGAAGGACATCGCCTCGAACTTGGATAAGTACAAGGGCTACCCCCGAATCGTCGGCGAGACGGGTGAGTTTGGCAGATGCGCTCGGTAGAGTTTGCTCATCGTATGAAACAGGTGGGAAGAATTTCCATGTCATTCATCCCTCTGCCGAGATGAAGAATGCGGTGTTGCAGAGTATCAGAGGCGCTTTCGAGTACCAGGGTAAGTTCAATGTATCTAAACCCTTTTAATCAAAAATTGATTATCGTCTGTCTCCTCAACTAGGCCAGAAGTGCTCAGCGCTCTCTCGTCTCTATGTAGCTTCCTCCATCTGGAAGGGTGGCTTCAAGGATCAACTGCTTGAAGGAGTCGCGAGCCTCAAAGTCGGCCCTCCCACCGACTTCACGAACTTCATCGGGCCGGTTATGTGCGTATCACTAATGGTTACGGACGGGCGTGTGCAAAATGATTGACTGTCTGTGGGTCCTACAGCGGCCGTCCGGCGTTCCAAAAGGTGACAGGTTATATTCAAAAGGCGAAGGACGCGGGCGGTGAAGTCCTGATCGGCGGCTCCTGTTAGTGATGCTGCCTGGCTGACGAGGTCAAGACACTGATGTTTCATTATATCCGACAGCGGATGATTCGGAAGGCTTCTTCGTACAGCCAACCGTCATCCTGACCACTGATCCCCACTTCGTCACGCTGAAAGAGGAGATCTTCGGCCCCGTTTTGACGGTATGTTGATGCAACTAGCTGTGCATGCTCAAACCAAATTCAATTAATGCACCACACAGGTGTATGTATATGATGATGCTGACTACGAGAAGACCCTTGATCTGATCGACACCACATCACCGTATGCCTTGACCGGGTCGATGTAAGTGTTGTCCGCATCATGAACGGACCCAGGCCGTTAATTAAATTACCGAAATAGATTCGCGCAGGACCGCAAGGCTCTGCTCAAGGCTACCAACAGACTGCGCAACGCGGCCGGCAACGTCTACTACAACGAGAAGTGCACGGGTGCCGTTGTTGGGCAGCAGCCGTTCGGTGGTGCGCGCGCGAGCGGCACGAACGACAAGGCCGGGAGCATGTCGATCTTCTACCGCTTCGTCTCGGCAAGGAGCATCAAGGAGAACTTCGTCGGCCTCGAGAACTACCTCTACCCGTCGAACTTGGCTTAGGAGCCGACGGGGACCACTATCTCTGGGGCAGATGATGGGTTTGGATATAGAACGTGAACTAGCGAAGCAAAGCGACTGTTGTATCAAAAACAAACGTGCTGTATCCATTAGCTTTAGGGAAATTGTGAAAACAAAGCTTCTGTTGATCGTCGTGTGTTATGCCTCCGCCGTCGTGCTGCTCGATGAAACAGACTACTTTACAAGTCAAGTACTAGTCACCATGTACTTTATCACTCTAGTAAGCACTTGAAGTACTCGCGATCGGAGTGCATCCCGGGCCGGCTCAGAGAGTATCCGCCACAAGTGACAAATGAGCCTCAATACGCTGTGGCTGAGCACACCGATTCCCTTGCCTCCATCCTGCATGATCTCTGCTCGACCTCTCTCGTTTCCAAACCTACTTTCATCCCCAAAGTTTCAAACAGTACGCCGGGCAGTACGTGCCCGTGGAATCTATGGAACCGCAATCCGGCACGATGAGATCGACCGTCGTGCAAGCGACAAGCTGCTCGAGGATGCTGCACGCGAGGAGGCAGAGGAGACCAGGAGGCCAGCGCGGCCGAGCAGGGCTCAAATTCTAGAGGATCAGAATCAGAACTGGACTGGGGACGAGTCGGTACAGGATGCTGTCCTCCGGATGCTGGTGGACAAGTACAAGCCTCTGCGCAGTGGGTCGATCCAAACGGCAGAGGAGAAGCTGAGGGCTGCGCCGCCCAAGGTCTCTGTTCCGGAATCGGATCCCCTTGGAGAGGGGCCTTCGCAGTTCAATGCCGCGTTAGTGGTGGAGGGTGCGCAACCTGGAGAGTCCTCTACGCAGCCTCTGCCTCCGCCCCGGACGTACGTTCCTGGCGAGCCTATCCTGCCCGGAATCGAGGGACACCAACCTTGGCATACTACGTTCAAGGTTCCCTCACATGCTACTTCGAACGTTCACTATGGACAGATACCGCGGCAGCCCTCTAGGAAGGTAGATCCCCCTCCTATAGACGACAAGGAGAGGAGGAAGCAGAGAGAAGTGCGGCGGCGAACGGAGCACGCGGGCAGGTTATCGAGGGCGAGGGAGTCTACTCTGGACTACCGTCTCGGGATTCGCGGCGGCGCTGCGATGCACAGACCGAACCCTACGACGCTGAAGGGATGGACCAGTCTTGTTGAGGATAGGATACAGGTGAGTGCTATTCGGTGTTAAAGGAATGACCTTTACTCAATTGTGGCATGCCCAGCGAGCGCGCGAAGAGGGTCTGTTCAACAGTGTCAAGGGCCGAGGCCAGCCGTTGGCTTTCACCACCCAGGACAGGAATCCGTTCATTGCGCGAGAAGAGTTCTTGATGAACCGTATAGTTCAGCGTCAAGGCGCTGCACCTCCGTGGGTGGAGGTACAAGGAGGTGCGTTCGTCATAAAAATAATGCTCTCGACCTCCACTCACACCGCATTTTCAGAGATGGAGTCTGCGATAGCCTCCTTCCGAGAAATCATCAGGCAGTCGTGGACGAGACGGGCGATACGCCTGCTGACCGCCTCTCAACCAGCAGCTCAATTGCCTCAGCTTCAACTCGATGAGGTCAGCGCGTTACGAGACGCAGAATGGGAAGCACGAGAGCGGGCGTTTCACGACCACGCGCTGGAGGAAGTCAATGCGTTAGTGAGAAAGTACAACGGTCTGGCGCCTTACGCGGTGCGCCGAGCATACTACATGCGCGACACGGAGTTAGAGAAGACCTACCGGGACTCCGCGGAAGACATCCTGCAAGGTCTTGCGGACAGGGTTGCGAGCTCGTCCAATCGGAAGGGCTACGTTGACGTTGGCTCGGACGAAGACAGCAGGATTGCGGGGTCTGCGGTTACTCCTCTTGCGCCGTTGAGCTTCCGCCAGATGTTCAGGGAACTGTGGACAACACTGCGTGGACGGTGAGTGTTGTGTGCAGCATCCGCGAGGCCCTCGAAGCACCGTTGTACAGCATTTACGTCCGGGACCTTTGTAGCGCTAGTTGGATCGCCCCAATACTACTGTAGACGTATAGATTGTGATACACGCAGCTACCTTGCACGGGTGGTCTTCTGTGTGTCAATGCCATGCGCCGGCCGCGTGCTTGTACTACGGGTTGTACTCCTTTGCTTCCATCTCCCATGATCTTCAACCCTTTCCTCCCTCTGGCCGCCTGTTGTTGGCAGAGTTGTTCAGTACTGGTGGCGGTGCCTTGATGCCTTGCGGATATGGTGCATTTTCTGACCCGGGGGATGCGTCACCTGGGGTAGCGGCGCAGCGGTTGCGATAAGTCGTCGAATTTAGAGTGTCTTGCGACGCCCGACGGAAGCGAAACAATGTCTATCTGGACGAAAGGGAAGGACAACAATGGGCATACCGAACCTCGCCTTCTCGCATGCCCCGAAGAATAAGTCAGACCTTTTTGTACAGCGGTCGCGCGGAAAAACGAAATGAAATGCTCGGCCTGATGCAGTTTCCAGAATCCAGGGCGACCATTGGGGGAGACGGGCCTCATGGCAGCCTCGCGTCGTCCATGGAAAGCTCCCACCGGCTGATGCAGTCCTCATCTAATCTATAAAAGCCCCATTTCTCCCATTTTCTCTCCCATCGCCGCCTACCCCGCCGACGCCGCCCTCGACAGCCTCAGCCTCGCGCTCTCCTCGCTCGTAAGTCCTCTCCCCCTTAAGATGTCTTCTGAAGAGATCCTCGTACGTCTTCGTCGACCTCGTGCTTGCGGATATGAGCTGAAGATGCTTGTGTCCACAGCCAGGCGACATCGTCAATGTCCAACATGGCGGTGTCAAGAGAGAGGGCATTGTCGTCGGTAGCAGCTATGACTATGCAGTCAGTCTTCCCTTCTCGTCGTGCGGGCCGTCGTCTGATATGAAACCCCACTCAGGGCCGCCAGATGGTCGAAGTGCAACTGGATGGCGAGGCCCCCGTCCCTTACTGGTGAGCATATATGATTCGCTCGTACTCTAGCAGCACTGATCGTCCGCCCCCTACGCTAGGTACCCCTCCGTAACGCGCGTGAAGCGCACCATCTCCTACACACGCCCAACACTCCCTCAGCAGAGGCGCAGCGTCGAGCGATACATCTACTGGTGATCGACGACCTCCCTGCAGATCCTCTCGGAGGTTATCTCGGACCATGACACATCCCACATATCTCGCCCCGACTGCCAGTCCGCAGCCTCGGCGTTCTGACCGCAGTGCGGGTCGCGTCACGCACCTCAACGACTCGGACGAGACACGATCAGCGCTGGCGCACGATGTCGGATGTTCCTGTATGTATCTGTACGTGTCACATATTGCATCGGACGGATGGATTCTCGCTTGCCGCACGCTATTTTATATATGGGACCGTCGCCATACACAGCTCCGGTGTACTGTTCTGCCAATCCCAATGGCTGTCATTCTATTCCCTACTGGAACGTCCGGCTGAGTGGTGATAGACGGGCAGTACAACGACAATGCGACATGAAGACCATGCATAAATTAACTCGGCGAATCTCGACATGTGTAGGTGCGGAGTGGGGCTAGTGATACAGAATTATGGCGGATGCCAGCAGAGCTATGTTATGCGCGTAGATCGACCGCTATCGACGGCGAGGGAGGCGGCTCCGTCGGAGACGAGATGGACGGCGGCGATAGTACTGGTGAGTGTTGGTTGCTGGTCTGGAAGGGCGACTGTGTGGTGTTGGAGATGCAATCTGCTGCTGGGGAGATGCAGGGCGTACCAGAGCTGGTTGAGTATCCTCCGACGGCATGGTTGATGGTACATGATTCTTCCCTGACGGTGCAGCATGTCCATTCGGCAATGACTTCTCGGATACCACGGAAGTTGAGGCCAGTGCTTGTGTCACTGGACGAGGAATTGGATCACGCTCAGGTGGTGACAGCGACGAGCTCCTCGACGATGGCTGAGCCGATACCCTATGGATGACCCTCGGCCCAACGATCTTCGGGATCGGTTTCATAACCTTGACCTCCTCCGCTGCATCACCATTGGCCAAGGAAGCACAAGACCCATTCGCATGCACACACTCTGGACGGACAGTCTCCTCCGAGCTGCGTGGCGAGTTCGACAAGTAGACACTCTGCCGCGGCATAGCCACCCGCTCGTAGAAGATCATGAACGCGCCCACGCCCTCCTGCAACACGTTCTCAATCCCGATCTCGACCACGCTGTCGTCGCTGATGCGCAGCCATCCGCGTCCTGTCTTGGGCGGCTCGTCCTCGTCGTCCCGAACAGGACCGTATCGCTCGCACCGTCGCTTGCTAGCTTCGGTGGATCAAAGCGCCGAGCACCAGCAGATGGTGGCCGTGGTTTTCGTCGAACAGACGTAATGCGAAGGAGTGTTGCCCGTAATGACAGACCACGGCTGAAAGACGGTAGAGGTGCGCGGGTAGCATATGTCGCTGGTGTAGGTTGTGCGTGGATGGCAGGGGTGAGTAGAGATCGGAACAGAGGGCTGGTAGAGAGTTGCCGAGGTCGTGTATGGGTGAGATCGAGCACGTCTGGAAAGAGCACGCGGCAAGTGTTTTTGGAGGCGTAGTGGCCATAGTGCACTGAACGATTCAAGTGGAGAGCAAGCACGCGAGGCGGCTAAGACCTGTGTCAAAAGCACAGCAGAATGCATGGAAGAGATAGGACACACCCGAGCGATCATAGCCTGCTTCGTCGAAGCCCGACTGAACACCTTCTCCATCTTCACGCCCTTGATATCTTCCTCGATCCGGCCATCATCGAGCGCTGCCTTCACGCGAGCGACCAGCTTCCGTGCCTCACGTGCACGTTTCTTCTTGGACGCTGTAGGATCCTGGTCCGCGTTCGCGAGCTCGGTCAGCTTCTCGGCCTCGACCTCGAGGCGGCGGTAGGTCGCGAGCATAGAGCACTTTCGGCAGATGCAATCGGTGAGAATCTCTAGGCGAGTGTAATCGTCTAAGCAGTCTTCTAGGCGACACTGGGTCTATGAGATCATTGTCAAGCAGAGCGTACTGCTACAGTCAGACAAGGCAGCGTACCGCTAGACGAGGCATGCTGAGCTGCCAGTTGTCGAACGCAAAGTGCATGACGGCCTCGGTGTATCCGCACTCAACGCAGCTCCGTCGATTAGCGGTCAGCCCGTCGAACACACTCTTGCCAAGCTCCCGGCTAGCGGGGCCCTGAACCTGGGCGAGTGCGCTGAGGCCGCGATCTCGATGCCCTTCTTTCTCGACAGCAGCAGTTTCGTTCTTGATGCACTCTGACAGAAGCTGGAAGAGTTCCTGGGCATCTTGGTGTTCGCGTGAAGAGAAGAGTGTGTTATGTTTCGACGGTGAGTTATTGGATAACGCATTGATAATGTCGAGAGGTCGTAGCGCTCGAGGAGAGGAAGTCGGCGTGTTGAGCGCTATGTCAAGAGTCAGATACTGGACGGTGGAAGAGCAGCTAGCGTACTGACTGTGTAGAAGGTCCCGCAATGCATCTATGACAGGCGTCGGTACATCCAGCGCTTCGGCCTTAGCATGGATTTGCTCTATTTGAGGTTGCAGATAGCAGAGAGACGCCATTGCCTACGTTGTCGGAGGTCAGCGGATGAAACGCAGCTTCGCGGGTAGCACGCACCTGCAATGTCGAGTCCATGAAGCAGTAGGTGCCAGAGATATTGACGAGCCCCGGGTAGTATCCTGCATCATGGGACACTTTGGGAAATGATTCTGTCGACAAGCTGACTTGAGAGACTGTGCAATGTGCATCATCATGTACAGGCATACCGAGCTGGTGCTGCTCCTGCTTGACCTGCCCCGCTCTCGTACGGATATGCTTCTTCTTGGGTTTGCGTTTCTCGTGAGTAGAGCTCGAACCAGAGTGACTATCGAACCAGTTCCATGGTAATGCACCTGCGAATGCGTCGAACACCATGAAAGTGGACGATACGAGCGAGCCTTTACGAGAGTTGGCGGCAACCACTAGGAGCGGGACAAGCAGGATGACCAGGAGGGGGAACAGTTGCTGAAATGCTGGGCTGGAGATGAGCTGGATAAGGAAGAAGCGGAAGTCTTCCAGAGGCTGCATGTGCGCAAGATTCTTATGCCTTGCGCGGCGACATGAGCGAGTCGATGAACGAGCGCACTCAGCCAATTCGGCCCTCAGCGGGCAAGCTCCCAGCCTGCCCGAGGTGCGTCGGCCTATCGAATCAGGCATGTAAAACACTCCATGTATGGCTACCTGGCGCAATGGTAGCGCGTTTGGCTTCGATCGCCAATGTCACCAAAAGGTTGCAGGTTCGAGTCCTGCGGTGGTCATTCCGTTTTGCCCCGGCTCTGTCTGGAGACGCACGTGATCGTTCCCAGCAGACGCGTCGCGTCGCGAGTTGGATTGGTTGCCCTACACCGATCGGCTTTACGCATACACTCATCACGCTTCCCTCTCTGGACCTGGGATACACACCCGGCTGCGCTTCCCATCTTGTTAGATGCTATTCTTGGTCTTGGACTCGCTCATTGCACTCGCGTTTCATGGCTACTGCTGCCTTCTTGTCCCAACATTCCTCCAACCCGCTCGAGGTTCCGTCGTCTGATGCTCGCAACAAGCTTTACAGGCGTCGACTCATGCGCTCAAAGAAGTTGCAGAAAGACGACGGAGTCCTTCTGTCATCATCGGACGGCCCTTTGAACGGATGCAACGTTCCAGATTTAGACCAATACCACTCGCACCTCGCGCAATTGTACCCGAACACAAGGGGGCCCTCCGCCACAAACAGGTCTCAGGCTGCTCCCATTCAGCAGGCTTTCAGCGAAGGCATGTATAGCGATGACGAGCTGATTGTACTTCCGGCGGATCCACTAGACGTCGATCCCGAAGAGGATGAGGAGGTGGAGCATGAGGAGCATGAAGAGATCGAGCTGGAGGAGGAAAGTGGAGACGTGCTCGCAGACGAGGATGCAGAGGGAGAGCTCGACGAAGACCTGCTTGAGGACCAGGGCGGTCATGCAGAGACAGACGAAGAGCTGACCATCTATCTCAAGCCACGCGAGGAACGCGAGGAAATCGAGGAGGAGATTGCCGACCTCGAAGCCACTGTCCCGCAACTCACCCCAGACTACAAGATTCTAGACAGACTGGGAACGGGCACGTTCTCCTCCGTCTACAAAGCCATTGACCTCGGATATCATGACAGGTGGGACAACGCACCATGGCAGCGCTGCCATCCACCCTCATCGTCTGAATCCTACCAAACGGCTCCCCGGCCTTGGGGAAGCAAAGTCTTCGTCGCCGTGAAACGCATATATGTCACTAGCGGACCCGAAAGGATACGCAACGAGATCTCTATCATGGAGGACTGTAGAGGGTGCCGCCATGTCTCGCAGCTGATCACTGCTTTCCGGCAGCATGACCAGGTCGTCGCTATTATGCCCTACCACCGGAACATCGACTTCAGAGTGAGTGACCTTTCTTCGGCTTCGAATCATTGAGACGTGCGGCAGTATGTCTGATCATGATCTATTACCCTGCTAGGAATACTATCGCATTCTGCCCATGGAGGGTATCAAGGCGTATTTTCGATGTATGTTCCGAGCATTGCGCGACGTTCACGCGCGAGGGATCATCCACCGTGACGTGAAACCGGCCAATTTCCTTTTCGATCCCCGTACCGGTATCGGCACCCTGTGCGACTTCGGACTAGCTTGTGTGAGTGGCTCCGCCCGTGCCTTGGTGAATAACGACTTTCGGGTCAGCCAGAACGCTCCCGACGGCTCATGCTGACAATGAACACTCTAAAATTTACAGCGGGTGGAAAACGGGCCCACGCTAGGTGCCTGTCTCCATACGCGTCCGACGCCTGACTTCCCGCATGGACGGATACGGCCCCGCGGGGAGTTTGACGTAGATCACGTCAAGCGCATGCAGAAGGAGGGACGGCTAAAGAGTTCCTTGCCCTCAGAACGCGTTGGGTACCCGGAGAAGGATACGAGGTAGGCCGTCATAGTATCGTCGCGCGCGTACTCCTTCGTTTACGCCAGTCAAGACCTGTCTCTAAAGCAAACAGAGCCGGTACTAGAGGCTTCCGTGCACCGGAAGTCCTCTTCAAATGCGGCGTGCAGACGGGAGGTCGGTATTCAGCGCATGACTTCAGGCACACTTACGCTGATGGTTCTTTTCTCGCGTACGGCTCAATGACTTGCTACTCGCACAGCCATCGATGTCTGGTCAGCGGGGATGATCCTGCTCTTCTTCCTCACGAGGAAGTTCCCATTGCTCCACTCTAGCGATGACATAGAGGCCCTCATGGAAGTCGCCACCATCATCGGGAAGAAGAGGATGGAGAAGACAGCCACTCTGCACAGTAAGAATATCCGCTCCATGACCGAAGTTCCGACTTACCAACATCTCTCAGGCCGCGTATTCCAAACGAACGTACCTTCGATATCGCCTGAAGGGATGACCTGGCGTGAATTCGTCGAGCAGCAAAATCCTAACCTCCGGACGCCACCAGAGCCGGATCCTCGCTTCTATCCCCACGCCAGTTCTTCGCGGAGCCAAGCAGGTCCACCGCCCTCATCCTCGTCCCCACCGCGGTACTCACCATCGCGGTCGTCTTCTCCTGCTCCACCGCCAGCGATAGATGCAGAAGCATACGCGGCGGACGTCGAGAAGGCGCTCGACTTCGTCGAACGGGTAATGCACCCCGAATCAACGCAACGCATGAACCCGAGACAGGCGCTCGCACATCCTTTCTTGCACGACCCAGATGAACCCGACGACGACGAATTCTTTCCACATCCGTTCGGGGAAGGCGTCTGCGGCGAGCTGCATTTCTTCGATGAGGAGACAGACGAACTCTGCGTCCGCGTTCGGGTTCCCGGGGAGAATCACTTCGTAGCGAGGAGCGTACTCGCTGGCGAAGGTACTGCGATAGGCAATCAGCCGTGCGAGTTTCATAGAGAGGAGGATGGGTATGTGTTTCTAAGTTAATGATGCGGATGCATACAGGACATGGGATCGGATAAGTGATGGGACCATTCAAGCAAACCGTAATGCATTGTCATGTATCTACCACAGATTTTGTATTCCTTCAACACTCAAGTAGTCACTGGCCGTAAAGTGGAGGCCTTTTGCACTGGAGATGTGCAAAACAAAACATCTCTTCATGTCGAAGATCAAAATAATGACCACCGCAGGACTCGAACCTGCAACCTTTTGGTACCGTTGGCGATCGAAGCCAAACGCGCTACCATTGCGCCAGGTAGCCATAGGCAGATACCGTATACGTAATTATCTATTGTAGACGTCACTAGGTAGCCTCACGACAAATAGTCATCGCGGCAGCCGCGAACACACTAGTACTGTGTATGCGAGGGCCTTGCGAGGGCCAGTTGCACGAAAGTCGAGAGCGGCTATTTGGTCCAGTCTTCATGCTGCCGATGAGAGTTACAGCACCGGTGGGGATATTAATTGGGTGTGGGAGGAATCAGACACAGACGGACAAAGTGCAAGCGCGGTACCGGGTACTCACGTACGTTGCACATGCGCTGAGTTGAATTGCCAACTCGACTTCAAGAAAGGTTCTGAACGATCAGAAGGACCCGCCCCGTATGCGCCCTGATGTAGTTGCTTGATGGTGTCAATGGAATTATGCCGTATGCATGAGCACTATCTCTTCGCTTCCTAAAGAAGAGACGGAGATTGCTCTTGACAATTGTAATTTACTTGAGTCGACTCTCGCCGCAGTGGACAGGTACAGGACTCACCAAAGGTCTGAGCGCGAGGTGGGGCTTGTATGAGCGACGTGTAGCTTAAATTTTGCTCGCGCCTGGTTTGCTCCAACCGGTACAGCCATGAAGCAATTCCATCCAGGGAGTCGAATGCGTCTAGGGAGATCGATCAAGATCTGGGTGTTACAGGTGACGATCCGCACACTCGGTAGTTCCCTGCTATTATCGTCTATGAGAACGTCGAAGGCCCATCACCCAAGTGGCAGAGCGTGAGGATTTTCGCGACGCTTTCGTCCTGTCTACGACACTTTAGCTGAGCAAACTGCGCACAGAGATGCTGATTCCACAGTCGTCGTACCTGACATGCCGGCAGGAAGACTCGAAGCATCTGAAAGATTCTTCTCCGGGCTTGTCCCTACTGCGATTGGCGGCGGTAGGATGCTGCTCCAGCTGTGGATTAGCACTGTCCGTTCTCAGATACCGTTACCTTGCATTGCCTCTGGGTCTTTCTCCATTGTCTAAAGTCCAAGAGGGGATTGGACCCACCCGTCAAGCCCATTAATCTCCACAGCGATCGAGCTGTCATGCGCAACAACCGACCTCAGGCTGTGGTCTAGAGTCCTTGACTGCACGATGATTGCTGGGCCAAGTCCGACACTACCGCATGGCAGTCAGAGCTACCACCGAGCTTCTCTTCTTGACCGCTGTGTGGGAAGGCAGCGTGAGTCGCCACCAGCACGACAGACAAGATTCTCATACTCACTCTCACCGGATAAAGTAATGCACCCGTCCCATACCCCTGCTCGCCCGCGCATTATGGGGCGCCAGCCCGTCTTCCCAGCCTCCGTGCGAGCCTGAATAATCACTAGATACCCCGCGCCACCCCATTTACACGAAACCAGACCATGGCTTGGCGGGTGTATGAGGGTATAAGAACCGGGTGCTTCTTCCCTGGTTTCTTTCCCGCAGACCGCACGCCCCCTCCCTTACCGTCCTCTGAATCCTAGTTCCCAGTGCGGATACCTAGCCAACAATGTCTGACACAGAGAAATCAGGAAAGTCGGAGAACGTCACGGTGCTCACCAGGAGCGAGAGCCGGGGCAACATCAACTACTTCGGGGAGTCCCTGGATCCTGTCCCGCCGCGCCCGCTGGGCGAGGGGCAGCCTCCCCCGCCTGTGGTGCACCAGTATGGTAACCCCGTAAGTTGATCGACAATGTCTGCTCGGTTCTGTGATGGTCCTGAATCCGGTCTTTGCCCAGACGCCCCTTGGAATGTTGGCCTATGGGACCGTCTTCCTGTGTTCATCCCTGCTCACCCTGGGCGCGGGCGGTGTGACAACGGCCAACCTTGTTTTGGTCTTCGCGATGTTGTAAGTGGCCCAAAGCGCCAGATCACCTCTGGAACTCTTTGTGATAGAGTTCCGTAGCTACGGCGGTATCTCGCAGACGTTGGTCGGCATGTGGGAGTTCTACCTCGGGTAAGCCTCATCAGCATTCAACATCAAGGCTATACTGACAAAGATGACAGCCACACCTTCGCAGCGTGAGTCGATGTCAACGAGCGCGGATGATGTGGTGGACACTGAGTGATGCGGTATACAGGACTGTCTTCACGACCTACGGGGGCTTCAACTTCAGTTACGGTGCGCTCTACCTGCCACAAATCGGACTCGCGTGAGCACCGCGCGGTGACAGCAATCTTACCGGTACTGACTTGTAACATAGGGCGGCATATTCGGTCGACGGTGTGCCTACGAAGGAGTTCACGCACGCTATTGGTATCTATCTGGCCATCTGGTGGTGAGTCCACTGGTGTAGTTCACGATATGGAAAACGACACTCAACTGTTTTTGTCTCAGCCTTATTACTGGCGTGTTCCTGTAAGCGCATTCTACGATAGAGCAAGACAAGTCGCTCATTGTTGAATACAGGATTGGCGCTCTCCGCACGACGGCCCCGATCGTCTGGACGCTTGGGATGACGGTGATCGCGCTCGCTTGCCTGTCATCCAACTCCTTCAACCGTGAGTTCATATCCCGATATTTGCTCGTGCCAGCAACTGAAAATCATCGGCAGCGAACCCGCACGTCAACATTGCGGGCGGTGCGTTTGGCCTCGCTGCTACCGCAGGAGCGTACTACGGCGCGCTGTCCGGTTTCTACACGCGTGCGTCGACATTCGAGCAGATCTACGTACCGCCAGTCGTGCTCGCGTACTCCGACCCGCAGAGCGCATAAGATCAGGCCGGCCCCGTTGGTCGTCAAACATACCACATAGAGTTTTGAAATTTCTGTCTTTACCCGCTCTGCGTGTCCTACGACCGTGACGTCCATGTCAGTGTAGGGTAGAGGTACAGACCAGGAGATCCATGCCACGGCCGTATTTCGAGCAGCTCGAAACGCCGTGGTTCTTCCGAGTCTGATGTCATACTATCCCGCATTCATGTCCACTCTGCAATGTATTATTTCTGCATCCGCACGAAGAAGATACCGAGTGAAACTGCGCAGTCATTGAATGCAGCTATACCGATGGGCGTGGCAAGTTTCTCGAAGTGAAGGGCAGATGACCGTAGGACAACTTGCTCGACGATAGAAGTGGTCTGAAACGCTGCAGATCGTAGCTTGTCTCCGTTGAAGGAAGTGGTGCAGTCTTCTCGCCCTCAAGTTCTACACGTGTGCAGGGCACCGAAACCACACACGATCAATATGCCGGTGGCTGTCCGTTGTACCCTGCCAATCGATTGGACAAACTCAGACCACAGCGATGAAAGGAGGCCGGACTCACCAGGACATTCTTGTACTACAAGACGGCGAGGAACAACACGCTGAGCCAACGCTGAGCCCTTGACATCCGCGACATGACGGTTATGTTCTCACGGCACACGGCCTCTCCTATATGTAAACGCGATCATGATGGTCTGTCGCGGATATGATTCCATCAAATACGACCCCACCGTGCAGAGCTGTGTTACTGTAGTACCCACCCACTCCCACCTTGAGCCAGAGAGACACTGCGACTTCTCGACATAGCTGACGAGCAGGACTTACGAACCAAACAAGATGGCGCTGAACTACGCGATGTTGAGCCCAGCGCGGGCCCCCATCCCGCTCCCGAACGAGCTGACGATCAAGGAGGTCAACGGTGGCGTCGAACTCTCGCTCACCATCCCAGATGCGCCGCCGACGGGTGCGTCGAGCGCAGGAGGGTCGGGCGGTGCGAAGAAGATGAAGGACGTGGGCAAGCTGTGGCTGACGGACCAGCGGGTGCGTGCATCCCACTCTCGCTTACCGTCGCCACAGCAATACATGTACTGATTCCGGGCCCGCTGTTCTTTCCCCACCCCATCGCCATCCTCGTCTTCTCTGTCGGATCTCGATTCACACAGCTCGTCTTCGTGTCCGACAATGGAAGCAAGTCCGGCCTCGACTCGCTCTCCGTGCCCCTCCTCTCCCTCCTCTCCACAAAGTTCGAGCAGCCCTATTTTGGCTCGAACTTCCTCACCATCGACCTCAAACCCTCGCCGGAAGGCAGGCTGACTGACGGAACGAAGGCGGAGATTCGGTTGAAGGACAAGGGTCTGTTTGAGTTTGTTAGCGCGCTTGAGAAGACGCGAGAGCGGGCGATCTACATGAAGAGACAGACGGCGGAGGAAGACGAGCTACGTGCGTGCTTGCTTGATCGCCACCACTCCTACGACTAACCTTCTGTGCTTCTGGTAGCTACTTACACGCCGGCCGAAGCTGGTTCCTCGTCGTACGCCTCGAGGATACCGGATGATGCCCCTCCTGGGTACGATGACTAGATAGAAGTCTCGCCACCCTCATGGCTGCTACACATCGCTACGAATGGTTCGAATGGATGTAACGCTATCTGTACGAGGACTCACCCGTTGTATAATCATATCCTTGTGTTGATATCTCATTCAAATACGTGGTCGGTTCGCTAACCAGCTGTAAGCACTGATACAGAGTAACAAACAGATTAGACAAGAATCAACATGTCGCCCTCCCTACGCCCCCGAAAATTCCTCCCGGATGTTGCACCATATTCACCGCAGCCGCATGCAACTCCTCGAGCGCCGTCCCCGTCGCATCCTCCCATAACCACGATCGTTCCCCTCCCGCATCGTCGAATGCACACACACGTCCGTCGTTACGCCACACACAATCAACATTCGCACCTCCTTCACCTTCAGCAGTAGCTCAAAGTCCGTATACGCAAACGCCGACCGCCCGGGTTTGTCAACAATCGGCTCCCCCTCGAGCGGGTTCAGCTCCGGGATGATATCGTGTCCGCGCTCGCCACGCACGAGCAGCCTGCCCATCGGACCAGCATCGCCTATGCCCATCCCGGAAGACGTGTTGCGCGATCGGTACAGCTCGCGCGGCGAGAGCGTGGACAGGTCGGGCGGTGCCCCTCGCGCGTGTGGTACACGGGGTAGCCGTGCTTCCGGAAGGCCGCGAGGAGGCGTGCGATGTTGGGGATGGCCGCTTTCGTGCCTGCGGGGAGTAACCTAGGTGGGCGAGGTAGCCTTCTTCGGAGCAGACTGTGAGAAGCGGCGGTCAGTGGGTGCATGCGATGCTCGTTTGTCGTCTCAAAGAGTTGACTGACAATCCATCTGCATGTCTATGACTACTAGGGCTGTCGACTTGGGGGACAGTAGTCCATCGTGAGGCCAGTCATACGGTTGCGCAGATACTCTGCAGAGGCCGGTCGTCTGGCGTGACATGAATATGGAGGAGCTTTTGTGAGTACTAGAATATAATTTTTGACTGATGAACCCGTCGAAGCTGTGCGCTGCTGGCCTTCGGGAGCTTCATCGCACTGAAGGCGGATTGCAAGGCGTTCCGAGAAAACCGGAAAGACACTCGGTGCTCAGGCTTGCCTGGTGGCATCGGACTACGCATCGGGCTTTGTGCGCAATAAACGCGATACTGTATGTATGAGAACACGAGCAATACGATCCATGAAATCATTCGTTGTTCTGCATTCTACACATGTGATGCGACCCTCCGCCACAACTATCTTACCTACGATGGGGACCATGTCTGCCCAACACGCTGGCCATCTGCGTTCGATCTCTATAATTAGAGGCTGAGATGCTTCCGCCCAGGACCAACAGTACTAGTAGGAAGAACAAGATTTGATTTGATCTGGGCCGCAGATATGCAAGGCCGACTACGGAGTCGACATGAGCCATAGACTAGAAGGCATAGTTCTCACTCTCCGACTTCATCGTACGCCTCATCATACTCCTCTTCCTCCCGCTCCTCTTCCTCCCACTCCTCCTCTTCCGAGTCACTCGTCCTGCCCCTAAGTCGTTTCGAAGGACCGGTCCTCTCCAGATCAGTCGATTCCAAGTCGTCCAACGTCCGTTTCAAGCCCGTCACGGTGGGATGCGCGCTCGATCGCTCGAAACCACGCCGATAGTGCACGACAATCGTACTGAACTCAGGACCTTGGAATTGATCTGCTGTGCCGACGACATCTTTCCAATACGCCAGGGGCTGCTGAAGCGCTTTGATGAAACAGTAGTACATCAAGTTGTGATCCGCGAGCCTCGCAGATGCCTTCACTGAGGGTGCCTGCCAGTGTGTTATTTCATCCTTTATGCCGACTGGCAAAGGCTTATCTGGCATGTCCGTCATCGGCTCCAGTAGCTCTTCATCTTGCTCCGGCAGAGCCTTGGGGAGAGGGTCGACGGCTTCGTAGTGTTGTTGACACATCAAAGCAAGTTTGGCGAGGAGCACGGCCAGAGGCGAGTTCGGATCTGGGAGTTTGACGGACGGAGACCGAGATGCGAATACTCTTGTTTCAAGTAACCGCCAATCTTCTCTTGGTGTTTGTCGCCAATCCGGACACCTTGGTGTTCATACATATGCAGGACGTGCATCCTCAGAGCGTCGGGGTACAAAGTCAATTGTGCTTCACGAAGCGAAGACACATCCAGTTAAGGACATGTATGACGGATTCCAGATCGTCTGCGACTTCGTGTACCTTCCCGGGGTCCTGCAGAAGCCTAGCAGACATATATCGCCACGTACCCTAAAACCGGTCAGCTCGAGGTTGCACCCTGTCGTGTACCCGACTCACCGTACGATCCGGGCGTGACGCAGTATCATCTTTAATAAGTTTGCACATTTCCCAATCGTTCAGGATACCGACGACTCGCTCAATACCTTCCATGTCGATGAAGCGGAGTATGAGGATGTTCGCAGGACTTATGTCTCCGTGCAGGCAACGCTCCAACTCCCAGGCCTGTTTGTGTGCTGGGCCAAAGCACGATGAGTATCGCCTCGTTAACAAAGCGACGAGCACAGTACCTTGAAGCGCTTCAAATATACATTTGACGAGCTCCCGTGGAGAACTGTGGCTCTCCAGTGGCTCACAGATCTCCTTCACCACGAGACGATAGTGTTCTTGTGTAGGCCACCGGCACGTCGTATTCTGATCCCAGGTTGCCAGCATTGCGCTGACGTCTCCTGTGCGGTACCCGCGTCATTCTTCACAAGCCGGCGGCGATAGGCGTTGGCACATATTGCACACCACTCCTTCTGAGCATCGTCAGCACGTTGCCCTCACGCAACGAGTCCTCCACCCGAGGGCGCCAGCAGTCCTTCAAGAAGACCAGTCGCTTCCGAGACACGTCGTAGGCGATGTAGCCTTTCGTACCGCGCCCGATAGGGGAATCGGTCGCGAAGTATGGCTTGCCTACAATGAAGGAAGCGCCATCACTCGCCGGCGGATTCGTGTCCTCCGGCTCTGGACTCGACCAGTCGGTGAGCGGCTGCAGGTCCCGCTGGTCAATAAGGTCCTCAGTCCGCATCTTGATCTTGTACACGGGCCATCCACTGGCAGCCTGATCGAGCGCAGCATGACGATGTTCGTTGACCCACTCGTTCGGCGCGCCACAATCCCACATGGCGTCGATCTCGTCTTGTGTCGCTCGCACGACAGTCGGGTCAAAGCCACGCCGCTCTTGATCCATGCACGCGTAGCGCCAGATGACCTTGTGAAGCGGCGACGGGTCCTCTTTGAAGTCGATCAACGCAGAGACGGTGGTGCCGGCTCGGTCCCACCGAGTGACCCAAGCCTGACCGTTGAACACTAGCAGTGTGAAGAGATGCAGTCGTTGTTGTCGCTTGAAGATCTTCCCGACACATTCCGCCATCCGCTCCAGCGACTCGGGATTACCCACTTTGGGACCAGAGAGAGCATTCTCGTCTGGCTCCACATCGTCGCTGGCGTTGGTCGCCTGCCCCTTGCCTGTGTCCGCGGCCGTGGGCTGATCAGAGTCGTCACGGTATTCGTCGTAGTCGCTTCCGTCCGCAGGATTTTCTCCGTCGTCGCTCTCCTGGTCGTTGTCCCTATCGGCAAACCTGGAGGCACACTGATGGGTCGAAGTCGTCCTGATCTCCACAAACAATGATATCCAGGCCCAGCGACTAGAAGTGCGGAAGTCCTTGCCCGGCGTAGACGCGTGGTCGGCCCTAGCATCGACGTGCGCGGCCGGGTAGAAAGACACGTCCGAGTCGACTCGGTGCTGTGCCGCGTCACTGTTGCGATCGCTCGAGTCTGGGCTATCGCGCAAGTTACTCGCAGTCAACTTCTCCCCGTGAGGACAGCTATCGAAGATCGCCAGCGCGACTCTGCACTGTTTACAAAGCTAAACAACTGCCTCGCCTGGACTGGACACAGGGAGATCACGTACAAGCTCAACCTGTGCGAGATCCTTCGATTTCCCGAGTTCCGCCTTGCAGTCCGAAAAGGTAGGGATCTCAAGCTCAGACGGGAGGTCAGGACCAGGCATATAAAGTTCCATGAAATGGTCAAAGTCCATTTCGACCGGCTTTGACCGCATTCTTTCAGCGTAAATTGATTTCGGACTAGTCACCGAGGCAGCAAACCGAGGAGTAGAATAAATCGATGTGTTCTGTACCACGGTGATGGGCGAGCGGATGTCGATGATGACGCGTCTGGCACAAGCTGAGGCGGCCACAGCCCACGAACGAGCGGCCTGCTCGCCACTGGGAGATCTCCGATCTGTGCAGCCACAGCGCGATCGGGGAACGAGATCTTGAGAGCTGTCATGAGCTTTTTTCTGTCTTTTGGAGGCTACATAACTTGCTTTAAGGTATCCGGCAGACGACAATGGGCTGTCCACAAATTCCGCGGGGAGGAGGAAAGTGCCCTGCACGATGGACATGCCGCATAAGTAATTCGGTGCTGTTTACATAATCTGAAGCCCCCAGCGAGAGAGATAATAAAGTAGGTGAGCCACATCGTGAGCGAGGATTGCAGCCTCGTCAAGTCTTCACGACAACGAAGTCGCTGTCAACGTCTCAACGTCGGTGAAGAGGATGGTCGGGTCCGCCCGACGCGAATCTGATCCGCCTGCAGCAGGATCTAGATTCGATCGCTCACGAAGCGCGGACGCGACACACGTGACCACACATCTTTCTTTCGAGCACTTGCTGCAGCCAGTACTAGGCTGAGTACACGCTGCCCGCCCGTCCAGCTGCAACGGTAAGTCCTGTGAATCTGTACATCGTAACCCCCGGAAAGCTCATGACATGCCAATCTACCAGTCCTTCCCTCCTGTCTACACAGGCGAACGACAGACATGTCCGCAAACCCGCCACCGCTCCCCAAGTCAGTCGGGGGCTTCACGCCCATCCCCATCGCCTACTCCCCCACCGCGACGCACATCCTCTACGCCCGCGCGCACTCCAACCCTAAATCTACCAAGCCGAGCGCAAAGCAAAACGACAAGGGGAAGGAGAAGGAAGCGGTCTACCCCGAGGGCCGCACGCTCTTCCTCGTCAACCTGCCCCCGGATGCAACGGAGCGCGAGCTGACACTCTTCTTCAAGGCGGCGGGGACGGTCGAGCGAGTTGTGTTCGATGCGGATAGGGAGGCGCTCGCAGGCGAGGACGATCTCGGAGATGTCAGCGACAGCGAAGAGGAGGATGAAGAAGGAGATAGGGAAGGTGCAGAGGAGGCTGCAGACGCGCCCGCCGAGCGGCCCCGCAAAAAGAGGAAAACAGGCAAGCAAGATGCGCCGCCCGAAGCCACACCGCTCCCCGCGCCCGCCCTGCGCACCCTGCGCCGCACAGGCCGCTCCGCCCACCTCGTCTTCCTCGACGCCTCCTCCCTCTCCCGCGCCCTCTCCCTCGCGGCCTCCACCAGCTCAACACCCAAATCAACCTCAAAACCTCGCCCCTGGCCCACAGACGACTCCGCCCCGCTCGGCCTCGCCCACTACCTCGCCGCGCACACCGCCGCGCGCGCGCCCCTCGACGCCGTGCGCGCGCACGCGGACACCTACATGGCGCGCTTCGAGTGGGCGCAGGCGCGTGCGCGGCGCGCGAGCAAGTACCGTATGGGCGAGGCGGTCGTGGACGAGGACGGGTTCACGCTCGTTACGCGCGGAGGCGCGTACGGGAAGACGCTCGGCGGCGGCGTCGCCGTCGCGAGCAAGCAGTTCCAGGCGGAGACGGGGGGAGGGAAGACTGGTGCGGGGGGGAAGCGCCATCGGAAGAAGAAGCCGGAGACGAAGGAGAAGGAGGGGTTCTACGCGTTCCAGGCGCACGAGAGGAAGAGGAAAGGTGCGTGGTGGTGTCGGGGCTGGGGACTCGGTCCGCTGACGGTTCTGTGTAGAGCTGATGGATCTGAAGTCGAAGTGGGAGGAGGACAAGGCGAAGGTGGAGAAGCTGAAGCAGTCTCGACGGTTCAAGCCGTATTGAAGTGTGCTGGCTATGTATACTCTTGGTTCACTATCGGGTTCTCTGGTGCCCATCATGGTCACCATCCCATGTTGCACCTGTCATTGACTCCTGCAAGTACAGTTAGCACATTTGAACGCTTGCTGCAAGTAGAGCACGCGGTCATGGAAGTCATTTACACAGGAAAGCGAACTAAGTCCGAAGTACAGGACAAAGACAATCCGTAGCCTCGTCGGGATGGCACCGAAGCTTCAAGGCTGTGTAAGTCCTACCAGTTCTTATGAGTTGCCGTGCTCATGCAGAATGCAAGCTTGAGACACCTTTCAAAATTGCGCTCTCTCGACGGCGATGCATGTATTAGCTCATATTCGGACGACACTGGCCACTGGCATGACTGTGAACCCCTAGGCAATCCTGGGCTGGCGTACTGCATGAGGCCACTAGCCCCGAGAGTTGCTATGCGTACTCGGGTTTTGTACAGCATCGTGATCAGGACGGCGGTATGTATGACCGTGCAGGCATCCTGGATCCAAGGACAACCGGTCACAGGTGGGGCTGCGGTACTTAGAGGCAGGGGTCAGCACAGTCTTGTGGTATCAATTCAGCCGCATTCCGCGCTCCCTCGGAGTTCCTCGCGACGAATCACGATCGTTACAACTGTGGACATCCTTTGGAGTGCCGAGGTCACTCAGGTGAGCGTTCCAGCTGAACGTGCAGAACGCTGAGTGCGAGAGCAGCGGCCGTGTCAGGTGCCGTCCGCAGCGAACGTGACGATCGCCAGCCTGAATGCGCCGGGCGGATCGGCGATCAGACGCTGGAAGTGATCGAGGAGGGGGAGGAGACCGCAGCGCCCGCCACCGACGCGGCCACATAGAAGCTTGACTGGCCCGCGCGGTCTCACTGTTCGCGGACAAGACTTCGCCGGTCGCCTGTGCAGTCTCCTGGGCCGATTGTGGCCTCTGTGGTCTGCATTTGCAAACCGGTGGCTCACACACATTGGGTGGCCGCTATGCGTCCGTGCGCACATATATGTACATGCCAGTCACCCCTCGTCGACGTGCGCTCGAACCGGCCTGGCATCCCCCCTTTCAACGCACGACGCACGGCCATCTCGGACATGGCGAGGACGCTGCGCATCTGACGCCGTGTGGGTTAGTCGTTCTGCTCGCGCCGCTCCACTTACTTCCGCGCCCCGATTCAGACGACCCGCGCCCCCTGTGCGCGGGGCCAGTGTATAATCTAGCGGGTCCCCGTTGTTTGCTTTGCTTCCACCCTCCTTACCTTCCGCTTCCCCCGATTGTCGGACCCGCAGCTATGCACGAGAAACCGGCCAGACTGTCGCGCTCAAAGCCTGCTGGCCTTCCTGTCACCAAAGTATGGAATGGCATTGTGCGGGCATGTAGTAGGAGCGACGGCCTGCCTTCGTTGGGGATGGTGCTGTCAGGGGATACGTGCTACCCCGTCAGGTTGGTCCCTTTTTCAGTCTGTGTCCAGCGCGCTGCGTACGGCTTCTTCTTCCGTCTCCTCGGTGCCTGTCCGACTCTCGGACACTTCTTTGTTGTGTGGTTTCCTTGATGCGATGTGCCATTCGCCGATCGCTGAGATTCCTGTTTTGCCGGACACCAGACTGACGGGTTCCATTCCAGCCTGCAGAACTTCGAGGCGTACCTCATCCACAAGGCACGTTGCACATCCACCGCCATCCATGCCCGCCAGCAGCACTGACACATCCCCTTCAGGAATACTCGGTGGAGATGCTGCAGTTCGTGGTCTGGTTCCAGGACTACCGCCGGCGCTTCCTCGCGCTCCCCGCCGCGGTGCAAGCAGCGTCCCCCGGCCGCTCGCACTTTTCGTTCGCCCTGCCGAATCCCGCACGCACAGCGGAGCGCGTCAGGCTCAGCAAGGCCCGCGCCGACGCTGTCCAGTACACCGGCGGCGATTCCCTCTGGGGCAGCGCGCCCTCCTCCCCCGCATCCTCCTACAAGCGCGTACAGCTTGCCCCAGTCGACACCGCCCTGGCGCGGTGTGACTCCATTCCCTCGCCGCGCTCGCTCTCGACGCCCAACTCTCCATTATCGTCACAGCCTTCCACCAGCTACCCTCCAGACCTCGTGCAGCCTTGCGATCAGCCATTCCGGGACGAGTGCACGCGCATCGTCGCGACCTTCCTCAGACCAGACGCAGCGAAGGAGCTCCCGCTCGACCCCGCCGTCCGCGACACCGTCATCCGGGACCTCACCTGGAACACCCACCCGGACGTCGTGCGTACCCTCCGCCGCGCCCCGCCGCCGCACCACAGCTGACCCCCCGCACAGTTCCTCCCCGTCTACGAAGAGCTCTTCCACACCCTCGAGGCGGTCTCCCTCCCGCGCTTCCTCGCCGCCGCCTCCGCGAACATCAACCGGCCCACGCAGCTCCTCTGGTACGCCCTCGGCGCATTCGGCATCGCGCTCGGCGTCTTCCTCGCCGTCCTCCTCGTCTGCGTCGTCCACGTGCCCCCGCAGGCGAACCGCGCGTGGCGCCTGCTCGCGGTCGTCCCCACCGTGGTCGGGATGATGCAGATCTACGGCGGGTACAGGGGGTGAGTCTCATGCTGCTCGACTCCGTGCGTGCGAGGGAGGCTGACTCGGTTTCGGCGTGCAGGTTCTGCGGCCAGGTGTGGCGCCGCGGCGCGTCGCAGCTGCACGAGTGGGAGCTCGAGGAGATGGACGAGCAGACGGGCGCGCACTGGGACTCGCTCCTCACGCGCGCGCCGTCGCCCCCGCCGTCCGCCGCGCACGCGGACGACGCGAAGGTGGACGCACGGTGGAGCGAGCGACGGGGAGACACCGGCGAGCGTGCCGCCTCGTTCACCATCGCCCCCTTCACCTCACCCCAACTTCGCCCCGGGTCCGAGCGCAAGCCGACGTCTGGCGGGCACTCCAGGGCGCCCCGCACCTGCCCGCTGTCCCTGCTCAGGCCACCAAAACGCGCGTTCTCCCTGAGGTCCCGCTCCCACTCCACCGCCTCCACGCTCTCGAGCGACCCCGAGAAACAGCGCGTCGCCGCCTACCCCGGCAGGCGCGCCCCGTTCTTCGGGCCCGAGAAGGTCGTGCTCGACCCGCGCATCCGCGCGCTGCACCGCGCGGTCGTGCGGGAGGTGGTGTGTTTCGGCGTCGTCGCGATGTTAGTGAGTGCTTCGTGCGGTCTGTGTTAGCTCGTGAGGCTGACGGCGCGGCAGGTGCTCGCGGCGATCTTGTTGGCTGTGCCGGATAGGGGACGGTAGGGGAGACGGATGGGTTCGTAGTCGACGGGGCTTCGAGCCTGGAATATGGATGATGACCGGCCGGCCGGGGCGTGCTCGCGTCGACTGCGGCTTCGTTAGCACTCTTGCCTCTGCGGCAGAGGCTTCCGGCGCACGGCCTGGCGCAGGGAGATGGTCCTGCATGACAGCAATATGTAGCATATATGTATTTTGCTCACCACCCAGTGGACATTCTCGGACTGTATACTGTAGCAGTCTGAAACTCTTTGCTTGGACCCCGAGGAGGCATCGTGGACGTGATTCGCTCACCCCAAATGCGCCACTGTCAAGCGACCACATGGATAAGACTGAGGTCGAGGAGGCGCATCACAATACATCGTGAGCTATATTACAAGGATCGTAGCCAGTCCGGCAGAGGTATCGTAAAGCGAACCATAAGCAAGTCGTGTCGCAGGCGGAGGAATCGTGAGCGAGTACTACATATCGTACAACACCGAAGGAAGGGTAGCTCGAGGTGGCGCAGGAAGGGCGGTAGTAGTGAGGGAAACGTAGAAGGGGTGGTACAAGGCCTCGGCCTCGCCCGCGCAATCACATCGAAGCCACGCTGTTCAGCATACCCACCTGGCCCGCGGGCCCGATATCCTCCCCGATCTCGTCCCGAAGCCCGCTCCCGCCCGCCTGCGGCTGCCTTGCCATCTGGCCGACGACGTCGCTCTGGAGCTGCATCGGGACGAAGACGACCTTGCTGTTCGCGGTCTTCGCCATCGTCTGGAGCGCCTCGAGCTGGCGGATCTGCATCGCGGCGGGGCTCGCGAGGATGTCCGCGGCCTGGCGCATCAGCCGCGCGGCGTCGACCTCCGCGCGCGCGGCGATGACCTTGCTCTCGCCGATGCGCTTCTGCTGCGCCGCGCTCGAGAGCGACGCGGACACGTCTGCGGAGAAGACGATGTCCTTGATCAGGATGCCCTCGATCGCGACGCCCCACTTGTCCGCGACGTCCCCCACGATCTCCGCGATTTCGAACGCGATCGCCTCGCGCTCGGTCACGACGGACTGCACGGCGCGCGCGCCGACGACGTGCCGCAGCGTGGTTTGGGCGCGCTCGGAGAGCGCCTGCCGCAGGTCGGTGATCCCGAACGCGGCGCGGTAGGGGTTCGTGATCTGGAAGTACATCACGGAGTCGCTGGAGAAGGGAGGACGGAGGTGAGCACGTACGCGCGAGAGGGGACGGCGAGTGCTCACATTTCGACGTCGACGTTGTCGCGCGTGATGACCTTCTGCCTGCCGATGGAGGCAATCTGGATCTTCACGTCGACGACGCGCACGCCCTCCGTGCACGGGTTGACCTGCACCAGGCCGGGGTCGACCGACTTGTAGAACTTGCCGAACCGCGTGACGAGCCCGACGGACCCTGGGGGGCGGTGAGCATTTCTACGCCTGACAGGCAGAGGGGGGTGCGCACCTTGTGGGATGTTGCGGAAGGGGTTCGGGAGCGGGCAGCAGGGGATGGCGCCGCAGAACCCGACGCACGCCCCGAAGGCCTGCATCATCGAGCCGTAGAAGCCATGGTCGATCTCGCCTGTGCCGAGGTCTTGGGCGTACGAGGGCTATCCGACAGAGGTGAGTGGTGGTAGTGAAGCGACGTGTGCGGGAGGACGCACCTGCATCTCTGACCGCTTCAACGGCTGCACCTTGATGACATGAGCGTCGCCAGGCTTTCGGGGCACAGCAGTCGATGCTGGTTCGTCAGTCACTGACAATGGCCAGCGTCAGCATTCGGCGTCACTTTTGCACGCGACGATCGCGAACACTCCTTGCCAACCACTACCGACAGTGCAGCAGTCCTCTGGGTGGCCCGCAACGAATAAGGCAAATTGGGACCAACAGAGCGACTGCGAGTAGGACGCGTGTGTGTATTACTCACCGTTGGGAGCGTGGTGATCGACGACATTCCCATTCCCAGAGTGCTCACTGGGCTCCGCGCGGTATTTGATATCCTGGGACATTGTGCGTTGCCTTCTTGTGGATAGGGATGCGCACGAACTGTGAGACGGGTTCGGGATGAAGGTGGGAGGACGAGATACTAGCGGGCGCCCGGGTTTATAACAGGGTTCGAGATTGGGCGGAGTGGGGGCGTGCCAGTAGCGGAAGAGAGTAAGACGAGGCTATGAACTGGAGAAGGATGAGATGCAGCTGGCGACGGCACACACACGCTCACACAGCCTCCAGCGGTGTATTCTTGTCCACCCCGTCATGTGCGCCAGCCTCCATTGCCGTCGGCGGGCTTGCCTGCCAAGGGCCTCTCCGTTGAACTCTGACCGCAGCCCCGGAGCGGCGCGCACGCAGCGGCTGTCCGCAGGGCATCCGGATCTCTCGAGGGCCAGAAGACTGAGAGGCGGTCAGCTGCGAGGGTACCGCGGCGAGCGCTTGGGTGGCTGGAGGAGGCGAGGAAGAGCAAAGCTGTCTGAGGGAGGTCGCTGCCACTCTGATCATCTCATCGACCACGACACGGCGCACAGCACTCGGCGGCAGCGCTGCTTTGCTATTGGTACAAGTGCTAGCTCCGAATCCTCTGCAGGTACATGCGCCTTCGTTCACCCGGGCTATCAGACGACTGCACTGCGCACAAGTCACTTATTTTGACACGCCCCGTTGCGCTCCAGGTACGTCTTGTGTCAATGTTTGCGTAGTGCATACATTTCCCCGACGCGTCAGAGCCCTGCTGCGCGTATTCAACTCGTCCTCGTGCACCGATGTCGACGGCGTAGAACCACAGCGAGTCCTCCGCCAATCGTCGCAGCAAGTCCGATCCTACGCGTCCCGACGAAGTGGACCCTCTTCCTACAGACCAACTCTCGGCACATTCCTCCGCTCGCTGTCATGGTCCAATAGTGCGGCATGTCATCGTCATCGTGAAGCGAGCATCCTGCTGCAAAGTCTCTGCAGATCATACGTCGGGCCTGTCGACTCGCCCGTCGTCAAAGCGACCTCATGTCCATATGACCTACTACCGCCTGCAATTGCTGGTCGTGCAGCGCTTGGGGTCCCACTGTCTGCACGCTGAACTTCCAAGTCATTTCCTCGCCCAGAACTTAGCGGTAGTCACATCGCGAGTGATCACAGCGTGGCACCTCCGATGACCCCAGCCTTTCGCGACACATTGGCAAGTTTGAAATGCGTCCCTACATATCGAGAGTCGGTCTCTCCACGTCAAGCGCGTGAATTCCAACTTGGAGGACGAAGGTTTTGCAAGGTCGGGCGCGGAGCAGGCTAGAGTAGCGGACGACCCGTCTTTCTCGAACGAGTGCGAAAAGTCAAGACCAATGATAGTTGATCATTCTCAGGTGCAATGTTGACGCGTTGCGCGTACATCGCCCCGATGCCGCGGTGTCACGCTCGACGCCTCCTCGACGCCTCCTCTCCATGTACTCCCCATGTACCCGACTCCCGGATGAACGGTCAAGAACGGAGTGCGAGAGCGCCATGTTCGACTTCGAGCGCTGACCTGTTGTCCTCGAGGGGCCCTTGGCTTCAGTCCTGAGAGCAACACCCTGATTCAGACCCGAGGCAGGCTGTCGTACGACTCCCGCCGGGCCCGCTCCGCACTCAAGGACATCAAGGCCTTCCGATGCTACATGACTCACTGTCGACTTCGACTTCGATGTGATGCAGGGCCCATTCAGACTCGTCTCTCAGAGCGCTGACTGCGCGTGTGCGTGCAGTCCCTGAGGCTTCGGCGTGCTAATACATACTCGGACATTCTCTCGAACCTTGAGCCCCTTCGTACTCTCTCTCGAAGTTGTGGTTGCGCGTTCTAACACCCAGCAAGGGTCCCCCTTCGAGCTCGTAGCGCTGGACCACAGTGCTATGTCCGGCCCCATCGACAGTACGTGGGTCCTGCGCGTCCCGACATGTGAGCGGTGCTCCAGTGTGCTGTGTGTCTGAGGAGCTAATCAGTTATGTCCTGTCAGTCTGTATGTATATCGCATGCACTGCGCTGCTGTCGCACATTCCCATAACTCCATGCAGTCCCAAATCAAACCTCTCGCGTAATTGTCAGGTGGGCAGCGAACCGCCAAAACAATCGTAGTTGCCTATGCGCTATACTCGTCCTTGTACATATTGATAGCGCCAGCACGGAGCGGCCGTCCCTGGATCTGTATGCCAATCGCATTTCTGACAGCAGTCTACATGATCAATGCATCGCACCATTCAGGTTAGCCTCGATCGAAGACCGTCAACGCGGCTTTAAGTTCGGAGTCTGTTTCGAACCTACTGTACAGGTGTCACGACACTCTCAGGCTGGGGGCACGATCGGGCCCATAGCCACTGCGGGTACACGACTACTTGGAATACATGGCAACCTGGAGCGGCAGTCGCGGGTTCATGCGGTCCTCGCCCACAGCGGGGTAAATCACCGGAGCTGGGACCCAGTGGATGTCCTTGTCGGAGGGCGTGAAGACGAAGCTCTGCAGCAGCGTAGCGAGCACGACCTCTGCAGACGACGTCAGCCTGAGCTTAGCGGCAGCCCCACGAGGTCGGTCCGCGAATACACTTACTGATTTCCATCTCGGCGAACTTGAACCCGCTACAATCGGGGATGAGATGTCACTTCTGCCAGCGAGCCCGAGTGGGGTACTCACATGCAAGCACGTTTTCCAGCGAGGAAAGTCATCCTAAGCGGGCCTCTGAGCTGCGGGCTACTCAGAACATTAACAGCTGTTTGACTTACATGTTCCCCACCACAGACGGTATCCCCGCCTCGGTCACGGACTCCGGGAGCGGCGACAACCAGCGCTCAGGCTTCCACTCCAGTGCATCTTCGCCCCAGAACGCCTGGCTTGTGTTGGAGCCCAGCGTGCCGATGACGGCTTCCGTGCCCTTCGGCACAGCGATCTCTGTGACCAGCTTGCCGTCCGTCCCGTGGATTGGTCTGGAGAGGGGTATGACAGTGTCGCGTACAGCTCTGCGAGACGGTTCAATGCGTGCAGATACTTAGGAAGACGTGGGACCCACGTTCTGCCTAACAAGATGATGGGAGGATACCTGCCAGACGCGTTACAGTGTTCAGACTGAATTACTGACATTTACAATGTCGGTAGATACTCACAGACGTAGAGTTTCCCGACAGACAGCGTCCAGATACGGCAGCTGCATAAGACGCTCGTAAGGCATGTCTTCGCCTTGAGAGGCCTCGATGATCTCCGCGCGTAGTTTTTGCTGGACGGCCGGATTCTCAGAGAGTATTTGCATGACTCGCGAAAGGCTGTTGGACGTAGTGTCCATCGCCGCCGCGACCAAGGTGCTTGAGTACACTCATCAGCATGTAGCAACTTTCCATGGCACGGAACAACTCACGACATCTGAGAAATCAGCTCGTACTCTGGGAGACTATCCTTCTCGGATGCGCTCATGTTGGCTTTCACTGCGGTGCCATGCTTCAGTAAGTACTGGGTTGGCATTGTAGAGTGTATTACTCACTGAGGATGCTCATGATGTCCTTGCCCCGTCCGATTTGCTCTGCGACGGCTGCGTCGCCCTGTTCCAACGCACGCTTCTTCATGTTGAAGATATCCTGCGACCTCTGTGCGATGTAGTCCGCGTTGTACTTCATCTCACGCGCGGTGGAGATCGGTACCATGCGGGCGAGCGTGCCCCGCAGACTAGGGGGGATAATTTCGCGCAGGTAGGGCAGCAGCAAGGGAAGCACCGTGAGTTTCGTCACGATCGGGCTGAGAATGGAGAAGGACATCAGCAGCCGTCCTGGCCAGATGAAATCGCGACTCACAACAGAAGTTTCAAGGCAATAGCGAGCGGATCCTTCGTGTCGTCTACGAGCTTGTCGAATGAATACCCGAGACCGCCTTGCCCGATGAGCTCCAGAGCTGTTCGCCCCATCCAACCTGCCATGTCCAATTCCTGTGGCTTATCCCTGACGCGCGCCTCGATAGCATCACGTAGCTAACGTCAAGTCAGTGAAGGTGTCACAAGTCAACAATCAACGCAACACACTTTCCGAATGGTGTCGTAGAAGATCGGCAGCATGGAGCGCAAGTGGGTGGTTGAGAAGACGGGATTTAGCATTCTGCGCTGCTTCTTGTGCTGGTCGCCTGACGATACCGCTGATCAGTAGACAAGTTGCGCAAAAGAGCAGACTGTTCTTACCAAGTGTCGACAGCAAACCGGGGCCAAACAAAGTTAGGTTAGTCCTGTTCAAACGTGTCAATACAGCCTTTCACCATGTGCGCGACGTAACTCACGCAGTGTAGGCTGGCGGTTCTTCCCAGATGCTCTCGTCTTTGATGAGGATCGTCTGGAGCGCTTTCGGGTCGAAGACGTACAGCATTGGCCTCTAACCGGGAAAGATTCAGCCATCTTGTCTGCAACCTTGAGAGGCATACGTACGTTGAAGAGACCGTGTAGTTTCACCACATGCCCGCCGTAATGGTCTATCAAGTCTCGCTGAAACTCTATACCTTCGGGACCACGGAACTGTCCCATGTTTCCTGACAACGGTGATATGACCCCATGGATTCTGTGATGTACAATCCCTTAGAGAATCGATATCGCACCTTTCACCGCAGACTGTGATGATGGGCCGGGTAGGTTGTCCAAGGAAGTTCTGATGAAGCGCCATTTGACGAGGTTGTATATGGCAAGGCTGAGGCCGTATACCAACAGGCATTGGATGAGGAATACTATAGCACCCATGGTGGTCGACTGTGCAGGGACCAGGGAGGTTCCTATGGATGCCACCGCGACCTGTCAGGGTTTATATACGATCATGGTAGTTTGCTTCCCAGTCCAGGCGCTTCGCAAGACATTCGCCGTTCTTTGATGACGCGCCGCCTCGGTACAGCGACATAATTCCACAACGTCAGCAACAAGAGGTTAGTCAGTGGCGACGCGCCGGGAAAAGCCTCCGTCTCGGAGAAGTGGGTCTGCGCGGTTACAGCGGTTGCATGAGTGATCAAACCATTCAAATGTATGACAAAATGGACATACCGATCACCGACAATTTCCTTGATCCAGGCTATCATGCACATGGGATGTCCCGTGGGTCTTCCACGTATACAGCTGATGGTGTAGCGATCGATTACCCCCGGGCGCCGTACACACCGCAATGCCTAAGGTTCGAGGCGACTTGCGCGACCAATAACCGCAACAGACGCCAGCGCTCGACCCTACAGTAAGTGAAGGGTCATCTTGGAAGAGCTTGGATAACCATCTATGTGCACAACACCCAAGGAGTGTAACGTTGCGAATGCTGTCGTTGTAGTCCCACGAGCATACGCTGAGGCACCGCGAGACATTGATCGCCCACCCTGCTAGCAGGTTGGGACGATCCACAATCAGCAGCACTGAAGCTTAAAGACTCTGTTATCAGGCCTTCAGCGTTCGCGCGACACAGTGACAGCCTGAGAATAAAATCGTCACGAACGACTCGTCAGACAACGCAAAGCCTATGTCCGGGCTTGCCAGTGAACGCACAAGTCAGCTAGAATGGCTGGAGTGTGCTTTCTACCTATTAGCAGCACGGGGGATACGAAACGCGATGCATTCCTGGGATGGAACCGTCGATTGGATCCCTGACTCACATTTGAAATTCAAGAAGTGAATGGGACCCTTGCATTTAGGCGGCTGGGGACCCGTGTTCGATGATACTGAGCTAGAGGGGAACGCCAACAGCACTTACATGGTATTCCGATGTCCGTTGTCTGTGTCCCAACCGCCCAAGTCACCAGACGATATTGCCCCAGACGACACTAATGGCTCAACTTGACGATGTACCGGTCCATGAATATCTGAATTGCCGACTCCTTTGACTGAGAATATCTGTCAGTGCTGACAGACAGTACTTCTAGTTAACGGAGTTGAGCCATTGCTTTCCAATCGGCCGAGACAAACAGAAAGCTACTCACATCTGGGACGACACAGCAGCCGAGCAATTCACATCTCCTGAGGCAACGCTCAATGTCTGCGCCATGCAGCGCACCATGCATGCGATGTAATTGCGTCTGAGCTGCATTCGATACTGACATCAGCACTCCACCGCAATTTGAAGTAGGTATATTCTCGCGCGTGGTCACTACCGTACTCACCACCGAATCCACGAATGATAGCGAGGTAGGTCTCCAATTCGACACCAGAGTCGCATCCGGGTCTATACGTATACATGACCATTGACCATATGGCTTTCGTGCCGTGGCAAGCGACGCTGAGGATGCTATCTAGCCCCACTCCACCAGAATCGGTGGTACGGCGTGTCGGTCGCGGCGTAGTCTCGCCTGGGCAGGTCATAGGCATTTGATCTTGTAAGGTGGGGGAGGGCAAGGGGTATCAGTGACCACTTGGGAGTTGGGACTGACACGAGTGGAACGGTCACATGCTCCGAGGCGAGCCGCGAGGAAGCGCGACTCTGTTGACTCTATTCCTTCGACCTTCGACGGTCGCTTCACCGTATAGATGCACAACCGTGTATCATGAGCAACGGAGTACACAAGTAGGACAAGCACCTGAAGACTATGGGGCGATCCTCCTCGTCCGAAATCAGACTACAGCGCTGGTTGAGAGCTGAGAGCAACTTGAACCCGCAGATTATTAAACTATCTGAGCCAGAGTTGACTTCAATTCCTCTGAATGAACGTTGACGGCGGGTATATACAGTGTGGTATACTAAGATCCGATGCGATAACTTACAAATACTAAGTGCGACGTGTGTGCGTGCGTGCGACGAGTGCAATAGTCCGATCCTAACGTACCAAGTAAGTAGTTCCCGTACGTGTACCAAAAAGCCTCTATAAGCAAACCTGGCTTCCCAGTCTAAGCCGCCGCCATCAGTAAGAGCATACAGTATCAGTACCTCCCCATAAGATCACCTATCCACACAGGCCCTTCTCCTCTTAGATCATCCGCTCAGTCTCCCTCTCCCGCCCCCAAGGCCGATGCATGAACTCCTCCCTCGGACTGCCCGCCATATACGTCGGGTCATCCGCCGACGGGTCCAGCGCCGCCGTCGCCCACGACGACAGGTTCACACTCTGAAATAGCCCTCTTGACGCCGGCGACGCAGCGCGGACAACGCCCACGGGACGGGGAGAAGCCATGCGAACCCCCGTTGGCGTCGCCCGCCCGCCTTCGTCCACTTGGCGCGCACCCATAGGCGTATCTGGCGGCGACGGGCCCGCTGCATCCGTGACGGTCGCCTGTGAATCCGAGGCAGGCGGCATTCCACCGAAGCGGAAGGTCTGCATTCGCCTGCTGAGCGCCTGCAGTACGGAGTTCCTGTCCTGCGGTGTGGACGGATCGCCGAACGCCTCACGGCGTGGGCTACCCTGCTGGTCCCGTTCCCCGCCATGGCTCAGGAAGGTGCTGTGGATGGACGAATCCGACATCCCTCGATGGATCGACGTGCGCTCGAGTAATGCACCCAGCGTGTCCTCCTCTTCTCTGCGGTCCTGATCAGCATCGATCATGGCGTCGACCGTTCGCGAGAGCCGGCTGCTCGCTCGCCGCAGCGTCGCGGACCGCCCAATCGTCCCAGCCCCTGTTGTATTTGCCATGCTAGGCATTGGCGTCCCCCGCTGCGCCTTGGGGATGACGATCCACGGGTCAGGGTTGTCCTCTGGACGCGGTGCACCGGCGAAGATGCCCATGAGGTTACGAGATGGGTTGGGTGCATCCTGCACAGGCTTGTTGAGTAGGTGTTGCATCGACAGAATGCTGATGCTATCCTCGCGCTCTGGATGTGCGGAGTAGGTACTGGTGACCGAACGTCCCACGACCGTGCCACTGAACTCGACGTTGACGTTCATCGCCGAAGCAGACAAAACTGCTTCCCGTTTAGGGACTATGCGTGACGGGACCCGACTAGGTGCGCGACCTCGAGCAGGTGGGGAGAGAGCACGGCTCGCGGCAGTCTCGCTGGGGTTTGCATTACCACCGGGAAGTCCAAGCAACTTCGAGATAGGCGCCATCCATCCGGAGGAAGCCTGGTTGTTGGACGTCTCCCCACCTCCAGGATTCTGTGCAACAGTCGCTTTGGATGGGTTCAGCGCCATCTCGCTAACCTTAACCGCTACCGACGGATCGAGGATCACGTCGTTCAGCGTCACCCGCATCTGGCCCATTTCCGAGAACATGTCCTTGAATAGCTTGAAGAGAGCGCGCAAGTCCCGCCGCGAACACGTCATCATCGCCTTCTCGTCCTCCAGGAATGCGCGGAAGTGCGAGCGGAGCGTCGTGGCTTCATGCAAGATGCTGCTCACGGTCGTGCGCGAAAGGTGGCTGACGTCGGCACCCAGGAGCCGCTGACGCTTGAGCCTGTTGGTCAGAGTGAGAGCATCTGCTTGGGTGAGCCTGTTCAGCAGCATGGTGACACGCTCCATGAGGATGCCAAGTGGACCTGATTGGCCGTCTGTCAGGGACGACGATTCAGATAGCCCGTCGTGCGACGACTGAGCGCTAGTTCGATCGCCGTATGTGGGAGGGATAGGTGAAGGTGCCAAGCTACCCGCTGGAGATCCATCTGTCTGCACACCGCGCGAACGGGTAAGGAGGAGTAGCGACTTCTGGGCACGGGTTCTTTCCGGGGACATTGGCAGGCCAACATGGCTCTCATCGTCCTCGTAGCTGTGATGAGAAGGGGTGTATCGGTGTCGAGCGAAGGAGGTCCATTTTGTCTCTGAAGGGATTAAAGAGTCTGTCGGAGACAATGGCCGGCGCTCTGTCTCAGGTGTCAATGGCTCCTGTGCAGTTATTAGCAGGCATCGGCAAGTGAGCGGGCAGCCACTTACAAAACCACGTCTGGATAACCGCTCTACACTAACGGGTCTCCGGCCCAGATTGCCTTGCCTATGCCAGGTATGTAACATAGACCCACTAGGTGCAGTGCCCACATGGAATGTCGCAGAGAGAGGGGATATTGGGTCAGGAAGATCTGACTGTCCGCTACTTGTGTATCGGTGTCGCAGATATGATGCATCGCCAGCTCGCCGCTCCTCCATCTCTTCCTGAAGAGTATGAAGGTCTTCGCGGGCTTCGGTAAGGAGGTTCTGCAATTCAGCGTTATCACGTTTGAGCGCTTCGTTGTCCGCGACCAGCGACTCGAGCACTTTCATGACCTCGGTGTCATCAGTCTTCACAGCGTGTCCTAGTTGCTACAAGAAACCTACGATGAAGCGGACGCTTGATCATAATGGCTTACTACTCACCGACTGTTGCAATTGCTCTAGGCGTCGCCGGGCATCTGCTAAGACATCTTCCGACATCTGCTGCCTGTGGTTCCGCTGCATCTCTAAGTCTTCGCGAAGACGAGTGACTTGTGCTTGAAGCTTAGCTGCGTACAGATTCGACATGGTTACCAATGAATCGATCGTGCTTCACTCACCACACTTCTCTTTCAGAGTACTGATGCGCGATTCAGCCAAACGAGCTCTCTGAGTCGCGCTGTCGCGTTCCTGTTGCATGTCGTCCTTCTCCTGCAACGCGACAGCCAGGCGATTCTCCCAGCCCACTGAACGCGCGTTCTGCGCAGTCAGACGGGACACGTTGCTACGGGCCTCCTGCAGTTCTTGCACAGCAGCTTTGTTAGAGGACTCCAAGACTTCGCTGTTCACGAGTGCTTGTGTGAGGCGCTGATGCCGTCTTTCAATATACGCATCAGAAACGTAACTCCACTCTCACCTTCTCTAGGACTGCATTCTACCGACAAGGGATGAGGGCTCATGAAGCACGAGGGGACTGTCCAGTACATACCTGCCTCACTAGATCAGCGACTCGTGCGTCGACCTGTTCCTCGCCGGATATTGTCTCGGTTAACTGGGCAGACGGTGCTACGGAAGCCGAGCTCTTCCATGACTAGTTACTCGGGAGCGCAGTAGTAGGTAGCACCATACACACCTCGCGACGGCGAAGGAAGGCTTCGTGCCTCTCGAGGAGAGCTTGCCCCACCTCTTTGAGTCATGTTAGTGGCATCAAGGCGGGGCAGACACTGGGGAGTCAACCGACCTGCACTGAGTACCAGCCGACTCTCCATCTTGGCCTTCCATGCTAACCATGACTTGCTCGTCTGGCAGTCCTCCTTTCCACAGCAGCAAATGGCAATATCTGGAGGCTCCGGAGACGATCCACGCGAGAAGTTGGTCAACGCCAGTGTCAGGTCGTCGATATTATGTGTTACGCGCTGGAAGCTAGAGGACATCGGCGAGTCAGGTGTGGGTGGGCGATGTAGGAGGGCCATTCTGTTTCGCTAGCGCAACGTGTTCTGGATGTGCCTATAAAGCACTGGCCCTCGTTGCAGACGGCTGTATGATGTGGGGACGCGGAGATGACACGACGACTCGGAGGTAGATGAGAGCCCAAGTCTGGCCTGAGAATGGTGTAGTGCAATGTGTGACTGCGAGCAGCCGCGTTTGGTATCGGCCCAGCGATGCCTCAGAGGAGCCTCATATAATATAGCTGCGTCCGTCCCGTCCAAAGTGGTCGACTGTGATGAGCCCGCTGTTCGCTTGGGAGATGCGGGTTGCTCTCCTCCGCCACTTTCGTGGTGCTCACCCCGAATAGGCATTTCACGTGGCGGAGGCGGTCAGTTCAGGATTTCAGTACCTCCGAGTCCACAGACACCGTCTTCACGAGAGATGTGCCGTATGTGTTCTTTCGAACATCTTGACGATTGATACGACACTAGCGAATAAGACCGAGTGTCCACACATTTGTGACCGAGAGAAGGGAATTCATTCCAACAACTATGCACGACAGCAGACAGGTGCTGGAAAGCAAAGTATGAGATGCAGCACAGTGGAAGCGAGATATCCTACAGAAAGCTAGTGCGATGACACCATTAAGTAGACCCAAATGCTAGTCAGATTCATGACAATGTGAACAACGACGGGGGAGGGGGTTTATGGACGAAGTGCAGTATAAACTCTACCGTAAATAGTATGTGTTAAGTTAGATGCTTGAAAGACTATGCAAGACATGTTCCGTCACCAAATGCGTTCTCCTGAGACCCACATCACTCGATAATCTTCATAACCAACTCCGAGATCCAATTCATCATCTTCGTCGCATGACCTTGGTTCGGGGGCAGGAATTGGAAGCTGTTCGCCAAACCCTGCATCCCTTGCTCCTCTAGTGCGAAGAGATGGCTGCGACCTGGTCCGTGAGGAAGGCCGTCCTCGATGCTCAAGGACGACGCAGAGCCCGGCGCAGTCCCATTGCTTCCGGCATCGTGCACAGCTACTCTGAACAGGTTCGACACAGCGCACAAGATCGCTGGACTCGCGGAATTCGCGAAAGCTTCCTTGATCCTATCTTGCAGACTCTCGTACCTGGACAACACATCACTAACACAGAACATGTCAGACATAAGAAGGTACATACGCCATTGAGACCACGTCGGGGAAAGCATCAGCGATGTCCGACAACAGATTGCAGAACATTTGTGATTCCGTGTCGTCGCCTTGCGCTGTCTGCATGATTGCACCGACGAATGACGTTACGAAGAGGACCGTATTGACGTCCGACAGCCCCAGGAGAGCGAATGGGACTTTGAAGACCGGATCATCGTCACTACTTGCGGTCATCAAGCTATCCGACAACCAGGATGAATCGACTCCTGACTCTTCCAAAAGTCGCTTGAAGGTAGTTGTCGTTGTCGAGGTTGGGATCAATGCAAGGAAGTAGCCTAGAATCTGCTGGCACATAGGCGAGCCAGGCCCGTCGTCGGCGTGTTCGACTTCCCCGCATGAGCGGACAGTGGTCTTCATGAGCGTTCGTAATGCAGCCTCGGCCGGGTCCCTGAGGTTTGCGTGCCGGATGCCCTTGAAGATGACGGCGGCCAAGGAGAATGAAAAGTTTGATTCGAAAGAAAGACCGAGGAGCTGGTCGAGTTGGCATGCTACGTCTTCAAGCGCCGCCCGGCCATCCAAGAGCGTGGCTGAGACACCCTTTTCCTCGAACGCACCCTGGCTGTCCATAACCTCGACGGTCTCGCGAAGCAGGTGAATGGCCTCCACATAAAGCACCATGTGGCTGGACTGAAGAAGAGCGACAGCGAGCCAGAAGAGTTGACAAAGATAGCGGGAATAGCGAGGCAAAGCGGGGACGACGTTACGGATGCAACGCAACATGCTCACGACCGATGTTGTCTCGTTTTCGCTCGACTGCGACAACGCCGTCTTGAAGGCGACCAGCATCTGGTACAGTAAATCATCGTCGACATCAGATGTCGCGAGGACACCCAACGCAACGAAAGCACGAGTTTGCACGGCAGGGGAGAGTTGAAATGCTGACGACGTGATCAAGCTCATCCATCGCGCACGCCAGACGTTCAACAGGCCTATGAATGTGTCTCAGGTCAGCGATTTTTTTTTACGAAGATGACGCGACAAACCCTTGCTCCCCGCGATTGTCTCTAACACCCGTGAGAGGAATCGGACAAGGCTCTCCATCGTATCGACGTATAGCTTGTCGCTGGGAGGGTCGAGGTTGACGTAGTCACTTGTGGGCGTTGGTCGCAGAAGCCCAAACAGTCGAAGCGTCTCCGGCTGCTCGCATTCGTTGATTAGTTGCTGAATATCTGGACTTGCCGCCGTGTCCGCCAGACGAGCTGTGTACAGTGCGTTCAGCAGGTTGACGACGATCCCGTATACCGCCGTGCGGACGTAAGTCTGCCCTGTTGCTGCCGTGAGGGTGACGAGATGTACAGTCTCGGGTACGAAGAGCTGGCTCTGCACGACATTCTTGCAATGATGACCTGCCACTAGGGCTAACCTGACCAAGCACGAGATTTCATTCCAGTGCACGTTGTCTGCAAGGCTTTTTGTTGGCTTCGTAGAGGTCTTGCCGACGACCTTGCAGCATTGTCAATGTAATCACTCATCCTTGCGGCACGACTAGCTTACCTTGCGTAATCGGGACAGTATGCGACCTCGGACGTTGATGGACGTGATCGCACTCATAGTGTCCGCAACCCTTTCGCATCTGACGGATGCGACCCCGCCATCAACCGCGGCTCGCATTAACTCGTCCAGAACAGCATTGACGACAGGGCTGTCCAGTCTACCAATCTCCGCCCAGATGTACTTGAGCACCATGTTGTGAAGCTGGAAGGCGATCAGCAAAGCCGACAATATGCGTCTGATCTCTTACCTCATTGTCTGCCATGGTCAGGTCAACTAGAACGCGGACGCAATCCCGGAACTTCGTAGTCGAGGGATCATAGTGCTTGCTTGTGGGGTCCATGAAGTACGCTAGATTCCTCAGCCAAGGTGCCATGTACTGGATGCACAAGATCCGGTCGGGTATTGATTCCCTGCCCATGCTGGTCGATATCTCGGTCACGAAGTCAAGCGTGAGATGGGGCGCAAAGGTAGCTAAGCCTTCGCTCAGTTGGACCAAAAAGGGCTCTGGCAGTCCATTGACCAAGCTCGCTGCTCATATTGTAAGTAAAGATGTTGCACTCTGGCCAGAACGGAACGAACTTTTGGAGGCGACGAGCGGCTTCCCCTCGAAATCGAGATAGATGCAGACTGCTTGCAGGAGTTCATTGGCCGCGATCCGCACATCCTCTTCGCGGGAGTTGACGCCGAGCATTCCAACATGCAGGAGTGTAGCGACAACGTTCGAAAACCGCGATCGCCGTTCTGTACCTGGAAGTTGCACGCTCCGCATTGTGCTCTTAGCTGTTCGAATTGCCTGGAGAGCGCTCATGTAGATGTAGTCACTGACATGAGAGGGAGATGGCGCACCTTTACAATGTTATCTCGCGCATGCGAAGAAAAGTACAAAGTAGCGCCGTGACGAATCTTGCGAATAATGAACTCGTGCGTCTCGTGGCCAGTCGAAACGTTGTAGATGTCGTTCACATCCGAGAGTGCGATGATATCGGTGGCTCTGCAAGACATTGTACCTCCGATGGGCAAGGCTTTCAACTACCAGAATTTTGCTCGTAAGTCGCGCACAACCGATGGAGAATGCTTGACACACCGTCGTGATGCGTAGATGGCCTTGCGCAACTTCGAGGCTTACCGGTACCCGCATAGGGTGGGTATGTCGCATGGTAACTTCGTCAAATCGTGTACGAGGCTCAGACTCCAATGCAACTGTGAACAAAAACTCAACATGAGTCTAATTGGGGTAGCGTACGACCTACGGGCATAGTCAAGTGCAGCTAGAGATGTTCCGTCCGGCAGATGATCGATGAGCTCTTCTACGGAGGAATATGTAGCGCACTCGCTAGAGAACTCGATGCCTAGCGAGGAATGAGACAACTTACAAAATCGGTCGAGAGAGCTTACCAGAGGAAAGATTGTAGAGTCGCTTCAGATACTTCGTCGCGAGTTGGTTAGGGGTCAGGATGTGCGCTGTATCGAACCGGCGACGTATGTCAGAAGGTATGACCTCGTATGCGAACTTCAGCCATTGCAGAGGAAGTTGTGAGGCCAGAGTGAAACAAGTGAAGTCGAAGATGATATCGAAGTCTCGGTCTCCGTGTGACGAAGATGCGACAGTCTAGTAGTCATACCGTGAGTTGGTGAGACATGCAAGACGCATATCCTTTACCTTGAAGATATAGAACAACAACAGCTCAATATCCAAGATTTCGACGTCTATCCGCGACACCGCTAGAACGAATATAGCCTAGTATACAACATCGTCAGCGAGGTTGAGCAAGTTTTACAGCGAACAAACCTTTGAAGACGTAGGTGTCGGAGTCTCGACAAAGAGGCCTTGCACCGAGCTTGTATCCCTATACTCATACCTCGTCATCAGGTCCAGATACTCCGAATGCTGTTGGCTATCGGCGACAGTCAACCTTGGACCTTCCAAGGGTTGGCCCAGCTCGACTAAGGCAGCACAAAGAGAATCCCAGATGCGCTTCGCATGTGCCGCTGCCATCTCGGCTGTCGCCGTTGCTGACAACTTCTCGGTAGTTGGCGGAGGCTTAGAGGTGCTCAGCAGCTCCTTGCCAACCCTGTCAGCGTGTTTTTCCAAGAAACGATGGAGAACAATCGTGTCCGTGTCGTCATACGTCGTATCCAGCCATTCTTCTGGTTCTTCCTCCTGGAAAGCCGGTCCCGTCTTCTGAGCAATCGTTAGTAAGAAATGCCTTCCCAACCTTCTGAAGGGCTTACATTGAGGTCGCTGAGGAATCTGGTCACATTCACGATGTTTTCCTTCAGGAAGTCGTTGAGCGCGATCATGTGTGGTTCCTTGCCAAAGAAAATATTGTTCGCTAAGTTTTGAATGATCTTAGCGACCAACATGAGGCCACGGCGTAGAGCCCAGTCCTCCTTAGGGACATCAACGTCGATGATTTCCGGCGCGACTATAGCAGGCGAGATGAATCTGGGAGTATCTATGAGATGCGGCTTGCAAACTGTATTCTAAGTGGGTCCATACCTCAGGAACATGAACGCTCCAACGGCCGCAAACTTCGCTTCAGGCCACACCTCGTTGCTACCGCAGAACACACGTCAGTCATTCTCCAATGATACGAGTCGAAGTCCACTTACACAACCTTGCGATATGCGCACAGACCTCTCGAAGCATACTGTAGACGGATTCTATGTAAGAAGGACGGTGCCCTTGCTGTCAACACTTACGGTGGAACAGCGGGAATCGAGGACAAGATGATTTGGAGGAAGGACGAGGTGATGAACTGGATGGTTTCACGATTTGCGGTGGCTATTTCTTCGCCAACCTTGGCTGGATCGAGCTCGTAGCCATGCCCCGGTGGCATTGAGGTCATGGTCTTGATGAGGGGTATGATGAGGCTCCGGAGGTAGTTGTAACCGTAGATGTTGGCGAAGGCGGACAGGAAGCGGGTACAGGTGGTATTGCCTCGGAACAAGGCCGTATCACTGTCTATAGTGCAGCGTCACGCAACTATACTCTAACCACTTATTCGATACTCACCTGTTCGACTGACTTCAAGGTCAATCATGTTCTTCAAAAGCGTCATCAGGGCTGAACGCGTGTCGAAGAGGTTGAGCATAACCGAGATGAGACTGTCCACTTCCGAGGCCGGACACACTTCGCAAATTGCTAGAGCAAGCGACAGCTACACATCAGTTAGCGGATAGTAGCGTAGTATGTGACAACCGCAGCTGCTTACATCTGGGCCTTTGACCAGCTGGCCAGAATCGTGAGTGACGTGTCATAAGCGCAACTGTGCACCATACCTCGCAAAGCCTGCTTTGGCGTGGAACTACAGTGGGTTGCTCCTGACTGTCCAGGGATATACCTTGCGGGAGCACCCGTGTGAAGACATAAGAGAAGATGACCCGCCTAGCACTGTCAACCTCATAGGCAAGCGGCAGCGAGTGCTTCACCCCAACATCAGGGTTCGCACTGACCAGCGCAGCATAGCCTGTGATGACGAGTTCGCGAAGCTCACCGTCCCGCTGCAACGAGCGCAACTTTGCAATGTCAATGCATTGTCATGCCATGAATTCGGAAGTTGGTATACTCACTCCCGGGACCGCTGATTTGTCAGTGGAACGATCGTCTGTCGGCTAAAGATTCGTTTGAGATAAATCCCGAAGAATGGTTCGTTGATTACGCACAGCCATGTCATAACGAGAACATTCCCAAGCTTTGAAGAGAACGCCGGTGTAACGAACAAACATCCGCGAGACAACGTGCGCTGCCTCCTCGCCTGTTGTGCCATCGGCGGCCTGGAGTTCGAGTCGATCGAATAGCTTCACGGCTGCACGAAAAGCGAGCAGATTGAGCTCTCTTTGTTGCGCCGCGAAACTATGATCAGACTTGGTCGAGTCAGTGCATAGTGTACAAAAAGTCTAAGCACGCTCCGCGCACCAAAGCAGGATCTTGAATCCACTCAGTGACTATGTCAGCTATCTTCTGCCTGTTACTACTGTCCTTCCGCATGGCAATCGACTCCCCCTGGCTGAACACGCCTTCGCATAGACTGCAGAACTTCAGCCGCAAGCGGTAAGAGTTCAAGTCATGGAAACGTCCCATAAAGGATGCGATAACGGCCAAAGTCGAGCCAAGATCCATGCTACGAATCTCCTCGAGATACTGATCGTTCTCCACCAGCACCTTGAGGATGACAAGGAACTATGCGGAGTTTAGCCTGTGTGCACTATCAGTGTTTTATGTGCCTACCTGTTCGAGGAAGAGGGCCAATGAATCCCAATCAACTGTCTCGCTGGCCGCTAACTCACGAACAACACTATCGTACGATGTTGGCGCCAGCATGCTTTCAGTGATTGAGATCCATACCTGTCTAGTTCCTTGAAGATCTTGGTGAAGAGACGAGGACTGGCTTCACTGCCAAGAGCGTCTCTTGCAGCATCTCGTGTTTGAATGGAGTCAGAGACCAGGAAATCGATGAGCCCGCCCAAGAACGAGCTCAACAATTCGGCAGGATTCCGAAGAATCCGCATCTCGTCTGGCAGGAAGAATGGCGCAACATCCAACGTTACATCTGACGACTCATCATCGCGCAGACATGCCGAACCAAACGAGGCCAGGAAGAGCGTCAGATTCTGCCACTGAGCGTGTATTTCCTAAAGTGAGAGTAAACAATCCGGTATACGCTTCAGAAGCAAGACCCTACCTCGTTCGTCAAGGCCTTCTCACCCACTGGAGCGATCCCGGGGTCGACGTCCACAGTGCTGTCAATCGACCCTTTGATAACCATCTCGTTCAGCGCACACCAGCGCCAGTAGCATTCTTCCCAGACGGCGACGTGTACAGGGGATGTTGACGGCATCAACCGCATGAGCCTCCGAACGCGTTTCTGATGGCCAATACGACCTACGTATACGTTAGATGTTACGCTGCTACACGGGTCTCGTCGATATTCTACGCACCGACCACGAGGACTTTCGGATCGCCAGCTGTTCGTAAATAGGGTACCGCTTGGCTCGCTCGTCCTCATTGAGCGCATTGGACGCGGGGGCATCAGGCGCGGTCTCCGCCTGAGCCAGTAGTCGGAGACAGTGTGCAGCCGTCAGAGTGACGTTGGTGTCTGCAGATGTCAATGCAACAAGGAAAGCAATTTCAGCGACAGCGAATGCTGGAATGCGGTCTGTATTGATCTGAATTCGCCGAATCTTCTCCTGTATTATGATGTTTTATATAGAGTGACAGGCAGATGGCGAAGCACGTACCGTCTCCGATGACTTCGTAAAGCGGTAGATAATCTCGTATGCCATGTTGATCCACATACGCTGCGCCTGCAGGTCAGTACGTGCGAGCAATAGGTTCGTACAGACAGTAGCGAGTATGGCAGGGCTGTACGAACTATGAGCTGGGAGCAGCGCCTTCGACAGAAAAACTCACGAGACGGTAGCCAACCAAATGCAGCCAACTTGATGGCGCGGATGCTCGGGGGGAAGCCGCACCAGCATATCCACCCAGCTACGGAACGTCTTCGCCAGGCTCATCTTGATAGCAGGGTCGCCAGGGGCGTGCCAACATTCGACGCACACTTTAGTCCATTTCGACTCCTGGCTAACGTCTAGGCCATTGATATATAGCATTGGGTCGGCGCGAAAGAGAGCCAGCAACGAATATGCAAGCAGTTCCCGGTCAGGCAATGTTTCTGACGTGTAACGTTTCGCCTTGGGGCGCAGTGCAGGCTTCTTGATATTGCCCAAGGGATCAACCTCGCTACGACGAGTCAAGGAAGCCTAACAACTATGCATCAGTGTTGTGAAACGTGACATACTCGGAATGGCTGACGGCGAGAATAAGAGCGAATCTTTCCGACACCGCATCTCGCAAGCTGTCGAGGGGTGGTTGCCAGGGGCATTTTGACGCCTAAGAATCACAATTGAGAATACCAGCAAGGGTAAGAGGTAGGAAATATGATACGAACTTCGTCGATGAGAGTGATACAGGCCTTGATTGCGGATATCTTGACCGCGTCCGATCGCTCAGGCTCGAGGCACAACTGGAATATCGGCGTGACTTCCTCTTCAGACAAGTATCGGAAGATAGTGACAAGGATGTCGGCAACAATGGCAACGTCAATCTCGTCCGGAAACTCCCAGAAAGGCTTACTCCCATTCCAGCTGGCCAGGATGCGCTAGAATTTCACGCCTACGGTCAGCGCATCTCCACTCCGGCTTCAAGCACGGCTCACCTTCAGTTCGTGCGCAAGGTCATGAGCAGTCATGTGCAGTGCGTGTTCAGCATTGTCTTCAGGCCGTATACGAAATGCAGCCCGGCAGGTGTCTAAGCAGCAGACCAAGGCCTCCTCGGACAGTTTGGCCGTTTGCGATGTCATGTTGCGCATCATGATCTCGTAGAAGTTCCGGTCCTGAAACCAGTGTCAGTGTTTTGTAACAATGTTTATGAAGAAGAACATACCCGACGACTCTGGTTGCCCTTGGGAATTGGCATGCCCAAAGAGTTCGACTGGAAGTCGGCCCTCGTTCGTTCGGAGCTGATACATGCTAGGGCAGTGAGGGTCGGCCACACGTTAGGTTTATGTTGCGCCTCCTGGGAGTCGAACAAGATATCGAAGACTCGCTCAGGTGCACCTTCCATGCGACGGTGGTGACGAATGGTATCGTTGAACTCCTCAGGGCAGAGGTCAATCCAGTTCCAGATAGCAACACGTAAAGGGATCGCAATTGCTGCTTGCGCCTCCTGCTTCATGTTAAGGAGCAGCGAGGATAGCTCTGAGGAAGTCGGATTGAGAAATGGTACGTCAGAATGCGAATCGAACAGACTTACCCTGCAAAGCCTGTATAAGTCTTGCTCGATCGAGTGCACTATGCATCATGAGCTGCAGGTCGATGATGTCGGGATCCGTCTCCGTCGTGCTGGCCAGATAGTGGATCTTGTTGCGTATGCGGGATAAGACGATGTGCCAATTTGAGGCGGAAAGGTGGTATACGACGCGCCCCGCAAACTTGGATATGAGTGTGTTGAGAGAGGAGATCGACTTGGACGTTACGACAGATGTCTTCTCGTACACGAGTGAGTACTTGGAGGCCTGGCTCGTAGATGTCACGCTAGGTGTGCCAGAGTTCAACGAAGTCGATGACGCGTGTCTCGACCTGAACATGCGCGGAAGCGAGATGATATGGGGAGGTAGGCCGGACCCGCCGACATCTACGCTACTGATGAAGTCCGGCGATTCTACGGACTCGAAGTCGTGGTGTGATGCAGCAAAATCCATATTCGCTGCCGACATCAGTCGATTTCTCAAAGGGGCCGTCTGCCGCAGAAGCAGCACCATCACGCTGAGGATGTACTTGGCACAGTTGTCGTCGAGCGGAGGCGGCTCAGCTAGGAGGGACAGGTGCTCTGTCGACCATTGACGCCGTCGACTTTGAGAAGAAAGGGTGCGAGTCTCCGGCGTACTCGGCTTCGAGTTCACACTGGCAGGTTCCTTGCTGTTGCGAGAGCCTGGTCTGGTGCCCTCTGGGCGACGCCCCCAGCGCGAAGCCATGCATATAGCGAGTACCTTGAGGATGAAGAGTTGGGACTGGAGAACCTCGACGCTCCTGTATCCATTGGAATCGGCCTGCTGCCGAGAAGGTGAGACATCCGTCGCTCGTCCGTCGAAGGGCACACGTACCTTGTTGAGCTTTTCCAATAATTCCGTGAGGGCCCACCCGATGATGTCTAACGAATCGCGCGACAGCTCGACCAGAGACTCAATAACTTGTTGTAGCGCCTCATCCCCCTCCACGTCCGTGAGTGTGATACCCGAGTTGCACGGTAGCTACAAAGACGCGCATGAGCACACTGAGCTCGCGTCCCACAGCATTAGACACACCTTGCTCTTCAGCCTGTTCACCAGGACGTATACTACCTTCTGCTGTGGTGTGATAGGTATCGATGAGCTTGAATAGGGCGCGTTGCTGGAGGAGGGCGCGAGCGATGACGGTCCAGACATGCTATGGTTCGAGCCGTTGCTTTTGTGAACCCGCGACGCCGCGCTCGCGATGTTCTGGGCGGCCGCCGACGCGCGCCGCGCGGGCATGGCGGGCAATTTGCCTATCGACTGTATGTTCTGAAACAGATTGGGCGAACGATGAGGGGGTCGAGGGGCGAAGACGGGGAGGAGGAAGGGGCAGCAGAGCGAGTCGCAGAACGACGCTAGCGCGTCTGCCGACTTACTTAGGGCACAGCTCCTCTGAGTTTGTTGGCGGGCTGATATGTAGCTTACGTAAGCGCCTATCATGGTCTTCCCCGTTCCGGCTCATTTGAGTCGCCCTCGGCGCCAGACTTAGCGACGGGCCCGACGCATCGGTACGTATGCATTTGCATCCTGTACGTAAACCAAGCACACTGAAACTTTGCTGAAACTCGCCTCGAAACCAACAGCACCGCGGAAATATATGCAGGCGTGTCCAAGGCGTGTCGTTTCGAAGTTCGTTCTTGCATGCGTTTGTAACTTAGTAGGACTATGCATTTTGAACCATGTCGTGCCTACTGTTTGGCAACTCTTGCATCGGAACTCTCGGACGGACAATGGTCGACCGAAGCTTCAGCCAGCATTGATGTTGAGCAGGCTGTTCGAAATTCTGAACGAAGCCTGTTTCTGAAATCCTTTCATTGTCCTTAAGGGCCGCGCCGGGCCCTATCACGAAGACAAAGACTCTGGCGTACGGGTAAATTTACGGGTCCGTGCGTCGGTGACCAGGGCTGCGCATGCGCATTCTGAGGTCTCTCTACGTCGATTGGTCTCGGGAGTCGTACACGACTACGTCAAACCGAATTGACCGCCAAATTCAGTTTCATGCACAAAGCTGAAAAGCTCTGATGGAAAGGTTGCTGAGATTGTCCTCGCAGCGAACACCGCTCTTGAGCGCTCTTGAGCACCATACCTCGCGCCATAACCCTGACGCGAGTGGATCTGTAGTCAAAGTATGGGGTTACCTTGGGTTGTGTATGTCTTGGCCAGAGAAACTCAATGACACCGACTCGCGCGAGGCTAAAATAAGCATAAGAGCCTGAGGCCAAACGGAGGATGGGAACATGCTGTTATATACCTGCAAACGAGCGACCGCCAGTGCGTTGGCCCGGGCCCGCCAAAATAGGCGCTGCATAATAGGCGCTCGAAACGCACCTTACGATCTTTCCTGACTGAGGTGCAGAGAGCAGGTAGCTCTTAGTGCATCTGGGAGTTTAGTAATGTGGTGTGTAGCGATACTATGCAGATTCGGACGTTTGCATTACTCTACCAAATTGCATCACCGGTTCAGCGTCAGTAGTCTCCGTAGCAAACCGAGGCGCACCTCCCCGACGCACCTGTCACTGTTCAGGACTTTGTTAGCTTCACCCGATGGCATGCTAACGCTTTGATCGTTGCAATGCCGTGTAGCATGCTTTGATACCTCGTTGCCAGCTGTTGACGGCGATGTGCAGTGAAATACAAAGTGCACGGTGGGCGCAGATACCAAAGCGGGCTACCCACGTCGGAACGGAAGGTGGACCCACAAACGCACACATTAGATTCCATCGCTTGCGCCGTCGACGGCCGCCCACTTCGACGAACACGACCACCATCGACGTCCGTCCGACTTGCATTGCGCACGCAGATAGGTTCGTTTGCCACTGTGGAGCACGATGAGGTACGACAAGAGAGCTGTTACCGGAAACAGTTAGATCCTTGGCGGAAGGTCGGCAAGAGTGGCGGGTTGGCTACCCCTGTGCTCCGCCCTAGGTGCCTTTGCTAGCCTCGTGTGGTCCGAGCCAAAAAGGGACAAAACGCGTGGCTGAGCAGGCCGAACGGTCTGGTTCGTAACCAGCGCAGGAAACTCCGCCACCGCATTCTGCACTCCGCAGTGCTCGCCCGCTTGCCTTCTCTTTCCACTCGACGTGGTCTGCCAACGGCCGGAGAGTCCTCCGTCTTCTCGACCACTGGATTGTCTTTTGTCGTGTCGCATCGCTGTCGAACTCGTGCCTTCCTATTTCTGCGTCGCTTTCCTCCCAGTTTGTAAGCCCTTGTCGTTTGCGCATAGCTCTTGTGCTTTTTCATCTCTCCGTGCATTGTCCTTTCTCTCGCTGTCGGGTCCTCACATCGCTCGTCCCCTTTGGCATCGCACCGCCTTGGAAACCAAGAAACCCCTAGAAAAGAACCTGTCTGCGAGGGCGGCTGCCGCCGATTCCCTCGATCTTCACGCCTCGACATGTCACGTCCCGATGCGCACGCGCACGGCTTCGACTACGCCGCGTACGCCGGACACAATGGACGCGGCCACGGCGACCAGGCGGGCCACGGTGCGCACGAATACGGCGCCGCCGCCCGAGACGGCGGCTTCCACAGGGAGAGCATCGGCCGCGACTTCGCGGCGCCGGAGCTCATGTCGCCCAGCTTCTACGGCTCCTCGCCGCCTGTCAGCGCCGATCGCCGGTCGCTGACGGCGGGGGCGTACCATGGGTCTGGCTTCCCGTCGTATGTGGCGCCCCGCCTCTTCGCGCCGTCACAGGGCCTCGGCGCAGCGGCGGCCAGTGACACTTGGAACCCAAAAGCAGCCACTGCCACGAATGTCACCAAGCACAACGACGCGGGCGTGACAGCCCAAGTTCAACCGTCCCTCTCCTCCTTCGTCCACAACCACAACCACACCCCTCCTCCTCCTCCGCGCGGTCCCCCCGTCCCCGACCTCTACAGTTCCCCCCTCTCTGCTACGGCTGCAGCCTTCACCGACCGCGACCCCCGCGATCTCTATCTCTCTCAGCGACATCTCCACCAGCAGCCACAGCAGCACCACCCCCAGCCCGCCTCCCCCGCCGCGCAGCTCCAGCACCCGAGCCCGCAGTCCCTCCCCTCTCCAACAACCAGTGCAGCCACTACCCGCTCTACACTCTGGTGGGGCGAACTCGAGCCGTGGATGGACGAAGAGTACGCTAAGCAGGTCTGCAGCATCATGGGCTGGGACCCCCTCAGCATCAAGGTCCCTCGCCCTGCGCCCGACCCCATCACCGGCCAGCAGGCCAACAACCCGGGATATTGTTTCCTGACGTTCCCCTCCCAATCCCACGCCGCTTCCGTGTTGTCGCAGATCAACAACAACACCGGGAACCCCATCATTATGCCCAACTCGAGCAAGCCGTTCTCGCTCAACTGGGCGTCGTCCGTCCCTTCCGCGTCCATGCCACCAGCAGCGCCGGGCCAGACGATCACCCTCCCCAGCGGCCAGAACCCCCAATACCCGAAAGAGTACAGCATCTTTGTGGGCGACCTTGCCCCCGAGGTGTCCAATTCCGACCTCGTCGCTGTATTCCGCAACCCAGTGCTTGGTCTACGCAACGATCGGGAGCCTCGCTTCATTAGGCCCTTCCTGAGCTGCAAGAGCGCGAAAATCATGCTCGACCCGGTCACGGGCGTCTCCCGCGGGTATGGGTTTGTGAGGTATGTGGCCTGCGGCTCCGTGTGACTTTCTCGAAATGACTCTATTGTTCCCCCGAATAGGTTCACCGATGAGGCAGATCAACAGCGCGCGCTAGTTGAAATGCATGGCCTGTATTGCCTGTCGCGTCCAAGTGAGTGCTATTGAATACCCTTACACGCGGCAGTGGTCTAATGTGGGATATGCAGTGCGGATCTCTCCCGCGACGGCAAAGTTCAAGCCTGCACCCGGTATGGCAGGCGTTGACTTCTCGCAGATGCCGTTCCCACTTGTTTCGCCGGCTGCGCCGTCTGCACCCGAGCAGCAAAGCCAAGTCACCGTTGCTTTGCCTCTGCCGAATGCCGCTCAGGCGAAGAGCGTGTCAGCACCGTTGGCGGGTGCTGCGACAAATATGATGAACGGCGGCAACTTCTCCAATTCGTCTTCCAATGCGTCGTCCTTGGGCTCGGGCACCAGTGCCACTTCGTCGTCGACTCTCGTCTCCGCACCCTCCGAAGAGGCCATGAAGTTTGTGACCGGTGGCGGGATTCCTGTTGGTGGCAATACCCCGGCGCCGTCCGTCACGGCAGCGTTCGCTGCCGGTGAGCAGGCGTCTGACCAGAGCATGGCGCAGAAGTTCAATATCTCCGAGGAATCGTGGAAGCACCACGCACAGGCCCGCGCCATTCTGTCCAACCTCATTGGCCCGAATGGCGAGCAGCTCACGTCTTCCGATCCTTACAACACGACTGTGTTCGTCGGAGGCTTGTCCCCGCTAATCTCGGAAGACACGCTGAGGACGTTCTTCGCGCCGTTCGGTGACATTCACTACGTGCGTCCCTTATTTTTTGGCCACTCGTGATTGCCACTAACTGCGTTTTCAACAGGTCAAAGTACCTGTCGGCAAGCATTGCGGCTTCGTCCAGTTTGTTCGGAAGCCCGACGCGGAGCGTGCGATTGAGAAGATGCAAGGCTTTCCTATCGGTGGCAGTCGAATCCGCCTGAGCTGGGGTCGCAGCCAATGTCAGTCGTGCATGCATATGTGATGAAAGTTTTCTGACGCAATGTAGACAAAGCAGCCCAAGCAGCCGCTCAAGCCGCGCAGGCAGCTGCCTTTCAGGCCCAATACCAAACTCAGCTTTCTCAACCGAACGGCACCACATTGACGCCTGAGCAGGCGATCCAATTGTTGGAGAGATTTGGGATCAGCAACTTCGGCGCCAATGGTGGTGGTCCTTCCAACGGTAGTGGAAGCGACGCTCAACCAGCTCTGTACCCAGATGTCAACGGGAACCGTCAAGCACTCCTGAACGCGTTCAATCCGTCGATCTTCGGCTCCCGTCCTGAGACGAACTCGGCGCCCACGACCGCGACTGGGTTCTCGCCTTTCTCGCCCGACCCGAACTATCTCAATGAAGGGGCGAAGAGCCAAGACCCCGCTTCCAACGCGCACCAGCAGCCCTTCTCTAACGGCTCTAACGCGTCCAAAGGTTACCCCGCGTGGTACAACCCCTCTCACGATGAGAAAGTCACGAGCGGCAACGGCAAGATCTCCCCCACGTCTGCACTGCACGCCATTCGTCCGCCAAGCACGTCGCAGCGGTTCAATACTCTGCTCGGAGACCCCTCGTCTGCGTTCCAGAGCGCGCGTTCGTCGTCGCGGCAGGAGGCTCCCATTAGCAGGCCTGACCTTACTAGGAAGGGCTCGCAAACGCGCGAGCAGTACGGGCACCACGAGCACGAGCAAGACACAATCCAGGATCTGAACGGAACGCTCGCCAGCCTGGACCTCAACAATAGCCCGGGGATGTGGATGAGCGGGGACAACACAAACATGCTCACTTCATCGTCGTCCTGAAGCCGATCTCATGCAACTCGTATGTCGTCCTTGAATTATTTGTCTGTCACAGTCCGTCGTTCGCTCTGTTTCGTTATGGCTTTGTCCCAACATACCATGTCTTCGTGTTTGTCTGCGTCTCGTCCAATCTCGTCAATGAACCCATTTCTAGGCTTTGATCCACCCGTTTTCGCCGTTCCCGCCGTTGACTTTCGAGTTTGTCGCGCGCTGTCTCATTCCGCATGCATGGCCGTTACCTTGACCCACACCCCTTACCTTCGTGCATGTGCGGTATATAGACGTCCATCGCATTGCATCGTACACCTCTTGTTTATCCTCTGCAGCCGTTTCGCGAATCCCTCTCCACTCCGTGCGTTAGTTGAATAGCAACCATAACAACCTACCGTACCTTTGTCGTTCCCTGTAACATCTGATGGGTTATGTGTATCCCTTGTTAACGAATGGACCAACGTCGTAGTCACAAATATTGATCCTGTACATACCTCTACGCAGAAAAGAATGATGATCTCGAATACGTCTATCCGACCATGAATTCGGACGAGTTCTGGAATCTGAGATCTGAGATCTGAGTAGCCACAGCGCCAGCCTGGGACGCTTGCGTGACAACGTCACGGTGTGTGATGTGTCACACACAGCCAAAATCTCTCCTCGATCATTCGTCGTGTGTGCTGCCTCAAAGTCGAATCCGTTTGGGTGCCCTCCCACAAGCCCTCTCTGCATACTCTCACACTCTCTCCGAGAGCCCAAGAGACTTCCGTCCGCATAAATACGCGAAACGAGGCCACAATAACTACCATGGCACCCAACGGTATAAATGGCGTCCACCATGAGGATGATGAGGATATCGACTACAGTGACATCGAGAACAAGTGCGTGTATCGTCTCTGAAGAAAGCCAAGGCTTGAGTTGGAATCCAGATACAAAGTGAAGTTCGAGGAGGGCTTCGACAACATCCTACTCGTGGATGGTGTCCCAATTATCGACGAGTCCAAGCGAGGCAAGCTTCTCGACAAGATCGCGAAAGAGTTCGGGCGGAAGGGCGCGCCCATCAAACCTGCTGATATCTCCGTCCCTTGGAATGCCTCTAACGGGAAGAGCAAGGGGTGAGCAGTTCCCTGCTAGTACGCGCGACAACTGACTGACATCATTGCCATATAAGATTCGTCTTCGTTGAATGCAAAAGCGCGAACGATGCCGCGTTCGCTCAGAGTGCGATGGATGGTCACCCGTTCGACTCCAAGCACACGTTCAAAGTCAACCGCTTCACCGACATTGAGCGGTATGCGAACATAGATGAGACTTATGTCGAGCCGGAGCCTGAGGAATACAAGCCCAAGTACGCCATACACACTTCAGACTGTCGTTATTCACTTACGGCTGGTCCTGCAGGAACACTTGCGCTCTTGGCTCGGTGATCTTCAAGGCAGGGATCAATATGCGACGTACCGCGGAGACGAGGTCGAGATTCACTGGCAGGGAAAGCCTTCTCAGTGCGAGGTCGCGTTCAGCAGACCTGTGCGTTGCTCCCTGGTCTTAGTTCGGCCTAAGTTGCTAACACCGCTCGCAGAACTGGACAGATCTCTACATCTCTTGGTCACCTCTCGGCACGTTCATCGCCACTCTCCACCGACAAGGCGTACAGCTATGGGGCGGTGCATCGTGGGGGAAGCAGCAGCGTTTTGCGCACCCCATGGTCAAGCTCATTGATTTCTCGCCTTGCGAAAACTTTATCGTTACGTGGTCCAACGACCCTATCGTAGTGCCCGAGGGCGCACAACAGGGACCACAATTCTTCTCTCCAGAAGATGAGGGCCACAACGTCGCTGTCTGGGACGCCAAGACTGGTAACTTGCTCCGGACATTCCCTACGTCCTACCCCGAGGGCGAGGACACGAAGAAGCAGCTGCAATGGCCTGCGCTCAAGTGGAGTCCCGACGACAAATACGTCGCACGTGTGACCCCAGGCCAGCAGATCAGCGTCTACGAGCTGCCCAGTATGGGTCTGCAAGGCAAGAAGTCTATCAAAATCGAGGGCGTCATCGACTTGAGTGGTGCCCACAAGGCGACAAGGATCGTGAGGAGGCTGAGGCTGAGGCGAAGGGCAAGACCACGAAGAAGCCGAGGGAAAACATGCTTGCGTACTGGACCCCCGAGGTGGCCAATCAGCCCGCCCGCGTTACGCTCATGAACTTCCCGAGCCGAGCCATACTTCGGCAGAAGAACCTGTTCAATGTCTCGGAGGTAATGTGCCCTGGTATCGCCCACTCCAGGCGTCTCTCATGACTTCGTCTACGTCTAGTGTAAACTCCATTGGCAAAACCAAGGCGACTTCTTGTGCGTTAAGGTCGATCGTCACACGAAGACGAAGAAATCCATCTTCTGCAACTTGGAGATCTTTCGTGTCCGTGAAAAGGACTTCCCCGTTGAGGTCGTCGAGTTGAAAGGTTTGTTTTGTTGAGACTTCGGGTGGTACTACGTACTAAGCGCTGCTGATCTAGACGCGGTAACCGACTTTTCTTGGGAGCCGCGCGGCGAGAGGTTCGCGCTCATATCTAGTAACGATCCAAATCTTGCCAATCCGGCACCGGGTGTCACCATCAAGACCGACGTGAGCTTCTACCAGCTTGTACGGGGCAAAGGCGACTTCAAGCTCCTTCGTCAGTGCATATAACGAAGTCTACATGTGCGGTATTGACGGGCATCACAGGAACACTCTCGACACGGACCAGCAACACTGTACGGTGGTCGCCCCGCGGTCGGCATGTCGTCCTTGCGACAATTGGTTCCTCTAGCAAGTCAGAGCTCGAGTTCTGGGATCTTGACTTCAACTCGGATGACACTGGTCGCCGGGAAGGCCCCTCAAAAGAGGAGTGGGGTAGCGTTATCCAGCACCTTGGTACCGCAGATCACTACGGTGTTACCGACGTTGAATGGGATCCGAGTGGGCGTTATCTTGCGACAAGCGCCAGTGCATGGAGACATACTGTAAGCAGTCCCCGCAGGGCGTTCGGCTTGACATCTAATATTGATATCTTTCCAGCTCGAGAACGGGTATGCGATCTGGGACTTCCGCGGCCAAGAGCTTGAGAAGCACATTCTCGACCGCTTCAAGCAGTTTCTCTGGCGCCCACGTCCGCGCACCCTCCTCACAAAGGAGCAGCAACGGCTGGTTCGGCGCAACCTTAAGGAGTACAGTCGCCAGTTCGACGAGGAGGACGCTGCCGAGGAGAGCAACATCAGCGCGGAGCTCATTGCACACCGCAAGCGGCTCGTCGACGAGTGGAACGCCTGGCGTAAGCGGGTCAAGGTTGAGATCGCCGAGGAGCGGAAGAGTCAGGGGAAGCAGGCAGAGCCCGAAACTGAGGAAGAGGTCGAGGAGAAGGAGGAGATCGAGCTGTGGGTCGAGGAGGTGATTGAACAGATTGAAGAGGAAGTCGCTGAGTGAGACTTCACTGTGCGTGCTGTTGTGTGAGTAGTTGCTTTCGCTCGTCTCGGCTGAACGTGTGTGTATGCTAGTGCGGCAATTGCGTACAATATCTACTATTACACCATGCATCTTTGTGTGACCTTCACCGCATTGGCACGATGGTCCTTTGAAGATCATCCATGAGTGCATGAGCACTTGAGTGATTGCGAGCGAAGGTTATACAATCATGGCGAAGGCAAATGCAAGATCAACCGAGACGTTATGTATGACCCCTCGAAACGAACAATGTTGATACCCGTTGAAGACAGCACAAATCCTGAGCCGCACGGTGCCTCATCCACTACGGCGTAGCCTAGATAGAAATCCTCAAAAACAGCACCTCGTACTCAGTCATCTGTGAGGTCGATGGTAACCGCAGAAGAAGTAGCTATGCTCCTGTCCGCCTGCTCGCGCTTCACAGTACCTTCGCGAGCTCGACCAGCCTTTTTCGTCGCTAGGTCGCGTTCTGCGGCTTCTAACTGGGTGGTCACGTAGCGTACAATTTGCTGTCAGGTGTGACGGGGTTTGTAAGACGTCTCTGTGTTCTTCCTTGATGGCAGAATGGGACAAACCTCCTTCTCCGCCAGATCCCGTTTTGCATTGTCTAGTTGAGCACGCAGGTAACCGACGATCTGCTACGTGAGATGGGCCTGGCAGTAAGCGTCGTTAATATCGTTCACTGCACAGCCAGACTTACCTCTGCAGAGGCGACGTTGGCATTGTCTCGTTCTCGGTCGTGGCTGGCGATGTGAGGCTTGATGTCGTCGAGGTTTGGCTTCACGTCTTCCTCACGCGGATTGGCCGGACGCTGCCTCTTATTCGCTTGACTCGACTCGCCTGGACCTGCCTCTGCAGGCGCTCGTCTTTTGTCCGCACGTTTTGCTGGTGAGGATGGCCCTGCAATCGGCTGACTTTGCTGCAATAGGTGTGGCTGCTCGTCGGACGTTGACTCTGTACCGTTGTCATTGTTAGGCAAAGAATGTTGAGCGCTCGAGCTGGCCCGGGCAACGATGGCGTCGGGCTCCGGAGTTGGAGTTGAAGGAATGATACCTTGTGCCTTGAGAATCTCTGTCTCAATGTACGTTAGTAGATAGATAGCACCCGGGCAAGATACATACCCAGTGGTCTATACATGAACCTGAAGGTGGCATATGGATTTTGTTTCTCATCTATGTAATCGCAGGTGGAGAACGTCGAATCGTCCGGCACAACATCTGCTAGCCTGGAAGGCGTGCTCAGTATGAATCCTTATTGTGAATAGTAGAGCTACCACTCACGAAATTCGGTGCAACCCAGCCTTCTTGCTGAGCTCATGAATGGGCTCATTGGCACCATCCCATCCATAGGCACTAGGTTCCTGTGCAACTCCCCGCCGTACGACGCGATAAATGCATATCTTGATTGAACCCAGATCTTGGATATCATGTACGACATTTTCGTCGTCTGTATCCCGTTTGAGGAGGTGAGTAGAGTAGAAATAATAATCGAACATACCCGTGACTTGAACGTTTGCGAAGATATAACTTCTCTGCATGCCTCGGGCAACGGTGACCCCCTTTATTTCCGACCAGCTTCCTGGATCAACAAGGAGCCGGTCCCCATTTTCTCCGTCCATGTAGCAGTCAGCACTTACGATCTCATCCGACAGCCCATTATACACGTCGACTGAGAACGACTGTCAGTGGTCGAACGCCCATGAGACCTACGTCAGCTCGGGCGAAACAGAGTGGCGCACCTTGCCAGCCTCACTTGCAATATAACAGCTAATGAGACGTTCGTCCTGCTCGTCAACCGAATATTCGGGCACTCCATCCTCATCACCATCAGTGAGGATTTCGACCTTTATGTTACGGAGCTCCATAGACTCTGCAATGCAAACTTAGATGACCACGGAAGGCAGTGGGACGGCAGGCTCAGATAGGTGCGCGGTCAATGCGCGGTCCAGGAGCCTAAGTGGTCCAGGTTTTTCGACGGCGCGTTCAGCACGTGCTCGCGTTGGGACACCGACACGATCGACGCGTCGGGGTGAAGCTGAAGACCGTGAAGCGCCATCTTGGTCGCGGATTATGACGCACAGTGACGCACCGACCGCCGCTCTGCCACTCTGTCCCTGCTTTATATGCGGGATGTAGTCGAGCTGGATCGTTCAAAAGGGCGATCCCCACCATTCTGATGCTTTCCGTCCTTCGTCTGCCCACTCGACTCGTACGTCTAGCTCTCTCCGCTCCGCTTGCATACAAGCCAATCCTACCTCGCTACACCTGTACTCGCTTCAGCACATTCACGCCTGTCAAGATGCCAGAGGGGAACCAGAAGTTTGCCATCAAGAACCTCTTCGATGTCCAGGGTTGGACCGTCGTCGTGACCGGCGGCGGCACAGGCATTGGCCTGATGATCGCGCAGGCATTCGCGAACAACGGCGCGCGCGTGTACATCACTGGACGTCGCACGGACGTGCTCGAGACTACTGCAAAAGAATGGGGCTCGAAGCTGCTTCACCCTGAGGGCAGGATCATACCCATGCCGACTGACATCACGGACAAGAGCTCTATCCAGAACCTCGCGCGAGAGGTCGCGACGCATGAGGACCATGTCGACGTGCTCGTGAACAACGCAGGTATCGACGGGGACACGAGCACCATTGAAAAGGGCGACGAGAGCGCGGAGGCTCTGCAGGAGCAGCTCTGGAGCGAGGAGATGAAGATGTGGGAGGAGGTGTATCGCACGAACGTAATGGGGTACGCTGATATGTCGTGACTGGATGCTGCGACTGGGATATTAACCTCCGTGTGACAGACATTTCTTCACGACCGTCGCGTTCTTGCCCCTTCTGTCTGCCGCGACGAAGCGTGGTGTTGGACACACAGGAAGCGTCATCAATATTTCGTCCATGTCAGGCATCACGCGAACGTCACAGCACCACATAGCATACAATACCTCCAAGGCCGCTGCCATCCAATTGAACACGCTCCTCGCGCAGGAAATGCGTCGTCCAGGTGTCAAGGTCCGCGTGAACTCTATCGCACCCGGCATATTCCCTAGCGAGATGTCCGGTGCGTATAATCAGCTCGCACTCGAACAACGAAATGACTGAACGGGTGTGTTAGCCTCGGAATCGAACGCGCAAAACAAGTCGACGATCCCGACAGACGACTCGTACGGCAAGAAGAAAGGCATCCCTGCCGGACGGCCTGGCGGCGAGGAGGATATGGCACAAGCTGCGCTCTTCCTGGCGTGCAACCAATACATCTATGGTCAGGTAAGATATAATGGTGCAATCTGTCTGGAACTTGTTGAGCTGATTGCCGTTGTTCGTAGACCGTAACGGTCGACGGCGGATACCTCCTTGAGCATCCATAGGTAGGCAAGGAAGCAAGCGGGAATACCAAGTTGTAGTCAAATGCATGTGTATCACAGGAAATACGCACTGCAGTCCATATATACTGGCAGAGAGTATACGTACTGGGCCGGTGAAGTAGCTTCTACGTCTCACACTTGAGTTTGACTGCGCAGAATCAAATCGAAGTGAGGTGCGGGGTAGGGTTAAGGTTAGGCGACGTCAGAGGCGCTGGTCCTCATTGAGCGAGGCTTGCGAGCGCCTTGGCCTTGCTCAGTCCGCAACGAGTTCCATCGGCGACTCACGATGGCTGCTGAATCACCTCCCTCTCCCTCGCGGTCCAAGCCGTCGTCTCCTCCTCCTCCATACACGGAGGTCGCAGAGCCTGCGCTGCATGCGCAGTCGAGCATACCAATTGGCAGCCCGAACACTCCCATAGCTTCGCCATTCCCCACACATACCGTCTACGGCCCAACGCCCATCCAGCAACAGACACAGCTCCTGCCATATTACGACCCACGCTCTCCCTATGCCATGGCAGAGGCGAACAGCCGCGCGCGATGGAGATTCATCACTGCATTCCTCTGGGCCGTTGCATTGGTGGGATTGATGAGCTTCCTAACCGGATACGAGGTGTCCTTGCGCACGCGCGACATGCACCACGGAGGCTGGATGAGTGGCTCTGACCGTGCAGAGTGGTGACTACTGAGGTGGGTCGCAGTGTCCAGGACTCACCGTCTGTGTGCCGACACTGACTGGGGTCGTTTCACCGCGCAGCGCGTGCCGGCGTGTGCACCAATGATTGATGTTTTGATTGACGACCGTCTGGACGAGCCTTCACGCACTGAATCCTGTTATTCTATCACTTCTTTGTGTTCGTAGACACCGCGGGCATAGCATGCTTGACGTCGGATATCGCTCGTATGACGAGATATTGCAGGAAGAACATTACCATACCCACTTGTAATCAGGTCATCTATCTGCGGAACGTGTACTTTATAATCGTTATATCTCGCCTTCTCGTACATAAGAAGGAGACCATCAGAGCCCAGAAACGGCGCATACAATCGATCCACGAACCGGGCGCACCGGCGGGCGGTCGGCAGGTGCACTTTTGGCAATTTCACGGTGAAGGACTGTCTCGTTCGCGTGGTCTGAGCTCCTTGGCCCGGGCCATGCTTCTCCGCTTTCTCTTTCTTTCTCTCTTCGACGACGACGACGACGGCGGCGGCATTCTCGATGTCCCCCTTACTTATGGTGTCTCTCTCTCGCTTGGTACTGCTGCTGCTGGCTGCTATGTATTGTTCCTCTCAATGTGCACGGTCCACAATAACGACGAGGTCGTCTACGCGCATATAGCCGGGCCTGTGTTTGCCAAACAGGACGTCGTGGAGGGCAGAGGGTACAAAAGCGGACTACGAGGGGATGCAAACACCGGACATTGGTGAGCTCTGACTTTGCTCGCTGCGGACAATGGCGACGACGATGGGCCCCCAGTGGCCGGCCATTGTGCTGACTGACGCCCGCAGAGGGGCCGGCCACGTGGTCTGTGGTCCCTGTGGCCGTGCCGCCAGATAAGGTTAGGATTGGTACTTTTGAGTGCCATATAAGGTAAAGGGGTCCGTGCGTGGGAATGCGTGTCGCATTGGCAGGGAGCATTTACACTCCGGGCGCATCCCGGCCGTCCGCCTTCTGACCCACCCCCTCGATCACCTCCTCCTCGTCGCCAGCCACAGCGAGCAGACCCTCGTCCTCGCCGTCGCCGACGTCTTCCTCGACTCTGCCACGCTTCCTACGTGCACTGCTCGCGCTCCTCTGCTCCTCTGCTCCCAACAACCCGCACCGCGCTCGCTGCGCTCCTGCTTTCCTCTCACGCGTCGCGCCGCTCGTCTCCGGCACGTCGCTCACCACCTAACCTACCGCGCCCAACTGCTCTAGTCGCCATCCGTCTGTATTTATACCGACAACCCCACGCGTTTTGCCTGCTCCACCGTCCTCGTCGCCGCCCTGGCTGTTGATGTTCTGAACCCGCCTTTCTCTCGCACCGCCTTGTTACCGCCTCCTATATCGTCAAAGCACCTAAAGAGTACCATACTGTCGTCGCGTTTGCCCAGCCTGGCTTCATCGCATACCGCCCGCCCGCCGCTCTTCTCCACCGTGGCTTCTCATCCCTCCGGCGAGGAGTTCATCAACCGCTCTCTTCTAGACAGCGTCGACGCGCAGGCAGACGCAGAACCCATCTCGTCGTCCGATTCGGAAGCTACGGGTACATCCGGGAACGCGTTCGGCTCGCTGCCCAGCTCATCCTCCATGTCCATAGGTTCCCCCTCCGTTCCATACCATATCTCCATGCAATCACAGCAACCCCCTCGTCCCGACTCGCCCAGCAGTAACATGACCATCCCCAATAACCTCAAATCCGCATCTCATCCCCTCGACCCCTACTCCTCTGCTGCACAAAGTAACAATATCAGCCACTCGATGTATAACAGCATGAACAATCTCCACATTCCTCCCGACTACAACCCTCTAACTTCCGCGGAGCCCGATGCTCTTAATCTCCAGGCCAAGCTGAACGGGTTCGGCCCAGGCCCGTTTAACAGCAGGTCATCCGTGTCGTTCAATCCCTTCCCTCCTCGCAACCGTCCCAGCAACGTTCCCTTCCGCGACACGTCAGCGGCATTCAACACTGTTGCGTACCAGCAGTCCGGGGACATGTTTGCGCAAAGCCAGCAAGCTCAGGCCTCCGCGTTCGGATTCGACACGATGTCCCTTTCCGGTCGTGCACACGACTTCGCCACCGTGGGTGCTCAGAGCCCGTCGAGTTTGGGCGCTAACGGCACCACCCACAACAAGATGTCTTTCTCGATGGATGGGTTCCGCCCGGGTCTGGAAAGTCTGCTGCAGTCGCAGCAGATGAACCAACAGACGTCTCTGTCTGGGTCGCTTCCTCTCCAGCAGCAGGGCTCACAGCAGCCGTTCCAGGGACCATACGGGAACGGTCTTTCCCATCTCTCACATGGACCGCCAGGCGCTCTCCCGTCGCATACGCAGTTCGGGCCTACACTCCCCACCAGTACCGCTGGCACTGGAGCGGCTGCTGGGCAAGGGGGTGCGCTCACGGGAGGTCCGGGGATGAATCATGTGAACGGGGCTGCCCAGAACCATCAGCAGGAAGAGATCTCCACCATCTTCGTTGTTGGCTTCCCAGAGGATATGCAGGTGAGTATCCAGTTTCGGGCATCACCTGCTTTGTTGTCACAGTTGGATCGCATCGACTCATTTGGTTCTACTGCAGGAACGTGAATTCCAGAACATGTTTACGTTCTCGGCTGGATTCGAGGCGGCGACACTCAAAATACCCAACAAAGAGTTCACCGCGTACGGAACGGGAACGAACGGTCCTTCGGGTCCCAATGCGCGCATGCAGTACCCAGGTTCCAATGACCCGTACAACTTGGTGACCATGAACCAGGGTGGTGTCGTCGTCGACGGTGGTCGAGATGGTCAGACGACCTCGTGGCCTGCTGCCGCAGACGATAGCCATTTCATCCCGTCTAATCTGCCAGTGCAACCGCCCCGCAAGCAGATCATTGGCTTCGCGAAGTTCCGCAGTCGCCAGGAAGCACTGGAAGCACGTGACATTCTTCAGGGACGCCGTGTTGACATCGAGCGTGGCGCTGTGCTCAAGGCGGAAATGGCGAAGAAGAATTTGCACACGAAGCGAGGACCGGGCGTGCCGCCGGGTATGCCGATGAACAACAACTTCATGAACAACGCCGCCCCTCCTGTGCCTGAGAATCTGCGGGCTATTCTGGTCTGAATGGCCCTCCTGGTCTCGGTGCGAACACTGCCGTTGGTAACACCGAAGCGCTGGCTCAGCGCGATCGAGAGCTCGGCGCCCTCGGTGCCATGGGCATCACTGGTCTTGGGCAACGCCGAGAGCGCTTGGGCGATAGGCGTGTCGAGGACGAGCGCGAGCGGCGCCGTTCAGACATGGGTCCAGTGGGATCTCTCGGTGCCATGGGCACTCGCGGCGCTCGCGAACGTGCAGAGGAAGATGAACGAGAACGCGAACGGAAGCGCAAGGAACACCTTCGTCTGCGCGACAACTCTGACGCGTTCGAGGCGTTCCATTCTGTGCCCCAGCAGATGGCGCGCCAGAGCGTGAACTCGCTGCTCTCCGCTGAAAACGGTATGATGCCGAATGGTTCTGGCTCGTCACTGCCGTCACCGCCGGCTATGTCAAGTGTCCCGTCTCAAGGCGACGGTATCAACGGTCTGAACAACGGGCCTTGGACCAGTCTCCGGGACGTCGGAGCTAGCGCTGCTTTGAGGAAGATGTCTGCGCCTGTCTTCTCGACGACGACCCTGCCTGCTCGTCCTTCGTCGCCGCCGCAATACTCCCCGCCAGCGATGTTTGACTACCCGGCGGTGCAGAATGGTAACGCGGGACCCGGCAATCACGGCGCCCCATTCTCGCCGCAGTCGAACTCGTCCTCGCTACCCGGCCATCCTTCCCTTCCTACTCGTCCAAGGCCATCATCGCCTGGTACCGAACAACCCTTGCAACAGCCAGGTGGCGCCATTGCAGGTGAGGCTGTCCCGTCTTCGCAGCCTCTCTCCAGTGCGTCGAGCGTCAGCAGCTCGCAGAACGGTCACGACGAAGAATTGTCGCATTCAGTGGCAGCCTTGGCTGTCAACACCGACTCGGGAATGACGTCGCCTCAGCTCCCCTCGCCTGCTTCTGGTGCAAGCTCAGGACGAAACCCTGGTGACCAGAATCCTCCGGTAAGTTAATCTGTTACTAGCTTGAACGGATTATATATCTGACCATCACGTGATAGATCAATACGCTTTACGTCGGGAACTTGCCCACCTCGACTGCAGGCGGTCTGCCACTCAATCATCTGGAGGACCGTCTCAGGGAGTTGTTCTCGAAGAGGCCTGGTTACCGCAAGCTTTGCTTCAGACAGAAGAGCAATGGGCCGATGTGCTTCGTTGAGGTGTGTCCCGTTTTCACGGGGAGATCGACGCGTTTACTCATCAATCGCAGTTTGAGGATGTCCACTATGCCACCAGGGCTCTTCAGGATCTTTATGGCAACACTCTCAGTGGCTTAGTGAAGGGCGGCGGGATCCGTCTTTCGTACAGCAAGAACCCATTGGGCGTGCGTACGCCAACGAGTGCTGGTGGCACGAATGGCTCAAGCATGCAGCAACAACAATCCTTTGCTGCGTCATTCAGCGAGGCTTTCGCTGCGCACAGACAGGCCGAGAGTGAAGGTGCCCGTCCACGTCGTGATACGTCCACGATGACCTCGCCGACGGCCTCTTATCATTATACGACATCTCCGCCTCCTCCGCGCTTCGTGTCCCCGCCACCTTCGGGGCCATTCTCGGCGCTGACGAGCCCCAACGGGACGTTCCCGAGAGCCAATTCTCAGGGGTTCGGCATGGCTCCGGGGAGCACGAACATGTTTTCACCTTTCGGCATTTCACCCACGCATTCCACGATACCCGACCAATCCAATGCTGACGGCAACCCTGATTCCCTCTCGCACAACATCACTCCCACTACCCCCAACCTAGAGCCCAGTCGCGCAGGCTGATTACTAGCTCAGTGTGCATGTATACAGTACTCATATGAACCTCACACCCCTCACATCTCCTGTGCATATTTAGCCTCTGTTACAGCGCCGCTGACATTCGGTTCGGACTTCTTTCCACTTGCAATATCCTCGCAGCACGTTCTAGTTACGTCTCCTATTCGACCTTCGGCTCGGAACGAATTACGACTCGCCTCTTAATGTCTCTCTTTGTTTGTTCTCGCGCACTGTCAGACTGTTCCGGTACATTAGCATTGCCTCCGTCGCTCTTGCATTATTTGCATACATGCTGTTTGGCTAGTCTCACCGGGGTTCATCGTGTTGATTCCCTTTTCGTACATCATATGTATACTACTAAGTATTCTCCCAACTGTCTTATGCCTCTCGGACGAACATGAATGATAACTTCCATGATCACTGCGAGTCTGGCTTGAATAATGCAGCGATTTCATGCCTCTCGCAAGCTACACCACGGGGCGACCGTTGTATCGATTTGATATCTGGGCCGGTCGTTATTTGAGACGTCCGGTAACAACAGTGGCGTGGACTCGTTCAGGTACTGCATCGATATGGTCAGCCGGCGTCAGATCGCTGCCGCGCGCCAGCTCTGCTTGCGGTCGTTTGGATAAGGCATCGATATCCCTTGCTCAACATTCAATCGGTCCCGCTCTCACACTGCGCCAATACCGCAAGAACATGGACGCGTCCTGTGCTACTCAACGCGGGCTGCGTCTCTGTGCAGTCCGTCACATGCCGATGGCTCCACCACTGTTCGAGGCAGGTTGTCGCTGTCCGTGGTCTGCTCGTCAGTCGGACACTGCCCTGCGAAGAAGACGTGCGTGTCAATGCCTTCGCTCCTAGCACAGATTTGATCTTCACCTTTTTTGATTAGCTTAACTATGCTCGTCAACCACAACGATGATTACGAAGATTCACAACCCGGAGACTCCTCGTTATTAATGCGGCCGCGCAGCCCACGCCCGATCCGCCAGGTCGCAGTTCGTGCGCGAGCCGAAAACCGAACCGCGAGGTAAGTCTGTACGTCTGAGGTGCATCGGGATTGACGGAAGATACAATACATAGATTGTTTGGGGCGGGTGGAATACTCAACTCGCAGGAGACCGACTCGCAGGTAATTGGCGCCCTTTCGCATGCGCAAATGCAAGAACACAATGGTGTGTCCCTTCCACCACGACCGTCTTTGACATATGCTGATTTGTGCCTTTTGTCCAGTCCCCTCTACCCTGGAACAACCAATAACTCATTGCGGCCGCGACTCTTTGCTTCCGCGCGGCGAGCATTGCTGTGCGTGTTGCGAGGAGCTTCGCGTCCTGCGTAGGCAACTCGAGCGTATCCGCGAGATCGTGAATGAGGGCCCTCCGGCAAACACTCGAGAGGACGATGCCTACTCCGATAACTCGGACATGTTCCTTTTGGATCCTGAGCAGCAATCACAGTCTGTACTCTCTCCGGAGGAGGCCAAGCAGCGCGGAATCGACACTTCACGGTATGACATTGCCTTATATTTGTATACAATTCACACTGAGTTCTAACTGTTCATAACCCTAGCAATCGCGGCATGAAACGGAAGCGCAAGAATGAGACTACGGACATCTACACCGGCTACAACGGCCTAGGCGTTAGGAGGTGGTAGAAGCGACGAGTAGCCAGTGTCTTTGATGTATACATAAGGCTTAGATGTTGCCCTTCCGGCATTGACTGCATATTGGAACAACACAGACTCTGTGGGCCAGTTGGCCTTGGCCCTGAGCAGCGTTGTGGCGCAGACGCGGGATGCGCGGACCTGGTGTGCCTGAGGCTCATTCTCGATTGCATTTGCATCTCTCTTCTTTCCTCTCCTCTGTGCTCTCTTCTGACGTCTTGTAAGAACCAAATGGCTGAATTTCAACGTTCACAAGGTATGTTCTCCATCTCACCCCTTGCTGTCCACTGACATGGAGATGACAGACTTCGAGATCGACGGGCCTAGCGGACGATGCACAATTTGCCCCGGCGTAAATAAATGGATGCGGCTCACCCACCTTCGAGCCCACGAAGTTCAGAAAAGCCACAAGGATGCCGTCTCACGCCTACCGCGTATCCAGACCGCCCCGCAAAGCTCTCAGTCCACAACAGAAGCTGCGCTGCCGGATCTTGCCCAGGGTCCGAGGTCGCACCTAGTAGGCTTGTCGGACAGCATCGAGATGAACGACTGGGAATTCGATGCGCCAGCTGATTGGAGTGCCGACAAGGCATATCATGATGAGCCGCAAGTTCCTAGTCATCTCTCGCGCGACATGCAAGATGCGCTCGCAGGCCATGTTGCTTTTTCTGCCGGAGAGGAGTTCACGGGACGAGAGGATGCGGTTGCTTCATTGAACGATGCACTCAGGGGTTCTGACCTCTTCGAGTGCTTCATGCCGCATAGTGACGAGGTACCACTGCCGGAGAACGACTTTGACACGTTCGATGAAAGCGAGATGCTTGCTGCTATACGTGAGTCTCACCTTTGACAATCTGCAAGAGTCTCGCAATGAAATGGCTTTCAATCAACAGCTTCAAATGCCCCGACGACTGCTCAAGAGATTTCCGATTCAGTCTTTGGGTCAGGTGCGAGGGTGGCGGAGGATTTCTTTCCATATCCGAGCAAAGGGGTGAGTTACGAGATTTTATCCAACCATATGAACTGATTGACGGATGTCTGGTGGTCAGATGATGAAGACAGATATATTGTTTAGTTCCCCCCGGCTACGATTCTCCCGCGAGCAACAGGAAGCGATCCTTGCTTGGGGAAGGGGTCTCGGTGCGAAAGACGTTCCCAGTCTGTATGCGGTCGAGAAGTTCCAGAAAGCTGCTCTGGATACTGTTGGCGATCCTACGGTGAAAGTGCGAGCGGAGTCAGGTAACCTTTTGTATATGAACTCATTGTTGAATGCAATGTCCCGGGTAAGACGGCAACCGGCAGTTCACGTTCTGCCGCAAACTGACGCTACCTCCGATACTCAGGATTACGCGCATCCAGAGACCCGCCAGCAAATTCGTGCATATCCTGAATACCCTACCGGACCGGTTAGCGAGGTGTGGCAGTCATCAAAATGGCTCGTCGATGCACCCGACGACGTGCTCACGCCAATGGCTCGGATCGAGGGCAAGGACTACTATGTTAAGGAATTAGCATATTGTTGCGATAAGACGTGGTTCGTGCCAATGCGTTTCTTCAAGCGCGACACGGAAATGTGGGCAGTCGGACATCGCACATCACAGTCATCAGTACGTCTAACATTGTATGCCGATTCCCTGTTATGAAGCGAATCTTTTCGGGTACTAGGATGGCCTTCATGTCGCTACCGAGCGTTCAGTTGAGCGGTGTGCAAACTTCTTGAACAATTGGCCAGAGATTGAGGCGCACACAGCAGGTCGAAAGGTCTTCGCTGGTGAGGCTTGAAGGCTCTGTGTGTGTGACCTGACAACCTGAGGATTCCAACAGATGACTCCATCGAGTGGGCGGCCTGCATGCCCAATCCAGACCGCGCAATCGCAGACGGCCTGGAGTGGGAGTGTCCCCCTGTCATCGTCTTCATTGATGATGTGTCCGGAAACAGCACGAAGCAGTGGAACGTCCATTACTCAGCGTACATGTCAAACGCCGCAATGCCTCGTTCATCGCTCGAAAAAGAACGCAACATACGGTTTGTAGCGACTTCGCCACATGCTTCACCAATGGAGATAATGCAGGCGATTTGCAATGATCTGAAGTAAGCGCGTCCACTTGCATATAGCAACTTCATTCAAGTTGCTCAATGAGCCTTGACAGAAGTGCGGGTGGCTCGACACCGGTCAGGGCATGGGACTCAATACGGAAACGGCATATCCTTCTCCGTCCCTGGCTTCTCTTCCTGCCCGGTGACAATCCGATGCAGGCAGAGCTATGCAGTCACATCGGGCTGAATGCGAACTTATTTTGTCGGTGTTGTATGGCAGGTGGCACCAAGGCCTTCAAAGAGTCGAATGACGGCTTCTGCTCGCTCATGGAGGTAATGGGTTTTGTATTTAGCATCGCCGAACTAGGATTGACATTCTTAATCAACCCATAATAGCCTGGACAGCCTCGCAACCCCGTCGAGACTCGCAATGCAGTTCTGGAACAGCTCTCGAACGCAACACATGCTGCCGCGAGCAAGCCTTTGCAAGATGCAATGACGAAGACAGGTGTTAAGGACAGCTTGGCGATGCCTGTCATCACGCGTCTCCTGACAATTGGTAAAGCCCTGCGACGCTCAACTCCGAGTCGACGGCCTGTTAGTATTGTTGATACCGAAAAATACCTGCGCGAAGAGCTTCTCAAATTGAAGCAGAGCTCCATCGTCAATCCGCTCCTTGACATGCCAGGTGAGGCTACACTTCTGTCATCCCTGTACTGCTCTATTTTTGAACTGGTTGTGTGACGTCTTAGGGCTTGATGTGCATAAAGATACACCTGTCGAACCCCTTCACACGGTCATTCTAGGCATCATCAAGTACTTCTGGGGTCAGACGACATGGACGATCGAGAAGCAAGGTCAATGGGCCATTTTCCAGGCACGCCTTAACTCGTTGGACCAATCGGGTCTCGATATTCCCAATATCATGGCGGATTACATCTGTCGCTACCGCGGGAGCCTCATTGGGAAGCATTTCAAGACAATTAGCCAGGTCATCGCCTTCGCGGCTGTTGGCCTTGTGGGTCAGAAGCTACAGGACGCATGGCATGCTATTGGCCGCCTCGTCGTTCTCATCTGGGAGACTGAAATACATGATTTGAAGTCTTACACGGTGCAGTCTGATTTCTTTTTTGTCGTCTCACTGGCAACATGAATTGGAGCTGACAACAACTTCTTCAGGACGAGCTTCGGTCTGTCATTCAAGATGTTCAAGACTCTGCCGCCGCGCTCAGCCCCAGCTTGTTGACGCTCAAGAGCAAATTTCACATCCTCTTACACCTACCAGAACATATCCTTCGGTTTGGTCCTGCACTGCTGTTCTCGACTGAGCGCTACGAATCGTTCAATCGCATTTTTAGGCTCTGCTCAATACACAGCAACAGGCAAGCCCCTAGTCGGGACATTGCAGTCGCATTTGCGAATCAAGATCGCTGCCGCCATGTCATGACAGGCGGGTTCTGGCACGACTCGAAGCAAAAGAAGTGGGTATCGGCATCACCAGCTGTTATAGACCACTTGAAGGAGTCTCCACATGACGCACGGCTTCTCGGTGTGGCTGTAGTCAGAACTCCACAGCCTGGAACGATGACATTTCCACCGTTGTCTCGTTCAGAACCCAACAGTGCAAGGGACCTTACCTGGAGCCAGACGAAGGCAATGCAATTGGCCCCGGGGAACGAGATGCGCATTGGGCTATGGCGTGCAGCTCAAACATTGGTAACGAAGACGGGAGATACAGCTAGGGAGGGATCAGAGGTGCTGATACACGATCGACTTGGTGACTCGGACGTAAGATGCTCACTCTTGTACTCTCGGTGATCACTTTTGAGCGCTGAAAATTGCCAAACAGGCATCAGGTTCTCTGCTATTTGGTTCAGTCATACAGCTGCTCGCGCCGATCTCACCCGAAGCTCGACCAGCCGTTGTTGTACGCCTCTCGACCCTTCAATCCCATGTACACAATCTGCTCAAACTTCCTGTCCTCGAACGGACTGGCCCAGTCAAGTATTTTGATGCGCAGGTTCGTCCGCATGACCACTGGTTCAAGGACGACAGACGGGACTGATCATATACACGGCCCGATCAAATCAGGACATCGTATGTGTGGTGAATATTCAACACGACTGTGCTACGCAGGGCTGTATCGCAGATGCGAGGGAAGCCTTGCGCCAGGAACGTGAGGAGACCAGTCGGACACGAGCTATCATCCGTCACCGAGACACCACTACTTTCATTATCAATATGCACTCAATTCACAACCGACAGTACCTCAAAAAAGCGATTCCATCGTCGCTTCAGCAACGTTCACCGCTTTTCGAGGACCGTGATCGCCTCCACATGGACGCTGCAACATCGCTCCGTGACCAAAAGCTTCAAAAGAAGATTGCAAAGGACACGGCAATTCGGAAGCGCGCCGAAGAGGCGTTGCGAGTTGCAAATGAGCGAGGGGGCCTCAGTACGGTCCTGCTGGAGGAAGAAGGCCGCGAGCTGCCTGATGAGGTATCAATACCTCTTGACACGAACACGGCGGAGCACGACTTGAGTAATCCACAAAAATTTGTTTCCGTGATACAGCTTTTAATGACAACCTAACAGATGAGCTCACAGAAGGGAGCGACACTCATTCACGGGGTAACGGGCTACCACACATTGTGCCTGCCTTGCCGTTGTCCGAACCTATCCCCTTCGACGACCTGTTGTTGCCGCGCGGCCCAAGACAACGCCGCACACACGAGCAACCAACAATGTCCAGCATGGCAGAAGGGTCTCGACTGCATGCCATCGAATTCCAATCCTTCACCACGCAGTTGGACGAGCCATTCATGGTTCGCCAAGGCCGAGGTGATGACACAGAGCTGCAGTCTGAGCCAGGCCCAAGCCATGTGAGAGGGCGGGGGCGGGGGCAAGCACGAGCACGAGGGCAAGCGCGAGGGCGAGGGCGAGGGCGAGTGCAAGCGCGAGGGCGAGGGCGAGGGCGAGGGCGAGCGCAAGCGCAAGGACGAGGGCAAGTGCAAGAACCAGAGGGTCACCAAGCGCTTCGTGGCGAGCAGATGACCTATGAGGCCACACTTGCTGCGAGCACGGTCGCGAACCCTGTTCAAGGCATAACAGACAAGGGTTAGTAGACAAACAATAGCCAATCTCTCGACGTACTGATCTCCTGTCACCTCTGTGGTGCACTGTAGGCGGAGCAAGCATGCAGCACCTTGATATTGCGCATCCACCAAAACGTCGGTGGGAAGAGCTGGAAGAGGCAGAAATAATGGGTCAGGATACAGGATAACAATGTAAACCATCGGACGGACCTTTCTCCATGTTTCTGAGATGTCTTGGGAAATGACATTCGAGTGCTTGTACCTACTTTGAGAATCAGGTACTCAGCAGTGCTCGAACGCGCCGGGTGTCTGCACGCGAACGCGACCGACGCGTCGGCAACACGTGCTGCGATACTTTGGTTCCTGGATGACCCACACTTGTCGTGCTGGCAGGTTTCCTGCAGAGCAGCAACCACTCAATCCCCTGTCACTGGGGAGTCTCCGCCGTCATTGGACTCACCGTCCCCTTGAAAGCTCAGACCCATCATACAGGCTGCCTCATCATGGATGCGATGTTTCAGCAATATCGTCTCAGCCGCCCCAACTCGCGCTCCCCTTCCCAAAATCCCGTGGGCACGACACCTGTGCCAGGTGCTCAGACAAACGTTAACGGTGGGATGCCGGCGGGCTCACACACTGAAGGCTCTATCAGTAAGTCGAATGATCATATAGATAAATCCTACTCAACAGTTGAGATCAGCACCTAATGCCCCGAACGCAACGGCCCAAGCCGGGGGCATCACAACCTGGATGCCAGACGCCATGCGTGATGACGAAGATGAAGGCTTAGGCGGCCTACCTCCGTGTGAGTGTCGCTGTGTTCGCCATTGTTACCCTCGAGGATGATTAACAACTCGAGATAGCTACGATACCTGCCCGTCGTCAGGCCTTGGATGACCTCGCTCCGCCGCCATCTGCTCAGCGCACCGGGATCCCAGGACATATTCTGCGCGCACAAGCTCGCGAGAAATGTCAAGTGAACGGTTTGACACCGGAGCAGACGGATGCGGTCCTTGAATACTGTGCTGTTGAGTTGTCAGCCCAGCCTTCAACATGAACAATCACTCACCGTGAACCCATTGTAGCTGACAATCCAGGAGATGCTCGTTGACCTCAAGATCCATCAGTTCCATAACGAGAACGACATCCTGAAGCGCTTCTTCCGGATCTATTCAGACCATCCCGACTTCGCGGTGAGCACCTACCTTTTACGGGCATGCCTTGCTTCTCATCACCTCATGGCTTCGATATTCCACGTTCAATGTGAAGCTCCGCCTCCGCCACCGCATCGCGGGTCTCCTCCTGGCAGCTAACACGCCTGCTTATCTCAACGGCTTTCTTACCTACATCTTGGTCAGTGATTAATATTCCCCAGGTTTTCGGGACAAGTAGTGACATACATCTCTCAGGAACATGTCAACAAACATCTTGAAGAGCTTGGACTGCCCACGTTTTGCAAGGACGACCCGGCATATTGGCAAATCGTGAAAACGATTGCGGCGCACGAGATTGCGCAGCTAAGATCTGCTTTCAGGGGAAGGGTACGTGTCAATGTGTATCAGTGTCCATTGTCCTCACTGATCGCCGTGTAGCTCGACCTCTCGATCAAGAACAATACCGACATCTATGGGCTCGCAGCTCAGGTCATGATGTACGACATGAAGGCGAAGAAGGAACACTGGGGCCGACTGGCATTCTTGGTATGTCGCTCCGTGTACTTATACAATGAGAAATTTTCTCACCGCTGTCTATTATTAATAATGTCAGCGTCACTGCGCGGTCACATGGGAGACGTTACCTACGAGCAAGATCAACGAGCAGGGCAAGAAGGTCAAGGTCAAGAGGCCCTCCTTCTGGGCATATGTGGATTCCGAGCTCAAGAACATCCGCATTGCGAGTGCTGCTAACAACGCCGATGAAGAAACCCGCAAGGAGAATCAAGCGAGGTACGTGCTCATATGCCACATCTCGATCAAAGCGTCGTCTGATTGAATTCATGCTCAGTTTCTTCAAGGCGATTCTCAATGCTGATCTCAAGACCTACACTACATCGAGCGGAGAATATGCCCGAGTATATCGCCCTGGCGATTTGCTCACGCGCAACCAGCGCTTGGGGGAGGACATCGCAGCGGCCTTTGATGTTGATGACACTGGTGCTCCCCCGAAGGCGATGGAGGAGGTCGCTGAACCCGGGGAAGACGAGTAAAGTCCTCTTGTTTGAATCCGTGACCACTGTATGTTCGTATAGTACAGTGAATGAAAGCCGTCTCTGCTCGCATCTGTCTATCGTGCGATGTAATCTGGTTTCGATTATATGGGCGGGTGAAAACGTGACGAGAAAGTAGGAACGCGGTCTGTTTTTGGTATTGGGCGCCTGTCATACGGTCTCCAGTCTATGTACAAGCCATATCGCCACGATATCAAGAGGGGACAGCACACATATCGACGGGGAAATAGCATATCCAGGAGTGACGATGGCATATCGGAGTCAGTCCAATAGGCATATCAGAGCCATGTGTCAGCCACACACGGGCGAGGTCGCGATACGAGATCAATCCGATACATGGTTCGGCCCGTGGTGTAGATGCGACGAGTGGCAGGCCGTCGGGGCTCTGGTGCTTCAAGCACCCACCGACTGCCGGAGCTGCAGGTATGATTCAGACTCTGGTGCACCCTCGATTGGGAGTATGCAGCGTCGACACAGTCCGGTCAGCGTTAGTGCAGTGTTATTATGTTACATGTATACGGTCGGCGGGGCGCTAGACTCGTTGACCGTGACTCTCAGCACTGCTCGCCGTATACGCGAACGGTGACTGGGTTTAGATGGAGTCCCAGCGACGCGTTGGTCTATTCCTCGCGTCCATCCGATGAGCTCAGCTAACACATTCTTGTAGCTCTCTACGCCTCCAGTCGATATCCGAACCATAATCGAGAACCTGACACGCGCCCAAGTCGACGAGAGGAATGTCAGAGTTTATCCACAAGGCATCCTCCCACCGAACCTCTGCACTCGCATTCCGCTCGAGATCTTTGAGACCATCATTGACTACTTGGATGGACTGACGTTGCCCAGCGCGGCGTTGGTCTGCACAGCATGGTACCCTCGAGCCATGCATATTCTCTACCACACCGTCGAGCTTCGCACCCGCGGAGGCTTTGACATGCTGTTGAAACAGTCTCGCACATCTCGGCGTGTCAAGCAGTGGCTCGCAACCACCCGCGAACTAGTCGCCTCGAACCCACCGGTCACATCAGACCTATCTCCAAAGGAGAGGAAGAACGATCGCTTCCTCCACGCACTACCCCTTGCCCTTGGACGTGCAATGTCCGGCGTGCATGTCCTAATGATGAAAGGGCTGCATGGCTCCATGCCCTATGCTTTCATCCTTGCGCTCGCGCAATTCGAATCACTCCAGACACTACATTTATCTTCTTGCAGGCTAAGCAACATCGCACATCTGCGGCGGATCGTCGCCTCCTTCCCTAAACTCGAGGAGCTCGCATTGTACGGCGAGGTACTCACAACACAGAGTTCTGGAATCCATGTGGGAGCCAGTGCGCTGTTCCAGCCCGAATCTGACATACGTCTTCGACGTCTTACGATTGACGCAAGGGGCGACGCGAGGAAGTTCAAACCCATCATCGACTGGGTCGTGCACGCGAGGATCTGTACTTCCCTCGTTGAACTGTCAATCGGGTGGATAGGCGAACCGACACGGAGCATCGAGGCAGTTGATAGGCTTCTCAGGGTAGCCAGTCCCTCCCTGACGCGGTACAGTGAGGTCGCCAACCTTTCCAGTGAGTGGCCATCCCACTGATTCGAACTTTCCCGCTGAAACGAGTACTTGCTGTAGACTGGCATGGCAATCTCATACCAAACACGGTTTTGCGGTCCTTAGACTGCACGCTAACCAACATTAATCCACTGGGTCAGTCATCCGACAACTGGCCCAAGATGGTGGACAAGCTGCGCAGCATCCTCTCGACAGTTCGAAGCCGCCAGCTCGAACACATTGGACTGAGCTCCGGGGTAATGCTCTACGACAGCGCGTACGGTGAGCTGGGCGTTGTTGTCGAGAAGCTGGACCTGCGACACCTGCATGAGGTCATGAGCAGGCCGTACTTCGATGCGCTGAGGGAGATCAAGATGAAGACGTTGCTATATGATTCGCACAAACGGAGCGCGGCGGACGTGGACGACATCGGGCGAAAGATCGAGGTCGTGTTTCGTACCCTGCTTCGGCCATGGTCGGACCGCGGCATAGTCGACGTAGTCTGGACGCAATGAGACACAATCTCAACGATAAAGATGTGAGCGACCTATTCCGCAATGATATGCCAGTGCAGAGGCATGTATCTTACTTCCTGTGTTGTCAGTGTTGAATTCAATGATGAACCTGAACCTGAACTCACCTACATTCCGCCACGGGCTCGCTCATCTATATGTATCCATCAGCGCTTTTGAACAACAACAGAATGCATTCCTGAGACTCTACACAGTCATACCAACATAAGCTTAAGAACAGCAGTACAACGGAGACATAAGCATGCGGTGACATATCCCTAGCTAACCATTGTCCCCCTCCTTCGCACCAGGATCTGGAGGTGCAGGCTCCGTTGAGGACGGCGATGCCGCCACAGCCGCCCCCACTGCACCGAACTTTAGCTTAATCTTCTTGGGGCCCTCCTCAGCTGCTTTCGTCGGGCCAACTTTACTGGGGATTGGTGGCGGGTCCGAGTTCTCCTTCTCGGGGCTCTGCGATATACTTGGGCGTTTCGACCTGGTCGCTAAACGCTCAAGCAACTCGTCGTCGTCGTCATCTCGTCGCCGTTTCGCACCCAGCTCCGGTGGCTTGCTACCGACAGGCGAGGGTGACGCAGGTCGCGAGTGGTTGAAGATTTGCTCCAAGAGGTCGTCCTGCTCGTCGCCCGATTGTGACACCAAGGGTTTAGGCGGGATTAGTTTATGGGACATCCGCGGGCTAGCGGGGGTTCGTCGGCGGTGGAGAGGTAGCTGCTGGTCGCTTCGGGAAGTTTACGTGGTATGGATGGTGACGCCAACGCAGGCGGCTGTTCCGTCTGCGCAACGCGGATGTCGAAATCCTCGGTACCATTAAGGTCGTCGTTGTCACCGTACGCAGCAAGTGCGCTCAGCGGCTGGGACGAAGGGGTGGCTGTGTGCGGAGGCTGCTGCCTCCGCATGATGCCCGCGCGTTTGCGCTTCAGTGTGTTACTACGCTGGGTGGGCGGAGGTGAAGAAATGATGGGCAAAACATCTTCGTCGTCGTCGGCGTTGAAATAGTCTTCTTCCTCGGCCTCTGGGAAGCGACCCTGTCCCCAGCGCCGCGCACCGTTGGGTATTGGACTGCGGTATAGTTAGCAATTTCGGTCAAGCAGTATGAAAATCCCTGCACATACGGCTCGGGCTTCTTTTCCTCCTCGGGTGGAGGTGCATTGTTCATCTCCCAACGCCGGATGAAGTTCTGGAACCGGGGGCCGAGCAGGGGATTCTCGGCCAACGCCCGTATCTTCACCTCGTACACTGTCATACAGTTATGGATTGCCTCCTTCATGTTCTCCTGTGTGCGCACATCGAGGGTAAATCTCGGTTCAAGGCTGTCGTCGGGCGATCGTCACAAACCTTCCGCATGTGCTCGAACAATTCCTGACATGATGCACTAAGAAGCGTATCTCTTCGCGATTCCTCAGCAGTGAGAGTAAGGATAGACTGGAATACATCGTGCTTGAAGAGATGGTTGAAAATGTTCTGGTTGTTGAGCTTGACGCATGCCCGGAAAAATCGGAAGGCGGCTAGATAATCATCAACGCGGGGTCCGGGATCTATCCGTTGCGGAAGCATACCTAATCTGAGATGTTTATCTCTGGCGGTCAAAAGAGAGGCTACGCGTGTCGCGATGTTGGACGAGAGAATGAAGAAATGGATGCGGAAGGTGTGTTGTAGCGTAAACACAGATAGCAGGTCACACAGGTACAAGAATAGGTTAGTCCGTTCCCTCGACATCGTGAGACGCGGTTCTACAGAGATGTCAACACACGATGGGTTCGAACGAACGTGCAACCTGCCTGTTAGTGTCTTGAACTCGGGGATATCGCCGAAAGGCCTGAACAGGGTCTCGATGCAGAACTTGTAGAAGTTATCAAGGAAGCGCTCAACGCCAGGTTCATCCTTGTTACGCTGCAGGTATTTTAAACCAGCCATCGGCTATACTGCATGAGAAACCAAGCGCACCAGAGAACAGCCCTCACTCACGTGTACATCCGGTGGCTCTTGCTGCGTCTCCAACAGCGTCCTGAGAGACTCGCCGAGCTGACTCTGCACCGCCAAATCTCGGCTCTTGACGAGCACCCTGCACATGAGGAACAGCATCGTCTCCCTATCCGGCACCTTCTTGCCCATCGACTTCTCCCTCTCCGCCGCCACAACCTGCTTCAGCACATGCCCTCGCACGCCGTTCAAGTCGTGGTCAAGCAACCCCGTGAGAATTTCGCCAGCAGCGGCGATCATCTGGCGGCCCTGCTCGTCCGACTCGGTTTGAGACAGCGCCCACTGCACACCGAAAAGTATCCCCCTGTCGACCAGCGCACGGAAGAGAGCCATCCGCGCGGGAAGTTGGACATTCTTTCCTATCACACAGAGCTGTTGGATCAGGAAGATGATCTCGCGAGCCCGAACTTCCTCTTCCTCTGTGCAAGGTCGTGGGCGACACACACCGTCTGCGGTCGTTCCATTCGGATACGGAACGCCGCTAGGGACCGCTCCTGAGCATCGACGTCCATCTTGTCCTTGTTGTTCACCAGATCCTGCGGATGCACCTTGCGCAGCGGTTCAAGGCCCAACAACTCGATCATGTTGTCGTCCAGAAAGGTACATACGACCTCGAGCAGGAACGCAGGGTCGTTTTGGACATGGTTAATGATATCGATCTGGTTGAAGATAATGCAGGAATTCAGGACATTGAATGTCGAGTCATCAATGGCGCGGGCGAGTACGACGTCCTTGAGGAACTGGAGCCTGTATGTGTGATGGATCTTCTTCTGAATCGCCTCGTCGCGGAGGGCCACTGGCTGGTGGAAGCGCGACGTCTGGTGCAGGAATTCGCGATAATTGGCTTTGTGAGTGGGGAACTCGGGGTCGTCTAGAGTATGGGCTAGTCAGTGTGCGCGTAAGGGGCGGAGCGGCGTGACGGACATTCCAGCATCCCGACGACACCGAAGAAGATGTCATCCTCCAGGATGTGTTCATAGAGGCTGTGGTCGTTGAGCATAACTGCAAATGCTGAGTCGGGGTTTGTAGCAGAGAACGATGTGATACTCACGGATGGTCTGCATACACGAACATAGAGCATGTAGATTCTCTAGACTCTCGAGATCCTCGGCCTGGTTCATGACATTGATCATTGCCTTTATATAGTCCTACACGCGCTTGCCGTGAGACACAAGGCCGCAGCACAGTCGGCCCTACACTCACCTCAGCTTGAATGTACTCACATATGCGCTCCTTGATGGCGTTTGTGCGCGCAAGAGACTTGATGGCACGTTCGATCTCAGCAATGATTCCTAACTGAGGCGGTGGTAGGTGACCGGAGCGAATGATACTCGCGGTGGATACTAATGGCTCAGGACCCAAGATCGGTGAAGAAGAGAGTCCCGTGTCCTCTGCAGCAGTCACAGTCAATGTATGCGGTGATAGTGATGCAGAGACACGCACCACGGTTGCTCATATGTCGCTGCACCTCCTGAATGAAATGCCACACCTCCGCACAACCCTCTGGATCCTGGAAGCTGAGCGCGTAATCCACCCCATCTGGTTCGGTCCATACGATGAGAGTGTCTGCACAGCGCTCTTAGCACGCATTCATTAAACCAACACATGCTTATCACTCACCCTGCTGCCTCTGATAAACGTCGTTCGTCCGAATGGTCGTCGAGAGGATGACATGGTTGAAGTCGGACTCTGCGCGAGCGATCAGCAGCGCCTCGTTGTCCTGGAAGTCGCCGAAGCAGAAAGCGGTGCCCTGGTCGACCCAGCGCGAGCCGATGAGTTCGTATACCTTGACACGCTTCAGCTCGTGACTATCTTCCTCCGTCCACTGGCCAGACTCGTCGCTGCCCAAGACCGCACCCTGCTCCGGCTCCGGCTCCGCTCCCTCGATGTGCTCTACCTCGCTCATGGCCACGACCCCCTCTCCCGGCTGCAGTGCCCCCGGGCCGATTGGGGGTTCCGGGGCGGCCCCCACTTTCTCCACGCCATTGACGCGCCCGTCGGTTTCCAGAGATGGCGCAGAGAGCCCAGCGACGCCATCGCCGAGGGCCTCGCCCGGGTTGGCGGCGGGTGATGGCGCAGGCTGTTCGACTTGGTCGGGCGTGGCGTCAAGGGTCTGGGTCTGGGTTTCTGTGGCGGATCCGGCAGCATGGACGCTGCTCATGACAGTGAGGAGGGCCACAGCGCGTGGGAGGGGTGTGTGCGATAACAGGTGAAAATGATGTAGGCGGGGTGGTCGAGGTTGGCGACCAAGGCGTGTTTTCCGATGTTTGCAGCACTCCGCGTTTGTCACGCGCGTTTGGTCCGCCCTCGCGTGTTGCGGTGGCCGTCCTTGCCTCTCCTGCCTCTCACTCCCAGCCACCGCCGTGCAGCCTGCTCGCGTGCGGAGGCCGCGTAACGCCTATTGCTCGCCGTGTTTGCCTTGCCCCGCGTTGTCGACGTCACGGGCTCCGGCAACCAATAGAGGTCGCGTGTCCGAGTGATCGCTTGTCGCCCGATCTTGTTTGGTCATTCTATTGTCGTTTCACAACGTGGACTCTATATCCAAGTCGATGTCGCCGGGACACTGGCTCATGAAAGCCGAGCCTGACTCGCGCGTCGTGAAGGGCAAGGACGTCAAGGTCCGTGGCGGGTATGGCCTCCGTCATCGGGGCAAAGTTGACTCCGGAGGCGCAGTTCAGCGTGGACGATTTTGAGAACGTGAAGACGACGCCTTGGGAGGGCGTCAGGAATGCCGAGGCGCGGAACTTGATGAAGGAGATGAAGGAAGGGGATCAAGTGAGTCCACCCGATTGAAGGCGTAAGCGATGTGCGATAAACCGCGGGGTAGGTACTGTTCTATCATTCCAATTGTAAGGTTCCAGGCATCGCGGCCTTCGCGGAGGTATGCTGTACAGCTTACGAATAGAAGGCGTTGTCTGAGTCTAAGGTTGTAGGTTTCCAAGGAAGCCTATCCCGATTGTGAGTGTGCTTTCGACCGATAGAGTTACTGAGCTAAGACACGCGAACTTCCACCCACAGACACCGCTTGGGACCCGTGCGTCTCGTAATGTCCACCGTGCAGTGTCTTACAAATGCCGATCCTCCCAATGTACAGATCACATCCGTATTACGATCAGAAAACCGACAAGGAGAAGCCTAAATGGTATATGGTCGATGTGACCTTCGTCTCCCGTGCAGCGCACTTCATCCCACTTGCACTCCTGCGGAAGATATCCCTCGTATCCGAGGATGATGTCCCAGAGGAGGTAGCTTACATCGGGGAGGAAGGTGTGAAGTCCATCAAACGTATGTGCGGCTTGTCCCTCCCACTCCCTTTGGTTTGCCTTCCCTTCGAATGCTCACCTCAGACGTTTCCACAGAGATGGCGCTAGTAACCCGCGGCCGGCTCAGTGTGCAGAGAGTGGACGAGAAAACGTGGGACGTGATACAACAAATGGCAGACAAGGGTGGCTGGGACGCAGACACAGTCACACGGAGCAAAGCGAAAGCTAGACCTGCACCTGCGGGGAAGAATCGAAAGACCAAGAGTACTGCTAGGAGGAGTCGGCAAGCTCGTGAGGATGAAGACGAAGGGGATGGCGCAGAAGATGCTCCAGACGAACAGCAAATAGAGAAACCAACCACTAAGAGCCAGGGTCGGAAGAGGAAGGCAGAGGAAGACCATGACGAAGCGGCTGCAAAGTCCAATCCGCGGCGGTCGACTCGGGCCCGAAAGTGATCTGCGGACCTGCATGCCCATGTATTCTGACTGATTTCTCTGGTCCTCTGCTCGCTGTCTCACATTCTTGCGTATATGTGTACAACATTGTCTGTCTAGGTTAACTACTCCCTTTTGCGCTGCTCTCTGGTATGAGAACGGACTTGTACACATGAAGCTGGGTCTCGGGTTCTACACTACCTCCTTGGTCCGTTCCTCACCTCCAGGGTTTGCTTCTGCCTTGCCCGCCTGTTCTGCTCCTTCTATCTCTGTCGCACCCGCGACCATCTCGTCCTCATCACCCTCCTCATTACCCGCTTCGCTCACTCTGCTTGCCTTTCCCCCTCTCCTCCGTCCCTCAGTAGCAAACTTCCTCTTGGGAATGACTGCTTCGAGCGCCTCCTCCCAGTTCCGTGTCTCCACCCACTTCAGGAGGATCTCAAACGTCTGATTGACGGTGAGGACCTTGCGTGTCTTCAGCGACGCAAGGTACGTTCCTATCGGGAGCCGAGCCGAGCGGATCCCTGACGACTCCGCCTTGTCGAAGCAGATATTCTAGTGACAAGAGTCATGGAAATAATGATCAGAACGTCTGGGTCGATGATGATGTGGAGAGGGGCCATGCACCTTGTAGCGATTATGGTCACATAGGCCACCAATGATGTAAGTCTCCCCTTCTTTGAGCTCCGCAAGCTCGTCTTGCGAGTCTGCGGTGAGATATACGACGGATTCCTTGGGGGCTGATGAAGGTGGTCCCTCTCTGCCACTGCGAGCACATCCAGCCTGTTGCTCTGAGTCACCGTCCGCTGCGCCGTTTCCTGCGAGAATGCCTTTGCCTTTAGTAGCTCCCTCCTCGCTGTCTGCTTGTAAAGGCTGCGCTACTTCTGTCTGTGTCCCTTCGCCTTCCCCAGAAGTCAAGGACTGTTCGTCGGCTGAGCTCTCGCCGTTCGCCGCCCCGGGTTGTTCCCATAAGCGTTGGTATCCCTCCGTCCACCACTCAGCATTTACCCACCGCTTATATGCGGCGTTGTTCGTCTCCTCCATGCGCGTATACGTACGCCCATCCAACGACGTGAACAGTAACCGCTCGAAAGGCTGCTCCGCCTTTCTGTTCGCACTATATGTGTAGGCGAGCTGCGACGTGAGCGACTTCACCTCCTGCGCGCGCAATGTCCCTTACACAAGCTGTACACAACCTCTAGCAGGCGAGCACTCACGTTGTCGGTCATCTTGTCGTCGAAGCCAAGGTCGACGACGACCCTCGCCTTGAACGGCCTCTTCGGGCCAGCCCCCATCCTGCGCTTCTTCCTCGCCCGGGCGTCCTCGTCCTCGTCCAGCTCTCCCGCCGCCCGCTTTTCCGCGAGGATGCGCTTCTTTTCCTTCCGCCTCTCTTTCTCCGCGGCGCGCCGCTCCTTCTTCTGCTCGGCGAGGTGCGCGGCTTTCGCGAGACGCTTCTGTGCGTTTTTCGAGAGCGGCTGCGCGGGCTCGCTCGCAGGCTGCTCTGTGGTAGCAGGCGAGTCTGCAGCAGACTCTGCGGATGGTGCGGGCTGCTCTGTCTCGGGCTGCATGCTTAGGGAGGGTGGGGATAGAAAGGTCGATTATCCCGCGACGACAGGGCGATCGAGAGTCCCCGCGATCGGAGATGATCGGCTTGCCGCGAGGAATCTGGCAATTGATTGCAGACATGCGCTCGCGCCCTCGACGACCCGCCTGCCTGCTTCTCCTTCCTCTCCTCGTCGTGTTTGTGTTTGGCCTCTTTCGTAACTGGACGGCGCTCTCGTCGACTACCCCACAGGACCAGCGGAAACCTTCGACGCCAATCGACGACAACATGGCAGCGCTGCCGCCGCTCAGGTTCCTCACCGTCAACCCGCGCACGAAGCACACCGCGACCGTCATCTTCATCCACGTCGGTACCCCGTACCCACCCAGATGTCCTGGGGTTGACGTGAGGACTTACAGGGACTTGGTGATACGGGACATGGATGGAAACCGGTGGCAGACATGCTCAGCCGCGACGCAGGCCTAGGCCACATCAAATGGGTGCTCCCACACGCGTACGTTGTCCTTCCGGGTCGTGTACCACACCATGAACGCAAACTCAAGGATCCGATAGACCGTCGATTCCCGTGACGGCCAACATGGGCATGCAGATGCCATCCTGGTGAGCCTGCCCTCTCCTTCGTCTGCCGCCGTCCCAACCCCCTCTTCACTTAGGTTTGACATCTTCGACTTCGATGCCCGCGCAGCCGAGGATGAGCCGGGCATGCTCAAGTCTGTCACCTCCATCAACAGGCTCATCCAGGCCGAGGTCGACGAGGGCATCCCCTCCCACCGCATCCTTATCGGCGGCTTCTCGCAGGGCGGTGCGTTGAGCCTCCTCGCCGCCCTGACGGCGGAGCGCAAGTTCGCCGGCGTCGCGGTGCTCAGTGGGTGGCTCCCGCTGAGCAAGAAGATCAAGGCCATGTCCACACCGAACAACCTCCAGACGCCAATGTTCTGGGGTCACGGGGAGGATGATCCGCTCATCGAGTTCCAGTCCATGGGCCTCAGCTCGGTCCAGTTCCTCAAGAATGAATTGGGTATCAAGACTGCGGACCCGCAGGCTCCGGAGAAGGGCGGGCTGACGTTCTTCTCGTACGAAGACGTGCCCCACTCGACAAGCACCGAGGAGCTGAGGGATCTGCAAGAGTGGCTGAAGAGAGCGATGAAGCCTGAGGCCTGAGGATGCATAATAAATGTATGAACGGACGGACATGCGATATGGCGTACGAAATGCTGCGAAGGTATCTTATACACGAGTGTACATTTACTGTAATCCATAGTATACCAGCGACCCGATAACGTCACCCCTGAGCAGATACCACCGCCTGCCGAGCAGGCAGTACCCGCTTCACCCACTCCTTCACGTCCTCCAGCTCCTCATCAGGGACGGTGTGCACCGCGTCGTATATATGTAATGCGAGACCGCCCTTCTCCGGCGCGTCTGGGTCCGCGTCCGTGAGCCCGTATTCAGTCCTCATATACTGAATGGACCACATCCCCATCTCGTATGTAACCAGTGGATCATTCCTGCCGTGTCCCCAGAAGATCGGCGTGTGGATATTACTTGCGTGCAGCAACTTGACGAGCTTCGTTAGCATGCTTCTCTTCCCTCAGAAGAAGACGACCACGCACCAGTTTGACCTTCTTGCCCAGGCGTAGCCTCCCACTCATCACGATCAAACCGCCCAGCTTATGCTCGTACGAGAGCCCCGTGAGGAGCGTCATCGCTGCGCCCTGGCTGAACCCGCCGAAGACGATGCGGTCGGGCGGGATACCGGCGGTGACTTCGCGCTCGACGAGCGCGCCGAGCGACGCCATCGAGCGCAACATGCCAAAGTCGTCGTTGTCCTCCGGCGCGGTCGACTTGAACGAGACGACGTCGTACCACGCAGGCATGCGCATGCCAAAGTTTGCTGTGATCGCCATGACCGGCCTGCCGTCCGTCCGCAAGCGGTCCTGTATGAGCGCGACGTGCGAAGCGGTCCAGAGAGCGGCAGACTTACGCGTGCGGGAAGATGTACTTGATGTGTTGCAGCTCAGGATCTCGGGTTAACGAGTCCGCGAGACGCTGCCAGCTATGGCCAGAGTCGCCGAGCCCCTGCACGAGCAGAAGAAGGTCAGTCAGCGGTGCGATCGCACCGAGGTCATCACGGCAATGCGAGCGACGGACGTGCACGAAGATGACCGTCGCGGTGTGCTTCTCGCGTGCAGGGACCGTGAGCACCTCCAGCGGTTGCGGGGTGAACGTCACTCTTGCCATGGTTCACGACGTCTGCTTCGCAGCTTGGTGGGGGCGTCGGTGTGCAGAGCTCAGCTCAGGCCGATCAGGTCGATCGTAGTGTAATTCGCGGCGCGGGAGCAAGCGTGGAGCGTCCTCACAGCTTGCGGGGCACACTAACTTAGGTTCGATCGCTCGTGCATCGTGGTGCCGGCCCGGACAGGTCCCGGAAGCCCCAAAGTGTGCAGCGGCACTACAAACTCGCAGTCTCGCACTGGATCCAGGCCGGCCGCGATATACTCCTGTCCGATAGATGCGAGCCAAGTAACAACAATACACATCGTGCACGGACAACAGCTCATAAGATTTCCTTCAGGTTCGTCTTACCCGACCCTCTCTCGAGCGGTGTGGGTTGCTTCGGCGACGGCTTCCAACCAATCTGGACGCACAGTGAGGGGAGGCGCACGCACTCAGTGCAGGATGCTTACCACGTATATGACTTGGAAGGTTGCTGGGATAGTACCGTTCTCGTATCCGTGAAGCTCTGCGATAACGCGTCGGGATTGTGACAATTTCAATGTCTATCCGCCTTACCTTTATAGATCGCAGACGCCGCCGCAAGAGTGTCTCGGTGGATGTAGTTCCGTCTGTGAACTGTATTGGCAGATATCAGTGCCCTAAGTCGACAACGCACCTGCCAATAACAGCGTTGCTCTCGCCCATGTCACGCAGGTCGTCCATGAGTTCCCATATCGAGGGGTAAGCAACCTTTACTTCTTCAACGTCGACAGTCAAGAGCGTAAACCCAGCACGACCAAGAAGATTCGACATGTCCCGTGAGTCTGTAATGATCGGAGTCTGAGACGATTGCACCTTTCAACATGTTCGCCACGGACCTGTCATGGGCGATACGTGCGGAGAGATACCACCCTCACGTTCCATTTCTGCCAGTTGCAGAGCAGTTCGTAGCTCGAATAATGTGTCGCCTCCGAAGAGAGCAGCCAGGAAAACCCCGTCGGGTTGTAGAGCTTCCTTGATCTGTACGAGTACGCCTTCACGATGTTCACAATGATTCCACGGTGCGATAAGTGTAGGTTTCACCTGGTAGGTCATTTACCCAGTGCAGGCTTAGACATGAGACGATTGCCTCTTGTGAATTTGGCCCGACGACGCCGAGGATATTCTCTTCGTCTGCATGTATTCGCTCGACTTCGACTATGTAGAGAGTCAGGCAACAAGGGCGCCATATCAGGACCGCTCATACCTTCGAATGCAGTATCTGGGTCACGATGAAGCAGTTCCTCTGCATGCAGGTCTATGAACAGTTCCAAGTCTTTCACGGATAACGTACTGCTCGAGTCAAGCATGACAACCTTTTGGGTGGTTTCAGGCTCTAGCATCTTGGAGAAATGCCCAGGTCCCGAGCCCACATCCAGGATAGAGCTGAACTTGCGCTTGATGTCCAGCATGCGCTCAATCATACGGTCTGCGACCTCGTCCCGCACATAGTCGACAGTCCTACTTCGCGCACCCCCTTCTCGCAGAGCAGAGTTGTCTTTCTGCAGCCGCTTCGCATACCTGTCGAAGACTTGGTAGGGCCCTACTGCGCCTGGTTTATGGGCGAGGAGGACAGCGACGCGTAGGCGGGCGCGGGCGCGAAGGACCTGCCGAAGAGCGATGGAGCTGGACGTCATGGGCCAGAATGCTGATGCGATTGTTCAATATCGACGCGCTAGTGTTCGCGGCGGGCGGAGACAGGGCTGGCGAGGCGGGAGCGACCGCGCGCGGTCGAGGGAATGATGTCAGGCCCTGGCCAGCGTCGAGCCACCGACGCGTCGTCTCTGCGAAGGCTCAGCTGACGTAAGGTCCTGCCACCCGCCGCCCGAGCGCTTCCCTGCCACCGTCGAGACAGCGTGCCGTCCAGTGTCCCAGTGGCGACAGCTTCCTCTCTCCGTGCTTCGTACACAGCCCACGCTCGCGTAGCTATCATGGACAACGGGAACGGCGATCCTCAGCCGCCCCTCAATCAACTTGCGCTCGCCCCAAATACCCTCATCACACCAGAAAATTACTGGCAGCACCTGCAGCAGCTCCAGCGAGTCAAGGAGGGCCTCGCTCAGTATGAACGCGAGTTGCAGGCGGGCTACAACCGGTATGTAGCGCAGGAGCAGGAGCTGAGGCAGCGTGTCGAGGCGGGCCGGCAAGCAGAGTGAGTTCACGCCACGACGCGATAGCTGTCCAGCTGAATGGTCTTTGCGTGGCGACAGACGTATGCTCTCGCAGCTTCAGACCTCAGGGAATGCGAGCGCACCTGCACCGTACGTATCATATTCCATCAAGCCTCGTCGCCATTGCTGGATGACGCGTTCTGACTTCGTTCCTTTTTCGTACGCGGCCCTCAGGAGCAACCACGCAAGGTCTGTTGAGCATCACCTTGACCCGTTCTGGATTTAACGTGTCTGTCCAGGTTGCAAGCGTACCCGCAATCACCGAATCCTCAAAACGGTTCGTCATCGTCGAACCTGCAAACATTTCCTCCGGTAGAGCATCTTCTCACCAACGACGACCATAGTCTGATCTCCCTATGTAGGCGAATGCGCAACCATACCACTCTCCGCATGGACAGCAGCCAAACGCGATGGCCTACCAGCAAGCCCCCACGATGGTCGTGCCATATGGACAAGCTCATCCGCCCCAGCCCTACCACCAGGCGTCGTCGGCAGCGGCGGCGCAGTATCCTCATAATTGGCCGCAGTATGTTGCCGCGACGAACTGGCAGGTATGACCTCTCCCTATACTCTGTGACGCGTTTGATATAATCTCGCTGTTAGACCTCTGCCGGCCATGCACAAGGTCAGCGCGATGCGGCGCAACAGTCACAGCAGCCACAGCAGCAGCACCGTGTGCCTACTCCTCAGCAACATCAACAACAGCAGCGTGTTCCCACCCCTCAGCAACGTCAACAGCAGCAGCATGTGCCCATATCTCAGCAGCATCACGCGACGAATGGGACTGGGCACGCGCCCGTCGCCGGTGCCAGTAGGTGATCCGTAAACTGTAATGATTGTGATTCTCTCATCTTCGGTCCTCAGGCTCGCGACAGCCCGTCTACCAACCGGGACCCTCTGGGAGTAGCGCACAGTCTTCTGCTTCGACGAACCAGAGAACCACGCCGGAGGAGATCAAGCGCGCCAAGGTCACCTATGCCTCTCAAGCTCAACAACAGCAACAGCAACAGCACCTGTCGCAAGTGCATACTGCTGCTACCGCGTATCAGAAGGTGTTCGACATCCTGAAGGTTAAAAACAGCACTTTCATTCGTTGCGAAACCCTGACAGTCGTGCCTAGGAGCTGAGGCCTGAAATGGTCGACTACATCATATTCGCCGCGTTGGACAGTCTGAGGTCCAAGCTGCCCAACGGGTCTGTTCAGGGCCAGTCAGCATTCCTGAAAGTCCAGAGCCAGCTGCCGCCCCACTCGGTAGAGCAGCTCACGCAGATCAGCCAATATGTTGTACACCAACTACAGGTACTTAATGTGTACCTTACACCCTAGGCATGATACTCACAGAATAACATAGGCCCTTGAACCCGCTGCGATTAAGGCCATAGTGTTGAGAATCAAGAGAACCATGATGCAGAATGCTCAACAGCCTCCTGTACATCCTCAGCAGGTTCCTGGTGGTACTGGAAGTGCTGAAGGTCAATATGTTCAAGCACAACCACCTGCTCTACAACCCCACCCTGCTGTTGTAACCATTCCTTCTGTCCCTGTTGTCCATTCTGCTGTCAATTCTGTTCCTACCAACACACCTGTGGTTCAGTCCATGCCCCAGCCTTTGCCAGTTGCACCTGTGACTCAGCCTTCACAACCTCCTTCACAACCACCAGCTCCTGCACATGTAGCTGGCTATCCTGAAGCTGTCAGGAGTGATGTTGTTACACAAGCTCATGGAGGTAATGAGCACATTGTAACCCATGAGAAAGAGGCCTCTGACTATTGGTCATTTTACAGGTGTCCAGGAGCAACCATCTGTAGGCCAATCAGCCATCAAGATGCCCAACATCCAGTTCCAACAACCCTGGGTTCCTACCAGCCCCACGAGGCAGACTGTGTTCACTCAGCCTCGTGCTCAGGCTCCGGTGACTCCTCCCAATCGGAGCGCGGCTCAGCCACCGTTCGGTAGCACCCCTAATGCCACCGGTGAGCGTCCGAAAAGCCCGTGGACTCCCGCGAAGGCGGACAAGGCGCGGCTTGCGCGGGATATCATGCAGTCATTGGGACGCGCGTCGAGAAGTTCGCAGCCACCCGCGTCTTCTAGCGCGCAGCCGTCCCCGTCCTCCGGCATGCAGCCACCGCCGACATCCAGCTCGCAGCCGCCTCCGTATCCCGGCTCTCAGCTACCGTCTAGTCAGCCACCGCCGTCTACGTCTGAAGAGTCCGTCTCTGACGAGTCCGCGAACAAGCGGAAGCGCACGCCGTCGGTAACGGACTCGCCAACGTTGCAGCAGAAGAGGCAGAAGATGGGGTCGAAGTCGAGGAGATCGCTACGGACGGCGCGTTCGAGCTTGCGGTGTGGCAGCAGGCTGCGCAGGAAACGATGTCACGTCTGCGCCTCCGTCCGAGGCGGGCACGCCACGCAACCACGGCTGGCCATGTCCCGACGACACGATACAGCAGCAGGGCCCGACGGAGGACAATCCATGCTCGCGCCCGGAGCGCTCCCGTCCCCGAGGCTTTTGGTGCGGCGTCACCTGTGAGGGCCGTTCGCCCTCCTGCACAGTTCCCGTCGATCGGCGACTTCTTGGGTATGCATCTCGCACAGCCGGCGCCGACCAGCAACATCCTGAAGATGCCGCGCCCAATGGTCAACCTGCCATCCCGGCGATGGAGTCGCTATCCCAGACCTCAGGATCCATAGCCTCGGGGCCGCCTACGTCGCGCACGGCGACGCCGCCTGCTCGTCCGGAGCGGTTGACCTCGAAGGCGTCGGCTCGACCGCTGAGGGTCCTCAGTATCCTGCTACGCCTTCTGCGGAAGCGGGTCCGTCGAAGACGCCGCTGTTCTTCCCTTCGCCCGCGAGCGAACACAACGACGAGCGAGAGACGGGATCGCCGGACGCTGCGGAGGTGTTCGCGAACGCGTATATGCAGAACGAGTCAGAGCCCCCCGCCTCGCCGCCGCGTATCCCTTCGCACCTCAAGGGTAAAGCCAGGATTGTGTATAGTGAATCCGATGAGGACGAGGGGACGGTCCTGAGACAACCTCAGAGGAAGAAGGCTAGGGTTGAGGACTCCAACTCGGAGGTAGAGGTATCTGAACAGCGAAAGGCGGGCAGGAACTCACAGAAGCGTGCTGTGTCGCCCGTCAACCGAGCGTACGTACTGGTTCCCCCGATGCCGAAGTGGGCGCAGCAGCTGCTCGCAAACGAGTATGAAAAGTCCAGAAAACGAAGGGGACGCAAGGCGTCGACGCCGGAGACGGTGCCCGATTCGCAGGACGAGATGGCCGTGGACGATGGTGCGTGGTGACGACGAAGCGCGGAGAGGGTGGCTGATTCGTTTCTTTGTACGGTACGGTCTATAGAGATAGACGAGGCAAGACTGCGAGAAGGTTTGTGCTTGTAGTATGTTGAAAATTGTCAATGTCACCTCATCGTGTTGTGTGTTTTCGGTGTGCGCAGAGCAGGCGCAGCAGGAGCTTGTGCAGATGTCCCTTCGCAGCCTGCATGAGTCGCCGTGTCAGTGGCGGGGCTGCGGTGCGATTATGGCCTCTATGGAAAGACTGACGCAGCACGTGCGCTTGCACGCTGAGGAGAGGGTGAATGCTGTATGTTTTCCGTTGCCTTCCTTCTCTGCGCTCTCCTTATGACATGGTGCGATAGGAGGGCGCCGCTTGCGATTGGGTAGGCTGCACTCGAACATTCGGTTCCAAAACAGTGTTGGCAAACCATCTTACGTGGCACGCGTCGAAGTCGGTAATCTGCGTGTTCGAAGGTAGTTGCCTCCGTCTATGCAGGCGACGACTTAGACGATACTGACGACCATGCAGGCTGCGAGAAATCTTTCGCAACTCAGCAAGAGCTGCTGAGACATCATAGATCCGGGAGACATCGTGCTGAGCGAATGAAGCCCCCCGCGACGCCGTTCACACCTGACACGCTCGCGCCCCTCCCTCCACTTCCTGAGCTCGTACTAACCCATATGCTCATACCACGGCGCGTTACGCGACATCCTATATCGAAGGTGGTGCATAATTGGCTCTCTGCCAAAGTGGGTACATCGTGCATCGTTCTGCTATCGTACCTGACGTAGGCTCCCAGGTTTTGGAGAACCTGGCATCATTCAACTTTGCAGGGCGACGGGGCCACCACAACGCGCCGTCGCGCAGCTCACGCCGGTTGGCGGACAAGGTCGCCGTTGTCGAGAAGGAGGGCAAGACGCCCGCTGCGAAGGTCGAGTTGCTCCGGCGCATCACGCAAGATGCGTACGTCGACGTCGCACATGGGCCAGAGCTCAAGGCTGCCATGCGCTGCGAGGACATCGCCTCGTACGAGGTTACGCGGCTGTGCGAACTGGGGCTGGTGCTCTTTCCACCTCCGGAGATGGAGCGCGAGAACAGTGTGGAACCCAAGAGCGAGCCGGACGAGCTGGACTTCTTGCATGACAATCACGAATCAAACGGAGGACATGACGGCACCGAACAGCCAGACACAGCCGTGTCGGAGCCAGCTGTACATCTGGGACAGCAAGATGAAGCAAGCCACGGCGGGGCGGCGGGGAGTAGCAGCAGTGCCTTCAGAGATGGTACTGCCGCTGGTGGCGCTATGGGACGTGCTGGTACTGATGGACAGTCTCACCTTCACGCGTCAGCTGCCCATGCGGTCGAGAGGAGATCGCCACTGCCTGGGTGGGAGGTCCTGCCTTCTGCGTCGGCGTCCAAGCCGCCGACCGTAGAGGATCTATGTAGCTGTATGTAACGAGTCAGTACTTGGAATACATGTCGGGGCTATATATGTTTATGCTCGGCGCAAGCTCGGACTACAGTCTGGGGTATAAGCGCAAGAGGGCAACCGCGTACGCGCATGGAGCGCAGTTGCCCCATGTGCACATGAGGGCGCAGTGAGGGCGTTGCAGGGGCAGCCGGCCGGACGTGATCGCGTTCACACACTCGAGCCGCGGGAGACTGGCCCTGCTTTATTCGCCCAGCGCACATCCCGCCACAACCGCGTACCCTCTGCTGCTCTCCCATGTCCCCCCGCCCTCTCCACTCCCGCCACTAGCTGCTTCCTCTCCCTTGCTCTTTCCCGTGTTTATTCTCCGGCGTGGCCTCATTTCTACCTCTCCATGCTTGCTCCCGGTCCGACCTACATTTCTAGCCGCTCAGCCGATGTAATTCTCTCAGATGTCCGCCCGATCAAACTCGCTTATGAGGCTCTCCATGCTGTGAACGTCCTGCTCGATGAGCTGCTCTACACCATCCTCAACGAGGCACAATCTTTATCAACGGACAGGCTCAAGGCCTCGCTCTTGAAGGTCGTCCCGACGAGCTGGGGCAAAAAAGCTTTGTTGGAAGCAGAGGTTGAGTTGAAAGCATACCTGGACCGTAACATACCCTCCTCCACCTCCGGGAACAGTGCTGCGGCACCGTTCAGTCTGCAATGGAGTTTCGAAGTGCGTTGGTGTCATGCCCCTTCGCTCTCGCTCCCTGACCCTTCACCGGACTAGTTGTTACGCCTCAAATGCGAGGCTTACTCTACCATGAACGACTCGGACGAGGATGGCGAGGCGGAAAGGCGTTTGAGCGAGCGAATGAAGGATAGTAGCGTGTCGCCGCCACAGACGTCGGAGGTGGCCCCGGCGGCATTGTATCTCACGGCAATCCTCGAGTGCGTCCGGTCTCTTCTCGCGTTGCTCACGTCTCACGCCCAGTGGCCGTGCTATTCTAGGTCCATATGCGAGTGAGTTTAACGTATTTGCCTCCTAGAATGTTGTATTTTGACGCGTCCGCAGACACATCCTCGGTAAGATCAGCAGTGTGGCCACGCGCGACAGTAGTCGTACTGTAGCGAGCTCGCAAGATGTATTCACCGCACTATGTGAAGACGATTCATTCTACGGTACATTCAAGACACTTAAAGGTACAACTACAATGCTCTTGTCTAGCTCTCGTCCTGATGTATCGATGTGTCGCCGTCGTCAGTCTACGAGCAAATTGAACAACTCTCTAAGGCCCAGAGACCACGTCGCAGCAAGTCGTTCACACGCGGTAGCGATCGGGCTGCAACCCGACCCTCGCGCACGCCGTCAGCTACCCAGGCGGAATTAGCGGCACTCAGGGACGGAGCGTCGACGCCTGCACGTTCGCGTCTGTCGATGGAGTCTCTGCGGTCGAGCTCAACGGCGACGGCGACAGCGTCCCCGGAGGGCTGGTCGTCGATGGAGAGAGGCAAGAGCTTGCGACGGAAGTTCATGACGCACAGTCGGTCGTCAAGCGAGAAAGAAGCTGACAGCCGCTCACAAAGCGATGGCGCGCGGAGCCGAGCGTCCGGAGAATTCGAGGTACGTACGCGTGATCGTTTAGCGTCCCCTTCGCGGCCAGGAACGGGCGCTAACGACTGCTTTCCCCAGGAGGACGACGAGCTCGCGCACGAGTTTGACGAGCTCATGCGCTCTGGAAGCACGGTGAAAGTTTCTCTCACTCCCGACAGGCTGGGCACCATGCAGGTGTGTGATCACAACAGTCGAATCGCTCTGATTGATCTGGGATGAACTACATCTGATCGGTTATCCGTTTCTCCAGGTCTTCAACAGGGAACGAGCTCAGCGTGCGAAACAGGCGGGGTCCCAATTTTCGGACAGCCCAGCTGGCAGCGACGATAACGCCCACGCGCTCTCTCCAGAGCGTCCGCACGCACTGCCTGCCAGTGCTGCACGTCCTATTCCCCGTCGCGTCGATAGTATCGTTGAAGACGAGGAGGAACCCGCTCAGGCCAACTACACTACCATGCCCAGTGCTGCGGTCATCACCGAGCCGCCCCGTGTGCGGCAGGCCAGCAAGAGCTTCACAAGCAACTCTGCCGTCTCCTCTGCTGCGCCGCGCTTCCGGTCCATCTCTATTTCAGACACCCCCCACCCTCGTCATCAGTCGCGCAGGTCGCAGGATCGGCTCCCGAACGGCGTGCCTGTCCCAGGTGGACCGGTGCTCAACATACAAAAACCTGGTCGCCAGAACTCTCAGAGTACCCCGGCCACGCTGCCTCCGCGGACGAGGAAGGTCGCGCGGCACCGTGAGTCGCTGGATTTGGATGATGTGATGAACGGGTTGCTGGACGGGGAGGAAGAGGAGGAGGAGGAGGAGGGGGAGGGGGGACCTCATGGCCCACTGCCACCACCACCTCCAACGGTGGCCCCCTTGCGCATTGCATCTCCTTCCGCTACCCCGATAACACCTGCGAAGCCTAAGGCGCCTCACCTTTCAGCGTCGGCGCGCGACCTTATCGCATTCCTAGACGAGGGCCCCCCTGGAGAGACCGAGCGGTCGCCATCCGCGATGACGAATGCGAGCGTCATCTCGTTCGGCTCGTCTAAGACGATGCGGACGGGCAAGCTCTCGCGCATGATGTCGAAGCTGACCATGGGGAACACGGGGTCCCAAGAGAGGCTGAACGGGCGGTACTCCGACGACACGCCGAACACGCCGCCGCGCTCGCTTGGGCGCAAGCCGAGCAACAGCTTCGGGCCCCCGACCGCATTCAAGACCTCCGTGACGCCGAAGCGGTCGAATCCAAACGTTGTGGTCAGCCCGCCGCACGCTGCGTCTTATCCTCAGACGCCTGTATCGCCTCTGTCTGTTTCGTCGAGCACGCGCACGGTGTCACCGCCTGCCACGGCGCCGCCCATCCCGCGCACGCTCTCTATTGCGTCCTCGGTGTCGGACGACTTGCAGACACTTTCCACTATGCGCAGCGGCAGCCTGCGGACGGCATCGGGCACATGGGACGAATTTGGCTCCGAGGCGTCAGTGTCTCGTGATGGTTCCCTGCACAGTCAGAGTCAGGTGCGAAGAGTCTCTCTCGTCTCCGTGTTGTGAACGGCGAGGACGAGGATGGATCGTACGCTGGGAGGTCCAGCAGACAGGTACCGATCATCAGCCCTGTTCCTAGGACTAAGGAGGACAAGCTCGTGCCGCCCAGTTCGCCTCGTCGGTCTCCAATCCCGCGCAAGCCGGTGCCCTCATCCACAGCGAATGGAAATGGGCATGCGTCTGTGTCCAAGGAAGCGTCTCAGCGAAACCGGAAACCTTCGACGTCGCCATCGCCTACACCAGGCATCGCTGCTTCCGATGTCGCCGACCTTCGCAAGTACTTGGGAAGAGCTGAGACCGCAGACGAGTGCCGTCTCCTGGTCGACTTGTTCTTCGCAAGCCATGGTTTCCCGGTGAAACCAGTCACCGACGGCGCGGTGCCTGAGCTCCCAGAGCTCCCGCGCTTCATGTCTCTCAATGAGCTGGAATCCTCGTACGCCGAGCTATTTCTCAGCGGTGATAGCATAGACTTCGCCGGCCTCGCAGACGAGACATCTAGCGAGGGCTCTTCGGCCTCGAGTAGAGACTTCCTTTCGCCTGCTTCTGAGCCGACCACATCCCCTACGCCTTTGCTTGAGACTGTTCAAGAGTAGAGATATATACCGTAATCTGTTCATTCATTTACTTCACTCTGATACTCGTCCCTTCGTTTTCGTGTCGCTCCTTGTGACCTTTATGGTACCACTTCATCGCATACCTATCTGATACCTTTGTTGTTGTTTGCCTGCCCTGCAGTGCGGATCTATTGCCATCTATACTGATGTATCTTTACTTTTAGTGGCCTTCCTGAGTGGAATGCAAGTGTTTGTGGTGTGATACAGACTGCTATGGATAGGCTATGCAAGATGCGTGGAATGCAAGACAGCGAAACATGAAAACAACAGAATAAATCAGTGAACCTCGAGAGAAATCGCGATACCCATGGATGCTAGCTCTGCACACAGATACCTGAAGACATATGGGACGGCGACGATGTCCAAGTCTCCACCTTTCGAGGCAGGTCCCAGGACGTGCTGTGAGGAGATGGCGACCCTGAGGTCTCCCTGCACAGATATCCGTCCGTTCTGGCCATTTGCTAGGGCTTGTCTCGCTCGCGCGTCCTCTTCCTCCGCAGCGGCCCGACATACTCTGCAGTACTCTCCCCCTGGTCCGGTAGGCTTCAGTTTGTCCAATGATCCTACGACTATCTCACCCAAGCTGACGTCCTCGTACCCGAGTGAGATCAGACTACCGCATGTCCTGCAAACCCATGCCGTCGAGTAGTCAGAGCAGTTCATGAGCCTGTCCTGCAGCAGGAACGAGGTGCCGTGCGCGATCAGAGCATCACGTTCCATCTCGCCGAACCGAATACCGCCTGCACGCTTACGGCCCTATAATGACGGAGAATTCAGGCTCGATCATGCTTCCCAAACACGATCGAATTACCTTGACCGGTTGCCGCGTGAGGGGATCGACGGGCCCTGTCGTTCGCACCTGGAATTTGTCAAGCACCATGTGCCGCAAGCGCTGGTAGTACACGACCCCGATGTAGATGTCGGCGGCGAATTCTTGCCCAGTGATACCGGAGTACATTGGCTCGTTGCCGTGATAGTTGTACCCGGCGGCGAGGAGCTGTTCTCCGAAGTATTCTACAGCAGTGTCATCCTCGGTGAACCTGGTCAACTGTGAGCATACGAGTCGAACGAAGATCCAGTCAACGCTTACTGGAAGGGGGTTGCATCTTGGGCAAGGCCATGCATAGCACCAGCCTTGCCCGCCATACTCTCGACTAACATGCCAATCGTCATACGACTGGGGAAGGCATGGGGGTTGATAATGACGTCGGGCTGCATCCCACTCTCCGTGAAGGGCATATCGACGGCCGGCCACTTCTGTGAGCAGACACCCTTCTGACCGTGTCGAGACGAGAACTTGTCACCAATGACCGGAGCACGCGTGATGCGCAACGTCATGTTGACCTTCTGAAGTTCTGAATCACCAGCATCAGAGCCTGTGATGCCCCAATTGTCGTCAATGAATCCGTCTCTCTTTCCATATACGCAGACCACCCACCTAGGAGACGAACCGAATCGACATATGCGATTTCATCGCCCTTGTACTTCACGAACTTCGTCCGTCCCGTCGTGTCGTCTATGTAGGCGGCAATGGGATCGCCAGGGGATAGCCTGACGCCGACAAACGGGAGGCCGTCATCGTCCAAGAACTCGGCAACAGGATGCGACTTCTCGCCCACAGTCCTAATCTCATACCCCAGCCCGAAGTGTAACGTGGTTGCAGCTGAGTTGCGTGAAGAGGCTCCTGGCACTTCCTTCAGGTCTACGGTGTACGACTTGTACACCGTACCGTAAGCAAACCCTCGCTCGTGCGCTGACTTGTTCAGGATCATAGCGTCCTCCATATCGTAACCAGTGTAGGAGATGACAGCCACAACGGCGTTGGTGCCGTTCGGGAACGAATCCATACCATAGGTGTTGTGCAATCGTGGTCGGACGACGGGGCTCTGACCACTTTGTAGACGGTAGAGCTTGTTGTCTGTCCGGTGGCGCAGGGCGGTGGCTGGTGTACCCATGGTCTGTTTACCCATCTGACATTGATAAATGTTTCTTGGACTCTATAGCTTCGGCGTGAGCTTTGCTACCGTTGCAAGCGATGTAACCACTGACCTGGTTGAAGTCAGAGAATGGGGTAAGGTTCGCCAGTATTGACAGGAAGTTCGTTGGGGCATGCTCGACATGCGTCGATACACCCTTCTCGATCTCTTCGGGCGTACATGCGATATCCATGTACACCTGCTCAAACGAGCCAACCTGGTCGTCTCTCCCGTTCGCAACGTACTTCACAGGGCGCATCATCCGCGCTCTCGACGAGAACAGATAAAGACCAGGGTACTGCCCACCCTGCGACACGGGCACCAACCCAATCTCGAGATCCAGCGGGACGTTGTGCTTGCCCTCCGTCTTCCATATCCGGAGGTCCTTCGCGAGGTTCTCTAGGACTTTCTGAGACGCCCAGCCGATCACCCGCCCATCGAGCTGGACGCAAAGGTTGCGCCGGCCGTCGACGGAGGTTGTGAAAGCTTGGGTCATGCCGCGTGAAGCGAGCAGGGCAGGGATGTGGTTGACAGCGAGGGGAGCGGTGACAATGCGGCAAGTGCGGGAGAGATGGTTGAGGAGTCCACAGGGAGATCCATCGGGAGTATGGACGGGACAAAGGAATCCTTCAGGACAAATGTAAGATGAATTCTCTCTGAAACAATGCACGACGTACCCCAAGCTTCTGGTAACAACTTTCGGACAGTCGTCGTTTTCAGCTCGGCAAAGAAGGCGCCACGATGGATTGACCTGAAGTGACTAATGTATCGTTGCCAGTTCAGCTTTTCGGCGACAATAGTGAAACCGGAGGCCTGTTGCAAGTCAAGACCAGTAGGTGATACGAGATTGCCAGTCGCAAGGAAATTTGACATTCTGGCGCCAATGTCAAGGTTGGTGCGGGCGAGGACTTTCTTGATGTAGCGTTCTAGATGAAGAATTCAGGGTCCGTTCAAATGGAGCAACACATAGCAGCATACTATCAAAAAAGTCTACAGATGCTTCTGACCGGTTGACATCTTGCCGTACTGACATAGCGAAGTTGTTCAATGCCTCTTCCAGGCGCTCCTTGATGATCATCCCATACAGTGTACCGGGGAGAAGGACTTCTTGGTGCTGAGGAGAATCTGGGTTATCGATGCAGCACGACTTCGACACCACGGCGTACAGCTTCCGTAACATAAATCTACCGCCAAGTTAGTTGACAATCACGACTGAGTGTTAGTCGTACGCACAGCAGCATACGGAACTTCTCGCGAGGAGTGTCCAAATGTACTAGGACGACCTTGCTGATGAGCCAGACACCGACTGCCTTGTTCGTCCAGTCTTCCGGCATGTTAAGCACGACGCGGAACTTGTTGCCAAGGTACTCAAGACATTGGTCGCCAGTCCTCAAGCTGTACATCTTGAAGCTACGCAGCAAGAGCTCTACTCGGTCCGCCAGGAACGTATCCCCGTAGTCCTGCATCATGACGCCCTCGAAGATCTCCTTGTCGCTTGCGGAGACGAGTGCCTTGAGGATGAGCATGATCGGTACGACATATTCCTGTTTCCGCCATGAGAAACGGAGCATTGCACTGCCGTTGGAGAGGTAGTGAAGGTTATTCGTGACGCTCGTCTGGTCTGGGCGTACGCAGCGGATCTGGACAGCATATGGTGTATAGGACGGTCCACGGTTGACGAAAGAGGGACGCGAGAGTGCGATGACATTGTGTCGCCGAGGAAGAATAAGGTAGCGGATGAGACGTTCGTTGCCGTTGACAATGAAGTAACCGCCGAACTCTTCAGGTTCCTCGTGTTTCTTCACGAGGTCCGCGGAGGACATACCTCGGAGGTTGCAGCGCACGGACTGAGTATGTCATGATTTATCGAGCAAGAGGAATAGGACTTCAAATAGACTTACTCGGACCATGACGGGCAGCAACCCACAGTCCTTGGTCTCAACCTCCAAAGGCCCATCGTTGACCTTCCAGCATAGCTTGACCATCATGCGTCCGCGGTAGGAAGTGAGACGCTCTCGTGCCTACAAATGACCAGCAATTAGGCACAGACCTCTTGCATCCAAGTCCCGAGCTTTTACGCCAATATCTCACCTCGGACGGATACACTTTGTTGTCCCTGACTTGCTGGTCCTTCTCCGGTACCTGAGGGCGGCCCACCGTTACGGCCTCGTACCATACTGTATAGCCGAAGGTATTCAAGGACAGGAAGCGCTACACAATGCCTATCGTCACTCACTGCTGAGACGGTTACCCCAGCCAGACGGACCACTCTCTGACCCAATTTCTCCCTTTCCGTCGAAGACCACGCGCTCGCCAATGTCCTTGATGCTCAAGGAGAGTAGTCCACGGCCGTCACTATCACCGGGCGGAAGTCCAGAGTCATCAAAAAGAGCATTGAAAGATTCAAGATGGGGAGTGACGAATTCATTGAGGATAGGTACAGCAGCACTGTCCTTCGGAGGGTTCTTGAAGCGACGTTCGCGAGCGAGCGTGTCGAATGTACCGCCCGCTTTGAGCACGGAGTCAGGGGGCCCTGAGCCGTCGGGCATCGTCGCCCAGGTAGAAGACAGCGTCCGGCGATGAGCTCGAGGCGACCTTGAACGCGCGAGGACTTGTTCAGCCAATGTTCAGCACAAAAATCCGGCCCACACGATCGAGGATGCGCTCACTTTTAGCCGCCGATCGAGTGCTATGGGCGCTTACACGCTCAGACGTCCCGCAAGACTCCGACCGGGAGTCTCCCGCGTGGCGAGGATCTCCGCTTCAAATCCTTGAACGCGCCTCCAGTAAGAGTCGCGCTCGTCCTCGTTCACAACGACGACGACCGCCACGACCCACACGACGCGTGACGCCCCTCACCATGTTCGGCAGTAACACAGGGTCCTCGTGGTCTAACCCACAAGGTAATCAGCAGCAGACAGGGGCCTTCGGGCAGCCCTCAGGCTTCGGTGCCGGAAACGGTGCGTCATGGCGACTCATCTCTCAGAGTTAATTGCTTACCTCACACGCTGAACAGCGTTTGGATCTGCTCCCAACACGAACACCTTTGGGCAGCCGCAGCCACAACCACAGCAGCAGACAAATCCCATGTTTGGCGGCCTCGGCGGAGCGTCGACAACGACGCCCTCGACCGGCTTTGGTGCGTTTCTTCTCTCCCACACTGGAGCTGATTGTTCTCAAAATCGTCCGAAAAGGTACGTTCGGTGGCGCACCAAACAACACTGCGAATTCTGGAGGTCTGTTCGGTCAGCCCAAGCCAACGACGACGGGTTTTGGCGCGTTCGGCGGCACGGGCACGACGAACACCTTTGGTGCACCTTCGACAGGGGCCTTCGGTTCGACGAACCAGGCCGGTCCTTCGACCGGCAGCAATGTATTCGGCCAACCATCACAACCGTCGACGAGTACAAACGCGTTTGGAGGGGTGGCCTTTTTGGTGCGAAACCTGCCACAGGGTTTGGTGCTACTCCTTCGCCAGGACCAGGTAAGTAGAGAATGCAAAACAGTTGGGCCCACTGTACTCATACCCGTCTTGTCAGCCATTGGTGTAGTCGCGCCAGTGACAACAGGATCCGTCAACCCACCTTACGCGCCATTCCCCGAGAAGGATACCAATGGTACAAGTACGCTTCATTACCAGAGTATCACATGCATGCCGCAATACCGTGGATCAACTTTTGAAGTCAGCTTTTGCACGTGCCATAGTTGAACTCGCTCTTATTGTTCCTCTTTGTCCACCAGGAGCTTCGTGTGCAAGACTACCAGCAAGGCAGAAAGACTGCCGCTGCTACCGCTGCCGGAGGATTCGGGCAGACCGCTTTTGGCGCCCCTGCTCAACAACAACCTACTGGCCTCTTTGGCCAACCGGCGCAGAACAACGCCGCGCCCGCTGCCAATCCGATGTTCGGTTCACTGGGGAACGCCAACAACAACGCCGCGAACGCCGGGACGACTGGCGGGTTCGGTGCCTTTGGACAACCGCAGAACAATACAAATGCTACCGGTGCTGGCGGTTTGTTCGGTGGCGGAGGTGCATTCGGGCAGAACCAGCAGCAGCAGCAGCAGCAGCAACAGCAACAGCAGCAGCAGCAGCCAACGACCGGCTTCGGTACCTTCGGACAGCCACAACAACAACAACAGCCACAACAGAACACAGCGGTGGCGGTTTGTTTGGTTCAAATAACGCCTTTGGCGCCAACAACCAACAAAAGCCAGCAGGCTTCGGTACCTTCGGCGAGTAGACATCGGTGCATATCTAATCTGGTCTTCTAACCCGAAATCTCAGGCAACACAGGAAGTACTGGCGCGTTCGGTAGCACCGGTGCTTTTGGCCAACCCCAGAATCAGCAACAGCAACAGAATGCAACTGGTACCGGTCTTTTCGGCCAACCAGCGCAGCAACAGCAGAATCCGAGTGGATTCGGTGCTTTCGGTATGTCTCAACGATAATTTTCAAGCGGTCGGCTGAATTGTCTCAGGCGCCAACAATAATGCTCCGAAACCAGGTCTCTTCGGCCAGCCTGCGCAGTCAAACACTGGCTTCGGTGCGTTTGGTCAACCGAATCAGCAGCAGCCACAACCGCAGCAGCAACAGACTGGTACTGGTCTGTTCGGAACGAACACCAATACGGGTGGTGGACTGTTTGGTAATACCAACAATCAGCAACCACCTCAACAGCAGCAACAGGGGACTGGACGTGCGTGGCCCCTCTCGTACACTTGATTTTATCGCGTTAAACCCTTGTCTTCAGTGTTCGGTCAGCAACCTCAGCAACCGGCGACAGGCGGTGGCTTGTTCGGTGGAGGCGGCGGTCTGTTCGGCAACAATAACCAGAACCAGAACCAGCAGCAACAACAACAGCCTGCACAGAACACTGGCTTTGGCCTCTTCGGTGCCCCGAAACCTGCCGCACCTGCGACTACGAACAATGGTGGCGGTCTGTTTGGCAGCACTTCGGTCAGCCAACACAGAATACAACGCAGGCCAACTCCAACCCCCTGTTCGGCTCGACGCTCGGCGCACCACCGAACAACCAACAGAACACGAGTGCCTTTGGTTCTGGTGGGTTGTTTAGCAAACCCGCTGCTCCGCTGGGTACTGCTCCTTCAACGGGTCAGCAGGGTGCTGGATCTGGAGGCTCGTTGTTCGGTAACACGTTCGGACAGTCGTCGAACAACATGAATACCTCGGCGCTCGGCCAGAGCGCACAACCCCAATATACAGCCTCGATCGCGCAGCCGTTCTCGACGACGCTGCCCATCTTCAGCCTGCTACCACCAGGGCCACGCATGATTCCTCTGGACCAGCCCAAGAAGAAGACTGGTTACTTCTCAAACGTCCCTACGCGCACGCCGCTGCCGAGGCTAGGCTTGGACTATACTCCACCCCTCTCGAAGCTACGCGGGTACACTTCTACTTCACAAGCTCCTGGCGCAAACGGTGCCAACAACAGCGTGCTGTTCGGCTCGAGCAAGCCGAATGCGTTGTCGCTGAGCAAGGCGGCTAACGGCAAGAATGCGCTGGGACCAGAAGCATTCTTGACTGGTGGGAGCCCCAGTCCGACGCTCGGCAGCGGCGGCCGGAAGAGCATGAAGAAGCTTATTCTCGATAAGAGAGTCGAGCCAGCGGATCTGTTGAACAGGTCCAGGGTGAGGAATGGTTCCGGGATATCGTTCAGTCCCGCTCTGAGCGTAGCCGCGCGCGAGGAAGCCGCTGCTAACCGCGCTTCTCCTGGGCCGCGCACGCATGATTCGCCATCGCCAGCCCCTCAGCGGGACCGTACGCACAATCATTTCACTGCGCAGGGCAACGTGCTCAACGCAGGCTCGAACGGCGCGTCGCCGCAAGAAGACGGAGAACTTCGAGAAGGCGACTACTGGGTGACACCTAACCTTAGTACGCTCAGGAAGATGAGCCACGAAGAGCTAGTCTCTGTCGGGGGTCTTGCCGTTGGGCGTCAAGGCTACGGTGTCGTCACTTTCCTCGAACCTGTCGACCTTACGAACGTGCCTAAACTCGGTGGCCTACTCGGCGAGCTCGTCCGGTTCGACGACAAGGAGTGTAGCGTCTATCCAGATAGCGACGAGGCGGAAAAGCCGCCGCCCGGCTCTGGTCTCAACGTCAAAGCGAAGATCGAGTTGTACCGCTGCTGGGCGCTGGACAAGGCTACGCGGGAGCCTATCAAGGACGAGACTAACCCGCATGCGGTCCGACATCTCAAGCGGTTGAGGAACATGAAGCATACTCACTTCGAGAGCTTCGATATTGAGGAGGGGAAATGGACGTTCACTGTGGACCACTTCTGATCACGCAGTTAATCTTCCGAATGCATATCGTGTTAGTGTCTTGTATCGTATGTTGTCTCCGTCGCATGTAGTGTCATTGTTTTTGCAATATATACCTATGGCCAGTCTGCTGTACATCGGTTTGATTGACTGCATGTTGGGCCGTTTGACCAATACCGAATCTCACTCGGTTACCCTTACTGGTGATGTACACTGTAGTCGCTCGGGTCATGACATCTAATCGACTTGCAGGCATGCACATTTACGTTCGACCATTCTCTACATGGGGGCAGCGCTAGCAATTCGACGAATAAGTCGGTCTCGCAGACAATCCTCTCAAGCAGCGCCGGAATACATGGCTACCCGGAGCGGCATTCGCGGGTTGGAGCGATCTTGCCCTACGGCCGGATACCACACCGGCGCAGGGATCCAATTGATCTCTTCGTCAGTGGGAGCTAAAACGAAGCTCGGTAGCAGCGCGGATAACACGGCCTCTGTGAAATTCAGTTTGCTTCTATCTTTATGGGTCCGTGAAGCCCACTTACTCATCTCCATCTCGGCGAACTTGAATCCGCTGTGGGGAAAGGTCAGTCGCCAGCCGAGGTCGTACAGGGTCTCATGACTAACATGCAAGCACGCTTGCCACCGATAAAGGTCATTCTAGACAGGCGGTTAGAATCAGAATACTTGACAGAGATGTCTGAGTCGAACACCCACAGGCTTCCTGCCACAGCCGGCAGGCCTGCTCCAGTCACGGCGTCTGGAAGGGGCGATAGCCAACGCTCCGGCTTCCACTCCATCGCGTCTTCACCCCAGAACGCTTTGCTTGTGTTGCAGCCTAGAATCCCGAGTATGACCTCCGTACCTTTCGGCACAGCGAGCTCGTTGATCGGCGTGCCGTCCAATCCAGGAATGGGTTTTGAGACCGGTATGATCGTGTCCTGTGTAGACCTAGCAATAGACTACACAGTTAGACGTAAGTCTTCTCGACGTCGTTGCACTTACATTCTACTAGACCATAACAAAGGTGGATGCCTAGAGACATAATTCGTCACGTTCAAATGCTGCTCTCCAATTGGACACTCACAGACGGAGGCTTTCCCGACACACAGCATCCAGGTAAGGCAATTGCATGAGAACATCATAAGACAGGTCTCCGTCTTGAGAAGCCTTGATGATTTCTGCGCGAAGTCGCTGCTGGACGTCCGGGTGTTCAGCAAGGAGTAGCAGGATCCGTGACAAGGTGTTGGACGTTGTGTCCGATGCCGCCAAGGTCATGGTGCTACAGACCCTGAGTCGGGTGGGCGAACCGGTTGTGATGTGGTTCCACTCACGACATCTGTGAAACCAGTTCGTGCTCTGTCAGGCTGTCTTTCTCGGAGGCACTCATGTTCGCTTTCACTGTGTCGGCAAATTGAGTGACCCTACCGGTTCAATGACTGCGCGATCGAGACTCACTGAGAATACTCATGAGATCCTTGCCTCGACCGATCTGTTCCGCGAGGGCTTCATCGCCTTCTTGTAGAGCACGCTGTTTCGAGACTAATATCTCCTGCGTCCGTTTCGCCACGAAATCTGCGCTGTACTTCATATCGCGCACGTATGACATCGGCATGACACTAGCGAGAGGACCCCACAAACTGGCGGGTACGATCCGGCGCAGGTGAGGTAGCGTCAACACCAGTGCCTCGAGCTTGGTGGCGGACGGGCTGAAAACGCAGGGGGATCAATCACGATCGACACAGCGTACTGCAAGGGTTTGCGACGCACAACATTAGTTTGAGGGCCTCGGCGAATACATCTTTGTTGTCGTCCACGAGTCGATCAAATGAATATCCGAGACCGCTCTGTCCGATGAGCTCCAGCGCAGTTCGGCCCATCCAGCCTGCCATGTCTAATTCTTGTGGTCCGTCTTTCACCCGTGCTTCGATGGCATCGCGAAGCTAACGGCGCACGTATGATCACGCTGCCGCAATAAACATGACTGGAATACACGCACTCTCCGTGTAGTGTCGTGGAATATCGGGAACATCGTGCGCATGTGGTTGATAGAGAACACAGGATTCAACATCTTGCGTTGTTTCTTGTGTTGTTCGCCTGGCGGCGAGTCTGATTACTGAACGTCTCAGAGCATGCAGTATGATCTTACCGAGTGTAGACAATAATCCGGAGCCGACCAGGGCTAGGTTAACCCTGTATGACATTATTGTTACAACCCCGTACGGTGCGCACCACCTGACCACTCACGCAATAAAACTCGGGTCTTCTTCCCAGATGCTCTCGTCCTTGATTAGGATTGCATGGAGCGCCTTTGGGTCATAGATGTACAGCGCTGGCGCCTAAATAGATGTCAGCTACCTCGCTGGCGAGAAGGCAGACAAGACGTACGTTGAAAAGGCCGCGCAGCCTCACCACATAACTGTCATAGTTGTCCACCAGATCGCGCTGTACCTCAATGGAATCGGGACCATGAAACTGTCCCATGTTTCCTGACAGTCGTCTGAGGACCTTGTTATGTAGTGATGTGGCGCTCGTTGGCATACCTTTCGCGAACGACGCCGGAGGGGGACCGGGTATGTTGTCCAAGGATGTCTTGAAGAAGCGCCGCTTCACGAGAAAGTAGATTCCGAGGCCGAGGCCATATAACAAGAGGGACTCAATGACTAACACTGAGAGGCTCATGTCGGCTCTGAGGCAGGGAACTAGAGCCTGGTGATTCGCGTTCAAGTTACATGGATACTTATACCATCGCAGTGAATTGAGTTCACTCACAGAAAGTTCATCCCCTATAACCTCGATGTGATGCGCCGTTTTCCATAGACGGAGTGGCTCTAACACCCAAAAGCAAGGTCAGCTTATCAGGAGGTCTGTACAGCAGCGATATGATGATAGTAAGCACATATCCGTCTCAGAAGGAACACATGGAGCAATGAAGCCACTCAGCAGAGATGCATCGTCCAACATGCACATTCTCGATTTAGTTCATTTAACCCCAATAGCTTCTTCACGGTACTAGTAATATTCTGGCTTCTATCTCCCTGGGTTTGACGTGTCGATGTGATCCTAAAGGAGTCCCTGGATAACACCACTGGAGCGACAAGATCTGATGCATTGTCAGAACGCCAGGGTTGCGTCTGACCCATGACAGTGCCAGGGCCCGCTAGACCACGCAAATCAAAGAACCAGCCGTAAGAAAGCGTGCAGGAGTCAATGATGTGGCAATCGTACGTCGGCGGGTTACCACCTCCTGTCAGTGTCTGGTCCATTGATAGTGAATGTGCCTTCAAGTTCGTACGAGTTTTCCATGGCACGCACAGTATCTGATGTCCTGTATCGTTCCAAGCACATGAGCAATGGGGCTGAAAAAGCCGCATATTGGCAGTGGCAGTAAACTGAATCTGGCAAGGCACAGCCAGTGAGTGTACGCAACGCCGGGGGTCGACAAATTCGATGTTACGTACAGGAAGCCTCCACGTAACGCGCTCTTTGCATGTCCATGCGGCTGCGATGAAAAATTGTCCTGTGTCCTAGTACGGGCGACCTCCCCGAGGGGAACGGAGACACCAACGCCACAACGGGGTGCAGGCAGGAACTTGTCGGGGGCTTGTACCGCCTCCATTGACCGTATAATCCAGACGATCGCGCCGATATTCATGCCAGTTGTCTCAGATCATGTTGTCTTACTGTTTGTGTCATCTTGCAGGCTGCGGAAAGAGAACTTGAAAGAGGGTTACATCTGATGGTGCGAGCTCCATTCCTAGTACTAAGCCCATAGCGTCCCGTTATCGCGCTGACCCGTCCATGCCAGTGCCAGTGGCCGTAGACTCCGTACGGTCTGTCGACAAGCGCGACACGGTGCCCATCGCGAGCCCGTCGTCACGGTCGCGGTCTTCATCAGGCATCCATTGCATCTCGTGCGTGACACCTCAGTGTACACTACAGGATAGGTTCTCTCATCGAGTTGGGCGAAACTTGTGTATCTGAGGTCTCAGACATTCATTGAAATCACTGGAATGAGCCTGGATACGCCTTGAACAGCTGAACACGCGCCATTAATGACCAATTGCAAACTGTACATAAATCGAGTGCAAATCGGACGCGCAACCAAAACGCCTCATAGACTATAGTAGCGCCGATTGAGCGCTTATATTGACTTCACATCTCTTCCGGGCCCGAGTCATGCAGCAACTGTTTTGACTTTAGTATCCAACCGCCAGTACTTAGCTGCGATGAGAGGCGTTCGGCCTGTCACTGTAGCACCCTGCAGCTGCGCTCGGGGACAGCTCGGAGTCGAGAACGACCAATAATTGCAATCATCGCGTTCTCATAGTACCGGCGCTTCGACGGCGTCAGACCTAAGCTTCGACAGAAATTGGACCAGCATCCTAACTTCGCCGCCCCCGCGGAGCTTGTTCAATTTGTCAATCACGGCCTGACATCACTCAGCATTTATCGCTCGAGTCATAATGACCACACAAGTCAGCAACAGGACGTTAGGTAGCCGTCTCGGGCCCCGCTACAAGATATCCACTGGCATCCCAGGTAACGGTATATCGAGCGGTACTCACTCGGACACATGACTACTTGGCTCGCGTTGTGCGATGGTGTTGCATGATGGCAAATGTTGGTTTCTTGTCGTGGTGCAGCACTAACTCGGCATTCTCGAAACTGTTAAGTACATATACGCTCACGTTCGACCGTTCTCTACGTATCTGAACCCTAAAATCCGACTTACAAACATCACAGACAGTCCTCTCAAGCCGCGCCTGTGTACATGGCTACTCGGAGGGGCATGCGCGGATGGGAACGGTCTTGTCCTACGACTGGATACCACACCGGCGCTGGGATCCAATTGATCTCTTTCTCGGTCGGAGCTAGAACGAAGCTCGGCAGCAGCACGGACAATACGACCTCTGTGAAATACGTCAGTTCGGTTCAACGAGATAGGTTCGTGGGCATGACTGACTCATTTCCATCTCGGCGAACTTGAATCCGCTGCAGGGAAAAGTCAGTCGCCAGCTGAGATCCTACAGGGTGCTATGACTAACATGCAGGCACGCTTGCCTCCAAGGAATGTCATTCTAGACAAGGCAATAAATCAGAACACGTAGAAACGTCTTTGCAGTCGTTGCCTCACATATTCCCTGCCACAGCTGGTAGGCCGGCCCCAGTCACGGAGTCTGGCAGCGGCGATAGCCAACGCTCCGGCTTCCATTCCATCGCGTCTTCACCCCAGAACGCCTTACTCGTGTTGCAGCCTAGGACACCGACGATGACTTCTGTGCCCTTCGGCACTGCAAACTCGCTGATTGGCGTGCCGTCCAATCCGGGGATGGTTTTCGAGACGGGTATGGTCGTGTCTCGTGTAGACCTGCGAACAGATAGCAGTAGTTGAGTGCAGGTCTTCTCGCCTCGGAGCCCTTGCACCTACATTCTGCCAGACCATAGCAAAGGGGGGTGCCTACCAGAAACATAGTTCGTCACGCTGAGACTCTGCTGTCGGATTGGACACTTACAGACGGAGGCTTTCCCGACACACCGCATCTAGATAAGGCAATTGCATGAGAGCGTCGTAAGCGAGATCCTCGCCTTGCGAAGCCTCGATTATTTCCGTCCGTAATCGCTGCTGGACGTCCGGATGTTCAGCGAGAAGCAGTAGGATCCGCGACAGAGTGTTAGACGTAGTGTCCATTGCCGCCATGATCATGGTGCTATAGAGAACTACTCAGGAGGCGGGAACAGTTGTTATGCAACAGTTCTACTCACGACATCTGCGAGACTAGCTCGTACTCTGTCAGGCTGTCCTTCTCGGAGGCACTTGTATTCGCTTTGACTGCGTTACAGAACTGAGTGACTCCTCTTTCCACTGATTGAGCGACGAACACTCACTGAGAATACTCATGATATCCTTGCCATGTCCAACCTGCTCTGCAGACGCTTCGTCGCTTTTTTGCAGGGCGCGCTTCTTCAACTCGAATACCTCCTGCGACCTCTGCGCCACGAAATCCGCGGTGTACTTCATGTCACGCGCGGTCGATATTGGTAGGACACGGCTGAGAGGACCTCGCAGACAGGCGGGTACGATCTGGCGTACGTGAGGCAGTATCAATGCCAGTTCCTTTAGCTTGGAGATGATTGGGCTGACAATGTAGAGGAATTAGTCACGAGATCAACGCGATATGCTGGAAGGATCAACGACGCACAACATTTGTTTCAAGGACTCAGCAAACGCGTCTTTCTCGTCCGCCACGAGCCGATCGAACGAATAACCGAGACCGGTCTGTCCGATGAGTTCTAGTGCAGTTCGGCCCATCCAGCCTGCCATGTCTAACTCTTGCGGTCCGTTCTTGACCCGTGACTCGATGGCATCATGAAGCTAATCCAAATCGTACATGAATACTTAGGCTATCACAGAGAGTTGATATTTACGCACTCTCCGTGTGGTATCGTAAAATATCGGTGTTATGGTCCGCATGTGGTTGATAGAGAAGACGGGATTCAGCATCTTGCGTTGCTTCCTGTGTTGCTCACCTGAGGGCGGGTATAATGAATATATGTTTCGGGCATGTGGGGAAGTCTTACCGAGTGTAGACAATAATCCGGGGCCAAACAACGCCAGGTTTGTCCTGTACAACACGTGTGACGACGGCCCTTCTCGATGAGCACACCTGAATGCTCACGCGATGAAGCTTGGGACTTCTTCCCAGATGCTCTCGTCCTTGATCAGGATGGTATGGAGTGCCTTTGGGTCATAGATGTACAGCACTGGCGCCTAAGCAGATGTTAGCTACCTCGTTTGCAAAAAAAGACAAAGTACATACGTTGAGAAGGCCGCGTAGTCTTACCACATGACTGTCATAGTTATCCACTAGATCGCGCTGGAGCTCAATGGAATGCGGGCCGCGAAACTGTCCCATATTTCCTGACAGTCGAACGTGAACCCTATTGTGCATGATGGTGTGCTATAGAGCTCGTCGGCGTACCTGTCACGAACGACGGCGGCAGGGGACCTGGCACATTGTCTAAGGAGGTCTTGACAAAGCGCCATTTCGCGAGGTTATATGTTCCGAGGCAGAGGCCGAATACCAAGAGACACTCGATGCACAGGATCAAGAGGCTCATGTCGAGTTTTGAAGGAATGAACTAAAGAATGCTCTGCGACATGTGAGTACTTATATCGTGGCAGTGGATTGAGTTCACTGACGATCCCGCGCGCAAGGCGCGTCACATCCTCGATGTGATACCCTGTTGTCAAAAGAGGGAACCGTCTTTGGGCTCAGCCCCACTAATCTCACGTAGTCAGCATCCGGAGGTTAGTAAGGTAGCGATATCCCGGTGAGCTCATATCTACTTCGGGAGTTGCATCCTCCGAGTCCCAGCTAGACGGAGTAACGAACGCTCTGAGAAGAGATGTATGTACTTACCCATTCAGTACTTGTAACATCTCGATGACTTGCTCCAACGTTCTCGGTGCCTTCGCTTCTACATCCCTGCGTCTAGCGTGTCCATTGTGATCAGCGGTCCCCGGTTATGTAGCGAGAACGAAACTTACTCAGGTAGTGAATTCCGCCAAGAGTTAACGCATTCACAAACCGGAGAAGTTGCGCCGACTCGGAGTCTGCTGGACGACTGATACGCGATAGGCTGCAGCGAGCTGGCCATGAGAAAACCAGATATGTGGAGTAAATGAGCGACTGCGCCTGAGCTTTGGCGTCCGACGTCGGTAGTGAACGCGCCTACCTGCCCGGGACCCGATGGAGAGTGCAAAATTCGGTTCGCATCGACATGCGATAGCGCTCGGCCACGAAGTGCAGTTCTAGCACATGATCACGTACCACTTGAATCGTACGGCCATTGGACGCCCAGGCGCCCATCATCTAAACTTTGGGTTGACGTAGTAGTAACATCCGCACTCACTTGAACCTCCGTAGCCCCTGGTACTACCTGTGCAATGTGCCAGCCATTCGATTAGACGCATCTTGCCAGAGTCATCGCAGTACTTCGCACCAAAAAGACCAACTGTCAGTGGCAACGATATGCAATTGCCGTCTCATACATCGGCGCCAGACATACGCTTCCAATCGGGCTCAAACCGACATTGTATTCTGGGATAACTTCCTCTCGGAACCGCGAGGAGCTTCTGCAACACACGCTCAGTCATTATTGCTTGAGTCATACTCATTACACAACTCACCAACAGGTGTCTGTGAGCACGATGTCCGCCCTGATCGCGTTCGGGCCCCGCTCTACAGTAACATATGCATAGCACACCCAATCACCCCTGATATGGCAACATTGTTCTATGTTTTCATACGGGTAGGACGGCAATAGATGCCGTCCTACCCAGGTTCAGCACGAGGATCACTCAGACGCCCCACATGGCTACAGTACTACTGGTGGTATGCAGAGACTTGGAGTGGCATCCGCGGAGTCGTCCGGTCCTCATTGACTGCTGGATAGAAAACTGGGGACGGGATCCAAAGAACCTGTGTATCGGAGGGGGAAAAGACGAAGCTCTGCAGCAATGCGACCAACACGACCTCTATGAATGACTTCAGATATGTATGACACAGTAGATTCGTACTGCACCGACTCACTCATCTCCATCTCGGCGAACATGAAACCGCTACAGTCGGTGTCGATCATTAGCCAGACCACACGAGCCACATCGCAACTTACATGCAAGCCCGTCTTCCGCCGAGGAAGGACATCCTACGCAGGCGGCGTCAGTGCGTAAAAACATTATAACAGTAGTGGGTAATTGGCTTACAGGTTCGCCGTTACACCAGGCAGGCCCGCTTTGGTCACGGATTCCGGAAGCGGCGCTAACCAACGCTCCGGCTTCCAATCCAATGCGTCTTCACCCCAGAATGCCTTGCTCGTGTTGCAGCCAATCACACCAAGGAGAACCTCGGTGCCCTTCGGTACCACCATTTGGGTGATTAGCTTGCCATCGATTCCACGGATTGGGTTTGAGACCGGCACGACAGTGTTCTGTGTCGCTCTGCAAGTGGGGCACATATCAGTCAATGCATTTTCCGGAAGCGTAGCGCTTACACTCTGCCTGACCATTGCAAGGGAGGATACCTGGAAACGCACAACCTTTCAAACTGGGATGTTATCGTCTGCCCATTCAACACTCACAGACGCAGAGTTTCTCGACACACGGCATCGAGGAACGGCAGTTGCATGAGACGGTCGTACGATAAATCCTCGCCTTGGGAGGCCTCGATGACCTCCGCACGCAGACGCTGCTGGACGTCCGGACGCTCAGCGAGAATGAGCAAGATCCGCGACAAGGTATTGGATGTCGTGTCCATGGCCGCCAAAACCAAGATGCTACGCAGTAGATCAGGGAGGGGTTGGAATGGTCTGTACGCGATGGCACTCACGACATCTGTGAGACCAACTCGTACTCTGATAGACCGTCTTTCTCTGTTGCATGCATGTTCGCTTTCACTGTCACCAGGTGAGTACCGGCCACACTAGTAAATTAGACTACTTGCTCAAGATACTCATGATATCCTTCCCTTGTCCGATCTGTTCTGCGACGGCTTCATCGCCTTGCTGCAAGGCACGCTTCTTTGAATCGTATATGTCCTGCATCTTCTGCGCCACGAAGTCCGAATTGTACTTCATATCACGTGCAGCTGCAATCGGTACGATGCTGGCCAAAGGACCTCGCAATCCAGCGGGTACGATAGCCCGCAGCTGAGGTAGGAACAGTGGCAGCACCCCGAGCTTGGAGACACTCGGGCTAAAAAGATGCAGAGTGAGCAATCGCGATTTGAATCAAATGCGATACGCTGCAGGACCCTTCCGACTCACAACATTCGTTTCATGGATTCAGCCAACACATATTTCTTGTCGTCGACGAGTTTGTCGAAAGAATAGCCGAGACCGCCTTGCCCGATGAGCTCTAGTGCCGTTCGACCCATCCAATTCGCCATGTCTAACTCTTGCGGCCCATTCTCGACACGGCTTTTGATAGCGTCACGAAGCTGACATGGTGTCCTCATGAGTGATTGACTATCGAATGCAGAGACGCACGCACTCTCCGGGCAGTGCCATAGAACATCGGTAGCATGAACCGCATGTGGTTAGCAGAAAAGACAGGATTAATCATTTTGCGCTGCCTCCGATGTTGATCACCTAGCGTATGCAATCAGTACACATCAACAGCAGGGCCCGGGAATGCCGAGCTGGCTCACCAAGCGTAGCTAATAGCCCTGGGCCAAACAGGGCTCCGTTCGCACTGTATACATATGTCGTCGCGAGCTTGCATTATATGTATCATGCAGACTCACGCAACGAAGTGTGGCGTTTGTTCCCAGATGCTCCCATCCTTAACGAGGATCGTGTGAAGCGCTGTTGGGTCAGACGTACAGCGAGGGCCTCTGACAACACATGAGTCACGTTGTCTGCACGCTGGAGTCAACACGTACATTGAAGAGACTGTGTAGTCTGACCACATATGCATCGTAATCATCCACCAGATGTAGCTGAAACTCCACTGCAGAGTCGAAGTCACGATATTGTTCCATATTCCCTGACAGTTACGATATGCGCTATTGAGCTTTATGCGTACGAAGGCCAACAGGCGTACCTTTGACAAACGACTGCGACGGTGGGCCTGGTATATTGTCCAAGGAAGTTGAGACGAAGACGCATTTCACAGCGTGGTATATCCCCAGGCTTAGTCCGAATATGAGGAGGCATTGAACAAACAGGACTATAGCATCCATGTCTGAGTCGACCGATAGAGGGCATACCGCAACTGAGTACTCTTATATGATCGTGACGGATTGAATCCACTCACCACGTCCTAGACATTGCCGATCATCGTCCATAGCCACATCTGCCTGGTCTCGTCCTCGTGTAAACGCACCCTATCACAGCGTGTCGGAGTGGTCTTATTCTGAGACCTCATCTCAGAGAGTCGGCACTAGGAATGAGGATGCCGTTTCAGATTGACGGTCCCGCGAAGTCAGTAGCCAAGGAAAGCGCCCACTGGGCGTGGTCGAGAATGAACCGGCCTGGGCACCATGCGTTCCGTGGACGGCTGGTAGACTGTCCCGCGCGAGGACGCAACGCCAAGGGAGTTCAGTAGTACCATTATGATCCGGATGAGTCGGACAACTGAAGACAATCCCCTACCATTTATGGTACGTACCGATATGATATCGTAGCCCGGTCAGAGCCATCGTATGATAGCCATAGAACAAGACCTAGACGTCGTAACGCATACGCTTTCATGAGGGGTCTCCGGCATCTGCTTCAGTCACATCACCGTATATGTCACCTATTGCAGTAATAGGCCCGCTTGATACCACCACTGCTTCCCGTGGTGACCGGTGACCGGTGACCGCTTGAGCCCCGAGCCTTGAGTCTGTGAGCAGAACCGGTATTCGGATTGTCAATCGGCGGGATGGGACAGCCTGCTTTGCCGAATTTGCCTATTGTAGTCAGTATATGACCTAATGTACATGTTCCAGATCACGTATCGTGAAGCGGGGAAGACAGGTGAAAGAGTGACTTTGCTGGATGCGATCCTGCAATCTATGGACATATAATGAGCAATATACAAGGGCCGTCATGCCGTGACACGATCTACGCTGAACCACATGGAACTCAGACCGAAGACTCACTGATACAAGCGGGAGCCCGCGTGAGCGATGTCTAGCACTGGAGTACCGAGAATGGCAAGGCAATAAACTACTTCCCCTTCTTCTTCTTTGTCTTCTTGCCCTTCGCGGTGCTCGCTGTTGGTGCCAAAGACGGTTCAGGGATTACAGGCGAGCCCAGGGGAGCCGTGCTTGCACGTGGAGATGCCTGAGGCGGAAGCGCGTTCGCCATAGTATTTGCGCGCGTCAAGTCATACTCTGGACTACCAGTTCGGATGTCATACGGTCTAGCACAACCACGCATTAACTCGATGACCAGATGCGCAAATGGAAGACTCACGACATCCGAGGGGATTGCACTGGCAGTGGTGTAGACGTGCCCCTCGCACTACCCATGAGTGGTGACATGGGCCTGCTCGTGGCAACCGGCGTTCTACCCGCGTCGAGGGCTACGTTGCTTCGGCTATACGACGTTTGGGAGTACGGATACCCAGCAGTAGACGTCGGGCTCGTGACAGACGCAGATGCGGACGGAGGTAACGGAACTCTAGCAGCGGTCGTCGCACGCGAACTTGTTGATCGTGGCGTAGGAGGCACGGGATACACAACATTGGGCGGTATCGGCGCCTCCTGATACAGTGGTGTTGCGGGCTTTGGGGGAAGGTGTTTGTGGCGAGATGGCGGAGTAGTGAGTGAGTCAACAGAGCCCATGGCAGACGAAACCGCGTCGTCTGAATCCGACGACGAATCTCGTAGGGCGGTTCGGCTGTACCTGACCGCAGATTGTCCTCCAGCAGAAGGCGTCGCTGTGGGCATCAAGTGCGGAATGACCGGTTCCGTGGCAGGATAGTTGCCAGGAGGGGCTGTGCTTACTACCGATGGGGTCCCGCCGTACGTGGACGGTGGCAGAGGGACGCCTGCTGGACCTAGTGACCCTTGGAAGGAGCCGGGGTGCGATCCGCCCATAGGCGAGAACGCACTTTGGGGCATCGGCGGACCAATAGGCTGGAACCCAGGAGGGAGCTGGCCATCAGTGAATATAGGAACGGACCCCTGGCCGGGCGGTGGAGGCATGCCGCCAGGCATGCTCATGACCTGAGCGGGAACATGTTGTACGGGCTCGGTTGGTTCAGCAGGAGGCATAGGTGGCAGGTTATTTGCACTGAGTAAGTTGGGAGTCATGGGCGCAGACTCTGAATTGACGGACTCGGGCCCAGACTGTCATCTCGCGATCAGTTCGGCACGGTGAATATGAATGAGGTCTCAACGTACCGGCGGTTCAACCTCAATGTTGAAGTCCGGTGAGAGACTCGAAGTTCTGCTGTGCCTCGGCTGCGAAGGTGGGCGCAAGGAAGACGGCGAAGCGGGGGCGTGAATATTCATGATACGCGTAGAGTCAGGCGAAGATGTATGAGCACGAGGATTCGTGTAATAGTTCTGGTTCCTGCTGTCATCATAGTGTCCCAGGCTTGAGCTAATGGACGCCTGCGCTCTGAGCGGTTGATAGAAAGTAGAACCCGAAGACGGTACAAATGGAGACTGGTGGTTTGTCAGAAGAGTTCCGAGAGGCGGAAGATAGGCTACATACCCCGTGACCACCGATACTGGGTGACGACATAGAAGAGGATCGTTCTCTCTCTTCAGCAATGGCACTGAGAACATGAGGCCGCTCTCTGGTCCTGTTGAGTGCAGATGGTGCCACAGGAGGTCCAAGAATCTCGAATTGAGACATGGTCGTTGACTCTGACTCTGTTGATCTTCGTCTACGATGGCGCGGGCGAACAGGTGCAGTCGTAGTCGATGCATCGGAGTCAGACGTCATCGCGTTGTCCATATTATCGCCTCCCGGAGGCGGTACCATCAGAGGTCTTTCGTTGTGGGCATGCTGCAGAGTAAGCGACGGAGGAGGTGATGGGGTCGGCGGCGGCGGGCCCATCTCGTGCTGCGGGGGCAGGCGTATACGCCCATCTTCGTCCATCTTCGGTATGAAGTTGTCAGGTGGGAAGTCCATCGGCGGGTGTCCGGGCGACTGCGCGTAGTGGACAGGGATGGGTCGGATTTCGGGATCCTTGACTATGGGCGGTTCAGCTGGCAGTGGCCCGGGAGTTCTGACACGGTTTGGACCAGGAGATCTCGCTCGTTCAGGGCCAGGAGAGCCCTCGCGCAAAGATTGCACGTATCCTGAAGGCGGCCGTGACCCATACTCGTCTGGCGAGCTGCCACTGCCAGCGTGCTGTGTGCCCGGCTCGTCGACGACACTACGCTCATCGACCGGCGATTCCGCCAGTTCGTCGGCGTACCGACGCACTGAGCGTGCTGTAGCGGCACGCCCCCGCGCGTACCCCTCGGCACGGCCTTCTTCGAATCCCAGATTGCGCCCTTGCGCTAACCCCTCTTCATAGCCCTCTCGCCTACCTTCCTCTCTCGCGAGCGTCGCTAGTTTCTCCTCCTTCAGCCTGCGAGCAGTCGTCCTCGCGCGGGCGGCGACCTCCTCCGCCTCAATTCTCTGTGCCTCTATGGCGTCTATGATTTGCTGAGCCTTATTGATCTCTCTCTGAGCGTTGTCCAGCTGCAACTTGTACAGCTCCAAAGTCTGCTTATTGCGTTCCGAATCTTGCTGCGCCTGCACCTTTGCATCGTTCATGGACTTGAAACGAATTGCCGCCTCTCTAGCTCTCATCTCCGCCTCGTCGGCGCGCTGCGTCTCGGCTTTGAGCTGTTCTGTAACGGAGGAGAGCATCTTCCGGAGATCCTTCGCCTCGCGTTCCTGATACACCAAGAGACGAGCCAGCTCTCTTGACGAGCTCCCCATGTTCAGCTTGTCGCGGTCCCTCGAGGACCGGTGGCCTCTCCGAGGCTGGTCCGACGAGTCTCTGCGAGACCGCACTGGCGTGTCATCTAGAGGCGAGTGAGAAGACTCTGAGTCATCCATGTGAGAAAGTCGTGAATAGTATGTGTCTATAAGCCACGCGTCAGAACTATGTATCACAGGCTCTGCGACCTCTGACGTACTGGAGTCGTCGTCAGTCGTCGCAGCTCATTCAGTGGTTGATGTGTCTCAAAATCGTGTGATCTGGTGCATCAGTGTAAGGCTTATACGTTTTTCATGACGCAGAGGCACACTGACCTTAGGTATACAAGTTTTGAAGGGTATCGTACACAGGACTGAGCCGAGTGAAGTGAAGGAAGCAGCCACCCAGGCGCCCATGCCGACGTTATGGGCGTCTGTGAGATGGGCGCTTTCGATTGTTCACTTCGACGCTGGCCTTCACCGGGCCTTCATGCGAAGCCTCAACTCGAAATTCGCATTGTGTATTCTATGACAATGGGTTTCCCTCCTCATTGATGGGGCAACTCTACACGCCTCACAGAGTAGACACATGTGTTGTGTCGACGGCGTCGACAATGGCGATCCACCGTGTTTGCTAGCTAGGAGGTGACTCCAAGTCAGAGCATTGAAGCCAGGGTTTAGTATAGTAATTAGGGTACAGACATATACGGGCTGCGAATGGTCCTGCCTGGTAAAAGCTCTGTGCATCAATAGGGCTCTCCATACCTTGCGACACACTGCAGTACGAACAATAGCACAGACTCAACGCGGTCACGGGACTCCTGTACGACGCGCCAGTGGCGGGTCATAATAAGAGAATAAGTAGACCTGTTGTTCGTGCTGCTGTAGTATGTACGTGCCGTGTGGTATGCAAAATCGAAAGAGAACTACCGAATGTAAGTATGAAGGGAGGACGATGCCGAAATTTTGTCGAAGCACACGATGTCTGTAAACTGGTTGAAGCTAGAGTCAGAACACGAACTCCTCGCTCTCCTCTGTCGCCTACTCGAGCGCCTCCTGATTGATGCGAATGAGTTCAGACGCCATATCAGGATGGCCCTTGCACGGGCACGACTTCCTGTTGATGTGTCGCCCCAGCGAGTCGCGCCGGCTGAAGCCCATACGGCACCCGCCCACCATCGGCCATCCCCTCCACCAGTACACACCACTCACGTCGTCAATCCCGTACGCCTTCGCATGCTCTACGGGGACCCCGCAGCACACCCAGCGCCGCTGGTTCTCCTTGGAGCGATGCGTCTCGATGTGACGCTTCATGTCGGGCTTGCGTCCCGTGCACTGCACGTAGTTGCAGTGAGGCACTGGGCAGTGTAGAACGCCGTCGTCCGAGGAGTCCAGGTCAAAGTGGGACACGTCGAGCTGGGACTGGATGTTGCGCGCCTTGCCCTGCGGCCAGATGTCGACGACGCGCAAGTTGGCGGAAGCGGAGGAGACGCGCTTCCGATGGGAGCTCTGCTTGTACGGATGGTACTTGCGAGAGCCTGAGGGTGGATCGCAGGATGAAGATCGACTAGAGCTTCCGGTGAGGCAGGAAGGGACGACCGCGGCTCCTACTGCGAGGTATGCTTTGCCCAGCACCGAATCCCCCACAGCTGACAACGTCGGGGCAAAGAAGCCGACAGGGATCTCGAAGTTACAGTCGGGGTCGTTGACCAAGAGCTCGTCTGCCGAGTTCGAGCCTTCAGACGAGGTCCCGAATGGGGAGGCTGAGCTGCTGATAGAGGATGCCCGGCTCTCGAAGAACGGACCTGGGCTGCCCGTGGACGACTCCGGGGTGCCGAAGAACGCGTCGACGTCGAAGATATCAGCGAGAGAGGGGGAAGTGAAGCCGGAACTGGTATATGAGTCGGGACAGCCTGTAGCTTCTGCTGGGAATGCCGCGATTGCGGACTCCACGACGTCGCGGAAGAACTCGCCGTTGTGCAAGGACGGGTCCACCCCTTCAGTAATAGGTTGTTGCTCCAGTGCAACCGTCGCCGACCCACCCAGGAGAAGCGGCATCCCCCAATCCCCCAGGTGACTCGTACTGATAGGAGCGTGAGTGAGGGGCAACCAAGCTATGAGTGAGTGGACGTACGCATCAGCAAAGTCGTCCATGCTTAAGCCAAACGCCTGCGTGCTGATAGATGGAAGGAGCATCTGACGGGGGCATGCATGCATGAGTCGCCGGATGGCAGAATACTCGCAGGCCTACACACCGAGGATCCTTGAAGGAGGCCTTCTCTACCATACTCGTCTTGCATAGTTTCGCCAAGCACAGAGGGTGGTACCTCGAGCGACATGGAGGCCATGGAGGCGGTGAAGTCCGAGAACTCATTGGTAGACAAAGCCGTGTGATCGAGAGCGGGGTTCATGGCTCGAGGGAGAACGGGGGAGGGCAGAGAGGGGGAGGATTCGCGGGAAACGCGGGTTGTGTAGACACCTTGCGTGCATTGCGGACGCTCGGGAGTGCCCTTTTATACGTCCGTCGCAAAGAGACATAGCAAGGGGGCGCAGAGGCCGAATGAGTGCCTCGTATGGGTCGACCCCTCGGTATAATCACCCTGCAGTTTGTGAGTGACAATCGAAAGGGTGGTTAGTGGGATCTCACCTGGACGTGGGTCCGGCCATGCCAATTCGGGCAGTCCTTCCTGCCTCATTGCCGTCCCGCCTTGTCATGCCCCTCGCTTGACGCCACCGACGTGCTGAGCGGCGTGTTCATCGATGAAGGGCGTTGTCGCTTTTCAGGCGGGAATGTAAGAGGCAGCGACCCAGACGTGGATAACCTACCTCAGAATACGACCTTCGTAGACCTACGAGCTGACCATCGTACCTCCAATATGCCAGGTGAGCAGGCGGACTGTCGAGGCGAGTGGCGACGTGAGGAGGAGGCGAAGAGATAAGGAAGGTGCACGGGGCCGCGACCACCCGGAGAGAAGGGCCGAGTGGCGCGATCGGAGAGTGAATGTACGCGGTGGCGTCCATTGTCCAAACGGTACATAGGACGGTGAGTGCGTACAGCGGCATTCTGTCAAGTCGGTGCATTGTGACGCGGTGGTATCCTCAGAGCTAGTGGTGCCCTACGTGCATGATTCAAATCATTGACTCAAGTGGCCGGCCTTTGTCATGTATTATGAGCATGTGTGCGCCCGTATCGTATACGAGCTCTTGCATCTCCACCGCGCCAACAGACGAGTACTATCCTCGCACTGGCAGGCAAGTACGTAGGACGAGTCCGATCGTCGCGTTCTGAAGCGCGTAAAGAGGTCACGTGTACCGTGTTGAAGTAGCGGGCGCTTGAGAGGGCAAGGCGTTTGGGGAGGACTGGCAAGCGGCGGAAACGGTCGGCCTCGCGTGTGCCTCCGTGCTGCCTCGCGACATCTCCCATCCTCACGAGTGATTACGACCCTTTACGAGAATCTGTTCGCTGCTATTGCATCTGGCTTGCTATCATCTGCTGAGCATCTTGTAACGAGTGACCTGGAAGCACGAACGACCACTATCTGTGCATTGTCTCGGTGGGATATACATGGGAAACAACAACTCGCGCGCGCATGGATACCCTTCTGACTCTTACCGACGCGATCCATACGCCGGATCACGAAGCTATTCTCGCAGTCGTCGAAATGACTGGTATGGCGGAAGTTATCCCGGGGAGATGGGCTATCGTTCGACCTCCACAGGCTACCAGACGTACGCTCAACCTAGTACCTACGTCAATCCGATGGTCTACCAACCACAGCAGATGGTACAGCCAGTCCAGCCGCAGATCTTCCGTGCGTATACTTGCTCAATTGTTTCCGCGACTCGCCTCTCATACCCTGCGGTGCAAGGGACGTAGAACCACAGCAGTACCAGTACATGCAGGCACCTCCACCACCTGGATCCTTTCCACAACCACCATCCGCTGCGCAACCTGTCATTCCTCATTATCCGCCCCCCAACGTCGTCCCCCCGGCTCCGAACACCATGGGCGGCGGCCAGGCCTACGCCCAACAAGGCGTATCCTACTCAATGCCCCAGCCTGTAGTGCCCAATATCGCACCCGCTCAAAACAACAATGCACCAGTGATACCTCAAATGCCGCAACAACAGCCTGCGATGTCCATGCCAGAACCCATGGTCGAGCCGGATCCGCCCCGTTCACGATCCCGAATGGACCCCGGCCGGTACGGCTCTTACGACCCACCCCGACGTCGCACCCCATCTCCCCCGTATCGCCCACGGTCGCCCTCGCGTAACCCCCTACCGCGACCGCCCCGAGACATCTTCGACTCCACGCCTTACATGCGACTCCTTGACGAGCTCCGCCATCCGATCGACTCGGACACGCTCAAGCGCAACCTCACCGTGAAGTCGATGCAGACGCAGGCCGTTAATGTCCCCGTCATGGGTCCGATGTTCCCTTCGGGCTCAGGCTCGGGCTCCCGGAGGCACGAGCGGAGGCACCGCAAGGGTCTCTTCAACGTCTTCGGGCGGCGGCGCCGCGACGAGGACGACCAAGATATCATCTCGCCTGTGCAAGCTCAGACTGCCTTCTATCCTGCGGTGCCGGCGCAGCAGCCCTACAACCCCCCACAGATGATGCAAGTCGACCCTGGCGGCGGCGTCCCTCCGGCTTCGGTGTTCGTGCCCTCGCGGGAGCCCACGCCCATGCCCGCGCGCCAGTCGACACCGGCGCAGCGCGTCGCGGTCAACCGGCAGAACGAGTTTGCAGACCTGATACCGTCTGCGCCCGTCCCCGTGCATTACGATCATAAGACATACCCGACCGCTCTTCACCTGCATGAAGCTATGAAGTTCATGGATGATCGGCCAGATATTGCGGAGAGCATCCGGAGGTGCCAGAGTGTCGAAGAGGTGCGCGGTGTCTCGTACACAAACAACCACCATGTGCGGGACGACTGGGAAGATATCATTTTTGAGATGGTAAGTGTCTACGGATGAACTCCACCACTCCATTGACGGCTGTCTCTGTACAGATGGACGAGGTGATCTACCATAAGCTGGTCGAGCACAACCACCTTCGTTCCCTACTACTCAATACTGGTATGGCGGACATTGTCTTCTCCGAGACCGACGAGCTCTGGGGAGAAGGAGCGTTAGGTCGCGGCGCGAACGAGCTTGGTCGATCCCTCATGCGAGTGCGTGACCGCCTGAGATCCGAGGGGTTCAGATGATACGTCGATCTCCGAGGACACCCTATATGCATTCCGGTCTCCGTGCGCGATCGTGCTTACGGGGGGTCCTGTCAGAGCTCATTCGCCGCGCTTCCTCCGCTTGCGCTTTCGTTTCCCCTCCGCAGGATCGTCCGCCACGGTTCGCCCCTTCCCACCGTCTCTGGCTGTACGGTCGCCGCCGCCTTCTCCACCGCTTGCCGACGCACCTTCTCTGGCACCTTGTGCCAGTAGAGTTCTTCCCGCGTGCCTTCGACGACTTCGAGGGCGATGGCCTTGATGTTAGTCCCTGGTGAGGGTGTTATGCCCGTGGCGTCCAGCCCGCCGCTCTGCGCTTTCGGATCGACAGCAAAGGACTCCGTGAGGAGTCGGGTATGGCGCGCGGAGGTCAGGCGCAAGTAGCACTTTTTCGGGTGTATGCAGTCAGTAGGTGGTTGATATTGATGGACGTAACGGACAGACCGTGTCCATGCCCTTGGAGAAATCTACGTAGTCCACGCCTTCATCGGGCGCATCACTTCCGGCAAAGGCTTGTGAGAACAGTGCGCGGAGGGTTGTTTTGTTCGTCTCCGGATGCACATTGCGGACGAAGACGAGGCACCCCTGAGGATATGGCGACCATGGATCTGTGGTCGGTAGGTCAGGTACTGTCTCTGGAGGAGTTGCGTCCTCTTCGATGGCGTTCACCTCCATGGTCTCGTCGGGGTCTTGCACCGTGTAGGCGAGGGTATCCAGGAGCGTCTGACGATAAGCAATGTATTCATCCCGCAACTGCTCCCAACGCTCGCGAGGCATGACGCGGAAGCCAAACTTCACGGCTTCCCGGGCTTCTGCAATGTCGGCCATGTTGTGCAGATCCGTTCGCCGTACGTTCCAAGGCCACTGGTGTACGAGCTTCTCCGCCTGCTCGGTGCTTGAAAGCGTGATGAGAGCGAAGCCTTTGCATTTCGGCCGGTCCCCTAGTCTGTCCTGGATGTGAGGAGGTAGCCAGATGTGTTGTACGGCTGCATCAACGAACTAGATGTAGTCGGGCTTGTAGTGAGCGAATGGATGATACGGCTATGCCCGCTATGGTCCGGCGTTGGGGCGGAATATTCTCCTATGATTCTTGTGTCAGATGGACAGCGCCAACCGGCGATGGGAAGTGACGAACCACATATATGCTCCTGGCTGACCAGTGATCCTCTGTGAGATGCTGAGAGCGCTGCAGAACGTCCGCCCAGTCTTGCCTCCGCACCTCGTAACCACCGGGCTGATCCTTCCCACCGTTCTTACCATACCACTCCGCACGAGAGGGCGCGGACACCAGCACACGCACGTCCAGTAAGTCGTCCTGCTGCGCACGGATGGCTTTAGCTATCAGCGTTTCCGTAGCTGGTGGGTCGAGAGCCGACAAGACGGGTGAATGGGAGAGAAGGTACTGGAGCGGGATGTCTGCAAACCAGACACAGCGTGAGCCCTGTCCTGCGCTCCCGTTCGAAATGTCTCGTACAGCCGTCCGAGCCGTTGACGAGCCTGCTTCTCAGGTGTGGGTCCGCCCATATTGCGCGGTCAGAGAGAGCAAGGCAAACGAGAGGGTAGTAGTCCTCTCCAGCCGCGGCGGCGTCCACAGCTTTCCGTTTCCCTTTAATGACGATGCGCTGGCCCTCCCCGAGACCAGTCGCTGTGCCTTCCGCGACCGAGTTTGTGGGGGCGGCATTCCGCCTTGGCTGCGACGTACTTGCCGTAGCACTCGTGGATTTACCGGCTTGAGCGACTCTCCGGGGAACGAAAGGAAACATGCGTGGTGGAGACTGTTAGTCCGTTATGGGAGATGGAAAGCGTCGGCTAGATGGTGTTGCGCATGCGATGAAGTCGTTGAGGAACTTGTGAACACCAGTAACAATATCTGCTGATGCCTTGTGCAGCGTGCTGGTCAGATTCAACTGTGTGGGCGTCTATGCATGTTCCTAGCACAACGGTCCGGCAAACCGCCACATTCACCGTGACAGCGATCGCCCGGCCGGATGGCTGGGAGGGCGAACTTTCGTCAATACAGTACTTAGCTCACACTCCCGAACGCGTAGGCAGCTGATCATGCATATGAGTCATAATAAACAGCTTCTCTGCGTATCCTGATCGGTATCATATCACCACACTCGCCGCAAATGAGCGAAAGTACCCCAGGCTGAATTCCGCCTGGCTCCAGACTACAGTGATTAAGTACGTAACTTATGATGGTGTTCGAAGGTCCGGAGCCATTTCGAGAGCGTGAAAAACGGCGGAAACTATGAGAGCTGGCACACGCCTGACTCGACTCAACTTACCTCGTACCCGGAAATGACTGACATGGTTCGGGAGGGTTTGCTCTACAGCGAAATTCTCGAACTGCCCGGCCGTTGGTTGCTTTATCGATCAATGAATGTCCTGAGCCAGAAGGTCTTCGTCTTCGATGTTCTTTGTTACGCACCACGCCAGACCGACGGCAACTGCTGCACCGATGTAGCCAGAGTTAATGGGTATACCAGTGCGGCCCGGGTTTCTCGGTCTCGAGAGCGGCCCATGTCGTCGACCCTCCGCCCTGGTCATGAGGTTCTCGGTGTGTTCGAGGACCCCGACGCAGATAATATACACTTCCTGCACATCTCGAACCATCAGAATGACGGTCGGGAATCAGTAAAGCACCATCATCGCGTCATGAGTACCTGCGCTTCACACCTATGTAAAATCCCCTTTTGACCATATCGAGAACAAGGGACGGATAATTGAAGAAGACGTCGCATTGATGCCCAGCTCAATAAGATTCTGACGACCCTGAGGGAAGACTGGGCGCATATGGAGCTTTACGGCTCTCGAGCGACCGTCTCGGCATTGACCAGCCCACTGGCAAACGGCGGAAGCGGCAGCCAAAGTCCAGGACCAATCGGTAACCTGCCCGTAGGGAGGTTGGGGGTTCCCTGGTCTGACCGCGACGGCCATCGCAGAGCAGAGCGCGCATCTGGAACAATGACCAATGCTCGACCAAACGTCTCCAATATACGGTCCCGTGAACTACAAGGAGCTCGGATGACTGGTCGTGAGTTGCCGTGCGCGCGAAATGCCGATTGAGTCCGGACTCGGTGCGGAGCAAAGCGTTAATTCTGCGCCTCACGCAAGCTTTGGTGTCCACTTGCAATTACTCCGAGTGACAGAGGTCTTGATAGATGAAACCGGAATAAGAGCGAGAAGAGTCATGAGTTACAAGGAACATTGCTGAAGCGATAGACGCGGCTCAGCGAATAAGATTTGACTTGACTTTTGCGGATGGATCTACAAGCTAAAGTCGCCTGAATCAGCCAGGTTTTAGGGCCTCTCACCAACTGTTGCATACGTGCCTGTAAGACGACCACGCTAGACAGCTTTGCATTCTACGGATGTATTGCAGACACTTTATTCATGTTTGCTATACAAGTCAAGAGAACTCACCGCGTTATGGCGTGTACTAGTTCCCTGCGGGGGTACTACCGTCGCCGCCAGTAGGGAATCCAGCAGAAGACGACAGCCGGTCCAACATTATCGGTCTATATCTTGAGTACACGGTGCCATGATTACAGCAGTGACATGTCGTGACCAGAATCACTGCCAGCCGGGATTGACAGCGTATCTCCTGCGTGTGACGAAATAAGTCGAACCTACGCTCAAAACGCCGTCTCCTCGCGTTGCGGATGCACGGAGAGCAGCCTGGATGCAGCTTAGTCAGATCCCAGCGAGCGAGTCGAACCGTGGGGGAATATAGGGTCCGCCGGGGAGATGGAGTCGTCTAAAATGGAAATCCGGAAACACAGCGACGGAGAGATTAAGTCATTAGATTTGAACGTCGCGGCTGAATCTGCGGGCATAGTTGAGCCTGTAAACACCGAAACAACAGCGGCTTCTGCTCATCTAGATTCAATAATAATAAGCGAAGTCTAAGAAGACCAGAACCCGAAGAAGCAGCCTCAGGCCAGGAAGGGCACACACAAGAGCAAATCTTGCTCCACAATGATGGGCAAAGTTGGATCGATCGACCGCCCGGTATCCTCGTGCCTTCCGCCACACCCAGAATTGGCAGGTATGTATCTTCACTCTTGCGCTCGGTGCAGCGATGCGCACTCCCTGACCACAGCGCACATGGCACGCAGAGGGAGGAAAAATCACCACTAAAGGATACGAGTCAGTAAGACAAAATTGTGGCCGCTGCGCAGGCGAAGAGAATGTCCTCACCGAATTCAACCGATGAGCAGTGATTTCACGGAATAATAGAACAATAATATGACTGACGCGAAGACTTCTTCAATTGTAGAAGAGGCAGCTACGAACCAGCAGCTCGCATACTTTCGGGGTAATTATCTCTGCGTATCTCCATTGAGCGGCAGGATAATGTTTGACGGAGCGCCAGACGACCCAGAGGTCTCGTAACCTCGTGTATTTAGTACGTCCCATATGCTACAGAAGCCAGTGGTATGCTGACTGCCTGCACAGGTTAGGCATGAGAGATCCAAGGCGAATCAATTGTACGTTTGGTCGACGCCGCTCCCTGGAAGCTTTCCGGCGAACATACAATCGCTGTGAATAAGCCTGAACATCGTCGGCGGTGTCGGCACGTGAGACCTAAGTGGGTTTCTCCTCCACAGAAAACTGCAGTAGAGCCGTGGAAACCCTTTTTTTTTCTCGCATTCGAATATTAATGTTCAAGAGCCGCTCCAACAGAGCTGGATCGACTCACTCGAAATAAGCCCATCCCAATGGAACCTTACTCGGAACTCGCCCCCGGACCCTCTCGCTGCAAGCCCACCCCCTCCTCCCAGCTCCAGAAAGTCGATGCCTATGACGGTCCCGTTCTCACCCCAGAGTGTTCGCCAGTTTTCATCTCTTCCGACTGGGGCTTGTAACTGTGGCCGTGCTGGGCAGCCTCGCGAACACCGTGCGACTGTAATAGCGATTACCGGTAAGTTACTTGCAGCCTTCTAGTTGGAATTTCCTTGCCCGCACCTGCGACGTTCGTCAATCTGTGTAGGATGTGCCTGCTACGAGCCGAGGCAACAGGCTCAGCGCAAGTGCTCCCTAGCCATAGACAGAACGTCGCAGATCACGTTTTATGCTGGATTGACGAGACTTTGTAGGAAGATTCTGAGAGTGCGTCGTTGAAACATCATTGCGCTGGCAATGCACACTAACAAGTTTGCCATAGATCTGGCAAGATGAAACGGTCCGATCGCTACTGGCCACGCGGACCAAACACGAGGCATCGTCATTCTCATCCGTCTTCTTTTTCTTGCCGCAGTATCCATCTCGCTATGCCAGCCTTGCACATCGCGCGATCCAGCCTCAACTTGAAGGCGTTCGACGCCAGATAATCGCACCTTCAATGGTGTTCACGCTGTGGATATATATTTTCTAGACAAAACAACAATGTCCTTCGATAGCTCAGTTGGAAGAGCGTGAGACTGTAATTGGATGCTTATCTCAATGTCGCTGGTTCGATCCCGGCTCGAAGGATGCTTTTGGTTTGCTTCGTTCGGTTTCATGGGATTGTTGGGTCACTCTTTTTGTCTCGTCGTGCAGGACGGTTCACAGGAGTATCATGCATAATGTATCAAGCGTCAAAATCTGCATTTATAACTGCAGCCCATGTTGGTGTTGGTATCAACGTCGCCACGAGGATCTCAGCTACTGCGTCAATACGATAGCCTGGGTCATTGATAATCAGTAACTTCAATCTAAACATAATGCACCATCAGTATGTTGCGTACCTTCGTGAGTTCATACAGCCTTCTCTGGCACATGAAGAGGATGGCAGCAGTCAGCACGCTTTGCACTAGCTTGCTCCCGACACCCTTGTACAAGCCTTCTACCCCCTCTTCCCGTACGATTGTGAGCAGCCCATCGAGAGAAGACTTGTATTGCAGAGCATGCGCCCGTCCGGCTTGGAGTCTGCTCTTGACCACACTAAAAAGATTATTATCGCATATGAGACGCATAACCAGCACCATACAAATCACGCACATATAAGGGTATGTAAATGAAGTGGCAACTACGGACAAGTCAACGCCTGAATTTAAGTACACAGGACTAGCAGCCTTACCGAGTTTCGACAACGCGCCGAGTATGAAGTAGTCGATGTCAGATAGAACGGCCACGGCGGACGACACCGCTCCGGAGGCTCTCAGTCGTGCAGTTCTCCTCCGTATCAGGGAATTCTTCAGTTGCTCGAACACCGTGTACTGAATGACAGGATTGATCACAAGGACCAGAGCGGGCCCGATGCCACGCCAAAACGCGGGGATCCCGTCCTTCCGCAGAATGTATTGAATCGTCTCAATGATGCCCATCTTCCGTGGCTTCGGTGTAGTCTTGTCTGACGTCTGGTCCATCGAGCGGACTGCCTGTGACGTCTGAACCACCCAGATTGGATTGCTGATGAGGGAAGTTGCTGAACCGGCGACGAGGCCTGCTAGCATGGACTCTAGAGTGCTGAGCCCTTTACCGCCTCGCCTAGAAGTGAGGATAATGCCGCGCGATCGCTCGTAGAAATAATAATACGCTCTGCTACAATGTCAGATAGCATGAATGAAGTGCAAGTCAGCGCTCACCCATTTGTGACTGCGATGCCTAGCAGGCTGGAGCTAAGACCGCTGTACAATCCTCGGATACCTTCACGCTTGATAACGTCAACGACGGCATCGTATACAGACTGTTAATCATGTGACATCATAGACAAGGGTCCGACGTTAACTACACCCACGGCAGGCAAACCAGCCAGTTCACCTACTCACCTTGCGCTCTTTCTTGGTTTCCACTGCGGCGCGCGTCGAAATAAATATGAGAGGGCTGGTCCAAGCTGTCAGAGTGGATGACACGGAAGAGTGTTTGTTCAAACTGACTATGTTGCCGTCATCGCAAGAACTCCGCCCGCGGCCCCCGCAACGGCATGAATTGTCGAGTCACTTGGCATGCTGCAAATGTCCACCTTTCGTCGCCGCCTCGGTCGTGGTGGTTGTGGTTAGAGAAGCGGACTGTCCAATGCATTCTGTCAGACGCGTGTGCCACTGGCACCCGCAATCACATGCTCCCGGCCGCCGCCGCTGAAGCACTGACAGTGACGCGGACGACTTCAACCAACGCCCGGTCAACAACTTGGCGCGGCTTGTGATTGCCATTCGAAGGCAATGCATTGAAACCCGTACTACTTAGTGATATGCATACATGTCTACAACCCAAGTCCAAGCATGCGCTATCGTGCCGCGTGATCTTCTGACTGAAGCTGGACCAACAAACGCTTCAGTTCCTCCACATCTGCCTGGAAGCCATTCGAGCTCCCTGTTGCTACAGAGTTCTTGGATCCGCCGTATCCACCGTCTGTGATTGACTTGCCATCGTCTATGGCGAGCCATTGATCCAGCTGGGCCGTTATTGACTTGGCCTTGAGCCGGAAGTGGGTGCGTACAACGTCCTCGAACGGCTCCGGCGGGTTCTTCAGGTTGCCTAGCATCTAACGACAGGTCAAAGTAAGAAAACTAGCACCTGTGATCGGAGGATTAAACGTACCGCGGTCTTCACGACCATCCGACGGACGTTGGCCGAGTCTAGTGAACGTCAATATAAAGTCCGGATGACTAAGGTGCTATGAATACTACTCACATGCGCGTGACTGAGGCGTTCCTCCGCTCTGGGCCCAGCCGGGTTCGTTTAGGTACGGCTCCTCGCAAAGAATCATGGATTGGATCGATATGAGAACCTAGAGAACACGCATCCTGAGCGCACTGAAGTTGTATCTGACAGTCCCACCTACCTGCAAGAGCGTCGATTTCCCTGAAACCCACCCCGGACCTGACCATGTCCCGAGTAGGGACAAGCATACTTTACCGTCCTGATCAACAGAGTTAGAGTATGCTATCGCCAAAGCTACAAGAGCAGACTAACCGCATATAGATTCGGGTTAAAACGGAACTTTCCCCCGTTGGTCTGCACGAAGCAATTTCAGATTCTGGGGTGATGATGCAGCTGCATTCTTCTTACCGTCATGTATTTGACGCTAGGTGGAGACTGGTTATAGCTAGGGCCGAGGAAGACATCAAAAAGATAACTATCAAAATGTTAGCGATTTGCGACTGCCCAGAAAGACCGAGACGTCTGTACCAGCCGTTATAGTATCTGCCATATGCGGAAAATAGTTAGCGGAACAACGGGACAAAACTATGCCTGGACCTACGGTGTTCCTTCGGGACCAGTGATCAAGACCTTGATAACGTCCACGCGGCTCTCATCCACCCGCAAGAAGATCGAAGAATTCCAATCAACTGGCAGGTTCGTCGTGAGCACGGCCAGCTGAACCCCGCGTCAGAGTGGGGTTTTGGGCAGCGGCGATGACAGTCTCACGCACCTCCTTCGCGATGGCCAACGATCGCTTCGGAATGTCGGCGTTCGCCAGCATTCGCGCTTCGTTATTGTAGAAGAACTTGTAATGCGGACTTTCGTCGTCGTTACCCTGTCCAGGTGCGTCCGACGGGGGGATTGTCAGGTCGCAGTATTCGAAACGGACACGGTTCGCCCATTCCACGTAAGCTTTCACCGTATCCGCCTCCGTGTCGCCCGCCCGGACCTGGGCCACACTCTGCTCGGCGCTACCTGGGATTTTCGGCAGGCTGGCGCGTAGTCGCCGCAGGAAAGCGTCGCCCTTGGTCTCAGCGAGCGAACGATCGATCGCGTCGGCAGTATCAATTATGCGCTGGCAGAACTTGAGCATCTTCGCATTCTCTTCTGACTGCGTGCGCCCTGCGTCCTTAGCCTTCCCCTTCTCGTCGCTGGTCATCCGCTTTTCCTCTTCCGTCATCTCGACCACAGGCTCATTGAGCTTGGGGCCCTCGAGACCTTTGACCGCAGCCTGTGCCTGGATTACAATGGCTTCCAGAAGTTCACGAGGGCCAGAGCTGCCTTCGTAAATCGTCGTGCGCTCGCGTACTCTCGGGCTACCTCTCGGTGATTTCTTTGAAGGGACCGTCTTCACAGACGCTACGACCATGATCGGCATCGCCATCATGCTGGCTAGTGCCTCGTGACACGAGATGGTCTGCACGGCGGTGAGAATGCGCATGAGTATATTCGTAGCAATGATCGTACCTCGAGCCAATCGAATAACTCAATGTAGAGTGTGGAGCGGTCGGACATATCCGCAAGCGAATCATTTCGGAGAAGTTGGCTACTGACGAAGTTAAACCGTCGGCGGAGATGCGCGAGGGCAGTCGGGTGGACGAGGTAATCGCTGGTTTTGGGCCCGCCTGGCCGCCGCACAGAAGGAAGGTACACTCGTATGCTGGCCAGCAACTTAGCAAGTTTCTCATCCTTGGCGCGTTGGGCTGCCAATGCCTCGATTTGCCCGGACGTCTATATGCACTTATTCAGCGCTACAGTGAACGGATGGAGCGGCTGAACCTACATCCTCTCGAATATCCCCAGCGTAGCCGGTACCGAGTTTGGCTTTCTTGCCGTGAGCGACCGGCGGATAGTAATTGTCCTCCTCGTCATCTTCGTCCGAGGCCGTGGGACGGGTGTCGGGTCAGCGTTGCGCCTCTTTCCTCCCTTGGAATTTGACGCTGGAGGATTCGCTGAGTCGTGAGTCTGGTCGATGTACATCTTCTCTAGCATCGTGAGGCCTACGCCAAGAATGACGCCCTGCAGGTTGGGGCAATGGAACAAGCAGTCAGCGCGTCTGCTCCATGCGTCTGTTTGGGATCAATGGGCTCTCCACATGCGAAGCAGAACGGCTTCCTGCATTTGGCACAGGTTCGAGGAACAATGTTCTGGAGGTGTTTGACATACGTAGAAAAGGCTTTCTGCACGTTATGTCAACGTCTATCGGGCCAGAGGATTTGCCCGTTACTTACAAAGAGCGGGAAGAAGTCCCGTTTCTGACGAGTTACGCCTTCGCCGCAGCCGTGTGGACAACGGCATTCGCCTTCGCCCAGCTCACGGTACAAGCTGAACAAAAAACTTTGTTCGCTGCCCTCCGGACAGCCTTTCATCCACTGGCCCTGTGTCATCAACGATGCTTCTTCATTCACATCGAGTACCAGAGCCGTCTCAGGCTCTTCCTCGACTTCGATTACTTCATCACGTCTGTCCTTTGAGAAGAAAATGCCTTCGTCGGAGTCAGATACAGGTAGGTCGACAAAGACACCACAGTACCGGCATATGGATCCGCATTCACATGGCTGGCCCCTTGATCCGGCTTGACATCGTCGTCCGAGTCATAATAATCGAAATCACCGCCTGCAATCGCATGAGCACAGCAGGTTGCAACCATCCGGAACCACACACCATCGTCCTCGTCGTCATCCTCACCCATCATCTCAGCGGCATCTTCGTCTTCGTCTGGAGTCTAGTAGGCACGCTGTGGGCAATTAGTACAAAAATGAGACGTGTTGAAAGGCTCACCATCATCCTCGGCCTGGGCGCTGGCAATGGCGCATCACTAGGTTCCATCGTGACATCTCCGTCGGCATCGAGCAAATGATCAAAGCTTCCGTCGAAGATGCGTTCCGCTGCTTGCATCACATCCTTATGCTTCTGTAGAGCAGCGCGAGCTTGAGCCACTGTTGCGCCCTGGGCCAGCGTTTCAACTCTCGCGCCAGCAACATTACAGCTCAAGAGCACCGCCTACCATTTCTACGAGCTGCTGTATTTGCTTGTCCATTTTGAGCGAGTATGTGTGCGTTCAGAAGGACTCAAATGGGACTAGACAGATTACATGTAGTGGCAGAGTGGTTGTGGCAAAAAGGCGCGCGTTAGCACGGTAGCGCTGTAGCGGCACATGCCACATGGTACCCCATATACGGCAACCCACAATTGCCGATCATAGCGAGTCTGAACGGCAAGGCCAGTGCATGGCCTTCTGACTCTGAGCTCAAGCTCAGGCCTCGTCTGGTGGCCGCACTTTCGAGTGAGTGCTAATTCCTCTTACCCGCATGCGTTCTCAGTCGCGCCTCGCCACACCTCTTCAGTTCAACCGCCGGGTTTCGACGTAATCCGTCCGTAATCTCGCTATGTACGTGACATATCCTCCGGGTTCGGGTTCGGGCCACGATTTGCCCAAGCTGAGGAAGTCCCTTCATAGGCAGGGCGCGGGAATACGTAGAACCCGACACGCACGAGGTTCTCACAACGCTGAGCATGAAAAAATGGAAATGGCGTAATTGAATACTCATGGTACGCATGCTTCTCTGGTCACGCATCTCCTATGTTTTATTGCTGATGTTCCTGTCAGAGATTGCACTCTGACCCAACTTGCACTCGACCTAGGAGCAGGAACCAGGCCACCGTGGATCGAATGGTCCCGAACCCCACTTTGCTGCTTGTCAAGAGACTACAACGTCTTTGGTTACTTCGTCGCAACTTAGGGGGCTTTGATGCCATGGCCACAATGTCGACACGGAGCTTGCGGGATTGGGCCACTGCCGCTGACCCTTACTCCGTGCAACCACTCTACTCGGCTGGCTTGGTATGTATGTAGCTCAGCGAAATGGCGATCTGGGTGTGGTCCAGATATCCGGCGCGGCACGGCGGCAGTACGATTCAGATTCACGAACACGAAAGCCCTTATCAGAAATGAGGTCTGACGTCATGCATGAGTGTCCAGAAGGTCAGTACCGAGCCCGTAATGCAACCGCAACACGGACCAAACACGAACCAAGCCGACCCTCATTTCGAGCGGGCTGAAACTCCACAGGAGTACTGGGCTTGCCCGATTCTCGTTGGCCGTGTCTGTGGTCCCGGGCCGCTCACGCGTTCGGTTTGGTCTCCAGACTTCTGGATGGAAGCCCTTCTTACCAGCTTCCGGGGGATCGAGAGATTGTGGAGTGGGCGGGAGAGAGCCTTCAAGAGCCGAGAAGCTGGCGTGCTCTGCTCAATGGTAGGCCTTATAAGCCTCGGTGATTGATTTACGTTAGACCGCGTCCCTCCTCCGGTGACACACCTCCGACTCATGCCCACGTATTCTGAACCATCCGACGATGAGCGACTTCCGTCTCCATCCGAAAGGCAGCCGAGTGTCGAGCAGAGCTCGCGCAGACGTAGCACGCGAGGTAAGTTTCCTCATCGTAAACACACCCTATAGCTTCCCGTCATGTTGACAATTCCGTCTTAGCGTGTGACCAGTGTCGTCGTACCAAGAGCAAGTGCGAGCGCGACAAAGGCGCGCCCGCCAGAAAGCCCTGCCATGGCTGCACTGCTCTAGGTCTACGTGCGTTTTTCGTGTAGTCAAACGCCCCTGCTATCCGCTAATATTCAGCGTTCGGACAGCCTGCACGTATGCCGGTCAGTATCAGCGTCCCCTGATTCCCGTCCACTGACGAATGTGACGTCTTGTAACGTGTACGATGCAGGCCCTAGTCACAAACGTGGCCCTCCCAAAGGGTGCGTTGCCATACGCTTTCCATTGCGCGACCGCGCGCTGATACACCTTGGCTTAGGTACATCCTGGCAATTGAGCGCCGACTTCACCAGGTCGAAGCGCTCTTGGGGACAATTATCGGTTCAGAGGATCCACGTGCCAAAGGTCTCATCCAGGACCTATCCCAGGATCAGTTGGCCAGACAAATAATTCAACGAGTGGACGTAGGTCCGTTTGGCCGGAAGGGTCGTGTCACTCACCCGTAAGTAGCGCTCGACTACCTAATGTGTGACATCACTAAACAAGTCGATAACAGATTTGGATCTACAAAGGAGGACTTCCTAACATCCATTATGACGGGGGCAGGAGAGGAGATCCAAGAATCGTCTAAAGATGATGGAGCCTCTCCACGCTTCGGTAGGTCGCTTCCTGCATTCTAACTGATGACGGTGAGAGTGTTGTGTTGACGCAGTGACCAACGTCAGATAACCTCGCTCTAGTAAGTCCCAGTAGCACCTGGCAGGACAGTCTGCAGCGTCTTCTGCCTCGGGCATCAGGGACAGCCTTCCCGCAGACTGCCGTGGACGCGGGTTCTGCGGGCAGCGGGTCCCCGGACCACCGAACCAGGCGTGCTTCGTTTCCCCTAATGTCGAACCGCGTCTCTTCTCCGTGGAGAATTCCGCCGGTTTCTCCCATGAACTCATTGTCATCGTTGACTTCATTCCCTACCGTCCCACCTTCGGAGCGCGTCTTGTGGGATAATATCGCAGGTTTGGAGAAATTCGACAGTACGTCGCAATTTTCGCATTCGAATGCATCCTCTGATGCAATATTGTTCAGCTGAGTCAGTAGCCTCCGACGACTCCGAGGTCAAGGTGCCGGTTCGCGTGGAGGACGTCTACATCGATGGCAATGCACAGGTAGGTGGGAACATCGATGGTAGTACTCTTGACTGACGGTTGACATTGCAGTTGCGGATAGCCAACCAGGTCAGCGGTTTGCAGATACTCAGCCAATGTCAAAAGATTCTGACAGGAAGAGAAGATAAATCACTGTATGTGGAGGCTTTATACGGATCTTATCCATGTCTTTGGCTTCTGTACTTACAGTAGCCGACAGCGACTGCCCGTGGCCTTCGACGGACGCGGAAAGAACGGCGGCCCAGCTTCCTCCCTCGGCATCAATGCGACGCCCTCCAGAACAGCATCAACATGACCTTGTACGAGCATTCTTCGAACATGTGTACCCCGCATTCCCCGTCATCAATAAAGCACACTTTCTGCGTTTGTATCATCAACAGTAAGTCGCAGCCTTTCCGATGTCCGGCTTAATTGACGCGCTTTTGATCAGATTGAACACGTCCGTAGCCGCTTCTTGAGGTGACCTGGCTGCCATTGCTAACATCACGACGCAGTGGCGTTCAAGAGTCCCTTCACTCAAGCCTTGAACAAACGTCATTCGACGTCCTATTGCTGTCGATGTTCGCCCTGTCGTACAGATTCATCAACACCTTTACAGAGGACCCTGACTATGTCACTGAGGCTGAAAGGGTTCTATGTATGTTCATGCGTTTCGTTTCGTCCGTCGTGCTGATGCTGCTTCAGTTTCTATGCGTGGACGCGCACATCCCCTTTTATGTCAAGCTTGGCTGCTGCTGGCCTATCGCAACGTCGGGATCGGTATGTACGGCTCACAGTACCTTTCGTTCCAAAATTTACTCAAGACCACCCCCACGTCAGGCTGCTTGGAGGCTGCTTGGATGTACACTGGTGAGTCTGCCGAGATTAGCGGCGAACCGATCTGTGCTCATTCGTGTTGAAGGTATCGCCATTCGTATGGTGAGTCGCCAGCGTCTCCTTGAAGATAAGCAACTACTCAGCCCTGATAGGCCCAGTCCCTCGGTCTTCATAGGGACACTCAGGGACTCTTCTCATCCGGTATCGTCTCTGAAGAAGACTGGGTGGCGCGGCGACACGTATGGGCGGGGTGCATAATTGTTGACAGGTCGGTCTATCACGCGCTAGTCTAATTCAACATAGTCTAATCTCCATTACTACAGACACCTCTCCGTTCTCTTGGGTATGGAAGCTTCAAGGTACATCAGACGCCACATTGACCCTGTTTCATCATCAGGGCGACCCCCTATGATCGACGCAACGGACTGTGACGTTTCACCCGTGGCCATTATTCAGGTGAGGATTTCCCGGCTCCCGTTCGGCCTACAGATTTACGCTCATGCATGACGCTACAATGCATAGGGTAACGCTCTGCACCTCCAAACCGATCTCGGCCTTGGATCAAATGGGGTGGCGGACTCGACTATCCTTATGTGCTTCAATGCCTCTTGCGCGCTGGGTATGTCGCGACTCCGGGATTTCGCCGCAAATATGAGACTGACGTCGTGACTTATGTTAGCGGTTTTGTTGGCGCTGTCATAGATCAGCTGTACGCTATCACACGCCCAGCTGATGCTGTCCTCGAGCTACGTGCGAAGCGGCTGGAACACCAATTATCGCAGTGGCGGAACGCCTTACCGGCCCAAGTGCAGCTGCATGCGACGAGCTCTGTGCCCCCGGCCTGCGCGCTTGAGCTACACATTCGGTATTGGTGGACGGTCATTTTACTTTATCGCTCGTTGTGAGTACACGCCGCGCAGGTATGACTGTGCGGTCGTACTGAGCCGTCTGCGCAGCGTGCAGGGGCCTTTGGTGAAAAGCCTCTATGCCAGTCCTGATAGCGTCGAGTCGAAGGCTCTGGTGCTTTGTCGGGATGCTTCGACGCAGCTGTCTTCGCTAGGTAGGCACCAGCACGCTACGAAACCGTTGTCTGACACACCGCTCTTGTCAGTGCGTATGCTGTGCAACCAGACACCGGAGCCCGCCTCCCCCTTTCTACCAGGATATGTTTTGTCTTCTGGGTAGATATTAATCTCCATCACACTTCATTAATGAAGCTCACTCGTTCTCTGTGACGCCTAGTATTGTGGACCTGCTGAATTGTAAGTCCTAATACCTGGGTATTTCCGGAATGCTCACCTGTATCACAGTGAGTATAGCGCACGATGATCACCAAGCCAACGTTAGGCTTCGTGGTTCCCTGTCTGCATTGCAGCATATCGAGGTGAGTCAGATGCAACGCCATGTCTTGCGAATCTCATGAGTTCCGCAGAAAACGTGGCCGGCTGCGCGTTCTGTACATGGATTACTTGACAAAGCCATGTCGCTCCCCCCGTCGACACCGGTGATCCCTCCTGAATCCCCGACGACTCTCAGGCGCAAGCGCTCCGCTCAAGAAGTATTCTCGGAGGACGAGCACGCGGAACATGGGTCGAGGCAGATGATGGAGCATCCCGCGTCCTCCCCTTCATTCAGTAAAGACCATTAGAGAGCTTCGACAACCTTGGACACCTACTCGGGCTCGACACTGGCCTGAGTTTTATTACATCGCCCCCTTCCTGGATATCAATATAGGAGCCCTGGCGTGGATAGCCCGCAATAGTCCCCACGCTGTCAAGCGTTGGATACCCTACGGACAGTTGCAATTTCAATTCTGTCGCCTCCACCTCGCACTCCTTTGGCTTGTGGTAGGCGTTTGTGGTGGTTGCGCTCCACACGGACCTTGTACCTCTCGATCGTTGCACTCACTCCAAAGGTACCGCACTCCGCGGCTACTCCTCGATTCCCGCCTCGATATATCGCGATAAAGAGATTGCCTGTTGTTCCACTTGCCGCTAGTACTGTCTTGTACATATTTATGCTTTGTCGTATTTTCGGATAAGTAGGAATGTCAGAGGACCTCAATCCTATACGATCACTCTGTCGACGCGGCGTCATGTCAGTTCCCGTCGGGTTCCCGTGTTCCTACCAATTGGCCATTATAATTGACAATTGACAGGATCGGGCGATCCTTGTCCCGATCCGTCGTGATGCTTTGTTTGGCACCCATTCAGGAGCCAAACACATCGCATGGTCCGTGCGCAGTCCGCGCCAGTAAAAAGCCTGTCGCCGACATGTGTTTCTTCACCACTCTGGCCTTTTGGCTTAGATCAAGTGTAGTATCTGTTCTTAATAGTTTAACCACTATTATGGAGGCACCGCCTCCATTATTGGTTATCTAATTTTTGCCGCCCTTGTCTTCGGGCTCTGCTTGCAACCTGAGACGCGATGACCTCGCCACTGCAGTACCGGCTTGCGTGTCGGGGGATCTCCTTGTCTTTTTGTTGCGTTCTTGCACTGTTCAGTTGAGCAGTAAGAGGATGTGGCAAATGGATTTGGCTTTGGCCTTTCAGCTTCTTGTGCTCCTCTGTCCATGATCGGGAACAGCGTCACTCTTCATGCACATGTCCGGTAACAAGTCTACGTCGCTGTTTTGGTGGTATGTATCACATCTGATCGTGGTGTTTTGTGAAGGTACAACTACTGATGAAGGGTTCTTTGCGGCTTGCAGGTCGTATGCATTACAAAACATGGGCTCAACAACGAAAGCGACGAAAGCATGTAGAGGATGACGACTAATTAGCGAGCATAGCTACCCTTGTACCGGGGGCCTCGGTCGTCTCGGTCGTCTCGTCTCCGTAGAGTCCTGATCCGCGTCGGCGATCGTATGCTTGCATACCGCCCACCACCATCGTCACGTTGTGCCGCGCCACGAATTTGGATCGAATCTGTCTCGCGGGAGGGACCAGGGAGGCGATCATCGTGCGGCCGCCGATCTCGCTCGCGCTCGTTGCCCCTCCTGCCATCGTCACGACGCGAAGGATCCGAAAAGCTGATGTCGATCTTCTTGCCCCCGCTGCCACCATTCCGCGCGTCTCTCCCCGCTCTGTCCTTGCCGCCTTTTTCTTTTCTTTGGCCGCCGAACCAATCGTCGGGATCGTCTCGCTGGTCCTCCCACTCTCGAGCGCGTTGTTCCATTCTTGCGCGCTCCTTTCGTCGCCCTTGCTTCCCCACGTCCATGGGGATCTCGGCGCCGTATCCATCTGCGAATGCGTTGGCAACCTCCCAGTCTCGTGGCGCACGCTTAGTACTTGATTTTGTAGGTGGACGCGCGTCGATGTCGGCGAATGGCCCGGAAGAGATGTTATAGAGGCTGAAGGCAGAGGGCTCGCGGGGTAAATCGGGAACATGCCGTACTTCGCGGCATTCCTACATGCGAGTGTGAACGGCTGAAAACACGAAAAACACTCGGACTACGCACATCGCCCAAGTGCCCAGAGCGGCCGCAATTGTAGCACCATTCGTCAGTGGCGATGTAGCCTTCGCCGCCTTGGCCGAGCGCAAGTACACGTTTCTCCTCACGGGCCTGTAGTATGTTTTGGCGCTCTGCGTCGTCGACGTAGTCATACAGACGCCAGAGTGTCGGACATTCCTGCATCACATCGTGTCAGATTTGGGATCACATGAAGAGGCGGACGAAACCCACGTTCGTGTTGTGCACTCGGGAGCCACATCTATCACAATCGTAGTGGCTGGGCCCTGCACGGCCGTTGTAGCGATTGGGACATGTCTATCAAATATCGACCATCGCGGTCAGTCAGATGACCAAACTCGACCAGCATGTTTACGAGCCTTATTGATGTGCCCCTTCATACCACAATTGAAACATGTCTTGCTGATAGGGCAACCCCGTGTTGAATGTTCGTCTCGGGCGCCACAAGTTAAGCACTGTAATGATGCAACATGTCAACGGCAGAGCCACAGACAGCCGGAGGGCATAGAGACATACTGACAATTACTATAGGGCACTCGTACGTCCGATGATCGCCTTCAGCCCCGCAATTCTTACACACAAAGGTCTTGGGTTTTGCGGGTTTGTCATCCTCGTCCGCGGCCTCAAAGTATCGTACCATGCCAGCCTAAACACATTAGACAAGGCCGTGAGGGCACACGCAGCGAGACGTACTCTGCGGTCATCATCGTAATCCATATACTCAATGTAGCTCTCATCCTCGGTGTCAGAAGGGGGAGGTGAGACAATCGGTGCAGTATCAACGCCGTCTTGATCGAAGACACTGACGTGCGCGGGGAGGAGCAGAGCCACAGCAGGTTCATCAGACTTTGCCGCAGGTTGATCGTCTTTCTGGTGTACCTGTGCAACAGCAAGGACCTCTGTTCGCACCACATCCTCGAAGAACAGATCTGCGATGTTGTCCCCTGCATGCACTTGCTTGTCACGGCCAGATCGGTCGGGGGTACGTGCACGACGCCTATCGTCTTTACCATTCGGACGCGTCCTGCCGTCTCGGGTAGAGGGTCGCGTGTCTCTTGGGTGTCGTAGTCGGTCTGGAGAACGCGACCGCCGCCTGCCGCCGCGCTCGAGAGGGGAGGATTGACGGTCTCTCCGCTTCTTCCGCCTGTCCTTCTCTTTGGGGCCCTCTTCGTCTCGCTCATATCGGTTTCGAGCCCCAGAGCTTCCGGCCCCAGGGCTCGCGAGCCGATCGAAGAGAGACTTGGCCCCGACAGTCTTCGCGCCTGCACCTGCATTTTTGGACGTACCAGACCCGCCGTTCCTGCCACTCGCTCCGTTCTCCCTCTCAGGAGTCTGCTCTCTCGACGGCTCTACAGAGCTGTGCGTAACCTCGCCTTCCTCTACCACTTTCGTTTTCCGTTTGCGAGCCTTCCTGCGTCTGCGGTTCCCTGCCTTGCCGTTGGCCGCGGGTGTCTTCGCATCGTCGTTGATGACATCTCCATCGGAATCCAGCTCGATAATGTGGTTTTGAAGAGGACTGGAATTCGTGAGATCGATAATTTCCGTGTCGTTGGGAGGCATCGTGAGGTAGGGACTGTGGGCGGGTATGATCGCGCGGGAACGCAGAGCTGCAGGCAGAGACGCGCGAACGGTCGGTTCGCTTCCGCGTGCAATTTCTCAGCCACTTCCGTAAATGGCAATCGCTGTCGTTCGACAAGTCGGCCCAGCCTGTGCAGAGCCGTCTAACATGCCATCGAACCTGCATGCGTTGTGGAAGAGACAACTTGCAGCGAGTTCCATAACGCAAGGCCCCAGGGTCAAAAATCGCGCACAGGCGGGCTGCGAATTCCCTGACTTACCTGCACGAAATTGAAGGAAAACGAAACCGAGGCAAAATATGAACGTATTCCCCACATGCGGACTAAAGCTAGCACCGTCATTGTACCGTACACTACTGTAGTCTCCCTATCATATGGAATACAATGCACCCTGAGCACCAGCTTTATTCGAGGCTACACGAATATTGGCTGAGCTTATGTATTAAAATAGTGACTAGGCTGTGACAAAGAGCTCACAGCGAAGACATGCACCGGCCAAAGTTGCGTGTGGGCTGCGCATGGACGAGACGTGGACGAGATAGTTACATACTGAACAGCTCACACACCCTTCTATTCATTCGCAATGCATAAATGCATGACGTGACGGGCACGCAGGCGACCGGCCGAGTGGCCAGGAAAAGCAACGAGCGAACAAGTGAGCGTGCATGCGCGACGGCGAGTGAGAAAACTGGTGAATGAGGGGACGGTTGAGCAAGCAATCGAACGGGCGGGTGTTCGGGAGGCCGGTGGATGAGTCAGTGAGCGGGCAAGTAGGCGGAAGGTTGATAGCGCTACGTCTGTGTGCTCTGAGGTGAGCGGATGTGTTCGCTCGTCGTGTTAGCTCGCGTGAGCAAGTACTGGCAACGAAGGCGAGCATTAGTCGGACAACTATGAGTGACGTTTTCGTGGAAAAATACTTACCGGCAAGTCTTACTTTCCCGACTTAGAACTTAGTGTGATTGGCGCCCGTCCGAACGCGCCGATGCGGTACTTGCCTAATCGGGATGAACATCGCGCTTGCCAGGGCCGCTGCGCCAGGCGTTTTCCCCTTATTCTCTTTCATGTATAATGTCTCTTCATAAATTTCATACGCCTTCTTTTATGTGTTGCATCACCTGTTCTCTTCGATATAGTGAGAACCACAGGCTCATGACTATGGCTCTCATCGGAGATTCTACTGAAGCATCCCGGGCCATACGTCTCGTCGATGATGAGGGTCATGAGGATGACATGCTGAGAGGAAGTTTACAGACTCCCTTCTATAGAATTATTAGTGGGCTTCCGGATTCGCCGTGCAATGAACAGCAGCGCGCATAAAGGCCCGCAGACAGAGTTGCCACAATTGGCTAATGATTCCGCATTAGGCAATTCACCAGCCCTCGAAGCAGAATCAAGTGATCTAGCATGAGCAGACAACGGATCTGTGACTCACTGTAATCTATATACAGTGTTAACAAGGCCAGAAATATCCATTATTGTAGAGACCAAGTGTACGAAACGGAGCGAATCTAAGTCCGAGGTGTACGGGTCACGTGTCAACTAAGTAGCAAATCTTACGCGATAACTAAGGCGTAAGTGTAAGTATTTTTCCGCGATAACGACCGTCATAGACAACTCCAGGGACGTACTATACGTACCTTCGACTTCCAAGCCTTCTCGCCCTCGCCACACCTGTCCTGCACATCGTCCGACACTGCTGTCATCTCCTTCTCCCACGCTCGAGGCACACAAAGCCTGGGGCGGTGTGCGTCGCCGTTGACATTGAGACGTTGAGAACAAGTTGAGAGGTGCAGGCCAGGTCGTCGAGCGGCCGCCACGCAGATCTCGCTTACACTTAACAGACGTATTACTAATGGATAAGGGGGCTATTTCGGAGGTCCGCTCAACCCCGCCCTGTACGCGTCCGAGAGGACGGGGCCTTGCGATATGGAACTCGCTGTGAATGCGAGCATATTGTTTTATTGCATGTGGGATGGAGGTCTTGTCGCGAAGCGGCTTGCGCTGGCATGATTCGATACGTGATACTACTACTAGTACTAAGGATTCGCATAACCCTGCGCGTGCATCGATCTGAGGCGAGGGTACCACTAGGTATCTTTGAACTCAATCCTTTACCCGCGTCCGTCACAAGGACAGACAATGGCATCCTGGACTTTTGCTCGGCTCTGTCACGGAAATTTACCCCCAAACCATCATAATCAAGATTCTGTGTATTGACAACGAGCCGGTCATACATAGGTGGTAGTCTCCCATAGGCAGACCCCAAACACGATCTTGCTGAGTGAGGGAGGGCGGTCGTGTGTGTCATAGGTGGTCTTTGAACGTTGGAACATTGACTGCCCGCATTTACGTGCTGAGTAGCCATGTAGTATAGTAGCATGGCGTCGGTGGTGCTCCAACTCAAGCTGTATCAATCATTACATATATCATACCTCTGACAGTATTAGTGACTCGAAGGTATGGAAACCAAAAGTGAGCAGCCTCGCTTCCTGTCACAGAAGTGACATCTCGTGATCCGTGATCTCGGTTATCGGGTCACGGTTAGGCGACGCGCCACATCCGACCGCAGAACCCCGCCGCGCCGCGCCACATGCCCGACGCGCGCACTGCGCGGCAGCGAACCCGAGCTTCAAGTTATCTATTGATGTATATGCACCTCTTGTGCTTCATTAGATAGCAGTAAGCTCTTAGCTTGCCAACGAGCCATCGCTCGAATCATCGATGCACTTCAGAATGATTGGCAGCCCGAACTGCAATTTGTTGCGGTTTGTTTATCCCCCTACCGCAAATGGTTGCCGCTGCCACGTCCTCGCGCCGGGCGGCCAGTCTCTCTCAGCGCCGCCGCGACCGCCTTCCCCACCTCTGGGACAACGCCCGCCAGCGCGCAGGTGCGGAGATGGGCTTCACCTTGGCCCCCCGGGGACAGGTGCTGTTCCCCCCGTGCTTTCCCTGGCTCGCTGCTCCCGGTTGGTCCGGGTCTTCAGCGCCGCGGGGCCACCTGAAATTTACCACCCGCTGCGCACCCAGTCCCCGACGCGCATATCTGGCCCCCCAAGCATGACCCCGTTCTCATACACAAGTCAGAGAGAGCGAGCCCCGGTGGCAGCAGGCTACCAAACCGCAGGCAATGTTATTGATCGAGCTCTATGTGTAAGTCGCTCTCCGCTTACCCGCGTTCGGCGCGCCCTCATCGATGTGCCCTTAGCCTTCTAAAACACCCCCAAAGCGACTACGTGATTCGCTGGGACCCCACCAGCGAGCGCATCGCCGTCAAGCTTCCGGAGCAGCTCGTGTTGCGCATCCCGAGCGCCTGTTGCGTCTCTCGAAGCCTCGCAAGGTACGGGACATGTCACTAGTAATATTGTGCCTGCTGTTTCAGACATAGATAACCGCCCTGCTCAGAGGCTGCGGGGCGAACCTGTGGATTCTTACGGTCGCCAGGCTCGTTCGCTCGAACACGGCAGGCGTCCGCCTCGCGCCGGTTGCCTGGCGGATGTGCATGCAAGACGCCGATGTCACTGCATGCTATGTCATCACACTCATATTGCGCAGATGATATTCTGCTAGACGATGTGGCGATGGCGGCCCAGCCCCAGTCGTTCCATCGTCCAGTTGGTCCCATTCTACGAGATTGGTCCTCGTTCCTCGTTCTTCCTAAGTGTCTGCCACTTTATTGATCTACGCGCCAGCAGTTTGTAGAGTGCATCTCGACCTTCAAGAAGATATCAATGCCACTTTCAAAGCACTCCGAATTGACCTTTCCGTGCCCGGGTTCAAGCATGCCGCCTAGGTGTGTCCGCAAGGTCTTGCATCCACTCTCACCTGCTGCGGTGCAGGAGCCTGCGCACTGGATTGGCAACGCCTCGTTCTCGGCCTCCATGCAGACCACAAGATCTGCTTATGGAGGTTGGCGGGGAGCAGGCGGATGCAGGCAGGCTGAGTAGCTCGCCCTGCTGATCACTAGTCGTAATACGTGCAACCAGCGGTATGAATCATTGTAGGATACATCACGACAAACAATAGCTGAATTGAAATTATGCCGTGGCAGGGCTTGCCTGCGTCGCTTGAGTATTAAGAGTGGCATCGCCGCTTCTAGCAGCAAGAAATAATGAAGGACTGGTAATAAAAGTTTGCGCACGTGCGGTTTATTCATGCGCGGCAATTCATGGGCGCGCTGCACTTGGACTGCAACCATCGTCAGTGTCTCCATTTGTCCGCTCTGAGCATCGGGCAACTGTCTCGTTGTGTCCTTGGGTGGCGATTCACTAGTATGCCTGCTTCGAGGCGCAAGAGAACAAAACCGAAACTCTCGCACACTGCCGCATCGCTCCGTCCGTGATTCCTTAATACATCAGTGGTCGCTGTAGCTGACTGCCGCACTGGCCACATACAGCGCCGGTGCCTGTTCCACCCAAGGACACTTTAGCTCAAGGTCCAACGAAGCAGATCAACCAGCACCTTCCTTGCCGTACGTTGTACATTCACCGCTGCGGCTCGCAATTCACCCTGATTACTACTCGTAACAGCGCCAGATGAAGAGCTCCGACCTGTTTTTGATTTTTACTGGCATCTCGGCATGTCCGACGTTGACATTGCTGCACATGTGATGGATCACTTCGACAAGGAGAGCTATGGCATAACGTGAGTCTATGCAACCCTAGGCCTCGCGTCAGCCTACCTGAGTCGCGGACCCGGTCTTCAGTGTGTGGACTATCCGCCGCCGCCGCAAAGCATGGGGCATCCGGAGCACTTGTAAGCAGGGACACACCGTCGAAAGCATCCATACCCATGTGCAGGCGATCAAGAAGCAGTTCCCAAACATGGGAGCAGACCGACTCCGGAAGGTGCTGCGGCACAATGAGAAGATTCGCGTCTCCAAGTGAGTACCATTCTCAGATGCAGTTCAAGTTCTGTGGGTGCGCAGCACTAATTAATCGAAGGCCAGTCGTCCTTGAGTACCTGCGGCTTACAGAGCCTGAGGCAGTTGCGGCGAGGCGCTTTCGCAAGTTCACGCGCCGCCAATTTGTTGCAGCGGGTGTCCACGACATGTGGTGTATTGACCAGCATGAGAAGCTCAAGCGCCACGGCCTCTTTTGGCACGTTGGGCTCGATCCATTTCCTGGGGTTACGCATTGGTGCCGGGTGTGGTGGACGGTCAAGAATCCTACTCTGATCACGAGGTATCATCTGGATGCTGGGCGCAAACTACAAGGTATGAGGTTCCGCGGATAGCGACATGCATACGTAGTTCACTTAATATTCACCGGCCACTAGGAATTCCGCTCACAACTCAGAGTGATCCCGGTACAGAAAACTTCGGAGTTGCCTATGCGCAGACAGCTCTGCGCCACAGGCTCGATGCTGCGCTCTCTGGTTCCATTCAGCACCGCTTCTTTCGCAAGCACGGGAACATCAAACCTGAGATCTTCTGGTCATTGTTTCGTCGGTCATTCATTTCCGGATTCGAGCAGATGATCGATGATGGAGTCGAACAAGGGTGGTACGACATTGGAGATCCGCTCGAGATGTAAGCCAGATACACCTTGACCTTACTGCTGGCCTTCCTAAGTCTTGTTAAAGGTTGACATTCCGATACGTCTTCATACCATATCTCCAGCGTGAGACGGATGCCTGGGTCCATCTCCAGAACTGGACGAAGCGACGTGCAGACCGCAAGAAGGTCCTTCCAAATGGTATCCCAATGCTCGTGATGCAGAAGCCGCACAAATTCAATGCGGCCGATTACAAGGCTCGTCTTGTCTATTGCTCTGTTACTTTTGATAGTAGCTGAGCGACATACTAGATACCTGTCTCTGATGAGCTCTTTGACGAGATAGAGGCTATATATGCCCCTCGGGATGATCCCGTCTTCAAGCTTGTCCCAGACGAGTTTGCGCTGCGTGCCAATGCTGTGTGGACGGCTATTGGCCGTCCGGAACCCCAATTTGACACTGCCTGGGACATCTACCGGCGCATCCTTGCAGGTCTGCGCAGTATGCCCGCTGATGTCGCATTTCAGAACATGCTTGACGAAACAAGCGATACTCAGCAGGCTCATCACACGCCTGAAGAATCTGGTTACGAAATGTGTATGCCAGCTAACCTTGATGTTCCATTCGCTCGCCAGTGTATTGGAGATGTAGTTATTCCCTCAGAGCAAGTAGAGCAGAGCGACGCCGAGTCGGAGGCCGACTTGTTTGTTGATATCTCTGACACGGAGGCCGTCGATGATTCCGATAGTCATGGGATTGGGTTGGACTTCTTCTGATTAGTAGGATTGGACTAGCTCATACGTACTCGCAACTATACCAGCAATTCTGCCACTATAGATGTGAAAAGTAGTTCGTGTTGACTGATCTTGAGTCGGCAAAATGCATTGAGGGAAAGACTGCGGATTGCCAGCCTATTGCCATAACGGTCCATCCACTACTGCGACCGCGACCAGCTCGCCAGTCCTTGCTCATCCACCCGCATCATTGAGTCCTGCTTCGCTTTCATTCGGGTCTTAACTTTGGTACATCAGGGAAAACCGCCCAGACGCTTGGGCCCTCCGAAGAGCGACAGAGAGTGCTTTGAGAGCGCCAAAGTAGCCAAACCACCCCAACCAACCTCAACACAAGTGCCTCGGTCTCAAGAGGCATTGTTTGACAAAATCAGCTTTTTATTTCCATTTATTCCTTGAAGTGCACTTTCAACCAGCATTTGTCAGGGCAGTCCAGCATTGGGTTCCCCACTCAAAAAGCAATAATAAACCGGTTTGCAAGTGATAAAACCAACATCCAATTCCTACTCATTATGGGGTTGAGATTGCTAATCAAGAGCTCTCAAAGTGTGCATATTGCGCCCATAGCATGGTTATAAATGGATCATGATGCACTTCAGTAGACAATGCGAGCGAACAGTTCATTGCGGTATTGCCAGTGCATACAGTAATACATGATCACAACAAGTAGCTATACAGGGTATACCACCAGCTCGTGGATATGAGAGTGATGTTAATAATGCAGCTGGTGTTTGAGCCCAGTAAAAGCTACAGAGAGGCGGAGAGGACAGCGTAGGCATGGGCACAGAATGACAGGAGTCCGAATACAACGTACATGATGTAGAGAACCTCGACGAAGATGATTGTACACAAAACGGAGCACAGTGAGACGTACTGCACTTCAGTTCCACCACCTGACAAACGTACACCACAATACAAGACCTATTCAGCTTCAGAAATTATGTTCCATGTCAGACCGTCAGTGAACGCACCTGCACACGTCCTACACCTCTGCATCCCCTTCACGCTCTTTAGCCTGGCCTGACCCGCTTGCCGAGGCTGCCACCGCTGGCTCGTCACTAGCCTTCGTGCCAGTGTTCTTCGGCGCCCACAGCTTGGAGATGCGCGAGATTGCAGCCGTAGGAATGCCACGGGTGACGGTACTAGGCTCAGCTGCCTCGTCGTCGTCGTCTACGCTCGTGCTCGAGATCCCTGCAAGCCTCCTGAAATGCACCATGTTGTGTCAGCACAGCGTCAGCAACAGGCTATGTACTTACCGTATGGTGCTCGCCAACGTCTCATCCATCGACTTGCAGAACCGAGCACAGCCCTCGTCGTACTTCGACAGGTCACTCAGGTCCGCACAGCGCCGCAGGTTGTCGATGCTGACCTTCAGACGATCATGCCTACAAAGCACAGTTAGGCCGGCGCTATAAACAAATAATGTTCCTTACTCGGTGGCGTACGTCTTCTCGTCGAAGCTGACGGTGATGTTCACCTTGACAGCCTCGTCCAGCGCAACGATGATCTAATGCACGATGACTTGAATAGAGGCTTCAGTACCTAGGGTATCATACTCACCGCGGAGCAGACCAGAGCTATCATGTTGCTCGACAGGGGCTGCTTGTTAATGTCGAACCGCGCGTGGTTCTCAGGCCGCATGGCCTCCCGATGAGCTCCAGACCACCACTGACGAGCTGCGACTTCAGCCACAGCCTCGTTGTGGAAGGGAGCGTCCAGGTTGGCCACCCACAGCTAATACATATCAGTAAGCTGTACCTAGACATTGGCACGCACACGCACCGAGGGATCCACCATCGGATCTGGCATCTCCAAGTTGCCGTGATGGAACGCGAAGTCCTGCTTCAAGAACTTCACGAGAGCCTCGAGGTGACTCGCCGTCTTCTCGTTGTACGCAGCACTGCTGAGCTTCTTGCCGTCAGAGCCGTGTTGCGGCACCTTGAACGCGAGGAAGTTCTTCTCGACGACGCGCTTTGCCTTCTGCTTGACTTCCTGACGAAGTTGAGATGACACCTTCGCGACCTGACAATCTGCTTGATGCTCATGTCACCGCTGAGAAATGAAGTGACAACTCACATAGTGGATCATCCTCCCGTGTGTCACTGCATCTGCCCACGCCCTGTTGTACGCGGTCAAGAACCTTTCGGTCTTGTACCTCTCGTGCTTCTCCATGAGCATCTTCATGATCTCCACGGGCTTCTCAGTCTTCTCCATACGACCGTCCTTCATGACTCGAGGCCACGCGTTCTCCAAGCTGAGGTACACGCGGAACTCCTGCTGGGCGTGGTGCAGGAAGCTCTTCAACGGCTCCTGCGTCATCGTCTCGAGCACATTGTTGTCGACGTCGATGACCTTCTTAGGCCGGCCGACCTTGCGCTTGCCCTTGCTCTGGGCTTTCTCTTTCTTCTTCTGCTGAGGCTTGTCCTTGACCTTGACAACGATCTAGGCCAAACGTCAGTCAAACGCCGCCTTCCAAGCCACAGTCTCACCTCGTCATCCATGTCCACGTCGCCATCAAGCTCGTCAACGTCCTCCTCTCGGTCGTGACTCGACACCTTGTACTCGCTGCCATCGTCGTCAGAGTCGTCCGGGACATGGATGGGGGACATCGGCTCCATCTTGACACGACCAGTGCCCCTTGTTGTGATTAGTGACTCCAGGGGTGACGGCTCAGATGAATGCAAAAGCTCTGTGAGGTCTGTTTCAAAGCAGAGCTGTGTGCTCCGTAGAACCAGACACTCACCAGGTGAATAGCTCTGACCTGCTGACTTGCGTGCAGACTCACCCTTAGCCTTCTTCTTCTCAGGCTGTTCCATGCTCGCCTCATCATGATTATTGCCGCTACCCTCCTTCTCGGACTCAGAGGTCTCAATCACCTTCCTCTTGTGTGGCTTAGCCATACGGCGCAACTGAACTGACAGCCAATGAGCTCTTCATTCACCTGTTGGTAGTTTACGCACCAGTTTCACGATTCTTTCCCTTGTTTGCAGATGGAGCCAGTGTTTCATCATCAGCACCCCAATCCTCCCCATTCTCCGTACCCTCAGCCACCAACACTACACTTGTGTCCTGTATCTCTATGACAGGATGCGCTAGTAGCACTTCAATGCAGAGTGTGAATTGAGACACCACATACGTTGTTGCTGGCCCTCCTCCGAGTCAGATTTCCCATCCTCCTCTGCATCATCATCAAGCTTGCAAAGCATCTCATCAAGCCTCTTGTCCGAAAGATGTGGGTACTGTTTCTTCAGCAACTCCTTCACGTTGGGGGTTGCCTTTGCATCATCTTGTATGTGGCCTGATGGCCTAGGTGTGCTGGCTGCTGACTTGGCTGTACTTCGAGTCGACTTGACAGAGGCTTTTGTGCTAGCCACAGTGACCTTTGCCTTTGCTGCGGCAACCTTTGACCTAGTATTGTGTGGCAACATGGTGAGAGAGGTGGCGACAAGGAGACAGCGGCCGCACCAACAAGTGAACCATGAGAGTCTGAGTCAGCCACAAGCGCACACGGTATCAAACTCCAGTAACTCTCACTCTTTCAATGTTTGATCACAAATGCTGAAGAGTCGTCAAATATTGAATATTGGTTGTCTATTCATGACAGAGATACAGCCCATAGTACTTGGAATCGTCATAGTGATAGTTGGAAATATTTGCAACGAGTTGCAAACCTTATGCCGGAACACAAACCAACAGAAGCACATGGAGACAAATTAAAGGCGGTGTAGAGGTATTGATAGAGGTAGGCAAGTGATTTAATAGAACCAGGCAAGCAAGAAGTATCTTGGATTGAAAACAAATCCGCAGAGGTGTCACGGGGATGTTCTGCAGTGTGGATAGGTTGTAGCGAGAACGTAGCGTGCAGGGACAAAACATCGCACAGGAGGAGTATCGAGAGTCAGCGATGGCGACAAGACACTAATGCAGCTGCGGACAGTGCTCACGAAGGCCGTCGAGGTCGATGTGGTGGGTGACCTGGAGCAACGGCGCCTGGCGTGCATAGGCAAGGGCGAGGGTGGGCTGACGGGTGCTGGAGCTGGCGGGCGAGAAGGCGAAGGGCAGGGCGAGGGATGTTTGCTTGATGCGGGAGGAGGTGAAGACAAAAACGGTGGCTCTGTGGCCGGAGCTAGTTGGCGAGGATGCGGGGCGGCGCGCTCGCGTCCGTCGAGCTGACATCCGAGGCGGTGGTCGGCGAAGGAGAATCCGTCGACGGAGCGTCGGTCATGGCCGCGGGATCGGCAGAAGCAGTTGACGATGCGTCCATCGCAGCAGCAGGGTCGGCGGCGGCAGTCGCATTCGTGGAAGATGAACCGTCCGCACTCGAAGAAACGGTCGCGTTCGAGGTATCCCGGAGCTCGAACCAGCTAGAGTCGGGGAGGCAGTGCTGGCCGGCACTGAGTCGATCATGACGGCTGACGGCGCGGAGCTCGAGAGGTGCTGTGGCTTGTAGTCGTCGAGGTTGAGCGGGGGTGGAGCTCTTGCGCAGGGGTGACCGGGGCTGTGGAGTGGCAGCGAACACTGTTGAGGTTGAACTGGCAGCGGAGATGCTCACCGTGGGCTGTCGCTCACAGACGACGATGGTTGCCGGTCGCGCGGTGGGGTGTGGGAACGCGGGGGGCGAAGGTCATGCAAGCGTGCGGGAGAGTGAGGGTGTGTGGATGCAAGCCCAGCGCTGGATGGACGGTGGAATGGAGTGCGGAGGGGAGGGCAGCAAGTGAGACATACATACGTTGGCAGGCGTGCAGCGCTGCGCATCCGCCGTGTCGTCGTGCGTAGCGACATTGAAGTCATCCCGAACGGCGGAAAGACCATCTTCGTGGCCAGCAGGGTGAGCGAAAGACTTCGCGCTCGTCGGGTTGCCTGCGGGCGCGGACACGGGCACTAGGAGCGCAGGCGGCGAGGCGGGAACGTTCAGTGAGGGCGTACCTTCAGATTTCGACCTTCTACTCAGTTTCTCTACTCTCCTCACGCCCTTCCTCATTCTGACTCTTCCTATCCTCCTTGTCTCCTCATCGCACCACGTTCTTCGTCTTCTGCGCGGCCTTGTTGCTCAGCGCTGGACTTGCACGCGCGTCGTGCAAGTCCGAGGTTGCGCGCCCGGGTTACGCATCGCCAGAGCTACGGATGTTCGTAGAGACCGCCAGAATCGAGGTGGAAAGTGCTCGAGTCAAGACGCGAAATGCGAGAGTCGATGGGAGGGATTTCAGGCGGAAGTTGAGGGCCCGGAGAGGAGGGAGGCGGCGGGCTTGTACCGCCTGCACATGTGCCTAATGGGGCTGCTAGCTGAGCTGGCAACGGTTCAGCTAGCTGGCTTCGGATCCATATTAGCGTGCCCGTTGGGACATCACGACTGTCTTGACATTCGACGTGCGGTCGCGGTTGTCGAAGTAGCGGTCGAGGTGGTGGCGGACGAGAGCGCGTTGGGCGCTACCATCAACGCAGGTTCCTGGGGCACTCACCGTGGGTTTGCGACCTCACTTGCGACTTTATCCGCTGGATTTGCACATGCGTTGTGCATGTCCTCGGTCGCGCGGCATGCTTGCGTGTCGCCAGAGCCATGGACGCGGTACTGGGACAGAGTTTGCGGACAGTTAGAAATGGTCGCAACGAGTTGCGAGCCATATATAGTAATACCACACAACGCACCTCTTGAGTACCTCTCGACCTTCTCGCCCCGCATTTCTTGCGGTTCGCGCGGACTTCTCGCTCAACAGTAGACTTGTACGCGCGTTGTACGAGACCTGAGTCGCGCGGCAGAGTTCCGTGGATTGGGTGAGCAAGCAGGTGGGCCAAGCTAGTCGTAGGGTGAGGGCAGGCAGAAGAGAACGGGCGGGCGAGCGAGAGCGGGCGGGCGCGAGAGGGCGGGCAAGCCAGATGCGTGGACAGACGCGCTAGTATTCAAGCAGGATGCGCAGACTGGTAGACTAAGCGTGAGACGCCATGGGGCTGCAGTACTGCAGAGCCAAGGTGAGCGACTAAGTCCGGTGGGATGACTTACCATATATGGTGTGCAACTAGTTGCACACTTCAAGTCTCGAGTTCCGACGACCGCCATCCGCTCTATGAACCGACATGTTGACCGCCTGTTCTCACATCACCTCGACCCTTCTGTCCCGACTCACTCACCTGCCCACCTTCACGCTCATTCGTACGCCCGTCCGTGTGCTTGGTATCGCAGTCACCAGCTCCTTGGACTTGCAATACGCCCACCATTGCTACTACCACCACAACTACCTCCGTTGCGTCTGTGTCGAATCTTCCGCGCCGTCTCCTGATCTTCAAACACGAATAGAAACACGGAACGAGAAAGGAGAGGGTGAGTGGAACGGGAGGGTGAGTGGAACGGGAGGGCGAGTCGGGAGGAAGGAAAGCAGAACGAGCGTGAAGACTCAGCGCCAGGGCCCGGCGCTCCGAGTCAGAAGCCATAAGGTGCGCACTGTGTCCTTCTGTGCTCGCCCAACCGTTTACTCGCCCATTCCTTCAATCGCCCATTCGTTTACTCGCCCGCTCGCCCGCCCGCTCTAACGCCCATTCCCTATTTGCCCACCTCGCCCATTCGTACGTGCCCGCCCACTCACATGTCCGCTCACCCGCCAGCTCGCCAGTGTCCCGACCGCTCGCCCGCTCGCCTACCCGTGCGTTCACTCGCCTACCTGTCCACTCGCCCGTTCACTCGCATGCCCATTCGCTCCCTCGTTCACTCGTCCGTCCGTCCGTTCGTTCATCCGCTCGTCCGCTCACCCATCCGCTCGCCTCGGCCTCGAACTTACCACCCAGCTCCTCGCTGCCTCCCCTTCGAACGAGATCATAGCCACCTGCCGCAGCCCCGCAGCCGCCACAGACTTGCACAAGCTCCAGGCGTCCGAAAAAGGGCCGCGTGCACGTTGTACCGCTCGACGTTAGCAGCGAACAGTCGATGCGCGACTCCGTCAAGTACGTGAACGACATACTTGGTGACCGCGGGCTCGAATACCTCTACAACAATGCAGCCATCGTACGTCTCTACATGTCACTACTTTTCCTTCCATTCCACGCCAGACGCCGCCCGCCGTGCTGCTGCCACCAACTCGAACAACAGCGACGCACCGCGTGAATACCTGCGCGTCCGTCGTCCTCTCACGGGCCTCTCATGCTCGGCTTCTCTCAGCCGCTTGCTCTCGCCCGTCTCGCCCGTCTCGCCCATTCGCCCCGCGCTCGTGCCATCCCACTGCCCGAACACAACAAGCTTGAACGCGAGACCTTGCAGCCGACGAACGGACGGCGGGCACACAAGCGAAGGGCGGGCAAGGCGAGTGCGAAGACAGGTGGGCAGCTTTGCTGATAGCGAGCACAGGGTGCAGCGACTCTGCGCAGCACCAGTCTGCTGCGCGACGCATACGACGACCGCGAGCGCGCCGGGCCAATGCCCTGCGTGCAGACATGGCCGACGAACGGGCGTGAGTGGGCATGCGAGCGGGCATGTGAGCGGGCAGGAAAGCGGGCGGGCAAGCGGACGGACGAGCAGGGGGGCGAACGGGTGGGCGAGCGGGCAGGTGAGTGGGCGAGCGAGCGGGCGAGTGGGCAGGCGAGCGGGCGATGAGGTGGGCAAGTAGGCAGTCGGACGAGTAGGCAGGGGTCGCGCCGCCGATCATCACATAGAAGACGGTTTCCAGGACATGCAGGGGCCGTGATACGAGCGCGGGGAACGGGTGGATGCAGGCGGCAGAGCGGCAATGCAAGACACGTACGTCGCATGCACTGACCTCGTACGCATCCCACTTAATCTGATGTGTGACAGCGGCCACTCGCAGAAACAGTGACCTAACTCCGTACGAGAAGGTCATTCACGCGAGGCTGCGAACGCAGGCGCGGTGCCCGCGTCGGGTCTCAGGTAGTAAGCATGGTCAAATCTGATGCACAGGTTCACTGCTGATGGCCAGCGGGACAGTCGTAACGATCCCTGGACGGCTGTTGCATGGCCGGAACCTGCGTAAGTGCAGCCCGGGAACGACGCCCACCGTGGCATATCACATATCGCCTATGGCCGTCGCAAGGAGGTACGGGTCAGCCGCCTGCAGGCCGTGGACTTGGGCGCGAGAGCAGGCGGGCGAGCCGGTGGGCGGGCAGGAGGCCGGACAGGCAACCGGACCAGTGAGTGAGCAGACGGATAGGGCAAGCCCAGGGTGCGGACCGGCACCACAAGCACGGCGACTGCAAGCACGCAGGGCGAACACCCAGCGCACAAGCACGGCTGACGAACGGGAGCCGGGCGCGTGAGCAAACACGGTGACCGCGACGGTGGGTAGGGCCAGGATGCACGCAACACACGTCAACCGCGAGCACCTACACAATTGCCTACACATCTACGTGCCCACCAACCTGCGGACCCGCCTGCGCCCGTGCAAAACCCGTACCCGCTGTCACGGGTTGGTACCCGGGGCGGGTACGGGTACGGGTACACCTCTGAGTCGGGACACCCGCGGGTGTACCCGTGCTCTGCACTACGCCGGCGGCGGCGGTGTTACTGTTACTGTTATGAGTCAATGCACGTACCAGGCAGAGGGCAATTGCCCACTGCTCGTGCAATTCGGTCTGGCCAAGGCCATGTACTGGCGGGGAGACTGTCAGTTCGGAGCACAAGACGACACGATAGACATACTGCATGGCAATGCACGGCACATCCCACTCCACCACACTTTGACCCACACCAGTTGACACCAACACCGGGCACTGCGCAGGTATCTTCGTTAGCACGGATCAGAGACGGACGAGACGGGACACGTACGAGGAGGCTGCCCGCCATCGTCACGATCTAGTGTATGTACGACCCACCTCTGGTTGTCAGACTCTTCCTCGACACATTGTCACGGTCATTGTCATTGTCAGTTGTGTGATGTCATGACAGCTTGTATTGTACTGCCATGTAGTGTTCCGGGTTGGGGTACAATGTACTCTACTGAGGTGCAATAATTTACATTCCTCCCAGTGCTTGAGAATGTGGTCAAAATCCCATAGCTTGAGACGAATTTGCTTGTGGAGCGTAGTGAACGGTTGAGACGTACAATCAATTATTACGTGCTTGTAGTAACTACTGAAGCAGATATGTAGTTTGAATGGTGTCAAGAACTGCTGAATGGACGTATTAACATGGATATACCGCATGCAGAGTTGCTCAACTGCGTTTTGCGAGCCATAAACAGCTCTTTGTCGCTCATATTGCAGTTCATGCTAATTGGGAAAAATCCCAAACCATTTGGCGCCGAAAGTGTTTTTCCTGATGTACTCTACCGTAGGACTGCTGGCTGGTGCCGCGGCATGCCATGTCGGACTCGTCAAGCTCAAGGGTCATTGCCAGTGTGTCCTTTAACCCTGGCTCATCCTATGTCGCAGGCGATGCCATGGCTACATGCGAGAGGGCTGCTTGTCACAGGCAATATCCTTCTAGCCAGAGGAAGAAGGTCAATCTGAAAGGACAGAGTACTAGCAGCACTAAGCAAGTCATTCGTGTCTGCCCGGACTGCTATCGCTACTACAGCAGCAAGATTGGGTCTATTTCTGTCCCGAGAACCTCGACTCGGACGTCACAGTCTCCGAGTCAGAGTAAAGGTACCCGAATTCCATCTCTCACTTCACCAGGATTACGGGCTGATAAATTCTATGAATATCACCACATAGCATCGGGCCAGCCAGTTTCGGTGGCGAATCATGATCAGATTCGCAAACAAGTCTCAGCTGCACAAAGAGGTATGTTACAAAATTCTTTTAGGCCCTGATACTGTAGTCATCCAAGGCTGCATCTCTGCGAGCAGGAAACCAGTCGAACGTGCAACCTGTTGCGCTATCGCGGTCGCACCAACTTGAATTCCCACGTGTATCAATGCCGCCGCCGCCTGTCCCGCCGCCTCGCAAAACATCTGGATCGCAACGACCCCTCTTCCCACAGGGCCATGCACCTGGCCCGTCTGGGCAAGGACGTCCTTTCATTATGCCCCCTCTTGCTGTTCCCTTGCCCTCCGCCTTGTGTTATCCTGAGGCCCATAGTGAATATCGGGAGACCCGAGACATGCTTCGAATGCGCGCACAGTCAGCGGGCTACACAGAACATACCGTCGTCTTGAGTGCCCGGCTAGTGACAAAGGAGAAAGGCCGTGCGAACCCACGTCTAATCATGGTATGTTCATACACTGATTGACAAGTCTCCTATGATTGACTATTTTCGGCCTATCTCTCGTTGTACAGCCCGCCCAGACACTGCAGTATATACCCTCCAGCGTCAACAAGCACAATTTGACGAACCTCATCCTCCATGCTTTCAGTGGAGTTTGGCTCGAGGAGTATCGCGGTCATCGCCTTCAGCCAGATCACATCAGGGCGTTATTGAACTCAAGGCAGTGTGACGTTGATGACGACGACCATCCAATCAGGGATCTCTGTGGTGGTGTTCAAGCGAACGGCAAGCCAAAGAAAGTAGCTCAGCAGATCATCGTCATGGCTGTGATTGACAGCAAGGTCGTCTCTGATGCCGAGTTCTATAAGAAAACTCATGCAAAGCTATCACCTGCCATTGAGGATGCCGATGTCGGACTGGACCCAGGTGACTGTGACTCGGACGAGGTTCGTCGAAGACCCCCTTCTCATTTGATTTTTCCCTTAAGTTAACTTGTTTGTATAGCCAGTCACGGAGCTAGTAGTCGCTTCAATCACTGCTCGCCCTCAGAGACTGAGTCAGAGTCCATCGCTCTCCATACCAGGCAACCGCCTTCAGGCTCCATCCCGCCCTCCGCAGCCACGGCCTCGCCCCCTCGCAAAATCACTTCAAAAGCGAAAGAGAGATAACTTGCCCCCGCAATTTGAGTCGCAGGCCTCGGATCGGCAGGTTTGCATCTATTTGATTCTTTCTTGTGCAGAATAGGTCACTAACATGTTCATTTCATCGCTAGCCTGACAGGATGCTACAGTACGAGCCGCAGCCTGTTACTCTGGACCATGCGCCCGGGCCTAGTACGCTGGAGCCACAGGAGTCAGCTGCAAAGCGGCGCCGTCTCGGAGCGCCTGTCGCTGATGGTTCACTGAATGATTCTCGCGATGTCTCCATCCTTCCCGATGCGAATTCTTCTGTAGTCCGCATTCAGCGGGCTCTTTCTGGTCAACGTGAACCGCAGTCTAAGGAGATATTGGGCTTCTGTGAGTCTTTATGTTTGTCGCCATGATAAAAGTGATTGTCTTGCTGATGCTGCTGCCACATCTTGAACCACGTATTCCTGAATATCTAGTGAGTGCAACTGGTGTCCCGATTTTGTTCTATGACTGCCCAGTTAGGTCGTACAACGATCTCATTAGCGAGCATGCAACGTCCAACACCAGTGGGTTTCTCACTTGGATGCGCGAGACTCAACCTGTCGCAGCAACAATGTTCTACAACACTGGCCACCGAGTCCAGTCTGGCGCTTTCAAGACGATGCGACGTGGACGTATCAACCCATCACCATTCGAACCCAGCATCTCCTCGCCTGATGGACGTGTTGCAGTGAAGCAGCTACGCAACAGCACTGCCACCAGCATCTCATCTGGTAGCAGTGTCCAGCCAGATGACTCGGATCACGTCACAGTCCTGACGGAGCATGTTGCGCAGCTTGTCACTGACGTGCTTGCTACGCTTTGGGCAGACGCACTTCTCCGGGCCGTCTACGAGTTTATTGACACGTACGAGGCCAAGCACCGCTCAACATTCCCTTGGGAGATCCCTCGCTTTCGTTACGTCCGCACGGGTTTGGCAGTTACAAATGTTCCCGACAGTGCCATGCGCCCCAGGGACAAGGCCGTGTATCTGGTGGAGGAACTAATCGATTCAGAGGTGGAAGGCGAGTGGAGAAAGTATATGAACAATAACACAGCTCGTCATCGCTTCATCGATATGAACAACTCGGATCCACAGAACTTCAAGCGAGCAGAGTTCCTCGCGTTCTGTCAGCACTTCCAATATTGGCATACGAGCACTCAAGCTTTTACTGCTGACTTCCAAGGTACGACTCCTCGGAGACATGATCGCTTCAAGTTGTTTCTTCGTAGACACAGACAAGCTCACAAAGAGACGATACTCATTAGGAGGCAATACTCTATTGTCGGATCCGCAGATCATCACAGATCCGTAAGTTTGAATTGTTTTGGCCGTCTCTTCCGATATTCTGATGCCATTTGGACTCTGGTAGCTGCCTTGGCCGCGAATTGTTCAGCAAAGGGAACCTCGCCAATACACACCGCAACTTCAAGCGCGACCACGTCTGCAACACCTTCTGCAAGTACTTCGAGCTACCGGACTGCGGCGAGTTATGAAGCTTCAGATCTTCATCAGAAAGGCTTTCGACTCTCGAGCGACCAAGTGGGCGTCGGCCGCCGGGTAAGTGAGTCATGATGATTGGCTCCGAGTTACAGTCCAGTTTCACTTGAAGTACTGACTTGGGATCCTGGACGTCCATTGCAGTATATCATTCGTTCAGCAAGACGTGCTAATGTTCATAGTAGTATCGAGTTTTAATCACTGCGACTTTCTGAACTACGCTACATTCATCACTACGCTGCCACGCATCCACATATGCTGATAATCCTCCATCTCACACTTTCCCTCACTACCTATGTGCTTACTGTAATGCAGCCGAATTGGCGTCGTGATTCTCCAAGTCCAGTCGACTAGTCACTGGCACTATAAAACGAGTTTGAGCCTTACTAGTAGGCTCCGAGTCGAATTCCCGGACTTATGGCTCCGAGTGAGTCTCCATTGAACCTCGTCACAAGCAGAGACTCCGAGTCTATGGAGTCAGCACGCCCATTCAAGAGCGCAGCGCGCGAGAATGAGTCTGATTGGCAGACTGCAGTATTCGACCCGCAAGTCAGTAACGCCGCTGCGAGATTCCGACTGAGCGGCTTCGTCGGGCGCTAGCCGCCGGTCAAGTTCGTGTGGATGATTGTAGGCGGGGGATTATTTTCTAAGGTACAGTCACCGAATTATGACAAACATAGGGCTCTTAATATATGGTATCCTGACTTTCAGTTGCCTCACGCACCATTGAAGGGCTGCACCACGGCTCGTCACTCGCGAGGCCCGGGCTCATTAATATTGCCTTGTAGGTGCCACAGGCCCGTAGCAAACAACAGATACACTTACATATGAACAGGTACTCAGTGTATTCGACATGTGCTAGGCACTGAACTCGTACGTGCTAGGGCGGAGCTCGCTATGGGCGACAACGATTCAGACAACGAAGCACGCGCGTCGGGGGTGTGGCGCGGCGCGGCGTGGTCGGATGTGGCGCGTCGCCTAACCGTGACCCGATAACCGAGATCACGGATCACGAGATGTCACTTCTGTGACAGGAAGCGAGGCTGCTCACTTTTGGTTTCCATACGAAGGTGTCGCCCTGGCTGTGTCGCACAAGCGGTTGCTGCCAGTAGTACAATTGTCATTCTGTATAACAGCTCACGGTAGCTGGGCCGAACGGATCGACGTGGTTATCCATCCGTGCAAATACGGTCGCCCTCCAATGCCACACCGCTTACAGTTACATGTCTCATGCGACCGTCCTCCCCACCTGCCTATAAGGGAGACTATACACCTCTGAGGCATTTCATGCGGCGCACCCCATAGTACCTTTAGCGCCCGCTTGTACTTAACGGTCACATCAGCTTGGCGTGCCTGGGCCCCGAGATCCGTCCGATCATTGAGCGCCTTCCTTGTCGCCGGATGCAACCGCCGCATGCCATGGAACCTCCTTGCTCGGGATCCACATATGGGAAACGACAGCTGGGACGATCGTTAGACCGACTCCCCGCCGGCACGAAGGCCTGACAACAACACCGACAGCGCAACGCAAGGCTCCGTAAAGCTCAGTGAGCCACTTTCAATCATCAGCGAGAAGCCGAGAACTGTATAGGAACGGAGCGCCCAGGTAGGCGTGCAGACTACCCGCCGGCGTACAAACATCGCAGTAAACTCCACGCCGACAATTAATCAAATTGGGCAGGCATGTCAGTTTTTCACTCTTGCCGCCCAATTTGCGGCAGAAGAGGGACCGACAGGGGTGCCCACAGGAGGCACGCATCCACGTCGATAGCGGTCTTTGAGGCATTGCGGAATGTTCGGGGGCCAACACCGTGACACTGCACAAAACGCCGAAAGAGTGTATGGGATACGAGTTTTACAAGCAGCAAGCCCCGGCGACTAATCGGTCAAATGGTGGGGAGCCTATCAGAAACTATATTAACTGGTAGGCCGGCCATCGCTACCTTGACAGTCACATCCGACTCGGAGGCTCACAGCTCCCTGGCGAGCGGCGAAAACCGAGGCTGCATCTCTTGACCCTGAACTCTCTCTAGGAATTTGTATGATCTGGTAGTTCGCCGGTCTCCAAGACAGAACCGAAGGTGTGCGGCTGTCGCGGCGCCAGTGAGGGTCCTAGTAGCTCTTTAAGAGACCACGTCCGAATCGGAACGTGAGTATCGAAGACCTACATGCCGGACTGCGACGTACCTCCAAATATCGTGCAGCTGTGAGTGTTGAAATGACGTACCCGTCCATGTTATCATTCGCTGATCCGTCACTCAAAGTGCAGGGCCGGTCGTGAGTGTATCAAGTGCTCTACTTTATTTTTGACATTCAACACGAGTCGGCGTGATGCTTGGGTTGTAGCTACTGGGATCCCAGTTGAACTGGGGCTTGTTCGGCGTCCTCACGGTCCAGCTATGTAAGTCCATTGCTCAGTTGTACGGTTCTGTGGGACTCATGGGCCTCGAAAAGATCTCTACAATGAGGCGGGTTACAAGGATCACATCTTCATCAAGTTCGTTGTGTACGGGATGTACTTCTTCGAAGCCCTTCAAACCGTCCTCCTGACCCACGACACATTCCGTCAACTGGCCGAAAGCTTCGGCAACTTTGAGGGCTTGATTGCTCCGTACCTCATGGGATTCGAACTGGGCATTCAGTCCGCTATCAGTACGTCTGCGGTTGCTCGTCACGCACTCAACTCATTGCTACGGTGTAGTCGCTAGCGTGACTCAATGCTTCTACGCATGGCGTATATACATCCTCAGTTCCTCCAAGATCCTCACAGGGCTCATCGTCTGTGTAAGTCGGGCTTATCGCACGCTACGTTCTGATATTGTTCTTACCCAAGTGCGTAGGTTTCGCTGTTACAATGCGCTGGAGGTATCACGGAGGGAATCACATGCTTCATCTATAATAGTACGTCATCTACGATCCCTATTGAGGCGAAGGCCTCCGGTGTGAGTGAGTTAACGTTGATGTGCATCCATTGTCTGACCTTTGTGTAGATTTGGGTTGGAGGTAGCGCAGCGTGTGATATTATCATCACCCTCTCCATGACATACATTGTGAGTGCAGTCTAGCTAAATCACATCCGTCAGGCAATTTATTCGACGATATCCGCTCTCCAGTTATGGAAGAAACGCAGCGGTTTCCAGAAAACGGATAGCGTGGTCAACAAGGTCATCCAGCTCGTCGTTGAAACCGGTCTCTTGACAGGTGAGTTGACAATCCATGCCCGTCCGCCGTAGAACACGTACAGAAGCTGACATCTCCTCGCGTGCAGCTACCATGGCAATCGTCCAATTGACTCTGTACAATATGTTCAAGGATACCGAGTACTTCATGACGCCCGTCGGCGCTCTCTCCAAGGCGTACAGTAATTCCCTGTTCGTGCTCCTTAACAACCGCAGCCAGATGCGGCAGCAGCGAGACACCGGGGGCACCACCAGTCTGAACCTTCCGCAGCTGCAGACGACGCGCGCGATCCAGATCAGTGTCAATCAGGAGACGTTCGGTGTTAGGAACGACGCAACGGCCGACCGGTCCTCAGACAAAGTGCGTTCGATCCCTAAAGCGTTTCTGTTCACTCATTCGTCTCGCGTGCAGAGTCAATATGACGAGGATCTCAAGGCCGGCCTTGGTGGAGGTCTGCCAGGCGGCGCGCCTCAAGTGCAGGCTTGAGGGGATCCTGTCGTGTCGAGGGTTGGAGGGGGTCTGGATATGCTATAGACACGACTGATGCTGTGTTATGCATCGCGTAGCTCAAGCATGTCAGAGTACCACCTCGCATTGCTGTCGCTCGTTTGCTGGTATAGTCGCTGCCCATAATTTACAGGCTGGCCTGGTGAGTATGACGCGGGACGCATGGTTTGCCGTGCAATTACCCTGCGTGTCTTGCTTACAAGTCCTCTACGAAGAACAAGCTTGAGTATTGGAGAAGTATGACAGCCCGAGAGCATCTGTTACTAAGTCGTCGAACGGCCCTAGTCAACATACTGCAGATGCAGCACAACCGGCGTCCCGCTTACACTTCACGAGTTTGATTTGTCCACTTATTCGACACTAGGTGTTGGCCGTTGCGGCACATTCTCTCCGACATCAGAGTCGAGAGACAGAACGTAAGTCCGGATCGAACTGCCATTGTGACTATTGCTGACGAGCTATTTGAACGATTATATCTGTTTGAGCTGTGCACTCTGCATTCCTGACGCACTTCAAACGCAGATGTTTGTGCGACTCATTCTGTGAACTTGTTTCACGTCTGCCAGTGCTCCGGCGGCTGCTTCAAGTTGAAATTGACAGAGGTCTGGTGGCAGTGCATCCAGAAAGGGAAGGCGGTTGCCTCGGATCCTAACAGTTGCAAACAACCGCTCTTCTACTCCGACGTCATTGATTCTGAATTGTATAGGCTACAGGCTTCCTAGGCCCGCAAGGCTGTATTCGGTATTGTGAGTGGCCTCAAACCGAATCATAACACTTCAAAGATGCATCGATGAACTGTGAATTTGCAGCTCAGCATATGCGCCATGGCTGAGCCTCAGTACGAGATATCAATTGAACGCCTGACGTACAGCCATTCGCCATCCATCCCTCCTTCTCTCATAGATGTATCTATTGAGCTACCGAAGGGGTCGCGTACGATCCTAGTGGGAGCCAACGGAGGTAAGATTGACTCAGCTTCTTGCGATGATTGCTCCCACTTAACGTCCCGAAGCCGGAAAATCGACTTTGTTGCAGATCCTAGCCGGCAAACGACTGATCCTCAGCCAGGGCACCCACGTCCACATCAAAGAGAGGGATGTCTTCCGGAATTCGCCACCAGGCGTCACCTTCCTTGGGACTGAATGGTAAGTCACGGTCGTACAGTCAATAACACAGATTCAGTTGTCTGACGTCTCGCTGACTCACCTCCCGTCGGAAGGGCGATGAACCCTGTGGTCAGAGGAGACATTGTGGTGTCTGACTTTCTCAACTCTGTCGGCGGCTACCGTCATAAGGAGCGCCGTGATCGACTGCTTGATATCCTCGATGTCGATTTGGACTGGCATATGCATGGCATTTCGGACGGCGAGCGGCGCAGAGTTCAACTGGTGATGGGGCTGATGTCAGATTGGGATGTACTTCTGTTGGATGAGGTATTGTTGCTCGTCGAGAATGCTGTCGCGCTGTGTCACTCACAGTACCGGTGTGCACAGGTTACGGTCGATCTCGACGTCCTCGTCAGAGATGACTTGCTCAGCTTCCTCAAAACCGATAGCGAGACCAGAGGAGCGACTGTACTGTGTAAGTAGGCTTCTGTTCTCCATGCCAGATGCGGATCTTATAGCAAAAGCGCCACTGTAGATGCAACTCACATCTTCGATGGATTGAATGATTTCCCCACGCACGTCGCGCATATGCACCTCGGGACGTTTTTGTCACAACCAACGCCTTGGCCGCTTAGACATGACGTAGTGTCTAAGGTTGTGTCAGTAGATCTGGGCCCGAAGCCGACGCTGTATGCGCTCGCTCTGCAGTGGCTGAGGGAAGATCGGGAGCGCAGGCGCGAGCTCGAGAAACAAGGGCGCAAGAAGCGAGGCGCAAAGTCTGATGAGGTGCGTATTATGGTTCAGACCATAACACCAGGACTGTTATTCGGCCTGCGGTTCGTTGATTGATATTGACATTGCATCTGGCAGGTGCCCACCGATTCGGAAACATTCTACAGGAAGTACGTCTATGTGAAGATGCGCCCGAGCTGGATCTGGCTGACCGGTGTCACTCAGATACGATTACAGCCATTGAGTGGCGTGCCTCATGGCCAGTGAGCATCCGACATCCGAGCTCAACCTCACAGCCTGATTTCACCACCACGCGCCCTAGATGTTTTACTACAACATTGATTCGTCGTCAGAACCCTCAACGGACGCTCCTCAACGGACATTCCAATGTAGATTAGATGTTCAACCAGCTGTATACCACCGATTACCAGTGTCTGCTAGCGAGTGTATTGTGAAACTGTTGTGCGCGTGGGCGGTGAGGATGCCCAGCGGCTTGGGCAGGCGCCGGGAGGGCCGAGGCTCTGCAGGCGTGGGACGAGGCGCGTGATGCAACTGCAGCAAGTTGCCTTTTATAATGTTCGCACGCGGTGCGCAGTGCCTGTCTCTCTGCCCTCGTTGAGCACGCCGGCGCCGTCGTCCTGACTGTCTTCACCGCTCCGAACGTGCTGGCCATCGCAGGACGCACCGGCTCTTCCTCTTCCACCCTGGTCCCCCTCTCCGTCCCGTCTTACCCCCACGCTCCTTTGCTCTTTCGCGTTCCTCTCTCGCCACCCCGTCGCCATGGCTCACCTCATGCACCGTGAACTTGCCGCTCGCTGCGTCCAATGCCCTAGCGCTCCCCCATCGTGCTCATGCACCTCTCAGGACCAGTGTGTTTTCATCGCATTGTGAGCAATTTTTCCCGTCTTTGGCCTGTGAACGTTGCCATGAGTTCGGCTGCTCTTCGGTGCTCGGAGGAAGTGCCCAGTTGTTATGGGTGGGAAGCAGACTTGGGTGGGGGGCGACTGGGACGCGAGGGAGACACGGTATGCTCGGGACAGCGACGCGCTGGAGGTCGACACCGAGAGGTATGCACGCAGTCTCGATGCGACTGTGTAGAACTTGTGGCAACTTTTCATACGGCTCATGGGGTTTGGACCGGTATGCTCATCACGTTCTACGGTTCACAGGAGCTGTGATGCTTGCCCGTCGTACCAGTGCGTAGCTCCAACCTCGGACTCGAAGTCTGGTTCGAGCGGGGTGAGCGGGGGTGCCGTTGCTGGTGCCGTCATTGCCTCCTTAATCTTCCTCGTGCTGGTTCTGGGCGCCTTCTGGTTCTACCGCCGGCGTCTACGCCAGCGACAGGCGGCGGAGGGTGGCGTGGAGGGCAAGTCCGACTCTCCCGCGCGTGCGGAGGACGTTCTCAACCGCCCCGACCCGAACGAGAAGCCTGACGAGCCCGAACCGGCGGCCTTGGTGAGGATCTACACCGGCTCGTCAGTGGGCACGATCAACCTCGACCCCGCGTCCCAAGGCGCTTCCACCACGCGTGCCAACGATGGCCATGAGCGCCAGTCCACTCGATCGAATCCATTCAACGACAGCCATTCTATTCAGACAACATCGACTGGCACGCGGTCCAACGTCATTCCCATTGCTCTGGTGCCACCCGCGACGTTCGTTCCGCCTCAGGCCGTGCAGGAGTCGGAGGCAGGCGATCATTCGACGGTGGCGACTGATGGCTCGACGGGCAGCTCTTCCCGGTTGGCCCCTCCACGACCGGAGCGCGACCCCAGCCTCGACATTGGCGTCAAGGGCATCGAGGTCTCGCATGACGCAGCTGCGAGGCCCTACGATGCGCAATCGCAGCATACAGGTCTTTCCAACCGCGCATCATACTTGTCTACAGGCAGCTTCGCGAGCGATTTGCTCACAGAGGCACCTGTCATTGTGCGCCCGACCCGCGTGGTCGGTGTGGTCAAGGCCGAGGTCATCCGTACGTCTCCTTCTAAGGACAGCCTGCGCCCTCCTCCAGCAAGCAACCGCCCGCCTGTGCGTTCTCCGCTCGCGGCGACCAGCTTCGGTCCCACAGATGTGTTGCGGGAGGTGCCGGAGGGCCAGGAGGTCGGCACGCAAGGAAATCCCTTCGGAGACGAACACTCACCCTACAACAGTGGGCAGGGCTCGCCCTCGCCCTCGCAGACGACGTTCGGCTCGCCTTCCATGCAGGACGACAGTCAAGGCAATCGCCTGAGCACTTACACGCAGGCAGCCTCTGTCATAGGATCCGTGATTGGGGCCGAGATCGGTGGTGCGACGCGAGTGCATCTAGGCTTCGATCATCTCCGTGCTAATCCACCCTCGACTGGCGAGCCCATGCCGCATACTGCTTCCAGCGGTGTGCTCAACTCGCCGCGCGGCGTATACAGGATGACTAGCGCTAAACTCGTCAATACGTCGCCGTCTGGAAGCACCGGGCCCACTGGTACCCTCGAGCGTCAGCAGCACCAGGCGATGCAGCAGATGGATGTCCCGAACAAGCGCGTGTCGATGACTTCAATGGTGTCGACCACTTCGACGAAGGCAGACTCGATCCTGGAGGGCTTCCCCTTCGTGCCGCCGTCGCCGATCTCGAACCGCCCTATCCGCACGCCGCCTCGCTCGCCTCTCGCGCAGCAGTCGTTTGCGAATGCGAACAACGCGCGGGATGCATCACCTTCGCCCGCACCCTCATCCTCGCTCAGATCACCCCCGCCCCGAGACCCGCCTGCACGTGAGAGCCTGAGCGCGACAGAGACATCGCTGTCTCCGCCCCCAAGGAAGGCACGGGCGTTGTCGGTTGCATCGCAGTCGTCCACGATGACGAACGGGCTTTCGTCGTTCCCCTTCCAGATCGACGCTGGCGCGTCCGACAATGCATCTGCGGGCTCGGCCCCATCATCGTTCGTGGGACGGACACGAGCCAGCCTGGACACGCTCGCGCTGACGAGCGACCTGTCGTCGTACCCGCTCAATTTCGATAGAAGCACGCCGCCGCCGGTGCCGCGGCGTTAAGTCACCATGCTAATGCTGTCTCCCCGCCGCGTCCCCCGACCGCGCGAGGTGTATCTGTAGAATGTGACCGCGATTAGTGTACGAACTCTGCACCTCGAACCCTGCACGTGCCCAATCTGCTTCTCTGTCTATCGTTGCAAATGCCCCTGCATCCCCTCACCCTGTCCCCTCGCTTCACCGACTGCCTTATACCCTTGGACCTGGTCCATTCGTCCTTGCTTGGTTGATCCGGCTTGATTCCCGCCGTCGCAGTGTCGTCCCGACCCTATCCCACCCATCCCTCTGTCCGTTCGGTGTCCGTATTACGCTTTCTTCAAGTCTCTGTCCGCTTCTCCGATCGACCGCATTAATATACGGCTTTCCCGATATTTCAAACTTCTCCATATGCCCCACCTCTTTTCACTGCTTCGTTGACCTGTTGTCTTTCGTCGCCCGTGCGCGTTTACTCACACGGGCGTGCCAGTGCACATACTACTGTAGCTTACTGGGGAGTACTCGCGCGCGAGCTCGTTGGGTTGGAGTTGTGCACTATTTATTGCCTGTCTACCTGTGCTGTTACTTGTCCTTTTTGACGAATGAAAATTGTGGCGACCTGGACGCTATTAGACTTGTTACGTTCGTCCGATTTTGTGCTGTGCGCAAAGTGGGAGTGATGTCATGACATGTACATTGTCCTGGCAGAGATTTGCCTCCGTTGCCTGCCGCATTCAGCGCCCTCGGTACAGTCACGCACGTGGATACTGCTCTTCACAGATCGTGCCGCCGATCAATGGATGTCCTCGGCAGAGCGATCGCGGACTTGCAACCCGGCTGATTGCGACCTCGTGTCACCAGGCCGCCGCTGCACATCTTGTCTCTGCACCCTCTCCTCGTCGCCACTCGCCTCGGACGCCTGGGGCAGCACTCGCAGGTCGACACCGGGTTCACAGCCACGCACGACGACGACGCAGCTCGCCCTCGCATTGTCCGCCGCAGAGCCAGATTCGCCACCCATCGATGGACACACGCGCAGAACGTGGCGGGCGCCAAGGGAGGGGCATGACGAGCGGAGGGGCGATACGGGCCTGCAACGAGGCAAGAAGACTGCCGGCATTAGGCAAGCTGGTACCGAGTGCAGGTGAGATCCCGCTAGTCACCCTTTCGATTGTCACTCAGAAACTGCAGGGTGATTGTACCGAGGGGTTCACCATATACGGTGCGCCGTCGACCTGTTGTGCGTACTTACCATGGCCCTCTGCACCGGACGTATAAAAGGGCTCCCCGGGACGCGTACAATGCACGCCACGTCTTTGCGCAACTCGCGTTCCACCCGCTCCCCCCGCCCTCTTTGTCCTACGCCCCCCTCCGCACATCATGCACTCCACCTACGACCTCGCCGGCACGTCTGGCTGCGCTGCTTCCGAGGGCTCAGTGCCTCTCACAGCTACCTCGGACCTTTGCGCCATGGGAACGCACATGTACCCCACCAACGACCTCTACGACCAAGTAGCGGTGAGTAGCCTTGCAAGGGCAGGGACGCGCGACGACTCACACGCATCTCAGCTGTACCCTACGAGCATCGACACGGGTTGTTCGGAGATTGACGTGACGTCGCTCTTGGACTGGTATGTTCTCCACCACACCACTTGCCTACCTTTCGCTCATTGCTTCCTACTCGTCTGCAGCGACTCCATTATGATCGCTGGAGACCCCAACGCGAGCCTGTTCTCGGACAACCAAGAAGTCGCTGTGCCGGAGCCAGTGATCTCCGAAGCCTACTTGGAGGAACTCCAGTTCTATGTCGACGATCCGGAGTACTTCCGCCTCATCGTTGAGGCGGCGATAGACAACAAACCTGCCGCTTCCGAGCTTGCAGTCAGCCCCGAGCCTTACACGAGTGCAGTATCGTCGACCAGCGTCCCCGAACCCTTCACTATCAGCCCCGCACTGTCGCTGAACAGCAATATTTCCTTGAGCCCTTTACCGTCGCTTTTGTATCCTGACTCCTCAGACTCGGAGGAGCGCGTTCAGACCTACTTCTCTCCGTACTATGGCGGCAGCCCCCCGCTGTTCGTGAACGGCAGTCCAGTACCGTCTCTCTTTTACCCAGACTCATCACCCACCGAGGAACGCATCCAGCTCGCCAGCCTCCAGTCATCCCCTAGCACCTCTTCCCCTGTCCACAGCCCTGTCCCATCTCTCTTCTACCGCGATACTTCGGACGGCGACAACCGCTCTAGTTATACCGACGACAGCCCCGCTCTGTCACCGATCTTGGAGCAGTCCGTGTTGGGCAAGGCGTTCCGCGCCGTAGGAGCCAAGGCTGCCCCGTCGTGCATGCGCAAGCACCCCAAGTATTCACCCTATCCCTCTACCTCACCCCACATGCGACACAACTCCCCCTCCCGCAACCGCGAAGCCCTGTTCGACGACTTCGTCCTGCCCGGCACGCCACGGAACGTGCAATCACCCCTCGATCCCTCCAGCGCGATCTTGACCTACACGGATGGCGCCTTCCGGTGCCCCGTCCCCGGGTGCAGCTACGTGCCGCACTCGACGCGGCGCACGTCCGACGTCCGGCGGCACCTCGAGACGCACCGCTCGAGCGAAAATCAACAGCGCTGGGTGTGCTGCGGGGTGCCCGTGGCGCGGGCGGCAGAGTTTGGCATCACGGACGTCAACGCGGCGTACTGGTGGAGGGGCTGGCGGATGGTGGGTGGCTGCCGCAGGGGGTACAGTCGTCGGGACTCGCTCGGCAGGCATTTCAAGACGTGCGGGTGCAAAGGGCATGTGGACATGGCGGAGGAGCTCACGGAGGCCAACGACAGGGCTCTCAATGAGGTGGATGGTCATGATCTTGGTTATTGATTGAGTTGTACTATAGTCATGGATTGGTTCGTTTCACCTCTCGTCGTCTCTGGTTCATCGTTGTGCTCTATCTCGGTCTCACAAAATATAACGTGCCGCGCGCGGCCATTTTCCCCAGCACCGTTGGTCAGGCGCACTGGACACTGCGGCGCTTCCGGTCTTTGTCTCTTGAGTGTCAACCTGAGCCTGGGCAACGTCGGCCACTTACGCGTGTATCCACGTCTCGTGACCGCGTCGCGGATCATCCCACCCTATCGTAACTCGGCAACTTATGGTAAAATTCACTTACCTTATTTGGCTGCGAGCACATGGCATCCCTTACCATTGTTTCACAGCATCATCGTGGAAGGCAGCGCCCGCTATTGTGCCGGACTCGGAGGACAATACGTTGATGGGCTTCCCGAGCTCCACGGTATCCCACGGCAAAATGGGCTTTACTCCGGCCTGATGAGGGAATGTACTAACTGCATGAGTACAGCTGCTAGGTACAACTGCCGGTGCTGAAGCACTGACAGAGCGAACATTTCCTGCATTATACATTGGATTACCGTATGTGCATAGCTCGGACTCGGCCCTGTTTCACCCTAAGTACGGCCTGTGGTGGCAGTGCAAGCGTCTGGGAGGATTGGTCCTCAGGTACGTGCTTGAGCGCACCCGGTGACCGGAGCCGCTGATGATACGTCGTCCTCGACACACTTGCCGTGTAAGTACATGCCATTACCAAGAGCGTTCAATACGAAACGGGAAGCTGACTGCTTCATTTGGACCCACGACGTGTGGTAGAACATATCCATCTCGGGTTAAGTGGACGAGTAGTCCATTGGTACAGGATACTCCATACGGCCCGGACTTCAGCTACTAGCCTAGTAGTGGCAATGCGACTGCCCGTCTAGGCCGCAGCGAAGCGTCTCGCCTGTACCCGAGCCCTGTATTGGTACAACGTCAACGTCATCCGTAACAAGCTCACTCTTCGTCGCCGCTGACTCGCCAGAGTATCCCTACCTGGGGTCGGGTACACATGGCCGTTTACTGGGTAAGTCGCACAGACCTCCGGCTACTTGATACTCACGTTTGTGTATTGCCTATCAAGGTACCTCACTTACCGCATCGAGGAGATTGCACGTATGTACTGTCACATAAGGAAGCACTGCACCCGGGGATGGAGATCGAGTGTAAGGCTGTGTCCTCGTGCGCGCGAACGCAAACGCAAACGCGCTCCGTGGGTGTTTCGACAGTCGGCGATCTGGCATAGTGCATTGTTCCGAGGTGACGCGTCTCCGTTTGACTAGCTGTGCCAATTGACACTGGGGCCGGCAAGAGCGAGACACCAGCTACGGGCCCAGTGTTGACGTTGAGGACGGAGGCGGCGTCACGCCTCCTAGCTTCAGCCACATCAACATACTACTTTTGAAGCTTGAGGCCGAGCCTTCACGCTGAAGTAGCTATAGCAGGCTAGGCACTGTTGTCTTGAAGTGTCAATCGTAGACTCCTTACAATTGACGCGATGTGGCATGTACAGGATGTAGCAGTCACATATGATACACGTTTTGGTCCGACACAGGCGACTACTGTGGTACTAACGCATATTCAATATTCAACAGTTATGGAACGGTGTCACAGAGCGCGCGGGCATGTCTAGCTACTGTCCTGCGCAGTACAACCTCAATATGTCTAGCTGAAATGTCCGGTCGTATCTTTCTTTACGCAGTGGTGGCGTTGTACACGATAGACGTTGTCGTGATGCCGAACTCCTTCGCGATGTCACCCTATACATCATAATATGAGCATCACAGCATGCGCATGTAGCAGAGAGAACTACATACCGGGCAATCGAGGTACGTCTCGACAACAGTGAGATAAAATGTGGCGTCGCTGTATGTCGCAGCGTTCGTCGAGGCCTGCGAGAAGTCAGGCATGGTGAGGTTGGACGGCGGCGGGGGTGGTCCTGCTGAGGGGGTAGGCCTTCATGAAACAACATTGAGCCTGACAATCTCCTATCGTGCACGGCCTCGACCACACTCACCGAAGTTGGGATGAGCCACTGGCCAAATTCGTAGAGGTAGTCGCTCTCGGGGAACGAGCCATCGGTGTTCAAGTCGGAGACATCGGGCTCGTTCTCGAAGAGGTAGACCGTGATGGGCTCGTAGCCGGACTCGCAGTAGTTGACCGACGCGAAGTCGAAGTCGAACGTTGCGCCAGGCGCGATGGCGGCAGACTCGGCAGGGGCGTTGATAGTGCCATGGGTGGGCACAACTTCCTGCCGCTGGACGAGCGTGGTAGGGACAGTAGCGGCTTGCCCGACGAGAGCGGACAGGGCGAGGACAACACCAGCAGTGAACTGCATTGTGAGTATGTGGTGAGGTGGAATGAAGAGTTGGCTCCTGGGTCCATACCGCGGTCCCCCACCTCCGTTTATACGTGCGCGTATGCAGTGCTTACGCACGCCGACACGCCGCAGGCCGTCACCGCATCCTAGAACCGGCGGATCATCGACCTGGAAACTTTCAGACTCAACGCCGGCCCCAGTGCGCTCTTCAGCCCAATTGGACGGAGTCCAGGCGTGCGGCCGGTGTGCAGTGTGGCTTGGCGGCAAACGGAATGAATCCTGCGGTCAACGGTGGACTTGCCCGCACAGACCGAGCTGCCAGTGTTAACAGACAGCCGTTTGCCCGGGACGGCCTGTCATGTCCGCAGATGGTATACATACAGGCACACCTCTGTCGGGCTCGAAATTACCATACGGGCGAAGGCAAGGGTAGGGTGTTTGACATAACCAATCAAACTGGCGCATGTGCATGCGACGAAAAGAAGGCAGGGAAGAGGAACAAGAACCATCCTTGGAATGTCGATCCAATGCTCTCCACGGAAAGTAGAGGCCTGACTTGATCAGAACGCGAAGTGGGTAATGTTGCCGACCGAGATAGAACTCGAAGACCGTCTCAAGGAGGTTGTCTTCCTGTAATGCCAGTATATGGGCGAGACGCCCCACCGATTATGGCGGTGTAGGCGACCGACACTCCAGGATGCATCCGTGCAATGACGCGCACCGGCGATAGGAGGCCAATGAAATCTTTCAGCGCGCAGAGCTTTGCGCTCCCGGTGTCACATTCGGAAGCGGCCCTAGATGCCCACGAACATTAGATTCACATGAGATGTAACACATACCATAGATCCGTCAGTGTCAAGGAGGTACAGCGGGTTTTGTGCCTCGGGCGTATTGGATGATCAACTTTGTATACGCCGCATTGCGGGCAAACCGCTGAGATTACTTGCACATCACACGTAACGAACTGTTTCGACTCAGCAGAGCTGTGCGGGGACCGTACACTGGGCAGTCATTGTCAGCGACATTCGAGGCCCATCCGGAGCGCTACACGCACACGATGTTTCCGCCTTCCACGCCTTCCAGTCCTTGAGCGTGCTCCCCTCCGGTGTCCTAGACCATCCAGCGCAGCTCGGAGTGCACAGCAGGATCGATGGGATGTCGACATACTCGCCGGGGCGATCTGGTTCTGCTATCATTCTCACGTCGGACAGGATGCCCCCTGTCTGCCAACGTCCTCGACCCAAGCCTAGGTCGCGCTGGTGGGATCTGCCTACCGAGACAAGGCCAGCGAAGTCGGATGGATCCGGGAGGTAAAGTATATCGCCGCCTTTCGATCCACAGAAGGAGATGTCGGAAACAATGCACGATAAAATTGGAGTGCGATGGTATTCACTACTAGTACCACCCGGACAGATCCTGGAAGAGCACCCGATAGAAGTGAAGTCGCCCGTGGAATGGTCCACGCTGCCGCTCTGGGCCAGGGGTTTCCTCAACGCGCAGAGTTCGCCCACCGGAGCTGACTGAGTGCCGTCTGACTTCGGTCCCTGCGGTCGACATTGTGTGAAAGTGCGGCCAAGTGCAGAGTCAGAGATGATGTTCCCATTCGAAGGTCGAACGGCGAGCGAAACCAGGAGCCTCAAGTCTCGTGACTGACGCGTGGTGTCACGCATGCACGACGCGCCGCGACGCGATCCTGGGCCTACTTTCGACCTTCATGTGCATTACTTATGTGCAACGCACGGCTATGGAGACAATCTCTTTCGCTATCATATTCCTGGCACTGAATGCAGTTGTGGTGCACCTTGCTCACCATGCAAGACGTGCGGGTTCAGTCACGTATGTATCAGTGGCTGACCTGGCCAGCTGGAGGTCTGTTCAGGCCACAACGTTCTGTCGATGATTATGAATCAAGCGATCTATACCCAAACCCGAACAGGCCGCTTTTGGCACAAGAATCCTGAGTGGAAGGGTGGTCGCCCAAGGCACGACTGGTCTGTCTCAGTACGCGGCCCATTAATAGTCCTTTTCGACCATGACAGTGATCGATTGTAAGCCCTCGCTCACCTATCAAGCTGCATCGCTCATACGACGCTTTGCGAACAATCGTGGCTGTACGATTCACTGCGAAGACTTCAAGTGAACAAGAACCTTCCGCGTCGCGGAGCGTCATGACATTACACGACTTCCTCAGGAAGAGCCTCAACATGATGACACCAATTACTGCGAGGCAGTGAGGCCGGATGCAACGCTGCCTGCAAGTAAGTACGTGTCTATATATGTTCGCTCGGGTTGCTCATTCGCCACGAATATTGACCGCAATGTCGGAAGTCTGAAATGCTATGTGTATCACGTGGCAAACAGGTTACAGTCCGAGGATACCGAGATACTGAGTCGCTACCTTTACCCCACCTATGGCAATCGACTCGCTGCTCAACGTCTCCCTAGACGATATAGTGCTTGCTCTTGCCCGTATAAATGGCGTCTCAGCATGCAACGATCAGAGATTCAAGCTGGCCTGAAATAGGCTCTTCAGCCACCGCAAATTGATGACGCATGCGGACTTTGCACGATGCTGGGAAGATAAGGCACACACGGGAATCCAAAATGCTAATGGGACGCCCGGGTACTCGTTCTATATAAACTGCTTCTGTCTAGGTATGGGCTGCACTCACTCTCGGCACCGATATCATCGCGACATGCACAAGCTGCACAAACCCGAGCAGGAACCGGAGTACGAGGGGGAGCACGAGCGAGAACACGAGCAGGAACACGAGCGAGAACACGGGAGGGGACACGAGCAAGAGCGCGAGCGGACCCCTTCCCCGAGTCCAGCTATGAGCGCAATGCGACTCCACCATCTCTCGCGCCCCGACCGCTTTCGATCCGGCTATCGACCCTCGTTCTACGCCGCATACGCACGTGCTGCAAAGCGATACCGTTTTGAAGCGAGCAAATATGGAAGCTTTGCATATCGGAAGAATGTCGTCGTGAAAGTGAGGAGCATGAACGACAATTCTACCGACCACGAAGTTCCCGCAGAAGCAATCCAGAACGGTATGGGTTCTTCAGGTCCTGAACCGTGAGCTTACCTGACCTCTCGGCCATGTCAGAGTAAGGAAGACTAGTGACGGTCGATTGGCCTGTTTCTCACTTCGAATCCGGAACAGTTCTGAATATGTCGTGCCTGTCAGCATCGGCACTCCGGGGAAGACGTTGATGCTGGATTTTGACACGGGATCGTCAGACCTTTGGGTCTGGAGGTAAGTCTCGTCCGGTGTGGTCCACGCTTGACCAGTCACGTATTGAATACCATTGAGTTCGGAGATCGCTGGGGCCGGGAAATACCGAGCGTCGCACCGTCTGTACCACCCTCACCTCTCCGCTACTGCGAAGAAGGTAGATGGGTCGTGGAAGATCTCCTACGGCGACGGGTCCTCCGCTTCGGGCGACGTTTGGATGGACCACATCAGGGTCGCAGGCGTGCGCATTCACGGCCAAGCGGTGGAGGTTGCGCAGCGCCTGAGTCGGGCCTTCCTCACAGATGGAGGGAACGACGGCCTGCTCGGCTTGGCGTTCCCGAAGCTGAATACAGTGGAGCCGCACCGTGTTGCAACTCCTGTAGAGAACATGCTCGAGATGAGGCTGATAGATCCTGTGCGTTCTGATTATGTTCCACGGGAGCTGTCCATAGATGGTATTGTGTATAGCCCGTTTTCACCTGCAAACTCGGACACGGCTCTGAGCAAAGTTTTTATTCATTCGGTGCGTCGTCCCTTGCTTCCAGGAACGCAATGCCCATCCCCAATGCCGCACAGGGTTCATCGACGAATCAGTAACCCGTCATCCAGTCGTGTACCACCACGTCAACTCGTATGTGGTTCGCTTCCTTCTGATACATCCGTGTTCACCGCAGATCTACAGTTCGCGAGGCTTCTGGGAAGTCGCCTCCACAGCATACGTGGTGGACAACAGGCCGTACAAGAGTCGGGACAACACGGCGATCATTGACACGGGCACCACGCTCTGTCTGGTGCACGACGACGCTGTGGAGAGGATCTACCACAGAATCAATGGTGCGCGGTACAGCAACAGTCGCGGAGGCTGGATATACCCCAACCATGAGCGACTCCCCGATGTCGAGTTTGCTATAGGGCATACAATGTATCGCGTACGTTTTGCTGGGCATCATTGTTAATGTCAATTGTGTAGCTGACATAGCATCGGACAGTTGAACGAGGTTGATTTCCACTATAGCGATGCTGGCGATGGCTTCACGTTCGGCGGCATCCAAAGCCGTGGAGACCTCCATTACGATATATTCGGTGATGTCTTCCTGAAGTCGCTCTACGTCGTCTGTACGTTGCCTCAGATTTCGCGCTTATCCAGAACTGGCTGACTAGGAGGAATCTGCATAGTCGATCAGGCCAACCTCAAGATTGGTGTTGCCCAGAGAGATGATTGAGCTATGCTTCCTGTGCCGCTGTGCTTGCGAAGACACCGGACCCCGGTGTGAATGATCGTGCTCTTGACTTATGACTACTTAACTTCTTGGATGACGGGACGATCCACCACTGTCGTGATATGCCATTGTGTGTACCTGTGGCTATTGTATTACCATTGTGTAGCAAACATCGAGTAGAGCTGCTGTCTCACTACTGTGCTTCATTCCAGATATATTCGTCGAACTCGGCCTGACAAATGAGTATATGCAAGGTACGTAACGTATCATATGCCAAGAGCAGAGGACGCATATCCCGGTGCACTTTCGGCGATGGGACTGATGTGCCGACTGCCCGGGCTAAGATAGTATTTTCGCTACTTGCCACGATGAGCGCTGAGCGTCTACGTTTCCGTGCGCACTGTGCACAGTGTGATAGGCACGTGCACTTACTTATGGTAGGGTACCCCGTCTCGCCGCTGTTGACTCTGAGTTTCCCGACTCTTTCGGATCATAATCCATTGTTATTGAACACTCGCGCCCACGCCTGCGGGACAGTCCACACATCCACGGAACGCGCGCTGCCCAGACAGGTGTCGACTCTCTGAGTCGATGTTTCAGAAATGAGGAGTGTGGACGCAGCGGTGATGGTGCGTCCACACAGATATGAGACCAGGCTGATGCGGCTACTATTGACGATGCATCGGCAATGTCGAGGACGAGGACAAGGTGTGAGTACCAGTAGATTCAATTCGTCACGATCATATAAGAGTGCTCAGTTGCGGTACCCCTTCTAGCATTCTGCACCAGCCTATCGGACATGGATACTACAGTACTTCTCGTCCAGTGCCTCCTCGTATTCGGGCTAAGCCTCGGGATATACCACGCTGTGAAACGCGTCTTCGTCACAAATTCCTTGGACAATGTACCAGGCCCACTGTCGCAGTCATTTATCAAAGGTACGCCTGTTAGCCTTCGTACAAGCGTTCTTCACAAAGCTCATTGGCTCATATCATGACTATCAGGGAATATGGCCCAATATCACAGCCCCGATTCGGCGAAATTTCAGCGACATATAGTAGATGATTACGCTGCGTATGTCGTCAAACTGCACAATATCTTCAATGTACGTGTTTACTTCGGTGTATGGGCAAAGAGACTCATTTATTGTCAGAGGCCCGCGCTGTACATCTACGACCCAACAGCGCTTCATACGATTCTGATCAAGGATGGGAACAACTGGGGACCCACACCACACTTCACTGCGTGAGTCTCTCTGATGCATACAATGTAAGCTCGCGACGCCGACATATGTACATAGCATGAACAGAGCGCTGTTCGGTCCAGGGTTATTATCTACACTTGGTGCGCCAGCTCTGCTTTCCTGCTGTTACCGTGTACTGAGTGTATACGCTACTAGGTGATCAACATCGGAAGCAGCGCAAAATGCTCAATCCTGTTTTTTCTGCTAACCACATGCGGTTCATGCTACCGATGTTCTACGACACTGTCCGAAGAGTACGTGCGTCTCTAATTATGATAGTCAATCACTCATGAAGTCTCCGTGTCAGCTTTGTGACGCTATCAAAAGTCGTATCGAGAATGGGTCGCAAGAATTAGACATGGCGAATTGGATGGGTCGAACAGCACTAGAACTCATCGGGCAAGGTGGTCTGGGCTATTCTTTTGATAATCTCGTCGACGACAAGGAAGATGCGTTGGCTGAATCCATGAAACTCTTATTGTGAGTTGCAAGGTCTTGCAATCCATTGCAATCAATCCGAGTCGCGACCACTCACTCCACGTCTTTTAGCCCTAATGTGTCCAAGCTTTCGGTGCTCGCACTGTTCTCACCTCAGCTGCGGGCCATCGTACCCGCTGGATTGCGAGGCCCTTTGGCCAGCATCGCACCGATCGCAGCTGCACGTGATATCAAGTACAACGCAGATTTCGTGGCACAGAAGATGCAGGCCATATACGATTCGAAGAAGCGTGCCTTGCAACAAGGCGACGACGCCGTTGCAGAGCAGATCGGGCAAGGGAAGGATATCATGAGTATCCTCAGCAAGTAGTCTAATTTACTAGCGTGGACCAGTACTCATCTGATGACACAGTGAAAGCGAATATGCAAGCAGCAGAGAAAGACGGTCTATCGGAGTACGAGTTGGTCTCACAGATGTCGTGAGTGCCATCGCGTACAGACCATTCCAACCCCTTCCTGATCTATTGTGTAGCACCTTGGTTTTGGCGGCCATGGACACGACGTCCAATACCTTGTCCCGAATCTTGCTCATTCTCGCCGAGCATCCGGGCGTCCAGCAGCGTCTGCGCGCGGAGATCGTCGAGGCTTCTCATCACGGCGAGGATCTGCCGTACGATCGTCTCATGAAATTGCCCTATCTCGATGCTGTGTGTCGAGAAACGCTACGTCTGTGAGTGTTGAGCTAGCGGGCGATAATAGTCCAGTTTGAGAGGTTATGTGTTTCTAGGTATTCTCCTTTGCAATGGTCGACCAGAGTGTAAGCGCTATGGTTCCGAGAAGTGAATTGACTCAAATACATGTACCCCACTTGCAGAGCGACACAGGATACCGTCGTACCGGTCTCAAAGCCAATTCGCGGAATCGACGGCAAACTAATCACTCAACTGGTGGTACCGAAGGGCACGGAGGTTTTCCCTGGTGTAACCGGCTGCAACACGAGCAAGGCATTCTGGGGTGAAGACGCATTGGAGTGGAAGCCGGAGCGTTGGTTATCGCCGCTTCCGGAATCCGTGACCAAAGCGGGCCTGCCTGGTGTAGCGGCCAACCTGTAAGTCAATTGCCCACTACCGCTATTATGTTCCTTTGCGTACTGAACCCGCCCGCGTAGAATGTCCTTCCTCGGCGGGAGGCGTGCTTGCATGTAAGTTGCGATGAGATTCGTGTGGTCCGGCTAATGGTCGACACCGATCATTGTAGCGGTTTCACGTTCGCGGAAATGGAGATGAGTGAGTCGGTGTAGTACGAATATACCGTGTCAAGCATAGCTGAAGTCATTGATAGAGGTCGTGTTGGTCGCATTGCTGCAGAGCTTCGACTTCGCTCCCTCCGATAAACAAGTTCATTGGATCGCGTCTCCCATCTTTTATCCATCCATCACTGAAGACGGGATGACTCCGCGGATGCCGCTCCAAGTCTCTACGTGCCACCACTGGTAGTACTGTAGCCATGTATTCGAGTACTATGGGGTGTCTGAGTACCACTCGCGTCGAACTTCGGTGGGATGAGTACTATGTAACATTGTCTAATACCGCTACATAGAACGATGTTGCAATCTCGGGCGATTAAGTATGTGCTATGCGTATGTAGAGCGGGGCCCGAACGCGATCGCGAAGGGCAGACATTAATTGCTAACTTATGTACTCATGAACTACTGTAACCCGATGCCAGTGGATATGTTACACTGTGGCTGGAATTTCTGGCGGGTCGCGCGGCTGACGGCATCCCCCGAGAGCGAGCTCCAGCCTCCTCCGAGTCCGTAGCTCCAGAACTCCAACAACTTTGAACGCCCCTACCATGTCGCCCAATCTCTCCGCCCTCACCTTCGCCAGCAATGCCACTGTTGTCTCCGAGCACAGCCCCGACGAGTACGAGAGGACGTCCTATTATAACGGCATCACTGGGGGCAGCGACCACCCAGAACTCGTGTACCGTTCGGACTTCCTCACCACGCTCTTCCCCAAGCCCGTCGGCAGATACGCCCATATCCCCGTCAAGTCGCTCCGCGGAGTCTTCGACACCCCGCTCAATAGTATCTGGGACACTGTCGGTCCCCAGATTCGTGACCTGATCAAGGCCCGTGAGATCCACTGGTCGTCCGTCGACCCTGCTCGCTTCTTCACCCACGGATCGCCAGGAGGCGAAGGGGAGTCTCGGTCCCGTCGTCATCTGGGTCGGCGTCATTCCCAGTTCTACCTCCGCTGATACTGCCAGTGCCCACGAGGTCTCCCAAGATATCCTTGCTCTCCTGCTGAAGAACGGAGTCGAGGGCGCTGTTGTGGAATGGCGCGAAGCGGTCCCGCACAGGTTGGCACTGGCAGGCCTCCCCCTTATACGCCATGTCGGCAGCAACAATTCCACCCACTATGTACGTCGCTTCCTCACTGCTCTTCTCGGTGTTCCCCTTGCAGCCGAAGAAAAGCAGGAGGAAGACGCCCGGGGCACTCTTACGCTCTGGTTCCACGAGAACAAAGACAAGGACGGCAACCCCAGCAACAAGGTTTACGGAGTCAGCAACTGCCACGTCCTGCGCAAGAACACCACCGTCGATTACGAGCACAGAGATGGCGCACGCATGAACCACGTTCGAGTTAGTGGACTGCATCGATTCCAGCGCGGTATCGACGATATCACGAAGGCTGTTGCTGATCACGGCATTCTCGCTGACCTTTGTGCCCGAGAGATCGTCAAACGGCAGGTAACGGAGAGGCAGGACCCGGAGAACGCGAGAGAGATCCAACGGATTCGGCGCAAATTGGATGACGAGCATGAAGCTATTGCCGATCTCGAGGCCCTCTGCGCCGAAGCCACCGAATACTGGTCGGATATCAAGCTCCACCGCACCATCGGGCACGTTCAATATGCTGCAGCGCATCGCGGCCGACAATTCGGAAGGTGGCACACCATTTACCTCGGACTGGGCTGCGTTCTTGGCTGCTGAGGCGAAGGTCAAGGATGAATTCGAAGGCAACGTCATTGATCTCGGTGCGTTTCGACTGATCTTTCTCGTATTCACCTCGTCTAACAAAAACAACCTTATGCAGGATCCAAGTATTCTCCCCCAGACCTTAGAGATATGTTCTATCCGCTGGGTGGTGGTCCGACCACGTTCAAGTTTCCCGAGGACAGAAGGCTCCGGCTCGAGGGCTGCGTCACGAAAGAGGACCTCGCCAACCCTGCCGCATTCGACAGTGACGGCCAGCGCTGCCTTATCGTCGGCAAAGACGGCAACACCACCGACCTCACCGTCGGACGCTACGCCGGCCTGGTTTCATTCGTTCGCAACGAAGTCGGCCTCGAGTCCGTCGAGCTCGGTATCTACAACTCGGGTGTCAAGATCGCTGAAGTCTTCTCCGCTAAGGGAGACTCGGGCTCCCTCGTCTGGCACACAACGGACGGTAAAGCTCGCATCGTTGGCCAACTCCACTCTGGACACAATAAAGGCGGATCGACTAGCAACCATGTTACGTACTGCACCCCTGGCTGGTACTTGCTGGACCAGATCAAGAAGACATTCAAGTACGCCGACTTCTACGGCACCACCTGGGCAGCGGGCGAACAGCTACTACGCGGTCACGAGATTCAGATAAACGCGTAAGCGGCTGATGTTGCCCTCAGTTTGACAACTGACTCAAGGGACAAAGACCGCAAGTGCGCAGTATCCAGTGCGCCTGAGTGGGGAACATGGCCGCACGCGGCATAATACATTGTGTGAAAACTAGCTAGAGCACAGCGATGTACCAGAGACCACGACAGGGGAAACAAACGAATTTATGACCATGACTACAACCCAATGTCGATGACCAAGATCCTGACCATCCGCCTCGTTGAGAGCCTTGTCGTTGGCCTCCGTGAGCTCCTCCGTGATGTCCACATTCCCTTTGCACCCGCACGTCTTGATATGGCTGCCGAACGAATCTCGACGACTGAAGCTTTGCCAGTGCCTGCTCGCTCGCCCGCTCTCGTGTTCCCGCGCTCGCTTTCTCATTAGCTTGGTCGTCCACCGGCTCGTGCCCGTCCGCCCTCGTCTTCGCCGTCTTTCCCGCATGCCCGCACACCTTCACCCGTCCGCTCGCTCGTCTACTTACCCGCCTTCTTTTTGCATACCCGCTCGCGCTCGCATTCTCGTCTGCTCACCCGCCTGCCCGCCCACGCATACTCCTTCTCACCCGCGCCTTCTCTCGCCCACGCCTTCTCTCGCCCGCGCTCCCGCCCGCGCTTACCTGCCCACCCGCTCGCCCATTTGCCCCGCTCTTCCCCGGGCCCAGGCTCCCGCTCGCCCGCCTACCCGTGGACCCGCCTACCCGCCTACATCCGTGCGAAACACGTACCCGCCGCGGCAGGTACGGGCATAGGCCGAGCTCGGGACCCCATAGGTATACCCGTGCTCGGCCCTACCGTGACCGGGGCCTACAGGCTGAGGCCTGAGAGTGGTGTCCGCGATGTTCTTGTAATATGTAGTTGACTTCCGCAGACACAAGTCTCCTTGTCTGTGGTCGTCTTGTGGAACAGTAATGGTAGAATTGCGTAGACGGTCGCAAATCGGTGCAATAGGTCCCGACAACTACACATCAGCCAAGGCCGTGCTTCTACTTTGGCTCAGAATCATGGATGCCCGGCCCAACGACATCCGCCCCAGGGAGTAGCCAACGAAATGTGACGCTCAGCCTGACGTCTCGGGAAAATACAACAGGTGGACCCTCGCTGTCCTCAGACTCAACCAGGTCCTCCATACACTTCTCGATCCCATGCGTCCACCCATACCGCGCCTCCTCCGTCATGACGATCACGCTCCCGGGCGGGAGGTACACGCCACACCTCTCGCTCTCTCCTGGGACGATCTCTTCCGCACGCTGCGACGCAGGCTCGTCGCCGCGCCCTTTGAGAACCTTCGCAAAGCGCATGACGCATCCAGAGCCGAAGCTCACGCCAATGATCCCGTCTCCATAGCGGTCGAGGAGGTCTACGTGCGGCGTGATGCCGTCGCCGGGCCAGTAGAGGTTGAGGATCGCTTGTCGGGCGTAGGGCGTCGGCGGAGGAGGGAAGAGGAGAGCGTATTGCTCTGGAGGGAGGAGTGGGCGGAGGAGTGTGGACAAGGAGGAGAGAAGGGAGTTAAGTACAGGGGGCAGACCGCTACCACTGCCCAGCTGGGCGGACTCCCCTGCACGCTCGAAGAGCATGACCTGGTCAACATCAGGCGAGCGGAAGTACATCTGCATGCACGTCGCCATAACGTCCTCTGCAAGATCGTCCGGTATTCGTAGAGCAGGATCGAACAAGAGCCCAGGGATAGACGGCGCACTGCGACTGGCGAGTATGTTAGAGTCGCCTGTCGAATGCGCAGAGTTGAGAGTGGTGACCGACGATACGCGAGTTATGCTTGAGGGCACCAAAGGTATTTCACCAGTACAGTCATCGAGAGACGGGGCCTCTGACGAAGGCCCAAAGAGAGAGTCGACGTCCGAGTCCGATGAGGACTCCTGCGAGTACTCGGAGGGTGTCTCCTCCTCCGCCGTGGCCGCGTCAGCGAGCTTTTGAAGTATGGCAGTATCCGTGACAATGCTCAGCTGAATTGGGGCAGTCATGGAGGGCGGGGGTGCTGCTGTGTTGGCAGGCTTGCGTCTGACCGCTCGTCCTTGGCTTTCATCCTCGGCGGGAGGATGTTTGCGCTTGCCAGTGCTAGTCTGAAACCCATCCGGGATCATATAACAGATGAGAGGATCTCGTCGAAGTCCCGGCGCTGACAAGAACAGGAGCGGAATGGGATCCTCGGCGAAGATGGCAGTGCAACACCTGGGATGATGCACCGCGACAGTCACAGTGGTCCAAAGCCATGGACCCCGGAAAGGCGAATTACGTCAGCAATCCTTCGGCCACGCGCGCTTAGACCCAACACAGTTCATACTCGACTCCCAACGTCCTCCTCGTCGCCCTCGCAATGGAAGATACAACGCCTTCCGGTCGTCCCATCATTGACAGGGGAAAGGTGCGGTCCACTGAACTGACATGATCCGTGTGGCTGACAGTGCGTCATCACAGACGGCCCCGTTCCTCATCCGCACCTTCATCAAAATCGGCAGCTTCCACCGTGTTGCACAGTTCGAAGATGGCCCTATTCCAACAGCGGACGAGCACCAAATCTTTACATGGTTTGTCTTTTGCCTCTCTCTGACATGTTCTTGGGCTTACCATGTCTAATTCGTGTAGGAAGGATGCAACACTGCGCGAAGTGCTGACCACCCTCCGCGCAACTGCACCCGCCCTGCCCGAGATGCGGCATCCTCTCGCGCGCTACTCCTTCCGTACGCTCTACGCCGACAGTGCGACGCGCGGGCGACTGAATCAAAAAGACCTCGGCATCGTCTACTCGCGCGACATCCTTGGCGAGCCCGGCTCGCTGGCTGCACCCGCACCGCGCCTCCTCACTGATGAGGACGTCCCACCAGGCGACGACGAGCGTTCGCTCGATGAGCTTCGCTTCGTGCCCGGTGATTATCTTTGCGTCGCCGTCCTCCTCCCGAAGAACGCCACAATCCCGGGACCTGGCGGCGAGCTCGCCATCAAAGGCAGCGCTACGCCTGTGAGTGCTCCTGCAGCAAATGGCTGGAAGAGTGGTGCGAGAACGGACGGCGGTTGGGGAGGGGGTGCATCCGTTGCCGCTGGTCCACCAGGTGGGCTGGGAAGGGGCGGTGGACATTGGCGCGGCGGCTCAGACGCGCCCCCAGCTGGGCCGCGTGGTGGGCGTGGTGGACGCGGTGGGTTTGGTGGAAGGGACAGGGATGACGACAGGCGCGTGCCCCCTCCACGCCGAGACTCACCACCTCCGCCGAGGAGGGATACCCGGGGTGACCGTCGAGACAGACGGGGTGGCTCACGGTCGAGGAGTCCGCCGAGGCGGCGGTTGCGATATGACTGAGGTGTGCTGTATTCTATTCTGTTTTCTCGCAATTACATGTCGGGCTGCTCTGCTTCGTGCTGTCGTCAATCCACGTCGGTTATTATATGATCGTATGCTCGGTTCGACACAACTGATGTGCGTGAATTGTTCCGGGGGCAGCAAAATTCTCGATAGCAGCGAGAACGCGATTAAAGCACATTTCTAACGCACGATAGGTGATAGCTACATTGATTTACTGTGAATCTTCTCTCCCCCTCATGACGGATATCGGAACATCGGGTGCGGTCTGACTCTGAGTGCGCTCTAGCAGCCACCACGAAGGGCAAGCACGAGGTGCAGGACAGTGCCTGCCGTGATGTTAAAGTCCTTCGCCGTCTTGTCATCAGGCCTATAGAGATGAGTCAGCATAGTACATTCGTGCGTGTCTGGAGAGCTTGTAATACGCACATCTGTCTTCCACCATAGATCAGCCGTTGCTGCGGAGGGGGTACACCAGACTGCTCCTCGACCTTCTCCTTAATGCGCGTGATCTAAGCATCGGGTGTACGAGACATCAGCGGTGGCGGGAGGGGAGGGTGACGGCGACCCGCACCTTGTCATCAGGGTCGATATCGAGCTCGATCTGAGAACAAGTCGAGTCAGAGACCATCGTTATATTGAGGCGCGACAGGCTCCTGCCGTCGCGAACTGGCGATCAGCATACCTCCTTCCCAGTAAGAGTCTGCACGCGTGGGGCAGGGTGAGCGGGGCTACGGCAACGCAGACAATGTGAGAGGCGTACCTTCACTTTGATCAACATAATGGTTCAACGGCGCGCGGGACAGTGAGGAAGAGGGAGGAAGGTGGAGGAGAGAGAAGGATGGCTCGTGTGGCTCAAGGGCGACTGCTTCAGCGACAGAATGGCACCCCGAAATGGCAGGTGCTGCTTATTTACGCGGAGGCCAGGACACGCTTCCCGTGACCGTGCCCAAACGCGGGACGCGCTGCCGCCTGCGGCCTGCCATCAACCTACTTACCCGGACAATATCACGGATGACTCCCGCGCTCCTCTCTCACCTCGTTCATCGCCAGCGACCTTGCGGTGCTTGTACTGAGCTTATGCATCTCTGTGGCAGCACTGCACTCTCGCCTTGAATATGTCTGCCGCCAGGACCGCGCATTGGAAGAGCGTCGTCGACAATGCCAAGACCAATCTATCGCCGGAGCAGCTGGACAAGCTCGCGTACATTGCTGCATGGCACACTCGCGAGGGCGACTTTGCGGACTCAGTGCAGAGAAACTTGCGAATCACTGAATGCGGCACGTTCGTAAGACCTGAAGATGGGAAGACCCATGCACGGGTAGTGTATGAAACGACGGTCACTAAGGGTACGTGATTGAGAAACGCTGCAGACTGCGTTATGTGAACAAGGGTCTTATATGTACTCTGTTCTTAGATATGTGCAATGCGCACGACATGATGCATGGCGGATGCTCTGCTTACCTGGTCGACTGGTCAGTCTCTGGCGGCGGACGCTAGGCAGCTGCCACACTGCCCACTTGTTGTGAGCTTCATGGTCACTAAGATGTACCTTGTCTAGCTGTACGTCGATCGCACTTGTCGTGATGGGGCTTGCAACTGGCAGTCCTGTGGACTTGGTATCGCAGTCTTTGACTACGACGTATCATGCCGGAGCGAAACTGTAAGTTTGTCGCCTAGGTCGGTTCGGTCTTTGGTGCTCAATCAAAGTGGCGACAAGTTACAGATTTCAACATCACACTGCTTCTGGCAAACGTGCCGTAACTGCACGGGCAGAGGTGAGTCTGACGGCAATAGTTTTCACAAGACTTGACTATTCGTAGATCTGGGACCCAAACGACGAAGCGTCTAGCTGTCACTGGGAATCACGTCAAGATGGTGCCGAGCAAGTCTGACTTCAAGCTCTGAATGACATGCATTTTCGGAGGAGTCCCCATCCGGGAATTGTTCCCGTACTGCGCCCCGACCTGTATGCCGATTTTCTGACAATCTGGTTGACATCTTGCAAATATGTAATAGCAAATCCAAGCAGATCGCCGCGTATACGCAAGGATGACCCAACCGCAATACGTATCTTGCAAACGGGTGTGGTCGCGTACGCAGACGCACTAGTGTTGAGCTGCGTGAACGTCGACTACATATCGGCTTGTCATCTGTTTCATGAGGCCTGTGCTGGCTCGACGTATCATTGCTACTTGGCCATAGCATTTTCGGACACAAGACACGAAGGCATGAAATTTCTGAACGTTGTCCATGCATGATCGGCGAATTACCTTCACGTTCCTTTTTTCGGGCAAGCAGTCTGACAGAAATTGAACCCTTTCGGTAAATGCTAACGCTACACGTACAACAGAAATCTAGTGCTACATCCAGATCTACTTCGTCCTCGATGGTGCCCCAAGCGATGCCCAGCATCACGCATCATTGCCCCAGAATGCGAATCTTGTGCACCGCACCGACCACCCGATCCCCCCAGGACTTCGCCACTTTCCGTTTCCGCAGTGTGTGCACCGCGAGCTCGCCGTCAGTGATGTCTGACTCGGTGTCCACAGGTCCGAACAGCTCGGGCGCGGCCACCTTGGATAGTGGAAGGTGCAGCTCTGGAATGGACACCGTATCCGCGATGACCGCGTATTGCTCAGGGGTGACCGGCCCTCGCTATCCTCCGACTCCGACTCGGTGGACTGGGAGTATGCGGACGGTGCGGAGAATAATGAATCAGGGGTGACGTCGTCCGAACTGATCGGGATGCACGGAGGGCGTGAAGAAGGCGTGAATATTGCCCGGACCGACGCATCTGTGTCGGCCTCGGGCAGCGGCGGGGTGGGGAGGGGCCTGATCTCGACGAGCTCGAGGTCGCTCTCGCTCGATTCCGGACGGTCTTGGAGGACAACGTCCGTGATGTCGACGGAGTCGACCTTGGTGAGCTGGTGCTCGAGCTCGAAAACGAGCTCCTCTTCCTCGTTCAGGAAGAAGGTGTCGGCGTCGAGGATGGCGGTGCGCAGCTCGGGGAGGGTGATGCGATCACAGGGGTCCTGGGTGAAGATGCGGAGGAGGATGCGACGTGCGGCGGGGGACATGGGGAGCATGCGGCGAATGTAGCCGTCGGGATCTCGGGAGTATGCGATGAAGGCGGGGTCCTCGAGTGCGCACGCGATGGTCCACGGGTTGCGCCCAGTGATCATGTTGGTGAGGATGACGCCGAGTGACCAGATGTCGGAGACGGCGTTGAGGAATGGTATCCCTCGAGAGGCACGGCCGATGCATTCTGCAATTATAAGACAGTGTGAGTCGCTTCGTACGACAATTCAGATTCATAGAGGTGCTCACCTGGGCTAATGTAGAAAGAGCTTCCGCATCCGAATGCGGAGCTGACGCGGGTGGTTGTCGCGAGCCCGAAATCAGAGACGAAGACCTCGTCGAGGTCTGCAGAGCAAAGGACGTTCTCGGGCTTCAAGTCCGGTGAAAGATGCCCATACGGTGGCAGTGGTGGACAGCGTCCAGAATTTGGAGGAAAATGTGTTTGACACGATCGTCTCGCTTTTTGAAGACGCCGTGATCGATGATGGCGCTGAACAAGTCGCCGCCAGGGCAGTAGTCGAGCAGAAGGAAAATGAAGTCCGTCTCCTCGATGACTTGATGAAGCTTCAAGACGTTCGGGTGACTGCAGACCGCCTTGTGATAGGCGATCTCGCGTTGCTGAAGGCAGAAGTACTCGGAGTCCTCGGGATGCCTGAGCAGGCATTTCACCGCGAAGTAGGCAGGTGCAGCAAGGGATGAGTTGAGGTCAAGTGCGCGGTATACGACGCCGTAGGCGCCATGTCCCAGAGGCTCGAGAAGTTGCAGCCGTAGGTGTCCAGCGGCTATGACTTTGCCGGAGAAAGAAGGGAGGATGGCGCTGAAGTGCACCATGGCTGGGGAGGGGTATTGTCGAAGGGGAGGGAATCGTGAGCGGAGGGCGTCGCACGCAAGAAAGTGCTTCTGTGTGTCGCTATCATCGCTGCGAAATGGCTGGGGTTTTATATTGGAAGTGTCCGAACGGTATCGGATTGCGACGGCGTCGGGCAAGTCGCTGGCAAGAGAGGATGTCGGGTATGGGACTTGGTATAGCCCCACCATAACAGGACCCGTATCCGCTCTTCCGCCCCCCAATTAGGAAATATGGGGAACCCAGCCAGGCCTACCCATGCAGATCCTACGGTGCACGGCGTTCAAACCGGACCCGTTCCTGCACTCCGCACTGCAGTTGACCTGTGGTGCTGAAGGGACAAGCTGGACGGATGGAACGGCGAGGCCGCTGCACACGGATAACTGCGCGGACGACTTACGAACATCCGTCTGTCGGTCATGCACATGAAATGCTTCCGAGTCGATGCAAGCCCCCTTGCTGGCCCCGTTCAAGAAGCCGGCACAGCAGATCATGACCGTATTCTGCCAGTGCATAGAGCTGAGCAGCGCAGTGCTAGAGGACACGAGCCTGGAAGGGCGTGCCTACCCAGGTCGAGAACGTGACAGAGGCTGTCGCGGCTCGAGCAAAGAGCGCGGCGGAAGCAAACACGACAGCTGCCTTTTTCGGCCTGGCCCGCTCTTGGGGACCTCGCCACTGTGCCTTCAGCCACCAGATCTTCCGACTTCCGCGGACACGGACCCGGAGTCGGTGGCGTGTTCGAGTTCAAGTATCCACTGCCAGGCCGCCTGTTGTGCTCGACACAATCGGCTCGGTTCGCTAGAGCTTCGGAAAGGCGGACTTAGCTTCATGATCTCATGCGTTGCCAAGCGTGTCGTAGATGCCTGGCCCCTGGGAGATGCCGTGCACCTTCTAAGTCATAATGCTGTAGACGCGTCCGAGTCGACTCAAACTTGTTGTCGAGCGTAGTGTTTGTTGCACCTGTCATGTCCGGCCACAACGGGTCGGTGGCCTAGCGTCTTCGGAAATAATTACGCTGCGACCTCGCTGGCTGTTATGCTTACATACGTTTGTTCAAGAGTCGAAGAGAACCATGAGTAAATGAGCGCCCAGACAGTTGGGAGCCTACGTTCACACCACCGGGAGCTGCCTCGCACGTGGAATGGAAGTCTGCTACGCCTGGCGATACCTAAAGGGTACGGCTCACTTGGCGAGAGGTATTTAACGTTACCGCTCGTGCTTGTCAGTGTGCTACGCGTCTCCCCCAACTCACCTCGCAGCATGGATTTTATCTCAAAAGTGCGCCGGCTTCCTCCTGCTCCCCCTCCGAATGACAACCCCGCGTCAATCAAAGGGAACCTTGCGTTGGAGAAGAAGCAGCTGTCTGTTAATATTTTGGCGTGGCATATCGCGAACTTTCCAGACAGTCGTGTTTTTGGCCATGCCGAACTCAAGGATCTGAGGCTGGTTGAGACCCATGTGTGGAAAAACAACATGGGCGAGAACGTAGAGTTGCTCGAGGAGACCATATCACCTGTCGATGCCCGTCAGCACTCCTTACAAGGACAGACAGTCTGTGAAGTCACCGTGACTGAAGGTGTGTTGCAACATTTGATTGGAGAGATGCCGCACCATAGCAGAATTGATCACAACGATAGAGATGCTAAATGTACATGGTACACTTGCTGGTGGTTGCTCGGCGCATCTTATCGACATGTACGTATTCGCGGAATGTTTTGATACCTGACGGCTCATCCGTGTCGCACAGTGGGACGTTCTCATCCCTTCTTACTCTCTCCATGGTGACTGGTACCGACTACACCGGTGTGTCGACGTCGTTAAACATTACCTATCACGCACCTGCAAAGCCGTGAGTCTCCTCCGTCCATAACGGACATATGAGGTGACGCGGTCTTAACGACAGGGGCGCCGAGCTTCGAATGGTAAGCACGAGCATATCAACCAGTGGCCGCGTCGTGGCCGCTCGCGCAGAAGTAGGTTTATATAGTTCTCTTCTCAGACGCACATGCATTGACATCTGGCCCATTGCAGGTATATGACAAGAGAACGTCTAAGTTACTCGTCTCCGCCGTGCACACGATCGCTCCCTTTCAAACTGCTCAAACTCAAAATAAGCCATCAAGAAGAGACAACTCGAAGGCGAGGCTCTGAAATAACTTTCGACGCGGTACGGATTGCCGCGGTCGCATTTCTATCTCACCAGTACATGATTCCGTCCTCGATTGCATTCTGTATACAACCCTGATCTAGTAAGTCTAGTTCTGCCAATACAGGCGTCGGTCGCGATCAAGCATCCAGAGTGCGAAGGTACTCCTGTAGTTTCACTAGGGCTCGATATCGGTGGGAGATTTTGTTCTTCACCACAGCGCTCATCTCAGCATACCTACCCATCAATCAGTTTTACGTTCTCATTGAATGTGGACACGGTACATACGTCTGATCAAAACTCGATGGCTCAAAGACTGGGTCCCAACCGAACTTCTTTTCGCCCCTTGCAGGAACGATGCGGCCGTCTGTCCGACCTTCGAACAGGATGGGCTCCGTTCCTGGTCCAGCGCTGTATGCGAAGGTGCAGACAGCCCATGCGTTGGTGGTTGGGAATCCGACGAGCAGCTTGTTCAGGCCTCCTCGGAGTGAGTTTGTAGATCTATGCAAGGCCGATGCGGAGACGCACCGTCATGTCCGATCTCCTTCATGAAGTACTTGATGTATGGCCCTGGCAGTCCATTAAGTGCCTCGAAGCACAGCGCAGTGTCTTCGGTGATGCACGGTCCGCCAAGCAGTTCAGCTGCGCGTTTGCATTTGGCGATAGCAACTTCCTGAGTACTGCCTTGTACTTCGGGGACTGTGGAGAATGCGATCCGTCGATCAGTTGATCAGGAGGAATGAGCCTGTCAGTGTGTCTACTTGCTGTCGAGTTCCTGGGAATCGATCTCTACGCCTGACTGAGCAAGGATGGCGCGAACTTCCTTAAGCTTGTTCGCGTTGCCTGTTACGAAGACTGGCGACAACCTCAGACTGCCTGTATGTCAATTGTTGCATCTGACTTACTGAGGCGTTTAGAGGCCATTACCCAGCTGGTCGTGGTGTCGAGGTTCTCTCCGGCCTTAGAAGCAGCCCTCCGGTCTTCTTTATGTGCAAACAGCGATAGACTTTTGCGTCACGGTGACTCGAAGGCTTCTTGGCTTCTGCCCTAGTGCCACTTCGGACGCGATGAGTCCTTGGGCGTCAATGAGCAGGGTCTCTCTAATGGGCTTCCGTGAAGAATAAGTAACGTTCAAACTCAGATAAGCAAACCTTACAAAGCGAAACGACCTGCCCTGAACCAGCGTAACCGGTCGTCGAGACGCGTGCCACAGTACTGTACATTGTCTCTACGTCTCGCTCGTCGCGTCCATCACCGTACTAATGGCCCGGAAAGTCGCCTCACCGGTGAGCGACGGCTCTCAGAAGGAGAACACGCCCAAGGGCAAGGCAAAGGCGCGTGCCGAGATAGCAAAAAAGGAGAAGACAGCTAGAATGGCGCGTGGCTCTGCTGCGCGACGCGTAGAAGAGGAACCAGAAGAGGATGACCGAGACGAGGAGGAAGGACAGGATGAAGATGGTGAGGCGGAGAGGAGGGTGAGGAAGGCGCGGAGGAGGAGGGCGCGTCTCCGCATGGTCGAAAGCGCGTCCGTTTGAACGCGGAGGGCGACTCGGCGCCCGCGGAAGCGGTGAAGCCAGAGCGAATGAAGACGTTGCCGCGAGATGAGGATGGGTGAGTCTTCTTGCATGCTTCCTAACCAGGCAGAGGTACTTCACTTACGCATGCACCGCGTAGATTCATCCCCGGGTCCATTGTTCGCATCAAGCTCGAGAACTTCGTTACTTATGATGCTGTTGAGTTCCGCCCCGGCCCATACCTGAACATGATATTTGGCCCCAACGGAACCGGGAAGAGTACCATTGCCTGTGCTATATGCCTTGGTCTCAACTTTCCGCCCTCAGTACGTTGACAGAGACCGTAGCCAACAAATAGGCGCTGACGGCTACGTTAGGTACTTGGTCGCGCCACAGACCTAAACTCATTCGTTAAGATTGGCACGGAGGCTGGTTACATTGAGATCGAGCTGAAGGGTGCGACTGGCAAGCCGAACCTTGTTGTCAAGCGTACCCTAAGTGCGAAGGCGAAGGCCTCCTCCTTCTTCCTTAACGGCCAGGCCGCAACAGGCCGGGAGGTTAACAACCGTATGACGGAGCTGAACGTGCAGGTTTCTAACCTTTGGTAAGTGCAGATTGTATACTGCTTGACAGGACTTCAACTAACTCATTTTCTAGCACGTTCCTTCCTCAAGACAAGGTTTCTGAGTTCGCGCACATGACCCCTCAGCAGCTACTTCGGGAGACGCAGCGTGCCGCCGGCAATGCTGGCCTAACCGCCTGGCATGATACTCTCATCAGCGCTGGGAAGGATTTGAAGGGTATCACGGAGGCAAGCTTCGCCACCCTTGATAAACCCGGCACGCTCACAAACTCGCCCTTCATAGGTATTGAATGGCGACCGAGACCAGCTCAAGACTCTAGAAGAGAGAAACGCGAACTTAGAGCGAGATGTTCGTCGTTACGAGGAGCGCCAACAAATCGAGCGTGATGTAAGGCACCGGTGTCTGTGAAGGCACTCTGAATTGACATTTGTCCATAGATCGAGTTGCTGGAGCTTATCCTGCCGTTCAAGGAGTACACCGAAGCCAAGGCACTCTACCAGGAAACCAAGGAAGGCAATAGGAAGGCGCTCGAACGATTCCAGAAGCTGCAGGCGCGCAACGCCCCTATCCTAGATCGAAGGAGGTACTAGACCCAATTCACACTCCTGAAGATGGAATAGACATTGAGACATCGTTTACAGGGCCATAGAACGTGAGTTGACTGAGAAAGAGAGGGCCCGCGAGGCAAAGAAGACTGCGTCCAAGAAAAAGTTCGAGACAATGCTAAACGGATGCAAGACAATGATGGTCTGGTTCGTACTCATTTCACGTACAAACTTCACACGATTCACGTTCTGCACAACTATTCCAGGAAACCATGGCCGAGGATCTGAAGAATCGGCTTGAGCGCATCAAGTCGTCGGAGAAGACACGCAAGAAAGAAATAGAGAGGCTTGAGAGGTCCGTCGCTGCCGCTCGGGAGGCACTGGCCAATCCTCCCGAGCGTGAGGATATAGTCAAGCTCAGAGAGGAACGCGTAAGTCAGCAGACGCAGCTATTTTGTTCACTGACATAATGGTGCGTGATCGTTGTAGAGGCGCATTGAGATTGAGCAGCGAAAGTTGCATGATCGCATAACGGACCTACAGGCGAAGCAGCGCGCGAACGTCGAGGAAGAGTCTAGAGCTACTCATGTCATCAATCAGCACACGGGATAGTGAGTAGGATTTTGAGTGTTATTCTTCTCAGCGCGTGTTTAACTTTTTTTTTTTGGCAAAGCCTGAAACAGCTGGACGACGTGTCACATAGGAAGTTAGAAAGTCTCTCGAAGTGGGACCGTGACTGTGGTGATGCTGTACGTTGGTTGCGGCAGAATCAGCAAAAGTTCAAGATGGAAGTGTTCGAGCCTCCTATGTTGTCTTGCACGGTGCCGGACAACAGATTTGTGAATGCTGTTGAAGCTTGCTTCGGTGCAAGTCAGTTAAAGGTGAGCCACATCTCTGGCCACAAACCTTCTACTTGATGCTCATCGTATTCAGACCTTCGTTGCGCAATGCGAAGATGACTATGCGTTACTGAATCGACTCCTGATTGATACGCCAGAGGCTCTCGGCAGGTCGACTCGTATTCATACCTGGTACAGACACCAAGCCGGGCCAGCCCCACCCCCACCCATGAGTCAAGCAGAGGTAAGTCATATTTCGAAAGATCTGCCGTTGATTGTAGCCGACTGTGACGTTGTTTTTTAATCGCAGATGCACCAAATTGGTTTCGACGGATACGCGCTTGACTTTATCCAATGTCCCGATGGTATGCGCTGGTTCCTGGAGAACATGCAGTTGCATAAGACTGTGAGGCCTTGTCCCACTGTGCATAGTGGACGTTTATCTCACTCAACGCATAGGCAATTGCCCTGAGCCCGACAGTCAATGGCAACCTTGCCATGGAGCTCGTTACAAGACAAGGGGGTGGAAAGTACATCATTGGGAGTGTCATGAACTCCGTGACTCGTTCACGCTATGGCAAACGCCTTCCGCTCAATCAGACGAGCGGTATTAGACAGGCTCGGAACCTTGTCTCCCAGGCCGGTAAGCCTCTGCTCGACATTCTGCTACACGTCAGTGATACCCATGGATTCGTACAGTGGACGAGACCGAGAAGCGTAGGCTCGAGAAGGGCATCAAGGAGGCGCGAATGAAGTACGACATGTGCAAGGAGGAAGCTGAGCAACTTGGCAAGGTGGACGCTGCCATCCGGGCAGAGGGAAAGAGCTTTAAAGAAGAGCTGGTACGTTTGATACTACTGTTCCATCAGCCACGTTTGACATCAAGACAGGCCAAATTGGATGAGCGCAAGAAGACCGTTGAAGAAATCGAGAAGAAGCTGACTAGCCTTCAGCTCCGCATCGGTATGTTTTGCCGTGGCTTTCTACTGCCGATGTGCTAAACACTTACAGGTCGGGAGGAGGGAAAGCTGAAGGAACACCAGAATGCACCTCCCGTCGATGTGGAACGCGCACGGTTAAGAGCTGAGATCTTGACCAATGCCAAGAAGCGGATGGACATCGTGGTAGAGTACGCCGTAAGTCCTCATCAACCCCTGCAGTTTGGCAACCGCCGTAACGATCTACTAGCGTCTCATGCTGGCGACTAAGCAAGACCAGTTGGCAGCAACATGTCTTGGACTTGAGGCTGCTCAGATCGCATCAAACAAGGCTGCCTTGGAAGAACTGGTCAAGGAGAAGGAAGAAGAGGTAGCCAAGGCCAAAGCTGATTTCCAAGATGGTACGTCATGCTGTTCGAGTAGGTCTCGAGTAGCATGCTAAACGCCCTCGAAGTGCATCACCGATACGAGGTCGCCAAGGAGGACTCCAAAGCTAAGCTGCAGGTCAGCAAAGCCAAGCTCGCGTCAGTTGGCGACGACACGCGTGAGCGGTTCCGTGTCATGGAAGAGGTGAGCGCTTCGCATCGGACATCGGACAACGATCTGACCATGAACAGAGCGGAGAAGTCGCGGACAAATCTGCCGACGATATTGAAACGGAGTTGGAAGCCAAGCGCGCTCAGCTGGAGATGAACATGCACACGAACGCCGGTGTCGTTGAGCAGTTCAAGAAGCGCCAGCAGGAGGTATGTGACCGTGTCGCAGAATTGTGGGCGCGCTCTCACTAAAGTTACGATCAGATTGAAGCCTTGACAGAGAAGATCAAAGATCGAGAGAAGAGGGCCGATCGCATTGCGCGTTCGATCAAGACTGCTAGAGAAAATTGGCAACCCGCATTGGAGGAACTAGTGGCCAGTATTGGCAAGAAGTTCTCGGCGGCTTTTGATCGTAAGTAGTGATCGCATATACTGTGTGCCACCCGGATTCACGCCTTTCGTAGGTCTTGGATGTGCCGGCGAAGTCCGAATTCGCGAGCACGACGACTTCGACAAGTGGGCAATCGACATCCTTGTCAAGTTCCGAGACGACGAGAAGCTGCAGCTGCTAACCGGCGAGCGCCAGTCGGGAGGGGTCAGTGCTTTCGTCTCCTGGCTGTATTTTACCTCAACTGAGAGCGTGACATTATAGGAGCGTTCGCTCACAACCATCCTGTATTTGATGAGCTTGACTGAAGAGGCTCGGGCCCCATTCTCCTTGGTAGACGAGATCAACCAGGGTATGGACCAACGTGCCGAGAGGGCCGTCCACAACTCTCTCGTCGAGGTGACCTGCAAGGCCGACAGCGGGCAATACTTCCTCATCACGCCGAAACTCCTGCCGGACCTCGAGTACGCAGAACGCATGAAGGTCTTGTGTGTGAACAACGGAGAGTGGCTTCCCGAGGAAACTGGTATAGGCAATATGATGAACATGATCAACACGTATGTGCAGCATCAGACGCGTTCAAATGCCTCTATGTGATCGTCATCCTCGTACATGCCTGTTGTCTATTGCCTAACTTATGATCATGCTCGTTCCGCGGTTGATTAGAGATCTTGATACATAATGACGATGCTACATCTTGGTGCTGATGACAGTTACCCATAATGCTACCGTATGATACTTGTCTTTTCATTTACGTTTATATAGACTGCAATTATTACTGTGATGAACGACCCCGTGTCCCGACGCTAAACCTATTGCCAGGTTACTGGAGTGACGGTGTGGCATAATTTCAAGGCGCCCAGTATGTAATCACTTCCGTAAACGGAACCCCTTGCTATGATCACAGATCGACTATGCGATCGGTCAGCGAACCGGACGTTGCCGGACACACTCTTTCAGATTCTTCGATCGAGCAAAATGAGCGTACAGGCCATCGAGAGGGCTTTGCTCACCGGAAAATGGGAAGGCATACCGCAGGATACGTCCTTTGCCGATGCTGCGGACATCGCGAAACAGTCGTCGAGGGAAATTTCCGTGCGCCCCTCACGTCATCCCGTGCCCGAGAGTTATTCTCGATTAGCAGGAGGGCGACGGCCTCGAAGACAAACCCATAGATGAGTGGTTCAGCTTCACAATCTCCGCACAGAACGTCTCCGCAGAACAGGAGATCATTCGACTGGCTGTAGCGGTCGCATGCTTGCACTCATTTGTGCAGGCGAATTGGACTGGTCCGGATTTGGACTTCCAAGTCTCGGATGTAATTCCACTGCCCAAAAATACGCAGCCCACCGAAGTTGGTTCTCTGTTACATAGGAAGGCAGTAACGGAGCTCGCACATGGAGGAGAACCGGCGTACCATCTGGCCGACGTACCTCTGTTTCTCAGAGTCGCAAAATTGCTCCTGGAGCTTCCGTACGATCACTGCCCATCTGTTGTGTGGTGGAGATTACGGGCCTGGCTCGTACATCAACAGGTTCTTGACGAGCCTACTGCCGTGCCCGCCGACCTTCTGTCGTCTGTGGAACCCCTTTTGCAGTCCTTCGCCTCGCATCCCGACCTCGCCGGGCGCCTTATCCTCGAACAAGGTTTGTTGGAACACCATCTCGGACATGACAAATCGGCGGCGGATTATTTCATCCGCGCAGCTCGGGCGACGCAACTGGAGTACGAGCTCACAGGCGCCCTCGGGAAGCGAACAAAATTCAACAAACCGACGTTACGCAACTTGTCCTATTGGCCGAGTCGCGCAACAGAGACGATGATACTACCGACACCGAACAGAGTAAGACAACAGCCGCACAGACCACCGGCACTACTGAGCAAGCCGGTGCCGTCGCTTCTCTGACTACTCGCATACCTGAAACGTTGGCCCTCAATGATGACACGTTGCTCGAGCAGACCGAATTCACATCATCCTCGGCCTCGGAACCCGGCTCACGGCTTGCACACCTCAATCCTTCGTCTCAACCAGCTCTACATCCCCTCGATCAAAGTATCCTACTCGCGCTATGCCTCAATGTTAGGAACACTTCGCCCTCGCACGGTCTCACTGCCGAGCAGATGAAACCGTACGTCAATCGCGTCATTTCTCATCCCAAGAACTGGTCAGTGCATACAATAGCCCTCTCTTACGCTCCCGCCTCGAAGCCCACCGCACACGTACCGTCGAGAGATCCACACTCCAGCTCCAGGCACTGGTTGACCAAATGCCCACCGCGGATTCGACCGTCTCCGAGCGGCTGCTCTACTTCCATTCCATCCCTCTACCGAGCAAGTGGGAGATGGAGAAGGAGCTCGCGCTGCGCTACCTCTCGCTGGGCGTCGTGAAATCCGCGCTCGAAATTTTCGAGCGCCTCGAGATGTGGGAGGAGGTCGTAAAATGCTGGCAGAGCATGGAGCGGCGCGAGCGCGGCATCGCCATCGTCCGCGATCTCTTAGAAGGCAGAAAGGCTGAGGCGGACACGGTCATTGCACGCGAGAAGGTGTCTGCTCAGGGACGGAGGCAGACGTTGGACGCCATGCGCGAGGCCAAGCTCTGGTGTCTGCTGGGCGATCTGGAGCCTGAAAACGCGTTGGACCATTACAACAAGGCTTGGGGCATCTCCAAGGACACCTCGGGAAGAGCCATGCGCTCGCTGGGCGGGTATTACTTCGCTCGCGCAGACTACCCGAATTCAATTACCTGTTTGCGTAAGGCGGTGGCAATAAACCCGCTCCTTGGCCGATCGTGGTTCATCCTTGGCTGCTCGTACGTCCGTGTCGAGGACTGGGAGGGCGCCGAGAGTCCTTCACTCGCTGCGTTACTCTCGATGACGAGGATGGCGAGAGCTGGAATAATCTTGCGAGCATTTACCTCCGCATGGGCGAGGCGGGTAAAAGAATTGAAATGGAGGATAGCGAAGTAAGCCGAGTCTCTCTCACCTGGTTACGTTACATTGATCGAGTTTGCGTAACAGGAGGTAAAAACCGGGGACCTAGTGTACAGCGACGAGACGAGCAAGAGCATACCGTTCAGCAATAAGATGCTGGCCTTCCGCGCGCTGAAGCAGGGGTTGAAATTCGCCTATGACAATTGGCGGATGTGGTCCAACTACATGATCGTGGCGATGGACGTCGGCGAGCTGTCGGAAGCGTGCCGGGCCCTCGGCCGCATCGTCGAGAGCGCAGCACCAAGGACGGCGCAGAGTCCGTGGACGCGGACGTACTCGACCGCCTGGTCGACGCCGTTACGAGGGCACCAGCGAACCCAGACGACGCCGTGGAGGGCAGCGGCTCCGGTGGCCAGGCAGTGCTGAATCCAAATGAGGGTCACGGGCTTCTGAGGCGTGTTAACGACCTCTTCGAACGGACGATCCTCCCGCGTGTTTCCTCGCCGCGAATTTTCCGCGCCCGCGCCCGTCTGCTGACTTGGCAGGGTCGGTGGGAGGAGGCTCTGAATGCGTACATGGACGCCTATCGATGCAGCAACGCCGGGACGATGGAGAAGGCGAGACGGATGTGCAGAAGTGGCGCGAGGCGGTAGGGGAGGTGGAGGAGATGGTGGACGTCCTGCGAAACTTCGGCCCCCGGGCTGAGGGCTTCAAGTGGAAGCTGCAGGCGAGGAGCATCCTGCGGACGTTCATGGGGCGGACGAAGGACTTCGAAGATGAGCCGCAGTGGTCTCGGCTCATCGAATCGCTGGAAGAAATCCGAAAGGAGGAGTAGGGGTGGCCTGCCGGTGATAGAGAATCGGAAGCATTGTAAGATGAGGTCGGCAGCGGTGTTCGTTGGGGTCGTGTACGTAGGACGTAGGGCCGTTCGTAGAAGGAAACAACTTGCCACCGCGCCTTGGACCACTGCGATAAACGACGGGAGCATTGCGCGGTAGCGAACTGCCAATTTGGTTATTCCTGGTACGGGTTGGGCCGTTCAGTTCACGATTCTGTTCATCTCCACTGCGCACGGATCACGAAATACGTATAGCGAGGGACATTAGGCGGCGCGTGTGGCAAGGTTCGTGGTCTGGAGATGCAGGCGCGTAGTCACCAATTCATTATCATCGCAATGCGGTTGAGGGTCAAGGTCGTCACGAGTTCGGTGGCTATGGAGAGCGCTGAATGTTTAATGGTTAACCGCGCATGGAACGGGTCTTCGAGCTGGCTTGTTTCCCATAGGGCCACCGTGCTTCCCTTACTATCTAGGCACTGCGTGGCACGTAAACTCAGGTGCGACGAGATCGCCGGAGCTTATGCCACGTACCTCTAGTCGCTGAGGGGTGACCTTCCACTTGAATTCTTTACCGTTCTGCGCTATGAAATAGCGTGAGCTATTGAGGGAAATGAATACTCGTAAGCTTCCGAGAGCCGGTGAGAACGGAGTGTTGTTCATACGGGCTGTTGTCTCTCTTCTGCCGTCGCGCGTTTGCCATCGACTGTGGTGGGCTGTTCCCGTATACGAGGTAGCCCGGTGCGCGGTTAGGACCAAAATAGAAATACGAATTGCTGGGCCCCATGATGTCCGGATGCTGCTGGGTCCAGGGCTTCTCGCGCGTGAGTCTCATTATGAGGTTTGGGTCCTCCTCAATCTGCGCGAACGTTAGACAGCCCGAGATGGGGCGGTTCAACTGGCGTACCATTGCCCTACATAGTCGCTGATTAATGAGGATTATAATTGCGACTGGGGCAACCAAGACACACACACTGTGAAGGCGAGTCTGCTCTCAAGGTCTTCGAAGCGGGCATTCCAGGGATCCGCGCTGAACTGGAGGAGGGTGTAGACGGTCGAGGACATGCGGGCGGGGAGGAGGATAAGCTCTGGGCGAGCTGGAGGGATTATTATTGCCTTCGCGCTGCGTATCATCATCGAGTCTGCAAAACAATGCATGCCGTTTTGGGAGCAATGCCAGCCACCGCCTCAGTTGGCCTGGTTCGTCATCGAAGCCCACGTGCGGGCCACGAGCCGTGCATCGCGGCTATCCATTGGCCGGCGTGTGCTGGGCCCATCATCCTTGGACCTTCCGGAAGAATGCTTGATCGTGAAACAATCAATCCGCGCTTCCGGTCCCCACGCTCTCACTCAACCATCCAAGCGCAGGCTACCCAACGCGCCCCGTCCCAACTCCATTCACACCCCAGAAGCACCCCTCGTCGTACCGCGGGGTGGACTTCACCACCAGATCACATCCAGACACGCGTATGTCCGAAGGGAATGCTGCAGAGGCGTCTTCCGAGCATCTCCACAAGATAGGACCATGGGGCACCGCAAACCCGGTGCGACTTACCTGCATTGGCCGTCCTAACGGCGGGTGCGACACAACAGGACGCACCAATTTGCAAGTCGGGCGGTACGAGAAGCACTTACACGCTGCAGCGGACCACATACACGCACCGCGGGCTTGCCTCCAAAGTTGTGGAAACGACTCATAGAACAGGAGCAGGGGCGGTCGATGGGCGCCATCACTCTGAGACTCGGGGTGACAGATCGTGTACATACGATCACATACCTGTGCACTGGAAAGAAGACACCTGTACAGCCAGGGTCGCGACGTCGAACACGCGAGCTTCATCTCGTGCGACGTAGTTTAGGCACAGTACACATGGCATATGAAGGGGCCGCAGCCCGAAGACCGGTCGGACAAACCGAAAGATCAGGCCACAAGAAGCTGCCATCCTGCTAGAGTTCACCTTCTGTTGGGTGGCGCCACAGATACGGACACCACGCTGTGCATCGCCGGTGACTCGTGCAAGTGCCTGCCGTATGCCTGTGATCATCCACATGAGCAAGGATTGCAAAAACCAACGGTGGGCACCTGAGCGTGGCCGGACCGGAGAAGACACGAGTAAGAAAACGTACGACTGCAACAGGCGACTCCGCTGGGAACAGGGTGCAGCGGGATTAATCGTAGACTGGGTAAAGCGTAAAGTGAACGCCACATCACTGATTACCGGTAGGACTTACCGTGCACAACGCCTGCGTCAAACAACAGGGGATGAACGAGAAGATAGCAACGAAGTTTCGGTGCCGACATACCGTAGAATAGCGTCCACACCAGGATGAATGAAGAGATGTTCTCCTGACCGGGGTTTACTAGCTCCCACCAGCCTCCGGGAATGTACTTCGCCGGTCGTCCCTTGCACTTGACGTACAAACACGCGGAGGTCAGCAGCGTTGCGAGGATGAAGAGCGCGAAGCCGAGGGTGTTCTCGAGGCCGAGGACGCCTGCGACGGCGCCGGCGAAGCACGACGAGAGGAACTTGATGGAGTAGACGCGAGAGGCGTTGTACTGCACGTTCGGGGGGAAGAGCAGCTGAGCCTGCTGGTCGGCGGCAGACATGGTCGTGGTAGGGTGCCGGACACTCACACAGTGTGACTCACACCACCAGCGCGTCGCATCCGCCACCGTGACAGGGCGCGCAGTGCCTGTCACACTTTGTCTTGCGGGTCACTCGGCGTCACGGCGCAGGGCGGTCGTGTGACGGGACGTGCTGACTCCTGGACGGATTTGATCAGACTCTGACCCAAGGGTTGCCTTGCTCTGACCTCGTCGGACCCGTCACTCGCCCTCCGCCGGGCCAACCGCAGGCCCCCTTCTACTCGTCCTCGCCGACATGCACGAAGGCCGCAAGATCAACGTCGGTGTGCTCGGCGCAACTGGCACCGTCGGCCAGCGCTTCATTGCGCTCCTCTCCGAGCACCCGTTCTTCGTCCTCCATGCGCTGGGCGCATCCCAGCGATCCGCGGGCAAGCCGTACGCACGCGCGGTCACCTGGAAGCAGACCAAATACATTCCGGCCATCGTGAGGGAGACGATCGTCCAGGAGTGCAAGCCGGAGTGCTTCAGCGGGTGCGAGATCGTGTTTTCAGGCTTAGACGCTGATGTTGCTGGTCCGATCGGTAAGTCCGCTGCTGGTGCGAGGATTCTGCGAGATACGACAGCTAATGTGACCGGTTCTACGTCTTTGCAGAGGAGGCGTTCCGTCGCGCAGAGTTCGCCGTCTTCTCGAACGCGAAGAACCACAGACGGGACCCCAATGTGCCTCTCATCGTACCTCTCGTCAATGCCAACCACTTCTCCATGATCCAGCAACAGCGCGCGCTGCACAATCCACCCTTACACAAAGGCTTCATTGTCACCAACGCAAACTGCTCAACGACGGGCGTAGTGATCCCCCTCGCTGCCCTCGAAAAAGCTTTCGGCCCGCTCGAATCATGCATGATCACAACCATGCAGGCGATCTCCGGCGCAGGTTACCCCGGCGTGCCCAGCCTCGACATCATCGACAACGTCGTGCCCTACATCGGCGGCGAGGAGGAGAAGATGGAGTGGGAGACGCTCAAAATCCTCGGCGGGATCGCGGAGGGCGAGGACGGCCGTAAAATGTTCGACATGCACGCGCGGCAGCCTCTGCGCGTGTCGGCGCAGTGCAACCGCGTCCCCGTCATCGAGGGCCACACGGAGTGCGTCTCCGTGCGCTTCGCGCGGAGACCGCCGCCGAGCCCGCAGCAAGTGCGCGAGGCCCTGCAGGCCTACACGTCCGACGCGTGGACGATGTCGTGCCCGTCCGCGCCGCGGCATACTATCTTCGTGCATGAGGAGCCGGACCGGCCACAGCCCCGGCTGGACCGCGACTACCAGGCCGGCGCGGGCGTGAACGTCGGGCGTGTGCGCCAGTGCCCGGTGCTCGACATCAAGTTCGTCGTGCTCGCGAATAACGTCGCGATCGGCGCGGCGACGAGCAGCATCGTGAACGCCGAGATTGCGGTGTGCAAGGGCGTCATCTAGGGCGGTTTGGTCAAAGACGATTATAGACTGAAAAGCCAAGTACATGTACCATTAATGTCGGGCTCTAGATAACATCTACTACACAAGCCATGTAACACCCGAACCCTACGTACACACACCGTTTGAACAATCTGTATAGCTGCTCGAAGTGTGCTTGCGAAATCGGCGCGATACTGTCATTGCGCACTCGCTTGCAAATCTCTGAGCCTGTGCTTGATGGGAGAAAGGTCGCGCGCGACGCGGATACACGCGTTCAGGTGATCGCGTCTCGGACCGTGTCTCAGAGCATCTTCTGCCGCAAACGCCCTCGACTCCCAAGCTCCTCCCTCCATCGCCTCCCTGACAGTTAGGCTCACCGTTCCTGACGAGCGGCGAAAAACTGTCTCACATCTCTTGACCCCGAACTCTCTCCTACAATTTGCATGATGGTCGAATCCGGACCCTCGACGTCCGCGGCCTCGACGTCCAAAGCAGACCAGGACGCCCTGCGCGCGGCGACCTTCCAGCGACTCCATCCAAAAGTCTATCTTGAGCGGTTCCTCGCGGAGAACGTGCGCCCGGATGGCAGAGAGCTCGGCGGCTGGCGAGAGGTCTCGGTGAACGTAGGTTGGTGCAGGCGTTCCCTCCGTGCGGGGTTGTCTCGAGTGTGTGCATATGCTCACTTGTGACACGTCCGCGAACGAAACAGGGTCGATATCCACCGCAGATGGCTCTGCATTAGTGAGATTGGGGAAGACAACCGTTGTATGCGGAGTCAAAGCCGAGATTGCGGAGCCTGAGCTGGATAGCCCAGAGGATGGCTTTCTAGGTGAGCGTGCATCCCGTAGAGCTAGAGTTGTAAAGTAAACTCGTGTGCGTGTGTGCAAGTTCCCAACCTAGACCTTCCTGCGATATGCCATCCGAGGTTCAAGCCGGGCCCGCCCACGGAGGAGGCCCAGGTGCTCTCTGACAGACTAAACGAAGTGCTCGTTACGTTCGTACTCACTCGGCCTACCGTCCGACTCATGTTGATTGCGCATGCAGGTCTGGTGTCATCCCAACGAAGTCGTTGTGCATCGAAGCAGGGAAAGCAGTGTGGGTCTTGTACGTCGACGCGACATGCATCAATTATGACGGGAATGCATTCGACGCTACGTTACTCGCCATGGTGGCGGCTCTCAAAAACAGTATGCAGTTCATCCGTCCGTTTATGACGCACACTCAGGATAGTTCTCTATGATAGCCCGGCTACCGAAAACCAGCTTCGACGCAGAGACGGGCCGCACCATCTGTTCAAGAAAATCAAAATCCCCTGTGCATGTCAGCCGCTTACCGGCCTCGATGTCCTTTGGGATTTTCGATAAGTGCGTGAAATTTCCCTACCGCTAGTTCGCCCCCTGTGCACTGACTAGGCACCGCTATACAGTACACACGTACTCGCAGACCCCACATCTTTGAGGAGCCCTTGCTCGACACCACATTGTCCGTCGCGGTAGACGAGAACGGTGGCCTTGTATCTGTGACCCAGCTCGGCCTAGGAATTGTCGGAAACCAAGACGCGCTAGTGCATTGCATCAGTGCTGCTCGAACGCGTTGCTCTGAAGTCATGGGACTGCTGGTCAATATATCTTAGCCCAGGCTCAAACTGGAAGCAACCTCATGAAGCCCTACAACAACAACAAATCCTCACCGCTCGACAAGGTGTTTCTCAGACTCTGCCCAGGAGACTAGCAAGTTGCAATCGCGCTCTCCTTCGGATTCGAAACGGCCTCATCATTTGCAACGAGCGCAGAACAGCATTTGTGCATCCTCGGCAGTACCACATGGCGCAACGGCGCAAGTACATCAAGATGTCTATCGACACTAACAAGCAGGCTAGCGATAGATATAGGGTATATGTCCCGGGTGATGCTAAACTGTACAACAAAACATTTGACAGAACGTATGTATGCAAGATGATTACGCGCGCAAGTCCACTAGTAGGTTAGATTCGCCCTTCGACCCCGTAATATCACCCAGGCCCCATCCCAATTGGGCCCGCCATCGCCAAATATGACCCCAGCGGAGGCGACGGCGGCCCCAGCGAGTGCGCGACCGCCTTCCGCCTGTCCTCCCAGGCCCTCAGCGCCTTCAGCAGCTGTAAGATCTTGTCCCGCTTGCCCTGCCGAATGTCGTTAATGCTCACGGTGCCCATCTTAACATCGTTGTCGAGCAGGAAGTCGAAGAGCTTGAAGAGCCCGTCGAGCTTGTCGTCGTTCGGCCCGGACGGGAACGCAGAGTCCGGCACACGCGGGGTCGCCTGCTTCCCCTTGATGTCTTCCGCGAGCCGCAAAAGGGCCAGGCCACCGTAAGTCGGTGCTGACAGGTCCGTCATTTGCAGGTTCTTCGGGAGGTGCGAGTTTGCCCAGTCGATGAGGCCTGCATCCACGGAAGACGTCTGGGTAGAGCGTATCAGTCAGCGTCCTTTGGCGCATCTGAAACGTGGAGATCACGTACGGTCGACTCCGTCAGAGAGTTGAGCCTTCGCATTTCCCGCGATGGTCGCGGTGGAACCTTGGAAATAGTTTTAGGGACAGATGGTTCGACGCTGGTAGTGGAGCGCGTGTCGCTCGTGAAGAACGAGTCGAGCCTTGTACGCTCCATACTACCCTTCTCTTTGGCTGTGACGCCCATGAGCAAGACCTGCGCGTCGCGCTGGGTCAGCTGGTTCGGATTATCAGGGCGCATCGCTTTCTGGGTGGCTGCTCGTGCACCAGGAGAAGGGGGTCTCGGCGCAGGATTCATCGCTTGTGCGACTGCAAGAGGAATTGTCGGAATGTTGCATGACGACACCACAAGGTCTAGAAGCGCTCGTTTCAGCCTTGTCGCAAGTGAAGTACGCTAGACTCACCAGCGTAATCCCGCGTGATTGTGGCCTTCATGAGTGCCTTCATCCATTCTCGGACAGTGATGTGCTCCTCCGAGCTGAAGTAATGGCTCTTCTCCGAGTCATGCATGATACGGAAACCATAGCGTCCCGGGTCGATGTTCTCATCTGCAACAACCTTGTAACCGGCGATGTTGATGTACCCCTTTATTTTGCTCTCCTAAACCATGTTTCGCATAAGGCGCCCGTCGCAGCGAATGCAGAGGGGATCATACCGTTTTGCTCTTGTTCCGCAGCCAGTAGAGGTGCGGACCCTTGAGGACGAAATACCGCATCTTCCAGGCGTTATAGCGCTCGCCCTTCTTGCGTAACCAACCCTCATGGTCAGGTGTCCCGATTTGCTCCAGGATACTCTGACCAGGTTTGAGAGTGAGCGTGAGCGGACTGGATTCTGGGGTTGTAGGAGACCTGAGGGTGTCGTCAGCCTTTCCAGTCTTGTCGGCTTGCGAAACGCCGACGGTAGATGCTGTGCGTTTGCGCAGGACTGCCGACCTTTCCGGTTCTTTCGCTTTGTCCTTCAACTCTTGAGATTTCTCCGACTCCTTGTCAGGGGACTCCTTGACCTCTTTGAGGGAGAGGAACTGGCCAGACTTCTTCTCCTTGCTGGTGCCATCAGCGGTAGAGGGCCGACTCGAGCCCCGCTTCTCTCGTATCCTCGAGAAGGTGCCATGATGTTTCTCCTTCTCGTCCTCGCTCTTCTCGACCGCACTAAAAATTAAGGCACCACAAATTAGTAATGTATCACACTTTCCGCGGTTTAACTCACCCAGAAAGCGACGGAGGCGGCTTCCTGCTCTTGCCACTTTTCCCCAGTGTCCCGGAGAAGGAAGTACCAAAGAGGCTAAGCCGGTCCGACGCCTTGCGGCCGTCAACGCTCTCGCGCTTCTTCTTTGGCCTAGCTGTGACCGGAGGCGCGCCTTCCGGCGCAGACTTCGCACCGTCCGGTGAGTTAGTGGAGGACGCCGCAAGTGACATAGCGGACAAGGGAGGCGTTTGCGGGACGGACGTGTCCTTGGAGTGCCGACTGGCGGTGTCGTTCAGCGATGACCGCTCCTTCACCGAACCGGACTCGGTACGCCAAAATAGGCGCCGGCCCCTGCTCTTCGTGTCCGAGGCGACTGTCTCGCTCTGTCCAACCATCAGTGATTTCACGGACACCGCGTTCAAAGTTATTCGCACCTCGCTCATGGCGCCACGGTCATCCTCGACAGCAGGGCGGATGTCTCCTCCAATCGCAGTGGCCGCTATAGCCCCATCGCTCGGCGAGAGCACCAGCTGAGCGGGACGTTTCTACATGTCATGGAACAGAACCGCATTAGTATTTTCGAACAGGCCAGCTAACATTTTATTGGGAAGACCACACACCCCGTCTTTGATAGCCTGTGCCAAGCCGAGACCGAGACCGAGGGGTTGCGATTCAGCTTCGCTCTTCGCGGCACCGCCGTTTGTATCCACCTCGGCGACAGGCCACCCGTTGCGGTTCAACCCGTCGCCACTGGGCAGTGGTATCTCTGCAACTGGAGAAGCAGTAATCGGGCTACTCTGGTAGGCATGCGGAGCGTACATGGGCGAGTACCCCCACCCCGAAGACGTCTGTGTATGTGCGGAGCTCTGTAGACTTGCCGAATGTGAATGCGTGTAGGGCAAGGACTGGCCTGTCTGCGAGCGCGGTGTAGTAACTCGCGCCGGCGTATGTGATGGAGACTCGAAGATGGACGGGGGACGGCGCAATTCGGCGATCGCGTTCACGATGCGAGCACGCTTCCCGAACGCGACGATACCAATCTCAGTCTTGAGGACGTTCGCGTCAAGCTCGAGGAGCACGTCGCCCGTGATTTCTTGCTCTGAAATCGAAGGGTTCGTTGACACAGACAGGAACAAGCACACTCAAGACGCACCGGTGAACTTCTCACACACACCCTCATCGAAGCCCTTGGACCGGAGCCACTCAACCACTTGCTCGACCGACCACTCGGAAGGATGGCCGTCCGGCCTCTCCTTCCTCGTATCTGATCCAGAGGACCCACTACCGGGCGCCTTTGCTTCTAGGCCACCGGCGCTCATCGTGGACACAGTTGTTGCTGGCGTGAGTGATTGCCTGATCCCTGTGCTCGTTGATCCGCCAAATGATGATGCAGTAGGTGAAGGAAGGCCAGTTGAGGGGAACGAAGGCTGCGGGGTCTCGGCAACGCGAACGGTGCTTGGCGAGGGGCTGACGGTCTGCACGGAAGGAGACGTCGAGATCACAGAGGGACTGGCCGTAGCAGACGTGGGATGTGAAGCAATCGGAGCGGGAACCTCATCGGGAGTATTAGAGGTTGCAATAGACTTCTCGTCTTCAAGAGGTGCGCTTGCTTGCGATGATGGCGAAGGGACTTCTTCAACGGGGGAGGCCGCTATGATGTTCATGGAGGGAGAGCGTATGGGCTCCTCGTTGGCAAGATGGTGTGAGAGTTGTTCCTGCGAGAAGGTGGACTGCTCCGGGCGAGCAGTCGAGCTTTCAGGTGTAGTCGCACTAGGCGAGGGCACGATGAACTCTTCTGAGGGTACAATGAGCGCCGAGCTATCCCTCGATTTTTTCTTGCGTAGGCTAGAATCCGATACAGTGATCACCGGAGGAGGAGTATGGAAGTCCATTGTCGATGTACGGGAGTGCACAACGGAGAAGGCAGGTTTGGAAGTGGTCTCCTCGTCTTCTTCGTCCTCCTCAGAGATACGTCCGTTCATGCCCCTCGAACGGACATGATCGGAAAGGTGCCGGGGATGAATCTGCTCTTCATCCTCGTCTTCGCTCGAGTCGCTGAACTCGAAATCGTGCGGAGGCCCCGAGAGACGGACCGGAGTACCAGAGCCAGTGGTCGAGCTTGCTCTTCCCTGCGCTTCTCGTTTCTCGTTCTCCATTTGCGCGCGCATGGCAAGCATCGTCCGAGCGCCTTTCGACCATCCATACTCTGTTTCGTCACCCTCCTCGCCCTTGTCGCCCTCGTCTTCGGCGTCGGAATGGTCGGTCGACTGCGAGCGCGAGCTCATGAAGCTGAAGCTTCGTGATCCGTCGTCATTCCCTCGGCCGAGTTGCTCGATCGCCTTCTGCACGTCTGTCATAGTAGCTTGCATCACCTCGCCTCCCCCAGACCCCTGCGCGCCATTGTTGGCTGTACCTAGTTCTTCCGTGCTATGGCTCAGAATCGGATCGGCAGTACCATGAGGAGGCTGTGATGTACCGCAGGCTGTTGTTGTTGACGCAACAGGCGCTTCGACGGTAGAGGACGCGGACGAGGCATCGGCACTCTCCGCGACAGCAGCGAGTCGAGATGAAATAGAGGGAGGGTTCGGGGATGTGTAACTTCGCGGAAACAGTCCGATATTGCCTGCTGGGTTTCGGCCCTAGAGAGCAAGCGTGAATGAGAAAATTCGACACACCAGCAGCTACTGCCGAGCCAGAAGACGACACATAAGTTTTGGAAGACGAGGACGGATGCCTTCCAAGTCGCATAGACTTGGCACAGTCGTAGACTATCCTCTACCGTGTCATTTTCCACCACAGGGTCTCCGTCATAGCTCGGCAGCAGAGCGGGTACGCGACAGACTCACCTTCCACCATCCATCTCCATACAAATCATCCTTTTCAATAACCTCAACTTTGTCCCCGATCTTAAAGGACACCTCATCCGGGTTCTCCGGTGTGAATTCGTGGAGGGCGTAGACGTACTCTGGCATAATTCACTCCTTGTATTCGCTTGACGGAGTGTGCCAGAGACGATGCGGATGTCAGTAGGAAAACAGCGAGAAAGTAAGCAAGAGAGTGAGCGGGTGAACGACGTAGAGGAGATAAGCAAGCAAGAAGGAGAGTTATGTGCGGTTGACGAACATTGTGAAGCGGACCGCGTTGGGTCGTGGGCGTTCAGACTCGCGTTCCCGCCCAGGCACATTACGCGGGTATTATCCGCCAAACTCGGCAACAATCTCTATATATGGCTAGCCGTGCATTCACCGCCGGCGCACAGTCTGAGCTTCTCCACGACTGTGAGACTCCGTGCACTTGCATGCACCTCTCGTGTGCAGCCGACACCATTCAACTCGCCATGTCAACGCGACGTCTGAGCACTGTCCACGACCTTGCGTCTCTCCGCCTACATCCCGACGGGACTCGCGTCCAAAACAACAACAAGAACTTGAGGATTCGCGGAGCCAAATATGCAGCGCGGGACAGCAAAGGGAACTGGTTTGCGCGCGACGCGGGTGGGACAGGCAGAGTGAAGCAGCGATGGGCGAAGCCACGCGACGAGGACGCGAAAGAAGATAGCTCGACCGGAACAGATGAGGGTGAGGATCTGTTACCCACGGCAGCCAAGGGCAAGGGCAAACAGCGGGCAAGTGAAGCGGACGTAGAGGAGCAGCCGCAGGATGAGAGGGCACGCAAGAGGCGACGGTTCTACGAGGATGAGTCCTTCATTGCACCCACGCCGTCGGGTGGCCCTTCAGCTCAGGGTAGCCCAAAGGCGTCTTCGAGTAGACTGTCTGAGCCAGAACCTCTTGCAGATTGGGCACTCCCCACACCGTCGGCTGTGAGTGCGCCAGATTCCTTCGGAGGAAACGTCGCGTCGCTAATCGGACCCGCAGGAGACATTGAAATGTATGCATTACTTTGCTTGCAACTACTACACTGCCGTGGGGCAGTTACGCGATAGTACTAAGGGAGCACGTCGAACGAAGAAGGTTCGGCGGGAACAAAGGCTTCAAGAGGAAGAAGACGGTGCGAGAAGCAGTGAACCGGCCGAAGAGCCTGCTCATGACAGCTCCGCGGAGGGGGACTCTAGCTCTACTTCCGACAGTGAGAGCAGTGAGGATGAAGACGAGGACGAAACCAACTACAGGCCACAGTTGCGTAGTCGAAGGCGGAGAAGAGCAAGCCCTGACATGTATAAAGCTCTCGACGGTTCTGCTCTTATGGCGATCTGTAAGTGTATCTATGACTCTGCGATCAGCAATCCAATATAATCATGTGCTCTCCAGCGATGCTAGTGCAAGAGCATATCACACATCTCTTATCCGCAGACGTACCCGACGAGTGGGACGAGGAGATGGAAGCAGACAAGCAGGCACAGCGCGGCAAACAGGCAGCACTGACCAGCATCCTGGAGAGTCAGCACGGTCGGCCGAGCTGGAAACTACGCAGTCGAAATACCAAGGAAGTCGAGGACGAGGAGGAGGAAGAGCAGCTCGAACAGAACAAGGACACGGAGACCCTGGGCAGACGGACGACGAGAGGCGTCGTTCTTCCGAAGGTCACGGTTCCATTTGCAGACAATAGCTCGGAAGATGAGGACTACGTCCCTTAGATCTGTTGTGGTTGCAATCTATATGGGTTTGGTGGATATTGCCATTTGCATGTCAGCCATTAGCCCGGCTTCCGCAGCACTTTTAGCAGGCTATCATTGAACACATGTTTTCGTGACGAGCAGAAACAATTTGGCTTATGAACCTACCTGATCATCGAATACTTCGACAGTCGTGTCATTGCCTGATTCGACCTTATTCGTCTTTTCTACGTCCCGTTGCTGAGGAGATTATGAACGTATGGTAGTAGTGGCATGTAATGAATCTGTGCTTAGGCCGATGGTGCCTTGGATTGAGGAGCGGGTTGTGCCAGTGTGCCATCCTCCCAACGCTTCAAGATATTATGCTGGAACACGCCCATGTCCTCGTCCTCGAATATCCGCAGGCGCTGTAGTCTTCTCTCGCGCAGCTTGTTCTTTGGCAGCATGCCCGAGACAGCTTTTCGGATGATCTGCATTTACCGGCCGGCCTCAGAAAAGGGAGTCGCTCTTACGAACAGCCACGACGCACCTCGTCGGGTTTCCTCCGCATCATATCCTTGTATTGGATCTCCTTCAAGCCTCCGGGGAACATAGTGTGGTGCCTGTACACAGTTGGTCGGCCTTGTTACCGGACACCTTCACCCTCCGAGCATTTGTGATGACAACGTAGTCACCGCAGTCCGCTGAGACCGGATGACCAGCTCAGCAAGACAAGAATAGTATGGTTCCAAAGGACCGTACTTACCGCTGGGGTCGAAAATGGGCTTGTGCTTGCCCATGAGCACGATGGCAATGCGCTCTGCCAACTTTCCCAGTACCCGCTCGGAGGCGTCGACGTGATGCCATACCCGGGCATACGCCAGCGCAGTCTACACTGCAGGTCAGCAAATTGTATAACGACAATTTCCAGAGTATGATCACGTACATTCCCGACTACCTGGGACATATTGAGTGGACCGGAAGTGCAGGTAGGAGCAGGTAAAGACACAAGAAGCAGGAACGATTAGGCGCCCACGCTGCCACCGCGAGTCGCGGTCTGTGGCGGCAAATTCGAACTGCTTGACCGCGTCTACAGCCTTGTCTCGCGTCGGTTCGTCCAGGATGTCGGGGGAGTCTTCAAAACGCTCGAACCTCATAGATGTGTGCGTGATTTTCTGCTTGAAGCCTGTGCGACGTGTCTGACCCGCGCAGAACATATGAAGAACTCCATTCCATCCTCTCGGGCTCCTCCGAGGGCAACACGCTCGACCAGATCTCGGAACACCTCAAACCGCGGATAGCCCAGCTCAGCAACGCCGTGGCGCCGTTTGGGAAGCCGTCGGACGCGTCGAGGAAAAGGGTCGAGTCGGGTTCGGTGACCCTGCGCGATGGGGTCGTCATACGCGTCGAGCCGGAGGACAAAGAATGCGTGTTCGCCATCAGCTCGCGCTTGGGCATCGACGAGGTCGACGCGCTGGTTCTGCTCCGATGCTTTCTGTATAACGAGGGCGCGCCGGAGTCCATCTCGAGAGAGAACGCCAGCTTGGCGGACGAGCTCGTGGAGGCCATCACACCCTTCTACTACATCGAGCGACTCTACGTCCTGCGTGCACTCATCCCTCTCTTCCGCGCGACTGAAAACGAAGACGACCACATCCATCCGATTGCGAACAAGTTTCTGCTGAGCATCCTTCCCGACGGAAATGCGTTCGCGGAGACGCTGCTGGACGAATACACGAAGAAGGCCAAAGCCAACCTCCCCGAGAATATCGCTGACGAGCCACGAAAAGCCGCCGCCTGGACGCGACAAAACGCGAAGGAGCAACTAGTGCTGCTGGAGGTGCTGTACTGGACAATGTGGAGTTACGCCTCGCGAAGTGGACCGCTCGTTGCGCGCATATACGAAACTGCGTACGGCACAAACCTGGGTTCGCAACAACAGAACTCGACGCTACTCCTTGATGAGGAGGGTACCCAGCTGCAGAGGGACTGCGCTGCTCTTTGGATCCTGATCACTCTGGAGGTACTAGAGCTGGAGAGAGCCGCAGAGCCAGGCGGTATACAGCTCGCCGCTCAAACAGCGGACCCGGAGATATACTGGTCGTCGCCAGAGTCGCTCAAACGAATACACGAACTTGTCGTGTCGCATGGGGACAGCCACTACGCATGCACCTTCATAGCCTGGGCCTTTGTTCTCTCGCGCCTTTCGAAAGCCGCATCAGAGACCAAGGAGCTTCCACCCTCCTATCTGCCTTTCTTTGGTTCTCTACTACCGCAGCAAGGGAAGTCGTACCTAAAGGACACGGAGCAAATACATATCCTGATGGCCAGAACATGCCTTGAGCCTGATGTTGGGCTCTTCAAGCTCATGTTCACACTGCTGACGACGTCGCCCGTTTTCGTGACAGCTACGGCGTGGCGTACTAACTCGGTCATCCTTGATCCTAATACCGTGGCATATAGGTCTGTCTTCAAAGGTATGAGCAGCGACTGTATGGTGACTGCTGTTCCATCGTACTGAAATGGCTTCTCAGGTCTAGTCATCGCGATCACGGAGCTCATTTCCGTCGAGCTGATCCCTGACTTCGAAGCTTTCGTCGAAGTCTGGATCGCGCTCTTCGGACGAAGCGAGAGTCGTTCTGTCATGTCAATTTGCCGGCAGTTTTGGCAGTCGGACTGGTCGGAAGGCATTGCGCGGCGAGCCATCCTTGACATTGCACGGTCACGTTTTCCCATACAGTTCCGTCCTCTGGTCCGACTGTTGCGTGCAATGACGGCTGCAGGCTTCTTGGATACCGACGGGCTTTCAACCACGGACTACGCTGCGGAGGGGAACCCACTCGAGGAGGACCGCGAACTCTGTACACGCCATGTGTTCTACTATCTGAACAAGCTCACCACGTACACCCAGGTCATACCGGTCAATGCGTGCACGGGCGCACATGCACTGTACGAGAGACTTCCTGAGCGGTACGGCTCCTCCTCGGTTGCGGCGGGTGTATCCTACGTCAATCTACGACCTCTCAAGCTTCCCGGGGGTTCCATTCTTCCGCCGAAGTCCACGGGTCGCTTGCTGAGTGGAGACGGAGGTGATCTAGTCGTAGTATGCTGGCAGCATGAACACTCCGGGTGGAAGCTCCTACTTGAGCTCTTGACAGACTACGTCAACCGGCGACGTCTGCACTCGGGGACCGGTGGTGCCTACCAGGACATCTCCTTCGCGCAGAAGGGAGGCCACAAACCACTTGCACTGCGGCTGGAGGACATAGGCGTGGAGATGGATCGCGAGGGGGACGAGAACATCGTGATGGACGTCTTGGACCTGATACGCAGTGTCATTCAGGACAACCCGCCTCTCGCCGAGCAGTTGCTGGAGTCATTGGAGAGTGGTAATGCAGTGGTTGCACATACCATGGTCGAGGCGCAGCCGCCAGACTTGGTCCAGCTCACCACCATGATCCTTGAGGAAGCACTCTCCCGGTCGTCAGCTCAGCCAAGGAGTACCATTCGTGCACCTCTCATCATCGCGGCTATCAGCGTGCTCTCGGCTCTCCTGGCTCTGCCGCGGTACTCGAATCGTGTGTGGCTCTACATTCGCTCAACGGCATCCCTCTTCGGGCCTGAGAAGGCGATCGGTGTGGCCTCTACGGTACTAGCCGCCGAGAGACTCACCGGTCACTACACTATGACCCTCGCCCTTCTGCATCTGGTCCAGCGACTCTTTTACGAGGCATCCGCGTCCGCGCTTTGGGTCCTCCAGCACAACCCGCGGCTGCAGCAGGTTAAGGAAGAGGTCTTGCTTCGCGCCGCCCGATTCGTTCACGCGGAGATCTGGGTCGAGCATATGGGGTGGAAGTACACTCAGCTGGGCGACCGTTTTGAGATCGGGAGGCGGGTGTCAACCTTGTACTCGGACATCCTCAAGCAGTCGTCGTCGTCGCTCAAGGATGGGCCATTTGCCGCGCTGAGCCGAGCAGTATCGGACGCGTTCATGATGAAGGCGACCACCTCCACCATTACACCTCTCGTGTCTTCTATGACGAACGCAGGTTCGGTCATAGACGCGCTTTATGCTTCGCGGCGGATAGGCGATGCGAGACGTCTGGTTACCCTCATGGAGTCCCACCTCGAGTTCACCCGCCTGCTCTTGATCTCGAAGGAGCGTGTCATGCCTTCGTCCGAACCTTCTCTGCTGGAGCAAGCCCTCTGCGCCAAGGTCGGCGGCAGCATCAACACTTTCGACGGAGGCCCATCGCGAGTGGATCCCGTAGATGCTCTCGCTGGCTACATCAAAGAACGAAGCATGAGTAACCTTGTCCGCGTGCTGTCTGTCCGTGTGCTCTTCGCGCTGTGTTCGTCGTTGTCGGCTTCACACGGCCCCCCGCCTACGATAATCGGCCATCTGTCGGACCCGGAGAGCATGGTTGCTTCCCTCGTGCGCATCACCCAACATCCATATGACGATGTCCATCTGCGAAAAGCCGTATGGAACTTCATTATCCTGGCAGTGGACAAGGAGCCTGCCCTCGCGCGTCTCTTTGTCACCGGCCACTTCCGCGTGCCCACTCCGAAGGTGTCAGCAAAGGGTAAAGAGAGGGCCCAGGACGATACTATCACAAAGGCAACGAGTGCCGTAACGGTAGCGTGCGACATGCTGCAAGGGTGGAGAGCTCTACTGGCCGTCAATCCTCAGCTTCTGGCGTCGCTACTTCGGTTCCTGGATGTAGTATGGCAACACGGTCATGAGCACAGGCCATACTTGGAATCAATACGTCAGAACACAGCTTTCTTCGAACAGCTAGCTGCGATCGTCAGCGAGGAACTTGGGCCTCCGCCTGACTATAGGACCCAGGATTACGTGGACATTGAGGGTGCACGGCGGTCAGATCTGCATGAAGCCGTGTCCATCCATTCATATCGGACTGCAGTCAAAGCTCATGCCGCGCACATCTTGGCCGAAGACATTCGTTTGGTCGCGGAGGCCCAGTTCGACGGGTCTCCTTCCAAGAAACCGTCAAGTTATACTGCCATCGAAGCCATGTTCAAATCTGAAGAGAAGTATGCGGAGCTCCTCGCAGAAGCAGCCGCTAGCGCGTACGATCCCGAGCTGCATGATGAACTCGCCGAGCGAATCAAGTCCGACTTCCCTAGTCTTGCCTTGGAATCCTTGCGGATACATGAAGCAGTCGTGGAGCGGGACTACGGGGATGCATTCGCGTTCGACACTTCGTTGCTGCAGCTACGATTGCAGGTTTTCGTGCGCGGCGATGCTATGGAAGTCATCGAGGCTCACAGGAAGCTTACATCAATCAACCTCAACCTGTCCCTTGCCCACGTCCAGACTGCACTGACGGAATCGTGGCAATACTTGTTGATGCGAGTTACTCCTTACCTCCGAGGCAACGCTACGCTTCGTCGAAACTTCCTCAGCCTCGCTGCGTCAACATCAGAGAGCATCGCCGCGGAGAAACGCTCTGGGGACATGATGTCAACTATCCACGCCGCCAGGCTGTCTCTCCTTCTGTCTTTACTCGAAGTGGTATGGTTCTCGACGTCCGACAAGCCAGAGGAGATCAAGCACTTTGTGACTTTGGTTCAGAACACGCGGGGCATCATCTTAAACGGCCCACAAACTCCTGTGAAGTCTCTGATGGGTCAATGTCCGGTTCCATTCCATAGACCTCTCCTGCAGACCGTCTACTTCTGTGCGCGCCACAGTAGGAGCCTCGCCCGGCGACCAAAGACTCTAAACGCGGAACAACGGCTATCCATCTCTGCCATGCTCGACGCAGCCCTGGTTCTTGTCATCGACAGCCTACGCATCAAGTTCGACGCTGCGTGTGCTGACCTAGATCGCGATCTCGACCAAGACTTGGAATTGCTCGTAGCGGTATTCGAACAGTGCACTCGGACGGACGTCAATGTCTCACATACGTTCTGGTTGACTCGCTGCCAGGAGACCGACGTTGTGCGGGCGAGTATGCAACTCTTCAGTCGCGTTGACTTGGTCGGCATCTCGGATCTATCTCTTCTTAGAGCCCGCAAGCAGCCGTTGTACGCGCCTCACATCTTGACGTTCCATATGGCCTTGGCGAGTATCCCTTCCGCCGCCGAGAAATTGGCTAGCGAGGGCATCTTGGCTGCGTACACCGAGAACCCACTCAGTCAAGCCATACGGATCGGAATGATTGACGTCACTATCCCTGAACTGCCTGGGGAACGCAGCCCTGCGCATCGAGCATACTGCACGATGCTGGCGATCATCGCGGGAGTCATTATGTCTCTCGGTCGACATGGTCACTTCTTCGATGCGGATGCGAGCGGGCTTGTCCAGCTTTGGGGGGATCAGATCCATCGCGCGCTGACATGGACGATAGGGGACACCCTGACGTTGCCATTGCTGGAAGAGTTGGAGCAAGTTGTGAACCTCTTCGCGGCAATCGCGCAAAACTTGTCCGCGGGCAAGGCAAGCGGCGCCGTGCAGAAGGTGCTTCGATTCTTCACCAACGACGCCCTCCTCCTGGTGCAGCAGCTCAACTACGCATTGACACATCCGAACCACCTCGCCAGCCTGTTCGAGCCGATTACGGCCGACGAGCGTAGCAAGGTCGAGGCGGAGAGTAAAACGTCGGTCAGCTCGTCAGCAGATGCGGTGGACCCCATGAGACGACCGTTCCTCACACGTCTGATGCATCGGTTGTTCTGCTTGTCGGCTTCGCTCGTGTCGACGCTATGCAGCATCAGCGGCGCAGAGGTCGTCTTGCTTGGAGAACAAGAAGATTGGCCAACGCAGGAGGCTCTCATCGTACCCGTAAGTGATGAACTCGGCAACTTGTGTATGGCACAACTTTCTGACACGCTTTCCTCCAGCACACCAAGGTGGTACTGGGAGAACCGACGTCAATGGGCACTCTGCTCGAGCTGGGAAATTGCTCTCTCGACGTGCTCAGGCAACTTGTTAATCGTCCCGCCGGACAGACGATCACCCCGCCGTCTTCATCCGAACTCGCTCTCGACGTACGGGAAAGCATACGGCCTGTGCGCCGCAACCTTGAAGCCGTCCTCCTGTACGCCGTCACGCAGCTCGCGATGTGGCTCGCCAAGCCAGAGCTCGACGCCAGTGCTAACGACATGGACGAGGACATGCGGGCGGAGACGCCACCGGGGCCTGCAGACTCGCATGCGCTGAAGGCGCGGCGGCGCTCATCGATGCCTCTCGCGGAGCGGTTACGGAGGGGTATGACGGGCGAGATGGCGGGGGACCTGTTGGGGTTACTGAACAAGGCGAAGCCAGTCATGGCGAAAAGCACGGAGGTTCTTGGGCAAGGGAACGTGGACTTGACACCGGTGTTGGTGCGGTTTGTGCAGGAGCGGATATCTTCTTGATTGTGGTTGTGTCGGTTGGTAGGCATGTAGATGTATTGTTAGGACTCCTTGTGACGACATCGCGCTGTTATTGTATGTGTAGCAAGTATGGTTTATCTCTCGCGTGCTCTATTGGTTGTCGCGTATGAATGAGAAGGCACACATGAATATTTGAACCATGACCACTTCGGGTCTTCCGAACTGAAGTACTCAACTCGCGTTTCGATCTGAGGAGAGGCCTTGGCTCCTTAAACCAATCGTATATGATGACCCTAGGGTGGTCTCAGCCCTCCTCAAAGGGGCACATAGCAATGCAGATCCAAAATACAACACAAAGCTAAGTAGAATACACTATTCAACCACCACACAAGTCCAGATCCTACCTCACCTCCTTCGGCGGGACGAACTCGGGCACCGCCCCCCACTCGAACTTCTCCGCCTTGAACGCCTCCAGCGCGTCCTTCGGCAGGATCTCGACGTAGTCCGGCGGGAGCATGTCGTCGTACTTGTCCAGCCCGGGCTGCCACCGCACCGTCACGAGCGCCATCGCGAAGTCCGGTTTGCTCGACTTGGCGTGGGCCGCCGCCGCCGCCGCGGACGTGCTCGCGTTCGTGGACACGGGTTGGGACGCGAACGTGTTGGGCTGTTGTTGCTGTTGTTGTTGAGGTGGTGTGGAGGCGAAGGCGGAGACGGGTTGGGGAGGAGGTTGTTGGGGTGTTGTCGACGCGAAGGCGGACACAGGCTGGGGCGGAGTCTGAGTCTGCGGCGCGCCGAACGCAGACTGCGGGGCGGGCGTCGCGGAGCCGAACGCGCTCATCGCTGGCCCAGCGGTGGGCGCCCCAAACGCGCCCGTCCCAGCGGCCGGCGCCCCAAACGCACCCGTCCCTGGAGCTGGCGTACCGAACGCACTCGTCGCTGTCCCTGCGGCTGGCGCCCCGAATGCACTCGTCCCTGGCCCTGATGCTGGGGTGCCGAACGCGCTCGTCACGGGTCCGCCGGCAGGTGTCCCGAACGCGGAGGTCGTTTCGGGCCGTGGCGCGAGCACACCGAAGGCGGACGGCGAGCCGAACGCTGGTGCCGCGGCGGTGTTCCCCCCGCCGAACGCTGAAGTCGAGGCTGCGGGGGCGGCGCCACCGCCCATGGAGGATTGCCCGAAGACGGAGCCGCCGCCGGTGTTGTTAGCGTTGCCGGCGAGGCCGAACGCGGAGGGTTGTTGGCCTGCAAACGCGGAAAAGGCGCCGCCCCCACTCGTACTGGGTGCGCCACTTGTTGAGGCGGATGGGTTGGCGAAGGCAGAGAAGGCCCCACCTGCAGGACCAGAACCAAACGCCCCTGATGCGGGCTTGATGATTGAGGCCTGACCGAAGCTCGACTGGCCAAAGGCTGAAGTGTTCGCCGAGCCGAATGCAGAGGCGGCGGCTGCTGGCTGGCCAAACGCGGTCGTGCCCTGGGCTGGCTGGCCGAACGCAGATGCTCCCTGGGCTGGCTGACCGAACGCAGATGCTCCCTGGGCGGGCTGGCCGAATGCCGAGGCGCCCTGGGCGGGCTGACCAAATGCTGACGCGCCTTGCGCAGGCTGACCAAACGCAGATGTGCCAGATGCGGGCTGGCCAAACGCAGAACCACCTTGCGCAGGCTGTCCAAATGCTGAAGTCCCTTGCGCTGGCTGCCCAAAGGCGGATGGCCCTTGCGCTGGCTGACCAAAGGCAGACGACCTGGGCAGGCTGCCCGAACGCCGACGTGCCCTGTGCAGCGGCCTGTCCGAACACCCCACCACTCGCGACTGCGACCCTGGCCGCTTTGGGCGAGGGAGAAAGGGCGCGCGCCAGCAGCTCCCTGCTCGTGGTTGCGCCTCGCTTGGTCGTACGTCGCCTGCATGTTGCTCGTAGCCTTCCGGACCTCTTCGTCCGCGAAAGCGAAGCTGTTCGTCTCGTCTTGTACCTATGCGTTCGTCCAGCGACGGAGTCAGCGCTCGGATGGCAGAAGACAGAGAATTCACTCACGTATAGATTGAACTTCCCCGACTGCGCTGCGAGCACTGCTTGGACACGGAGCTCCTCTGGGGAGCGCTCTGGGATTTGGATGAGCGTGGGCTGGTGTTTGGCGGGTGCGTACGACGACAGCCTCCAGGACGGGCGATCCTGCTTCAGGTCGAGATCTCGCGTAATTGATTCCAAGCTGGGGTTATGATGAGTTCATACATGAGCGAGCGAGTGTGGAAGGGGCGAACTTGAAGAGTTGTGGGGAGGGCCCGGAAGACCCGGAGCCTGCCCATACTTGGTCTGTACATTGTCTGTGAATGGGGTAGAACTATGCAGATGTCGAAGACGCACTCCCAAACCCGTTGCGCTGGGCATCGCGTGGATGTTCGTTTCTACATGAGTCTCCGAACTTGCATTGTCCGCGTAGGAAGTACTGGCAGACGACCTAAGGTGGCTTCATTATCTGGCTGTGTTCACAATGATACTGGTATGCAAAACTTGCCATTTTACCACCTCGTCAACGAGCTATCCAAGAGTGCCCACGGTGCCCTGGACCAAATGTGAGGAGTGGAAGTCGAGGTAATGGTAAATGTGGCAAACGCGCGACCGCCACCAGCCACCGACGCGCCTCCGGACAGGTTTTCGGGGACCCGCAGCGGCCCCTCGGACACTCCGGCACGCAGGGCGTGTGCGGGAATGCTCTGAGTGAGTGTCTCTCAGTCTCCATACGCAGCGACCTGCAACCTGCTCTGCCAGTCGTTCCCCCTCTAGTACTTGCTCACAGCCATTACTTTGGCCACGAACCCGCCCCTCTATCTGGATCCGCTTTGCTGCACAAATGAAAACCGAATCCGACAGCCCGGCTGCGACTACGCCTACACCCGCTCCAACACCCTCAACAGGGCCGACCTTCTCTGCGGCACAATGGGGCAACCGTAAGGATCCCGCGAACACATTCAAAATGCGAATCTGATCTCAGGGTAGAAATACCGATTGATCCGGCCCTCCAACAAACCTCGCAGCCGCAACCGCAGCCAACGTAAACCACACGCGTTCGCATCCTCCACATGCCGCTGACCTCGCGGCGTAGCAGCGGATACTACCAGTACTACAGCCAGTCGCCGTACCAATACTCCTATCCGCCTCCACAACCAGCACAGCCCACGGTGGCAGCTTCTACGGCGCAGACGCAGCCAGCCGCGTCGACCTCACGGGCACAGCCTACGACGACACAGCAGCCGGCGACGACAACGACCGAGAGCACTGACATCGCCACGCTGAATGACGCGCTCGGGAGTGCCGGAGTGGACCTGAGGGTGCGTCTCTGACAAAGGCGACCCGCCTCACCGCTGACCTCCCGCAGGCCGAAGAAGAGTCCCTGCAGCGATCCGGGCCGTACGACTCGTACGCGTCCTACCGGCCGTACGAAGACCGCGCGCGCAAGCAGCCCGCGAAGCCCAACTTCGACACGCGCCACCTCGGCGCGACGATGCGCACGGTCGGCGCGCAGCACCAGGTGCCCAAGATCCCCGAGGACGCGGTAACTACCTCGCGCTCTCGCTCCGCGCGCGCCTGCAGGACCTCATCACGGAGATGGTCGCCGCCTCCGCGCACCGCACGGACACACAGTTCGACCGGCCTGCGTCGCTCTACGAGGAGGACGGCTCGCCGATGTGGAGCGTCACCGTGCGCCGCGACGTCGCGAAGCAGCTGGCGGCGCTCGAGAAGGTCGAGCGCGAGGACGAGATGCGTGTGCGGCGCGAGCGGAAGGAGCGCGCGGAGGCCGCCGCTGCGCAGGCGTCCGCGCTCGCAGCACAGGGCGGGGCGGGCGTGGGGGCGGATGGTGCGGGCGGGGAGGAGGAGGGCCCGAAGAAGAAGAAGAAAAAGGAGGGCCCGGGCGTGACGGCGCGCAACATGTCGGAGGACGCGCGGAAGAAGATGTCGAACGCGGTCGCGAGTCAGGCGGCGGGGCTGCCCACGGGCAAGTACGCATGGATGACGCAGGCGACTGCGGCGGCCCCACCGAAGCCGAAGGCTGCGGCGACGGCGGGGGGCACAGCGGGTAGTGGGGCGACGACGCCTGCGACGACAACGGCGCCGGCAGCGTCCGCGAAGTCGGGGTCATGGGCGAGAGCGTACACGAGGACAAGTCAGACGCAGCAGAAGGAGGAGGATTCGAGAAGACCGATCACTATGAGGGATGCGCTGTTTGTGATTGAGAAGGAGAAGGGGCATGGGGGAGGCAGGGGCTCTGCGAGGGGGTGGACCTGAGCGTGTCCTCGCTCTCTGCCTCTCGTGGACACTGTATCGTTATGCTCTGCTGCTGCTCTCGTTGCCTATGTAGATGTACTCATTCAGCATTTGATGAACACTGGGGTATAACCGAATGCCACCAGAATTGATACCATTCACTGCGCTGAGTGATGAGAGGTTCGCGGCGTGGCTGAGCGGCTCTTGCTTCCTCTCCCATGTCCATTGCTTAGCAGGTATTTTCTGACCACGCACGCATCATGAGGGTTCCTTCACTCCAAGCTCTTTCGCGGACGCTATACCACTCGCCTGCGCTGACAACCAACCGCCCACATGCTGGTCCACACCTCTCCCGGACCAGGCCCCCAACAAGCAGGAACACGTTCCGTGCTTACACCTCTCAAGCCCACGCCCCCGCCCCCGCCGAAGACGAGGAGGACTACGACTTCGGGTCCTTCGACGTGATCCTGCCCGAAGAGCCCTACGTCTGGGGCGTCGGGCACATAACGCCGCGCACCGTGCCCCCGCACATCGCGCGGCCGCCCTACGCACGAGGAGAGGGCGTGCGGCTTGTTCTACAAGACAAACCGATGCAGCTGGGTGGCGAAGAGGAACACAAGCTAGGAGTGCTGCGAGGCTCGCGAGGGATGTGCTGAGGTTCGCGGGGAGTCTAGTGAAGGTGGGTGTAGTTCATGTCATGAGGGCTCTGTTCGACGCACGCGGAGGCCTGGGTGGTCCAAAAAACCACCTAGTCCGTCGTGTCTGTCGTGAAAGGCCCGCTGAGCATGGTGTATAACGGAGGGACACAGGTGGGAGTGACGACCGCCAGCATCGACGCCCAGCTGCACGACCGCATCCTCTCGCACAACGCGTACCCGTCGCCCCTGCTGTACCGCGGGTTCCCCAAGTCGTGCTGCACGAGCATCAACAACGTCGTGACGCACGGCATCCCCGACGAGTTCAGTGCGTTCTGCCGTGCTCGGGCCAGAGGCGGGTGACTGACGGACACGCAGACGGCCGCTGCAGGACGGCGACATAGTCAACATCGACATCACGGTCTACAAGGATGGCTTCCACGGAGACACCTCCCGCACGTTCCTCGTCGGCGACGTCGTGCGTGTCTGTCTGCCCCGGCATCCTAACCCTAACCTCGCGTATGTCTCAGGACGACAAGGGCCGTGAGCTCGTCAAGCTCACCGAGCACGCGCTCGAAGCTGCGATCCGCGTATGTGCCCCGGGCCGTCCCCTGAACCTCATAGGGAAGACGATACACGAGCTGTTCCGGGGGACGAAGTACTCCGTCTCGACGCAGTTTACGGGCCATGGAATCGGCAAGGACTTCCACACACCTCCGTGGATCCTTCATCACCGTGGGTGCTCCTGTCATCTCAGCTCCAGGGCCCGCTAACAGGGGTATCAACAGTGAACGACAATCCTGGGGTAATGCTGCCCGGGCACTGCTCACCATCGAGGTCAGTTCCTGACTCGACACACTACGCATGCGGCTGACTGGAACTGCCGCCTCAGCCATGCATCGTACAGGGTGCAAACCCAAGATCATGGATATTCCCAGATGGCTGGACGGCATCCACGGAGGTTCGTCTGCCGCCTGCGTCGACTTGAACATCTCTGACAGGCCGGGTTGAACAGAACTGCGCTCGGAGCGCGCAGGCTGAACATATGGTCTTGATCACTGACTCTGGTGCGGACGTACTGACGCGATAGGTGTCGACATCACTAGAGTCGTCGTGCATCATGGGTCGGACTAGACATTCCGATCGTCTGCTGGCTTTGAATACTGCGAGATCATGACTACGAACGGTCCATTCCCCGACTCACTCTCATAACCATCACCGTGGTCCATCGCTCCACCAACCCGACATAAACAACAGAAATAACACAATACGTAACATGCTTTGAACGTAACTGCTCGGTTCAGCTCAAGACAAGCCCAAGTTGGAGCGGATCGCGTCCTGCAGGACATAGTTGTAGTCCTGGAGGCCGAACAGTGAGCACGGAAGCATCTCAACCCATACACGTTGGCTGACCTGGTCGAGCGACCACGTAAAACATCCCGCCATCCCCGCGCTCTTGGCGTAGGATGCCTTGTCCCCGAGGGAGTAGGTGTCGTCGTATGTCACGACCGTCGTCCGCGCGGTGTCATAGAGGTACTGTCCAATCAACGATTAGTGACCTCTGGTAGTATCACGATGACACATGATGCGCACAGGTGTATCACTGCAGTTATCCCAGCCTGTATGCGGGGACCCGTCAGTCCAAACCGCCCTACAGCACGAACCAAGCCCACGCGCACCTTCGTATACCCATTTGCCTCACGAAGTCGCGTGCTCGACTCCTGCAGCGCGCCCACGCGACGATCTGATTGAACGCGATCTCCTGGCCCCAGTACGAGCTCAGGTCGCCCGCGTCCTGAGCCTTCGCCACGTCCCCCTCGCCTTCGGCCTCACACGAGCGTGCGCACCCTTCAAGAAGTTCGGCTGCGCACGCTCGCCCGTAGCCCCCGTCGGGATCGGACACGCTCGGGCCGTTTCCCCGCCATACCGAGCACGCGCTGGCGGTACGCGTCCAGCCCCAGCACCCCCGCTCTCGTCTGCCTTCGGCAGCTCGATGTCCGTGAGCGTCGTCGCACTGCTCTGCGAGACGTACCCGTACAGCGGGAGGCCGAGCACGAGCTGCCCCGCGGGGAAATTCGCGGAGGTCCACTGCGAGAAGGCCGCCTCGGCGCTGTACTGCGGCTCCGTGGAGTTACCGCAGAGGTTCCCAGCGGGGCGTTGGGCCCGGGGGACGTCGTGGACGCGCCGAAGACGTCGTAGTTCTGTGGGCCTGTCATAAGTGACACGGTGGTGGGGAGGGAGATGGGGCATACATGATGTTGGCGTAAGTCATTTGCTGGGCGTAAGCGGAGACGTCTGTGAGGGGGTTGCCGTCTGACCTATCCATGGGAGGTCAGTCACGGCTGCCGAGATGATCTTGTTCGGCCCAGTGCTGATCGCAGGGAGGTGAAGAACGTGAGGAGGTTGGCCGCGTCGTCTGAGGAGTATAGGTTGCCATCTCCGGTCTGGTTGGGATACTCCTGCGATGCTCAAGTCAGTATGGTGCGCGTCGGTCGCGAACCAAAGGACGCGCGCACCCAGTCGATGTCGATTCCTAGCGAGACATGCTGTTCGTGAATGAGTGGCAAATGGAGATGGCTCTGGTACGTTACCGTCAAGGTCGTACGTATTCACGGCGTCGACGCAACTCTGGACGAATGCCGCATTGTTGGACGAGTTCATCACCTGCGAGAACCAGTAGCCTCCCGACCAGCCGCCTGTCCATGCATCAGCGTCAGTTGAAACAGACGAGCATTTGCGCGTACCGATGGAGAGAACCACTTTCGTGTCGTACCCACTGTTGTGCGCGCTGCTGACCAGCGTCTGCAGCGTCGATGTGGCTCCCGAGTCCCAATTCAGCCCATTGGAGGAATTCGGCGTTGCGAAGGCTGGACAGATGTGAGTGCTCCGACAATCTTCTGACAGAACACGCAGGCATACCGAATAGCAGGATGTCGAACTTGGAAAAGTCGACGTTCTGTGGAGCGATGGTCCCAGTCGCCCAGTCCGGATAGTATCCTGCAGCTATGGGTGTGGTGCTCGCTGTTCGCTCGAGCTCCTTCATGGCGTGCAACGCGGTGTTCCTGGAGAGCGTCGAGGGAAGTGCGTCTTCGAGGTTGAAGTCTGCCGTGGTCGTAGCAGCAGACGGTGTGGTACCTAGAAAGCCGAGCAGAGCGGGGCTCGAGGCGTACGTAGGAGACCCGAGAAGCTTGGAGAGGTAGTCAGAGAGGCCCTCCTTGCGCTCAGAGATGAGCTTGTCGTCTGCCCATGCTGATGGGATGAAGGACGTGACAAGGATCCGTTTGGGTGGTAGAGTTTCTGGATCACCGAGCGTGGCATGCAACTCAATGAACTGCATATAGGATTAGCTTCTTCAGCTTCACCAAGACACCTCGCTGAACGGAAACACACCTCGGAGTAGCGTCTAGGCACTTCGGCCTGCGTACCATCCTCGTGGACGACCTCGATAATATACAGAACGTGAGGTCGTGGCGAGGATGCCGTGGTGTGTTTGACGATAGATGCGCTCGCTATGGCCATGGCTTTATACAGGTCGTGCGGAGGGCACGTCGTTCGTGCTCGTCGGGTCACTGCTACTTATATACACGACGACGGATGCTACGATGTCACTGTTAGAGTTCTGTAACGCCCGCCGAACGGAAGCTCGGAAGACGTCCTGCTGACTTGATGTGAAGCAACGGTGGGCTGGGAACCTGATCGCCAGGGCCCCACCATGGTAGAGCGCGACAACTGGAGCGATCTCTGCCGCTGCACCAGTTCCCGTCATGCAGAGTTCGCGCACCGTCCTGCATGTGACCACCCAATCGCGCTGAGTGCCCACCAGACGTGGTGTCCTCCAACTGAGGTACTGGCACCGGGGGAACAATGCACATGGGAAGCCTTTCTGTACAGCGCACGAGCCCCTGCTGGTCGACCTCTGCACAGAGACAGATAACGATACGAATCGGGATCATCGTTGCCGCGGACGCGTGCCGACTTGAACTTCTATCGGCTGGGTGTAGCCTCCTCGGTCAGTAGTGCTTCTAGACTGGTACACAGACCGCTAACTCCGCAGTGCGCACCTGAAGGAGGCCGACATTCAACTTCGCTGTATAGATAAGTGCAAGCGCCTTCTGGCGAAGCACGACCTCAGCAGCGAATAGGAACAATACTATCATAAGAACCCTCGCACATACAACCCTCGGAGACGCCATCGTGCCCGTACGTCGATACCTGCATCGACCCATGAAATGTTGGTACAGCACCAAGGAAGCCAAACCCTTCAGCGCCCCAGAAGACCGTTGGTGTTTAGACTCAAACTGGCTCTGATCGCATTTTGCAGAGTATTATCGAGGTCCTGCATATGCCAGATCCTGAGTGACCGCTCGTGTCTTGGAACACGGGTGCAGACGTACCTGGTCCAATGACCACGTAAAGACACCACCCATGCCGGAGTTTGTCGCACATTGAGTCTTGAGTGCGAGCGACGTGTGATTGTCGTAGGTGACAAGAGTCTCGCGCGACGTGTCGTATACGAACTGTCCTCGAATACATCAACGTGTTTACGCCGCGTTCGAGAGAGGAGAAACGCACTGGTGTTTCGCTGCAGTTGTCCCATCCTAGGAGAGCGGAATGATGAGCTGCTATGATGATCCGAGGGCTGCATACCTTCAGTGTATCCATTATCGGCCACGAACCTGTCGCCGAGCTGCTTCAGCACGCCATGCGAGACAAGGTCGCTGAAGGCATCTGTTGGCCCATGAACTTGCTGAGATTTCCCGACCCTGCGCCCGAGTCCCTGGCATAATCGGTCGTCTGGTTGGCAGCGGGGCCGAGCGCTCCGGCACGGACCCCATTGACGAACACGGACTGATCATCGGCAAATTTGGTGTCGAATCGCCGATTCTCGTCGACGCTGCGGGCAACGTCGCCCACAGCATACTGTCTCCCCGCCATGGCCAGCACTTTCTCTCGGTAGTATTCCTTTCCGCTGCTCGCGCCATCGGCGTCGCGGTGTTGGAGCGTCTGCTTGCTGCTCTTGCTGACGTATCCGTACAGGGGCATGCCCAGCAAGAGCTGGTTCGCAGGAAAATTCGCAGCAGTCCACTGTTTCAGCGCCGCCTGGGCGCTGGACTCTGGCTGGGAGGAGTCGCCGCAAAGATCGCCTAAAGGAGCGTTCGGTCCGGGAGTCGACGATGACCCGTACACGTCGTAATTCCTGATCGAACAAACTTCAGAATGCGTGGGGAGAAGAAGGAAGCAGGGCATACATGAGGTTGACATAGGACATCACCTTTGCGTATTCCGACACATCCGAGAGTGGGTTGCCGTCTGGGCCTTTGAAGGGCTGGTCCGTAACGGCGGCTGAGATGATTGCCTCGTTCCCAAGCTTCTTGCGAAGTGCCTGGAAGAAGCTGAGTAGGTTTGCAGCGTCCTCCGACGAGTGCCCTTGGCCGTTGCCCGCGCCGGCGTCATTGGGATATTCCTGATACGATTGACGTGAGAGCAAGGTCGAGGAGACGATTAGCGTACTGACCCAGTCGACGTCTACACCTGATGATTTCTTCGATGGGTATTTTCATGCATGATGTAGTAGGAGGACGTACCGTCGAGGTTGTATGTCTTGACAGCGCTCACGACTGCGTCTACGAAGCTGTCTCTGTTGCTCGACTTCATGGCATCGGAGTAATGGTCACAGCCACCCCAACCGCCTGAAGCAAATGTCTGATGAGTATATCCCAGGGAAACTTTGGCGAGAGCAATACCGATTGACAGGACAACCTTGGTGTCATGACCACCATTGCGGGCCGCACTAACCAGGGAATTCAACGTGGAAGCAGACCCATCATCAAGGCTAACACCATATGCAGAGCTGGGCGTTGCGAACGCTGTAAAGGCTCAGCTGAGAATCCAAGGTGTAGACAACTGCAATGCGCACCGAAAAACAAGACATCGTACATGGAGAAGTTGAGCTTCGACGGAGGCACGGTATCGGCCACCCAGGAGGGGTAGTAGGCCCCATATATGGGCTTCGAACCGTTGGTAGTGGGATCCTGGACTGCCATCCTCGGCGGCGACGAAATTCAGAAGGAAAATAGTACAGAAAGAAGAAAATAAGCGTCAAGAGACGAGCAGGCGAAGCAAACGGGGAGACGCTCTTGACCCGCGCCTTTTATCATGGAGAGTACACGAAAGCACTGGCCCGGATTAGACAGCAGGATCAGACAGCCTGGGGCCTGTGCAGATAGCAATGCGAGTGCTCTCTCGCTCTGCTCCGCCATGCAGGGGGCAGGGGTGAAACGTGCAGACGAGCTCGGAGACACGGGCATTGCGAGCGTCTCTCCGGTCGTAATCTGAGAGCGCCGACCTCGATCTTGGAGGCTTGATGTTAGAAATGTTCCAGCGCATAACGCTACCGATTGGGCTTGTAGTATATACTACTGGGCGCCCGCGAGCGTAACTGCGTCCAAGTTATCGCCGCTCAAGCCAACCTGCGCGGGCTCCCTGTTGACGAGTGCGTTAGCACCGCTCGGGGTGGTAAGATTCGAGACCGACTCGGATGGTTTGTGATTCACTCACCATCCGCGGAGCGTCCCTCTGGTCCGAATCGGAGCCCCATGTACTAGTAGCTGCCAAGCATGCGCCCACACAAGGCAAAAGACACGCTCCGACAGCGGGTGCACGCGCTGCCGTAACAGACAGAGCTGTCGTGAGCAAAAGCCTATCAGACTTGAAAGCTTGATGGTTAGCTACTCGACGTCCTCAAGGTCGCAGACACAGATATCAGTGCACTCCAGTTCGAAGTCTAACGCAGTTTCGGTCTACGTCGGGCATGTGCCGGGTCGGTACAGCCACTCGGTGGCAGCGTCTCAGCCGGTCATGCCCAGTATGGAAACGCCGAGCTAGTAGTGTTTCTGTGGAACGCTCCGAGTCCTGGACAGTCGCCATGCACCCTTTGGAGAACAAGCCGTCCGCTGGGGTGGACTGTCCACGGTGGACTCCCGTGGACTCCACGAAGCACGTGACGTACAAACAAAGGCGATAAGATTACTACCGTTTACGGCGCAAGGCTGGAGGATCGCCGCAGTGTGTTACACTGTGTACACCCGTAAGTACTACACAGTCAGTGTTCTTCCCTCTATCTCTCGTAACCCTTGCGTACCTGTCGCGGATGTCCAGGACACACAGGCGAGCCTGTCCGGGAGAGATGGGCGTTCACATCGACCCGCTGCACGCCTCAAGACCGCGCCATATGTGACACGGCTGCAACGACTTCTAGCAATGTGCCCAGGGCATTGCTGGGGACTTACGGAGGATGGTTGTTCGGGGGAGGGGGGGAGAGATGGTCGCGGCCAACAGGGCCAGAAAACCAGGTGAGTTTTCTGCTTGTCACCTCGTCCTCATAGGCGACCCTGGCAAGCAAATGCCCACCAAGGACGATCGGACGGAGATGAATGCGACGAAGACGGCCCCAGCGCGCGCGTTCCCAGCGAGCACGAGCGCGGCGAAGACGACCCAGATGTGCGCGCGCAAGCGACACACGCCCACCCGCCTGGCCACCTGCCAGCCCTCACGGCCGTAACAGACCCACGAGGTCAGTGAGCGCCTCGCGTCCTCTGCACGCTGGCGGACGTCGATCCGCCTCTGCCATGCAGGCGTTCGCCCTGTGCCCGTTATGCACGAAGTCGGCGCCCGCCGTGCACAAATACACCCACAAGCCTTGCCTGTCGCGCCGACAACGGCTCTCAGTGCGCACGAGCGCTCCGGGCGCATCTCTGGCAGCCTGCCATGCGATCGCTTGTGGTGCACATGCACGACGGGCAGCATCCACTGCTGCCCGTCCTGGCCCATTACTGCCTGCCCGTCTGCCCGCCCGCACATGCGCCTGTGCACCTGCGCCTACGCTCGCCCATGCACTCGCCTGCGCTTGCACCCACCTGCGTGCGCTTGCCCGCCCCACCTACCCACTCGTCCACCTGTTCGCCCAGCACCCGCGCACCTGTCCGGCACATCCGTCCGCCCGCCCGCTGTGAGCCTACCGCCTGCCCTCGCTGTTAGCAGATTTGCGGATCATCGCTCACACCATAGCATACTGATTTGGGATCAATGTCACTTAGACTACCTTCTACTTCGTTATGATATCTACTTGTACACGATGACGCGAAATGCTTAGTTGCCCTTGTGCAGCTTGATGCGCTTTACTGCATATTCTGTCGAGAGCTAAGTACCCTGAGACGCATAAGTCAGTTAAGATGGATGCGAAGCCACAGAAAGCCGCCGCTCTTCCGCCAACGCACTTCCTGAATTTTATGAACAGGGGAATGAGCACAAATGATCATGAACCGCTACCCGCCGCGACATACAATAGTAAGCTGCCAGCACTTACTTGGTACGATTGGTCTACTTACTTCAGAAGTATTGCGATCAGTGGCAACGATAATGGTGCAGTAATAACAGGTTACAATTGGCCAGTAGACTATATAATATAATATGGATCTTATCAGCTCGTTATCGGTGTCACTGTTTGGCAAGTCCAGCTCCACGGAGTCCACGTGGACAAGTCCACCCCAGCGGGCCCATTACTTTGACCCTTTGTAAGGTCGGCCGGAAGGCCACGGTTCGAATACGGACGCGGTTCGGCCTCCGGACCATGCCCGAGGCCCGAGCGCCGTCCACCTCCTTGCGTCGTTTCAAAGTACATAGTTACAGTACTGTCCTCCAAGTACTGTTCGAACGTGCAGCGCTCAATTTCTCACTCTGGCATGTACATACACTCGCTGCGCTCTTCGACCTAGCCGCATCCTCTAAGTTTGGAAGCACGCTTGATCCTGTGCGGGCCGTCGAATCGCTCGCGGCGTTGCCTCATGCCAATCTGCCACTGCCACTCTCTCCCTCTCTTGCCGTGGGCACCACCACCTCAATATTCATCCACGACGGCCTGGCTCGGGCTCGGGTGTGTAAGAGCACCACCACGAGCGCAACAACAATGGCACTGTGAAGCGCATCGAAGGCCCGAGACGGAACGATGGGCACGCAGGGTAAGTGCCCAGCATGCGGCGTACGCGACCGACGAGCGCGTGAGCAACAGACGCGAAGGTGAGTACCATTGCACACGAGCAAGCTGGCTAAGAACGGGCGTGGGGTATGGTTGGTAGGGCCGGGGCACGCAGTACACACGCCGGCCGTGAGCGCGCAGGGCATAAGCCCAGCACACAAACACGGCCGACGACCGGACTGCGGTTGCATCAGCGAAGGAATCGGACGGATGGGAGAATGTGGGCAGGCGCAGGGCGCAGTCGCCGTCGCGCCATGAAGCGCAATGCGCACGCCGACCGCGAGCGCACCGGGCGAATGCCCAGCACGCAGACACCGCCGACGAACGCGCGCAGAGCGAGTGGGCAGGCGGGCGAGCAGGCGTGGACGGGCAATCGGATGGGCAAGCGAGTGGATGGGTGGGAGAGCGCGCAGGCGACAGCGCACACATCAACCGCGAGCGCGATGGGCGAACACTCACTGGACGCAGGCACGGCTGACAAACGCGTGCACAGAGGCGTGCGAGCGGGCACACAAGCGGGCCACGACACGTACAGCGAGAACGAAGGTGAATGCTCGGCGAGCATGCAGGGCAAAGTCTCAACGTAAAGCGCAGCCGACGATCGGACCATGGGCCCAGACGCAGCTACGAGCGGGGAGGGCCGACAGACGGCGGGCCCGGACGGGAGCGAGTCGGCAAGGAAGGGTGAATGGCTGGCAGAGACGGGTGATGACGAGGGGATGAGATGAGCCTTGAGGACGAGCAAGGACGAGCGAATGTCAGGTACGACGCGCGGCAACACCGAGGATGCAAGCACAACGCGGACGAGTCGGAGTCGGAGAGTGACCACTCGGAGGCCATGGGCATAGATGCACTGCACGTCTGAATAACTTCCAGGCTCTGCTGTCAATTCATGGGTTATAGGGACACTATGATCCCCCAGACTACTACGAACATCGTTCACTGGCTGTCACAAACAGCACGAATTACTGGATGCCTCATTTGTCCACGCGACACAGGATTGTATTCGAAATGGTATGTGCATCGTCCGAACTGCCTCTAATGATAATTACAAGTAATACTGACAGTGACTCGGTGCGACCATACAGCAGAGGGAACAGCCAATTTACCCATACACTCTGCCAAACGAATTCCACGCAGGCTCGAGCTCATCAATGGCACGCGCTTTGTGGCTGACAGAGTCTGTCGGTAAATGGTACCTACGCACACTACTGGGCATGGTGTGTATGTCTACTAACTTCTAAGTTGCGTATTTGATCGCGAGAGGGGATGGGGTAAGCGGATCCCAGAGCAATGCATGTCGACTCGGACTCCGGCGATGACCAGAAGACTTCCTGCAAGTCATTCAATATTGAATCTGCTTGCGCAAGCTGTACGTATTGGTATGTTGCGGGCTGATATCAGGCCACGAAGCCGACTCCTGGAGGGAGGCGGCTGAGTGACCTCCTGGGTTAGCATTGCTACCAAATGATTTGGACCGGATAGTCACATTGGAGTTGTATACAAAACGAATAAGACATGTGGGCGCACATCGAACTTCCGTAGCGTGGCACGGGCTTCGGCTGGTTGTAACCACGTACGAAAACAGTGGGCTAAGATCTTTATTAGCTCTATGATCTATTACGGCTACGTTCGAACTTGATGGGCGCTTATTCCCCGTTTGCGCCACCGTACTCAGTGACGATTTTCGACTTTCTTGCAAGGCCACTCGATGCCTCAAAATATCATCTCAATAGGTCTTGCAGTTGTAGCGAGTCCCTCCGGATCACGGTGATGAGCCCTTAGCTCACCTACCCACCGAAAACGCCATTTACGGTCGATACAACAGTACACTAAGTCCGTATGGTCGACGCGCTATCCGTCCGTTCGAGGAAACCGCCCGATGTTCGAAGCTCAAGCGTCCATGTTCGGAACCCTTAGCGGCGAAGTCAAACGGTTTAGAAGAGTCACTACATTGGTAGGACTACGGGCAAGTACACGGCTAGGTCAAACTACCTAGTGACGGCCTCGGCAACTCTCGTATCTATGTCCTCGACCTCCGCACCCATGACCACCACCCCTACCCCTACGAACAGACGGACCGGCGTCGAAGCTACGGTCAGTGTTGACGCGCTCGAGCAGGCTTTCGAGCAACCCGACGAGGGTGCCGTGCGTGCGGCGCTGGTCGACTGCGATGTTGTGAATCGCTCGACCCATGGACTCGAGGTTGTCGGGCAGCTGGCGAAAGTCGGACAGGACCAACGACTCGCGCTGATACTGCGGGTTCGCAAGGGGACGACGCTCGGCCTGGTTGACTTGTTCGAGCAGCACCAAGGTCTCGGACCAGGCGATCGTAGGGTAGGGCGAACCTAGGATATCTCCCTGGTTGCCATCGCGGTGGAAGACCTCGTCGAGGTAACGCATCAACTCGTCGATCTCGGGGAACGACCTAGGAGCAGGAAGCGTATCGTTCGCCAGCAGGATGGCCCGACTGCGGGACTCGAACAAGAATCGCTGTTCGAAGGTCGGTGCGATGGTTCGAAGGACAGTCAAAGTTCGGAGGCATGTACGATCATCCAACGGACTCCGTGGGCCCAAGCCAGCCACTCTCCGGGACTGTTGGCATCGTATCGCGGCTCGACAAGTCCCTCGGTCTTGAGGACCTCTAGGAGGCGATAGTAGCGGGCAGCATACACTTCGGAAGTTGGGTCGAGGTGCGGCATGTTCGTGTAAGTCAGGCGAACTTCTGCGGCTGTCTCATATCTTCGAGGACTGTCACCGGCTCCGGTTATGACCTTCGCCGTTCGGGAACGGTCGCCCGTTATGCGGAACCTGCGGAAGGCCGAGTTGGATTCTCTCATGTGTTAGTAGGTCCGGGTCGAGCATTGTGACATTCTCCGATTGGCTGCTTTCCTTATCACTTTCATTCATCATGTCTTGTATTTCTCTTGGCTCGCTTGGCCTTCGGACCGTATTTTCCTGTATATACTCTGGGACTTGTTCCCTTCGAATCTCAGAGACCCCCTTACCCTCTCAATCTCACCTCGCACCGGCGAGGTTCGTCAGCCAGTCAGTACGTTCGAAAGCCAGCAAGTTCGCCAGTCAGCCAGTACGTTCGAAGCCAGTCAGTCAGTCAGTCAGTTTGCCAGTACGTTCGCCAGCTCGTAGTTGCCCCGAGAGGCTCTACACTTCTCCTCCTGCCGTCGCTCGCCTTCCTTGTCACCGTTCGTTCGACACGCCTGTCGAAGTCCTCCCTCCTACCTTCGAGGCTTAGCCCTCGTCTTCGAACAGTCTTCGACATCTTCGAAGCTCTCCCACGTTGTTCGGAGTCTTGTCCGTCCTCCTCCTTCTTACCTACATCAGGAAAATCCAGATTCCGCAATTTGGAATAAAATGTGTCAAATTGTTGCTAACACGTCTCATGAGTACTCACCGAACTCTGCGAGCTAATTCTGTGATAATAATGTCTACTGGATACAGTATTAGTACATTTATGATCCTATTAGATGCAGCGACCAGGTTGTTCCCTAATTGTTGCTAAAGTGGTGCATCATACAACACACACAATGCTTGTTACTGTTTAATTCAACAATGATTCTATTGATGGGTGGTATTACTGAATACAAATGCTGTATACTACGGTTACTGTGTCCTGTGCCTACAGTAGTGGGCTCGCTCGCGTACATCTGCGGCGGCGCCAGGGCAGAGCATGGATCTATCAGCGGGTGTCCCAGGCTCGAACCGCAGCCATACCCGCCCTGGGTACTGACCCGTGCGAATGGGTACAGGTTATGAGCGGGTCACAGCGGGACCGCGGTGAGTACACGGGTCCACGGGTAAGTGGGCGCGTCGAGCCGCCGACCTACAGCATGCTGCGGCACGTACCAATCCTGTACGATGCCAGACAGCATAGGTATGGTCTTGGAAGAGATATCCTGCCCCGGCCAAGCTGCATGCGCGACCGGAACGTACCCTGATGGTGCGTTGCCCTAGAAGCGCGGGTTCCACTGCTTGCCCACCCACTTACCATTCAGCCCCTTTGCACGGCTCCTCGACAATCAACGCGCGTTCGCGCAGACTTTGCCTTCCCCCTGTCGAATCTCCAACCCACTTGATCAGCACGCACCTTCCTCGCAGCTACCCGTGCAAAGTGCGATCTTCACCTCGCTGGGCCAGTGGATCCGCAAGCCACGCTACGCGCGGCAATGTCTGGTCTGACAAGGCAGGACATCGGTCAGTGAACGGACGTACCAATGCACAAAGTTAACATAGCGTCGAACCGTACTGCGCCACGCAAAACACCCGGTCCATCCCACGCTCGTCGGGCGCAAAGAGGAGTGACGGCTTGGACTCGGGAGTGTGTAGGGGTGCCGCAGCCGCGTCGAACGAAGACTCCTGCCCCCGCGGGCATACTGAACAGACGGGCATGTGGGAGGAAGGACGCGTGGCGGAGTTGACTCGTCGCAGAGCAAAGCGAGACTTGGGGGCGTGTCCATCTCCGGTTCCGAGTTGGCTACTCGGACGCGTGGCAGTTCCGCACCGCCTGGGATTCGTCTTGCAGGCCACCCGTGCGGAGAGCCATGGTGGTCGTCGAGTGATCGAGACGTGGGGATGGCGACAGGGGCGCGAGCGTGGACGCAGACGTGCGGAAGAGGAAAGAGGCGTGTCGCGAGGAAGTGGGGGAGATGTTTGGACGAAAGAGGCGTGGACGAGGGAACGCGTGGCGAGGATGAAGACGTGTCTGACAAGGGAGGGGACGCGTTACACAAGGAAGGGGGAGATGAGCGAGCGGTGATGGTACTCACCGAAGTCGAGTCGACTCCTGTTTCCTGTCTCCGAGCCTTCGAGCCTTTAGATGCGCATCGCACGAGCCCGAGTTGGCCTGGCCGAGTTGCATGCCCCAGAGACACGCAACTTGGAAAAGACGCAGTCGAGCTCGCAGTATAGATCTCCAAGGGAGATAAAGCAAGAGTCTTGAGGCCTGAGGCCTGAGGTGCGGTCGGGCAGGCGTCGTGGCTGGTAGTAGTTAGAACTTAGCACAAGACGAGTCGCGCATGCGGCGCTAGTGCGAGCCACGTATGCACGGGAAACTCCGGAACCGGCGCTTGGGACTTTGTGCTCTCACGGCGCGACGAGGTTTGCGCCCATCCTCTCATCCTAACACCCTTCTCCGCAGCATTCAAAAGCTGAAGATTTGACGGCCCCGAGACGACACGCCGAGCGCAATGAGCGCAGACAAAGGAAGCGAAGGACGAGGGGTTGGAGTGGTGAACAAAAAATAATGCGGAGGCACGAAAAATGCTTGAAGGTGAGTCTTCAGCGCACTCACTGATGATTTTTGTTCCCAACTCTTCACTGTGTGAGTAGGTGCATCAATGAGGAACGAGCTCGTGGTGCCTACTTGCCTGCTCGTCTGCGCATCCCGCATATTTGTGCTGGCCCTCTCGCGCCCGTCCGTTCATGCCTGCGTGCCCTAACTAGCGTTTTTGCTTACCAGTCCTCGCCGACTGTCTCGCCTGCTGCCCTCGCCTTCATGCTCGTTCGCCCTCCCTCCTACTCTCGCCCGTTTACTCGTTCTTGCCTGCTCGCTGTTGCCCTCACGCGCCTGCTGGCTCGCCCACTCGGTTGCCGGCTCTCATCTGCTCAGGATCGCCTTCTCGCCAACTTGCTCGTCCACTCTCTCTTGCCTGTCCGCCGCCGTCTGCCGCCGTCTTGCCCACCGGCATACAATCCTGCCTGCTCGCTCATCTGCCGGCTCGCCCGCTCTCGTTGCCCTCCCTCGCCTCGCCTACTAGTACCCGCCTTGCTTCGTCATCTTGCTATCTCACACGTTCACCTGTTTTAGCTACTTGTCTTGGCCCTCTTACTGATAGGTAGACCGTAGCCTGCAGTCCTTCTCGCGCCCGCGCCCTTGACCCACTCTCGGCTCAGAGCCTGCCTCTTGCCTGTACACTCGCTTGCGGCTTCTCGACTGCCCGTCTGTTCTTGTCCACGCACCCGTACTCACGCTCTGTTTCTTACCCAAGTGGAAGCTGCTCCGGGAAGTGCTCGGGAAGGGGGCCTGGGCGCAGCGACGAGCGGACGGCCGGCGTCGACGAGCGGAGTGCGGGGACGGGTGATTGGCTCGCGGGGATGGGCGAGAGCGAGGGCGCGACGAGGGTGAGGGTGAGGGTCTGCAGGTGAGTGCAGCCATACGCGCGCGGGCTCACTAACGGCAGGCGCAGGACGCGTCGACGTGCTGCGCGACGCGTACGGCGACCGCGAGCACACATACAAGACCGACAAACGGTCAGGAGCCATCGGGCGGACGGGTGGATGGGCGTGCGTGCGAGCAGAACGGTAAGCGAGCGGGACAGCGAGCGAGCGAGTCGGCGGGCGGACGAGCGTTAGCAACAACGGGCGGCGACTGGCGCGGACCAACAGCAAGCACGTTGACCACGAGCGTGCTGGGTGAATGCCGAGCATGCAGACGTGGCCGGCGAGCGCACATGCAGGCGGGCGGGCAAGTGGAACATGAGCGCACAGGCAGGCGAGCGGGACAGCGGGCGGGCAGGTGGGATGGCGAGCGCGCCGGCGCGTGGACGAGCGACCGAAGGAACGGGCAGGAAATCGAACGAGTAGACGGCCAGGCAGACGGACTGGAGAGCTCGCGGGCGGGTGGGACGTTGGACAGGTAAGTGGGCAAGCGGGAACAGAGGAAGGCGGGTGCCCTGCGCAGTCACTGCCGATGAACGCGTACACAGGCAGGTGGTCACACAACCAGGGAACGACGCTCATGGCAACCGCGCGCAGGACACTGCTAAAGAACGTACCCACAGGCGAGTCAGCACCATACGCACATCGACCACGAACGCGCTGGGCGAATGCCCAGCGCGCAGGCTTGGCCGATGAACGGCGAGCGAAGGGTGGGTGGAGACACCAACGAGCAAACGGGAGGGCTCGCGGGCGGCGCGTACAGACGGGACGCAGGGCGGGAAGACGGGAAGATGTATGGGCGAAAGGCTCGCTGGGACGCGCGAGTCGATGGTGGGTACGCACGAGCGAGGAAGATGGTGGGGAACACGGCAAGGACTCAGGACAACGGGTGCTGCCCGCTTGCCCGCGCAATCACTCGCTCGCCCACCCGCCCGCCTGCGCGAGCCTCTCCGCCGTTCTGCCCACTCCCCACTCCCTCACCTATCTGCTCGCCTATCCGCGCCCGCAGACCAGTGAAACCGCACATGACCCGTATCCGCTGCACGGGTACGGTACCTGGGCAGGTACGGGTACGGGTACAGGTAAGCCCCGGCAATTCACAGCTTGCGACAGGTCTGTACGCGGGGCGGGTACGGGTAATAGACTACTACCACTGGCAGCGCTGGCGGCGGGAGCTACACATACGTACACATTTAATACCGAACTTGATTACTATCAGTGTTTTAGCACCCAATTGATTAGTATGATCCTAAACCATATGATGCGACGTCACTACAACCGCTACACCACGGTTTGTGGGAAGTATCATGCTTATAGTATGAAATAGCATGCAATTTTGTGAGATAACATGGCCTCACTGAGACCATATCTTCCATGAAGTAGTGAGAATTCGTTCTCCCTGAGTGTCATTTAGATCTAATTAGAAAGGGGGTAAAGCAAAGTGATCTAATCTCTAATGCACCTAATTAGGTGACATTTTGCACGATTATGCCTCATTTTGCATCATGTGTCCTCATTTGCGAATCTGGATTTTCCTGATGTAGACCACTGTACAGTCCCCCGTACATCTCATAGACTCAGAGGCCTCGCATACCACTGCTCGACCTCACGGTTGGGTTTTTGTGTGGCTTTTGTGTTCTTTTCGGTCGCGTCAACGGAAAGAGTATGTGAACTGCTTTGTTGAACTCGTCGGTGGGTGGCCGGCGTCTATCCTGCGGATAGCGCCGAGCCGCGTCCAAAATCGAACTGTGGCCTTCCGGCGTACCATACCCTTTGCCAGCGAACTCATTTTCTCGTCGAAAGCAACCACTTCCGGTGGTCAGTTTGTGACATTGGATTTGAGTGGACTCGACACATATGAAGGTGGAAGATAGTGAGTCGAATAGAAGGTATGTTTGCTACATCATCCCGTGCGCGCCGACTCCTGAACTTGAACTGATAACTTGAACCACTGACAGGACGCCGAGTGCTCTGCATCGCTTTAGTCTGACGATCACCGCTCGCCGGCCCATCAAGAACGTGCTTTGCGTACTCAGCATTGTACCGATTTGACAGCCGGGCAGCTCAAGTGACACCGATGGTCATTCTTCCGGGCTTCCGGCCAAGGGTAGGTCGTGTTTTTGGCTGTTCAGAACTTAGAACCTAGATCGCGCCGCCTATAGGCGTCCAGCCTGAATTCGCAAGAGCTTTCTGCTGGGATCTGTCAGAGTCACGTGTAATACATAGCCTCGCTGGGCTGTGGCCCCCTCAGGCTGTAGCAACTTGCCGCGATGTTCGGCGCAGTGTACACTCATTGTGACTTAGGTATGCGCAGTGCACAGTTGTTGCTGTAATCTTACTCACCCATTCCGCCTGTCTGCAGCTGACGAGAAGGGTCGTTCGCCGCTGCCGTCACGAAAGGAGTTTCAAGTTGGCCCACATGTCGGATCATCATCGTCGAGCATCGGACAACCCGGACGTATTGTGGGATGTCCTTCAGTACTTCGTACCACCTACAATCAAGTTTAGTCCATACGTACATGACCACCGGCGTGAAGTGGCCGTCGGAAAGGAGTGGAAGACGCTCGCGTACTGTGCACGCATCTCGAAAGCCTTCTCATCAGCAAAGCGGCGATTTGTCTGACGCGCCCTAAGGTATCTAAACCTATCTGAGCGACCTAAATGCTGCCTGACTCACCTAGCTCATCTAATACTTGTCTAGACTTCACGCCATTTGAGTGATACTGTAACATTGAATAATACCCGTATACTACTAGTACAGTACTTGACATTGAATACAAAGCGGACCCGCCGCCGCTAGAACGCGTGCTCGTGACCGTGATAATCGACAAATTTATTTACCAAGTATGCACGAAAGGCGTCGAGTGAGTCTTGCACACGGAAGCCGGCAGGAAGTGGGTCTCGGCCATACACAGGCAGCAAGTGTGCCGCGCGGAAAATTGTGTCTAGATGAATGACCTCATATGGCCTCTGTGCGTCGGCATCCAGTTCCGGCTCGACTATCCACATCCCTGTCTCCTCGTCAGGCTCATTGCCGACCGGCACGAACCATTCGACAAGGGCACAGGGGTATAGGATACCATTGAACTTGAAGGAAAAGAGAAGGCGAACACGTACGGCGTCCAGACCCCGAAAGCCCTTCTGCTCGGCATCCTTCTGCACAAAAGCGCAGTCATAGTGTGCTCCATCCGATCGCCAGGACGGCGTCGCTCGAATGCGCTCACGCCGCATTCCACCAGCACCAGACGGATCAGCCGGGGCGTAGAATGTTGCGACCGCGGAGGGGAAGACCGATATCCGCAGGTTCGGTATTGTATAGGTCGCCAGGACACGTTCGTCATCCGGATCCTTGTGCAGCTGCTGTGCTAAGAACCGCGCGATGGATGCTGTTAGTTCGGGGCGTCCGAGGTGAGTCGCAAGCTCGATTAACGCAGTAGGGTAGTTCTTGGCTGTTAAGGCAAGCACTTTGAGTGATTGCGACGGTGAGCGATGTTGGTGACACACCTCGGCGACAGGCCAGAAGAACAAATGCCTCGACTGGTGGCCCTTCCACAGCACCATCGTCGTCGTCGTCATCAGCATCCCCAGGTTCATCGCCCTCTCCATGCCCATAGTAGTCGGCGTCGATTGGATTGTTCGCGCCAGGTTGTTCTTGGCCGGCAGGTCCAGCGGCGTTACGGTTGGGCTGAAGTTCAGGCTCGGGGATCAGCGGAGGGCCTTGCAGTGGATAGTCAAGCTCGTCGATGTCATCTTGAGCGATGTTCTCGGCAGCTGCGGATCGGGACAACGAGGTGGTGACAGCCTCCGAAAGGCAGGTTCCTTCGAGCATGCCTCGTGCGGCGAAGTCCACACGTGCTGCGGCAAGTTTATCGAGCCGCTGATTGGTCAATAGCATCTGGCCGAGGGCGCGATACCGGTTCGACCGCCGCCACGGCTCCTTGACGGCCTTGATGTGCTTGCTCTCGGTGAGCGAAGTGCAGAGGCCATAGAGGGCGCCGAAGTTCCAGGTGTGGCGAGGGGTATGTCCATGGGAGTGCTGGCGCGGTAATGAGAAGCCTTCAGGCCTAACACCTGCATGACGAAGGAACTCTCGGTGGCGGTGGTACTCGGTGAGGTGCGCCTCACATTCGTCGAGCTTGGTATCTGTTTGAATGGGGTGGCGAATCCTATATGCAAATTCTAGATATTCGTGGACCATACACACGATCTCGGGCGGGACAAGCCCTTTGATCGCGGCGAGGAAGATCTGACCATTAGAAATGATAAGTTCATGGCCTCTCTGTAGTATTAGTTGTGCCGTATTAATGATCTTTGACTTACCTTCATAAGGGCTCGAGAATCGTCGCCCGTCCATTGCTTGAAGTTTCGCCCTTGACGAAAGTGTCGCAGGCCAGCAAAAGGCGGCATAGCAGCTATCCTGTAGTGGCCAGTGGATTTGACGTGAGTTTTACCGTGATACACTCATATTTCCTTGTCTGTGCTTACCGTCGGTCTATCTCATCCACGATCTCTGCAGCACGTCCTTCGCCATGCTCAATCTTGAGGTAGTCTATCGTCCAATCGACGACGTGGTCTTTGAAAGGCTTGATTACTTGATGCAAGAGGTCGCCCGACAGTAATTCATGGATATCAGCACGCGGGAAATTGTTCGTATAAGGCTAGCAGTGGTACAGAGGCGAGTTCGCAGGCTGCTCAAATTCGTAGTTGTGGAACACTTACAATGACGTTTGCAACAATCCCATACTCCTCCCACAGCAGCTTCGTGTCGAACCGTCGAACCAGCTCCTCGGTGAGCTCCTCGCTTCGACGGCCTTGCATGAAGCCCGCGTCGAGATCATTGAAGGGTCCTGGGCACCTACAACCCTGGTGAGTCATCGAGACCTTGACAGTAAAGCATTGTGTGACTTACACCGGACACCAGCCTTCAACAATGCACGCCGCCAGAGCTTGTTCAGGATAGTCCATCAAGTTCGGGCCGACACCATAGAGAGCACGGCGAAAGTGTGAGTCAGGACAGCGCACAACCTCTGGGGTAGACATCGCAGGACGAAGGGGGTCCAGAACAGCGGCGACACTTGCGTGATACAACTGGCGTTTGAACGTGCGAAAGGCGGTGGTATTTTGGTGCTTCTTTTCACCTATTGACGTGTCAACATGCGGCAGTGTCCAGCGCCGAAAACGGTTTACTTACATTTCGCAATCGCTAGGAATGCCACGACACGAACGGCACCGCGGTGTGCACGCCTGACACCGTTCGAAACGTTGCCGATGGAGACATATAGGGGATAGTACTCGTTCTGCCCCGTCGCGACTGACACGGTCGTCTTGTCGCTTCCCACAATGACAGGTACGAACATCGACCCATGCGTGGTAGGGTCTTCTGCGATCTTATCCTTTGTCCACGTAAGTGATCAGCTGATATCCCCATGGTGTAATCGGACGGTTGACTCACTGCCTGCCGCCACGCCCAGTTGCCAGATAAAACATTCGTGAGTCGTCGGCCGCCTTGTTCATTGACTTCTTGATAGGGCACCAGATTGAACTCGTTGTCCCCATTGTAGTCTTCGCATTCGACCAACGAGTGTACGACAACACGGGTGTTCCGCATCCATATATCGTATTTCTCGGTCATCCATGATGGTATGTCCCCCTCTGGCAAGGCGCCGCGGTAACACAGCTCAACCTTGGACCACGACGCATCACCAAGGGAGATGACATCGATTGTATCAAGCAGGTGAGCAGAATTGTCGAAAGGCGGCTTGCCTCCATATTGAATGAGCGATGCGGCCCACAGATCCATCAAGGTGTTCACGTCCCTTTGTGACATTTGATTCTTCTTGTACAGGAACTCTGCCACCTCGAACTCCAGCCGTGAGCCAAACGGCGTCCAGTTGCCTTTGTCAGGCCTGTCTCGAGATGGAGGGGGTGCACCCGGCTCGATGAACTCGCTACCATCTCTGGTGCATGGCAAAGCTATTGCGACTGCGGTAAGTCTGCGCTTTTCCTCGAGTAATTCGTGCTGTATAACATGACGTACCATTCAAAGCAGGGTGATATCGACGTCTCCATCTCGCATCGGGTTCTGGCTGCGGATCTCTCTCAGCATCTCGAAATTCGGGCTCGATTGCTTGAAGCGGCGGCCCCGGTTCGTGTATCTCGTCTGGTGCCAGTCGATCATGCGGTGGTGGTGTTGCAGCGCGAGCAGGTAGCGGGGGATGAGCAGTGTTACGATGTTGAGTAAGTCCCGAGTGATTTCTGCATGTTTTGCCACAAATGCGACACTGAATTGGTATAGGGATGCTCGGCGGAATAGGTATGTTCAACGGGTGGTTCATCATAGCAGTTGCACGATAGCTCGGTGGATGGAGGTGAGTATTTCGTCCCCGAAGATGCTGTACGATAAGACTTAGCTATGAATCAAAGCCCGGCCGAGCACCGACTGCCGCTGGCGGCAAAGAACTCTGCCCGCCGACCTCGCCCTCACAGAGTCCCTATTGGCTCGGGTCATCCGGGTGGGTATCACCGGCGACGCCCGCTACCAAGACATCCCTTTGCCACGTCGTATTGCCTCCTCCATTTCTACCACTACCACCACCCGCTCTTCGATACCGTTTCCGTTCAGTGTTGAGCACTGCGGCCCTCTCTCTCTTATTCACTCTCATCTGTTACTGGCCCTCTCTCTCTTATTTGTTCTCATCCGTCACCATGTCTTCGGACGCTCAGGCTTCCCAACGTCACACTCGTGCAGCTAACGCTTTTGCACATCCAGGTCTTCCGGATGTCAAAGAACCGGTGAAGCGGCGTAGCAAGAAGGAAATCGAGGCGGCTAGGAAGGCTCAAGAGGCAGCAAATGACGCTGCCGAGCGTGGTCGTACGACTGCGGTCAAAAGTGTAGCATCAGTGCAGCATGACATGAAGCAGCGCGACGCACAGGAGCAGGCTCAACGTGTGCTGCCACCCAAGTTCGCTGTCAAAGCCTACAAGTCTTCGACCAACGTGGGGCCAGAGTCACAGGCTGTCGACCACGACATCTCTGACACTGAAAGTCTCGGTAAGTTGTGTCCGAGTCGTGGCTGTATGTCTCAAACTGATCATGCTGTTGACAACTACTATGTATGTACAAAGACTCGCCGCTCGCAGTTGCACCGGTTCCTCCGAAGAAGACAAAGCTGAAGAAGGTAACGCGAAAGGAGATTGATGCCTTTCCCGTTACGACAACCGCTGCTGCCGAGCAGGCAGTACCCAAAACCTTGACCGAAAAGCATGAGGTCGCATCCGGAAAGCGCAAGTCCACGGCTGGGTGAGTCTAAGCTACGTGCCATGAAGCCTCTTATGCTAATCTTCACCCATCCTCTTAGGTCTGGCGAAGGTGTTCCAGCTCCCAAGAAGCCAAAGCCGACGCACCCTTCAGGATTACTGGTGTCATGGAGAGGGACCAAAAGTTCCACGGCCCCTTCATCTGCGAAGTCACACAGCAAGCCTGAGGGTACTCCCACCGTTCCAGCTGCAACACTAGGTAACATGACTAGAATACTCTGTCAGTGTATTGAACGTCTAGCTTACTGTTCCGAATGCTCTCTAGCTTCCACAATGCCCGAGGATACCACTGGTGAGGTCGACGGATATGAATCCGGCGACTCAGTAGTCGAAGTTCACGCAGACTCACGACGCACGACTGAGGTAATTCACAGTCATCCTCACTGTTCAACAATGACATCATCATTTTTCAGGGCATTGTCAGTGTCGATTCCGAGGGCGAAGAGCTTGTGCCGAAGTCGAAGGGCAAGAAATCATCTGGTGTCGGCTTCATTGACCTCGGGAGCGACTTCGCACAAGCTGTGCAAACCAAGGTGTCTGCCCAGAACGTGACGAGTCAGGCGATCACGCAGCCTGCTGATGAACGTCAGGGTAGCCGCCGGCGCACAGTGACGAACCATGACTTACCCCGAGGCACACTGCAAAGGTACAACAAGGTCTTCATGCCGAAGCTAATCCACGTCATTGCTTGTCTCGCGAATCCCTGGGAGTTGCAGGTCATCGACTTCGCCGCGGAGCTTCGGCGCCTCTGGGACGAAGTCTTTCCGGATGTGGTGCTTGGGTACGAGGTCGAGGCGGGGTCTTTACTGTATACTTTGGTACGTGGATGATCTGAGTGCATGCATTCATAGCCACTGAATTCCTGCAGTCGATGCAGCGCATCTACAACTGGCGCTCCAGTTTCGGTGCCAATGCGATCAACGCAGTCGAGAAGTTCTGGGTGAATGTGGGTATCGAAGACCCGCGTGATCGTGCGGAGTGCGCACGAGTTGCACTTGGGCAAGGGAAGCCATATCTCTTCGGCCATGTGGAGTTCATGCCAGATGGACAGACTATCGTGGTAATCCATAGTGTTCGCCTGCTGCGAGTGCGTACATCTGCAAAGGGCTTTTCTTTATTGTAGCAGTAGGCATTCTACGGAGCTCTAGGTAGGGCTCTGATACTGTATAGTGTTACATGTTATTGTACCTGCTTTGTAGCTCTCTGTAGGCAACAGGACACTCTGTAGGCAGCCCCGTGGCCATGCTGTTCGACCTCATAGGCTAAATAGCTCAAGCTCACGGCACACTGATCGGCCGCATGTCAAGTGGGACCTGAGGCCATCTGAATCGCAAAATGAAGGCCCGTCGCAGGCTTACGTGCAAGACGAGAGTATGACAGTATAACGGTCACACTAAGTAGTACTATAGACGATTTTTACGGAATACATCCAAAGTGCCCTAGTCGTAGCATACAAAAAGTTGGGAGGTCGAAATAGGGACTAAAATAGAATGTCTTACTTTGTTCAGTGACATTATCTACGTTCCATCTTCTGTCGATTGCTCTCCCATATGCGGGCCAGAGGTGACAGTTGCGAACTATGCGGTCCGCCACGATGACCTCACCATATGGACGCTGTTGCCGAGTGGAGGGTGAGAGGACATACAAGCACGAGTGAGGATCCATACGGTGAAACGGTGTCATCCACTCGATGTAAGCAAGTGCCTGGCGCTGCGGTACTTCTGAACGACTCGGAGTGGGGTAGTGGTGAGGCAAGGTGAAGATCGCGCGAATGTGAGCCACACGAAGACCTGTGAAGTCAATCCCGTAAGCATCAGTGCGACGGGCGCGATCGTCGGCGATCGCAAGTAGACTGACTTTGTGCACATACCTTCTAATGGTGTCCCTGCCGTCCTGCTGTTTGGTTCTCCTGTCCGAATCAATGCAAAGTACATACGCGCTGCCCTTCCAGAGAGACGACCCTGCGGGGGGACTGGCGGGCTGGCACGGATCGTATTCTTGACCTTGTGGTAGCTCGTGGCGGCGATAGGCGGCAGGTGGACGCAGAGCTGGGCGTAGAGATCGAAACCGTCGAAGGAATGTGGAACAAAGGTAGGATGTTGTGTGCGCATGTAGCTTGTCAGCGCGGCTAGGAACTGAGGTGCGTTGTGTTGTTCCATAATAGTCGCTGCAGTCACGCCACGCAGGCCGGTCGTTCGTCTGGCAGACACCTTGTACGTAGTGACAGCGGTGCGTTTATTGAGGATTTCCTGCTGTTGACCGGTTGTTGTAGCCATCGCCGGTCCCTGATGTGCGACCTGGATCGTGTCTGACTCGTCGTCCACCCCGGTCTCTCCCTGCGCGGTTGTAACCCCTGCATCAGGGCTTGAACAGCCTGCGTGCCGTTCGCCATTGCGCCAAGATAGGTATCGTGCGAACCGGTCGACAGCTTCCTGACGGCGGAGCCAAGTGACCATTTGGGAGACGTAGTCCTTGTGGTTGCTCGCACGGTAAGCATCTTTAGCATAATCGATGTGCAAGCGTTCAGGGGACTCGGTGTTGTAGCCGTCTGCACTGCCGAACTTCAGGATCATCGCAACGTAATGCTCGATAGAATGCAGTTTCGGGATGTTGAAGTGTTCCTGGGTGCGTGCGCCAAGTTCGATGAAGATTTGCTTATGCGAATGGAAGTCGTCAAGACTCTTCTTCAGCAGGTCGAGCGTCTGCGAGGTGTGCGAGTGAAGGGAAGCGAGGTAGATAAAGTCCAAAACAGCGCGCACAGCGCTGATGACAGCTGGTTCTGCGCGGCCCATGAGTACGCCGAGGAAGACGCGCTCCATCTCCTTGTGCTCGCGTCCTGTCCATTGCGAAACTGTCGAGATACCATGCGCAAAGTGTCGAAGCCCAGGTGCGTCGCTCATGGCTCTAAATCGCACATCAAGCTCATCCTCGCCGACGATCGCCGTACACCACTTGACGAGGTGGTCCTTGAAGACACCTTTATGGAGCTGATGCAGCAGATCAGGCGTGAACCACTCGAAGACATTGGAATGGGGAAGATCCGCCCAGAAAGGCGGATACACAGGGCGGAGACCAAGTTCGTTGAAGCGTGCCTGGGCTGTGCCGGGAAGCGTGCCAGTCGGCGAATGGTCCTGCTCCCGGAGAAGTGACAACGTCTCTTCTTGACTGCGCGCGGGGTAGGTCTCGTGTTCGCCACGACGAGTTGGAGGAACCTGACACATGGGGCACCGATTTTCCATGCAGCATCCCACGAGACACTGCTCGGGGTAATCTGCAACGTACGCCGCGACGATTGGCCAAACGGACCGCTTCCGACGGTCCGCACACGTCATGGTTACGCCGGTGCGTCCAGCTTTGGCAACAGAGGCGAGCATTTTCCTCATGCAATAATGGAAGAGGCGGTACTTCACTGCCGGCCGCGCCTTGTCCGTGAACCCATCGAGCTTCGCGACTGGGAGGTAGCCTATGAGCACTGTCGCATGCGATGAGACTTCACGCCGGACGTCCTTCGCGATGTTGCCAATCGTCAGATATACCGGCCATGCACTCTTGTCGCCTCGAAATTGTGAGAGTTTGGTCTTATCGGACGAGAGGATCACGGGCGCAATTGTTGCGCCCGGCGGTAGTAAGGACTGTATCATACATATCGCTCAGGTGAGTTTCTTCTTGTCGTTAGACGTAACCATCTTACTCACTTGTAGATTCCACCACCAGTCTGCCGTTGACATCTCGCTGATGACTCTCGTCTTCCCATTTTTGTCCACAAAATGCCGCTCTGGTGCATATTTCATGGCGTCACGGAAGGTCGGATTTCCGATTAGCTCACGGATGCATTCAAGAGGGTCCCGGAACCAGAACTCCACCGTCTCCTTCATTGCTTTTCCATCAAGGTCCGTGATATCACCGAGGAGTTCAACTAGCTCGCACTGCCAGTCCGCGCCATTAGGGAGGCTATCAACACTCCGCAGAAGAGTGTCCTTATTGCGGTAGCCAGGCTGGACCCGGCGCTGAATCTAAGTTTGATTATCATTCAGAACAATCCATACATATGGAGACAAGTGATCAACGTACAATGGGAAGCTTGAGGAAGTGCTCTGTTTGCGTATGTCCGATGTTCTTGATAAGCCACTTCGCTAACTCCCACTCCTCGTTGTCTGCGAAGGGCCCATATACAGCGTCACCCTTCAGGATCTGGTCGTCGCGGACTTTCTCGAACTGCGTGGGCGACTCTCCAAAAGAGAAACCTGCATGTGCTCCATCCGGGAACGTCTGCAAGTAACGAGCTTCAGGGGCAAGGTGGGAGTCCTCTTCAGGGACATCCTCAACGGTCGTACGGCGTGGTGCAGCAGCAGAGGGAGGGATCGCGTCCTGATCAAATAGAGATGGTGACGCGCTGGAGTCAAGGTGAGCATCTTCCATGCTGTCTGGTTCGGTGGCGGCGCTGGCTTCCAAGTCGGTGGTAGCATCCGAGTCAGCCTGAGGTCTTTCATCGTGACGCTGACCTAGTGCTTCTGCAGCTTCAGACTGCATTTGCTGGCGACGTCGACGTTCCGCCCACAATTCCGCTAGACGTGCGTCACGTTTCTGCTTGCATCCAGTAGCGACTGACTGAGCCTGGTGTCTGGATACAGCGGCTTGACCCTTGAACGACTGGTTGCAGTACTGGCAGATAGCCATTGGTAGGGAGTACTAGTGAATGGAGAGGTGGAGGATTCCGAGCGGGTACGTGCTATGCTGGTTGTACTTCGTGTGTGAAAGTCCACTAATGATCCGAGTCGGCGTACTTGCAAGTCAAGCTTCGCACAGCCGATCCCGCTGTTTGCTACTGATTGCCACGCTGGCATAGGTCCTCTCTCAGTGACAGCACATGAGCTTTCACGTCCTTTGCTGCTGGGTAGCTAGTACTTCGTCAAGCTCTTGACCGCCTAACTCGCCATCCAGACTCCAGCCTCTGATTCACTGGCATGAATTTACGGCCTCCTTCGAGTCAAGCTCACTTTGCTTCGCAAGAACTATCGACACCTGCAGGCAGAGGACGTCGGCAGAGCCGACCGACTGAGCGAATCGAATGCTACCGTATGTGTTGACTCGTCAATTCCTATCATTTGCTCCAAAGCTCATGTCTTGTTATTCTTCTGACAGGCCAAGAACTTGCGACGCAGGAAGCTCGTCGCACGGCCCGCAATGCAAGGCGATCAAGCTACAGTGGAGACGTCCCAGCGAACAATATGCAAGCTACGAGCATGACAAGTGCTCATGTACCCCAATCTGTCGACGGTGGAGTGCGGCACGATGGTCTCTCGGAGCCAACACGGCTACAGGTTCCGTCTCAGAGTGCGTTCGGCATGCCATCTGAATGGCTTCCTAGGTATGACGTCGTTGTTCATATTCTATGATTGCTTGCAATACATTCATGTATGTTTGCTATTATAGTACTGCACCGGTGCAACTCCAACCATCATTCAATGGTGCCGCAAGCTCACAGTATATGGAATTTGGGAGTGACTCCACAGTTCAGTGGGAGTTTCCAAATCCTGTTGCGTTCTTCAATCCGAGTCCGCCTCAGTTATCGACTTCAAACTATGGTATGACATCTAGCTCTAATGCGGTACAATCGACAGCTGACTCCGAGAATACCCCAGATGATCAGCATCAGCCAATACCTCCGCCTGCCGTGAATTCAGTCATCCCGAATAATCTAGGAATTACTGTGTCGGCTCCGGGTCAGGCTGCTGACCAGCATGAAGTGGCGGTTGTTCCGCACGCTGCAACTGTCAATCACATTGGTTGGTCGACATTGAGATGCCTGCATGTCACGATGGTTCTATACTGATGCTGTTACGGAAGGTCAAGGCCTACTACCACCTGAAGACGACAACCACAATGCTGAAGTTTTCGATGCAGATGTTCCCCGCGGGATGCAGATGGTACGCCGAAGCTCAGGCTCCTGTGACCCGGGGGATGTACTGTACGAGACACCGTGACTTTCATACAGATCTCGTCAACCCCGGTCTCCTTGCTACCAATCAGACGGATCGGTTCGGGTAGTACTCGGCGGGTCACAGCCAATGTTCCACCTCCATGCTCGCCGGCTGCCCAATCCGAGTCCTCAAGACGGGCTTCATCATCAGAGACTCCTTCCGGGTCGGGTCACGACGTAAGTACCTGTTAGACTTATTCCCTACTGAACCTGTATCGCCTTGCTGACACATCATATCGTCCGTGCTAGGCGAGCCACGTTCAGCCTGGAGTCAACATCAGTAATCTACTGGAGAGCCGACTCTCCAGCAATGCGATGTCCGAGGATGTGAGTCCTTTATAGTGTTATCCGTCCTACACCATACTGAATAAGGCTTGTACCAACACTAGCCACGGAGTCAAACAATCGGTCGCAGGCAGCGTGAAGATGCTGATGACAGCTGCGATGTCAATACACCTGATTCTTCTCGTCGAAAGCGCTCCCGGAAGCGCGATCGGAAGATGCGCAGTGTGTGTGTCTTGGACGATGAACGACAGGACGTCGCCAAGCGTGCATACAAGTTCTTCAAACTGATTGTGATCACAACGGAGCCGTGGGTCTCCTGGGACGATGCAAATGATTTCGCAGATGATGCGTGGGAGATGGCTTGTAAGGAAGCAGATGTCGACCTAGATGCACTTCCTCCAACTAACGAGGCGCGTAATTTGGTGAGTAATGACTGGCGTACGACTATTGATTCATAGTATTGATGCAGTCATTAAGATCAAAGATCGAACCTCTCAGCTCCGCTGCGTAATGAAGACAATTGCACGCAACTTGCTTCCAGGACAATACGGGTTCAAGCCAGGGCACTCGGACGAGGTCATTGCGTACAACCGTGACCTCGTAAATCGTTTGAAGAGTGGTACTAACCGTGCATTCTCTCATATTGTACGTAACTTTTGTCCAATACTTCTGCCACTGAACGGGCTAGATGATCGATTCATTTGACTTTCACAGGACCCCGGGAATCCAGTGACTGCATGCCGGAACCCAATCTTTGCTGACATCCTCGCGAAAACGTGCGGATGGTTTGCAAACCCGAAAGGCGACGGTATCCGCTACGGCCATTACTTTACGCCTGGGCGTTCAATGCAAGTCGTCATGGCTCAGTTACTTACAACGGTATGCACCAGTTTATTGGCATGTGTAGGCCGGGTCTGATACCGATTGTCGGACGTGTCACATGTAGGTCGAGTGCGCAATTGACGAATGGCAGACAGGTATACACAAGGACCTGGACTTTCGAGAGAGCGTGTACGCAAGTGTGTTCAACAAACATTTGGAGTGGCTTGTCGAGTGGGAGAAGTTTTCGCGTGCGCACTCGCAAGCGGATGTTTGCATGCAACGTGACTTGATACAGGAGCTGCGGTGAGTCTTAGCTTCGCCAGACAAACAGTCGCAAGCCCAATGCTGAATGGACTGCAGCCACAGAGCCGGTAGTGATGTAGTTGAAGACTCATCTGCCAGCGAGAATGGCATACCCGTTCATTACGATTTTACTCAATTCGAATCTTACGGATCCAACCAATAATCACTTCATGAACCCGATGCCTGGACAGCGTCGTCATCTCTTCAAAGCAGGCCATTGTACTTACTCTACTGACAACGACACATTCTGATTCAAAACGTCAATATCTAGAAATACCATTCGTAATCCATACACTTTGTTATTCGCTAGCAGTGTGCAGTTCAGAATGCGACTCGTCTGAGGTGTCGTTACAATCATATGAATCAGCGTGCTGGCGCAATGCGATGACAGACGGGCTCAATCGCCGACTCGGAGATGCTAGTGAGATGCAGATCGGCCTACAGTGCCTATGCGCCCTATCCTATGGCTCTTCTGTAGCGATCGACCGGCTCTGTAGCGATCAACACGCTCTCGAGTGTCACATAGCAGGGACCTTCCCTCTCGACCTACCAGACCTACCAGCCCTATATAACACTCTGTAGTGAAGACGAATTTTGCAGATGTAGATACTGATTACATCATGTCTCGTACAGAAACGCCATCATCGTTTTGAACATCCCATCATCCTAGATGCCCTCGCAGAGCATCTGCGCATCATTGACAGTGTCGCTCCCCAGCCTGACTCGGAGACGTATCCACGTGGTGCAATCTTGCTTGCAGCCGCAGCTGTACGTCTCCGATGTTGACTGATGAATAATGTGCTAACAAATTCCATTGTTGTGTGCAGGCGGAGAGAGCGTGGAAGCTCGCAACAATCAATGGCGTGATCGCTCGCAAACGCAACGGTGTCGATACGTTCTCGGAGAAGGCTGTTGGTCCAAGCATCGCATTTTTCGGCAATGCCATTGCGACACTTACCGACACGAAGTGGAGCCGAATCCTGTCGAACGCACGCAAACTTCTTGCCACCAAGGACACGGCAACCAAATTCTTGGCTGCCGAAGCATTGATCGACAACTATGACGACCTGTATTCGGACTCGGATTCCGACGTTGTTGAGGATGATGTATGCTCTTCTATGCTAAGGCTCACCATCCACTGATACCCTCTGTCATACAGAACACGAAGTTTTGACCTCGCGGTGTCTGCTCGTAGCGTCGATGCAGACCATCGGCACCACTGGCATGGCATTGCTTCGTACGCCCGGCGCCAAATTCCCTTACTATTCTACAGTCAATCATTCTTTGAAGCTGCTTCTAATATCTGCTAATCTCGCTTTCTGTCGACCTCACACCTCTCGTACTACTGCAGTGCACGTAGTATACTATGGACTAGTCTTCTTAGCCATGAGATGTGGCTCGAATATACTGTTTGTTTCGTATCTGGTGTCTGATCTGTCTGAACATTGTCTGATTGCCATACAGAGGTCAGTGTATCATATGTCTAATGAATGTCTCATGATACTGTAGTATTCAATACAGTCCGGCGGTCACGCGTCACAAGGCCCCTCGCCACACCGGTAAAGGACCCTTGTCACGGGTCACTGGGGGGCCCGCCGGTTGTGACAAATGCACAAAAATTTGGCCGCCTCCGGTGGCGGCCTCAGCACTCGTTTCGACGACGTTTATAGCCCATCGACGCTCCGCCGCACCGTCTGCACCGTCTTTGTCACACGTCACCGTCGCTCGCGCCGCGCCGCCTGGCGGCGGCGCGGCTGTCACAGTCACAACCTGCGCCGGATTGAATTGAATACTACAGTAGTCTAGAATGGCTTGTATCAGACACGAATCTACTAATTGAACTTGTGTCGTCTATTTGTCCTGATCAGTCTAAATGTCTGTATAAGACCGATTAGGCGATCTTAGACGAAGTGACTGATTTGCTGATGGCCTCGGAGGCTGCGTTGCCTCTACTTTGGCGAGAACTCCCGTCACTCACCATCTGGAAAAGCTTCGTTTGAGAATGACAATGAAATATTGACAATAATCAGCATTTCTAGGTAAAGATCTACAATACCACCTATTCTTTGTTTCCCAGATTAGCGGATTTTCTCTTACCCCCTGCTCTTCCTGGGTGAATTAATGATAATTACATGCAATACGAGCCACTTCTGCGCACTTGCTGCACATTATCTGACGTGTAATTCAAGGATCGCGCATTCTTTGTTTCGCTTTCTGGTTATGCAGTGTCATACGAGGATCATTATGGGATAGAATGCATAATTGTTATTCTAGAACAGTGGCAATGACAACATAGCTCGCGTATCACTAGCACGTCCAATTAGCATTCTGTGTTGTCTCGACTGTCCTGCTACTAGTAGTATCACTGCTGCTGCCAGCCCTCTATTACTACTCGTCAGGTATACCAGCCCAGTCAATCCCTGTTCCGTTCTCGCCAGTGGCATCTGCATGTCGTAGACTATTCAGTACGTTATGATTGACACTAAAGAGCTACGAGTCAGTGAAATGCATCCACAAGAAGATGAAGCGATCGCACACCACAGCCTTGAAGATATTGTGCATCACCCGATGATAGCGATTCGGCTTTTGCTGGCGGAAGTCAGCGAGTCGTATCATATGCTCTCGATACGTCGACGCATTGGCTGGTCCGAATTCCATGGGTTTCTGTAACTTCAGCTTGTGATCGGAGACGACTGCCTCAACCTAGAGGCATAGTGTAAGACTCGCATATGAATCGGAATACGACATACCGCTGTCATAGTCAATGCGAGCATTCTTGGCGGAATCTCGTATTCAGATGCAGTCAGCACGTTCGAGGACTTGAAGTTGTCGCCATTACTAAGCAAGCTAATCCCGTAGTTGGGCGTAGACATGAAGAATGCTGCGTGCACAGCTGGAATAATGACCGGATTTTCGTAGGGTGCATTTTGATCGAAGCCAGCCTGTGCTCGTAAGCATGTCAGTAACAGTCACTGTGAGAGCGTTGAACATACCTCTTCAGTCCATGGATAGATATACCTCATGTCCGTGAGCAATGCAGCCTCATTGGGGCCGCCTCCAGCCTGCATATTGATGAGATGGAATGCATGCTCGACTACAGACGTAAGGGCTTTCTTCATTGATGTTCGGTTGAGAAGCAGGCGGTGAGACACCTATAATTTGTGCGAATGCAATGAGTACATGTCTGACCATAGCGTCGGGACAATGAGAACACTTGCATAAGTCAACAGGGGTTTTGCGTAGCGTTCATACGACCCTCGCTCCAAGCGATCTGCGAAGTCACCTTCGCCATCAAACCGGAGCTTGTCTGCAGCCTTGACCAATGCTTTGAAGGCGATCTTGTCGACGCATTCCTTCTGCATCGGTGTCTCCATTATCTTGAGCTCCGAGAACTTGAGCGGCTGATCTTCGTGTCCGAACACAAGAAGTTGATCGCCAATCGGATAGCTCTCATGAATGAGCTGCCGGACGTCTGCGTTTTGTGGCTTCAAATCGATCTTCATACTCTTGACACCTCCATGCTTGAGCACAATCTCCGTGTGGGACTGCCAGACCACAGTATTGTCCTCGTCAACTTGGCTTGCATGGGGAGCCTTTATTTTGGCTTCGCGAATCTCGGGCATCTGATCATTAGTGCGGTGAGTGGTTAGCTAAGGGAACAAGAACTTCCGTACCTCGTCCTTGAGCTTCTTCCGCTGATTCTTCGTCAACTGATTCACAAGTGTCAGTCTACTACTCGGTAATCAATTGTGTGACGACTGCGCACCGGTCGTGGTTTAGAGCGAACAACAACCTCCGCCATCTCCATATCCGACCCATCGTCTGATAGACCTTGGCGATTCTGAACAGCATAGCGAGAGCCGTCATTGAGATCGGGCTCTGATGACTCGGAGCGGTGACGCGGCACGGCCTGGGGACTATCGTCTTCCGACTCGTTGTCGGCCATGCTGTGCTGCGTTTCCGCATCATCAGTATCAGTAGTCGGAGGGTCAATGGGAAGAGACGATGTGACGCTCGACGACCGAGATCCTGCGTTCTTCGACCGGAACCGCGGAGGGCGGATGCTAGCTTGAGCTTCATCATCTCCCGCCAACCCATGATCATCTGCGTGGAATTGTTTTCAGTACACAGACTTGCAACACAACGTGTCCGTCTCACCACGATTTGAAAACCTAACCGACTAGACATGATCATCGTAAGCACTAACATAATGGTACCATGAATGTCAAACAGTCGACATCGTACCCACCTCTGATTCGAGGTCATCACAGCCGCCCCGGGGCTCCGGTTCCTCGCCATCATCATCCTGCTGTGAGTCATTGTCTCTCCGTTCCTCGCCGCTATCGTTGAGCATATCTTCGACGTCTTGAGGTGTCGCGGCGCGTGTGACTCCAGACTTGAGCTTTCCGTGGTCTTTCTGAGAGACGCGTTGCTGCGATGCAATTGGTAGCATCGGCCCAACCCGTGAGTCGTCGTCCGAGTCGCTGATGATCGCTGCCGCGTAACGCTTCTCTGTAGAGTGGGCTCAGGATGCGCTGATGAGCCCTTAGCTCACCTACCCACCGAAAACGCCATTTACGGTCGATACAACGGTACACTAAGTCAGAACGGCCGACGCACTGTCCGTCCGTTCGAGGGAACCGCCCGATGTTCGAAGCTCAAGCGTCAATGTTCGGAACCCTTAGTGGCAAGGGCAAGCGGTTTAGAAGCGTCGCTACATTGGTAGGACTACGGGCAAGTACACGGCTAGGTCAAACTAACTAGTGACGGCCTCGGCAACTCTCGTATCTATGGCCTCGACCTCCACACCCATGACCACCACCCCTACCCCTACGAACAGACGGACCGGCGTCGAAGCTACGGTCAGTGTTGACGCGCTCGAGCAGGCTTTCGAGCAACCCGACGAGGGTGCCGTGCGTGCGGCGCTGGTCGACTGCGATGTTGTGAATCGCTCGACCCATGGACTCGAGGTTGTCGGGCAGCTGGCGGAAGTCGGACAGGATCAACGTCTCGCGCTGATACTGTGGGTTCGCGAGAGGACGACGTTCGGCCTGGTTGACTTGTTCGAGCAGCACCAAGGTCTCGGACCACGCGATCGTAGGGTAGGGCGAACCTAGGATGTCTCCCTGGTTGCCATCGCGGTGAAAGACCTCGTCGAGGTAACGCATCAACTCGTCGATCTCGGGGAACGACCTAGGAGCAGGAAGCGTATCGTTCGCTAGCAGGATGGCCCGGCTGCGGGACTCGAACAAGAATCGCTGTTCGAAGGTCGGTTCGATGGTTCGAACGATAGTCTAAGTTCGGAGGCACGTACAATCATCCAACGGACTCCGTGGGCCCAAGCCAGCCACTCTCCGGGACTGTTGGCATCGTATCGCGGCTCGACAAGTCCCTCGGTCTTGAGGACCTCTAGGAGGCGGTAGTAGCGGGCAGCATACGCTTCGGAAGTTGGGTCGAGGTGCGGCATGTTCGTGTAAGTCAGGCGAACTCCTGCAGCTGTCTCATATCTTCGAGGACTGTCACCGGCTCCGGTTATGACCTTCGCCGTTCGGGGACGGTCGCCCGTTATGCGGAACCTGCGGAAGGCCGAGTTGGATTCTCTCATGTGTTAGTAGGTCCGGGTCGAGCGTTGTGACATTCTCCGATTGGCTGCTTTCCTTATCACTTTCATTCATCATTTCTTATTTCTCTTGGCTCTCTTGGTCTTCGGACCGTATTTTCCTGTATATACTCTGGGACTTGTTCCCTTCGAATCTCAGAGACCCCCTTACCCTCTCAATCTCACCTCGCACCGGCGAGGTTCGTCAGTCAGCCAGTACGTTCGAAGTCAGCAAGTTCGCCAGTCAGTCAGTACGTTCGAAGCCAGTCAGTCAGTTCGCCAGTACGTTCGTCAGCTCGTAGTTGCCCCGAGAGGCTCTACACTTCTTCTCCTGCCGTCGCTCGCCTTCCTTGTCACCGTTCGTTCGACACGTCTGTCGAAACTCCCTCCTACCTTCGAGGCTTAGCCCTCGTCTTCGAACAGTCTTCGACATCTTCGAAGCTCTCCCACGTCGTTCGGAGTCTTGTCCGTCCTCCTCCTTCTTACCTAGACCACTGTACAGTCCCACGTACATCTCATAGACTCAGAGGCCTCGCATACCACTGCTCGACCTCACGGTTGGGTTTTTGTGTGGCTTTTGTGTTCTTTTCGGTCGCGTCATCTTGGAGCCCACCGCGAGGGGGATATAGAGCAAGATTCCGCCGCGTCGGAACTTCGACGTCAACCCTGAAGACTACCGAGACTACGAAAGTCCTCTTCTCGCACTCGCTATCGACAGTCGTCTAGGTCCCGGATCCGCCGCCGCCTTTCGCAGGCATAGCAACCCTCTACCAGGACCTTCGACTATCCCCTCTTCGTCCGAACACGTCGAGCTTGTCCCCGATCACGACGATCAGGAACGCTCCGCTCGAGACCAAGTACCTACTACTCCATCCCATCCCGGACGTGCTCGAAGACTTTCGCTCTCAGACGACCTAGAGTCTCGAGTCTTTGGCTCTCCTCTACCGTCCCTAACGCCGTCGCCACCTCTCGAAGGAGAGGACCTCAGTTCAGCCACGCCGATCACGACGCGTAGTGGAGCCACCACCTCACGTCTACCTTTACCCACTCGTTGCCGAGCGTCGTTAGCCCCTCCAGGACCAGAGTCGTCCGAGCCGCGAAGGACTTCGACCAGCGACAACCAAAACCCTTCGAACGATCCACCAAATCCTTCGAACCCTCCGAACACCGATACGAACATGTCCGAAGCAGCAGCACAAGCTTCGAAGGCGGCTTCCATGCCTGCCCGCGGTCACTCGACTGCGCCGGTCTTTGATGAGTCAGAGCCTTTCGCGTTCAACCGTTTCTTCCAGGACCTCGAGACCCACTTCACGCGATGCGGGATCATCACCAATGCGGACAAGAAGTCATGGGCCGTTCGGTACCCGCCGATACGGGTCTCGGACCTGTGGACGATGCAGCCGACGTACAAGGATGCTACGAAGACGTACGACGAGTTTAAGACAGCTCTTCGAACACTCTACCCGGGTGCCGACGACCAACACAAGTATTCGACAGACGACCTCGACAAGGTAGTTCAGGAACGTCAGAGGCTTGGTCTGAGCAACGCGCTCGATCTCGCCGCTTACTACCGTGACTTCTACATGATCTCAGAGTACCTCATCGCTCAAGGTTCTCTCTCGACGCTCGAACAAGATCGAAGGTTCCAACAAGGCTTTCCCCCAGCGCTTTGGGGACCGATCGAACAACGCTTGTTCATGAAGAACCCTGACCACTCGAGACGCAAGCCATGGACCTTCGCGCAGATCTACATCGCCGCTCAATGGGTCCTAGACGGCCCTACCCCCGCTTCGACGTTTCAGCAAGTCATAGTCCAATCTTCGAACGTCAGCTCAGGTCCTTCGAACGCCGCACCATCTTCTTCGTCTGGCGTTAAGAACGAAGACCTCCTACCAGTCTTGCAGACGCTGATCAAGACTCTCGAGGCTCAGCAGTTTAGGAGTCGGTCACCCGGACCACCTGGTGGTAGAGACGGCCCTCACTGCTTCTACTGCGGTCGTTCGGGCTGTCGCATCAACGACTGCGAAATGTTCGAAGACGACGCCAAGAAGGGCTTGTGCCGGAGGAACCCAGACGGCAAGGTCGTGTCGTTCGACGGTCGATTCATGAGCAGGAGAGAGGGCGAGACCCTCCGCGACGCCATCTATGAGTACGCGCGCCGCACCGGCAAGGTCGGACTTAACGCGAACACTTCGAACGGTTCGGGCGGTGCCACCCAAGGTTCGACTACCTCCCAGCTACTTTACGAAGCGATCGAGACCCCACCGACTGCGACGTACGCCTTAGACATTGGTGAGACTAGTGCAGAGCACGGGTACACCCGCGGGTGTCCCGAGGTGTACCCGTACCCGTACCCGCCCGGGTACAGACCCGCGACGGCGGGTACGGGTTCTGCACGGGTCCAGGCGGGTCCAGGGCGGGTCCGCGGGTCCACGGGTATGGAGACGAGTCTGCAGGGTGGTGGGCGCGTGGATGTGTGGAGGATCGCATGGACGATTGTGTGGGTGTGGTGCGCGTTTTCAAAAGCTCGCCGGCTTGTAGACCTCTGCGTGTCAATCTGCCAGTGGGTATCATACCTCCTCCTCCCGCGCGCCGCGCGCAAACTGCCCGCCGACCACGCCGACCACGCTGTGATTCGTGCCGTCCCGCAGACGCAGCCGAGAGGCGGTGGGCGAGAGGGCGAGCGAGTCAGCGGGCAAGCGAGACGGTCGGCCTTGAAACGAGACGGTCGGCAAGCAGGGCGGTCGGCAAGTGGGACGATCGGCAAGCGGGACGATTGGCGAGCAGGACGGCGGGCAGACAAAAGGCGCACGAAATAGCAAGACGGCGAGCGTCAGGTACGGGACAGAGAGATCATGACGGGCGAGTGAGATGGCGGGCGAGTTGGGTGGCAAGCAGACGAGAGTCAGCAAGCAGAACAGGGCGCAATTGGGATACGGGTGAGCAGCACACGGGCAAGTGTGAGGGCGGGCGAGCGAGACGGCTAGCGAGGGGGACAGCAAGATGGCGGACGAGCGAGGCGACAAGCAGCCGGTAGTGGGCGCTGGCGAACGAGCTGGCCACGAGAGTCTCCGTGTCCATCCTGGTCGAGCACACTCACTTCAGTGAGCTGTTTACGTGTCTGTGTTAACGGACACCCGCAGTGCCTGACCACACTCCCTAGCCCACGTTCTCGCCCTCCGGATCTCGAGCCATCCCGTCCTTCTCGTGGTCCCGGTACGTACATTGCGCCCTCCGCCTGACTGCGCGTGCTAACGCGCGTCGTCCCTGGGCTAGTGTCACTGCGACAGGCATTCAGCATGCGTGAACGCGTAGACTAGTACGTCTTCTGTGCTGTTTATTTCTGTACGTCCGGTGTTGCTAATGCACGATCCATCCTTCCGAGATGCTACAGTGGACAGGCGAGACGGCGGGCGGCCAGACAGCGGGCGGCCAGAATGGCTGGTGAGCAGCACAGCGAGAGGGACGACGATCGAGCAGCATGGCGGGCGAGAGGGACGATGAGAGAGAGGGACGGCGAAACAAGTAATAGGGTGGGTGAATAGGACAGCGGGTGAGTGGAAAGGCGGGTGAGACGGCGGGTGAGCGGCTAAATAGCGGGCGAGCAGACGATGAGGCGGGCGAGCGGGCGAACGAGTGGGCTAGCAGGATGGCAAGTATGGAGGGGAGGGGAGGGAGGAAGACAGGTGGACTCGGCGAGGGAGGGCAAGCGGGCGAGCGAACCAGAAAGAGGGTGAGAGCAGGCAGGCGCGAACGGGCGGGCAGGTGAGAGCGGGCTGGTGGGCACGAGAGCGGGCTGGCGGGCGCGAGAGCGGGCTGGCGGGCGCGAGAGTGCGAGCGGGTGCGAGAGTGCGAGCGGGTGCGAGAGGGCAGGCGGGTGCGAGAAGGCAGGTAGGTGCGAGAAGGCAGGTGGGCGCGAGAGGGCGGTGGGCGCTAGAGGATGGGGTGACTAGCAAACTGTTAGTAGGGATGCAATAGATGACTCACCATCGGCTTTCGTGCCTCTGCTATCCTTTTGTTCGTTCAACGCTCCTGCCCCTCATCTTGTACACCTCCAGTTGGCTGGCACATGGAGTCCGTAGCTGCTGTCGCCACGTTAGACGCATGATTCGCCCGTCTCGAGGTGTATCTCCTTCGTCTGGGCTTGTTGCGCCTCGGCCTCTAAGTGTCCGCGCTTCGGCAAGTCGTATTCGGGCTGTGAGACGGCGCGACTGCCTCTGGCACGTCGCTGTTGTCCGAGCTGGTGGCAGCAGTACCGCAAGGCGCGTCTGGCGTTTGTGCGAGTGACGGGTACGGTCACGGGTACGGGTTTGGTCCGGGTCACAGAAACGTGACCCGTACCCGTACCCGGGCGTACCCGTACCCGGTACCCGCGCGGGTTCCCACGACCCGTGCTCTGCACTAGGTGAGACCCTCGAACGTATGCGAGACCAGTTGTCACATATTACGGAGGTCTACGCCCAAGAGCAGCGGAAGAAGCACGTGTTCGACGGCGTCATGATTGACAAGAGGCCGCAGCGTTCCACGGCCCGTCCTGCGAACTTGCCCACCGATAAGTCACGAGCTCCGGACTCCCGAGGCTCTTCGAAGGAGCGTACCGTACGCTTCGCTTCGCCGCCTGTGTCGAGTCAGCAAGCAGCACCGATCGAGACCCCAATCACGCGTTCGAAGAGTGTAGAGCGTGCAGGTCCGCCACCGAGAGCTCCGACGCCAC